TAGTGTGGCTGGAACATGAAGCTGGGAGAACATCATCTTTTGATCTGTCTTGCAGATGCGCAATCGAAGATTTTCAGCACCGAGCAGATTCATGAGGACAAGGAATAGCAGGTTTCTCTGACCTTTTCTAAAATTTCCTATCCCTTCATTCACTTTTCCCAGAGTCCACTCCCCTTTATCTGTGCTTCAAAATCCCGCAATTTTGTGTCATTGCTCGACGGCAACCTCCTGATCCTGGTCAGACAGGATGAACGGCGAGGCCTACAGCTCGAGAGGTATGAGCTATTTCAGAGGAGGCTTTTGTTGACTGGTATCAATTGAAACTAACAAAGTGCTCAGATACCGGACGGTCGAGAGACTACTACGTAAGAATGCGCTTCACCTAGAACGTGTTCTGTGCTGCTTTGCTTACTGTTTTCTTTTCCTACAGGGCTCTCGTTCCGAGCGAGATGATCGAAGGGATCGCGGCGACCGTGGAGATAGACGCGATAGAGACCGGAGACGATCTAGGTCTCCACACCACAGTTCCCGTTCCTCGCGTCGCGATCATGAGTTAGATTCGTATTCCAGCAGTCGCGATTATCGCGCACGGGAGCGAGAGGATCGATATAGCCGACGTGATGACCGAGACTGGGATCGAGATAGGGGCGATAGAAGACGTGATAGACGCGAAGACGATGAGAGACCTTCGCGACGGGAACGCGAGCTTTTTGATGACCGGCCTCGTAGGGACCGTGGAGGCAGAGACAGGCGAAGAAGCCAGAGCCCTGCACAACGAAAGAAGGAACCTACTCCGGATCTGACGGACGTTGTGCCGATTCTGGAACGGAAACGGCGGCTGACTCAATGGGATATAAAACCTCCAGGTTACGAAAATGTTACCGCCGAGCAGGCGAAACTCTCAGGTTTGTTAAGACTGAATACTACCATAAATGATTGTCAAGCCATCTAACAATTCCCACAGGCATGTTCCCCCTTCCAGGCGCACCACGTCAGCAGGCAGTCGATCCCAGTCGTTTGCAAGCGTTTATGAATCAGCCAGGGGGAAATGCAAGCAATACGCTCCTCAAGCCCTCAAATTCTCGACAGGCCAAACGGCTCTTTGTTTACAATTTATCTCCATCTCTTTCTGAAGATTCTATTGCACAATTTTTTAACCTACAGTTGAATGGTCTAAACGTTGTCAGCGGTGTTGATCCATGTGTGTCGGCACAGCTGTCAACTGATGGGACATTCGCCCTTCTGGAGTTCAAAACCGCGGCCGATGCCACCGTTGCATTGGCTTTCGACGGTGTCTCAATGGAACCCGATGATGCCAATGGCCACACAAACGGATCGAGCCAAGGTCTTTCTATTCGGAGGCCGAAAGATTATATCGTACCATCCGAAACGGACGATTCGAACCGTCAAGAGGGCGTCGTTTCAAATGAAGTCCCCGACTCTCCCAATAAGATATGCGTTACGAACATTCCTCCATTCATTCAAGAAGAACAGGTAACAATGCTTCTGGTATCATTCGGCGAGCTGAAGTCCTTTGTACTGGTCAAGGACAGCGGAACCGATGAATCTAGGGTATGTTGAAAATTTCTCCATAGTTCCCGTGAAGAAGACTTAACACCGTGTTTTAGGGCATTGCCTTCTGCGAATACGTCGACCCCTCATCCACCAACATTGCAGTCGAGGGTTTGAACGGCATGGAACTCGGTGATAAACGGCTGAAGGTAACCCGAGCTAGCATTGGGGCTACCCAGGCCGCTGGTCTTGATATGGGTGTAAATGCTATGTCAATGTTTGCCAAAACGACATCTCAAGATCTTGAAACTGGTCGAGTTTTGCAGTTGCTCAATATGGTTACGGCTGAGGAACTGATGGACAACGATGACTACGAAGGTATGATATGATATCTTTCTCTTTTACAGGGACTCGCCAATTCTAACACTTTCTAGAAATCTGCGACGACGTTCGCGACGAATGTTCAAAATATGGACAAATCCTTGAGATGAAGGTTCCACGGCCTACTGGTGGCAGTCGGCAGTCAGCCGGTGTTGGAAAAATCTACGTAAAATTCGACAATTACGAGTCTGCCTATAAAGCAATGAAGGCGTTGGCGGGACGTAAGTTCCAGGACCGGACAGTCGTGACTACATTTTTTTCAGAGGTGAGCTTTTTTATACATTCTGCCGATCACAAATCTTGTCGCTCACAACTCCACGTAGGAAAATTTCGATGTCGGTGCTTGGTGATTACACCGCCCCCTGAGAGGAGTTAAGTTTTCCAAATCTATCGGTGGTGCTACCCATTCTATTCGAAGTTTGACGATATTATCGGGGTTCCGTTTTCAGCTTAAGGTATAGGCTCTTGTTCATGTTTGCGGGAAAATGGCTAAATGAACGCTTGTATTGCAACAGTGTAGTATAATGAAAATCACAGTTAAAACTTCCCAGTATAGTGTCGTTCATAGTATGCGAAGCTCAGGCGGTAGGAAAGCTTTGATCGTCTCGCAACTAGCACTTTGCAAGATCACACCGCGGTTTAGATGGATGTTCGCCGGGCCTTGGAACAGATAGCGGATCTCAGTAAACATCTGGCCGTAATCCAGACGTTCAAAGTGAACCGGAGGGTCAAGGTATTCCCACCGTGCTCGTGAGATAACTAACAATATCCAAACTCGGGAGCAAGGAATGTGCCGTCGTATACGGAGTAGTTGGGTTAGCTAGGTGGGCGCATTCACACAGTTCTCACTGCACCGTGGCGGACGGATTGGGTAAACTCGCCAAAAAAAGTTCAAGGTTTCTATTTACAATGTCAACCATCCGTCTCGAAAACATTATCTACCTGCGCAGACGAAGGGGCAATGTAGCAAAGATCCAATCGAAAAGGCTTTGCAGATCTCCCCAAAATCAACTGCGGCTCAGTTGAGTCCCTTCGCGATTCGAGAAACCCGGAACGTGAAGATTTGGCTGTTTAAAAAAATATATTTCTGCAAGGTTTTTTTCCGCACGGATGGTATAGTTATATAGTGTCCCTCGTGCCATGATTGCAGATGAGAAACTGTTTGTGATTGGCTTTTTAATCGACATTGACATATGTACTCCGTAGCAATCTGCGTTATTTCCCACACATCAGGTGTGAAGCCGAGTGAACCAGGAGTCTCTGGGGTTTAGAATGGCATCGGCGGATATTCAGCCTTTTCGGTCAGCGAGTAGTCGAATGCGAGCTAGCTTCAACGCCAAGTGATCGATGAGGATGTGTGAAAGTATGCTATTGCATGTGTGAAGACACTCTCTTCAAAAAAAAAAAAATAAAAATAAAATAAAAAATTAATTCCAACTTGCAACAAGAATTGTAAACTCGAATGCCATGGTTGGCGATGACGGAGCATTCACATGATATTTTATGCTCGTTTTAGATCGACGATTTGTTCGACGCCGAGGCTTTCGGCTTCAACCTTCCTAGAGTTGGCGGTGAACCTCTCGAGCACGAAGGATCCGATGTTCATGTTGCGCATGCTTGAAAAGCCCAATTTTGTCTTTCCACAATGAGCTGTCGAGTCCAGAAACATGGCCTAGCTGAAGGTTATGCAACCGAATTCATCGTGCCAGCCGAAGGGATCCGTCCAACCCCAGCCATGATCTTGCGTCACATTCCCCATCCAAGGGACGGGAACCCGATTGCCCAGGATGCGAGCTCGAGAAATGGGAACACAACGTCCCACAGGCACCTGTAGGTCGAGCTAGGCTTCCCGCTTCCCCCACGGGGAAATATCCACGGCCTCATTCCAGACATCTTCTGGAGATGGAGTTCTACCGAACATCAACGCGAATCGCAACGTCCCGCTTGAAAAGAGCGGGTGCATTAGTGTCAATAGCTTCTTCATAACTGCGTCGGTGGCTCAATGGCCGAGATTCAAAGGCGTTGGTTCTTCGCCAAGGGAGGAACAAACCGGGTGCTGCTCTGAATTGTCGCTCTGCATCTGCGCTCAGGCTGTGACGAGCTCGACTTTCAATGCTTCAGCTGCCCAGCCGGAGACTGGGAGACTCCACAGGTTCACATGTTTTTGATATGAATTAACGGCTCTTCTGATGACCAGCAGCTGAAGGAAAATTGTCCCTAATGCCGGGAAGGCCTTGCGGCATCTAGCAGGGTGTAGTCAGCGCTCCGAAACCCTATTCATATTCACCACTACTCCGTAGTTAGTTACTCATGTATATGTACTTAACAAGTTCCTCTTCCATGTGCATATGGGCGGGGAAGGCTAACCACAGGGTCCTCTGTACTCCGTGCTCCAGATCCGACTCAACGAAACGGTCGTGACACAGAAAATTGCAACTTGCAAGCCGTCCACTACTTACCAGACCCACCACTAATGGCCGTTGGCTACGACTGGCAACCGCAGGATTAGCATATCCTCTCCATATGCGTACGCGGTACGGAGTACAAATGTTGGCTACTCCACAAACTACCAGACTCAGATCCGTGATCCGGAAACCCCCCAAAAAAAACAGCCCTCATTGCATCCCGGGCCAGCACGCCCTTTTTTTGCACCGCTCATGGTCCCAACCTTTGAAGGTTCGCCGTCGGTAGCCGAACCCGGCTTTACAACCCGAATTCAAAAACGGAAAATAACTAACTACGTTAGCCTTAACTTAGCGGTTTAGAACCATGGTAGGAGAAACGTGGTGGATCGAGATGAAACAAGGACAGTCTCCGCGTTAGTCGAGATGAAAACTTCATTGACTTTCTGCATGTTCAACCGAAAGTCTAAAACGGAGCAAAAATCAGATCGTTGCGCCCCGAGCCAAGAGAGTCACAAAACTCAATTCCACCTGCCCGCCATCTCGATCAACGCGGACTCCCAGGGAAACAAGTCTGACTGTCACGATCATGGGCCATCTCCCGCATAGCCTGCGATATGGCCAGTGTTTTCTATCGATTCATCATCCTTCGCCTCGGTTCACATGTGTGCCATGCTTTCATGAGCAGGATAGAAGTCACTATGTATTTATTATGATGTGAATCTATAACTAGATGTACACATTGTTCAAGTAAAATACGAGATCAGAACTAGCCTCTGCCTCAAGGTCCACGTCTCATCCACTGCGATCCCAATCATGCCGTTGGGGCCAGGTTCCCCGGTGCCTTGGAAGCATCCCCGCTTGCAACTCCGCCCAGGAATGCATATTTTGGAGGGAAAAAAAAAAAAAAAAAAAAAGGAAGGAAAGAAAGGAAGAAGAAATTATCCGTCAGGTAACAGTGTAGTATAGTGTTCGAAGGGAAGACAAAAGAAAAGGCTCGGCAATGTCTTCGAGAACTCAAAACGAAGGGGCAAAACGCCTATCCATTCCAGTATATCCCAGTTGAGGTATCCAATTCCGCCCACCCATCGCTAAGACGATGAATACAAGAAAAATTATATCAGCAGCCGGCACAGTATTCAAAACATTAATCTGTACAAGGAAACAATAAAGGTATTGGGTTCAGCGGTGTAGAAACGACCGACAAGAATATAAGTAAGTAGGAAGATAACTCAAGTGATTTGAGGCCGTCAACATAACGCCACATCCGTTTACCGCTCGGCGGGGTTGCATGAACATATAGCAATATAACATCCACAGTACATTCCCAAAGCGCATTCTATTATGCGAATCATTCGCAAGCGCCATTTCATTTGGGGAAGAAGGGCTGTGGGTTCCATAATAGGCTCGAATATCGCGGATTAAGAGAGGCCCATCCAGCGGGATAGGAAGCACAAGCCCTCAAGGTGAATTTTTGTTTTCGTACCAGTGCGCCCCGCCACCTTGGCTTGGAGCAAATGTCGACCGAGGGTCCCAATCCCGGGGAGAAAAGCCACGGGATGCGCTTGGTGGTCGAGGCGTGGAAAAGCTGAGTGGCGGGCTGTTATACTTGGCCTCTCGGGCGGGATTATCAGCAGTTGCGTCAAGCGTGTAGGTAGGTTCACCCATTGTGTAGATAGAATTATCGGAGTCTCGGGCCCGAGAGAGCAGTGGTTCTGGCGATTTTAAGGACTGTTGGCGATCTGCGCTGAGCATCTCGTATGCACGACTCTGGGTGCCCGTCACGCGAGCATCCATGGAGACGAATTCCTTGTTTGGACGTAACTTCTCTTTTATCCAATTGAACCAACCTGTAATCATACTAACGTGTCCCAGGAAAACGATAGTCCAAAATCCGCTTAGAGAAAGCAGGATCAAAACTGCCAACATAGCAGCTTCACTGGGTCCGAGGGTGGATGCCTCTGCAACGCATCGATTTCTGTCCCCACCGGCTATGACGAGACATTCGAGCCAGGGTCTATGTTTGATCGAATTTTCTGGTGTTCTTCTGGCAGAGTTATCAAGAGATAGAAAAATAATAGTGAAGAAAATGACGTTTGCCAGGATAGTAAGCACCACAGCAACGCCTCTCCATTGGAGTTGCAAGACTCTTCTGACGCGGCGGTAGGTTTGACGGGCTGAAAGAGTTCGTACACTCCCCGTATAGGAGGGCAAAGTGGAACTATTATCTGTCGTGGGATTGTTGTCCAGCATGGACTTGACGTAAACTTGTATGCAGTAGCCTAGAGTACCCAGATGGATTATCAGAGTAGCGGCAGCGAAGGCCATTAACGGGCCCCAGAAATCATAAAGCCCTTTGTCGTGGTTGATGTGACATATGCTTCCAAAGCGATAAGAGCTTCCGGTAACCGCTAATGCGACTGTAACACCTGCGATCGGGATACCCCATCCAAAGGCCATTGTGGAAATGAAAAATTTTTGGCCAGGTACAACATCCCAGCAAATCTGTAGATGGAGGGATAGGGTACGGCAAAAACCTTCTAGGGCGTTAGCAATCTTATACATAAACGCCCGTTTTCATCTTAACATACTCCATAAGATCACCGACCAGCCGCCGCCCAAAATCAGGGCACTGGTAAAGGCACACGTTATGTCTGATTTCATATCGTTGGGGGTAATCGCATTGTAGCACTGTTGCGGTTGGGCGCCGAGTGGAATTATAAAGGAGAGCTATGTCAAGGTTAGCGTCTGCCAACGAACGAATTCAAGGGCCGTACAAATCCATACCTCCATTAGCATAATTGCAACAATCAGACAGATGCTCAAATAATGGCGATGTGTATATTTAACAGGTAAGACAGCATAAGTGATCAACATAAAGCCGTTCACCACAAAAACAGCCAGTGCAAGCCAGTTGGCAACTGCTGTTTTGTCCATGAAATCTGCCCATCACTGTTAAGAGCGGAATAACATATGAGAATAAAGTAGGATGACGGGGGAAAATACCATCTTTGTATCTCCAATCCACCTGTGGACATGGCAAGCAGCAGGATATATTTCCTTGGATTGCGCAGGACCGACCATGAACAACTAGTAGGGTGCTTCAATATCAGTGGAACAAAGCTCATCAACAAATCATATGGACATAGTTCCGAACTCACATCCCCCTTCCGCTGGGTAAAGATCTTCTTGCAAAAAAGGAACTGGGCAAAGCCCATTTTTACTATAATCCAACGCCATGGTCTATCTCGCCGTCGGGACTTTGGGGTCTTTTGGTTTGTGTTCTTCCCTTTGTTTCCCCCCAAAAGTTGAACGTATATCACAACAATTGATTCATGGGCAGTAGAGCCGTTGTTGGAGCCCCTCGATGGAGTATTTCAGTGACCCCCTTGGATCTCTCGACGAAGATTTCAACGCTTTAAGTTCCAGCACGCACTCCGATCGCTGTGAAGATGACTGTCGCAGGGCGACATCTGCGCTTTGAAACCCAACAATCTGAAACTTATGCGCAGTGAGTGAGAGGATGTAAGAAAGGGGAAAATAGGAAAGAAATGGAAACAAGGAAAAGCTGGGGGAGGGCTCCAAGGAAAGAAAGATCAGAGCCAGTTTTCTAGCCAAGGGCTGGGGTGTCTGGGAGTAATATCACCAGCATTACTCTGTCCTCAGGGTATTTAAGGCCGACTAGGAGCAGGACCCACGGTTATTGAGAGGCGAGCATCAGTATGCGCAAGTGTCCGGGTGATAATACTACTTGTTAAGTTGATTAGTTGAGCTATTCAACCCCACTCGTCCGGCCAGAACCCACAGCAGAGGGGATTCCTTCCAGTAAATGTTTTCTCCGACGCCATGGGAGCCAGTGTGACCAGGTCTCCAAGAAGCTCGTCGACGAGGAGGGCAAAGGTCGAAGGTGGTGCTATGGAGAAATAGTGTGACTCTGGAGAGGACTGGGCAACCCTGCGATGTGGTAGGCCAGTCCCCAAAGTTCCACTACACAGCCGATTCCACCTATCACCGTGGGCAGGCCAGGATGTTCCACTTATTGGGCCGGGGTTTCGAGTCACCGGCCCATCCTTGAGCCCAGGAACAGAGTTATTAGTTAACAGCCAGATCCAAGGAAACGCAGTTATCACTTGGTTCCGTTACAAAGCCAATAGAAATACCGTTGAGAGCAGGTCGACCGCAGGCAGTCAGGGTTGTCCTTGGTACTTCTCTACCCAGTCACAACTGCCAACTCGCTGCCATTCAACATTGGTCGCTCCTGGGCCAAGTGATCTGACTTGTAATTCGTGTACTCCGTAGAGGGGTGGTGGCGGAGCGAGAGCGCGCAACTTCTATTTCGAAAGGTGGCGGCACGAGCAGAATTCGTAGCGCGACGAGGACTGTATTCGATTCCGATGAAATAGAATAAACTATGGATGTGAATTTGGGAGCGGGTAACTCCACAGTCGGATGCTACACTAAAGGGTCTGGTGGTCGTAGTCGACACCCACATGTTAAGAGTCTCAGACAGACGACGCGCCGAGGGAGCTGGGCCTGGGCAGAAATTACCTCAAGAGTGACGAGCGAAGCCATTAGTCTGAAAGCACAACACCGCACATCGGCAAATCCTCATTACCTTGAAGTGGAGCTTAAAATTGGGATGTGAGAGTCCAGACCTCTCTCGTGATTTCACCTCGACAGGTGCTGAGATTCATCATGATGGGCACACGGTTGCTGAGAACGGATCCGACTCCTAAGGAGGCATTTGGGCTCCTCTGTCGCATACTGGAAAAGAAAATTCCCGTGCTTTGCCTCCAGAATTCTCGTAATATGGTACAAACCCCTGGCAGGGTTGCATGTTCGTAGATCGTTTGAGTGGGTTGATGGGGAAGTGTTCGGAGGACCCCCGCCTCGCTGAGCCAAGGAGCGTAAAGCCCACGGCCCCGATGCGCGTTCTGGAGTCCGCGACGAACCAGTTGAGACGGAATGAAAGATTGCAATTCTGGTGGGCGGGGAGTGTCATTTTATCGCGAGACGTGAGAAAGACGCGGTCGTGCGCTAGCTATGGCTGCCAAAGGCCGAATTTCGAACTGTACAGAGAACAAACGCTGGAATCAACACATCCACTAAATTAACTCACTGACCGCCCGCCAACCCAAGGTAAGTGTCGCGAACGACATGGCACGAGGGGCAACGCTGGATCTCGACAAAGCCATTCGCCCCAGGTACGGAGTACCGACAGGAAAATCGCCCTTCGGATGCCGTGCAGGCTCCACAGGTAAAGAGCAATTATATACGGAGTAGACCGATCTTTGCTCCTCGCGTGGAGCGAGAAGCACCATTCGCCTCCTGGCTTAGACACCTCCAGGGATGTCTAAACCTTGCTACATACGGGGCGTACGGGGCGTGCTGCTCGCCGTGCTGGTTATGCCAAATGCAACGTTCAACCGCCGCCCCGGAAACGCAGAAACACACACGCGAGCTTTCTCGCCCCCCAAAACACATACGACAATTCTAATCCCCCCTCTAGACACGCTGATAGGGCCCCGAGCGCGTTAAAAGAGAAACCTAGAACACAAAACCCACGTCGCCTGCCGCATTAATAGTCGCCTTTTTTGTTCCATGTTTCTTCTCGAACGCGGGAGGACATGTATAATTTCTTGGTGCTAGTTATAGCCCACCGGTCCTTGTTATAAAGCCAACGGTCTCGAAAACAGGACCGGGAAGACCAGGTTCTTTTCTCAGCACGGTCTCAATCCTATGTGTACCCCTGCTCTTGGGACTGTCAGCCGCATTTCGCCAGGACATGAGGCAAAGCATTTCCCAAGCATCATAACTCGGCGCACTTCTTTCCAGCTAATGTGGATAGAAGGAACGAAACAATTATTTTTGATATGCCGGCATGGGCCAGCTTGCAGTCGGAAAATCATCACATGGCGTCTCGTCGCTGGCGACAAGAATCAAGGATGCTGTCTCATCAGTGCGTCAACATCCTTGACTTGTGTCATGTATTTGTTATCGAGTTTTGTGCCTTCTTGGTGCCCTTTTGAATCTGCAAGTGTCGCTCAACTGTCACAAACTTTGCTCTCTGCTTTAAACTATTTCGTTGTACGTCCCTGTGTTTTGTGAGAAACAGCATAGCAAGCACGGAGCAGCTGGCGTTGACACTGCATAAATGTACTCTGTATGTGATTTGTTTGCTTACTGCCGCAACTGCTGTACCACTCGCATGCATGGTATATGCAGGGCCTTTCATGATCTCCACATCAAACACTGATTTGGCGTATGGGGATGCCATGGTTGACTGCATTGTCCATTGGCGCTGAGCAATGCATTCAATAGTCCTTCATAACTATCCAACTATATCTGGGGAGTGGACGCATGGCAAAAGACTGATACAAGCATGCACCGGTCTCCCCGACAGCTGCTGAAATTTCCTTTCAGTTCAGTGTTGGTTAAAGGACTCACCGAGCCCGAAATGTAGTTGCATTACCTCTGGCTGGTTGGATTGATGCCATTAAGGTGATCCATTCCGCTGGACATGAGGACTTCTTTGGTCTTTTGCTAGCGCCAATAAAGAGGCCAGTAACAGTATCATTTGAGCTGGGGTCCTGCATGACAATCTGACCAGAAGGATACAGGATAACCCACAAGCACTGAGCTTTGGTGTTATTCCGGTTATCACCACGTTTTTCCGAAGCTCAAGGACGTAGTTACAGACCCTCGAGAACGTTTGAACCTCGGCGCCTCACCAACTTTTCAAAATGTCGGTTTTCAATTTACGCATGTTAAGCAAGAGACCTCGATGTACATGCAATATATGCAAGTTAAACAGGTGAAACTTTCTGCTTGCTGCTTTGTTCGTGTGGATGAATTCTTACAATGCCAACACTACACTTCAGGAATGGACTAGCAAAATCTCATCCAAACTAGCCATTGGGGTCTTACTTCAAAGCATCTGGATAATTTTGAATTTGGAATGCGGGATATCATGTCATCATTGGACTATGCAGCGGAAGCAAAAATTTCTTCATTGAAAATTCATATATCAGTAACGTTCACTATTCTTCTTTTCCAAAGAAGACTTATCGAGAATAAAGACAAACTTGAAGACAAATTTCAAGAAAAAGAAAAAGAACAAGACAAACAAAGAAACCTTTCACTGACTGCCTTTCTCTTAGGGCCCACTTATTCAGTCTACATCAGCATAGAGCCGCGGGGGAACTGGCGTGCAGCTCTGTGATCCGGAGCCATGGGCATGGCTTCCAAGTGAATCGGAAGCATATCCAAGGATGCCGTGCTAACATGTATATAAAAGCGGCCGAAGAAATTTGCTTTCGAAAAAGGAAATGTTATGCTTTTCATACTCGGATTAGGCGAATTAGCGAAGCGCTACAACGCGGTCATTCATTTGGGACTGGTGACCTTGGATATTCCCTTACTGGGTAAGAAGACTACGTAGGGCGATTGATTGCTACCATTATGGAAAAGAACTGCAGCTGATAAGTCCCACAGAGAGCGATCGGAACTATATACCTCGGACGGTTTGTTTCGATGCAACATTGACGGAGATATATGTACCATTATCTCCTATACCGGAGCACAAGCAGCTAAAGCGATACTCAGAGAAAATGTCCTTTGCAACGTCGACATGGGAAGGCATATGTGCCCGTTACCCCCCTGGATGGATCGAAGGAGTTGGGTCAGCGGCAGTCCAGTTCTTTGGCTTCATCTTGCCCGGCTTGGGATTCCTGGCGTTTGATATACTAAAGCCAGCTTCTTTTGCCAGTCGAAAGATTCAGCAACCATGCAAACAACCTTCCAAACAACAGATGCTCTCATGTCTAGGCCTCGTGTTTGGAAACCAGTTATTCCTGATCGCGTCTCATTTCTTCCTGCTGCGGATATCAAATTACGAACTCACACCCTTTCGGATGGATTCTCAACTTCCAAGCATCCTTGAAGTGGTGATCAACTGCGCCGTGGGTGCGATCCTGAGGGATGTGGTGTTTTATTATGTGCACCGTTTGATGCACACAAAGATATTGTATCGAAGGATACATCGAATCCACCACGAATTTCGAGCTCCGATTGCGCTAGCCGCCATATATTCCCATACAATAGACCATGTATTGGTGAATGCGATGCCAATATACATCTCAATGGCTGTTCAAAGGGTACATTTCCTGACTCTGATGCTGTTTGCGTCTGTAGCAGTGTTTGATGCTGCCGTGTCGCATAGCGGGTATTCCTTGTTCCGTCTGCCAAGCGTAGAAAACCACGATATTCATCATGAAAAAGGGAATATCAACTTTGGTATTTTGGGTGTGATGGACTGGCTTCATGGTACTCACGCGTAGGTAAGACCGCCCATGAAGTATTCACCCTAGTGACTTTATTTAGTGATTGCTAACGAACAGACTAGTATTCAGTACAACTTGCTGTGAAGTCCAACCCTTGATAGACTAGCAAGTTGGAACTTTTAAAAAAAGGGCAATGGATGGATGGTGATTCGCCCAACCTTTTCATTTATTTTTGGGAAACCTCCGTTCTTCTTCTCTCTCCCCCCCCCCCCCCCCCCCTCTTCTTTTTTTTTTTGTTGGTGGGGGGGGGGGGGAGAATCTGTAGAAATGGCAGTCATCAATTGTCAATAAGAGAGTCACACTCAATTGATATCGCCGCCGATCTACCACAAATATCAATAGTTACCCCCGTGTCAATTTGCGTTGAGATTGTTCCTCCCACCTTGGCGGCATTCTCCACCTTTATAATCTTCGAACATCCCCACTTCATTTGCCAGCATAAGGTTGGTGTTCAACAGTAATCTTGTACATCATTGTTCTAAATGCAAGTATGTCACTTTTTGCCGTACAGGCGCCACACAAAAATGAGGAAAAACATAATGTGGATTTGAGTCCATCACTTACTTATCTGTGTCATTAAGGAGTGGGAGGTTGTCTGAGAACCTGCATCCAGGCATACACTGAAACACCAGCCCACAGGGCACACAATGTCTGGTTTTCCAAGGCTGTGCTGGTGCTCCCATATTAGCCAAAATAAATGGTCTCTGGCCACTGCGGTTATAGTAGATCCTCTTTTTCACAGGTTGGAGGTCTTTCACATTGTGTCGGTCTGATTTCTCTTGAAGACGGGATCCGTGTTACCATCTCTGATGACTTAGGAAAAGCAACCAACACCTATTATCAACAAGTCGTTGTGAGACGCTTAATCTTGCTGCTTTCCAAAGAATCACCATTAAAGCTTGCAATAGCTGTTATAAAAATCGGATTTCAATATATCAATAGAGATTAGTCAGAGGAAATCTGCTCGGCTGAAATAATCAATGAACAAGAGTCACACACAAAAAGCAAAGACTCCATAATGCTAGTGAAACAATTTAACTCTAGTAACAAAAAAAAAAAAAGAAGAAGAAGAAGAAAAGAAAAATATGCAAACTACATCTGTGGCCTGTCCTCAATTTCCAAAACCTTTGCTTCGAGCTCAGAGGTGAGAAGAGTTTCAGGAGTTCCCATGATTGTTTGTCTTGTTTGCTTTTTTTACTAACTAACTTCACTAAAGTTCACGGCAAGCTTCTCCTGGCTCCCGCCTAACCGTTTCGGGACTACATAGCACAGAGTAGTGTTATCTAGCAACGTTCGGACTGTAACTTCTCTGCAGCGAGCTCCCCTGGCGCTCACCCACACAAGATCCGAAGAATCCTCAGGGGACGGAACAACCGAATCTTATGGAGAGCTCTTTAACATAGGCTGCTGCCATCCATTGAGCTGTATAAATAGTATTCCATATACCCATAACTAGCCATTTGTGTGGATTTGCTTAAAACTGTGTGCCAGGTTGAGATTTGAGCTAGCATTCTTTTCATGCTGACGAGGTCTGCGACATTCTGCGCTTAGAGCAACTCTCAAACGTGAAAGCACTTGTATTAGACATATTAAGAGGTCAAAATCTTCCAATTCCGACACTGATGACCGGATCCACTACAAAGGCGCCTTCAACTTGAGCAACCTTTCATCATCCCATATCAGCGAATACCAATTCCAGCCGTCGTAATCCCCCATACCTGGATGTCTGAACAATTCATCGAGATGGGTGCCGTCAACTGACCCGCCTCGGCCTCGATATCGGATATACTTGAGATTTGGTCGCTCGACATGAGGGAGCGAAGACACGGGAATTCCATACCCGCAGTGCTTAGTTGCAAGAGAACCAGGGCCCCAAGGCTCGATCATGAATATCATTAGTTCGAAGATCGACCATGCTGCGCTGTCGATATTCCTCTCAACCATATCCCTGCGCCTTTTATGTGGCTCATGGAGAACCCTATAAAGAAAATTGGGGCCCATATCAGCCATGTGTTCGAGATGCAGCTGACATTCATAAACTGTTCACAGATTAATTAGCCCAGGTTAGTTCGCGTGCAAGACCAAAGTTCCAGTTTGGTTTGCAAATATGCTCACCATGCGGGCCTGGGATGTGTCTTGATACATCATTTCCAATCTCTGCGAAAATCCCAGCATATTTTCTGCGCAGATACGCCCGAACACAGAATATCTCCTCAACTTCCCAAGGAGGCATCGTGCCAAAGAAAATATCCCACACTTCTGCCCAGTCATAAGTATGACCGATCCAACTTGCCTGCTGCTTCCCTTCTGGCTTAAGCTCCACCTCCCTGTCCATTACACCAAAAATATTACAAAAGGTTTCAAGGCGACAGAGAGCCCGAAGAATACGTGCCGCCTCAACATCGGACAAACGCACTGGTAACATTTCACTTCGCCATTTTACTGCATCCATCCATGGTGGACATGGTGCTGTCAAACAGAAGTCTTGTAAGAAGAAGACGAACTCCTCGTGAAGATCTAGTAACTTAACACATTCTTCAGCGGTTATTGAGACAGTAGCTCGGAGCGTTCTTGAGGAGCAGCCGCTTCGAAAATGGCGACAGCGGTTCAAGATAGTCGCAATTCCTGGTTTGTGTGACGCCTCTGAAGCGTGCATTCCCTTTGATTGCACCGCAGCAATTGCCTGTGCGAGCCCCATATGACCATACTGATGGTAAATTATATTTTCAAGGATAGCCTCGCGAGCGCTGTGAAAGGTTTCTTGGTATATCATAGAACCATGAATAAGGCTCCTCAGGGTACTCAAATCGGCGATGTTTCTCAGAATGACGATCCGCAACTCAGTCGGAAGTCCTTCCAGCGTTGGGATGGCCTAGAGTGTAATTAGCGATGTTGGTTAAGTGTCTTAGATAATGAACCACTTACCATCGTTCAAGGTAAAGAGCTAATTAGTGATAAACAATGTAATATGTGAATACCTCCATATGCCGGCCTTTGGCTGGTTGTGACAAGTCCGCGAAGCAGCGAGGCCCGTAGATATGATAACTAACTGTGCAATGGAAGTATGGCAGTTTCATCCCGTACTTAGGAGTAGGTCTTTACTGGGAGCGCAAGTTTACAGGCCATTCCAAGCCTGATTGACAAATAATCATGGCGGTTCAAGGCCTCAGAATGGCAGAGGAAGAGAGAAACTTGGTGGATACTAAGACCTGCTCGGGTCCAAGATCTTTGTATCATCGGGGCCTAGCTCAGCCCCAGCTGGATTTCGGGTCTTTTGATCGGACTATCCCCAAGCTGCGAGATAAACGATAAACCCCGGGCCGTTATTAAGATGCGAGGCGGCTTTTACACTGGTCAGCCACAGTTACGCCCTAGTCTCTTGCTCAGTACTTCCTTCTCAAGTTAGATATGTTTTGTCTCACTTTAGTGAGGCTTAATACTACTGTATTTGCAACTATCAAGTATGATGACGAAGAATCACGACTTGTAATCTCACGGAACCGTGGCCTCTAAGAAACGTGAATAAATAATCCGCCGAGCGAAACCCCCTTGAATCTTCTTCATTTGGCTCTGACATATAGGGCTAAAGTGAATCCGCTATTTTGGAAGGGGTGGGTAGCCTCTCTTAATACAGGATAAGTTACCCCATGATGAACGAATTCGAATATTTTGCCTTATTAGGGCTCTGCGGGTTATATGAATGTGGTAGGCTATGGGAGATTCTGGAACTGAGAAATATTTTTGTTATTCTGTGATATGGTTTACATAGCGATAGGGGTAGCCTTGTACCGGCCATTTGGACCCGTGCTCAGCCAATATTGGGGTTATCGGGATTTCGCTTGGTAGAATTGCGACTCTTAATTCTGACGCGGAATCCCGATGGCATCGTAAACCATTTTGTCTCTAATGACCACTCTCTTTGAGGGTCAACAAGTTCCAACTAGGGCCACATATCAGCTCAACGCATTCATCAAGGGTGGCCGCAGCGGCTTTTCTCTTGAAACTTGCGGAATAAATTCATCAGCGTAGGGGAAGTATCCATACCTGGTACTTTTGTAGTAATGACGGAACAAGCTTGTACACCTCAAAGTAAGAGAGGTTCTTCCCGAGGCATACACGGTGGCCCGCACCAAACTGTGAAATGGAATGAGAAAGTTAGGTAAATGCCTTCCACCAAGTAATTCCAAGGAACGCTCACGGTTAGAAGTGAATGATACATAGCTTTCTTTTCCATCTCGCTACACATCCAGCGTTCCGGTTTCCAAATTTCTGCGCCATCCCCATAGAGCGAGATTTCTCGATGCACAGCCCATGGATTCATGGAAACCCGAGTGCCGGGGGGAATATGGTACCCGTCTACCTGGAGCCCAGACTCAGGTACAATACGTTCCAAAGGGAAGCCAATCGGGGGATGCAATCTCGAGGCTTCCTTGACGCATGCATCTAGGTATGGTAGGGTCTGTGATTCCTTCCACGTCACAAACTCTGATATGCGACCTTCATGGGCGGCCTTATCGATCTCTCTCTGGAGAACATCCAGTGTGGATGGGTTCTTGAGCAAATAATACAAGATAACACTGGCCATAATGGCTGTCGTGTCACCCCCAGCCTGAATATTGGAATTGGTCCACGTTGGGAGGGCCCTGAAGCATCGATTTCATGATTAACCACAAATCTTGCTCCGAGTTAATGCAACCATGGAGGAACGCACAATTTTGGAAGACCAGGATTTTTATGGGCCTCTTCGATAAAACAAGATAGGAAATCTCTCTGGTTGATGGAGGAACGCTCCTTTTCTGTCATATCCAAGCGCTCTTTGATTCTAGCGGCACCAAAGTCAGCGAGTGGGTTCCGTTTGGAGACAGTTGGTAGCAAAGGATTGTCTTTCCAGAAATAATCCAGCCAAGGCATCTGCGTGTTCTGTTGTTCTGGATATTAGCAAATCACAAGCATCCACAGGGAGTATCCTATCCGAGAGTCACGGGGCACACTTACAGGTGCCGCCGCCTGAAAATACTGCCAATTGTTTTCCATAACATTTTCTATATCACCACCTTTCTCGAGAAACCCGAGCCGTCGCGAAAATGTTACCTCACCCATGACGTCAAAGGTGAAGAGTTGCAGCCACTGGCCAAGGTCGAAATCCTTGTTTTTATCAGTGAAGAGCTCGTCGAGGCGAGAAAAGAAGCAGCGCATTGTCGAGAAGACCAGCGGCTCAAAGCTGATCAAGTTTGCAATCGAATATAAATTGGCGATTGGTTTGCGCATCTGTCGATGGAGATCCTCATCACGAGTTGCGAAAACATCCGGAATCTTCCCCCCTTTGATGCGGGGGATGATGGAATCATAGAATTCAGACTATACATGGTGGATATGTAATTAGGCAGAAGGCAGACTTTTTCGAGGAGGATATACATACCTTGAGGAACTTGGCTTTGAATCCATAGATCTTTTCGATAGCTTTTGGCTGTGAAATCAAGACGGCTCTCGGGCCAACACGAACAACTGTCCCATACTTGCGATGCAGACGGGTGTGTTTCTCGTGTAGGTCGCCGCGCCCTACCCATGCACGACGGACGACATTGGTAAAAGCAGCAATGGGGGGCCCTGGAATGTGTCGCAGTTTAAAATACGACACCATGGAATGGAAAACGATAAATATCACGGCAGCGATAGCGAAACTCCCACTCCATTTTGCTGCTCGGCCAGCAAACTCGCTGAAGAGGGAATGATCCATATGAGATAACGATATGTGGAGGAAAAAAGCTGATTGTGTTGCAGAGTGGTTTAGCAGCGCCCACAGTACTGTTGAAATTTACGCAAGGGAGATATCTCCAGCTCTCGGACTCCTCACATTGATCTGAGTGCTGTGTACATTGACGCTCGGGTCCGACAGCCTGCCTACCTAGCGAACTCGGGTCCGCACGTATAGGCTCCCACAATCCGTCTTAGTAGAGTATTAGCATTTCCATGCAATGTATGAAGAAGAGGCAAAGCCATCCTTTTTTGTTCTCCTTGAGAGCACACTCTTTCTATGTCATCATCTCCAAAATGGTTGTATTCAACATGTCATACACGGCGCCCATCAACCAAAAGGGCCGCCGATCACTGACAGCCTCCCAGATCTGGGAATGCATCGAACGCAAGGTGCGAAACGCTGAAGAGTTTGTCTCTGCCATCATTAATACCGAGATTCTATCTGAGTCCGCCACGGAGGTGACCAGGAGAGTGACGTTTGCACCACATGGTCATCCGGCTGGTGCAGCAGAGGCAGTGGAAACGTGCCGCATGTACAAGCCTTGCCGCGTGGATTTCGTCGCCGCGGATGGAAGTACCATCACCAATGCTGTTAGTGTTGGACCGGGCGGTGATGAAGAATTTTACTACACGTATATCTTCGAGTGGCACCACCCGGAGATTGCCGAAGGTACGCCCGAGGCTTCTGCGCAAAGGATAGCGGATTGGAAGGTATGCAGCCGTCGCTTGACAGAGCATTTTGCGTCGAGTCACCCCAAACTAATTTCGCATGTCTATGGGTCTTCTCAGACGACCAAGCTCGCAGTCGAGGCGACCATTGACACCATGCACCGCTTGGTCGCAGAAGGGGAAGTTGCTTGAGCAGGTGAATGTGTTGCAACACAAAGTCGCAAATTCAAACAAGGGCAGGTGTATTGTTTAGAGAGCCACCATCAGGCATCGTGAGGAGATACTCTATCCAGAATAGTTAAAGCTGGCTAAAGCGAATGGTGTGATGGCAGTGTTGATTAGGTCAAGAGGGTGGGATAACCAACATAGTTAGTGTGGGCCATGATGATGTTAGGCTTGACGGAAACAAACCGCCTGCGACACTGTGAGATCCTGCCCACATGTCAAACTGACGAGGCAAAAGAATGTAAATGTTAGAGAACACACTCTCTCTTAGAGGAATTGGATGATGAACACAAACATCGCTGACTCCATATACACTAATCTCAAAAATAGCGACTCCATCAACTAAATAACTAGTTGGTTACTGAGTTAAGTCAGTCTTCTTGTTCTATTTTAAGTAACTTCGTACGGAGTACTCCGTACAGAGTACAGAGTAGCTAAACCGCTAACCAGAGGCTGTAAGTAGTTGTTTTATCCAGTTATCTCACTAGGAGCTGTTTAAACTCGTCAACTAGTTAACTAGCGCTGAGCAAATCGAGCAAATAATCCTGAATTTAACCATGCTCTCCGACTCAAGCTCATTGGGCAAAATATCAACTAGTTAATCACATCTTTTTTCAAAGACAAACCTCGGTGATACCCACCATGCTTCTGACTGGCCAGAATTTCGTCAGCCTGAGACCTGCCTTGTCAACCAGATCTTTGAACTGAGTGGGAGTACGTTCGATGCCATTGATAGTGGACATCAGGCCCAAGTCCCTGTTATGGCAGTACCGGACGTGGTACCCGTAGTTGGCGAGGAGAGGATACGGTGCAGGCGGGATCTCAGTGCAACCAAACGTCGTGTTCATGACCGGATCGCAGATGAGTATCTTGGATTTAGGGCCCATCGATGCCTTGAGGCCCTTCAGAATACGGATACAATACTCGTCTGACCAATCGTGCCTGGGACAGTGTCAGAGAGCTGGCTAAACAATCAGATGGGCCGGGGAAAGCTGTGCTCCTCACAAGATGCCGCGCAGCCAGTACACATCAGCGTTCTTGACCGGGTTCTCTTGAAAGAAGTCGTGGGCCATGAACTTGACCCTTCCATTGCGGATTGCGTCTGGGGCCTCGCGAGGAAAGATCTCCGTCTCTCCCTGTTCGACATTCTCCAAGCGGTCTTGAACCACAAATCTGAGCTTCGGGTACACAGGCAAAAGTTGAAGAACGAAACCACCTGATTCAATTAGAAATAACCATGTTATAACATCAGCTGTCATGGACGGTATACGCACCAACGCCTCCTCCGACATCGACCACGAGACCATCGCCTAGGTCTCCCCAAGGGAAATCTATACAAAACTTGATTAGTCGAGGGCACTATTATGTGAAATCGAGGTAAGTCCTCCTCACCGAAAGCATGAGCGGCACCTGAGGCATTCCCACCGCCAGCCATAGCCAAGGCAAAATTACTCAGTTCGGGGCGGTAAACCAGCCCCTGATCGTCTGGAGTGATACCACAGTTTGAAATGTCAGGGACACTGGGGTATCCCGGCCCGTCACACTGAACTTGATGTATCGGCACCTTTTTTGCCATCCACTCCCACAGGGGGACCTCGATACCGAGTGCATCCTGGAGTGCTGTCTCGCACACGTCATATGAAGCGCCCTTACCCCCAAGGAGGTACTTCGGCAAATACTCAGAGGCACGGAAAACATGTAAGTTGCTTGAAATCAAAGCTTGTCAGCATCAATCTGGCATCTCCCTCACCAATTCAGCGGGATATGACCTACAATAACTGCACGTAAGCGCGAAGCCCATCATTCTGAACTAGAGCTTCCGAGATGCGGTTGTTGGCAAATTGATTCTCGCCAACTTCTTTGAAAATATGGGTTGCGCATAGAGTTCGCATAATACGAGCTGCATTCGATTCGTCAGCAAAAAAGCAGCTTATCATACTCGCCGTTTATATCTTCTTACAAAGTTTCCTGTTCTCGATACCAGTTATCACAGCCAGACGATCGATTCCCATTCCTTGATCCCCCACATCCGCCAGCAGGTCAGGAATTCGTCGCTCAGCCGCGATAAACAATGCCCGGCTTTCGAAAAACAAGCTCAGCACCTGTTGGATGCGTTGGCTGGGGTCGCACACAAGTTCGACCACGCTCCCCGAAATTGCCTCGATGGTCCTTTGAGCCTCCCATAATCGGGCACTTGGTAGGAGCCGCGCCGTATCCCCGCCGGCTGCCCTCGAGAAATCTTCTTTGGCCCATTCCTCCTTAATCGTCAACGCCGTGCTACGAAGGAGATCTGATAAGGCAAGGAGTTTATCCGCTTCACTGGAGGTACGAGGGCGGCGCTCCATGTTGCTTTGTCGACTGCTTATTATCAAAAACCAAGACACTTGCTAATGAGAGCAACTTTCAGCGTTTTCGGTTATAGGGCGGGAGATGAATGAATAAAGTCTCAGATCTTCAAAGAGCGTAAATCCCGTGTCCCAACAAAGGGATGAAATGTACTGTTCTCACTGGTAGGACCCGAGTTACCTGAATCTACCCCGACCATCAAGCAGCCTGAGTGCATATGGGTAGTCTGAACTCAGACTAACTTACACCGGCCAAAGTCGTTCCGGCTTGGGAAACTTCAAACATTTGCGAGTGGTGCAGCATTGTCAATTTCTGGGTCTATCTGGGCTAGAAAGCAGCTAATATTTGCGAGGCTAAGCGGTTGTTGGTCCAGTCGGCAAGCCTTCATATAGGGCATGGCTATGTGGTGAGGGGTGCTCGCACTATTTTACAGGCAGCAAGATTGATTTAATTCAGAATATTCGCAAAATATCCTAAGCGTCTCTGCATTACTGACTAGTCTAGGCCTATTTTCACTTCCCCTTTCGTTCACTCAGTTGAAATGGGACAGGCCAATAATCCAAAAGGAAGAGAAGCAGCATATGAAGAAACATGTTTTCAACGTAGCCGGGCTGATTTACCCCCAAAGCTGAGACTCCAACCCAGCAATCTGTCTTCCTCCAGATACTGGGATTGACTCGAGTATATTATCAAGCCTTGCCTTTTCCTCTGCAGACAATTCTATCACTTTGCAGTTCTCGTCAACCCGCTTGGCCTCTGTTGCCCCGGGAATTGGGATGATTGTACCACATTTTTCCGTGTTTGAGTGAGCGCGAATCCAAGCAAGAGCAACCTGCGCCGGCGTGATGCTTTTCTGCTTGGCAAATTCATTGACCTTGTCGACTAATTCGAGATTCTTGGGGAAATGCTACGTAGCCAGAAGGTTACTATTATCTATTCTTGGGAGCTGGAAGTTCATAATACTTACTTCTGGTTGAAAGCGGCCAAACATATGACGGATGTCACCTTTTGGGATATCTTCTAGCTTTCTGACCTGTCCTGTCAAGAATCCATAGCCGAGAGGCGCATAGGTTAAAATGGGGACACCCAGTTCCTTGCAAGCGGAGGCAACTCCATTAGTGAGGATGTCAGTACTCCACAGGGAGAATTCCACCTCAACAACACTCAGTGGGCAGATAGCATGAGCTTTTCTAATCGTCTGCGCACCCACTTCAGACAAACCCACAGCACCAACTTGACCCTCTTCCACAAGTTCTTTGAGAGCACTGATAGTTTCCTCCACAGGGACGTTTGGGTCCATTCGAGCGGGTCCAAAAATATCAATCTTTTTAGCACCACCCAGCATACGATTGCATTCCTCAGCACTAGCACGTACACCATCCCGGGTGCAAGCCTGGGTCAAAGTCTTGCCATCCATACACGCCCGAATGAAAAGGGTGACCTTTTCCGCGTCCTCGGGATATTTCGTGAAGTACCGGCGCAATAAGGATAGACCAGCTGTTGGCTCCTCTGGAGCCATACCGTAGATTGACGATGAGGACCAGATTGTAGCTCCATTTGCGATGGCAGCCTTCATTGCAGGAAAGGCACGTTCATCAGGAGTGACTTTTGGGCGCCAGGTCATTCCGAGCAGGCCGAAGCCGGTGACAGGTAGGGATTTGCGTGTTGCCATATTGAGAGATATTTTTAGTGTGCAAGAGAAAATTAACGTATTTGGCTCGGGATTTGGGGGAGTTTTGTCCAACCTTGCATTACCTTCGAGATTCATCGATATCAATATACCCTTTTTATGCCCTGAAATGTGCTGCAATGTTTCGGAGTTAGGGCCGGACATTGCAGTTAAGACGGCGTTAGCTCGACTCTGCATTACATGGTTTTGTGTAAAGGACCCGAGTTCTTAGAGCTGAACACCGCAGGCCAAGGATGGTCTTGGGTAGGAGTTAATCCATGACCGGCATGCATCTAGAGCCGAGTAACCAGTACAAGGGGATGGGATGCAAGAGTTAGATCCTTGGAGCACCTCCCACCTGACTTAGCACATCCCAGCCCCAGACCCGGGCGCTTGAGCATCTGTATGTATGTATGTTTGATGTAACAAGTAGTTACTACTCATAAAAGGGCGGCTGCACTGAGTGCCGCGCCCGGAACGGATAGGGGGACGTACGTAGTGGAATAGAGAGATGTGTAACTCGGTAACTAAGATTGTCGCCAGAAATATATTGTCTTAGCACGTCCTCTACTTTGTAGTTCACGAAACTATTTACATAGGCATTGAACCAGATACCGTCAAGATGGCTGCAAAACTGGATGACGTGGTTGCTCTCTCAGAGCGGATCGAAACCGTCCTTAGCAACCCACAGGCGGTCACTGACCTTCAGGATGACGGTCTCCGACGCAGATTGCGCGATGCGGGGCGGAAACTTAGCCTTGCCATGGAGGCACCTGGAGACACCATCCACAGGATAGCTTACGCAGTAAGATTGACCATTCTATCGTATCCTCGCCTTTGGACCCTCAAATAATGTTGCGCTTTAGCCAATGCAGCTTGCGCTTGCTCGTGTCGGGATTGATATTCGACTTTTCGATATCCTGTCGGAGGGCAATGGCTCTAGCTTCACCCATGAGGAGCTTGCAAAAAAAACAAAAGTCGATATAGTTCTGATGAGTAAGTGGTAAGATCATCTTACGGGTTCAAGAAGACGGCTCACGATAAATAGAGCGATTGTTAAGATATTATCAGTCGGTTGGAATGGTTTTGCAACTCGACGAAGATACGTATACCGCCACCAATGTCACTGAGGCTTTAGCATCTGATGGCGGGCGTTACGGTGTTTACATACAGTAAGCTCCGACAGGGTCACCTTTGAAAATGCCACCCTGACATGGCTTCGTAAGGTTTGACCTGCTGTCTCCAGCCATCATGGCATTCCCCAAATTCCTGCAGCAAAACGGCTACTGCAACCCGATCGACCCGAGCAAAACTGCGTTCCATCTGGGTATGCATACCAGCCAAACGTTCTTCCAGTGGCTCCAAAGTCATCCGCAAGACTCGGAAAATTTCGGTATATGGATGTCTGCTCAGCGTGAAAGTCGTCCCATCTTCCTTGACGTGATGGACTTTGAACGGGAGCTAGGCCAAGGAACGAACAGTTCAACGGTTTTATTTGTGGATATTGGAGGCTCTAAGGGCCATCAAAGCATCGCACTGCGACAGCGATACCCAGACCTTCCCGGCCGCATCATCGTGCAAGACCTTGAGCACGTTCTTGCAGAAGCCAGACAGAATCCACTTCGAGGATTTGAGAGTATCGAAGCGGAAGTTTACGATATGTTCTTACCGCAAACGATTAAAGGTATTGTTGTCCAACCTGTCTAGACAATGGGACAACGTCTGATTTGTGGGGTTAGGGGCTCGCGCATACTATCTCCGCCAGGTTCTGCATGACTGGCCGAATGACAAGTGCAAAGTCATTCTAGAGAATATCAAAGCTGGTATGTCTCAGGACTCGACTCTTCTCATCGACGAAATGGTCATTTCCGAGCGTAATGCGCCGTGGCGGGCGACTCAGGCGGATTTCACTATGGCAGTGGCTCTATCATCAATGCAGCGTACGGAAACTGAATGGCGAGCGCTTTTGGAAGCAGCGGGATTCAGGATCCGGAAAATCTTGAAATACAGAGAAGAACTCGAAGACTGTGTGATTGTCGCCGCCCCAAATTGAGCAGTGGTTCGCGAGGGCTTCGAGGGTTAAATTCCGATGCAGTAGTTGAATTTACCGAGCTGACAGAATATGAATAGATCAGAGCTTCCTATTTAATCTTGTGGCATCACTTACAACACTGTTGTCATAGATACCTTCTCTGAGATAAAAAAGATGATTGATTCTTCCCAAATAGTGACGTAGGTGACAGTGTGAACTATTAACTCACTAACTAGTTGAGTACTCCGTGCGCGGAGTGCGTGTTCGTTAACTACTTGACCGAGCTCGATACCAGCGGACCCCAGGGGACGATCATGTGATGCTGTAACGACCTACTTACAGCAACCGCCTACGGAGTACAGCCTCCCGCTAACTAACGAATATTCAACCTCATGAGAAGTGAAACATCTGTGGCTATCATCCTTTCTTCAAAATCAGATCAGATCCCTGGGCTCCAACAACAACTTGGAACTGAACCACATTATTCTATCTCAAATCTGACTAATGTACACACAAAAGAGAGAACCCACTCAGATACCCATCAGCAATCCATACAGTCCATATGAAGCAATCATTTCAACCTCAAAACATGATGAGAGGGGTTGGAAGTCTACTGTCACAAAGAACGGTTCTGACAATGGAACTTTCAGCTCCAGCCCGCAAGGTCTGCAGGGACAGCGTGATACCCATTGAAGAACCCATGTGGATCATACCTCCTCTTCAGCCCAGTGAGAAGTGCATGACGCCACTTTGCATATCCGTACAGGGCTGATAAAGGTTCATCACCATGTGCATAGTTTTGATACTGAACCATTTGCTCGTACCCAGACACATCAGGGGAAGATATTGTATCGCGCCATCCGCGAGCCCAGTCGTCAGCAGCGTCAGCTATCGTGTTGTCGGTGTAAGCCATTTCAATTTCCACCAGGTTGTTGAATGTTTCACGGTGCGGAAACGCGGAGAAACTAGCAGGACGGCGTTCGATTCCGTCCAGGCCAAAAGCTTCCAATAGGATCGTACTGTTGACGAGAGCTCTGTTTGTGTCTACAAATGAGCTAAACGAATCGAAAAAGCGGCGGAAAGTGGGCGCATCCAGTGTTTTAACGACAGAGCCATACATGCTGTGGCTCTGGCCCGTCTCACACTTGATCGCGACGGCGCCGCCAGCGGCGGCGTAGCCCAATTGTGCCCACGGAATGACCGTCTCATTACGGGAAATACTGAATGGCGCGAACATTCTCGTGTATTTTTCTCCGTCTTCTTTGGCGCCAGCGTATACTAAATTCATCGCCACCAAAGGCTTCAAATGACGAGGAAGGGTGTCAGTGGTGCGTCTCGTGGTCAAAGGGTGAACTAACTTACCTTGAATGATTCAGGATCGACTGCGATAATGATTACCAAAGACAAAGCAGGGTCAACCGGGAACAAGCCGTTGATAATGTCAATGATAGACTCCAGAGACTCGCCATCGAACTGCATGTCTGCCATGTAGTGGAGACCGCCGTTCGATTGGGGAAATGTCTCTAAAGTCGTCTCGATCACTATACCGAAGTTCTGACCGCCACCGCGTACACCCCAAAAGAGGCCCTGGTGAGAATTCTCAGAAGCTTCTACGACAGTGCCGTCCCACAGCACCATGCGAACTTTACGAACTGCATCACTCGTCAGACCATGCTTGCCTTGAAGCCGTCCAATACCGCCACCGAGCATGGCGCCGGTAGCCCCTACGCAGGGACATGATCCGATGGCTAGATGAAGGGTCAGTTCTTAACAACTTTCATTTGTTGGTAGTTGACCGAAACTTACTGAGTTCTCTACCGGCAGCTCCAACGGCGTCTGCTACATCCTGGAAGGTTGCTCCACTCCCCACAGTTACCGTGTTGTCGGGATTCATTTTGGCGTACTTGAAACCTTTCATGTTTATCATGATCGTGTCTTTGACACTAGCAAGAGTTGCAGAGTATCCATGGCCCCCCGATTTGGCGAGCCATGTCATATTTTTCCTTGAGAAAAAATTAAGCTGTCGCCGATACTGTCAGCCCACCTGTTTATCTAAATTGGCTTACCTGGACTCAACTTACACCAACAGACAATTCTTTCTCGGACTTGGGAACAAAGGCCCAATCGAAAGTGGGGGCATGGTAGTTAGACCACCGTGTGGTTGTGCTGATAAACTCCGGCCATGAAGGGCTATGAATGGATTCAACAATTTCTGGAGGCCATCGTTTTTCGAGGGGTGCAACAGCACCGGAAACTATTAAAGGGGCTGACGAAAACGCCAAAATATATTGCACAAATTTGAGGGCAACCATGATTTCGGGAACGAACGGTGTTTGGTGTGAAAGAATGATTGATTGAATATGCTGAACATTCCTCTAGAGTCATGGGGACCAGCGTCAACTTATTTATGGTCAATAGAGACAGTGTTTTCAGCGCTGTCATGGTGATCACCAGCAGGTCCATTACCCCTATTCTCTAACCCAATCTCCAACTGTTTAACGATGAACTCGAGAGTGTTAAGTGTTAGATGGCTGCCTTCAATACATCAAATCATCCATCTCGCGGATTACTGCGTGTCCATTCAACTAACAAGTGCAAGGGTCTTTCGCAGCCACACAGGACCTGAGTGGCGGCGAAAGACCCCGAGTATTTTCCGAGAATAGCAATACTTCTAATTTATTAAGATGGATAACAAAACTCTCATAGCCCTAGAGCGTTGGGAGCCTTGCTTACATTGTGGCTGTTCCTTAGGACTTTCAAAGCCTCGTGGATGACGTGCAAATGGCTATCACAGCGTAAGTTAGCTGTTCAAATCTGATATGGCTTATTTGATACCCTGATCCTGAGCCAAACTATCTTTGAACAGACGGACGGTTCGGCTGGGGTAGAATTCGGCAGATGACACAATTTAGGGGAGATATTATGACAAATTATTCTCAAATATGCTATCGTTTGAAGGAAAAATCATCAGTCACTAACAACTGACTCGCTAATGATGGTATTATTAATAAAATGCCAGGGGATGCAACTCAAGTACCCACGGACTAGGGACCATGTATGATAATTCCTAAGTTTGTCCTCAAGCTGAGCACCCACGTACTCGGTATGGCTGTTATAAATACATTTAAACGTGTCATAGAGCTAGCTTCAACTTCAGAAGGTCTTTCTCCACGATCTCATCTCGCCGACAGATGAATTCAGACATGTCCCAGTTGCAGCTGATGTACCTACCAGCTAGCCACTCTCTCCTCTCACTGGTCAGCCATGTGATAGTGTCCGCGGCTAGCTCTGGCTTGTCAATGCAGACAGCTAGATGCACATGAACCATTAGAGGGGTTACTAATATACTTTTGACGTCCGAAGACTTACCTTTGACGATTGAGCTCGGCATCCGGATAGCTAAATTTGTGGGAACGGAGCCTGGGTGAACACAGTAGCTAAGCAGGCCCTGATATGGGACAGTAACGGTCAGTATGCCCCGTTAAATTTTGACCATGGAGATCTTACCTGGTCCTCGTAGTCAACCATCAGGTATTCAGTAAGCCTCATCACCGCCAACTTAGAGGGTTGATACGCGCTGGCTCCAGGGGAAAGAGCCAATGCGCCAACAGATGCCACGTTGACGATGGTTTTATCGCCACCCTGAAGCATGAGTGGCAGAATGGCCTTGATAACCCAATATACGCCTCGAACATTGACCTCCCATGTCCGCCACCATTCCGTTTCATCCCCGGCTCCCATTGGTACAAAAGGTGCAAGGAAGCCTGCGTTGTTTATTAGCACATCAAGCCGCCCCCATGAGTTCCTGATGGCTGTCACTGCGGCATCGATACTGCCACGTTCGCAAACATCTATCCGAAGAGGGAGCATGTCGGGCGGTTCCGAGACGCCCGCACTTTTTGCCTCTTCACTAACCATCGCACACACAGCAGACGCATCGGCGATGTTCCGCGCACCAATTGCAATACATGAGGCGCCAGCTTTACCATAGGCGATTGCTATTGCTTGACCGATCCCTTTGGTGGCACCAGTGATGAGCACAGCCTTACCGCGGCATCCCGGTTTGTTCGCTACCGGATCTATCGCAGAATAGGTGTCACGTCGTATTGTCGGCGTGAAATTCAGTCCAAGGTTGGGAGTTGGGGTAGAGGATGACATAGTAGCGTTGAGTGATAAGGTTCGATCAACTTTGATTCCCGCGCGGTGTGGTGTCGGCAATTCGGCACGCCAATAGTTGTCCCTGCGCTACAGGTAAATAACAGGAGGGCATAGGTTATATTTAACAATCCGTAGTGTTCGCGTATGCTACATGCAACGCAAAAAGCCGCGAAAATTATCAAGCTTGTTGCTCCGCATAGAGACAACACCCTCCAAGGCCTTAATAACTCGTCTCTGGCCCCAGGGGTTGTGACTATGAAATCGAGGGCGACGCCGCCGCCGCGGAGGTAGGCCTTTACGGACATAATAAAAAGCAATATGGAATGTCCGACTAGTAGACTCGGGTCCCGCCGGGGTACAGCCGCCTTGCATAGTGACTTACGAAGGCTGTTAAGGCGTGCACGGATCAAAACTTAAGAGCTTGTTTCAAACTCTTCAAGTGCAGAGTAAGGCAGGCTTGTAACTCTCGATGCACTAACCCCAACAGAACCATCAGATATTAGGTTATTCTGACAGCTTCTTTTCTGCGGAAGCGGGAGTACACGCGGAATTGTTGGTCAAAACCATGTAAGAGCAACATTGGTGAGGTTCAAAACAATTCACAGCAAATTGGAATACTCCGTACGGAGTACTCCGTACACAGCCAGGAGTTACGTGTCAAAACAAGGATCCGGCATAGCGTAGCCCGTCCAATACCAACAGCCCTTCCAGGCCGGAGCCTAGGCAGCAGCTCATATACGCGAGGTCGTGGAGTGTTTGCTTTTCTGGCCGACTAGAGTAGTCCTGGAGGCGCCACCTTTATGCGGAAATGGATCATTTGATTCTTTCACACACTGAGGCCCAGATTTGGCTTTTCTTTTCTTTTCTTCTTTTTTCTTTTTTTTTTTTTTTTTTTTGTTGTTGTTTTGGTAGAAAAGAGGCGGGTTGTGTGTAGTTGTGTATATAGGCCCCGCTTGTTTAGGCGAAATTGTACGTCGGCAACCTTTGCAGCCAGTCTATCTCCAGTGCGCCGGCTACAGCGTAAATACCAGCTCATTGTGTATCACCTTTGGCCGGAAATGTCAACGTTGGTGCAAAGGGTGTAGAGCAGGGCATCGTTTCGAAGTTATCCGGTTTTGGAGGCTGAAAGACAGAGGTGATAGCTAGAGCGTCCACGGAACCTGCTTTAGCTGACCTTGCATCCATTCCTGAGACGACTTGACTGGCTATCTCAAAAATCAACCCTACAACAAGGCCTTGGTTAATAAAGCTAACTACGGAGCTCCGTACTCCGTAGTTACACGGCGAATGACAACCGGCTGAGTAAGCTGCATAAGGACGGACTCCGGTATTTCGGAGTTACCGGGATAAAGCCAGAAGAAGACAATGGAGTCTAAAAGAGGAACCCGGTACAAAGCCACAATTCCTTACACAAACCCTCCCCACAGCTACAGCTGCCCACAGCTACAGCTCCCCCACAAGCCTTTTGAACCCCCAAGTGCTGTCTATCAACCCTCAACCTGGCGACTTCTGCTTCACCAGGTTCGGGGACGCCGGAAATGCCAAAAACTTGCTGGGGGGTAGTGGGAGGGTTGGACTTTCCGGTGGGGCTTAGTCAAGGCGGTTAGAATCATTAGAACCTGCTCAATGCACGGTGGAATGCAATCTCGCTGCTCTGCCCTAGGCACAACCATTGCTATGAGGTAGTTATAAGGGAGACGGGGCAAGATCCACGACGACGGTACCCAGAACCACAGAATGCTGGATATCGAGAAGAAAAGAGAGGAATAAGGATTCCTCGGCCGGTACGTCTGCCAGCTTACAAATTGGATATCAGGGGCGATTTCGCTGCTCAAGGACCTGGGAGTCAGCTATGTATGTCTACGGCAGCCTGAACGAGTCTAGCGCGTGCGCGTTCTTCAGGCGCCCTATTATCCAACATATACTTCGGAAAACCACTGGTTGTTGCAGTGTTGACTGAATGATGGCACCCATACATATCTACATGCATTCTTGCATGAGCTGTCTCGCGGCCAAGAAAACGCGGAACGTTCTTTTCTCTTATTCTCAGCAACGGAAAACAGATAATAACGCGGAGTACGGAGTACGGAGGAATTATATATCTGATTGCCATCTCATGCCACTCGCAGATTAAAGGCTAACTGGCTGGTTGATTGCAAAGGAGACGGTTGCTCTGTCCATTCTTCTCCCGGGTAAGCTTTACACACCGCGTACTTCCGCCTTTTTCTGTTTTTCTTTTTTGGTTTTTCTCCCCAAGCTCGCCGCGAGGCAGAAGTAATGACTGCGCCATTGCAAGAGCGACGATGGTGGACTGGGGATGAGGACAGGATTCTGCTCCAGGAAGCGGAGCTCCAGCGTACAGTCGCCTTTAACTAGCCATCTGAATGTACCAAAGTTTTAACTAGTATCTATCGCTAATTCACTTCATATAGGAACAGAAGGAGGAACTAAAAATTGGAATGCCATTGCAGAAAAGCTCCCTGGCCGGACGAATAAAGACTGTCGCAAAAGATGGCACAAAATTGGTCCCAATATCAAAAAAGGAGTTTGGACTCCTGAAGAAGATGCCCGGCTGCAGGAGGCAGTCAGTTTGTTTGGCTTAAAGTGAGTCAACTCTCTTGTCCGCAAGCTTGTCTGTACTCTCTTGTTATTCATCCCTTGGATACGTCTCACAGACTTTTCGGCAGGTGGACCCGTGTTGCAGAGTTTGTGGGATCTCGCAACGCTGATCGTAAGTTGATATGCTGAATCAAGCAGTGCATTTCCTCTCCTGAACAAGTGTATCTGTGTATATTCAGCCTTGCATGAATGAATGCAATGTGATCAAACACTGCTAACCAGCATATTGGTTACAATTTTAGAATGTTCTAAACGGTGGGCGTACGCACTAGATCCGAGCTTGAGTCACACCCCATGGACAGAGGAGCAAGATCAGCTTCTCCTGATGGTTGTTAACAAATTTGGGCACAACTGGAGCAAAATCAGCAGTACAGCGTTCGGAGACAGATCTACATCTGATATCAAAAACAGGTATGGGATCACACAGACACAGTCCTTAGACAATCATTTCAGAAGAGACACCAGGGTAATTTCCGTGTTTAGCCACATGTACTAAACCAGCCCGTGCTTTAGATATTTCACCCTTCAGCGAAGGAAACGAAACACATCCGTCAGCAACACGGTGGCATACCAAATCGACGATGAGAATCATTCAGATCTCGGCTGGCCAGAGTCCGGGGCACTTCCAGAACCGCCCAGGAACGCACTCCTTGATGTTGGCACCACCCCCTCGTTAGATTCCAGTTCTGAAACACCCGTCAGTATCGACTATCTTTTAGAGAATACCGATATTGCGCAACTGTCAGAGATGAATGGCCTTAGTAACACCTCCATCTCGCCCTATGAGGATGTTACGTCGAAGGACGCCATGGCGGACCCCGATCCCGACTTCAGGAAGTTCCTGCATCATTTTGACCCTTCCCAAGCTGCAGATTTTGATGGGGGCAATTGGGACGCAGATAGCCATCTCAGAGCAGTCACAGGGGGGAGCTTTGGGAGAGAAGAGACCAACCACGCGAACAACGGGGAGTGGCCTGATTCCAGCCACATCGCATCAACGAATCCGACAGAAACAGATACAGGATCGCAATCTTGCACTAGCACCTTGGTTCTGGAGGAGATGGAGCCGCAGACTGTAACACTTGTGCTCAGCACGCTCTTGAGCAGCAATTCCCGCTTCCGGATGCGGATTGACAACAATTAGGTGCTCTTGGCAGTCTCTGCATTTTTATGTGTTCCTGGTCTGGTTCTCTAGTCGGTTTCTTGCCCTTCTCTCAGACTCAAATGCCCCATATTCCTACAAAAATCAATTAGAGAATCAATCAGACTAACAGGTGGGTGTCGATGCTCGCTTTACAGTGAGCATATGGTTGATATATTGGAATCCTGGAATGCATCGGCGCAAGATTCGCCCGTGCCCACCATTTTCCAAGCCAGCATTGCTTAGAAAATATAAGCTAACATTTTCTCTTAACAGGCTGAATTCAGAGAGGCTCTATAAATAAATTGATCAGAGCCGATCCGATCAGCGTTGGAATCTGGACCGGGACGGACTACCACTGCGATGCTTGTCGTTGCCGTGAAGCTTCTAATAGGCCTGTGGTTGCGAGAGGTTCGGCCGAGACTCTGCTTGAGGGTCACATGAGGGAAAAATGGCTGGTTTTTACCGCTTACTGGTCATATGTATTTAACCCTGGTTTGTCCAAGTTGCAGCACATCCGGTGAAGTTGCATGCTTGGCTATTATGTAACTAATAACTCAGTTAGTTAACGAGTCATGGAGGTCCCATGTAAGATTCCCCTTGCATGATTCGAGGCAGAAAACAATCCATCCACTCCGCGCTCTATTGACATCCTTTAAGATCTTTGCTCTTCTTTGTCTCGCTCCAACATTTTGTATTCAGACATTCATCGCCGTGACTCAGAGATGCTCATTTCCTGCTGTGCTATTGTCGAGTTAGACCTCTTATCGTAGGTATTTCCCGGCGACATGGTTAGTTGAAGGTACACAGCTACGAAGCAACTATGTCCTCCGTGCTCCAGAGTTAACTAACAGCAAAACTACGGACCCCGAGGCAGCTGTTCAGCCGACCGCGAGCCACCGGGTTACGTTCAACAGAAGAACCCCAGCTGCTCCACTCAATAGGAGTAATCTCCCGAGCTCCCGTATTCCTTAGGGCCCCGAGTAACGGGGACCCCGATGTTAGGAATCACCAATCTCATGACCAAGCTCAGGGCATGCTCTGCGATATATTCCCTTAAGCAAATTGAACATTATGTAGGCTGTGCTTACGAAAATCCTAGGACTTATTTATCGTGTAGCTACTGATCAATAACTCGATGTTAACATTTTACTGCGTATGTATGCAGTTGTGCACCGTACGTGCATATACCTCTTAGCTGCTGATACACACCTAACTGACTATGCAAATAGCATGCCGCCAATTGACATTTCTTCTGCCGTCACTAGAGGACAGCCACCTTTCACTCGACCATCAATCAATCTAGACGATCAATATGATGTTGAAGGGGTTGCTCGGTCACTTCCAGAGCTGGTGGAATTTCATGCCAGGTTCAACCCGGGCCACTTGTTCTGCAGACAGGCTCGGAAGGAGGATTCAAACTCTTCAGATTATGAATTTGTCAATGTTGATTACTCCTTGCTGAAACAAGCCATCCTCAACTGTCAGGAATGGCTTCGTGCTACCGTCGCCGAATTACAATTCCCCTCCGAGAATGAGAACCACACCATTATTCGAGGCCCACCGATCGCGCTCTTCATGAGTAGTCATGTCACCTTGGTTATATATATTTTCGCGCTGATGGGGATGGGCGTGCCAGTGGTATTATTGTCGACGCGGCTTAGCCCGATGGCTATCAACCATCTTCTTGGGCGGACGGCATCCGAGGCGATCCTTGTATCACCACGACTGAATCCGGTGGTTCAAGAAGCTGCTGCGCTGCATATCACCCAGAAGATGACACGAGACGACGGACAGAGTGACCATGTGTCCCTCCCCCCGAGGAAGCATACTGTTGCATTTCCGAGCCGGTACAATCCTCCCAGTTTTGATGAAATCCGAGAAGAAGTGAGCCGAGAACCTAGATCAGGAACAATTATTCATCCTCTCCATTACATCTCCGAAGCAGACTGCAATGTCCTGGTTCTCCATTCTTCTGGAAGCACAGGTCTACCAAAACCGATATATACATCTCACCGGCACTACTTCAGCTTCGCACTCTGCCACGAGCTAAGCACTGATGAGGAAATATTATCCCCTACAATGTCCACATCCCCGCTATTCCATGTAAGTTTTTGTCTTGTTCGCTTCAGCATTAATCAGCGCTAAGACTCGGTCAGGGCTGACTTTCTTGATGAGGGTTTCGGATTACTTCCTCCATGCCTTTCATTGGGAATAGGAAAGCCATTTTGCCTTCCACCTTCTGAAGGCATTTCGACTGGTCTGTCCGTCGTACAATTACTCCACTCTAGTGGTGCAAAGTCACTTCTTACTGTCCCGTCAATCCTTGAGGAAATTGCTTCGCTCCCTGAAGACAAGGGATTACGGATACTTCAAAGTCTCCATTTCGTTGCTTTTGGGGGCGGTCTACCAAAGGAAACGGTTTGTCATACACTATCCGCCGCGGGGGTCAGGCTGGTTAACCACTACGGTACAACGGAGACGGGACCCTTAGCACCGCTATACGTTCCCCCACCGGGCTACGATTGGCATTACTTCAAGTTTCGAACGGATATCCGAAAATCACTACGAGTCCAATTCAGTAATTGCTGTACAGACAATGTTCAAAGCGGCAACCATTTGCAACTTAGCCTACAGCCACTTGGATGGCTGGATAGGTTTCATGTACAGGATATTCTGGTAAAAAAACCTAACTCGGAAACGGAATTCAGCATTCTGGGTCGGAGCGATGACTTAATCTGCCTTGCGACGGGAGAGAAGGTTCGTCCCACGATTTTAGAAACCGCTTTGCTTGAAAGCCCAACGGTCAAGGCCGCTCTAGCCTTTGGAGATGGGCGATTTGAAATAGGCGCCCTGGTAGAGCCGGTGTTTCCAGTCGCCGAAGGGGAATTTGATCAGTTCAAGTCCTCTCTATGGCCAACGATAGAGAAAGCCAACCAGCAAATGGATTCTCATGCTCGCATTTCGTCGCCTACTACACTGGTGATTGTGGCGCCGGGGAGCCTGCCTCGTTCTGACAAGGGAACAATTATCCGGCGCGAGGCGCATCAGCAATTTGAAAATGAGATTTTGAAAGCCTACGATAGTTTGGAGACCACTGGTGCCAATTTCTGTGCTGCTACGTTGGAAACGACATGTCTTGAATCTGGACTTCGCGCGTTGATACGCGAGAATCTCACGTGGAAAGTTAGTGATGCCGGCTGGAACGATGATACCGATTTCTTTGAGTTAGGAATGGACAGTTTGCAAGCGACAATGCTGCGTAGGTTCGTGATCGCAGCTCTTCCAGATGACTTGGCGTCATTCCGAAGCATGGATCGTGATTTTCTATACCGGCATTCCTCAATTTCAAAATTGGCGAGAGCATTGAGAAAGTCCGATGCGTCATTTATCGAGAAAACTACTGATGTTTCCAACGAAACGCTTGAGGCTTTCATCGACCAATTTGGCTTGCAACGGAGGAAGGATCTTACTGTACTGTTAACAGGCAGCAATGGCAGCTTGGGAGCCCATCTCCTCGCTCACCTAGCTAAGGATCCTAGCGTCTTCCATATTATCTGCCTTAACCGCCCTTCAGTGCAAGATCCATACGAGAGACAGCAGCAGTCTCTACGGTCCAAGGGCCTAAGCCTATCAGAGCGTGAGTGGGAAAAGATCAGAATTTATCAATCTAATTCCAGCCTCCCGCAGTTAGGGTTGCCAGAAAAGGACTATATGACCCTTCAGGAGGAGGTTACACACATTATCCACAACGCTTGGCCGATGAATTTCAAAATGGGGTTATCATCGTTCGAACCTCAGTTCAGAACGTTACAAAATCTTCTGCTCCTTGCTCGAGGAGCGCATTCAAGTAACCCGTCGTTGAACGTGAGAGTTCTATTCATATCTTCCATCTCGGTAGTGGGTCGATATGGAGAGGTATACAATGAAGCTATAGTACCCGAAGCGCCCATACGCGACTTCAATGCCACTTTGCATCTTGGGTACGCGAAGGCTAAACTGGTATGTGAACAGATCATCGAACGGACTCGGGCACGTTATCCCGAGATCGAGTTGGCCTATGTAAGGGCTGGCCAAATTGCCGGCTCTAGCATGGGGTATTGGAATAAGGAGGAACATTTCGTGGCCCTTGTGGCGTCGTCCCAAAAAATTGGAAAGCTCCCTAATTTAAATGGGGTATGTCGTTATTTTCCTTTTCACAAGGAAGGTCGAGCTTTTGTTTACTAAGATACAGACTCTTTCGTGGCTCCCCGTCGATGTGGCTGCCGCCGTCATATCTGATATCCTTCTCAGCTCGGAGCCTATGCAGCTGGTGTATCATCTTGAAAATCCATTTCGACAATCGTGGCGTGAAGTCTTAGACACTTTGGCTGTTGGATTGAATCTAGGCAAAGACGATCGCCTCTCCTTCCATGAATGGATTGACGCTGTGGAATCTGCCCCAGATAAAGGGAACCGAGCCAAGCAGTTGGCGAGTTTCTTTAAAGAGGACTTCGAACGTATGTCGGGCGGTAGTTTGGTGCTCGGTACGGAGACTTCACAAAGATACTCTCCGACTTTGAGAAAAGCGGGAACTGTTACAAAGGAGATAATGCAACAATATTTAGCCTACTGGAAAAGTATTGAGGTTATTTCTTGATTGCAATCTGACGCCAACGTGCTCTCTAAGCTAGGTTGGGCGTATTCTTAAGTGCTACACCGGTATCTCCATGCCCTCACCTTTGCTGCGTCCGGTTTTAAAAATTTTCTATGCGCCGTTCTTGTTTTTGCATGATAGCCCATTAAAGCCAGTTTCTGGTGGCAGTGATGCATTTCATGCTACTTCTCGAAGGTTTTCTTTCTGACGGATGGTGAAATTGCCAGGCTTACCTTTCTCAAGCAGGCTGTACTCAGCCCTTCCCATTTAGTTACATGCTTAGCTATATATTTACAGATTAAGTCCACATAACGTACGCAGATACGTATTTATTGCGCATTTTCAATCAGTAATGGTGTCATATATCTACTAAACAGTAGCATACGGGATCTAGATATCTCTATGATTTATCGGGCAGCCGGCCTAGACCTCAGAGTCTCGAATAACTTGTTAGGCGATGAAACTTGACTTTTTAGGTAGGCCTACTGCTTAGACGTATGTATAACGTGCTGCAGGGCTGGATAAGGTTATTTGCAATGCGACAGTCCGTTGGGTTTGCCCTTGCCCGGTGGTTTCTCTGCTTCACCAGTCGAGGGTGGTTAAACTACTCCAACATACCTGGTCGAATGCCGCCAACAACTAGCAACGATAAAGCACGGGGTTGCCGTGTTCCGTAGGACCCGAGTGCATCTTTGCTTGGACCCGACCATGTTAGCTGTTCGACACAAGCTCGGAAATGTAGCAGCTGAAAACGGAGGTCAAGATTGCTGTTTTTTCAGAATATTAGAGTTAACTAAACTGCCATGCGCTGGTAAGTAACTAAGTGAGCTTCATCGCTTCCCAGTTGATCGATACATACGGCTTCAACACCTTTTGATCTCTTGATAGGTGCTTCGCATCTTCACCTAATCTCCCGTTTCTCCAAACTGGTACCACAGCACTATTTGGAGCAACAATCCTCAGCACAATCATGGACGAAGACTATCCCGAAAATGCTATAGCCGTTATCGGCATGGCCTGCAAGTTCCCGGGCGCCGAGTCCCTCGAAGAATTCTGGGACCTCCTCCTTGCTGGCAAATCCATGTGCCAGGGGGCTCCTTCAGAGCGATTCGCCACAAAGAACAATCGTCGACATCAGGATAAATCCATCTATAATGGAAATTTCATTTCTTCAATCGAGAGCTTTGACCATAAGTTCTTCCGAAAGTCCGGTCGAGAAGCATCCTCTATGGACCCTCAACAGCGCCTCTTACTTGAGGTTGCATATCAAGCCCTCGAATCCGCCGGATATTTCGGCGAGACCGACCCGAATACCGACGTGGGTTGTTATGTGGGTGTCTGTGCATCGGATTACAATGATAATGTCGCAAATCACCCCCCGAATGCGTTTTCTACTCTAGGAACACTCAGAGCGTTCTTGACTGGAAAGATAAGTCATTTCTTCGGCTGGACCGGTCCGTCCGTGACCTTCGACACTGCGTGTTCTTCGTCTGCGGTAGCCATTGATGCTGCATGCAAGGCAATCCTGCAGGGAGGCTGCCACATGGCGTTAGCAGGGGGTGTCTCCATCTTCACCAGCCCATATTTCTTCCAAAATCTATCGGCCGCATCGTTTCTGAGTCCAACAGGCGCAACCAAGTCTTTTGATGCCGATGCAGATGGGTACTGTCGCGGAGAAGGAGTTGGATTGGTGATGTTGAAAAAGTTGTCACATGCTGTTGCAAATAATGACAACATTCTTGGAGTGATCATGTCTTCCGCCGTCAAACAAAGCAGTAATTTAGTCCCGATCACAGTGCCATACAGTCCCTCCCAGACTGCCTTATACCGGAAGGTCTTGGCACTGGCGAATGTATCTCCAGAACAAGTTACCTATCTTGAAGCACACGGTACGGGAACTCGCATTGGGGATCCCCAGGAGTTTCAGGGAATCAAAGAGGTTTTTGGAGGGCCCAAGCGACAGGAAAACCTTTATTTTGCGTCTGTGAAGGGTAACATCGGTCATACTGAAGGTGCATCTGGAGTAGCTGGTCTGATCAAGACAGTGCTGATGATCCAGAAAAGAAAGATTGTGAGACAGGCCAGTTTTCAGCAGCTGAACCCAAAAATCATCCTTGAAGGAGAAAAGTTAGCTGTACCGACAGACACATTGACTTGGAAAGCGGAAACTTTGATTGGCTGTGTGAACAACTATGGTGCTGCAGGTAGTATTGCAGCAATGGTGATTAAGGAACCGCCTGCACCATCAACCGAACTTGGGCATGCTAAACCATTATCGAGATACCCTATTTTCCTGTCAGCAAATTCTCCAAAAGCGTTGAGTGAATATGCAGCCAAATTGCGAGCATTTATGACTCGTCTCCCTCCTTCGTCCAGCAATACCCTTGCGGATCTTGCGTGCAATCTGAGCGACAAACAAAATCGATCACTTCCATGTTCCCTTGAAGTCACAGTACCTAGCATGACAGAGTTGGATGATCAACTGCGTGTCGTGGCATCTGGATCTAGCGCCCCATCATCTTCTGAAGCGCCATCGAAACCCAAACATGTCATTCTGGTGTTTGGGGGACAGACAAATCGATTGATTGGGTTGAATAAAATGGTACTAGAATCCTCCCCAATCCTACGCTCATATCTCGACCAGTGCGATGAGAAACTCCAAGCTTTCGGGATGCAGAGCATTTACCCCGGGATCTTCGAGACAGAGCCCCGCGACGATATCGTCATGCTGCAGACTATGCAATTTGCGTTGCAGTACGCCGTTGCCAAAACCTGGATAGACAGTGGCTTGCACATTGACTGTGTCTTAGGGCATTCTTTTGGACAGTTAGTTGCCTTGACAATCTCTGGGGTCCTCTCGCTGGAAGATGGTTTAAAACTAGTCCATGGGCGGGCTCTGCTAATGGCACAAAAATGGGGACCAGAAAGAGGATCGATGATCGCGCTGGATGCTGATATCGAGACAACTGCCCGACTGGTAGCAGCTGCCCACACACTAGATCAAAACTATCGACTGGAAATTGCCTGCTATAACGGGCCCAGGAGCCACGTTGTCGTCGGTTCAGAGGCTGCCGTCCAAGGCTTGGTCGGGCTTCTCAATCAGTCCGCAGCAGTCAAATACAAACAGCTGAATGTTACCCATGGCTTTCACTCCGAGTTCACAGAACCAATCTTGAAAGACCTGGATCAGTTAGCTAAGACTTTGACGTTTAACCAACCTAAAATCCCTATTGAGACCTGTTCTGAGGGCCAATCCTGGGGTTTTGTAACCCCTGCGCTTGTCACAGAGCATACCCGCATACCTGTGTATTTTGAAGAGGCTGTGGACCGACTTATTCGGCGATACGGTCCCTGTACATGGGTTGAGGCCGGATCCAACTCTTCGATCGTGAGTATGGCTCGACGGGCAATCCGAGGCACTGCGTCCAAGCACTCGTTTTTTCCAATCAATCTCAGCAGAGAAGACGCAATGGGCTCTCTGGCTGACACGACAGTCAATCTGTGGAAGAATGGCCACCACGTTCAATTCTGGCCATTCAACCGTTTGAAGAGAAGGCATTATACGCAGATCAACCTACCACCATACCAGTTTGAGAAGGTAAAGCATTGGCTAGACTGGGTCGAGGTCGAGCCGGCATCGACTTCTGGAGCGGGTAAGAATATTCAAGAACAAAGTGAGAAAGAGGAGCCAGGACCGGCGAAACTACTGTCCTTTTCTGGGTTTGGTGACCGTGAACGACGACAGGCAGTATTTTGCATTGATCCACGGTGTGAAGAATGGCAACGACTGGTTCAAGGTCATGCAGTGCTGCAGAATCCACTATGTCCAGCGCCGCTTTATGTCGAGCTTGTCTCACGAGCAATTATGCTTCACCTCCATGATCCGTCTGCGGTAACGCTTTCTTCGGCTGGGCTTTGTCTGCGATCATTGGATGTTGTCGCCCCGTTGGGAATAGGTCATGACATCTATGTGAAGCTTCTGTTAACTCAACTTGGTTCCAACAATGACCGTTGGAGGTTTGCATTCTACACCATGCCCAGACCATTCCGCTCTGAGGAGGCTGATCTCCCTCTTCATGCAACTGGTGAAGTGACAATTTCTAGCAGAGCTGAGGTTCGTAGTGAATTTGAGAGAACAGTAAGACTGCTTCCATATCAGCATCTCGAGAGCCTCATTGCCCAGACCGATGGCGAGGGCATGACGGGATCCTTGATCTACCGGGTTTTCGATCGGGTTGTTCAATATGACACCTACTACAAAGGGGTGTCTCGAATCGCCTCGAAGGCAGGAGAGGTGGTGGCGCAAGTCATCCTCCAGAACCCTGAACTCCCGTGGGCTAAGGAACAAGTGTCCAACCCCTTAGCTCTCGATAACTTCCTCCAGGTGGCTGGGCTGCACGTTAACAGCCTTAATGTTTGCGGTGAGAGTAACGTGTTCGTGTGCACCAAAGTCGACCGTATCCAGTTTGGCCCAGAAATGCAGCTGTCTAACGGCAATGGCAGCTGGAGTGTCTATTCTAATATGCATATGCTCAACGATAAGGAGGTCGAAAACGACATATACGTGTTTGATGCCATAAGACGGCAACTTGTAATGGTTATCCTGGGAGCGAGGTTCAATCGTGTCCTCATCACTTCTCTAGGAAAAGTGTTAGCGAGAGCGAATGCTACAGGCGCAGGGGTAGACCTAATTGCTAAAGGTTTCCCTGCTGCTAGCCACATTCCTGCCACAGATCCAAGAATCTCAAAAGAGAGTGATTTTGGCATGCCGGTTCCTCCCATCCAGTTGGACCAGTCATCGACGATTCCCCGACCCATAGAGGAGCCAGTCAAACCTGATCTCGAGAAAGAGCTTCGCCAGCTTCTCAACAAAATCACCGACGTGCCCGAAAGTGAATTCAAAGATGAAGCGACACTTGAGGATCTCGGAATTGATTCGCTAATGGCAACTGAAATCGTTACCGAAGTGGGCGCAGTTTTTAAAGTTGATATTCCTCAGTCCGATGTCCAAGACTTGATCACCTTCCGGGCTCTTCGTGACTATGTTCTCCAGCGAGTTGCACCAGGTCATAAGGTGTTGACCCAGACCATGACCGCGACTCTAACGGAGGCGGTTTTGCCAAGAGAGAAAAAAGACAATGCACCGAAGGCTTCTTTTGCGGGCCCCAACGAGCAAGTCTCAAGACGCATTGCCCAACTAGTGGCAAGCCATCTGGAGTGCAGTGCTGATTTCCTCCGCTCTACAAATCTAGCGGATCAGGGCCTTGACTCCTTGTTATGCATGGAGCTCGCTACAGACATTGAGCGCCTTTATGGCATCAAGATCGATGTGACACAACTTACCACTGAGTCTACCTTCGGGGACCTCTGCGACATGATTATAGGGAGCGGGTCCTCTTCAGGGTCGTCCACTGCAGATGACTTCGCTGCGTCAACCCCAGCGGCGGAGCTGACCACTGATACGGAAGATGAGAACATACCAGTGCCGGGGCCGCAAGCAGCCGCTAAACTGTTGGAGGTGCAACATGCTTTCGAGAATATCCGTTACGACTTTGAAATGTACGCAAAGGAAACCGGATTTCTCGGGTTCTGGAAGAATGTATTCCCAGCACAATCTCGCTTAGTGCTAGCATACGTAGTGGAGGCATTCAGAGACTTGGGATGCCCTCTAGATGTCCTCCAGCCGGGGCAAATTGTGCCGGACCTGCTAGTGTTGCCCAGGCATCAGAGACTAAGATGTGTGTTCTATGAAGTCCTCCGCGACGGACAGCTTGTCGATTTCACAGGAACAGACTATATTCGGTCTGAGAAGCCCATAGATCACACCCCATCGCACGAAATTTATTCTCAAATCGTTCGGGACCATCCGCAGCACGCGAAGGAGCACGAGTTATTGAATATATGTGGTTCTATTATGGCATCACTGGTGAACGGCCAAAAGGATCCTCTACAACTTCTATTTGGGACCAAAAGAAACAAGGACCTTCTCGAGGATGTATACCGTAATGGGCCGATGTATCTGGCGGTGACCCGTTTGCTAGGTAGCTTCTTAGAGAAGTCGCTTAGAAATCGGGGGGAAGGCAAAATTCACGTTCTGGAGGTTGGAGCCGGAACAGGAGCTACAACGCGATGGGTTGTCGACGTCCTCTCCCGAGCTGGAGTTGACTTCACTTATACTTTCAGCGATATCTCCCCGTCATTAGTGGCAGCCGCGAAACGGAAATTCTCAACCTATGGAAATATGAATTTCATGGTGCTGGATATTGAGAAGGCACCTCCAGAGGAGTTAACGGGACGTTTTCATATCATTCTATCCACCAACTGTATTCATGCCACGAGCAGCCTGCCTCGATCACTCACACGTATCTGCGAGATGCTGCGGCCCGGCGGGTTTGTGTCGCTTGTGGAGTTCACGAAGAACATGTTTTGGTTTGATATGGTGTTTGGACTCTTGGAGGGATGGTGGTTGTTTGAAGATGGACGTGAGCATGTTTTAGCAGACGAGGCATTCTGGGAGCGGAGCATGAAACATGCCGGATTTAAGCACGTTGCAATGACAGACGGGCCGAGTCTAGAGGCGAACACGGTTCGAATCATAACTGGATTCACCGAACATGCGGTTTCTTCGAACACGCAATCTTGGGTTGAGAAGAAAAATGAAGCCACCGATTCAGAAACACTGGTTTTTAGCGTCACCGATGACAAGACGCTGCTTCGGGCGGATATACATTATCCTGTTTCGGAGTCAAAGTGCTCTCAACCATGGCCTGTGGGTACGTAGAACTTCCAGGGAAGAAAACCCTGAGAAAGGGGTGTACTAACAGATTATACCAAAATTAGCTCTCCTAATCCATGGGGGTGGTCACACTATGCTCTCCCGAAAGGATGTTCACCCGAAGCAAGTTCAATATCTCCTAAAGCATCGCATTCTCCCCGTCAGCGTCGATTATCGGCTATGTCCCGAAACGACACTCGTCGATGGGCCGATGCGCGATGTGCAAGATGCGTTCATCTGGGTGAAAACGAAGCTCCCCTCGCTTAAACTTAGATCATCGTCATATCTTAGCATTGATTCTGATCGAGTTGCAGTTGTTGGCTGGTCCACTGGTGGAACGCTGGCACTGTCGCTCTCGTGGACGATAGAAAGCTCACAAGAAATTCGGCCGCCGGATGCCATTTTATCGTTTTATTGTCCAACGGACTATGAGGATCCATGTAAGTTTCCCGGATTACCACGGCTCATTTGTTGAGTGTGCTGCTGAACGGCTGTGTCTATTTTAGTCTGGAAGGGGCCCAATTTCCCTTGTAATTCGCGATCTTATGCCGATGAAGAGATTGATCTCTTAGCCGGAGTCTCCCAACGACCAGTACGTATTCTCTAACATGCGTGTGACAAGTATGGCCGGTAGATATGCTCATTTTAGTCAGATTACGGCCTATAATGTTCCTCCATCCAAGAGAGCAACAGCTGGCTGGATGTGTCCATCCGACGCCCGCTCCAAAATAATCCTGCACATGAACTGGCGCGGCCAAACGTTGCCAGTCCTCTGCAATGGCCTCCCCGCAAAGGCCGGCGTCCCAGCCGACGAACTTAAGAAGTATGAATGTCTGCCCCAGCCGAGCCCGGAGCAAATCATCGAGATCAGCCCATACGCACAGATAGTGAGAGGGAAGAGCAGATCACCAACGTATCTGGTGCATGGAACAGACGACGATTTAATCCCATGGCAACAAGCGCAGCGGACGTACGAGGCATTGAAGAAAGCAGGGGTCCCCGCGGGGATCAGTTTATTGGAGGGCCAGCCGCACTTGTTTGATCTGTTTAGCGATGCAGATGGGAAAAAGTGGCAGGCGGTGGTAGAGGCATATGCGTTTGTGTTCAAGCATGTTGGAGTCGAGATGGGGCGTGTGGACTAACAAACTACTTAATGGAGGGATGATTGTTTGTGTCGGGATGTCCATTTTAACTGTGACTGAGCTAACTAAACCTTTGAGATTTTGGGAGAGATGTCTTGGCATCCAACTCAAAGCTTTTTCATACTTTTACTTAGGTAAAGGAAAGCCTACTTTCCCAAATGTATGTACAGCACATAGAGTATGGCACTGCTTCATGGTGCTTCTATAATTTACTCAATGTTATCTTGATCCCTGCCGAGATCATTAACCACCCTCCAGCTCTTCACACAGCAGTTCTTCTCTTCATCAACTGACTGCCATTGCCAAAGGAAGATTAACCCCCTATTAAACTCTCATACACGGTGTTTAAGAGGAGCTAGCTCAATTTTAGCCCATGCCGATCAGATCAGTTCTACAACGCGTGCAGGGCCCTGGAGGTTGCCTCCGCTGACGCTGAGCTCTCGAGAGAGCACAGAATGCTCCGTACTCCACATAATAAATTCTATCTCCTGACTTCCCATCATTCTCAGGCGAACCAGGGCAGAGCCATGCTCAACAGATGGTAAGAACTGTATATTGGACATTAATCCGTCTTTTAAAACGGGACATTAGTTTATGTAACAATCAATCATCCGATCAATGGCAGCCGAGCATCCACTATGTAACTGAACTACGCCCCGCGTGCCCCAAGCAAGCCTTCTACTTTTGTCAGGGCGAGGCTACTGTGTGAAAGCAGCAGCGCCACCAAAAGGACCAGAGATGGCAGTATTGCGAACCCGCGCAACACAGACATTCTTCGCAGATCCAATGGTTCCCGCACACTTCATCCCTTCGGGCATCTTGACCTTGATCTCGAAGTCAGAATTAGAGCTTGTGGAGAATCCAGCCACTCCTGGGACGTTCTCAACAACCTTGGCTTTCTGGAAAGCGCTGGGGTCCTGGCCGCCGGATGATGGGTCGATCTCGGCTACGAGGGGACCGGCTCCATCTTGGTTCACCTGAACATACAGAGTGTTAGCGCTAGCTCCCTTGATCATCAAACCTAGGATGATCTGCCTACCTGATGGTAAATCATCGTGATCATTCCGTCAGAAGATACTGTAGGCAGTCCCCCAGACTGGCCCATACCGGAATGTTGTTGGACTCCAGTCTCCATCGTTCCTCTCGGAGTTACAGATCCGGAGGCCATACCCGGAACTGCTCCTCCAAGGGCGTTCCCAACGTTTTGGATATCTGAGGATGTTTTAGTCAACGTCACCCCAGAAAACAGAGGCTAAATTATATACATACTGTCCACGATTGGTCCCAGCGGGGTCGCCTGAACGAGATCTTGAATGCCTGAAGTTCATTCATTAGCTGTGTCTAAAGCAAATATTGCAAGTGAAAACTCTACCATTGAGTACTGCGCCAGCCGGGCCTGTGATCGCAGACGCTGCTTCATTCAATAATTGGCGAGCTATACATGTTGTTAGTCGCTAACCACTCAGAGTTCGCATGGAGGATCAGAACTCGCCGTTTAGAAACTCACGAGCGTGTCTGCGCTTGGAGTTGCTGCCCATAAATGCATTCATTACGTTTCTCGGGTCTACAGCACCGTAGCTAGTACGGCCAAGCGCAGATGCTCTAGATCCCATCTCACCGGGTCGGATGATCGCAGTGTCCTTCTGCGCACCGCAGGCCGCAGAAGCACACCCGCGTGGTGTCCCGTCGACCACTTAAATCAACCCTGTCAGCCGTCGATCCACAGGACATAGTATTAAAACGTTGAGCAGTTGGAAGGGTAAGCAGCTTACCTGTCAGGCCGGGCATGTTGACACCATTGGCGCCCTTGATGAGGGTGATAGTGCCATGAGCAGCAACCTGGCTGCCAGCTACCAAAGCTGAAAGAGCAACAATATTGGAGAACTTCATTTTGAATTTAGATAGAAGGAAATTAATATTAAACCTCTGAAATGAATGTAAAAGGCCCTCAATAAACACTAAACATTAAGAAATGAATAGACGGAAAAGATTGTATGGCTGGCGCTGGCAATGAGGATGAAATCGAATCCTCATGGGATAGCATCAACATGGCTTTATACAAGTCCCCAGTGCCTCAACATCACATCTAAGAGACCTTGACTCCCAGAAGAACAGGTTTCAAATGTAGACAAGATGTGAAAGTGTCCGCTCAGAGGTGTGACATCAGTGTTGGTCAAACACATCGATCGATTATAAAACAGCAGGGGGTATGCAACTAGACCGCTAACACCTGATAGACCATGTTTGTTGTGCACTCGACATCTCTCCTAGATCCGACATGTGCTCTTTGTGCCTCTGTAAAAAGGGCCTGAACCAGGAGGAGATGGCTTGGCTTTGGGTGGTTTCAAGTTGAGACCTACTGTTTTGACACGAATTGTGTCACTTGTGACAGCACCATCTGAACTTACGAGTTGCTCGAGTGTCACAGAATCAAAGCTTGACAGTATTTCTTGCATATAAAAACGCTCGGCTGTGTCATAAACATCTTAAGCCTGTTTAACTAGACAGTCTCGCAAGAATTGAATTGCCCCTCGTACTATAGATATTTACGGAGTAACAGAGACTAGGTGCCCCTTTTGCTTCAGCTTCCCCAAATATTGAAGATAGCTCTTAACAAAGCACTTGCACCCCTTTCTGCCTCAAGAGTCGCACGTTAGAATTCAAGGGTATGTGTCAAGCTACTGCACGGATCATTCAAATCCTGCCTAAACGACGCCGCCAACATCCAAGGTTTTGCGAGACCTCCAAGTTTGTACGGCCATTAAAGGAGATATTTAATATCAATTCCATATTGGACTGAGCAAGCTTCATTCACTTGGATTGTTGCAGTCCTCAAATTGTGCATGTAGTGAGTATGCTACGTTGGTCATGATCAACTATGACATCCTCTATTGGTCTTCGTTATCTCATCCCGAGCTTTCTTGGACCTCAACTCTATCATTGTCCATGGTTGAGCCAGGGAGTTAATAATCTGAACGATGTGGCCCGGACACTCCAAAAGCAACCGGTAGGTTCTTTTTTTTTTTTTGTATTTGGGCCTCTGATCAAAGTTTGACCGTTGGGTTCAAGGAGATAGCATTAGTGGGACAGCCGTTGTCAAAACACCTATCTCATAGCTCCGATTAGCTTCACTTCCAAGTTAGATGTTCGTCAAGACCAGATTTAAAGGCCAATAGGAGGAATGCAAGTATCAGAAGTCCATTAAGATCATCGGGACAAGGCATGGAATGCCCGTCCCTGACATAAGAGGTACCAGAAACATTGAAAAATGGGATTTATCATCATGTGAGGGAAAGTACTCCGGAGCAAGGTGGAAAAAAAAGCATACCTTCATGCACATGTAGTGGAATCCTGTCATGAAATCCTTTACAGGCCACACTGTCTCATTGCTGGGCTCAGATGCCACTTGGCAGGTCGGCCTGTCTCGAACACGACTTTGCTGTGTTTACCGACACTTTCGAGCGCTGTGGGAAAAAAAGGAATTTTGGGAAGGAGAAAAGTTTTCAGCGAGAGAGAGAAAAGTGCCGGCGGAGATCTTGCTTAGCTCAGCTGGGCTAATCCTGATATGGCTTGGCGTGGTGGGGACCAATATTACGTGCGAACCTTACCTGCCGTGGCGTTGCACACGTCGTCGAATCATTTGTCGAATCAGAGGCAAGGATACCAGAGCGTGACGGTGACAAGAGATTCGATCAGTGCGAGGATCGGCTAAGAACCAAAGTGAAGTTAATTACGAACTTTGCTGCCCCTCGATACATAAAAGAAATAGCCTGGAACTGGTTATCAAACTCCTGGGCCTAAGTTTACTCCTCATGGTCCTTTTCAACAGAAATCGTCCATTGAGCAAATCGTCCGAAAGCGACCAATTATGTCCCTCGCCGCTCTCATCAATGCTGTTCGCAACATTGATCGTGGCCCTGCCACCGCATACGAGGCAAACAATGACAAGCTGTTGCTTCGCTTTTACGATGTACTAATGCGAACCTGGCACCTGGGCTTTACGTCCTTCGGAGGGCCTCCTGTCCACTTTCGAATTTTCTATCAGCGCTTTGTAGAGGGTCTTGGAGGCAAAACACCATGGATTGATGAGCAAACGGTGTGACATGAGCTTCCTGTGGTTGCTTACCCCCTCGCTGGAATTCTCGCACTGATATGCATGAACGATGCGTGAAACAGTACCAAGAGCTTTTTGCCTTGTGTCAAGCTTTGCCCGGCCCCGGAAGCACCAAAATGCTCTTCTGCATGGCCCTCATCCATGCCGGCTTTCTTCCCGCCATAGTTACCTTGCTAGCCTGGAGGTCAGTGCTCCTATATTTTTTTTTTTTGAAAGACGGATAGGTGGCGGCTAATTGTGCCCGAACAGTTTGCCAGGCGCCGTGGGCATGTTTGGACTTTCGCTGGGAGTTCAAAGACTGGATGAGCTGTTACCAGACATTGTATATGCTCTTCTATCTGGCTTGAATGCTTCAACCGTTGGCATCATTGCATTGGCAGCAGTTCAAGTAACTTCCCCCCAGGCACATATATGGATACCACAATGCTAACACAGATGGCTTCCAGCTAGCGGAGAAGTCTATAAAAGATAACATAACCAGAATCCTTGTTATTGGCGGAGCGTGTGCCGGGCTGTGTTACAATGCCTTGTGGTACTTTCCAACGTTAATGGTAATAGGTGGCTGTTCGACCGCCGTATGGGACCTTTACGGTCGACGAAATGTTGCAAAGTTGCGCAGGAAGCTCCGAAGGCAAGACAGAGCTGCTGAGCTAAATACTGAAGAAGGCACTGCCCAAACAAGTATACCACTCCAACAAGCGTCAACTACCACGGGTGTACAAAGACGGACGGTCTCAAAAGACGATGATGCACCGGATACATCCGAAAGACATCCAGGCCCTCCTAGTGAGTCAACTGGAGATTCTATCCGTGTCGATACACAATCTCATTCTCTGTCGCTGAAGTGGGGTATCTTAATCATCGTGGGATTTTTCGGTACAGTAGTCCTTTTTACACCAAGTGGAAAAGGTTCATGGACTAATAAATATTCCAGCGTCTTTTATCGCGATCTTGGTAGTACGAGGAACCATGGATAAGCCACCGCTTGAGTTGGATCTCTTCACAAACATGTATCTGGCCGGAACCATCATTTTTGGTGGTGGGCCTGTTGTTATCCCCCTTCTTCGAGAATACGTCGTGGAACCTGGCTGGGTCAGTGCCAGGGACTTCCTTATCGGTCTAGCCATCATTCAAGCGTTCCCCGGGCCGAATTTCAACTTTGCGGTGTTTCTGGGGGCATTGGCAGTAATCTCAACCAGCTCTCCAACGATACTTGGCGCCTTTTTAGGATACATCGGTATTTTTCTCCCCGGAATCACATTGGCCGTTGGATTTCAGAGCTGTTGGCGGGTTATAAGAAAGTATCCAATTACGACCAGCGTGCTCCGCGGGATGAATTCAACGGCTGTCGGACTCGTCTTCACAGCCGTTTACCGGTTATGGGAGATAGGATACTTGAGTTCCGATGCTTCTTCTGGGCAAAGTTTGGGAAAAGAACCTTTTTGGCTGGTTGTGGCCGCGCTGACATATGCTGAGAACGCTTGGTTCAATGTACCCCCTGCTATTGCAATTATATTTGGCGGTATTCTAGGATTGTGCTGGTACGGCGCTGTGGGAAGATAAGCATGAATGATAGTTTTGGGTAGAATATTGTGCTCTCGAAGAGGGACCTGAGGCAACCTCAAAGCGAGCTCTGTACTCCGTACTCCGTATATTGTTTGAATGCCAACAGATAAACCTCGATCTCCAAATGCAGGCACCAAACCTTGTCCGTAGCGGATATTTGTCGGCCCGAGGACTTCTCTGATGGAGGACTTGTATGCTTGTCATTCACTAAGCTACCTAAAGGGGAATCTCGGCTAATCTATGTGGGTCACGTGAGCGAGGTGCTAGTTGGATTACCTAACACCCCCCCATGCAACGAGCTCCAGCAGCGAGCGAGAGCCACAAAGATCCAAAGCTTCCAAATCTCACAAATCTGTGATAAAAATTAATTACAGAATCCAGATTTATTCCTTCTTTAGGCTTAGCTCTGTTTCGCCGTGATACTGTATTTTCGCTGGCTTCACTGATAAACCTCCATATTTTCCTGTATCAACTTGTCACCCCTATCGTGCTCACGAATTGAGCGTAGGGATCCATTGCAAGAGCCTTCGTGAGCCCGTCAGCTTTATTTGCATCGCTTCCAATGTGCTTGATTGAGATTTTGTCCTTTTGCACCCAGTCTCTTAGCATATGGTGCCGAATCTCAATATGGTGTGCTCTTCGCGTTATAGCTTCAGCTTTGGCTAAGTCAATGGCTCCCTTGTTGTCAACACTTAATTTTGAGCTCCTTAGCCTTGCTGAGCCTTCACTAATTACCCCGGCATCTATCAACAGGTCGTTGATCCAAACCAGTTCACAAGCAGCTTCGCTAGCTGCCAAATACTCTGCTTTGGTTGTAGATTTCGAGACGGATGTCTGGTGCTGTGATCTCCATGATATTGGAGCTCTGTTCATGGTAATAATATAGCCGCTGGTGGATTTGTACGCAGGGTCGGCTCCAGTCCAGTCAGAATCTGAACTGGCTGCTGGTTTCAAGCCTTCAGGATCCATATCCCTTTTGAAGACTATTCCTTTTGATTTTGTGCCCTTGAGGTAGCGTAGGATCTGCTTGAACGCCGCCCAGCTCTCCCTATTGGGCCTGCTGTTGAATCTCGCCAGATAATTGACTGCGAATGCAATATCCGGCCTCGTACACGTAACTAGGAACTGTAGAGAGCCCAGGCCTTTCCTGTAATTCGTAGGCGTAGCCTGCTCGTCAACTCCATCTTTGAGGGTCTGATCTGGCGTGAATTCGATGCTTATTCCTTTCTTCATTGGCGTTTTGGAAGGTTTGCAGTCTTCCATTCCATATTTGGTCAGTAGATCCTTGATATACTGTTCCTGGTTCACAAAAAGGTCTCCATTTGGCTGCTTTTGAACCTGCATGCCTAGGTAACGGCCCTGTTCTGTAACCTCCTTGATTTCGAAGCGTTCCTGAAGCTTCTCGATGAGCCATTCTGTTTCGGCTTCGTTGGGTCCCATTATACGGCAGTCGTCGACGTGTAGGGTTAGGTAGATTTGCTTCCTCTTGTGGTAAAGTAGGCCCGCGTCGTATGGAGAGATCTGGAATCCTAGAGATTTCAGATAGTCAGTAGCTGCTTGATACCAAAGCCTAGCAGCTTGCTTCAACCCGTAGAGTCCCTGGCGTAAGAGCCCTACTAGGTTACCCCGCCCGTGCTTGAATCCAGTGGGTAGTTGAACGTATACACGTTCGTCCTCTGGAAGAGTTCCATTTAGGAAGGCTGTCACGAAGTCAAAGACTCTGACCTTCCAGTTCTTGGCTGTTGAGATAGCAAAGAAGGCTCTTGTTGTAGGTCCACTAACAACTGCTGCGTAGGTCTTCTTGTAGTGAACGCCTTCTTGCTGTTCGAATCCACGTACGACCCAACGGGCTTTGAATCGTACTGTGCCACCTGTGTTGTTGAGCTTCCTATCGAATACCCATTTGCCAGAGAGGATCTGCATTTCGGGTTCCTTCTCGACTAGGATCCAGGTGCCTTTCTCTTGTAGTTTGGAGACTTCAACATCTAGAGCCTCCTTCCAATAAAGCCACTCTTCGGAGCGTTTGGCTTCGGCGATGGATTTTGGTATGTCTGTACGCGTGCTGAGCACTGGAAGCTCAGCTCCATTCGCCTCTTCTTCTTCCGTCGCATCCGAGAGGATTTCTTGCTCTTCGCCCAGGTATGTGGGCTCTAAAGCCTCTAATTCGCCGTCCGCGAGCTTCTTCATGATTTCTGGCTTCTCCTTCGCAAGGTAAGCTAGTAACTTGTGTTGCCAGCCGTTCAATGGATCTATGTAATCGTACTCCTCCGGGAGTTCAACGTATTCGGCTTTGGTTAGTGAATTCGTAGGGATTTGATCCAATTTCTCGTCGAATATAACATCTCGCGAGATCATTATACTGTTCGTTTCTGGGTCCCAAAGCCTGTAGGTGTGCATGCCACGATATCCTACAAATTTGACCTTCTTGGACCTAGGTTGGAGCTTCGAGGATTCGTTCAAAATCTTCACGTAGGCGTCACATCCCCACCTATGGACCCATCTGCAATGGGGTTGGTGACCCGTCCAGGCTTCAAAGGGTGTCAACGGCTTCGTGTTCTTGCATCCGTATAGAGGCACTGAGGTAGGCGATAGATTCACCATCATGGAGACTGTGGCGAGAGCTTCGCCCCATAACTCATTGGGTAGTCCTGAGTCTATAAGTACGCTTCTTGTTCGCTCGCAAAGAAGTCGTATTCCTCGTTCACTCGTTCCATCTTGTTGAGGTGTATATGGGCATGTAATCTCCTGTTGTATACCCTTGCTCCTGTAGAATTCAGCCAGTTGTTGGCTCGTCAATTCGGGAGCTCCATCGGACAGTATAGTGCTGATTTTTTGTTCGGTAGACACTTCAATCATGTTGATCCAGTTCTTTAGGGTTTCTGGAGCTTCTACCCGCTCCTTCAGGAGGTAGATCCACCTGTATCGTGTGGCATTGTCTGTTATAAGTAGGAAATACTTCGCTCTGCCGTAGCTTGGAGGATCGGAGTCTGTGGATAGGGTACGGCCGCCACCTGCAATATCAATAAAAATTTTAGCTCCAGGCTTTGTAGAGTGTGTTCTAGGTTCGAATGGGTTGCGAGCTTGCTTAGCTTTAGCACAGGTTTCACAGAACCCTAGCTTCTTTACTCCCTTTATTCGCATTGCCATTCTCGGATCTCTAGCTAGAATAGCTATATCATGGGCGTTGAGATGCCCCCAGCGTTTGTGCCAATTGGCCATCGTATCCTCCTTGATTTCTGGCGTCTTTGCCAGGTGATTCGGTGCCAAAAGCGCGTCATCTCTATCTTTATTCTCTAGAGTTGCTGTTACATAGCAGGGCTCTAGGAGTTTCGTAGGTACTGGAAACGCGTATGCCAGTAAATTGCGTATCCTAGGCGTTTGTAGGACTAGGATGTCATCCTCGTTAAGCACGGCTTCAAAGCTCTGTGTTTTATCTGCCGATTCTAGTAGGAAGATGTGTTCTCCGTCGACATAAAGCTGTTCCACTGTAAAGCCGTCTCGTATAAGCTTCCCAAAGCTTATGAGGTTAACCTGGAGGTCAGGCACGATTCTAACCCCCCCAATGCTCAATTCTCCATTGTCAGTTTGGATACTGGCCGTGCCAAATCCTCTGGTGACTGATTTCGAACCGTTCGCCATAAGCAGTTGTGTTGCATGGCTCTTTGGGTCCATTTGAACTAGATCCGTACGTGAGGTCGCGTGGGATCCGGCTCCAGAGTCAAGGATCCATTTGTCTGTGGATTCGCGCGCTTCTTTCATAGAGAAGGCTGCTTCGTGAACTGAATGGATCTTGTCCGTTGCAACTGTAGCTGTTTCCTTGCCTTTGCCTTTAGAGTCTTCTTTAGGCTTGTTAGGCTTCGAATTCTTGTTAGATTTGCAAAATTTAGCCAAATGGCCAGGTTTGCCACAAATATAGCAGTTCCAGTTCTGCAGTGAGCTCTTCTCTGGATTGGATTCGGAGTTTGTATTCTTATAAGATTTTTGGGGATCCGAGCTTGTTGCATTTGTATTTGGCTTTGTAGATCTGCCTTTCTTCAGGTCTTTCTTGGGGATTCGGTGGAGGATATCCTTCAGTAGGCCTTCCAAATCCTTCTCTGGTAGGTTTGTTCTGCTCTGGCATGCCATATCAAATTGGTTCTGTATGAACTCTCTTCATTGGGATGTAATGTTCATCTTCAAGATATCATGTAGGGTGTGGTCCAGTTGTTTGAACCCTAATCTCTCAAATTCCCCACGGATTGCTAGGAATCTCTCTATATAATTCCTTTCTGAGCCAGCGGACTGTGGTGTCATTCTCACTAACTCTGTAAGTAGGCTTTCCTGCTGTATCTCAGGTCTCTCTTGGAAGGCTGTTCTTACAGCTTCCCAGAGTTTGTAGGCACTAAGGCTATCTGATTCCTTGAAGTGTTCTCTGGCTTGTGCAGATATTGTGCTGTTGATTAGGCTGTGTAGCCAATTGTTCTGAATGTTCCAGTATTGTGAAATCTTTGAGTTCTCTGGCTGTGGTGAGGTCTCTTGTCTTTCCAGGATAATCTTCTCAGTATCCACTTGACGAGCTACCTTTAGGATGGCTTTGCTCCATGCTAGGTAGTTGCTGGCCCCAGCCAGGGTCATAGGCTTCTTTACTGTTTTTGAGATCTTCATGAATTGATTGATCGCTCTGCCGGTTCGCGTATTTGTGTCTATAAGGTTGCCGACAAATTCTTCTAGTTTGTCCTCAGAGTCTATTTCTCGGTCCCCTTCTTCTTGTTGAGCTTCTTGCTCTGGGTTTTCCTGCACCGTTGCAGGCGTGTTTGCTTGGCCTGATAAGAGGCTCATTTGCTGTGCCAGCTGTTGTACTGTCTCCTGTTGCCTTTGCATCATCTCCTGTTGATTCAGCATCATTCTGCGCAACATTTGGAGTTCACTCTCCTCCCTAGGCTCCTGCTCGTCGTTTGGCGGGCTGCCTCTGAGTCTACTCGACCGCCTAAGCTCGGTTTGGGGTGTAGGGAGGTTTGTTGGAGCTTCCCGGTCGGGAGTTCGGTGCTCCGGTTCGTCCGTACGGTTCACCATGGCTTTGGCGTTGCCAGGTGCTCGATTTGCTTGCTAGGTGCGTTTAGCAGGCGTTTCGCTCACTCTCTGGTCGCGTGCCAGAAAGCTACAGGGTTCAACTCGCTCTCCAGCTCGGTGCTAGAAAGCTACAGGGGTTTGCACGTATAGGAGGTGTCTATCTCGACGTACGCTCTCTTTAGTGCTCGTAAAACCTCGTTATCCACAAGGATAACCGTTCAGGGTGTTGATCGTAAGCTTCAATAACCAATTGAGCTGTAAATCAACCTTATACGCTTGCTCTTCAGCGCAAAGGGCTATAACCTGATGGAGGACTTGTATGCTTGTCATTCACTAAGCTACCTAAAGGGGAATCTCGGCTAATCTATGTGGGTCACGTGAGCGAGGTGCTAGTTGGATTACCTAACATTCTCGCGCTTCCGACCCCAGGTACCTACCTAGTCCGCAAAGGATTAGCCTGCTGCCACGTCCTTGTCTTAAGCGATATGTCACATGACAACCGTAGCCCTAAATTGTTCGGCGCGCAATCTTCAACTGCGGAGTGCGAATCTGCCTTTGAATTTGTTCGACAAGCGCCATACGATCAATCTACGCCGCCACGCCGAGTTCTCCGCTAGGAAAACACATAAGGATCATTCAAAATGGGCCGTCTTCACAGCAAGGGCAAGGGTATCTCCTCCTCTGCCATCCCATACTCCCGCAACCCACCCGCCTGGCTCAAGACCACCCCCGAGCAGGTTGTTGACCAGATCTGCAAGTTGGCCAAGAAGGGTGCCACCCCTTCCCAGATTGGTGTTGTCCTCCGTGACAGCCATGGAATTGCTCAAGTCAAGGTTGTGACTGGTATGTATGCCCCGATTACTGTGGCGGCTGATTCGGGAAGGGAGCAGATCCAGCTAACACAACTCGCGCTGTGCAGGTAACAAGATCCTCCGCATCTTGAAATCGAACGGTACGAAACCATATACGACTCCTTTGCACACGTGAAATATAAAATGGGTAGATGCCTGGATGGTTGGGAATGAGACTTTCATTCCCGGGTCCCACGTCATCTATTTCTATATACATTTCATACGACATTGCATCCAGAGACCTGGACACAAGTCGAATGTCAACACTGCCTCTGCTTGGTCATAGATGGGCTGACAGAGAGATCTTTATCATGAATAGGCCTCGCTCCTGAAATCCCAGAGGACCTTTACATGTTGATCAAGAAGGTATGTTTGCGCGCTCACTCTTCGAGCGATATATCTTTCCACATTCACTACATCGCGTGAAGCTCTCACCTAACATGTATGAATTCAGGCCGTGTCTGTCCGCAAGCACCTTGAGCGTAACCGCAAGGACAAGGACAGCAAGTTCCGCCTCATTCTCATCGAGTCCCGTATCCACCGTCTCTCCCGCTACTACAAGACCGTCGGTGTCCTCCCACCAACCTGGAGATACGAGAGTGCTACCGCCTCTACCCTTGTTGCATAAGCGGCGATCCTGACACAACCGGGCGTGGAAAAGTTGAACTCGAAGAATTTGGTGTTGTGCAGTGGAGGACATGCGTATGCTACTAGTTTTACTGGGGAAAAGAATTCATAGGCATTATGGGATTAATGTGAATATCGTCCCCAAGCGTCGAAGGGTTACTTCTTCGAAACTTGAGGGATTCTTCCTCATCCTGATTAGATAGCGTCTCTTCACAGTCCAATATATCATATTCTTCACAATGAAGGTATTCTAATGCCTTGTCCACGTAACTTGATTCAACTTATTTTCGGCGAAGCTATTCAACTATGAAGCCGACAACAAAAAGGGTATCGAAAATCAAAAATAGATGCTCAAGCATACCGCCCCCTACCTGTAAGAAGTGCCAAAATATTACAGATACCTCACTTCGCGGGCAACAGCGTTGCACAGCTCAACCTTTACCCCTGCTCCCGTCAAAACATGTATCCAAAGTCTCTGGGAATCACTCAGCCGATCATTCAGCGATTTCACTTCGACGAACATCACCTCTTTCCTCTCCATACTCCAGAGGAAAAGATCTGGAACACCTGACCCTCGCTGCTGATACTCTTGTGCCATAACTTTGCATATAGTTGCCAGGGCCTCGCCATGAAAGCACTGAACAATCTCTACGAGGTCCTCCAGCCCAAAAGACCAGTCAATGCCAATGGCACAGGTTTGCTTTGGGCACTCTCGTTCATAGACTTGCCGGAGGAGTGTCTCAGCCTCACCATTAGATATTTGCGCGAGGCGGTGATTCATTTCCGAAATCCGGGAAGAATAGAAAGAATCGGTATGCAAATCTAAAGGGCATGTTTGAAACGGAGTTTGGAAAACGCAAGGAACGAAAGCGAAGATTATATCGTAGCATAGCAAGCCAAACTGAAAGTAGCGTCATGGATATTAGTTTTCCTTGCCTTTGAGTAAAGAAACAGGTGGTATCATACCAGCGTACGCAAAATACCACCTTCACAGTGATATCCTTTCCACCCATTATCCCGATACCAACTCAGACACATACTTTCCACTCTGCATTCCCCTCCACCTTCTCTCTCGTCTATCCAGATTGTAGGCCTGCCTCTAAAGCTGTAACCTCCAGTTGGTTTTGAAGTAGGCTTGATGGGGGGATCCTTTTCCACACGAATACCCTCTATGGTCCTCTCCTCTGGCTTGGTTAGCATCACATGACTGAAATCATGCTGCTCGCGTTTTGCAATATTTAACGATCTTTCTAGCTTCATGATTCGTTTTTGTAAACCATAATGATAGATAAGATGACAGTCGGGGTCTTGAAGACCCTGCTCGCAGGTCCTAAGGGCATTCCGTTTCCATTTCCTTTTCTGAGCCTCTTCTGAGCGACCCTCGAATGGTGCCAGGCTCCACATGTAATGTTCTTCAAGTAGCGCCTTGCGTTGGTACCAAACTCCCCGTCGCGATGGGTGAAAGAAACGTTGCTCCAGTAATTCTACCAGGAGTTCATGTTCTTTGTTATACTCCTTAAACCGACCTAAGGCATATAGACCCTTGTGAACAATTCGAGTATATACCCAGGCAGGAGAAAAGCGTCGTAGGTATACGATCTCGCCAAGATCATTGCACCCCTTCTCCCTGAGGTGCTCTTGCTTTAGCAGGGCTTTCCAACGGGGATATACGCTTCTCGACAAGTCTTTAATCTTTTGCAATTTGTCTAATATCGTAAGGTTACCAGATTCCATGGCATTATCAAGATCGAATTGGATCCGAATAGCGGCCTCGAATTCAAGCAGTGCTGACCTTGTCGGGAATATGCCGTTTGACCGTAAAACGATGTACTCAGGATAGTTCCTCCGTGATATCTTGGCTAGGATTATTGTAGTCAATGATTTTTCAGACCACTCTGTGGATCGATAAAAGACAAGATGCACACGCTCAAAAAGCTTCAACGGCGCCGAAGCGAGTCTTATGCAGTCACCGGTGTGGTTTAAAATTTTTCTGATGAAAAGCTCATTAGTAGTTGTCTGTCTCGTGTGGCGGCTGGATGGGTTTAATCCAATTTCGGGGGAGCCATCGTCATCCAAGGTTTGTGAACGAAGCCAACCCAACCCAGTTTGGCTGCTTCCAGCTTCCTGGAGGGCTTTCAGTAAGTCTTTCTTATTTTTGCCTTGAATTTTTGCCTCTTTTGCGAAGACTTTCAACTCATCCAGAAAGAGTAAGGATGACGCTTCTTCGAGGGTGGTTATCTCTTCTATACCTTCAGCAAAACGAAACTCATCGGTAAGATTTGCCTCTACACACGGGGTTACTCCGTGAACACACTGTTCTACCGAGTTCGACGAAGCTGGAAGATATCTTGTTGCTCTTAACTCTTCAATAGCGGTAGATATATCTCCGATGTCATGGTAATAGCCGAGTCGATCGATGCGATGCCAGGCAGAGGTTTTGCGTAAAAACAGTCGTACATATCTGAAACCAATCAATAACCATCCTGCAGCCGTATTCGAAGTACACCGGAAGAGATCAATTGAGCATGAAGACCGCAGGCTCCAAGTCACAGACACCTACAGATATTGAGATTCATAAGACAGCGATCGCCAATAATTGAATAAAGCAATCTCCTTTTCATCAAACAGATGCGCTTCATCTTGCAAAACGCACTGTAGAGATAGATTAAATGCATCTACGTAAATGGAGCTTCTCCCCTTTACCCACAGTCCATTTTCGTATCGCTCTTGAAGATCCGGCTCCGTCGATCTGGATGTATTGGAGAATTCATACTCGTCTATAGCCTCTTGATCCGTTTTCACCGGAGGCAGACTGGTCTCCAATTCAGTTTGGCTCGGTCTAGAGTCATCTTCATCATCAAAGAGATCGGGCCTGTCCCCGACAGACTCAGAGGGCGATAATTCAACTTTCTTACTATCTGAGTCTGATTCGGCTTCCGGTTCTGTGCGTGTGGAGGAGGAAGGTTCGGGATTCTCTAATCTTCGAACTCGTTTTCGCGCAGGACTGCAAGGCCAATCTCCCATAATAACAAAAAAAAAAAAAAAAAAATTCGCGACGTACTAGGTATTCCAGTGAAAATCCAATATCTGATTCTCTCGCTCCGCCCACAAACGTCGTGTCCAGACTCAGTCGCGTCTGCTCAGGCTACGCTACGCGTCAATTGTTAACACGATCACGTGCATCACTTTCCCAAGACGTGTCACGGGACTCGAGCTGCTTTTTGTTTGCATTGTTTGCGCTGATCGTCATCTCTGCCGACAAGCGGAAACTTGACGGACGGGAGGGCTTGATCTGCGTCGAGATTCCGCAATTGCAAGTTAACAGGGACAATGAGTGGATCCTGGCAAGGCCCATATGACTGACGTACCTTCCAATCCTTCCTCTTCGACAACGCAGCCAGCTGGGTTGGCATCTCCGACTTCCCTGAGCTCCAACGTCGCGCACAAAGGCGCGTCTCCCATCATGGATAACCAACAACGGGAGATGCCGTCTGCATTGCAGAATAACACGGTACGTCTCAGACATCAGGCGTTTTACATACCAAATTGACTTGTGCCACCTGCATCCCCTTTGTTCTCTTCGAATGCACAACCTCTCTTTTCACATCTGTGCTAAAAACTATGGCAGCTCTCAGAGCAGTTACCCAGCTCTGCTTCCTCGTCCCACTTCCCTGCTGCTCCCAATTCCACTACTGCGTCCTCACACGACGGTGTACCTCCCTCGCAACCAACCCCGACAGATCGCGACGTTGTAATGGGTGGGCCAGCAATGCGAAGCACCATTCCGGCGGTCGATGCGAACAACGTTCCGGCTTCGGCCATTTCACAGGTCAGAGCTGGCGGCGCTCCAGCGCGCATATACCTGAACGAAAAGATTGTCCCTTACTTGCTTGAGGGGATGAAGCCGTTGGCAAAAGATCAGTGAGTTCTAATCCATTCCTCTACCGACGCATGCCACGTTTTGCCCTTTAGAAACTTTGAATTTGCATGTTAGATATCGGCTCTGAATATAAGCTGGAATGAAGTAATATAAAAAAAAATATTTTTTCTAATGTCGACTAAACCTCTTCAGGCCGCCAAACCCATTGCGATTACTCGGCGAATATCTTATTGCGAAAAGTTTGGAAGTCGGAGAACCCTCGAATGATCGGATCTCGAGTACCTGATGATTGGCTGGTTGTTCCTCGCAGACTTGTATCATGAACTGGGATTAAACCGGAGAGGTTTCATCGTTTTAGGACCTTCCTGAAGTCACGAAAAGAGGGTTAATAGCGAATCTAGAAGACCACGGCTCATGGATCGAGACCGGTCTTCGGGCCACGCTAATGTAAACGGAGAATAGTTTGTATGCTGTAATGAAGATCCAGCTAAGTTAGAAAAGACTTCATCCCCCGATATTTGTTGTCTGATATGGTAATGGGGGAGCCAAACAAAAAATGGATGTACATGCATTCTATGTCAACCCGCTCCAAGCAACTGTGGTAAGACTCTTCTTGGAGTTCCTCTTTTGTGCCCATTCGAATGGTAAAGATACGCGGTCCCAACTCGAATCAACTCTAGTCAGCGACTCCATAGTTGAAACGCTTGAATTTCTTAACATCTGAGCAAGCATTATCTTATGCAATTGAGTAAGCATACCCTACAGATCAGGTGCACTCGACAATAACACGGATAGCCGCAAGACCGATGGGCAAAAGGCAAAATTGCTTGCTGGTGACTGATTGAAAAGTTCATGCCTTCAAGTAGAAATCCAATCTAAGAACATAAACCAAATTCATGTTCCTTGAAACCGCAACAAAAGCATAATATTGCCCAAGGTCGCTTCGGTGAAAAGAAGAAATGCAGTTTAGAAAGGCAGAAGTCCATTATTCTGTTTTCTCATCTCTCCCCTCAGCGGAGAATTCGCTAGATGATCTCAAAATGGTCGCCAAACAGTCGTATTCATTTTTCAATTCCGGTGGGAGATAGTCGCACGACTGAGATTTACATGATCGCTGAACAAAAAATTGGTGTTCAAATTAAGGAGTTGTACTCGGTCGAGCCGATGACATTGCAAGCGGCTTGGGTAGCCGGAATAGTGTGATCATAATAGTATAGCATGGACCATACTATGAATATACTCATGCATCAGCAAAATGTTGCAATCCACATTAACTTACCCAACTATTCAATGTCGATTAAGTATGCCGAGGCATCAGAGCAGAGACCTCGGGGTATTTGGCTGTATAATCCCGTCAAAAATATCGGTGGCACGTATGTTGATGTTTGTTTGATGACCTTGAGGAGCTGCCGTTGAAACCGACTGAAGTTTACAATTTGTCTGGCTCACGTCCGATGGTTTATTTTAGTGATACCGTTGGCCGATAGTGATCGACACTACAACACAACGCTTGCCGGAACTGATGAACGTGCCAGACCCTTATTCAAAAATAATCTGGCGCTAACTTTCAGGTACTGGGGATGCATTGACGCTGTGTTCACTTTGGCCGAGTAAGATGCAGTCGAAATCTGAATCTGAAACGACTGAGTCGAAAAGCTGACAAAGCTGACTACCGATAAGGACCATAGCTGAAAAGAATAATAGGGCCACAAGACATGTCGAAGATAATACAAGTGAATCCTTGCTTCCGCCGCCAATGTTTCGAGGTGTTTGAAACGCAGCTTGCTTGATCAACTACATCAAAGGAGGTCGCTTGATGCAGGTGTCAATCTTGAGCTGCCATGCTCCCGAATCCGTCGACATAATTCTTGACCATGTGCGCGCGAAAAAAGAAGTTGACTTTTTGCGAGATAAGAACAGAGAAGCGCCGCGCCGTAACCGTAGAGAACTGACCCAGCTGAGGATGTAGACATAAAACCCATTTCAGGAATACAAGGGGGAATAGAAAAGATGTAGGGTTATTAAGAAGAGATGGATAAGCGGTGAAGAAACACAAAAAGAGACCATTGGAATAAGGCACGAATCGCCACGAGCGACGCTTGTAGCGAGGCCCTATCGCCAGTGTGAAACTTTGAGTTCACGAAACCTACCTACCTGGCGCCGTATCTGTCATTCCAACGGTTATCATAAGAACGACTTCCATATGGCTCACGCGACTCACGTTGGGGGGGTGCACTAGCATAAGCTGACGCGGCTTGAGCGCGAGCATCATCACGATCATAATAACCCCCACGACGGCGGTCTTCGCCTCGAGGACCATATCTCTCTTCACGTCCGGAAGTCGCGTATCGATCTACTCCACGATAGCCGTAGTCATCACGGTAATCACGGCGGCCATATTCACGGCTACGTTCGTTGTAGGAGTCGTAGCGTCCATGTCGATAACCATCATCATGGCGGCGACCGTAACCATATCCACCTCGTCGGTCATCATAACGCTCGAATCGTCCACCTCGCGGTGGTCCACGGAAATCTACATCATATCAGCTTATCGCCATAAGGGTTGCCGTGAGTGATCTATAAACTCACCGCGCTTAGGAGGCCCAAAGTACTTCCCCGGAGTTGGCGTACGGGGTCGGTTACGGCGTGCCTTTTCAATGCTTAGAGTTCGTCCTTCTATGGACTCACCCTGCAATCCTTCCTTGGCAGCCTCAGCCTGGTCAGATGTAGCCATGTTGACAAACCCAAAGCCGCGAGATTCCTTGGTATGCGGATCCAACATGATGGAACAGTTTTGAACGTCACCGTATTTCTCGAAAAGGCGGGACACGTCGGCTTCGGTGAGACGAGGGTGAATGCCAGTAACAAAGAGGTTGGTTCCAGTGTTGGCAGCGCTAGCATCGTCATCCTTCATGCGAGCGTCGGGTGGAGGAGCACTATGGAAAAATCAGCGGCCACGTAGGTTGGAGAGGGAAAATGATTAAACCCACCGTGCATCACCGCGGCCGTTCGGCGACATGCTACGGTTGCGAGTAGGCGCGTGGCCGTTACCCCGAGGAGACGCGCTGCGATCCCGGTCATACCGGGTTGCATCTTTGGGCGATGTTTGTTAATGCGATGCTTCAAGCAGCCTGACAACAAACTCCAAGGACCTTACCATCATAGCGACCACCTTCGTTCTCGTATTCCATGGTGGTGACGGGAGAAAAATGACGAATGGAAGAATTGCCACTCGGTTCTCTTTTCAAATCAGACCAAGCTCACTGAGTGCTGGTAGGAGTAGGGGGACGAAATAAACGTATATGCAATGAAGAGGGACGTGCAATCTCTGAAAGACAACACAGCAGCAGAAGCCGGAGAGAGAAAAGACGAACGGGAGGTTGATGGCGGGAGAGTGAAGAGAGCTCGTCGGAGAGAAACAGGCGCAGCCAAGAAGGGAAATTGTTAGTCCGGCCAAAACGGGATTAGCGCGCTCTCAAGCTCAGATGTCCGGTCTTGGCATCAAGCTCCTGGATAAATCCATAACGGCAAATCTCATTTACTATCCCTAAGCTACTGGTGTATGGTATCTCAAGAACTACAAGAGCTGCGCCTTGCAAACTCCGTCGAAAGAGCACAAAGTTATTAGGGTACATAGTCGACAGAACCAAGCATCAAAACCCGTCAATCCTATCTAAATCCACGCCAACGCCGCCTGGTCCTTGGCCCCTTCGGCTGGGGCATTTCCATCCTCCCCGGCTGATCGGCACCCTTGATGCCGCCAGCATCATTCGGCTGTTCTGGGGCTCCATTATCAAATTCATCGTCAACTAGATGACGCAACTCATCTTCGTCAAGTTCGCTCAGCTCTTCGCTCATACCGCGTAGCACCTCGCGCCCTGTCCACCGTTCCTCGTGAATGGTAGTCCCAACGGGGTCAAATGGCTCCATGTACCACTGAATACCACCTTGCGCCAAAGGCGGCTGGTGACTATCTTTGAAGCTCGCAGGCGGGGTTGGAGGACCGGCTTGTGCTTCAATATCCTGTGGTTTAGTGAGGCTGTCGGCTGCTTTGGGGTGATTTAGGGCCGTAGAGTCCAACTCGCTTGAGACAGCACTGACGACTGTTGGAGGGGTGAACACTGGAGGGTGGTCTAGGTTGTTTTGGTGTGAGCCGTCAGTCATCGCAGCGTCCGTCATTTTCTCTTCTCCATTCATTTGCTTCAAAACACCAATTTCTGTGGATATTGTTAGAGGTTCATCGCCTTTTTGTCCAAGATCCACTGCATCCGTCATTTCAACATCCACACTATCATTGCTGCGGTTGTCCTGCCCTTCAGGATTTGATCCTATACCGTTCGGCATTGACGCGCCCATGCAAGGCTCAGCTAGAGTAGCAGGCCCCTCAATCGAATCGTAAAAAGAGCCCCTTCGAGAGAGCACACTATTCTCGAGCATGAGATCCAAATCTCTTAACTCCCTTTCATACGGTTTACCGCTCAGTTCGCTTTCCTTCTTCAAGGCATCTTCCAAAGCTGGTTGGACGGCTTTGATGATCCGTTTTGCGAGTTTCCGCTTCTCACGCTGCTCCAAGCTCAGTTCGGGGGCCCTCCCGCTGATTTGCATCTGTAGCTGTAGCTCTGCAGTATCACCAACAGACTCAACCCCAATTTCTGAGGTGAACACATGAGCCAGATCACGGGAAAACGCCGAAACCGATGTGTAACTCCTATTTTCCAAGTTCGAGCGAATCGAGAGTAGGCCCACACGAAATATCCCTTTTCCATCGAGCCTATGTTGGACTAGTTAACATAACCAATGATATTTCTTTTCCCAGTTCCAAGAAAAACGGGGGACTCACGCCTGTACTCTCTCAAAAATCGGCCAAATCATTGGCGAAATAGGGAAATATACCAAGTCCACAATATTTCGAAGTGTTTCGGCGTCTTTAAGCTTCTCGCGTTCTCTTTTCTTTACCTCATCGCAGAGCATGCGGACCTTATCCACATCTAAAGACAGGCGATCGGCGAACTCTATCCGTCGTTGAAGTCTTACGCTTCCGGTGGGGCCCATCCCAGCGAAGTTACGTCGCGTCATTTCCATCGAAGAGAACGTTTCTAATTGTAGTTGTAGTCTCTTCAGAAGAGCTGCCCCCCTTCTTGCCTCTCTTTTCAACGTCCAGTATTTGCAGGCATCCTCAGCATACTGCTTCCGTTGACGTACAGTAAAACGCTGTAAGGAAACAATCACGTTATTCAGGATAACCTGGGGTACAACAGGAGCCCCAGATGGAAGTTTCCACACCATTTTCGGAGGCCCAAGCCGTTTGCGTTTGTTACCACCAACGGTCAACGTAATGCGTGGAGTCACAGGTCTCTGGTCATCCTCCGCTACTTCACCATCGCCCTGAGGCTCTGGCCCCAAAGCAAGGGCAGCTGCCTGGCTGTCGCCCCATCGCCGGCCTTGCATCGTAGTACGATAGTATTCCATGGCATCTGCAATAGCACCGTCGGTATTATACTCCCTTCGCCAATCTGGAGGGACATGCCGATCGCAGAACGCCTTCAAAGAGTTAGAGTCCATAATCGCAGGCACTCCCGGAGTCAACTTCATTTTCAAGTAGAGCCGCGCCCGCCTCCCGCAAGTTACGTGAAACGCAGCAAAACAATTTTTGTTGCTACATTGAATACATGCACCCATCTTTTGCCGGCAGATGTAGCATGTTAGCTTCCAACGGCTTCTTGGGACCTTTTCTACATCTAGCACAGGCTCCATGAGAGAAGGGTTGCCGATCGACACCTCGGGAATCCAGACAGCACATAGAAGATGGGACCATTTCGAGGTGTTTGTCTGTTTAAAGGCGCCTTCTGTGTTCGGGCAAAAAATACAGGATGGGGATCCGCGACCAATCAGCTGGCATTTGCGGCAAAGCCATTGACCTTCGGGTATATAGGGAACTCCGTAGCATTCCTGATGGACAGCAAGATCGCAGCCATCACAAAAGACAATAGCATTAGAGTTCTCGCAGTCCCCGTCATCACAGACAGCACACTTGCTATCTTGCTCCTCGCCTGTGCCAGCATGTTCGCCATTGACCGCTGCAGCAGAGCTTGAGCGAGGTCGCTGAGTTTGTGGTGGCTTAGGATTAGGTTTTGGGATTCTTTTTTCGAGAGCATACCATTCCTTCTCAATCTTCGTCATGGTGATCTCGAAAATGGCCGGTTTGATTGGCTCAAACTGGTCAATTCTCCTTTGAGCGTTGTATGCTTCTAGCCATTTGGCATCTTGTTCATCCATATCATACTCGACCCGCCCAACACCAGTGTTTCCTACCGCAGCATTCCCAGAATCCCCATCAGTGGCAGTGGGAGGATCCAAATCCAGGTCCTCTTCGACGACATCTTCGGTCATGCGAATTAGGCGCCTCTCGTGCCGAAGAAAAATATCGCTTTCCTGATAGCCAACACTTGCCATTGTGCGATCAACATAGTTTTGCTGCCCTACACCCTTCTGCTCGAAAGGCAAGAATGGGTCCTTGAGAGCGAACGAAGGCTTGGGCAAAGTAAGCTTCTCTCGAGGATTGGGCCCAGGTGGAGGAACTAATTTGGGCAGTTGGAAGGGAACCATGTTGTTCGACATATTATCTCCTCGCCGAGGCCTTCCTGGCCGTCGTTTGATGCCCGGCGTTGACGCCGTCGGCGTGGACACGATCGAGTTCTCTGCTTCCATAACACCATCACCATTACTCATATCTTGCAGCATATCATTTTGTAGAACGCCATCCACCTCTTCTGAGCTGAAAACCGCTATTTTGGCGTCGATATCAAGATCGGGATGGAACTCTTCCCAGCCTCTCTCCTCTCTCGGCTTGTATCCATCTCCCTGCGCAACAGCAAGTACAGCAGCGGCTGCAGAGCTGAACCGACGGCCCTGGTTCTTTTCGCGTCTTGGACGAGTAGAGGCAGGTGGCGTTGCCGGGGGAGGTGGAGGGGGCTTGGGGGGAGCTGTTCGAGGAGTTTCGCGGGGAGGCCGACTACGGGATGCCGTTTTGTTCTGGCTAGCGGAGTTCATCGGCCGCACGGGTGTCTCCGTGCCGTCAATTTCCACATATCTTCCACCACCCCCGGGACCCCCTGGGATATACTTGCGTCGTTTTGGCGGCGGCTCGCTGCTAGGCTCGTGATCCGTGGCAGGTGGATTTTTCAACCGACTGCCACTACGAGGCTTAGGGCGGGAGCCAAACAGTTTACGCCCCATAATGGCAGAGCTATGGTGTCCGGTCTGCCTCAAGGAACGCAAATGTTGGCTTTTGATAGTCCAGTTTTGGAATAGTTCGATAGTTGCCCAGGGAAGATTCACAGGAGATAGGCTATAAAATTCGAATCTGCAACATTGCCTAGACTCTGGTGCTCAAGAAAACTTAGTAAAGAGGAGAGATAAAAGGAACGTCGACAAACCTCACGGCCCCGAGCTGGCTGTCGCGATGCATCGCGGTGAGTCCGGCTCGAGCGAGGGATGGTTTATCATTATGGAGCACAGTTCTAGTCTAGCCTCATTGGGAAAGGTGCGTGCTGCCAAGCCTCATCCACACTGCTGAGTAAGTTGCAAGTCGCTCGAGACGGCGTCGACCTCGATGTGAACTTTGAAGCCTGTTTTTGTTTCCTGCGAAGCGCTGCGGTGCAAGGATGAGCGGTGCCGGAGACGATCGGTACATGAAAATCTCTGTTTCTCTTTTCCATTTGGTTTTGCTGACCTGATTTGTTTGACTAGATGGCGTGGTGGTCGCGGCTATGATCCCAATCGCCCAGCGGGTCAGCGACATCACAGCGCAGGCTTTCGGGACCGATCAATGGGTGGCCATCAGCAGGATCGCCATGGCCAGCGAGGACAAGGCAATATCATCAATGCAGGCAATGCCTGGGGCGGACCCGCACAAGAACCTCATATCCCCGTCCGGGGCTTCAACGGGGCCGAACTGAAAGATGCTCTCAGAAAAGGTATACTCTTACACGGTGCCGCCTGCATGATTATTGCTCACAGAGAGGTTCTGTAGGGTATGAGCCAGCTGGTCCAGGTGGTATGCTATGAACCTCCCAAATCGGCGCCCAACAGCGCCTTGAACATCCCTATTGACATGAACCTGCTCAAGAACCCCAGCCTATGGCCTACAAATCTAATGGAAAGGATGCGAACAACATTCGATCCAGTGGACCTTGGGCATCAAAGCGTAAGTTGATCGTATACCGGTATCAGCACGGAGCCCACACTGAAAGACACCAGCAAATACCATGGTAAACGGCAAAGACTTCTTCCTCGAGCTTCGAAAGCAGATATCCGGCCTTCAGCAAAGCGGAAACGTCCCTGGTGGCTAAATCTGCTTATCCCGTTTGGTGGAATAAGGCGCGACTGGGGTGCAGCACTGTATGTGGCCTACATTGATAATCATGTTTCCGGCTATATCGGTACGCTCTGTGCAGAATGTAGCATAGTGTTATATTTGCACTCTTCGATGCTTCGTGCTGTGGGAGCGTCGAGTAGAAAGCAATACAAGTAAATACTCTCAATTGTTCTTGTACGCCGGCCCACTATTGAACTTCGTACTCCGTAAATATTTGTGGTTCTTGAAAAGTGCTTTCCCTCATGTTACGAGAAGAGTCAATAGGGCGTTTACGCTCATCCGAACGTTGGTGGAGCTATTCGCTTGGGCTGCAAAATGCTTCCTCTTCTAGGCTCCATATAGTTATTCGATCCTCGTACAACGCAAGATCGGAGAAAAAAGGTAAAACAACTATCATACAGTACATATCTACGGAGTACATATGCATGATACCCCCTCTCCCTGGCGACATGCCAGCTGGAGTTTGGACCGAAAATAAGAACCCGAAACAAACAGTCCGAGCGCGGCGATTCGGTGGGGACCGTCCCTTGAACAGTTCCCGTCTCAGCATCCAGATCTCCTCTCGACGTCCATGCACCTTGTCCATGCAGCACATGCCTGTTCATCAACCCTGCTAGCGAATGCAGAGACGCGGAATTCTGTCATGAGTTACACTGCAGCGGGCAACACCCCATGCTGGCGCTTCGAACCACTATTTTTATTTAGCGGTCTAGCCTCGTTGCTCTGCAGGTCAAGCCGTGGCGGCCAATAGACGCTGCAGCAGCAAAAAAAACTACTGGTATGATACGGAGCACTGTGGACGGCTATTTTTAGCCGTGCACAATGCAATTAAAAAGTTAAAGAAGATCAACTTTTGAGCAAGGAAGACTCCTCAATGACCACCATCCCACTTGGCGTCTCCACGAGAAGATAGCCGCGTCCGCTGGGCCGGTGGCCCACTTGCCCACGATCAACGAAGGGGGTTAATCGGTTCAAATTTCGACCTGTCATTTCTTAGCCTTCCTTGTGATTCTCGTCGAGCCCTTCGATCTTCTTTTCTGAAGCCTCAACCGAGCCCATGCAGGTCGGAAAGCGGCCGGCGGCTAAACAAAACCACCATTGGCTTCGATGTTTCGCGCCACAGCGGGCCGTCCGCCAACTCTAAATGCGCGGAGGATGATGCAAGTCTCGAAACCACCGATCCTCTCATGAAACAAGGACAATGTCAGACGAGACAGTAAATAGCATCGGATTCCGTCTAAGCGCTGAGAATGAATGACGGGCGGGCTCGCTGGACCGATGTGCAGAACGGGCAGAAGTCAGGCTTTCAGGATTGACCGACGTCTCGGACCAGGTAACCCTGGCCCATGATCAGACTAGTAGGGCCGAACGGGTATTATCAACATGGGTAGAACAATGGTCAGAGCTGATTTGGTCCTTGTCAGGTTCTTCTTGGAGACCTTGTGCATGAAGGGCCCCTTGGCCAGCATACAGAATATCGAATCTAATGGTCAGCATCCTGGGAGCGTCCCGATTTAGTCCTTCTCCACGTTCCTGCTTCAACACTCGGGAAGCCCAGTGTCTCGGCATGCAAGCAGAAGAAACACGATGCTTCTCCAACACAGATCCATCACGGGAGAATTTGAGCTCAAAACTGGCTCTTACCCCAAGCACTGACGGTCTCACCCGTGGAGCCGCTCATTCTGCAGCCATCCACCTAATCAACGTCGCCTTTCCGGCTGCGACCGCCAGACGACCGCCTACTTACCAATCATTTTCAAGGATTCGTGTGGCCCAGCGCTTGTGTCCTTAACCATCGGGATCCATGCTAGGCAGCCTGGAAGCCAAATCACCCTCCACTTCCTACATGCTGCACTTCGATTACGACACCGACGCCATCTGCTTTGCTAGCTTCTCTCGGGGCGCCTATCTGTTTATCTTTGGCTAGATGAGAAGAAACAGTCTAGTTTTTTTGGTGCCAAATATGGAACTCCGATGCTAGGTTGGTACGACATGATCTGCATATGCTCTCTGCACTAATAAGTTCACCCGTCATATAAGGACGGGAAGCCCGTCTTCTACCAGCTATATTGTCCGCCCTTTCCATTATTGGCTTTTTGCCTTGCATTCTTTCTAGGCTCCTTTCTTCAGAGAACTGGCTTTCCCTGAACCAAGGTGTCTTGCATTCTGCCCTGCAAAAAGCCTCGATGCTGCCTTAAGAATTTGCGGCGTAGGAAAGGCCATGTTAAGCAAGGCTGGTTCTGGCTCTGTTGTCATTCAATTTTTCTATGTTATTTATTGCCTAATTGATTTACTTTACATTCCTATGTTGGTCTCGTGTTCGTGCTGAATTATACTCTTAATTTTCTACCTTGATTTCTTGCCTATGCTTTGTTCGAAAGACCTCCCTGACATATAGTTCCACGGAGCTCCAGTTTCCTCTAAACTTTGAATCGACTTTCTAGCCATTCTGGGTCATCGCATTACCTGAGAGAGCACATTGGGTGGCCCATTTCTCAAGTACGGAAGAGTGAACCCGCCCTTTGTGTCTCCTTTTGGTTTGCAAAAAAAGCACGGACTGAAATGCCGAAGCAGACGCCCTCGCGAGCCTCTAAAAGATCAGCACCATATCCCTCATCGAAAGCAAAAACAGAAACACCAGCAACACCAAAAGAGATGAATCCTCTACGTACTTCTACCCCTACGGTCCCGCATGGACTAAATCCGTGGCAAGGCCATGGTTCACAGTCGTGTCCAGTCCCTTCTCATATTGCGACATACCCCAGTCGATTGTCAGGAGCAGAACGTCAGCCTGTCGCCTTGCCTAGCAGCCCTATGACTCCTACGAGTACTTCTGGTCCATGGTCGCCACGAGATGATGAAATCCTCCTAGCAGCACGAGCTCAGGCTCAGGGCTGGAACCAAATCCAGAGGGATCACTTCCCGTCCAAATCCGCTAATGCCTGTCGAAAACGATACGAGCGGTTGATCGCAAAACGCCGCGGTTCTGATTGGAATGACGAACGCATCGATAGGCTCGCGAATCAGTACATGCAAATGCGGGAGCAGACTTGGCGTCCTCTCGCCGACGCTGTCGGTGAAAATTGGGAAGATGTAGAGAAGCTGGTGAGTGCTCCCCCGCTTCCCTATGCGGTCATAACACTTGCACCGAGTTGACATGGTAACTCAATAGTGCCTTGAACGAGGTGCAAGAACCCTACTTCCAACGTTAGGACAGCGTGAATTGCGCCGTGAGCATGCTGATCGTGAAGGCCGAGGTGGTAGCCATGACAGCCATGACGAAGAAAGACTCAGCATACATAATTTATTGCAATAAAACAACCTGCAATGATTTCATGGTTATCCCACACCAAAGCATACATGTTCGGAATTGCAATTTCGCTTTTATTTAATTATTTTGCCATATAATATCCTCTATTCCCTCCTATTTGCTTTCCCTCTATATGTTTGCCGTATTTCTGAAGTTGTGCATCATTGGGGATGGTGGCCTTTTGTTCCTGTGCATTGCATCTTGCTATATACATTTCCTCACTCTTTTTGTCCCGTCCATTTTATTTGATTTTGGAGCATCTGCATTTGAGGTCGTTCTGGCTGTTAGTTGGGAATTCGCTTTTTAATCTTTCCTTTTCCTTGCTGCACCTCCTTTCCCAATAACAAGGCTTTTCAAGATGAGTATCAATAAATGGCGTTTAATGGAAGTCATAGTTGGCTGACCAGCAAGTTAGACAGAATTATGAATCGATGATAAGACTATAACTAACAGTTCTACTCACTAACCCGAGCTTAAGCACAAACAGCTACATTATGTATTATAACAGGTATAACATGTTTTAATCACTAATACACACATCCAAGTAATGATTTAAACAAGAAAAGAAAAAGGAATAATATACATTAAATATGAGGTTAGATGTACAGTCTCTTCATTCTTCCCACTATTTATCTTGTCATCAATTACAATCCCCAGAGATTCGGTTTCATAGGCAGACAAGTGGCTATTTACCCAAAAAAATAGCAATGAAGGCAGCAACTGAGAGAATTGAGCCGGCTGGTCCGGATCGAGACGTTTTGCCCTCGAAAACGAGGTGGGTTGGTGGCGGTGCTGGAATATCTTTAGGGATTCCGGTAGGGCGAGGGTTAACTGAACCGGAGGTTATAAAACCTGTGGGTACTTGGCTGATGTTGCTGGTTTGAACATCACCGGGATTCGGGAGACCAATGATTGTACCTTGCGATGCGGCGGAACTCTGAGCTGGAGAATCGCCATTTTCTGCACAGCTTGGAGACGGAAACGGCCCTGTCGCGCCTTCAATGTGGCACTGCTGCTGCCTAGGGAGGAGGCAGCAATAGAAGCTGACACCGTCGCGCCCGACATGGTTTGCGTGAATGCAGTCGGGCCAACGCCGCCTGGTGTGGTTGCTGGAGGAGCTACGATGTACAGTGTTGGCTGAGGAACCGCACGAGATGCGGCAGTGATCTCAATCGCTAAATCCGTCAGCTGAAAAATTTCAATTCTCGGGCACACTGTTGTCGAAATGGCGATGGTCTTCGTCGTAACATAAGTTGTCCGTTGGGATGCAGGACAGTCGTACACAGTTGATGGACACGCAGTAACCGTCACAATTTCAGTTGAGTAAACCGTGGATGTTGCGAACTGAGTGGGCCGCGCAGTTGATACTGGGCTCCCTGTCATTGAAGAGAGTGAAGTCATATAGACTGAGCTTGATGGCGCCGCTGAAGAATGGCTATTAACGGAGCTCCATTTGCCAGTAGTGACGGATGTGAAGGGCGGAGGAGATTCAAACTGGAGTGCTGTACTCGAAGCAATTCCTGGAGAAGTATCGCATGGAGTAGTTTGCGTTATACCTAAAGCCATAGCTGTGCGAGTTGGAAATGCAGACGCAGAGGTAACCGTCACTAGGGCAGTTGCACTGTTTGTCGGCGAAACACCCGGAGACGTTTCAGCCCCCGTCATCGAGGCTCCTGGGGTTATAGTTGAAACGACAGGGGGTGGCCGTGCTCGTAGGCGCGATTTTTATTCCCGTAACAGAAATGTCAATGGAATGGATAGTGTAGCACTGCCATCAGAGCTAGATGCAGAATCTGTGCAGGAAGCTGTTTCAGTCGCGGTGGCAGAGGAACTAAATGGAGAAAGAATTGGACTAGAATCAGCCCCTATGCTAGATGTTGTTGCTGTCGAAGATATAAAGGGAGTGGTTCAGTTCCGATAGCAATTGTTGAAAGAGATAAGAGAGTACCAGGCACCGCGGTAGATGCCGTGGTCTCAGGTGCAGTGCTTGATGCAGGTTGAGCAGGAGCCGATGACCTGGTCTTGGTCATAGTGTTAGATGCGCTGGCTGCTAGTGAAACTGTTGAAAAAGTTCCACGTGCCGCACTAGACGCGATCGCCGTGGATAATGCGGAAGAGGCGGTCTCAAATGCAATACTAGAGTTGCTATCAGTGCGAGCAGCGGATGTAATCTCACTCATGGAGCGCGACATGGAAGTAGTCTCCGACGAAATCGACGGGAGCTCAGAAGTCGTGCCTATAGTAGTAGTGGATGAGGCGGAGGAGCTTGTTACGATGGTGCTGGACGTGCTTCTCATTTCTCTGAGGGAGGTGACTAAAATCGACGTACTTAATTCAGAAGACGCTGTTATTCCGGATAATGTCGAAATTGTCACGGAAGTGGGAGTAGGCGTCACTGACGAAGCAGTGGATATAGGGCAGACTTGAGCCCCCGGCCCAAGCACTTCAACTTTATCGAAATCTATACTGAACTCCCTTTTGCCATCGCAGTAGAACCTTAACACAAGCTTTTGCTTTGATCGCCGTGCAGTCCACTTCAACGAAACAGAATTCCATCTAGAATCTTCGTACCCAACAAAGAGTTGTATGATGTTACCACTAAGCCAATTGGCATCCGTACTATCGTCGTCCTAGAAGAAGTTGATGATGCAGTCCTGACGCCCTATCTCCGATGGCGTCACCCGCCATTCTAACGAGATTTCATGGGAGGCACCCGCTTTTAAGGCCCTCACGGTGCTGGAGAGGTACCCTGTATCGTCGGACTTGAGCTTGGTACGACTATATCCCTCGATCAGACTTAAACTGATAATGTAGACTTGTCTATTCTTACTAGTAGCTCTTCCCGTCGACCGCATCATTGATCTTCATCATCCCTCCAGTTGGACCAGTGAAAGACCATCTTCAAAAGACAAGTTGTCCGCCAACTGAGGCTTGCAGGTTCCAGGTGCACTTTGAAGGCCAAAGACCGAGCTCGAAAGGAGAAAGATTGACAGACTGCATAAAGGAACGCGCCATTGCTAGCCGTTAAATTATAAATTAGTAGCAAAAGAAAGAGCGAATATATTATAGTATCAATTATTAGCGATAACGAACGTAGAGGGCCTTCGCGGCCATAAAACAGGCAGCAAATCAAATGAGTGACAGGAGCGCATATACAGACATCATCTGTACATGAATATTCGAATGAGAGACCGAGAGATCGTGAGAACCACAAGAAGGCTTGGGAAAATAGCGGCGATTAGGATCGCTCCAACCGGACCTTTCGAAGTCCTCGTGCAAGATCCAGAGTCACGAGCAGACGAGGCTACTTGCTTGGAAACCATAGCGGCCATCCTATGGAGTACTCGAGAGCCAATTTTCGCGGGTCGAATGGACCAATCTCAGCGGGTATTTCCAAGAGCCATTTGTGATAGTTCCTAGCTCAGCGAATCCGGGGTGGTCCTCTCGCGAAGCAACGGGGGGGAGGGCTAAAAAGTAGCATAATGGCTCCAGGTTAACTTCGATAGTAGCTGAAAGTTTTCTTGTGACGCCTCTCCGTATAGCTCCCCGGTATGGGTTGCAGTGAAGAGGAACAACGCTGAAGGTATGCCTTGAAGAAGTGCATCGAAAAAGCCGAAGTTTTGAAGTTTCCCCTGAATTGGAGCGCGATTGTCTCCTGGCTCTTCTGTCGCTTCCTGCCAAACTTCCGAGGCGAGATTTATACTCTGCTGAGGTCATTCAAGCCATATGCGCTAGACCAAATACGGGATGGGTCGCTCTACCACGTGCTTGGAGGAATGGCTCGGCACCGAAGCTTGACCTGATTTGGGTTGGCTCCGCTCAAGCGGCAGGGACCAGCGCCTAAAACGCTAGAGAATGGGTAGTTGGCAATGATACTGTAGCTGGCGAAGTCTGGAAGGTTGTTTCGAGGGCGAGTTCGGCAGGCCTTCGAACATTCCCCCTTGCAGCCCTTGTACGTTACGCCTCTCAAGAGAGGGCTCTATCTAGCTTAGTTCACCAGCGCATTTACGTTGTGCTTGGACAAGTCCTATGTGGATCCAATGAAGATCCACGAAGTACGGAGTTACTCCGTACGGAAACATGAATCACGGGTTGCATTCACAAAGAGTATTAACTTTCGACATCAAGCTCCTCTTGTTTGGGCATTAGGAAGATAGGAAGTAGGAAGAAAAGACCCGGTTCATGGCCCCAATCTCCACACACTTTCCCCTCTAGAAACGACAGTCGAAGAAGCACTGCAATCATCACCGTCGATATTTCACTCTCCATGCTCCATATCCTTGTTGAAGATGACACGTAAGCAGACCTTTTTTTTGGCTTCCCTTCTTCCATTCTGCAAAATTTTGATAGGATTTCTTCTTGGGATGAAGAAAAGGGGCTAGACCAACAGCCCTTTGAAAGATCAATTGATGCAATGAGCTTCTTGGCGGCTCAATAAAGTTTTGTGCTTTGCTATTTTAATCCACAGCCACTGGGGATTCAGAAAGGAGTTTCTATGCAAAGCTTAGAGAATGACAATTTTCGCAGCCTTTGAAAGATTGTGACGATAGTATTATTGATAGGGAGTACGGAGCAGTCAAGTTACTCCATGCTTCGTCGGCAGGTTTACGAAGCTGCTTGGGACTACATACAAAGTGTACCTCTGAAGTGGACCGCCTGGAGTACGTAGTGGACGAAGGATATTTCGCCGAAATTGACTTTTGAGCTGTTGCTTCCATCTATTCGCGGCTTGTTGATCCACTGCAAAGCTTCAGTTGGCCCAGCGAGCCATAACAATGCCAAAGTTTCATGATGCGATGGGGAGAAAAAAGGAGAGAGAAAAGAAAAGGAAAAGAGAAAGAGATAAATAAATACCCTGCCACATCAACATGAATAGCTATCACTCCAAGTCGCCGTATACTCCGTATACAAAGTAATAATACAATATAAAGAATTGCTCTGGGGTATCATCTCGTATGAGCCGCATAGAATTGTAGGAAGCACAAATTGTTTCCATCCAGTACCCGTTATTGAACTCTCATCCAATCGTCAGGACCTAGTATTCCCCCATCATCTGCCTTAGCGTCAAGTGCCCATTTCCTCAAAGCTCGACACTTCAAATCCGATTTCCATCCGGCTTCAAACATCTCAATCCCAGTCCAACCAATCATCGCTGCATTATCCGTACATAAGTACATCGGTGGCGCAATAATTTCAACGTCGGTAAATCCACGAATATCCAAGAAAGAACGAAAAACGCTGCGCAGAAACTGATTGGCAGCAACGCCACCGCTAATAACGATTGTTTTCACGGGGCTTCCAAGCCCGGGGAGTCTCCCTTGGGCTTTTCGACGCTCCTTTTTGCTCCAGTTTTCGATATCTGGCTGCTGCAGCTTCCTTAAGGCGAACACGGTTCTAGAAACAAGGTGCTCGAAACAGACACGCATAAATAATCGTGATAGCGAAACCCGGGCATCATGAGGAAGCCAGTCGTCAGTTTCTCTCTTGGCCCCTTCTTCCCATTTAGTTTTATGGGCTTCAAGCTGCTTTTGAGCCGTCGACAATAATCCTGCAAAAGAGAATGCTACTGTCCGTGTTTCAGCATATGGCATAGTCAGTGACCAACCCCATCTGGTATCTTCATACTTCTCAATCTCTTCTCCACGATTCGACGGAGGTTTGTAATTTGCATAATCTACCTTTCCATTCGGAAAAGCAAATGTCTCAAGTGCTTTTCCATACATCGTCGTTTTAGACGCTTCAATATAAGATGTAGGCAAGGCCATTCTCGCAATTTTATCCAGTGCATCTCCTATCGCAATGTCGACAGTTGAGCCGAGGATCTCATGCTCGACAAGGGACTTAGAGTGAACCAGCAACGTATGACCACCAGACACCAATATAGAGAAGAAAGGAAACTCCACTCCTTTGAGCGTTGACGCTGCCTGCGCCTGCGCCTCAAGCGCAGCAACCAATCTTGGAGTCAGCAAATGCGCTTGCATATGATGTACTCCCATCAGAGGAACCTGCCACGCCACCGCTAGCCCCTTTGCCGTATCCAATCCCGTTGATAAACTAGATACCATTCCAGGACCTCGAGTTACGGAGATAAAATCTGGCTTTTGCCTGCGGACGGACGCGCTACCGTCTGTAGATTGAATGTATACGGATTTGACGTTGCTGTCCTGTTCGGTGGCTGGTGGGAGGTGTTGGAGCGACTTGTGCACTAGTTTTGCGAGGTTTTCTTGGTGGGAGCCTAGGGCTACCATGGGGTGAATTCCCTTGTATTCCCGCGAGTCTGCTGTGACGTTTTCGAGGAAGTGGAGGGTAGCCGCGCAGCTAGACGGAGGGTTCGCGCCATGTTTTTCCACAATCGCGACGGAAGAATCATCACTGGCAGAAGATTGGCGTTAGTATTCCATAAATCCATAATCTGACAGGTTCCCATGAGGGAAAAAGCTACATACCATGATGATTCAATGGCGAGAGTAAGGAGCTGTCGCTGCTGGGCGTGGTGGACAGCCGTTGAAGCTGTCTTAGAGCGGAGTAATACTCTGCATGCTGTCCTCGAAGAGAATAGCATTGGTAACTCGGATGAAAGGTGACAGGCACGGCTGTATAACTGCTAGTCTAACACGGACTCGGGGAGTCTTGAGACAGGGTTTAAGCTTCACGATTTTTAGTTTTCGACATTCGTGTTATCTTATCGCTGGAGCAGAGCGGCCCAGCAGTTACTTCACGGCCAGTCGGTGTGCAAAAGCATTTACTTCAGATGACGCTTCTCTATGGAGTACAAACAGGGGAAATTCACCTCGACAAATGTTTTCATTCATTCAAAACGGAGATAATAACTATTCACTGATATTGTTCGACTCGCTCAACATAAGTATATTCCACTTAACGAGTGCACCACATTACTCTCAGCCTGAAACCTGGTCAAACCATTGACGACCGGTCACCATCATGTCCACCCAACTCCACCTTGATTCCTGACGCTGGATCCGTTTAGCTGGGGCAACTTATCCACTCACTCGTATTCCTATATATAGGAAAGGTAACAGCCCTTTCTAGGAGTGACGGGCAGCCGGATGCAACCGATCTCCGTGCAGGTTCGCGAGATTCGTATGTCAGGATCAGAGACGCCACATCGCTCCGCCACGGCGGGAAAGAAGGTGACCATTGACTTGGGTCCTTATCACCGCGTTTCATAATGGCATATAGAATCGTTCCAACAACGTTGGTTTCTCGGCGCGGCGTAAGACCTGAGAGTCCGACATCTTTCACTGTCTTATCCCTTCGATTGATTTCGTCCATTCGAGGAAAAATCTTTCCATTCAATCACGAAAATCTCGACCACCGTCTCTCATCCCTGCTCATTTTGGCGTAAGTACCGTAGTACTCATCGGGATTTTCGATCGGAGTCACGCAGTGGACGGTTGGCTCTCCATTGAATTGGATCCGCCTCTTCGCAGCCAAGTCGCTGTTGGCAGCACTGCTCTTTTTCAAAATACTCTTGGCAGTGCTAGAGTTGGTGTATGCGAAAGTGGGCTGCTGCGGTAGGGGAGACAGATGTCCCTGGCTTATTTTTCGGTTGCGAGCAGTGTTAAGTGCTGTTGGGCTGCGTGGTGACGGGGAGAGTGGTGTCCTGGGCATGGCCATCGCTGCTGGAGACGGAAGGGAGAGCGATGGAACACCGGTGGATGCGGTGTTGATCTTAAGGGAGAGCTTGGGCTTTGCAACTCGAGTAGCATACATTTTGGTGAGGAACTTGTGGAATGTGTTTTGGCTTTGTAATGTTGAACGGAAGAGGGATCTATCGAATAATAGCGAGGAATATATATTCTTTTAATAAATGTGTGATTTCAAGAGGCGCCGTGAAGCAACGTCAAGCAAATAAAACAATTTTTTTTTTTTTCGGTTTGCTATTTTGGTAAGAGTGGATTGCTAACGTTGGGACCAGCCAACAACAGAACGAAATCCAGCTATTAATAAAAAAGAAGAGTAAGTAAAGTGGAAATAGAAAGGGGCACAGTTTCGAGAAAACCAGTTCTCTGCACAGTTGCTGGAGAAGAATAGCAGTTCCAAATATGTCGCGATGGGTTGGGGGTCAGGGTTATTTATAGGCAGGGTAGTGCAAATTTAGCGTCACAGAGAGCGGTTCTTGGCGACTCACCACTGGCCGGCGCCTCGAGGTGATATGAATTCTTGGATGTGACAGCGTGAGGGGAACGGCTCAAGACGGTCGAAATTCAACCAGCAAACCTCTCACGGCGGCCAATCGGGCTGCATTCCCGCCCTCTCAAGACCGCAGACAAGGTCGGGCCGGCGCTCACCGCTCCAGTGAACCGGGTTCGTTTGCTCTGGAGGCACTCGGTACAGGCATCAGGATAGGACGATAAGCTTTCTTATCACGAAGGCATGCAAGCCATCTTTCGTCAGTCTGGCTCCCATTGGGCAAAAGATGATCTCAACCCCTCTTTTTCAAATTTTTTTGCCAGGGACACGGGAAGTGAATTTGAGGTATCCCAAGGGAAGAGGCACTAACGCACTGACTGACGCTCTGGTGGCTGGCTTTGCAATTTTACTTCTCGAAGTTGGCGGCTATGTTCGTGATTGGTTGAGAGACGTTCCTGCGCGGGGAGGGGCTGTTTTTCGCATTTCATCACAATTTTCTCGCCGAGTGACCCCTCCAACCGTGTCAAATGCAACTGGGGAACCAACCCGGTCACGAAGTCGAACTTCGCTGAGCCAATCGTCAACACTCAAAGAGCTGGGCAGCCTTTTTGCGCACCCGGGCAAAAAAAGATCGTTGTTCATGTTACCAACAGCAAGAGCCCTCCCGGCTAGCGAAGCAGTCGCCAAAAAGGCGCAAGGCGAACTTGGCCCGGAGTCTCTTTCTTTGATGATGGACTCATCAAAAAAAGAAAAGAAGGGAAACGAGGAGAAGAGAGAGGAAAAGAGGGTTGGTTGTAATTCGTTGCCCGAGGACCTTGCGGCCCTGCGGTTTTCAGCAACGTATGTATGCGCCTAAAACAAGGTTCCTCGATATTTTCAACATGCCCAACACAGGTTTTACTGGGTTGGCACTGGACAACAAGACGGAGTATTTCAAAACCACTTCTAGAAGTTTTGAAGAAAAACTCACTTGAGGAGCAAAAGGAAAATCCGAAAGGAAAAATTCGGAGAGCGCAAATATGATGTTGTGTCTCTCTGTCCTTTTCGGATCATTTTGTGCACACGGAGTAAACCGGCTGCGGGGAAACTTGGCGCTCCAACGGCTTCTCAAATTGTTCCAGCAGCTTTGCCGCTATCGGCAAGTTTATCCCCGGTGTAAGGTACGTATGGCTAGGGAGAGCCGATATCGATAGAAGCGGCTGGGTCCTCCGTCCCTGAGCCATTTATTGAATGGAGCACGGATGAGTGGCACATGACATGCAGAAGAAGATCCTTCCAGGGAATGAAGACGACCATGCAGATGTCTGATTCTGCCAATCCAGATGGTGGAAAATATGTATAAATATCAACAGTCGGTTTTCTCAAAGGCAAGTAACGATAATCCGCGAATTCAGGTGCTTCCCAAGCTCCCGTTGTAAGAAAGCTTTGGTTGGAGCTGGGAAACTCGGTCATTGGACATTTCGGTAAAAGAAAGCCTCGGCCGAACACACGAGGAGGTTGTTGGGCCGGGAAGAGGAGGGTATTTCTCCGCAACGGACTCGGGAGTGCTGCTAGCACGGAACAAGCTGCGTTAAAATGCCTGCGGTGGGTCGAAAGCTTGCTCTCTTGGGGCTTGGTGGAGCATCGCGCTTGGATGTCTGGCTTGATCAGCGCCAAAGGAGCCCAGAGAAGACTTTGAGAGGAAATTGACATAGGAACAGTATGCATGTTCAACATGACAATCCCATACAGAGTAGTGCTATGGAAAAACATCTTGAACAAGAAGTTATACGCACATGCGTACAGACACAAAACATTAAGGTTTTTCGGCGTTTTATAGCCGTTGGAAACAGGAAACTCAACAGCCACCTCCCAAAATTCCTAAGCACAAGTGACTTTTTCTACATATGCCTAGGCATTGAGCACGGCAAGAACCAAAAAATTCTGGTAAAGTTTCGTCGCAACCATAGATTGGAGACGATTTTTCCCCGATCGCCAGAACAGACTTTTGGTGCCTGTGAAATCTCGCGCCAGAAGGTGTCACTAGCCACATGGCAAGTGAATCATGTGACAGTGTTCTTCCAATACCCCTGGACATCAACAACTCTCACCCCTACATCTGTGCATGGGGCGGGTGCCATAGTGACTGGTGATGGGGACTTCTGCTGTACACATTGTAGGTAAACAAGAGTTCTATTCCCCAAAGAGGTCCAAAGGATATCGCGAAAGTGATTGTTAAATGAAAACTGTCGCTACATCAGCACTGGCGTGAAGGGGAATCCTCAAACTCAGATTTAAAGCAACGCCACACGGCCGCCACCGCTAAAATTAGGTGCAGGGGGCCCACCAGCAGGCCCGGCTGGATCGGCTGGACGATCCAGTGAAAACTGTTCTTTGGCTAAAATCCGGAGACTGCGCGAAGGACAAAGTGACTGCGCGAAAAAAAAAAAAGGTTCTCACTTTTCTCTGTCACTTTGCCCAGCTGCATCTCATCACCACAATCTTTCTCTCACTTTCAGTGCTCTGCAATCCATCATGGTAGAGCTCTGATACATATTTCTTTTTCTTTTTTTTTTGGCCTGTTTCAAACCTTCACTAATCCATCCATTCGCTTCATTGGTAGCTTTCAGCTGCATGTTGTTTTTTCTCTCCCTCACCTCGCAATTTGAAACCAGATATCTGCTCCTTCAATCTTTTTGAACTGTTGATCAGCATTTGTCGGGTGTACTGCCCATCCAACCGCTGAATATGGCGCAAGTGAAGGATGCTCTCAAGGCTTCCCTTGTGGGAACGCCTGAGCAAGAAACCCCCATGACTGCACAAGTTAGAGCAAACTTCATGCAACATGCGCGAACAGACACTGGGACCGGGGAACTGTATATGATGGAGGAAGATTTCATCAATGCAATTGCTCCAAAGCAAGAGAACTATGTAAGATTGCTCCCAAAGAGCCAGAAGTCAAGTGACTCACACGGCATTTTGTTCCTGATAATGCTGCTTCGATCTCATGTCAGAGGCTAACGTTTGTTTCGTTGGATGACCTAGCATAAGATAAAACGGGAACAATACGGTATTCTCTTCCAGGTCGCCGATCGCCGACAAACAGGACGTGTGAACCTTGGTGACTGGGCTGCATTTGAGAGCCTCCTGGCAAAACCAGATGCCGAGTATGAAATCGCATTCCGGCTGTTTGATGCGGACAGGACTGGCACTGTCAAATGCGAAACCATCCAGAAGCTGTATAATGCAAACAAGAGCGGAGATGCGATCCCCTTCGATTGGAACTCCGAATGGGCTTCTTTGTACACTGGCAGGAAGAAGACTCGACACGACATGACCTACCCACAGTTTGCGCAGATGCTTCGGGGATTGCAGGGAGAAAGAATTCGTCAAGCCTTTCACCTCTTCGACAAAGACGGAGATGGCTATATCGAGCCAGAGGACTTCCAGCGCATCATTCTCCAGACCGCAAAGCATAAGCTTTCAGACCATTTGCTGGAAAACCTGCCAACCCTCTGCAACATTTCTACCGGTAGCAAAATTTCATACGCCAACGTCCGCGCGTTCCAGAACATCATCCGAGAGATGGATATGATCGAATACATCATTCGAAGTGCCATCAGCAAGAGCAAAGACGGCATGATCACCAAGGCTGATTTCCTGAACGAAGCTGCTCGTGTCACCCGCTTTTCTCTATTTACACCCATGGAAGCTGATATCTTGTTCCATTTCGCCGGCATGGACACACCTTCCGGAAAGCTTTCGTGGAGTGATTTCACCAAGGTGATCGATTCATCATGGCACACCACTACTGCCTTGGGAGCGGAGGCAATCGCCACGGTGTCGCATGCTACGGACCAGGCCGTGACAAAATCGAAGAAGCTATTACAAGGTCTTCTTGAATCCGTGCATCACTTCGCGTTAGGAAGCCTTGCAGGTGCCTTTGGAGCGTTCATGGTCTACCCAATTGACCTTGTGAAGACGAGAATGCAAAACCAACGGAGTGCTCGCGTCGGTGAAAAGCTGTACAACAATTCCGTTGATTGCGCAAGAAAGGTTATCCGAAATGAAGGTGTCCTCGGGTTGTACTCCGGCGTACTGCCTCAGTTGATTGGTGTTGCTCCCGAGAAGGCAATCAAGCTCACGGTTAACGACTTGGTCCGTGGCACATTCACCGAGAAAAAGACAGGCAACATTTGGTGGCCATACGAGCTGCTTGCTGGTGGTACAGCTGGAGCCTGTCAAGTGGTAAGTTCTAAAAGACATTCATTTCTCTAGGCTTAGCATATGCTCACGGTCATGTGTTTTTAGGTCTTCACAAACCCATTGGAAATCGTCAAGATCCGTCTACAGGTTCAGGGAGAGATCGCAAAATCCGGACAGGCCGCCCCACGTCGATCAGCGATGTGGATCATCAAGAACCTGGGTCTCGTGGGATTGTACAAGGGAGCCAGCGCGTGTCTGCTTCGTGATGGTGAGTGAAATGTCCAACCAGAAAATGCATTATCTTTCGCTGACAATGACACTCCGGCTCAGTCCCCTTCTCTGCCATCTACTTCCCCACATACGCCCATCTCAAGTCAGACTTCTTCGGCGAAACTCCCACCAAGAAGCTCGGTATCCTGCAGCTCCTCACAGCAGGCGCAATCGCAGGTATGCCTGCCGCCTACTTGACCACTCCCTGTGACGTCATCAAGACGCGTCTTCAGGTCGAGGCTCGAAAGGGAGAGACGAAGTACACGTCGCTGCGTCACTGCGCGACCACAATCCTCAAGGAAGAGGGCTTCACGGCGTTCTTCAAAGGAGGTCCCGCGCGTATTCTGCGCTCTTCTCCACAGTTCGGTTTCACTCTCGCCGCATACGAAGTTCTCCAGAAGCTGTTGCCCTTGCCTGGCGCGCCTCACGAAGATGTGACCCCCACGGGATCAGTCGAGCCTGGTATTGGCCTCCAGCCTGCCACCGCGCCATTGCCGTATCTTCGCTCGCGCAACGCGCTGAAGCTTATCCTTGACTTGGACGAGAACTTTGGACGGATCCGAGTTCCCCAGAGCAAGTCCTGGCCAGGTTTTCCCGGCGTATCGAGACAGTGAAACTTAGCATACGATTCTCCTTTTACGTTGGCTTTCTCTCGGCTCATTTGGGTTCATATTCCTCTTTCCTTTGCGAGGCCATAGATACGACTTTTAGATTCCAGAGGGCGTCGAGGGATTGCGCTTCTGATCTCCCCTTTTTCCCCCTTTTTCTTTTTTTTTTTTTTTTCCTTCCATTGGGATTGAGACGCCATTTTTTTTGACACAATTAAAAAGTTCAAGACCTTAGACCGGCAACGTCTTTCAGCGACTCCGCTCGACTTTTGTCCGCGATCCCCCGGTTGCATTGCGCCTGTGAACCCTAATTGGGAACTGTCCGTGGGCTGCAGCCTACTATTTGTCCTCCCTCAACTTAATTTTACCGTTACGAGATAATGATGCTTGTTTTTCTCCCCCTTGTCATACAATATCAAATCTTTTTCCCCTACTGTTCCAAAGATCCTTTTTGATGACATGGTTGACTCCCTTCTATTCCGGTTTCTTAATCTTGGCTTTGTCTTGCTACGCGTGCATGCTTCTCCTTTTGTGTTTTCTAGTCTGCATAGTTATGTTGTTTTCTTTTCGGTCGAGCAACGATCCCACCAGAGCAAATCGAACATCGTGAATCTTACAGGTGGGAAGAAACCATGAGACTTAGCAGACATAGTTTCTCTCTTTTGTCTACCTAATTCCATATCTTGGTGTTGATTTGACACTAGAGGCTCCTTGATTTTTTATACATTGAAAGATATTCTGGGCTTTTTCTTTTCCTATCGCACTTTCTCATCTAGAATTCCGATAGACGCTGCTTCATAGGCGGGCAGAGCTTCAACAGACTAGAATGGTAGCTAGTGCTATATCAACATTTCAGCTGGTGTTAAAATGGTGCCGAAGACCCTAGCATGGATGTATTAAAGTGTAGCAAGTCGAGATTATGGTTGAACAACTCAATCTACATAATTAGATGAAAGGATACACATCGACACATACGGGGTATTTGCATCTCATATCACGAACTTTTTTTTCGTTGGACAATCTGCTTAATTACCCATCTTAAGAACCATTCTATACTGCCTTTGTACCAGCGTTTGTGTTAACATCGAACAATGCTCCATGTATGATCACCTGAATCCTCCAACGAAACCACCACTCCCTCTGTTGAATTATCCAGGATATCCTTATGATCCAAATCTGGCATGCGCTTCCGCGTATCGACGTTAAATCCAAGGAGAATAGCCAAACTCGATGACTTCCACACTTTAGCGCCAAGGTGCCTCGCCTTTGCAAGTGTGGAAACCAACACGATGAGGCTGAGCCCGATGAGAGCGAGTGGAAGAGTTAGCCATTCCCACTGAACCGAGACGAATACTTCCGCAGATAACGAACTCCCCATTGCGAAATCACCGTCGCCGTAGGTGCGAATGCTAGAATATCTGTCTCAACAACCAAAGCAACTGCCGGAGTATTTTGGTCGTGAGACTACTTACTTGTTGGTCATACTTGAAGCGATGTTCCGCATTATGTTTGACACGGCAGCTTTGCGTTCTGACCGCGGTCGCATCTGCATTGCGGCAGCAAAGACCTGTGCTACGTCGGAGGTGTAGAGGTTTCGAGCCCTGCTTCCCTGAGTTGACGTGCCATTAAAAACATCGTACGTCCATGTCGTGATAGCTTCACGACTTCCTTGAGGGATGATATATGCCATATCCTGGTCTTCGGGTTCGAGCCACAGCTCGAACCAGACTTTACTCAGCGTGAAAGGGTTACGATGCGAGGCGTTAGTCCGTACTTCGGTCAGTTCTGTGTGGGGTTGGCCTTGAGTTACTGTTGTGTTAACTGACAGTACGCAAAACCGAATAGCACACTCCAGTGCATTTGCCCCAATATAGAAATCCCAATCATAATAGTTGTTCCCACCTCCAGAGCCATAGGTAGCATTAAGATCCTTATAGACCATGAAAAAGTGGGCAACTGGTTCATTGAGGCCTGTAAACGTCATCGCCTTCCCGTTAGTTATGATCATATTCTTGTCTTTCGCCAGCGTCACATCGTTGGGCAGAGTGTACTCGCAGGTATCAATTGACCCAATTTTGTCGGGACATGTCGATTTGAGTTGGCTTGTTAGGTCTGCAACACCAGCACAGGCACCAAGTGTATAGTAAGTGGGCCATGTGCAGTTGCCAGTTGGGCATGTGGGCATAATGGCGGAAATAGTTGCATTTTCGTTTAGAAAAAGGCCAGTATATATGGCTGATTTCATGGTTGGATCCGCAAGTCCACTGTTCTCATCTGACGGAAGAGTTATAATTAACGACCAGTACCACAAACTTCTTCTATGACCAGGTTTTCCTATTCGGTGTCTTATGTCACTAGATTTGTGCTCACCTGTATGTGCAGGACTGGAGACGACGGTATAATTTTGGACCCGTCGGACAGTCGCAGTTTCCGAGGAGGGAACCATTCTCAGGGGATAAGTCACGACCTGTTGAGTCATTGGGCCAAAGGCTATATTCCCGGAGATTATAATGAGAGCTCCTACTATGACCAAATGCCTGGAGAAAACAAAGATTAGCCAGTAGTTAATACAATGATTACTTTATGTATAACGAAGCGAGTATACCTAAAGAAATGGAAGTGGAAAAGTAGTTTGAAGCTGCCCTCCACTCCTCGACTGGCTTCGTCATAGGCATTAAAATCGCTTAGGCGATGCGGTTTTTTAGCGAACCACATCCATTTGAGCTGGCTGACACTTGCTGTGACAGGGACAAGCATCGCCATCTGCGAGATCGTTCCGAACACCGAGATAGCTGCGTTGATAGTGATCCCCAAGGGCCACTGAGGCAACGCTTTGCCGTTATACTCCCGAAGAACGATGATGACAGCCATCATCGATGCAAAAGATACTAACCAACAGAAAAACTCCCATGCCCAGGTCCGTGTGGATAAACGTTTGAGTTTTCGAATCAATTTCTGGCGTTTTCTCTCAGGATTCATGCTCACCAACGCGTCTGTAGCACCATCTTGTTCATCACAATGCTGAGGACCCGTCTCTGTAGCTTCTGGTCTCATACACGGAGCTTTCGGTTCTACATGACTGCCACATTCGGCGGCTGGAGCTTCTATAGGTGAGGGCTCCGTGCTTTCATCATTTCGGGCTCCACCACTCTGTTGTAAAATTTGATAGTCGTTTGTATCCAATGTGCTGATCGAGATAGACTCTCTGTCCGGAGAAAGAGGGCTGCTTCTCTGCTGTCTAGCAGAAGTATCTGGTTCGAGGCAAGCACTCGGGGGAGTTTCCTCCTGCGGGTCAACTTGCATGCTGCAGAATATTATCCAGCATGAGAAATGTATCAATGAATGGCGACTTCTCGTTTTGCGGTCCTCAAAATATTAGGCGAAATGGTAGCAGCTTGGGTCCCTCGTGGTCGCGATCAGGCTGAGAATATGAACACTTAGAAGCACACAGCCTTGCGCTCAGTGGTTAACTTGATACGGCTCTGGAGCTGCTCTCTCGTTGGCTCGCTTGAAGTCATGATTGGTGGAGAGATGGCGGATGGGCCGTTATTGGTCCTATATTGAAAAGCTCATTGCTCTAATGCAAGACGACCAAAGGCGGGCGAGGGACGCGGTGCCCCACAGTAATTATTTAGATTAGGGAGTGTTCCAGATTCTGATATAATATTTTCCGAGGAGTACGGAGTAGTTAACATAGTGTAATCTGTATTACCCCGTCTGGAGCAGCAATCGTTGGGTTCCATACTGGATCCTTCCGTCTTACTACCGAGCCGCCGCTAGGAATGATAAAGAGCTGCCGTATAATGATTCTTCTGAGATGGGTGTGACGGTTTACCCTCCTTAATTCCCCAATTCCTCGGGGTAGCGGGGACGCTGCTCCATCGATATGGCAAAAGAGCGAGCCTGTCCTGGATCCTCGACACGAAAAGACCGGGTTACGATTGGAAAAAGGCTACTCAAAACAAGGGCCGAAGAGTCTTGTGATAAGGATCGTTAGAGTGTGGAAGCACCTTTCGCTACCTTGTACAGAGGAGATAGAACCGTGATCATTCGTTACTCGATTTTCTTGATGTCTTTGCGATGTTCAGACCTCAAGAAATCGAGCGACGAGACGAACAAAAGCCCAAGCCACTCCTGTGGCGGCGAGATACCCGACATTTAACTAACTACCGGTTAGATAGTTATGGCTTTGTCCGTATCACATGATTTTGTTCGAGCGCCTGGAGCCAAATCTCGGCGTCAAAGAACATCAACTTTCTCCCTTTCTTCCTGAAAACCCAGCGTGAAGTCGTGTAGATGTTTTGTCCACGATGCCTGCATAACTCAACCATTCCATCCTTTGTTTACAACTTTCACCTCAGGCACACGCCTGGTGAAGGTCCACGCCATGAAATTCCCCGGCGCTTAGACGCCCATTCACAGCGGCTCCTTATTGATACCCAAATCGGGTATAGCTTGATATCAAGCCATCCTGATGGAACAGAACTGTGCAATGTCGTGGGAGGATCTATAAACGGGTGTCTTGAAAATGACGCCCGGCCCCGCGCTCTTCTTTCTTTTCACGATGCCCATGGATTTGCAGCTTTCTCTTTTCTTCCTCGAGCCATTTGTATCATTTCGCTGTGCGAAAGTGTCAAGCCTTGCGGGGATCGCGGGTGTATTGAAGTGACGTTCATTCATTCATTTCATTCGCTCGATATCCTGCTGAAAGATGGTTTCCTTGAGGCTGCTTAGCACGGTAGCCCCGTTGACGTTGTTGGTTATTCCTTATTCTATCTCGGTTTCTGCAATCGAAGACCCCACGCCATTACAAACCTGCTTCGATTTTACGGGGAGACCGTTAACGAATAATACGCAATGTCCTGGTTCGAACGCTTGCTGTCACTATCTACACCAATGCACAGGCAATCGGCTTTGTACTCAGCCAAATTCTCCCGAATACGTTAACGCTTTGTGTGCGGTTAATCCGTGGCAGAACTGCTCGAATATATGTCAATATGGTAAGGTCTCTTGGATGATCTTTATAATACTCTGGCTGATAGGGATCTTCTCTAGGAGCGAATGGCGATGGCTATCTACCACGCGTAAGGAGATGTTTGAATGGCAGCTACTGCTGTGACTCGGACAAAAACTGCTGCGACAAGGGCAACGGCATCTTTCTCGACAGCGAAGGAAACGTAGTTCAATCTTCCACCTCCCAACCCTCGTCGCCGACAAGTACGTTATTTTCACCATTATCCGATCTGCCTGCCTCAGCAGCCAGTGTTACTTCATTTCCATCAATTGCTCCCACAACTACTCCGACATCAGCTCCAAAATCCTCCACACTTCCCTTAGCTGTGAACATCGGCATAGGCGTTGCAGTTGGTTTTAGCTTACTTTCGTGTGGGATTTTATTTGCTATTTATCTTCAAAAGAGACAGAAGAATAAGACCAACCAGAATAACGAGTCCAAAGGTCTGCCACCCGATGGGGAGGGTTGGCCAGTGAGCAATAGTCGGAGCATGTGGCCTCAAGAAATGGCACATTCACCAATCCCTCATGAATTTGAAATGCCTAACGATTCGATACGTGTGGAACTGGCGGGCGATATGCCCCCGTACCCCGAACTGTATGGTTCAGGGTTAAAATGCGATATAAAAAAGGGGCCTCCAACCATGATTTAATACATATATCATGAGCGAGCTAATAGCTTGTATTCTTATTCTTATAGTCTGATAATTTAGACAGTGTCAAGCGTTTGGCGAAGCATTTTGAATTGCTGGTTGTGATCTCTGATTCAGCGCATTTTCTTTTGATGTCCCACTCCCAATGTGTCTCGCTATGTTCTTGTGCTAGCTTTTCCAGCATTATTGGATTTTACGGGAGTTTTGCTAATTGTTGCCATTGTAGATGACTGGGAGTATTTTATGTGATGTTCAGGTTTGCTTTTTAAGCTTGAAGCAAGGCGCATTTGAACTACAGTGAAGTATGACACGTGCGCTGCAATATCTAATACGCTTCCACCATAAATTTACATGAATATGATCATGGATGATGAGATAATCTTCATCAACAACACCTCCGCTGATAAGCGTATATGGGAACTCATCCATAAGCTGATATCGAAACGGGTGTGGTGTTTGAAGGCCCATGCTTCATATTATGCAGAACAGTAATCTGTATTAATTGTGGCATCAAACGGCTGGATATACTTTTCTTTTTTTCCCCTTCCTTTTTTTTAATGCTACATTGTACCCTTCCCTCCAGCGAGAGGTAACCTTACCAGATATGTACGCTTGCCAGACCGCTCAAAACTGAATCGGTTTCCTCCTGGTAACGATTCATCAGACCGCTGTGGCTCGGCGAAAATTGTGTTCAAATCCCATGCAAAGCGGAGAGTTTTTACACAAATTCAAGACATTGGTGCGTGAACCCGTAATGGGCCCTCGTATTCAGAGTGGGCGCGCGTCATCGGCGTGACTCACGGTTGCGTAAGTGCCGCGGAAACACGTGATATTCATTTGAAGCCGATATAAAGGGCTCCAAAAAGCGGATGCGCCATTCAGTCAAAAGTTTTAGTGCCAGACCGCAAGAGAAGACCAGGAAATTTATATTCGGAGTATATACAAAGGTACATATGCATTTACATACATACAAAGCTCAGAATTAGTGCTCAGAATATGCAGGGAGCCTTCATTAAAAGTACATACAGAAACACTATCGAAACCAACCATGATATCTCAAAACAGCGGCTTCCACGCCCTTGTATTGGGAGCAACAGGCATATCAGGCTGGAGTCTCACCAGCCAGCTTCTCCATAATTATCCGCGGCCGGGAGTATGGAGCCGCATAACCGGCGTGACGCGAAAAGCTATGAGCGACGAGGAAATGTCGTATTGGCCGAAAGATGAAAGGTTCACGCTGGCCTCGGGGTTCGATTTGCACAATGATAATAAAGAGGTACTGAAGCGGAAGTTTGAGGCGAAGGTAAAGGATGTGGAAAGTGTGACACATGTTTATTACCTGGGTAGGTTTTGTTGGGAGCAGAGATAAGATTAGCAGTGGAGGGGGGAAAAATATCCGTCTGATGGTTTCCCACAGTACATGATCCTCCTGTCGACTTTAACAGCTCAGATCCTTTTGCTGTTACCCTCGGCGGGCTCAGCAGGACTCTTTCAGTCATCGAAAACTTAGCGCCGGGCTTAAAGTTTATTCACCTCCAATATGGCACGTTCATATATGGAGTATGCTTCACAGACGACTTTTACCACCCGGTTCCTCTATCTGAGGATCTACCGCCCATCAGGGAGCCATTGTGCAACATGCTTCACTATCAAGTCTGGACAGACTTCATGAGGGATTTCTCGAAAGGCAAGAGCTGGGGATGGTGTGAGACAAGGCCTGACGAAATAATTGGTCTGGTATGCCTCAGCCTTAATGAGAGACTGTTTCCTGATATCTCGCAGGCTTCGTTCCTCGAATGAATTCTTATAACGCCGCTCACCCCATCGCCGTCTATCTCTCACTATTTGCATATATAAACGGAGAAAGAGCAGAATGCCCGTTTCCTGGTAGCTTCGGCACATGGAAAGCGTTGTCTAACCAAGCAGGAGCTGAGATGATTGCGAAAGCAGCGATACACCTGTCGTTATTGGATGATCCGTCTGTCAATGGGCAAGGATATAATGTTGCTTCGTCAGCTACTCCCTCTAATTGGGAAGCAACTTGGCCAGCCATTTGTTCCTGGTTTGGCCTTGTGGGAAAGCCACCCGTTGACGGCGACAAGGACAAGACCAGATTATCAGGGCCGGATGAATATATCCGTGTGCACGAGAACGAATATAAGAGGATGTTGGACGAGTACGGTCTAAAGCACTGGCGGGCAGTTTCTCCAACGATGGATGGCTCGCCGAATTGGGGGTTGACCAAGCTAAGTTTTGACCGACAACTCAACCTTCAGAAGCTGAAAGCAACTGGATTTGCGGAAGACGAGAGACTAGAGGAGAGTTGGATCCGTGCCCTGGAGCTGATGAGAAAGGCGAAGGTGATTCCATGAGGGCTGCATCTTGTTGACTGATATATTTGCTGCTCATCGGGGTTGACTTAGGCTCTGGCATCATAGAGACATCGCCTTCCCCCCCCTAGAAGAACCTGGCTGCACGTTTGCTTGATTGAGGTTCACCTGTTTCAGACGTAGTTTTTGTCGAAGGCGTAGAGCTCATCGAATTATCATCCCTGAGAGACTTGTTTTTCGTTGGAGCTTGAGGCTCATCCTTTCTGGAGCCAGATTGTCGGGGTTCGTCCTCCTGTGCGATTTCCCGCAGAACTATGATATAGCTTAGTGCTTGCTTCGCGTCTACAAATTTAGAACGGACTCCATGCTTACCTTCTTCCCATTCCCTCTCAGCAGCCTCGTCTCCGGTCCCGAGAATTCTCCTGACATCAACATCCTCTCCTTTTTGTAGCTTCTCAATCACCTCCCTTAGCACTCGTATTCTTGCTTCCGTGCTCCGAATGTAATTCGCATGGTCGTTTTTAATTTGAACCATTCGAAGGGCCTGCGATCCCACAAGAATGAACATCACAATGAAGTAAGTTGCAGGATTCCATTCCTTCTTCGGAGAGTTCCGTTGTGACGCAGGCCAATCGCGACGAAGAAATTTTGGAATGACGGCTCGCCATATTGATGGCTCAGCGATTCGAGGAACGGTTGGCCGGGTGGAGAGGCATTGGAATCGGGAAGGTGGACATGCTAGCTCCCTGTGAGATACCCCGAGGCCGAAATAGCCCCGCGATCTGGCGAGGATGAGTCTCGCTGACATTGCCTCGCTCCTCTCCCGAGTGTGCCTGTCTCCCTGTCTTGCGAAATTCTTTTGCTGCTAGCACATTTTGACGACCCATAGCAGAAATGGGGAGGATTTGTAAACCGTAGATCCACTAGTCCCAATACATTTACGTCGGAATATATGTTTATCCGAATCCATGGTTGTTTGGAAGTTTAAAAATATATATGTTCTGAATTCAGAAATGTAGCTTCTGATTCTCAATGTAGAAATTGGGAAATGTTTAAACCCCTGATCAATGAATATATCTAGGAATGTTTGGGATACCTTTTCAGGTTTATAAATGTTTATAGTATAGAAACCATTATAGTATAGAAACCATTATAGTATAGAAACCATTATAGTATAGAAACCATTATAGTATAGAAACCATTATAGTATAGAAACCATTATAGTATAGTTACTCCAGCAGACACTGGAGAGATTTCAACTAATGCACAATACTACATACATCAAACTGCCTGATTCACCTATAAAAAGGAAATGCTCCAAGTGCAGTTGAGAAAGGTAGTTAGCAGAGCAGAATCCAGTTTGAGTCTTTTGGAATCTTTACTGACAGGTATTGTGTAAAGACTTGATTTGTGGATTGCAGGTAGACTGATTATATGAATCTCATTCTGATTCATCTGCAAAATTGGTAAATTCAGTACCCTCTTGTGCTGAATTTCATGAGCAGAGAACATGACAAAAAAAACCCTCCAGCAGCTGCCCTGATTGTAGGTGAATATGCATCTTATTTGCCCAATCTTGATGCCTGATGCATGAGTATACTCAATCAGATCATCAAGTTTCAATATAGTGTGATGCGCATCTTCATTGAATGTAAAGATCAGCTTTTGAAACAATTGAATTGGGGTTGAATCTTTGTCAAGCATATGTTGATATGCCCAATCACTGCTGTATGAAAGTTGGAGCTTTTGCAAAAAGAAATGCATAATTAGTAGTTTGGAAAGCTGTGTGCTTTGTAAATCAAGCAATTCCATGACTTTGCAGCTAGCTGGTAGTTGGCAGTAGGCATTAATTAAGATATGGAAGGGGGTGGTAGCATATGAATTATTGGCTTTGTTGGCATTCTTATTATCATCTTGTTGCTCATTGTGTTCTGATTGCACAAGGTCTTGCATGAGAATTGGACATTTGTGATGAAGTTGCTTCATCTGGCTGCTAATATAGAGTTCTGATTCCATAAGAGCTCCATCAAGAACCAAGAATATAGTGCATTTGAAGCTCTTATGAATCAGTAAAATCTTTTCAATATCATGCTTGTTGGTTCACTGCACAAATGCTTTGTATTCATGGTGTTTATTCTCTCTGATCAGTATATTGCAGTTATTTGGCACAGCATACTTCTTTGTCTGGTTGATATAGTGCACTCTGATATGCATGTTTGGTTGGTGTTTCAAAGCATGTAACATCTTATCTGCTTTTGGGGCAATACTGACAGTGTTGATTGAAATGTCCTCTGTTGGAGGTGTCACAATCTGATTGAACACTGGTGAATTCTGCTGTAATCTCAGTATCCATACTGCCTGGCTAGCTAACTGTGGTGCTTTGGCAGCCATGACAGTAGCATCTATCACTTTCTGAAGTATAGTTCAGGCATTGGCAACTACACTTTTAAGTTCATTGTACCTGACAGATGTCTGAGAAGTCAATAGTGAATTGCTTCTTGCAATAGCACCAAAGATTTTAGCAAGCAACAAATATAGAATGTTGGGATTAATTGACTGTTCACCAAAGAAGTTATAGAGAGCCTGCTGAACAACAGTCTGAATTCAGTCAGGCTTTAGAGCAAAGTGGAGTATAATTGGGATCACAATTGAAGCTTGAGTGTGTTTCTGGATTTGGTAGAACTCCAGATAGATAATTAGAGACTGCAGTTGAATCTAGTGTCTCTGAAATAGAAATCTCTGTAGAGTTTGGCAGTATTCCTTCTGCCCCTCAGGTGTCAATATATATGATATCAATAATGTATGCACAATTTTGGACAGGCCTGAAAATTCACTATGACAGAAATCAGAGGGGAAAAATGTCACCAGATTCAGTGCCAGGCAGATCTTCAAAACTGGGGAACTTTTCTTGGCCAATCTATGGGTCTTCCATAGTGCTTCTTGCTTGTGAACAGTCCACTTCACCTCAATTTCAGCCTGCAAATTGAGTAGCTGGTAATGATATTGGCTGTGTTTCACCAAGTTGAAATTCATATTGAACCTCTTCACATTGGAGACAGTACAGCTCTGACAGAAGACTGTTGCAGTAGAGTGTTTGATTCCAGCATTGTCATTTTGCTGTAGCATGTCACCAAGATAAGCAATACAAGAAGCAATGACCCTGACAGTTCCTTCACCAGTTACCACAATGTCAAATTCTCTTTCAACTGCTTGTAAACTGGGAGCCAACACCCCCATAACATTGGGAAAATTTGTAGCATGAGGCCTGAGAGCAATTGTATATACATTGTTTTATTGTCTTCTTTTGAAATCATTAAGTCCTGCAGGAATTATATAGAAGCCAGTTATATTTCAGTACATGTTCTGATATAGACTGAATCTGTCAATGAACAGCAGGAAGGGAATGGATATAGTTCTCTTGATAGTGTTGTCTGGACAGAGCATCTTGATCAGTATATCTCTTCTGTATGCCATGATTTCCAGTTCACCCTGGAGTGGAGTGCTAAGTCAGAGCTCTTGTACAGATGATGTGTGGTGAATTGTATTTATCACTCACCATACAAAGAACCCATTTGTTTCTGAGGGTTTGTAGCTATCCAATCTGTTAAAGATGTAGTCAAGATGGACATCCAGTCAGGCTAGAATGTTGTCTTTATGTATGATGTGAGTTTTCTGGTCTTTCAGTAAGAGCAGCTTGTTTGGGCAAAGCAGAGGTCTCAGCAAATGAATTCTTTTATCAAAGCTGTTGACAGTAATAGTGTACTGGACAATAAGAATAATTTCACTGGATTTTGTGCAGGCCAGTCTCTGGTCCCAACCCACAAATTGAATTCTTCTGATATGGATTTCTTGTTCATTCCAAGTGCACTTACATGCAGCATTGTTGCATCTGAAATGAACAAAATTGGAAGAAAAGACTGGTGTCCCATCAGAATACCATGCAAAGTCACCTGATGAACATCTAATGGAGCTCCTCCAGCTCCATGATTGCCACAATTTGGTTGGATTGTCAACTAGGTCAGCCATACCAATATGTATCTTCTTGCAAAATACAGAAGACCTTGCCAGTAATAACAAAAGAGCCACAGAATCCTGAAAGAATAAATTAGATGTGAAAGATGTCTGTATTAGTCACTTCTCAGCAGGTGAAAGAGTTGGTATTTTCAATGGAACAGCCAGTATGGATGCCTGTTGGATGGAAAGCATAGGAAATTGAGCTCTGCATTTCTTCTTCAATGTGCTCAGCCCCAATAGTAGAGATCTCAGTGTACTGATGTCTTCAGGAATCTGTAAGACTTCCTGCAGTGTCTTGTAGTGTCAGTAAGATATTCCTGATTTTTTGCACCATAATTCTAAAGTGAGTGTGAAGTGGTCCAGCATTTCATCAGGCTCCACACACACATGGACTAGAACCTCTGACAGGTCATTCATTGTAGTTGGAATGTAGGTCTCAGCTGGCTGGTCACCCAATGAATCCTCTAGTTGTGAATGAAAATCAGAATCTCCATTGCCAACCAGGTGCACTGGATGTAACATAGTCTGTAACCAGGGTTCAGATTCAGGCTCTTTATACTGTTGTGATTCATTATTATCAACTGATTCTATGGGTAGAGCTGCCACTGCTTCTTGTATAATCTCCTGCACCCTGATATCTTCTGGTTCAGAATGAGTGTCAGATAGAGCATCAGGCAGAGCATCAGAGGCATCTGAAAGACTTGCTGCATTGATTGTTTGGCTGAATGTTGGGTTCCACTGAAGGTAAAACATGATTGCAATCTTGCAATTCCTGCAACAAATGGGCAGGCTGTCTGCACCTTCAAAACTGCAAGGCTGGGAATGGCAAATGAAGTTGCCTTCTCCAAAACATATAATTCTCTATGTGTCTCAAGTATCTTGAACCTCACATGTTTGCTCAAGGTTTATACACCAGTTTCCACAGTGATTGAGTTTCAAGTTGCAGAAACAGTGAGGGTTGCTGCAGAATTACTTTGGGACAAAGTATGTAGGAATTAGAAAGAAAATTGCTGTTTGATTGGGGAATCAGACATATTATAGCAAAGTTGAATGTTAGAGCAGCTGCAAAATGTGCTAACTGTGCTGCAGACCAACTGTAATATTCCAATCATCTAGACCTGTAATTGACTCTAAGAGATGCAAGATTAGCAATGATCTGCATCCTCCTGAGTGATCAGTCTATTTCAAAGAAATCAATCACTTAGTGATGTTGAATTTTAGAATGTAGGGGAATATGGATACAGATCTGAATAGCAACTTGGGCAGTCAAATGCACTCCAAGTCAACTATATAATAGATAGTGAACTTCTCTGAAATTCAAGCATTCACTCTCATTCATTCTCAACAGCAATCTGATAGCCAAAATGTCAGAGACACAGAGTATACCAGTGCTAAAAAGGACAGCTTGCATCTTTCCATGGGCTCAATCACACAACATGCCAAAGACTCAAGGGGCATCATTCAGTTTGAATACAAGTACCTGAACTGAAGTGTTCTCTGATTATACAGAGATTGAAAAGCAGGTTCAAGTGGTGGAGCATGAGATATGAAATCAGGTGCAATGGGCCTATATATCAACATTAAATACTGACCTGATTCCCAATACCATCCAGAAGATGCTGAGCCTTGAGGACTGGAAAGCTGGAAATGACTTATATTTTTGTGAACTTTCCAGGCACATGTTGGACCTCTGTAAAGATTGGAAATGTAAGATCTTGAGTAGCTTGAAGATCAGAACAATGTCTCTAAACTCCTAGTTATAATATAAACTGATCTCATTTGCAGGATCATGTCAGGAAATGTATTGAACTCAGCTTGACTGAGAATTCCAATTTCAGACTCCATGAAATAACTGATTGACAAAAGCTGATCAGTTATTTTGTCTGATTGTTCAAGTGGGATCAATTCTGTGAAGTCTTTTACTGGGTCAAGCCATGTGTTGATTTTGAGAAGTCAGCTCCACAAGAGAAATGGTATTTTGAACATAAGTTAATAGTAAATCTTAATTGCCATGATTTCTGCTCTGACAGTTATGACAATAGAGATGTATGCAAATTTAGCAGCATATGTAAAGCTGTATCTTGATGACAACAGTCTGAAACAGGATATATTCATTCTGTTGATCTACATCTGGAATTCTGTACTCAAGCTCTGGAACTGCTTGACACAGAAACCAGGACTGAGAGATGTCAATTTGAATGACTTCACCCAACAGAAGGTCTGATCAAGAAAGCCAAAGACTGTCCATGTTGAGACTTTGCCAGAAATTCTGAATGTGATCCAGTTAACATCTAGTATGCTGCCCAGGAAATCTGATTTATGTCCAGCTCAGGCAGTGCAAGCTCTGCAGAAGCCAGAGAATGACAATTCAGATAAGAAGAATTGAAATTCTTTGCAGAATATTACAGAAGATTATTTTGAGACTGTAACAAATCAGCCTGCCTGTTTAAAGAGATCTACACCAGCTGCAACTGGTTGCATGCCCTGAAAGAGATGCAGATTCTAGTTGAATACATGAAAAGATGTCTTCTTGAGTCAAAATTGGCTGTTAGTTTGTGCTTCAAAATAGATTTCAGAGTTTAATATCTAGACTTTAATGCAATGCTCTGTTATATCAATACTTGCAAGAGTCAAATTTCACTATATTCAATATATATCTCTTTATTGTTTACTGTAATTGGCTGTAGAAGCTCTAAGCAAAATGAGTTAGCACTTAGTAATGTATAAATAGACATGTCCTGATTAGGAAATTCAAAATAATCAAGCAGACATGCTAGATATAATAATCTCTTTCTACACAAAATCTCTCTCTTCTTCTCTTCTTTTCTTTCTTTCCTTCTCTTGAGCTCATTATATTTCTTGTTGCCCCTCTCCCTCTATTCCAATATCAAGATAAGTGATGAATTTCAGAATGAAATAAGGAACTGCAGCAAACTGAAGAATAATATATGCAGAAATAGCAAAAAATGACTCTGCAAACACATAAATTGGCAGCAGCTCAGGACAAGCACTCTCTGATATTCACAAAGAAGAAGTCAGAGTGAAAGCTCTCAGCTGTTAAAGAAGAGTCTGCTATAATGAGTGATACACTCTGTGGCTGCTGTTTGATGTTTGTGTATACAGTACACATTAAAAAGTCTTGTTCCTGCAAGCAAGGAACTGTGAAGGCCTGCATCAATTGTGCAGAAGATAAAAAAGTCTGTGCTTCTGTCTCTTCAGAGCTGCAGAAGGAAGTGGCAGCATTGCTATCTGACCATAATAATTTTCTCAGGCTTAAGAATGTGATGCTCTGAGAGGAATTGAAAGCCAGTATGGTGGAACAGGCCACTGGTCTCAGTGAATTGCTTGCCAAAATGACATCTCTGTCAGTCTGAACTGATGAATCCCTCCCTCCCCTCCCCTTCAATGCTAAAGTTGGTGCTGCCACTTTGACAGTGTTGGAAAAGCTTGTGTCCATTCAAGCTGAACAAAAAGAGCTTATGGAGCATACATTCTGCTCTGTCAAGATAGGTTGAACTGATTGGATATCATATATTCAACTCATGCTAATATAGTTATATATATAGAATATTAAAAGGATCTTGGCTGACATCTGCCAGAACTTAAAGTTCAATTGTTTATCTTCTGTAGTCAGTATACTTGATGCAATGTCAGGATGAATTGAACTGACTTTGATATTTGATGACAGAAAAAGCAAAAGACAGAAGAAATCATCTATAAATCAGCAGTCAAGATAGACTGATTTACTGCTGTCCTGCTCTCTGCTGCATCTGCTTCTCTCTTCTTCTCTTCCACTCCAATCATGCCTTTTTTCTTTATTCAGTTGCAGCCAAATATCTCTGCATCAGGCCTGTCTTCAACTGGAGGCAGTGGAGCTAATTTGCTTGAAAGTATGATCAAGCAGTCTGAATGGGCTTGCCCTGATGATTCTTCTGTGCTGGTTTTACACCCTGTCCCTGAACCAGAGACTCCAACCAGGGAGGCTCAAATTTAAAAAAAAAAAAAAAAAAAAATTCATTATGATTCAGGTTGTGCAGGTGGTTTGTAATACTTAGTTAGTTCCTAGTAATTGAAAAGCTTCCAAATCAGGTTCAAAACCCTCAAGTTTAAAAATATATATGTTCTGAATTCTATATGTTTTGGACCCTTTATACATGCATTGTAAATATATGGTTGATCTACAGTTTCAAGCTTGCGACCCGTGGTTCAACGGGTCGCGTCGGATAAACGTTTTCCGACGGTTGCCCGAAAAGCTCATTTTTCCGGTATGGACCGCCGTTCAGATCACGTGCTCATTACATAATCAAAAGTTGGCCCGGCAACAGGTGTTGGCCAACATCCCAGCAACGTGAGCGAACACCAGACCATCGAATATCGCTGTGGTGCCAGTGAAGAGAAAAGCCGTTCCCGCATTCATCAGTCAACAGACGCCTTTTACGGAGATGGCAAATCAAACATTGCACTCACTGGTTGATTCAGTGAAGAGCTCCGTCCTCAGCCCGTCAACCTGCACTAGCGACACCGTATCGTTGTTGCGCAAACTCCTTTCAGCCGTGGATGACGAACGCAAAACTGGGGAGCGCAAAAGTGCAAAGACTGTCAAGGCTGGCTCATCCTCTCGTCGCCAGCCAAGGACGGGTAATTCTAGAGCTACCACAAAAGTGGCCGTTTTTCAGACTAGAACCGAGTCTCCCATTCCTCCACTCTCGAAACAGAACAAAATAGCCTTGGCCACGGAAATATTCAATGCTTCCTCAAGAACACTCTCCGAACATATTAAACTTCAATCCCCGCGACCATTTGATAATGCCCTAAAAAAGAATACGGTTACGAAAAACCCGGGATCACCGAAGAAACCGCTTCAGCCTACCTCCCCGAATCGAACAATCCGATCACCAACGAAAGCCAAAGGAATTTCGGAAAGGTTGAATGAGCGAAACACAGCAGCGAGCAATGTCACAGGGGTTGCAGAATCGGCGCTGTTAGCTTTATCTAGCCTTCGAGATCTAAAATGTAATGAAGATGGAACTCGAATTCTTAACGTCCAATTGGAACAAGGGCTTTGTATCTTGATCGGGAAGCTATTTGCCGTTGGGCTCAACAATATGGCAATTAGGGAGCTACGGCTATTGAAAGGCAGAATACGAGCATATTTCGATAGCGAAACTCCAAAAGTGAAACTTAGACGGACAGCCAATCCAGCCAAAGAAATCCAAAGCGAGCGGGCAAGCGAAAAAATGGAGGACCTCGTTCTTGTTCCGAAAGTACCAGAAGATGGCGCTATGATTCAACTTTTTGTTTCTCTTCAAAATCTAGCATTGAGAGCCGTCATCACTGAGGGTCAACCTGCCACAGCGCAGAAGATGATGAATCATTTGGTATTTTCCAATCCTTGCAGCCCACCCAATCTTATTCTTGCGGCGTACAAATTTGGCACACTCTCTGCAGATAAGGCCGCTCAACAATTGCAATCCCTTTCCAGTTCAATTCTATCCCTTGCCGCGTTAACGGTATCTCCGGGAGAGGGGGTCCCTTGCAGCATGAAATCGCGAATCAAGCCTACTGTGACAGTAGCGTTGCAAATTCTCTCTCTCGAAGTAAAGTGCCTATGGTGGAAGATGGCAGGACATCGATACGACGCTGATAAGGAGCTATGGCACCCTCTCGCTCGGTACTTCTCGGCATTGACACGACATTGTTCGGCCATCAAGAAAGCTGACTTTGAATGTATCAAGGAAGCATTTCTGCGACTTAAAACGAGCTTGAACTCGAACGGATACAATGTGAACATTCGAAATGTTAAGTCTGCCTCCGTATCCATAGTGCTGCGAATTTTGGGCCAGTTAGCGTATACAGCCGGGTGTCTATCCGATGCAATTGAGTTCTGTAAAGCTTCCACTGCTTGTCTGACAGCTTCACAGCCATTGCAATTAGCTATTTGTTGTTGCAAAACTGCTTTTGTCCAGATCGAATTTCTAAAGACCTCCCCTCGTCATCGGCGGGAGATAAGTTCGGCGATTTCTGACGCAGCGAACAATCTAAGTGCTCCATTGAAGGGCAATTTAACCGACTTGGACGAATTGCTCATGGAGGCTGCAAAACTCAAAAAAACGATTATGAAAGCGGTGAATGGCTTGACAGATGCTGCGGTTGTCGATAATACTATGACATTCGATGTTGAGAGTTTATGGCTCAGTATTAATGAGTACCTCATGAGTTTTGTTCGTTTCCTTAGCCGTTATCTGGGCCCGTCGCCACCGTTTGATGCGGAAGCAAACTCAAAGGCCGGGTTTATGCTACGACTTGGGACCTGCAAGAATATCGCGATTTCAGCCGTTGATTCTAGCATCGCTGTAGCCAAAATATCATTGAGCACGGAACAACCTCCCTGGGGAAGAATTAGCCCGCTCTTAATCGACTGCTTTGGCCTTCTCAACCGTCTCAGCTACGACCATTGCAATAATGACAATAACCAGGCATCCAATGGCGTATCTTCCGGCCTTCTCAGATTATCCAATCTCTACTGGTCACGATACGCTGCGCAGAAGGAAGCTGGGAAATCAGCGTTTGAACTCGTTCCTCTGCTAGAGCGATCAATAAATATCCTAGGGCACTGTGCACCGGCTGAACAGACTTCAGGTTTCATTGCTATCAAAATCGAGAGACTTGCCACTATTTATTCGGAGATAGGGCATGAGGCAAAAGCAGAGACCAATTACTGCTCTGCAATTCGCGCGCACATAATAGCTGGCACTCTGGAGTTGGCCAGTGCCCAGTCCTTCCAGAGGCCCTTCCGCTACATTTGGAAAAACCCCCAAAGTCCTGCGTATGCGTTGGGCCGCGTGCTAGGCAGTTACATCAAGGCTAGATTGAAACAAGTACGCAAGACCTCTCAGCTTGCATATGACGATGAAGCCCTTGATGTTGAGAGTAGGGCTCTGTTGCTCGAGAGTCAGATGGCGTTTCTAGTTGATAGCTTTGCCGTTGATCCCTCCGATATGTTAGCTCAATGCCTTGCCTCTATGATCACAAAGCTGCTTGCAATATACTCTATAGACATATTCCCCCTACGACGGTCAAGGGTCCTTGTCTCCAGCTTAAGGCTATTCCTTGAATCAAACATTGACTTTGATTCTGATTTCTGCGATTATCTTTCACAGGAAGCAAAATCATGTCTTTCCCAGGGTTTAGAGCTCTACAAAGATCAGGATTTGTATCCATACCAAGAGGATATAATGAGTTCGCTTCGTCTGGCACTGGGGTTTTACAGTGGTGATTTACAGACGGCCGATTTGCAACTTGTCATCCAGTCATGGGCGAAAATGTCGCAAAGCTGGGCTACCTGGGAATCGGTGGAAGCTAAAATATCCGATCCTCACACCTGGATTTCTCAACTTCGTGGCCTTGTCGACTATTTGGAAATTAAGGCGCAATGGATGCAGCAAATAACCTTGCTGTCAGTCCTCGAAAAGGTCCTGGAGCTTCAAGAGAAACGTGATTTTTCCTTGCTTGTGACTTCACTGTCCATAATGGGTGTTCAATTGAGTCGCCTCGGGTTTCCTGATAGGGCAGGCGAAGTACTAACAAGGGCAAAGGAGGTTATTGGACAGCATGCGATATGCCCGTCAGTTTTAATATCATGGCATCTTGCGTACGCTGAATATCTCGTGGAGATGGGGCGCCCGGAAAAAAGGTAGGCCTCGAAGCCATTAATCCATCGGAAGAAGGTCGTGTATTAACGAAATATTTAGCTTCGAGGTTCTTCAAGATGCCCAAATGGTTTTCGAAACTAACATTGGCGAGATGGCTAAGGATTCTATGCGCATGCGCAGTTGCCTCGATAAAATAGGAATTGATGCAGCGTGTATTCTTTCACGAATAACATTCACTGAAGGTAAAATTGGCGAGGCCACGTTTTATGCAAAGAATGCGGTGAAATTGAGTTCCCGACTTTGGGCAAGGTTGGAAAAGTATTCAAATTTGAAAACGGATAAAAAGGTCGCCGACAATATCGAAGAGGCCGATGCCCTTACAGAGAAACTTGCTAACGTGGACCTGTCATCTGCCGGCAAGGAGCCGGCGAAGGGTTACCGCACAGGATCCGTCTACTGGCCATATTTTTCATCCCACTGCACTGCGTTGCAGCAATTATCCCGGATCTCTGCTAATAATGGGCTGTATCAAGATGCTGTCTATTATGCCCAACTAGCTTTAGATGCAAGCGAAGCTCTCGGGGCCACCTGCTTAGCCACTCTCATCAAGGCAGAGCTGGGTAGCTATAACATCCGTGGTAACCAAGTGGATAAGGGTCAGGAACTGTTGAAGGCGTTGGAAGCAGAATTGCCGACAGTCCACGAGACAATCCATACCGTCGCATTGCGATACCACGTATCTGCACTCCATGAATTCAGCGGCAAACTGGAAGAAGAATATGAAATGCTTGATGCATGTCACAACGCCTTGGCGGAGCTACTGCGAACTGGAATTACCGAATTACCTTGTCGGCCGAACAGCGAAATTGATGAAATTCAGACGAAAATCAAAGAACTAAGCCTCGACACTAGAAACGAATCCCGACCCCAGCGGAAAACAAGACACGCTCAACGGTCAGGAAAAACTAGCAAACAGTCAGAAAAAGCTTCAGTTACGAAAACTTACGGAGAACCTGGCCTTCCTCGAGCGTCCTCGCTTTTGCAGTTACGCGGCGATATTTTACGTCGACAGGCGGAGGCTTTACTCTCTAATGGACGACTTCAGGATGCTGGAATTCTCTTAGACGAAGCCGAGAAACTTACAAGCTCAAAGAATAGTCATGTTTCTCAATGCATCCGCAGAGCTAACCTTTATTTGAACGAGGCTGTTCATAAACTTGCGAGCCATGGCGTTTACTGTGTCCTTCCTGAGTCTTGTATCGCCCTATCCTCTGTCCAGCAAACAGAGAGCGCGCAGGACCTAGCTTCATCAGCCACAAGTTCTGCTAGTTCTCCAAAGAAAAAGTCAAAGCCCAGTCGACTTGTTGGAGAAGATTTCACCGGGATTTTATCCACAGCCAGACAAGACCTCTATACCTTTTCCCCGTTGGCAGTGACTCACTGTTCGACAATGGACTGCCATGTCTTTTCTTACTTAACGAGTAAAGTGTCAGCTCTATCATACGCAACATCCAAAGGTGGTGATTTTATCGACCCTTTCTCTACATTGCAACTTAAAGGTAGGCAATTACGTTTAAAGTCTTTGTCAAGCGAAAAAGAATATCATCTGATCTTGGAACAGAGACCGGACGAGATACTGCTTTACTACGGGAGCACTGTGCTATCATGGCCGATAAACAACTGAGCGAATCTGCAAAATTGCCGAAATGGCCCTTGGTTCCAGACATAAGGACAAATGGAAATTCGCTCCAGTTTTCTGACGTTTCGAAAGACTGTATTGATCTCCTCCCCGATACTTGGAACGTTGTCTCCATAAGCCTGGGCGTTGACCACAACGAATTTGTAATATCGAAACTGCGTGCTGGCCAGGCACCGTTTATGCTATGCCTTCCTCTAAAACGAAGCGACTCAGACGACGATGATGAAGAGACTTTTTCATTCGATGATGGCAAGGCAGAGTTACTGGAAATAATAAAATTAGCCAACAGAAGCGCCCATGATACCCGTGCTCGGGTGGATAAAAAGGCCAAAAAGGAATGGTGGGCTAATCGGGAGGCTCTCGATACGCGACTGAAAGATCTCCTTCACAACATTGAAAATATATGGTTCGGAGGTTTTCGGGGAATTTTTTCTCAGAAGCCGAAGAATGAAGCTTTGCTTTCGCGATTCATCCACTCTTTTGAGAAAACTCTCAATAAACACTTGCCGTCAAGGCGTGGAAAAAGAGGGAAGAACAAGGACTGCCGGCTCAGCTTGGACCGAAACGTCATGGAGCTTTTTGTGAACATTAGGAGACTATCGGATGAGGATGACCCAGAAGACTCCGTGATGGACCTGCTATACTTTGTTGTTGACGCGTTGCAATTCCAGGGCGAGAGGAATGCGTACGACGAAATTGATTTTGACATGATGGTCATTGAAACCTTGGATGCTTTGCGAAGCTACGCCGAAGCGGAACAGAGGGAAGAAAACTCTCAGCCACAGCCACATACAATTCTCATACTTGACAAAACTCTTCATTCGTTCCCGTGGGAGTCATTGGATTGTCTGCAAGGATGTTCCGTGTCCAGGATACCATCGCTCCACTGTTTGCGCGAACGGCTCTTTGATATTAAGGCCCAGCAAGGGGCAAATGTCTCACGACAAGGATATCATATTAAGAAAGAAAGCGGAGCGTTCATTCTCAACCCCAGTGGAGATCTCAAATCAACGCAAAACACTTTCCAATTTCCGCTCTCCAAATTCGATGGCTGGACCAACATTACTCAAAAAGAGCCTAGCGAAGAAGATTTTAGGGGAGCTCTAGAATCTAAGGATCTTCTCCTCTACTTTGGGCATGGAAGCGGCGCCCAATATATCCGTGGCCGAACGATAAAAAGGCTTGACCGCTGCGCCGTCACTTTTTTGATGGGATGTAGTAGCGGAGCAATGATCGAAGCTGGCGAATTCGAACCATATGGTACACCTTGGAATTATATGCAAGCTGGCTCTCCTGCTTTGGTTGCTACGCTCTGGGACGTTACCGACAAGGATATCGATCGTTTTGCGGAAGGGGTTTTCAAGCAGTGGGGCTTGTTTTCCTCTGAGGAGGAGAACCCCGGACTAGGTCGCTTATCTAGGAAAAATGGGAAGATGGCTGATAACTCTGAGAGTGGTTTAGGGTTGGAAGAGCCTGGGTCGGTTGGCTTGGACACTGCAGTTGCAAGATCAAGGGATGCTTGCATTTTGAAATATTTGAATGGCGCGGCGCCAGTTGTCTATGGTGTTCCTGTGTTTTTGGAATAAGGCGTTTTTCAGGATACGGTTTGGAATTGTTTAATGCTAGCGAGGAGTTGGGGACATTACAATTAGACGATGACAGGTACATAATAGAAGGGATTGCTCCTTAATATTTAAGCTTTTCAATCGGTCGTCGGTTTCAATTGCCGGTTTCCATGCAGAACCTTTCCTGTCGACTTCTGTTCGCACGGGGAGTCGATCTCGAGAGCTGTTGATTGGCTTTTGGCCCGACAATCCCGGAGATAATTGTCGGAGTCAACTGCGTAGTCAGTCCGTGCGAGACCTGCAGAAGAAATGGCTGCATAACCAGGGGCTGATCGGGAGTGACGACATCGGCCGATTCGCAGGCAGAGTTGCCCCGCACTTCCCCCAAGTTCCCCCTCATCGGAGTTGCCCCTCAACTGCATTTCTTTACCCTTTTGGGGTTGCTCTGAACTTCTACTGATATTTATATCGGCTTGCCAGCCTACTCTTTTTCTTCAATTGCAGTTCTCAATTGCTCAAATTCCTTTCTTGTCATCAACCTGCAGAATGTCCGTCTCAGTGAAAGCTACCATCGCCTCGTTTGGCGGACAGCTCTTGAAGCTGTCTCATAAAGCTGAAACAACAGGATGCGAGATGGCCTTCAACCTATATCTCCCACCACAAGCGATAAACAAATCGGGCTCCAGCATTCCCGTTTTAATTTATCTCTCTGGGCTGACGTGCACAGCCGAAAATTGCTCGGAGAAAGGCTTCTTCCAGCATGGAGCAAGCAAGAAAGGAATTGCTGTGCTATATCCGGATACCAGCCCAAGTATGTTGTCATCGCTCTTGGATGCCGTCCTTATGTCCTGGGCCCTCGTGCACCTTTTCCCGAGTGTACTGGAGCTAATATATACCTGATAGGAGGGCTTAATATTCAAGGAGAAGATGATGCATACGACTTTGGGTCGGGCGCCGGATTCTACGTGGACGCTACAAAGGCACCATGGGATAAGGGATACAAAATGTACAGTTATATAACGGAAGAATTACCCAAGACCGTATTCGCCGCCTACCCACAACTGGACTCGCGCCGAGTTAGCATCACGGGCCACAGCATGGGAGGCCATGGAGCGTTGACATTGGTATGCCGTTAAGCACTTCTAATTTCGATTTGGGGATAAACATAGTCGAATTCCTATATGAAGTTGCTAACCGGTGATTATGAATAGTACCTTAAAAATCCCGGAAAATACAAGTCGGTCTCCGCCTTTGCTGCAATCTGCAACCCTATCAACTGTCCCTGGGGTCAGAAGGCATTTAAGGGCTACTTCGGAGAAGAGAATACGCAGAAATGGAAAGAACACGATGCCACGGAGCTGATAAAACAATGGAAGGGAGGTCCTCTAGATATCCTTATCGATGTGGTAAGTGGCATCCGCTCCTTGATTTCGCAGCAACGGATCGATTAAGACTTTGCTAGGGCACGGGTGACAACTTCTATAAGCAAGGCCAGCTGCTCCCTGAGAACTTTGCTGAAGCAGCTAAACAGGCTGGTCTTGGGTCCGGTGTGCACATCAGATACCAACCAGATTATGATCATAGTTACTACACTATGGCTACCTTCTCAGATGACCATATCGAGCATGCTGCAAAGTATTTGCTCGCATAGTATGTCCCCAGGCCTGCTTCTGTGATAGTTTGGGGTACTGACTTTGATAGAAGCGATAATGTAAAACAGCAAAAGCTATGATGCATGCATAGCTAATACAGGACCAATAAATCTAGGAAGTAAAAACTCCAGATAATCATTCAGTGACAATCAGTATAGATTAAATATCCAAGTAATTTATGTTTTTAAATATTTTGAAAGCTTCCAAAAAGCTGAAATTTTTTATATTTTTTTTAATGTAATACGTAAATTGCGTCACTTCTCTATTCACAGCTTTGCACCTCATCACATCTCACAATGGGAAAATATCAAATGTGCCGCAGACTTCCTTAACTATCATTCAACTAGTTTTATCATCTCACAGCTTATCGCGCTCCCTGTTATCAGCAGGATACCCAGAATGGGCATGAAGAGTGTAATCATCCCTATCCAGCCATGAAGGATCCTACCTCGAACATCCACCCTATCGACAGCTGAGGGGTTTATCCCTTTAGCAAGGACTAACCCTAACCAGCCGATCAGAGCAATCAGACCTAGGGATAGAATATAGATGGGCTTTGCTTGCGAGCTTAAGCATAGCGTGGATTCACCGATTGCAGTACCACGGACGTCGAAGAAAGAGAGGGTTAAGGAATCGTATGGGGGATGGAGGAAGGCGAGATAGCTTAGAATCTGAGGGCAGGAAGGGAAAGAGTCGAAAAAAGGCAAATCGGGAGGACGATCGTGGAGTTAGGAGGAGCAATGTGGATGGGGCGTAGAATCAATGGTAGATGTGCGTCTGCAAAAGAAATACAAGAAATTTTTGTTCTCTTTTTTAGAACCCGCTGGTATCATGCGCTAAAACGTTGTATAAATGCCTATGGAAATAAAAGATATATCGAGTCAGTGTCGGAATCCACGGTTTCGCCGCATCCTCAAATATGGGAGGGAAGAGTGAATACCTGAAAAAATTGACGAAAGCCCTTTATATCTAGCATTTCTAAAGATCCGACATATTCATTAACAAGATCAGGCCCCATTCCCATCCCGGGTAGCTCTGTTTCTCTCAGCCACCGAACGTATTCTGGGCCTGTTTTAAGGTAGATTATTTTCTGAAGAGCCGCTGCCTCTCCAAGAACTTGCTTCGCCTGTGCGTCCTTTGGATTGAAAGAGGGATTCATGGGCAACGCCCAACAGAGTGGAGAGAAGCGCGTAATCATGAATTGTGTGAATCCCGGAAGAGCAGACTGTGATGGGGTTGTGCCATTCGCAGGGTTCGAGGGCTGCACAACGTCTGGTCCACCCCAGAGATTAGACATTCGAGATAGTACGAGGAAAGCCATTTTAGCCGTAGGAAAATCATCAACATCTTTGGCGAAATGCTCGATGGTGGTGATAACGGTCTCGAAAATAGGTTGATTTGCTAAAACAAGCCGTCAGTGCTTCCAGTCATGACCCAGGGCCGGTATAATAATAGACACTTACTGGTACTGATGATCACTGTCCCTAGATCATTATTGAGGATCATCAATAAAAAGTTGAGATATTCCCGTTTCAACTCAGCAAGCTGAATTTCATCGTCCGTTCCCGTTGTTGGCTCAGAGATTCCCGCGAAAACACGCTGAAGGAAGGGGGTGAGGAGGGTATCCAGAATTCCATATATCTCAGTTTTAAATCCGAAAATCACTTGGTCCAGAAGACGCAAAAACAGGGCCATCTCATCTTTCGATGAAGTCTGCGTAAGTAATCCATCAATCCATCGTGGCAATTGAGGTAGGTTGTGTGATCCGCGGACACCAATTAGCCTAGAGAATGCTGCTCGAGCTGCTGTCCTAATACTGAAGGAAAACTTTAAGGATTCAAGGGCTACCAGGGTTGCTTCGGCCACTTGTCCAAATGCTTCCGAGATCTCTGGCGCGGGTGGCACAGCCGGACTGGATGTCCCTGGTATCCAGTCAGAGAAGCCCTTTGCAAGAGTGCCTAAAGCCATGATATCGTGGTGAATTTGTAATAATGCTCGCTCATCATGCGATTTTGCGGCCCCTAAGTTTCTCTCCATATCAATGAATATAGGGTTCATGATAGACTGAGCATAGACCACTTGTTTGTCCAACGGGACAGAGGAAGTGGAGCAAATTGTGCCGATTGCCTCAAAAAGATAAAGCTGGTTATTGAATAATGCATCAGCCGATCCTTCGTGGTCTTCTGAGGACATATCATCACCGTCAGGTCCTTCCACAGGTACCTCCGCATTGATAGTGAGAAGGTCGCCCAATGCTGCAATAACGGTCTGGGCAACATTTCCGATATAGTTTCTCAGATGCTTGACAAGACGATGGAACAAATACCAAGATCTGACTTTCACTTTTGTCATTTGATGATGAGCCAGTTGAAGAAACCCCTCCAAAACCCCGGGTATAAATCGGGCGTGATGTTCGAAGAATGAGCTATATCTGACACATATTTCCATAAATTGCAACTGTGTCGCTGGATGACGGAACGACCTTATATCGGATTCGACCATCATGAGCATCATCTCGATTAGCCGTTCAGAAGCCGGGTTATTAGGTTTATTTTTGGTATATAACCCTCCGCATCGGACAGCAAGTTCGCCGAAGAGGAACATTTCGTGTAAAGCAAGATCAAGATCGCGCCAATCTATCTGACCTCCGGACTGCCGCACATTGTGGAATGTTGCTCTTACGACTTCACTCACAGCATCCATATAGAGTTGCTCATTGGTAGATGCAATGATCTGCTGGAGAACATTTAACCGCTTCCGTAAATCCTGGAATTCCATTTCATCCATCTGATCATCTTCAGTTCCCCACGACGAGGTCTCGTCGTAGCGCATCTTCTGAATAATAGCCTTCAAGATTGGCAATAACATAGCGCTCTGTTGGGGAATAATGGCAGGATTCCTCTTCGCCACCTTTCGGAGATATGATAGGAGTTCGTTTACACAAGGAATGGCAGTGGAACATATCTCATCATACTCGTCTGAGAAATAACGTAGGATGTGAGGTAAGAACGCCTGCAGCAGGGCCTCAGCCTTTTCCTTCGTAGCATTGTCGGCATCCTCACTATCAAGAGCTTTCACGATATCAACTGTCGTAATGTTCACCAGCTTAGTTACGGTCTCGGCGAGATCGGTATCGTATTTAGAGGTAAATCGGTGTTCGTGCAACGGAGGACTCGCAGTAAGTTGAGCTACGATGCTCTCAAGATTCAGGTAGACAATCATGTCAATTTTGTCAGCGGGCTTCATTTTCTTACCCACAATCTCTGTAAACACGTCAATGGCAGCATCCCGAACCTTTTCTCCCCCTTGATGAAGATCAACATCCTTAACCCTGGCGAGCTGACGGAATAAAAGGTCGAGCATCGTTTGGTTGACTACCAAGGAAATATTAATCCAGCTCACCCAGCTCCCGATTGCTCTAAGGCACATTTCAGCAATTAAGTCGTTTCTCTCCTGCCACTGCGAGAGAATATCCTGCCAGGATGTAACAAGCTTCTGAACATCTCTTTCGCGAATAAGATCCTTCAAAATGTTGGCCCTATCCTGCTCAGCGCGAGAGCGTGACACAAGCACATCTCCAATCTCGTCATGGATCGAGTTGATAACACGGAGGTAAAATATAATACCCAGGGTATTATCCCGCACACCACTATCCGGTCCATTATACGTTAAGCGTAGAATGTCATCGAAGAAAGTATTCCATTCGGTTGCATAAAGGGCAGAAAATAGGTACGTTATTGTCTGGGCAATTTTGTTCTGGATATTCGAAGGATCCGATTGCGCCGCGCCGTCGGGCCCGTACATCTGCTGCAGGTATGTCAAGAGATTGTCCTTGATAAAGCTGAGGCCTTGGATGTCAACCAGCCCGGTCTGGGTAGCGCTGTTAATGATTTCCAAAGCAACATGGCGAACTACATCCGAACGTCTCGGGGTTTTCGTAAAGAGTGACAGACAGACCTGCCAGCCGGAGGGGTCTGCTCGGAGCTGATTGAGATAGTCGAACGCTTGGGCTTTGATGGTCTGGTCAGAGGACGGGTTTCCCGCGATCTCAATAGCATTTGCTACCTGGTCAGATATGAAATCCGTGTCAGCTACTCTGAGCTCGTCGCGGGGTCCAAAAAAAATGCTACAGCGGGGCAGAGCGCTACGCTATCGACGGTGGAAGCAAAAGAAAAAAATAAATAAATACCTGTTCCTCCATCTTCCCCCAGCTCTGGCACGGCACAAGCTCCTCCTTCGGCTCGCTGGAGGGATGGGTTGTATACTTGTGACGTACTTTATGCAGCTTCAGCCAGGAGAGTTATGTTGCGGTAGACAGTCGCTGCTAATGGTGAGGATCATGTCACTTAGTCAAGACGGTGGCATTGCGGGCTGAAAACTAGGACTTTTTTCACAGAGGGACAAGATGCTCAGTCAGATTGATTGATCAGTTATACTTTTTTTTTTCTATTCAGGAAATATGTGAGGTAACCAAATTTTTTCAAGAGAATACTATGAGAGAGATCGTCGTTCGGTGCCTATTCGGCTGAACTGCTCACCACCGCACATTTCCCGTCATTTGGGCAACTGGGCACACAACGTTCTGCTGGTCACGAGCCCTCCAAAGCCCCAATCTAATTAAGCTTTAACCACTCAAGCTTCTTCCAGATCCCATAACGTCTTCTATTTTAGGGCTCTGGTGGTCTATGGGAGAATTAGGCTCTATACAGAGTCCTTCGTCTACAGAAAAGGGCTATTTCTTATCCCGGACCGATCTGGTCCACAGTGACACATCAGGTTTCTGGCAATTAACTAGTTCTTTGAGACTCTTGCTTCAGCACTTGCTTCTCCATCATCTCAAAGCCTTCCACAGCTTTTCCGTGTTTATCAAAAGCAGTCGGCTGGTATCCATCGGCAATCCTTTCAATGAATTCCTCTTCTCTCCATCTCTGTGCGATCAGGTCCTCAAATGTTTGGCCTGGTGACCTCTCAACTGCCCAAACGGCTTTGTACGCGGCTCCCAATGCACACGCATTCTCCCCAACGTCCAATCTATATACCCCTTCCACTCCCCCTAGGACTTCTCCGGCAACCTTGGCGATAGCATGGTTACGGGAGCCTCCGCCTACCAGGTATACCCGACGAGGCTGCGCCGGAACACCTTCTTTGGGACTGTGAACAAGATCCCTAGAACGTAGTCGGAGTGAAAGCATTTGACTTTCTACTATCGCACGGGCGTCGTCAAATGGGCAGTTCCAGCCGTCGGGATTTTCCTGGAGGCTGTGGTCTTCGGGTTTATAATTGAAATGCCATTCACCATTGCGAAGGTTTGGCACAATTTCAGGTCTGGGGAAGTAGAGTCCCATTTTCATCGGATCGGAATCATTTTCTTGTCCAGTGACAGGCGTCTCTAACACGATTCGGTCGAAATGTTCCCATGAATTTGAAGAGTGTCCAGCTCCTAGTTTAGCATTTATTGCGTCCCTGACTTGCTCACGAGCAAGTCCTCCGTTCTTATAGCAAAGCATGAACATATAGAGGCCAGGCGTGGTTGGGTGGTTGAAAAAATGTGTTGAAGGATCTGGCTTGTACTCTGGAGTCGACATGAGAAATGTAGTTGAAGTTCCCAAAGATACCATGGCATCCAAGGGCCTCAATGGAAGTGCGAGAATTGTTGCGGGATTATCCCCAGTGGAGGGTAATACAGTGCAGTCGGGATGAAATGCGTAGCGTTCGACAAAGTACTTGTGAATCTTTCCGAGATGTAAGCCGCCATCATGCGGCACGTCGCCCAGTTTCTTCTTCAGCTCATCTACGCCATACTTTCCGGCACAGAATTTAATCAAGTCGTCATTCCAAGCATTTCTCTGCATGTCCCATAAGTTCATTCCGCAGACATCAGAGATGTCAAAAGGCGCGATCCGACCTAGAAGTACCGAAGCTAGGAACGACGAGACAAGTGATATGCGCGATGTTTCCTGATACTCTTTGGGGTGTTTCCGCTGGAATCTTAAGATTTGGGGGCCTGTAAATCTCTATGGTTGTCCGTCAGAGCTGTGCAGAATGTCGTATATATATATCCTTTCCTTTTTTTTTTTTTTTTTTTTTTTTTGTTGTTTTTTTGGGGACCTACGTGATGGGCTTTGCTCCCAGTGACCTGGGCTAGTTTCTCTTTACTCCCAAGAAACGCATCAAACTCATCGCATTCCTTTTGCGTGCTCGCATCCTGCCAATTGGGACTGTAAGGGTAGGATAGCGCCGCTCCAAGCTGCTCCTCCAACGTTTTCCCGCCATCTAGGCCATTTAACGTCGTCTCCGCGTTGCTATTCCAATAGACACTGCCGTGCTGCTGCCCTGCCCCGCTAACGCCCTTCACCAGACTAAAATCTAGTCCTTGGTCTTTTAATTGTTGCAGGACATGATCCAACGCTTGCAGCCACATAGCCACGGGCGCAAACACCTCGTGTTCGGCTTCATTGGTAAGGACTCCTTTCTTTACATCGAACCCTTTCGAATCGACATCGAAATCGAATTTCGCAATATGGACAACCTTGAGGTCCGAGGCCACAACGAGACCCTTCAATTGCTGCGTCGAGAGATCGAAGCCTATGTACAGAGGGCCTTGCGAAGCCATTTTTGTCGCATGGATAGCAGTGATCAAGCTTAGGAGGACAGAAGGTTGTCTCAAACAAACCAGGCACATATAAGTCAAATAACTGGATTGAATGGATGTTTAAACGCTCATAGACATCTCTATAAATTCTTTCCCCAGTGGTTCTCCGTAGCCTCCAACTTCGCGTTTTCGGTGATGTGAATGTCCCATGCGATCAGCAAATCCAGTTCTGTTCGCAGGCATGCTGAGGGGCTGCGATGATGTCAGATGGACTTGGGCACGAACTAGCAAGCCATGTGCTGTTTTCCGTAACTACGTAACTAAGTTGAAACTAGCTGAGCCAACGCAAGACCATGTGATTGACCGCTCAGGGAATTTGAACCCCTTCGCGTGGCTGCAAGGAGAGGCCCAACCAGATTCAGGATCGTGATAATCCTCAGCAGGACCGACCCAGAGCCGGAATGTGCCTCCCAAACTTCTCGGGTAGCGAGAATAGCCCTCCAGGATAAGATGCCAGGCGCCGGGGTGTGACGGTCTTTGCCGGCCGGGCTGCATACGATTTACTATATAATATGACCATAGCAATAGTTGAATGGGTATATTCGAAATCTATCCGAAGACATACAAAAAATCCAGTCGCCAACCTCGAAATAACGCTGGAAATGTGGCATTTCAAGATCAAGCTACCAAAGTGCGCCACAAAAAAACCCCCCCCCTCTCTTTTAGAGTAGCAGCTTGTATGTACGTACTTTGCTTCACGGCAGGAGTTCGGAATAGAGGCACCCCTGAATGTATCATCTCCTCCTGAAGGATGCCCGAAGCCGTAAATCAAACGGCCTCATAGGGGAGGTCAGGATGGAATACATTTTGCGCATATAGCACAAGAGGGTCCACAAGATCGATTTGAAACCTGTATCACGAGCTCACCCACGTTTTCGAATACCATTTTGTTGTAACTTGGGATTAGAATTGATGGCTGTTTCGGCACCGCTGTGCTCTATCTCTGGCTCAGGGCTACTTCGAGGACTGATATCCGGCGCTATGAACTCTTCCGCAAAGGTGACTTCTTTCTGGTTATTTGGCGTAAAGCGTATCTTCAACCGTTTGACGCTCTTAACGCGCGCACCGACTCGCTGTCGGACCAACTCCTCAATGTGTCGTGTATGGCCGACCGACCAGGTTTCTGGCACTGCCATCTCTATATCCATGAGGTAGTTCGGACCCGATTTGATACCCTGAATGTCACGAATCTCCACTTCAGAACCGCTCGACGCGGTAGCCAATGCTTTCATGGCTGACTTTCTGACGGAATCGATCATATCTTCGTCTACGCCCACGTCTGCCAGCTCCAACAATGATGTCTTTGAGTTTCCCCATCCCGCCCTGATGACCATCAATGAAATTAAAAGTCCTCCAACGGGGTCGAGCCAGGATGCATCTGTGAAGACATGTGCTCCGCCAATGGTCAACAGTGCAACAATGCTTGTGAGGGAGTCAACACGGTGGTGAATGGCATTGGATGCAAGCACGGACGACTTGCGTTGAATGGCAATTTTCATAGCTAGGAAACAAAAGAAAAACAGCCACATCAGTAAAACTCTCAGGCTCGGCGTTCAGTTCTAGTTTTAAGATCGACTCACTCGCATGGTACAACCATTCTTTAATCACAATAGATCCTGCGGCTAGCCAAGCAGCATTGATATTAGGCCCAATTGCAGGCCCATGGCTGTGACTGTGTCCGTGAGAATGACCATGACCAAGAAGCCCCCAGTGGGCAGCCATGTCTGCAATATCTGGAAAAACTTGAACAAGCAAGACTTCAGCTGCATTTAGGCCCATGAAGAAGCCTCCGCAGAGGAGCAAGCTGCTCACACCCAGTGCTCCCAAGGTTTCCACCTTCCCGTATCCGGTGGGAAATTTCGATGACGGCGGTTTGAGCGACCAGGTTACCGTTGCCAAAGTCATAAAGTCCGACACAAGGTCTGTGAGAGAATGATACGCGTCGGCAACCAGCGCTTGTGAATGGAACATATAACCTCCGACACCTTTTCCGATAGCCATGGCGAGATTGGCCAGGAGCCCAATTCGCGTTATGCGGACGCCGGGATCGCTCCTGTTCTTGGAGACAAGGTAGGTGGTATCATGGTGATGGTGGTGGTGGTGGTGGTGGTGGTGATGCCCATGGCTGCCATGGTTTCGGACTTGGTGGCTCGACATGGCCACGAGGGGCGCGAGGAGAAAGGGGCGAGAGGTTCTGTCGGTGGAGATCAAGGGGTGCGAGAGGAGTGTCGCTGGTTTTTGCCCATGCGCATGAGCACGAAAGGGTTGGGAGCAAATACCTTTGGCTGATGTCTGGAAGACACGTTGCTGGATCGAGCTGCAGCGTCGTTCCGCGATCTCGTTGGTTGGTGGGACGGTTCGCTCGTGTGGGCGTCGGCAGATCAAAAGGCTGAGTCTGACGGTTCCGCTTCTGGCACGCGTGCTCAGCTGTGTCAGCGGCATCACCCCGTAAAGCGACGGCCCAGCACAAGCTGGACCGTGGAGGATGTTTGGTGATTTGTTTTCGAACTGCCTTATTTCCTTCGAGCCGGGATGGTTTAGTTATACGTCTGGCCAGCTTACACTGCACTCCGCGACAATTATATCCAAGGTACTGTCGAAGCTGCAACGGCCAAGCTCTCTTACTCACCAAGCTCCAGGAACCTTTTTTGACGCAAGCCAAGCTGGCAAAGGCCTGGTTTCAGTGCCGCAGAAATTCACCGGGATCCATGGGCTCTTGGAGCGAGCAGCTTTTCTTCTCGCTTGTTTCAACAAGCCCTATTCACCGTCTCGCTCGCTGCCATTGTTGATCTACGATCTCTCTGCACTAGTTTACCGACAAACCCTGGAGAAATCTCGGTCGGTGCGAGCCATCCGAATCGAACCACACAACCCGCCTTTTCTTACTAACGGAAGCACAAGGATTCGCGACGCTCCGCCAAGACCGGATCCTAGCTCACTGGGGGCAATGCACTGATGTTTTGAGGCCGATGAAACGTTTCCAGTTAAAATCTAGAACCGCAGCCTCAGTTCCTGGAGATTGCTAGATCTCGGAACATCCGGCCCAGACAGTCGTGTCAAAGCCAAAAATTTGCCCAATTCGTCCCACGGAGGCACCAAAATATCCCGAGTTAGTTTGATCATGCCTTGCTCATGACCAGGCGGTTGAGAATTCCCTTCACTGCGCCCTTCTCACCGCCCATCATATTCCCGTCCTCAGCGAACACTCTATCAGGCGCGGTCGATGCGGTAACAGCTTTCCTCTCCGCTCCACCGTCGCCCCTGCTGAGAGGTACCGATGTCGGGTTGAATGCCCAGACGGTACTTCTCACTGGTGCGGGCATATCCGTTGCCTCTGGGCTCTCGGATTATCGTGGCGAAAATGGGACTTACAGACGAAACGCATCGTACCGTCCGATCTATTTTCACGAGTTTGCGACCATACATGAAGCGAGAAAGCGATACTGGGCTCGCAGTTTTGTTGGATATCCCACGTTGCGCGACTCTGGCCCGAATTCCACACACTTCTGCATCGCAGAGCTCGGGCGCAAAGGTTACATCAGTTCAGTGATTACGCAAAACGTGGACTCGTTTCATAATGTTGCCCACCCAGACCTCCCTGTGCTAGAGCTTCACGGATATCTACGATCCATCGTTTGTGTCAATTGCCGCCATATGATGTCAAGAGAAAGCTTCCAAGAATCTCTTCTGCGCCTTAATCCTGCTTGGTCGGAATTTTTAGCTCGCGTTATGGAAAGCGGAGCTTTAAAGACTGATGTGCCAGAGGAACAACGCCAAAAGGGGCTGCGAGTGAATCCAGACGGCGACGTAGAAATTCCCGGTGCCCATTACTCGGATTTTCGCTATCCACCGTGCCCCAGGTGCCTGCTGACACCTCCGTATCTGCAGGACGGGGCAACCAAAGCAATAGTAGAGGCGGAACCTGACGGGGCCTGGTCACCACGGTCCAGCGCCGGAATCCTCAAGCCTGCTGTTGTCATGTTTGGAGAATCCGTCGATGAAGCCACCAAGACGGCCGCTGAAGAAGCAATTGACGAGGCGGGCAAACTCCTCGTCATGGGAAGCAGCTTGGCAACCTTCTCCGCCTGGCGGCTTGTCGAAAGAGCGCAAAATCGAGGAATGTCGATTGGCATCCTGAATGTGGGAGGTGTCCGCAACGAAGCCAGTTTATTTAAGGAGGGCAACGAGCATTTCTGGCCAATGGCACGTTTGCGATGTAGCGAAAAGACGGAACTTGTCCTACCTGAGGTGGTTTCAAGACTCGAACAACTTGGCTTTCGCTGAGCATGTATGGAGAGTCGAGGGCTTTCGTTTACGTCAAGTAGGAGCGGTCAACTCACCGATACTTGTATGTATTGCTATGGGACAAAATATTGCATGATCGCACACATACGCAGTAGACCAAGACGGGGCCAAGACGGCATAGTTCCCTCGTCCTTCCTCTGTACTCCGTAGTCAACGAAGGAATAGGATTGTTTTGCAATTGTTTCAACGCTAACGAGGGATGGTTAGGGATTGGTTGATACGGATGGCCCTTTTTCTTCAGACAAAAATAGCCACCGGCGCTAAGAGCGGCTGGGCACAAGTTCCGCTTTTAGCTTTGACCCAGGAAGTTGGCGGGGGCGCAACAGATTATCGTCCAGCGGAAATAACTACATAAAGGCTGGCATGGACAACCGTCGATCTATCAGTGTCGCTCCCGCAAATTCCCAATCCTGCTCTCGTAACCTGGCCTCTTATTTGGATATTAAACTGTGACTTGCTCCCACCTATTTTTGTTATTAATCCGCGCAGCCCACGGTCCCGATACAGAGGTACAAGTCAGGCAAAATGGATAAGCGCCAGCAGCCGAGCTCGTTTCAACAGCTCGAGAAGGTACGTTTTATCATATTCCCCTCACCTTACATAGTTATAGGATGTTCAGCTGACTTAGGTTCTAGCTAGGTGAAGGTACATATGCGACTGTATGTCTTACCTCGGATCCCTCCTCCGATAGCGATTCGGCAAAGCTAAACCTCCCGATTAGGTATTCAAAGGGCGCAATCGCCAGACCGGTGAAATGGTTGCATTAAAAGAAATACATCTAGATTCAGAGGAAGGCACACCGTCAACCGCGATAAGGGAGATTTCACTCATGAAAGAGCTCAAGCATGAGAATATCGTCTCGTTATATGATGTGATCCATACCGAAAGTAAATTGATGCTCGTTTTCGAATATATGGACCGGGATTTGAAGAAATACATGGACCAGCGAGGCGATCGCGGGCAGCTGGATTACCTCACTATCGTATCCTTTATGCAGCAACTCCTCCGCGGCATCGCATTTTGCCACGAAAATCGCGTCCTTCACCGGGATTTAAAGCCTCAAAACCTTCTCATCAACAACAAAGGAAAGCTCAAGCTTGCAGACTTTGGCTTAGCGAGAGCATTCGGTATTCCGGTGAATACTTTCTCCAATGAAGTCGTCACTCTTTGGTATCGAGCGCCCGATGTGCTACTTGGAAGCAGGACATATAACACTAGCATTGATATTTGGTCTGCTGGATGTATCATGGCTGAGATGTACACGGGCCGTCCGCTCTTCCCAGGCACTACGAATGAAGATCAGCTGCAGAAAATTTTTCGTCTTATGGGAACACCCTCCGAACGCTCGTGGCCGGGTATATCCCAGTTCCCGGAGTATAAACCTAATCTCCACGTCTACGCAACTCAAGATTTACGACTGATCCTCCCTCAGATCGATCAGCTTGGTTTAGATCTCCTTAGTCGGATGCTTCAATTACGGCCTGAGATGCGGATCAGTGCTGCCGAAGCGTTACGCCATCCCTGGTTTCACGAGTTAAATCAGATGCAGGCGCAGGAAGCTCATCATCAAGCTGCGATTCATCAGCAACAGCAACATGTGACTGCCGGATATGGCGCTCAAGGGATTGTTTCACAAGGCTACTAGGAAAAATCTTCGCGACCGGGTGGGATATTGGTTTTCCTTTCTATAGCGAGGCGTTTTGAGCTGGGTACCGTTGTCTCTTTTCTCCTCTTTTTTTCTTTTTTTTTTTTTTTTTTACACCTGTTACTCGTAGATTCCTGATTCTTGATGATTTCGATCTATCCCAACGGTAGTAATGCCTATTAACCCTTGAAAATTGCGGGCATATGTCCATTCATTTTCATCGTCAAGCACACACCGACAATAGTACTCCGTGCGTTAAACCGCTGGCTGAGTCACTGGCCAGCTGTATTCAGTGCCAAGACTACGCGAATGTCCAAACCACGTGATGACGCGTTGATGCAGGTGTCTCGCGCTGGATGTTTCCCCCGCCGTTGTGAATCGCAAACTCTTCAACTTGCTCATCAACGGAATGTCTTCGACGACCCCTCCAGCCGACAATCGGCAGACTCAAAATAGTGCACAGGACGGCTCGCCGTCCCCTCCGCCTCCGGCCCCTGTGCCTCTCACCCCAGGCCCTCGTGCGGCTCGGCTCCAACAGATCTTTAACCAAGCATTACTCCATACCATTCGAGCAAATTCCTATTCTAATTTTGCGTCTTGTTTTCCCACACCGGCGAAACATGTCCCGCACAGTCTCGAGTCAGTATGGAGACAACTGAATGCGAAGTTGGAGGAGAGCGCGAGAGCAGAGTTCGATGACGTGATACGGGAAAGAGAGGTGGTCAAGGGGTTAAACGAGTTGGATAGATTGATCCGGGAAGCGAGAAAAAGGAAGGAAAAAGGAGAGGGAGGAAGTAGTGTCGCGTACGTTGGTGTCATTATCCCTTTGCTTCCATTTCTCTTGAGTTGACCCCATTTGGATTCGACGACAGCCCGCACACCCTTGGCGCGAATGAATTATATCAGGCACACCTTGCTCCTTACCTCAGAGAGGCGAAGGAGACTCTTGATTCGAAAATGGAAGAGACTCAACAGCAGAATATACAATTGGCCGAGAGGATACAGAGCCAAAGACAAGAGATACGTCAATTACTCGAGAGTCTGGAGGGAGTTGTCACAGATGTTGGCGGCGCGGTGAAGGCAATACAGGAATTCGATCCAGATAACAGTCTAAGGAAAGAAGCCGAACGCATGGATGAAGAAGTCAGATCGATTCAACATGATTGATGCACATCTCCGCCAACTCACCCCGCGGTCCCGATGCGACGAAAGGAAGTTCAAGAGAGCGATTATCAGTTGAAACAAATCCTCAATATCCTACAGTTTTTACCTGGCAACACGGTAGCTCGCTATATAACTGGCATGGAATATTGCGTGAAGGTTGGCACTACAAACCAATACTGCATGGCCGAGCATATCGTGCGGGAATATCGACGACCATACTACGGTATATACACCTAGCAAAACATTGCGTTTCCGTTCCCCCAACAGAGAGAATTCAAACCCGAGAAAAATTTGACCAATTCGTCACATATTAGACTCTGAAACAATACCTGAATTATTTCCAAGTAAGTAAAATGCCTCCATTGACAGTTAAAATTTGGTTCAGCTGTCTATCTTTACCGAGCCCTTCTTTGCAACTTCGCTTAAGCCAACTAGGACTCTACCTTATGCTAACTCTATATTAAGATCTATAGTTTCAGAGCACTCGACCCTTCACTGGATAGTCATGGTAACAATTCTGTAGGTCACAGTAATGTTTCAGCCATGGCAGCTGTAATGCCTAAGTTATTTGCAGCATCTGTCAGAGCGCGCAAATGCACTCGGCCCAGTGTTCCTGCATGGATGTGATACACCGACTTCCGGGTTTCCGTCGGATGGAGTGGATTGTGCCACAGACTCGTCTTTCTCTCTTCTGCTCCGAACTGTGTGGGACATGCTGTGCTGTAAAACGATTCACAGGCTGACTTTCCCATTAACAACATGAGAGTTAGCGGCCATGAACGTTTATAATGGGCAATGGCCTCTTAAGTATATTTTGGATGAGTACAAACCAGGCAACTGTGAAAGAAGGCCTTGCATATTTTGGCCGGAGTTAAAGCAGCTGATGTCAAGTAATTCCGATGGGGATATTAAATCTCAATTGAAGTTTCTATTTTACTCCGCACACGTTCCTTATCTCCGCAACTCCGATCCCCCGCCCACCGCATCTTCTGCCCCATTGTCATGTGCGCTTCGCCCTTGTTCTACCTTTAAATTCTCCATACCGCTAAATAGCTTGCTTAAGGTGATTCATTTGCGTTTATCCTTCTACATGATTCCTTCATTCATCACAATCATATGCATCTCAAAGTTTCCAATTTAACTCTGTACCGGATAGATTGGCAACACCACGATAGAAATAGTTCTTATCCAGCTTAAAGATTGCCAAACCATTAATGGAGTTTTGCATGAATCTGAGCGCTACTCCTTGCCGCACAATGTCCGGTTTTAGCGTCGCACATTTCACGGAAAACAGGTTAGCATCTTTGCTGGCTATTCCCCAACTTCAGCCCCTGTTTGGGCTCGAGTCCGGGTTCCAGGACAGTTGGACTACACTCTGCCAACTTAGCCACACGTCGTTGTCCATGTCGCTGTAGAGGGCTCTACATGAACGCAGACAGGTTGTCCATGAGCGCTTCTATAGTGACAGCAAACTCATAAAGTGAGAATTTTGGTGACTGTTAGGGAGAATGGGACCAAGAATCACCTGAAGTCCAAGCGGGGGGAACGCAACGGTCCCTAGAATCATCCATATGCCTAGCTGCCATCATCCGCTGTAACGTCATCAAATCCAACCATCTTGCCCATTAAGACCTAAGCCACAATACAAACCATTAAAGTAAATTGGCATCGACCCAGGGGAGGCTCTGGTAAAGTACCTGCTCTGGCTGTCTGTGAAGCGCAAAAAGCTGTAATATTATTGGCGGGATATAAAGAATCACAGCTTTTGAGGCAACATTTCATGCTCTGCGTTTATTTACAATCATCAGCGGTGTGCGCTGGTTTTGCCATTCCATAGATACTGGCTACACGAACAGCCATCTAGCTAGCAAATGGTGCAGGTCCCCGGTTTAAAGTTAAGCATGGGTAGCTGGTGAGAGGTTTGGTTCTTCCTTCGAACCGTATAGGACACCATTAATTAGTCATTCCTAGTGTCATTAGAAAACGATCTCTTCCGGTGCCATGTCATGTAATATCTTCTCCAGGTCATTGTTGGTGATCAAGCCATCCTCAACCATGTCCTCCGCGACTTGAGTTAACCCCTCTTTGTCACTCGTTAACAACGATTCCATCTGGCTAGGATCCCCAGAAAGCACCTTTGCTAATGCCTCTTTGAACGTCCCTTCTCTCTCCTCCGCTGTCCATCCGTCTCGCCTAGCTATGGCCGCCCCTCCGCGGTAGTATGTTTCCGCGTTTTTTAGTAGTAGTGCACTATTTGCGCTTGCTGGTCCATAGTTCCACGGAGCTTTTCCCAAACGTAGCCGATACATTTCTACATCACCCCGTGCGACGTGTATTTTGGGAAGGTTCTCGCCAGCACTGGGCAGCTTGGAGGCGGCGGTCAAGAAGTCCAGAGCCGAAGAGAGAGATTTCCATCGCAGTTCCAACGCAATCTTTAATCCTTCGGGACTATCGGGGCTGAATGTATCTGCCATGGCAGAGTTGAAAGCCACCAGTGCTTCTGCCTGGCTACATAGACCAGCCGGATCACCCGAAACGTCGAGTCCATCGGTATAGGCGCTATTGAGCTCATTTTTATATGTTTCAAGATCGATTTGCCCATTCCGATACACCAGCTCCGTAAATGCTGCAATAAACCTGGCACGCGCCAACGCGATGTCCTTCTTTCGATCCGTTCCCTCTGCATACGCGTTGATCTTCTCTCTGAGAAGATCGGACGAATACTCCTCGATCCAGGCCAGGCTGGTACTGGAATCGTATATGAGCAATCCACAGAGAGTCGCCAATGTCTCCAGTTGCGCTATAGCAGTGTCGACTAGGGTGTTCTTAGTGACTGGCTCGACCACAACTGCCCACTGTTCTACCGGTGTGGACGCGGGCAAGGACGACTCCGGAGGTGGTAATTGCTCAGTCTCAGGCTGTTCGGATATGTTAGACTCCATTGCGTTTACTTGCTCTTGGTACTCAGTAAAGCGCAACTCTTGGATCGCAAGACATCTTTGGAACAACTCGAGCGCTTCTTGAAGGTATTTGATAGCTTCTTGGGCTTTGTGACCCGAAGGATGCTTCCCCTCACCAATCACCTCCGCTAGGCTTGTTAATACTTGGGCTGTGTTGAAGAGGATATCTGCGTTGTCTTGGTCTTTGCTCAGCGCCTCCCTGTGGGACTTTAGCGCAATCTGGAGAATTTCAGCCATAGGTGCAGGTAGCTGAGAAGCGAGCTTGGGATGCTGAGTGATGTCATATTGTACCCGAGCCCTGATGCTGTCGATTAGTATGCGCAAAAGTGATGCGCGTTGAAAAAAAGGGAAGGCGTTGAATGGAAACATACTTGTTATAGGCGAGATCAAAGGAGTTCGGGTACTTTCTTAAACCCGTATCATAAGTATCTATTGCCCGCATGAAGAATCGCATGGATTTCACTGCGTCTCCAGCGCGCCATTTTTCACCAGCTTCTTCGAACTCGACGCCCTCTAGAGCCACTCCAAGTTTAATGCATTGCGTCACAGCTTATGGACATTGTTGAACCTGCAAGCGAAACTCACCAGCAAGGTATTCATCTGCCGTCTCGGGCTCCTGTTTATACTTGTTAGAATACGCGATGGAAGAGGCTACAAAATAGCCATATCGACCAAATGATATTGTGTTTGCCGGGTAAACCTTACAAATTGCTTTGCGTTTTTCTTAGACTTTGTATCCTTGAGCAGGGTTTTCGGCTTCGGCATTGCAGCAAAGCGAGAATTTTCTCTCTAATCGTAGAAGGAAGAATAACGCAGTTCTCGGACTATTTAAAGTCAAAAGTCCGTGTATACTTATTTGAGTGCTAGTCGATAAAATGTGGGCTTCCGGGTTGAATGTGAGGATGCGGGTCTTTGATGGCGAAAGGTGGGATGGCGGAAAGCGTTTGATTGATAAGATAAGATTGTACCACAGCCACCCGTCCAGAGCCAGCAACCACAAAAGCATGAGCATTGTTTACCATTCGGATGAAACGAATCGAATTGCCGTTGCTTTGTAAATCCGTTTCCTGTTGGACAGATTACCTGGTTCTGGTCGACATCATCCTCATCGCAACCAGAAAAGTGATCGCCCTCCTCCAAATTAGGCCCTGTGGATGCCGGTGCTCAAGACTCGGAGTTCCGCGCATTGACAGGCTACATCCCGCAGTTTAATTATGCATCCTGCAGATTCCAGGGTCCAGGACCGCAATTCCTCCCGACTTGCGATAGGTCAAAATTGTCAGAGAGCCTGCTTGCCACGGACCAATTTCTGAGCAATGGGGGTTACACGGGAGAAATCCGGAGGTCATTGTCATTCTGAACCGATCAGATGGACCGGGAAACAGTGAATGTGGTTACACGGCGCTTTGCATCTCTGGCTTCGTGTGGATTCCATGGTTAAGATATGATGAGGTAGCTTGCTAGTCTGGAATATGATAGTTGGATGCCCGCTTGTCCACTGGTAAAACTCATGACCTGGCAAAGATTGGTCGTTCAACCTTCACGCGAACGCCGAACTGGGCTGGCGGAACATGGAGACCAGGGTAGCGGCAGCACACGTGGTTGAGAGAGGGAGGACGAAAGGTGACATCCAATCAGCCACATTTCTAATAAAAAAAGGGGGTGCTTCCCCGTTTGACCCTTCGCATGGGCTGATCTTCGCTTCAGATGGCGAATCAAACTTGAACTTCGCAAATATCGAGTACCCTCGTTTTTAAGCCCGCTCAACCGGTTGACCACACGGGAAGGAGGAGGAAAAAGCAAAAAGTATCGGCCTCCATGTAACTGCGCAGGGAAGACGGGGGCGAGGTGCATCAGCGAGCAACCTCGTTATCTGTCTGTCTGTCTGTCTGTCTTGTAACTTACTGTACATACTGCCTGTCACGATCTCCCATGTGACAAGTTTGTTTTTAGTGGGGAACCTTTTGCCGATGGTCCAATCATATCCACCCCTCAGGGGATTCACCCGAGTTTGTATGGATATCCCTGCTGTGTCATACACAAGAAAACCACCTCCATTACGGTCCTGAACATACAATCTTACGAGAATAGCGGGCGCGAAACGCAGCCCGGACTTTCGCCATAATCATCATCCTGCAAAAAGTCCTGGACCAGGCTGCTCCTTGAATCCCTTCTCCTGTCCCTCCATTGTCCCTATATGTGCCTTATGCTTTCGGTCTCCTGCAGTGATCCCAGATAATTCGTGGATTACAGATTTTGTGCAGATCCAGAGCAGCTTTCCTAGAGGTATGGATGAACCCGATTCCTCAGCGGCTACGGAGTACCTTGCCCGCGATCCTCCCCCCCCGGTCCGCTATTCCTGCTGCTGCTCCTGACTTTTTATTCCGTGGCGATGAGTTGTCGGCATTCCACCCAGATCGTTGGCTAACGTATCAAGAAAGAGGCCGAATTTCGACTCGGGCTGATCAACACCATCGCAACCCGCACTCGTTTCCACAGTTCCTTATCGCGCCCCAAATTCAAACATTAAACAACCAGATACCCCATTCATATGCTTCCAAGAATGGCAAGGAGACAGTCTCTCGAGTCCCAGCGACCTATCATGGCACCATCGGTATGCTTTTGACGCCCCTTGATTCTTTCTTGCACCCGCGAATTCCAAAACTCCCCGTCTCTCTCCCTCCATGAAGCGCACGAGGCTGATTTGTCCCAATCTAACAGCTTAGTTCTCAGCGGAACTCTCAACGCTTCTCCACGATCAGCGATCGTACCATCTCAAGCAGCATGACCAGCGAAAGCCGACTAAACGAAATTAGAGAGCTGGGCGAAGGCCTGGACCGCCTGGAGAACAAGCGCCTAAATCAGCAGCGGTTCGTGCCCAGTGCGGAGAAATCCGAAAATCTCAGTAAATTAGCCCTCGGAGCGAAAGTCGAGCGTGCTTTGAGACGGAGAATGACCAGCCAGGATGCCGTCATGCGCAAGCCGATTATTTTGGACGAGAAAAAAGCATTGAAGGTCGCCGAAGCGCCAAACTAGATCGATTCATTTATACCCCCTCCCTGTTTAACGTGTCTCCGCGATTTTATTTGACTTGCATCACCATGGATATTTTTTCTTTTTTTTTTAAACAAAACTTCCCTTGATATATTCTACCGGTTATCCGCTCCCTCAGTGGGGGGCCATGACCGTTTTGGAGGGAGTTGATTATATGCGGGTTTGATTAGCAGCTGGATGTGCATTGTGACGACTCTTTCTAGATACCAGTTTTCATGCCCAGTGACTCGATGTTTGTGATTCGATTACAGGTTTCCCCATACATGTTTTGATAGTTTAGAAAAGTGCAGATGATCAGGCTCTTGAATTCCTCAAAATATATAGAGGACCTTCTAGTAATAGGATAACCGTCTGCCCTCCCCTCCTTCTACCTCTTTCCCCATACAGAATCATGAATTTGCCAGGCTTGCACTCCATACTCAAGAGTATTTGTGTTTCTATTAAAGCACCCTACTGAGATCTGCTGCATATTGAATGCATGAACGGATTGGAAAGTCTGGACCGTTGTCATCGGTTTATTGGATAGTTAAATGAGTGTTGCAACAGTCAACTTGGATATAAATGCGATTCTTTTCCCATTCTCCAGACAGCAATATTTTTCAGAAACCCAAGATTGCCCTAACAACCATGGAGCTTTGCTTGGTTTGGATACAAAGTTTCATGAAAGAGTGACCATCACATAAAAATTCCGTTTCCAATACAGATCCCGATTATATAGGCCCATACCATCTAATACAGCTTAAGAACTGTTCTCTGCAACCCGGCCCCTTGGGAGTCGACGCCGGGTATTTGAGTACTGCTAATATACTTGCTCTCTTCAGGTAGGGGGTTTAATTGGGAGCTACATGTATATTCTGACCATTCCTGCACATCTAGACAAATTACGCCATTTTTTCCAAGTGATCGAACCTGAATCATAACGAGCCCACTAAATAGCATGGTTTGCAGGGTCATTGGGACGTAGATGGAAAACCCATCGTCTGATCACCAGCTGAGTAAACAATTATAAGACCCACGTGTCTTGAGAAATGTGTACTGCTCTTCTTGGAAGACCTTGGCTGGCATGAGCTGTTCTTCCACCCTAATCATAATGGAGCTCCGAGACACTACGGCAGAAAACGCGACAGTAGAGAAAGTCTCTCCAGGGCCATTCGCCCACTCTGATGCTCTTAGCGACCAGTAGAACAAATGCAGCAAACACCCAGTAGTACGTCGTGATATTGAAAGGGTCAACGACGGAGACTTAATCGCGGACCGTGACTCTGATTGTGATACCCCAAACACCAGTGCGCCACACATTGCCATCACGGACCAGACGTAGCAGCTGACAAGAACGCCTTTCTCCTCGAACACCCAGTTTTTCATCCAGTCCTCCGCGCTTTCAATAGCTGTGCTGTAGGAATAGCGAGTAAATGTTGCTATTAGCGGTAGTTACTATCTTTCTAGGGAACTAGTCCACTTAGCATGCTGGTAGCCTTCGAGAGGGAGACGCATTTAACGAAGCGTATTTTTCGTAGTACTCTTTAGCTGACAGAGAGAACAATGCTTGGATTGGGGGTGCTTAGACGGCACTATCGAATTCTGTGCCATTATCAGGACTGCGTTTCGGCCTCGATGGTACGAAGCTAGGCCTGGAGGAGATTGGATATCATTTCCCACCTTCTCCGAAACTCGTGAGATATCTGATCTGCCCGTTGTTCCAATAGCCTTTTGGCCCCAACGGAATAAACTTGAGACATTGCGTTTTAAAAGGGGGAAGACACTCATAGACATCCTTGGGGGGAATGTTCAAGGCTCTGCTCATATGTCCTACAGCAGTCCGCGCTGGCAAAGCGATGATCCAGTGGCTAGACCAACACACGAGGTATTGCTTGTCCAACGTCCGGAAACTAACCAACTCTCTTCCGATAGATCGATGGCCACATCGTCCTAGAACTTCTCATCTTATTTAAAGAAGAAAGAAATACGTCCATCATTACTCCATGCCGGGCTCTCAAGGAAAAAAGAGACTAAAACCCCTGAAATCCAATTCCAACGAAAGAGGGGCACGGGAGGAGCTAGTTTGAATTCGGAATCGAGCTCGGAAAAGAGAGACGAGACGGAATTGGGTCCAGATGAGCTTTTAAAGACGGCGCTACTTAAAAAATACGGATGTCCTGATATTCGTCTGCTGTGTCTGGTTCGGGTTCCAGCTTATATCCTTGAACAGGGAAAGTGGACGTGGGCAGCACTAGATAAGATGTTTCCGGTGGAATGGAACCAATCTTGAACTACATCTGGCTGCCAGAAGGAAAGAAAAAGCTCGTTAACTCTTTATCTAAAGCCTATCATGGGAAAAATATGGCTATGTTTGACGATGTTTGACGATCATCCGCAGAAAAGGGACAAGGATTGACTTTCTACTCCATGGGTGCGTGTTGGTTAGCATTTCGAATCGAGACAGCTCACTGAAATAACATATACAGAGAACCAGGCCTAGGGAAGACGCTCACTACCGGTATGTCTTTGTCCTAGAGGTCCCAGCAAAGGCATATTCCTTCTTGACATATCTCCCATCTCAACTAACGGCATCTTACAAAGCCTTGCTGAATGTCGAAAACCCTCTGTATCAGATGTCAGATGATGAGCTAAGTACTGTTGTAAGGAAGTTAAACAGGGAAATCGGCTGCATTTATAATCACTACCAAATGGAATGGCATTGTGCTCTTGGATGAAGCGGATGTATTTATGGCAAAGCGGAGCATAGAAGAGATCAGCAGAAATGCAATAGTGGCCGGTAGGGCTCATGATACCCTCTCTCTCCCCTCCTGGTAAAGACGAAATTCTGATATTGATGCGTGGGCAGTGTTGCTGCGGACGATTGAATACTTTCAGGGAATTCTGATTCTCACAACAAACCGAAGGGAGGATTTTGACGATGTCTTCTGAAGCCGGGTTTACATAACCATCGGCTTTCCACCACCTATCCGAAGAGAGCCATGCAGATATGGGCGAATATGATCTTGATGAACTGCAAGATGAAAGTGGATGGGCCTTGAGAAGCTAGTAACCGTGCTGTATTTAAAATTCTCGGGAAGTTCAAAAAATAATGTTAGTTACGGGCTGCCGTCCCAGCTTCCCTATCCTTTCCCAAAGCATGTGTGAGCTATACTTTGTTCTGATGCCCTATCGCGCTCAACTCATTAGGGCCGGTCAATCAAGAATATCCTGCGCACCGCAGTTTGTTATGTGTATCGGATGACCGTCCCTTATCAGTCTTCCACGTCAACGGGGCAACTAATCAGAGTGGAGCTCATCGACGTTGAGTCGCAGAAAGTTGGTAAAGAGCTGGATAATTACTTGAGCAAGGTGGGCACCGAGAGAAACCAGCAGTCAGTACGGAGTGCTTGGTAGCCTCCATGACCTGCTAGCGTTGCTATGCAATGCGGCCCCGCTGTTTGATACAAAAGCGTCCCATGCAATTTTTTCAGCCGAAGTACGGAGTATAAAGATATTTAATCACATTTGGGCGTTGCGCCTTGGTTTACGGTGTGATTGACTCTGTACCGTCAACCAGAGTGAGACACGGATGGTGGTTACTTCATGTAGTGCATCCAGTACCCGATGGCCGTAAGATTCGGAATTGAAGCTAGGTTAATGCTTACACTCTGCGATACGACGGTAGATGGGCGGTGATTTATTTGAATGCAAGGGTTTGCACTCCTTACGGGGAGTTCGCTGAGGTGGTGTACTCCATGGTTACTGGACTCTCCAGACTTGATGCGGCACTCAAGACCAGAGACAAGAAGATCATATTCTGACAAAGATGAAAACAGTAATATGAAAAAGAACTCTAAAAAATAAAGTGAACGCGGCGTGTGATGGATGGTTCGAACTGGGCGCCTGGGGCGGAGGAGAAACGCCGTCTACTTTGTTTGTTTGCGCGCTGCAGAAATTTTCTTCGTGATGACAAAAGGCGGCGGGCAGCGGCAGATTCCCCCCCATTTCGACGTTCATCAAACCTCCCTTCCTTTCCCTCAATTTTCAGTTCCACACAACATCTTCGCCTCTCACAACAACCACGTCCTCCATCGACTTCCCATCCATCTACCACTTCTTCTAGACTTCTTATCTTTCTACAGCTGTTTTTTTTCCCAGCCTTCACCTTATTTTTCGATTCCCATCGCTTTTGATACTTGAGTCCCAGTCGCGGTTTCATTTCTTTTCCTTACAAAAGCTTCTTTGAGCTCAGCCTTTTTTCTTCTCTCCTAACGCGACCCTGAAAAAGTTCTTTACCGCAGTGCAACGCGCTACGACCCTGTTCTCTTCCCAGCACGCCGTGCTCTGCAGCTCTTCTACACCTCTCTATTCAGATTGTAAGCCTTGAGAGCCAATCCCCTCTTCATTCTCCTGCTCCCAAAAAGCGATCAAAACTGGAACTAACTTTCTCCACCGGCCAATAGAGAAAAAGCTTCTAGACCTCGATCAGCCTTAGCTATCGCTAAGATTCCCAGTCTTATTCCACGGGACAACCTCATATAATTTAAATTTTCGTTTATCCTCCATACTCGACAAAGTTTTCGAAATGGCAACCGAAGCTCCATCTCACGTCAACGGAGCTTATACCCACCACCAGCCCGCTCCGTACCACGCTGATCGCTACCCTGCCGCTAATGCACCGCATACTCACCAGCCGAGCAACGCTTCGACTCCGGCTCCTCCACCGCAGGAAGCCAAGAATGACATCCCCAAGGAAGAAGTTGCGTGGTTCTTCGTCGAACAGTACTACACTACCCTCAGCCGGACCCCTGAGAAGCTTCACCTCTTCTATTCGCGCAAGTCTCAGTTTGTCTCTGGAAATGAGGCGGAGAAAGTTGGCGTTTCTGTTGGCCAAACTGTAAGTACCGAAACACTGATATACCACTCCCCGGTTTTTTTCAAGCTAGTGCTAATCATTGTGTCGTACCAGGCCATTCAGGATCGCATCAAATCTCTTGATTTTCACGATACCAAAGTCAGGGTTTTGAATGTCGACTCCCAGGCTTCGTTCGATAACATCTTGGTATCTGTTATTGGAGAGCTGTCTAACAGGTCTGAGCCTCCACGCAAGTTTGTCCAGACCTTTGTCTTGGCTGAACAGAGAAATGGGTATTATGTTTTGAACGATATTATCCGATTCTTAGTTGACGACGATGAAGAGGCTATTGCCGACGAGCAAGACGCCGTGGAGGCCCCGGCCGCAGAGGCTCCTTCTGAGCCAGCCGAACAACAGGCTGCTCCTCAACGGCTTGAGACTGAGCGCCAAGCTGATACCGAAGCTGCGGCACAGGAAGTTGATGAGAAGCTTCAGGAGTCCGTGAAAGAAGTTGTTGAGACTAAGCCTGAGGAGCCTGAAGCAGTTGTCGAGCCAGCGCAGGCTGCCGAAGTCACTACTGAAGCTTTGCAGCAGGAGAAGCCCAAGGAACCTGAACCAACTCCCATCGTCTCACCGCCCAACGCTGCAACCCCTGCTGCTGAAAAGGAGAACGTTCCTCCAGCTAGGCCTGTCTCCATGACCTGGGCTTCCATTGCTTCTTCGAACGCCAATAAAGCTGCCGCTGCCGCGGTCGCCACGCCTGTCGCTGTGCCACAGGCTGCCCCAGCCGCACAGCCTAAGGTCGCAGCTGCTCCTCCCCAGCCAGCTCCTCCCGCTAATGGTGAGAGCGCTCCAAGCCAGACTTCTTCGACCTCAAGCTCTGAATGGCAAACTGCCGGCAGAGGTCGCGATGACAATGTGCTTGCATACATTAAAAACGTTAACGACAAAGTCGATGCTGCCCTCCTCAAGCAGACTCTTCAGCGCTTTGGTAAGCTCAAGTATTTTGATGTCAGTCGCCAACGTGTAAGTATCCCGCCAAATCTTCCCTTTTATACGCCATCAATAACTAACCCTTAATGGACAGAGCTGTGCTTTTGTGGAATTTGCAGATGCTGCTGGTTACAAGGCCGCCGTCGCAGCTAATCCTCATCAAATTGGCACTGAACGTATCACTGTGGAGGAGCGACGTCCACGAGCCACCGCTTACGGAGGCAATGCTAGTTATGGCCCTGGTAGGGGTGGTGCTGGCCGTGGACGTGGCGACCGTACCGCTAGTCAAGGTCGTGGTGGATTTCAGAAAGACTCTGGACGTTTCACTCCTAGAGGCGGCCGCGGCGGCACTATTACTCCCAAAGGTCGTCCCCAGTCCCAAGCCGCATGAGTTCTTTCCCTTTTCCTTGCCTCTACGATTTGTGACATGATGGGCTCAAACAAGCCTGTTCTTGTCCTGTACATTTCACTAGAGATGCATAAATACATGCCCTCGTGGTATTTTATGGTCTTCTGGTGCGTCTAGTTTCTTTTAAGGAGTCACCTGGGGTCGCATTTTGAGGTGCTTGGAAAAAGCTTTATTTCTTATTTTACTTTGTACTCAAATCCGTTTGACACGTTTCACTTTTTTCCCCCCTTTAAACCTTGACACCTTGTGCTATTGCATATGCTGCTTTATCAGTTCTCTTGATTTAATGTTTGCTTGAGATGATCTAGCGAGCATGGAAACCTTTGTCACGCGCAATATGACTTATTTCTTACTTTTTCTTTTTTTTCTTTTGGGCGCTTTTGCAGGCATTCCATGCCCCAGGTTAGCATTAACTATTACTTCAACTTTTCTATGTCGTGGTTTTTCACTCTGTTCTTGTTCTTTATGGTCGTTTGCAGTTACCTACTTCTGCTGATACTCCTGTGTATTATTTCCCTTTGATAAAACATCATGGCAGCAACAAAAAGGTGGTGCTTAGTGGGCATTAATGTCTGAATGAAAGCGCAATGACGATCAATAGGATCAGGTAATAACCCGGCGGAGGTGTGTCAAGGTCTGGTCTGGGGGTGGGGTGAATGGAGACTTGGCTTTGCATTTCCGGTGCTGGACGGGACCCTCGTGAGGCTTTGTCTTCGTGATGTTTCCATGTACTATGTTTCATGTTAGCGAAATGAATAAATTAGCCCCTTATTTTCAGGTAATTGACTACTCTATATCTTTTTGTTTACGTGGGGATTTTGGTGCGACGTCGATGCCTTGTAGGCAAACTAGTAAGTGGTCTGATTATGGAGCCGAAAGCGTACAAGTGAATACGAAATATGCAGAACATTCTCGCATCTGATGAGTGGCACGAGACGAAGTAGAACACCCACATATTGATTTCCATCCTGGCCAGTTGAATAATGGAAAAACCATCAGCAGCTATCTACCCTCTATTCTACACATTAGAATTTAGGATAAACCTTAGGATCAATAGCTAACGGATACTTTAATGGCACAAATTTTTTTTTATATGCTGGTAGTGCTTCGCATCTCGAGTAGCGAAAGGAAACGGAAAAAATGAAAAAATATAAAATATATATATAAACAAAGAAAAAAGCGAGAAACCAGAAATCATTTGAGGGACAAAACATAGAGCATAAAAATTGTAGCAGATGTCCACCCAGACCTACCTACCGTCCCCGCCGCTGAATGATTGGAACAATGATAATTCACGGTGCGATGAAAATAACAGCTCCCCGCCAAATGCACCGGGTTCGGAGGATATACACGAAAAAAAGGAGAAAAAGAAGAAGAGAGGTAGCGAACAACATAAGTCCCCAGAAACGTAATCCTACCAAAAGACGGGTCCATCTGACATCGAAGATGAGTCTGTCACATTAAGGATAGGAGTTGACCGCAACGCGAATCTGAGGGAGTATTATACCAGCTGACATTTTGTGCATATATGTGGAGAAAACGCAATTATTAACAAAAAAAAAAAAATTTTTTAAGGGAATAATCATAGAAGAATAGAACGCGGAGAAGATTTTCGCGAGGATAAGACGGACGGTTTTTGCGTTCATTGCGCGGCCTTTGATTCATCGTTTTCAGGGTTTGGTTCCTCTGCAGTTGTCGTTTTCTGGGTGGCATTGGGCGCTTCAGGGTCGGATTTGCCTGGCTGAGTTGCTGTCTTTTCGGAATTGACTTTCTCTACAGCTATGTTTGGATTTTCGGTCCCGTCTAATTTTGTTGTCAAGTCTTTCAATTGCTTTTTCGTTTCAGCAAGTTCTTGTTGCAGCGCTTTGATATAGACAATGGCTAGCTCCACTGTGCTAGCTTTGCTAATTGGCTGGTGGGATGCGGGTTTATCTGGAGACTTGGAAGACGTTCCATTCGCTCGACCTTCAGCGGCTTTATCTTTATCCTTGTCTTTATTTCCGTCGTGTGTCAAGGAAGGAGGCAGGAGCCTTTCTATTTCTTTAAGAGCGGTGTTAATGCGGTTCCGTCGTCCTTGTTCTGCAAGTTTATGATTTGTGCGTTTCGAACTCAAATTCTCAGCCAAATTTTCCGGATATGAGACCCCTGGAAGAACTGTTCCCTCCAGGATATGTTGATAGTTTGATTTCGAGGCAAGATAGAGGGCAGATGTCTCAGATGAAATTCCTATACCATCGCGTAAGCAAATAGAATCGAGGTTATAGGAAACGAAGATATCCATACCTTCTGCACGAATAAGAGGCTGTATGCTTGGACTTATTTTCGGTCTCAAGGCCGGGCTGATCTGTGAAGTACTTCCACTCTGCCGCTTCTTAGACGTTCTCCCTCCCGGTCTAGAATCTGCCCTTTTAAGTCCAACCGGCCCCATTGGAGATTTCATCGCACCTATTTGCGGGCTTGGAGTCACCGAAGCAGTGCCTTGGCCATTTGTTTCCTTCAACGACTTCAAAACCGGTGTCTGCTTTGCGGCTAATCTCGGCGTAAGCTCATTCGCATCAGTGATCGTACTACTGGTTGAAGTAGCAGCCTGATCAACGTTTGATGCCGCTTCTGGAAGTGAGATATCTTCCATTGTCTCCTCGGGGACATTTGAAATTACAACAGAACCGGGTCGCGAGAAATTGGCACTAGAGTTGGCTTCGGTTGGCCGGCTTTGCAACTTCATCAATGTTGCGGGAGTCGCGGCTTCCCTCGCTCTTTGCTCCGAGCTTGACTCCTGTGCAGCCATATATGGTGACTTAAAAGCACGTGGGAGGGCTGGTGGCGGCATCAAAGGTTCGCTTAACGGCTCTGGAGACACGGAATCTTGGCCTGAGCTTTCGGTACTGCTACTTTGTCGCGAACCATTCCGTTTATCTGACAGCGAGGGATCCTGGGAAAGATCTCTGTTCCACATTCGCATGTCACCACCAGGGATGATTGCAGAACCTGGCCGAGACTTTTGACGGCTGCTCATCGGTCTCATGGAAGGAGACTGACGAACTTGACGAGCATTGGACCTCTGTGCAATGGAAGACTTTCGCCTATGGCGCCTGAGAATTGCAGGAGACGACGGAGCTGTGCTGGCGGGTAGCTGATGTCTCGCGTCTACGGGTGAAGTGACAAAACCCATATCCACCCCCGAAGTCTGACTAAACATGAATCCGTTGCCATTGTGGTTGTGTGCCTCGAGGGCAGGCGATGTCAACGGCGTTAGATATTCACCGGGAGTTGCGTATTCTGGAAAGCGCAGTTGCTGCTCCAGAGGGGTCATTGCAGGCGATATCAATGGTGTGAAAGCACCCTAGTGAGTTCACATATTATCAGCTAGGGACTAGAGCTATATGGCCGTAAGCATTGCTCACCTGGTCATCAGTTCCGCGAGTATACGGTTCGTATCGTCGCTGAGCCCCAGTGTCTAATGGAGGGGGGTACCGTGCGACACCTCCGTGTAACTCGGTGCTGTTTGGAGTGGGTGGGACAAACTGATGGGGTTGCCCGAAGCCCTGGGGAACGATTCCATGCTGGTGCTGCTTCTGAAGATAAAAATGCGTCGGATTCACTTGCGCCTGAGTGCAAGTGACTCCTTGCATTTCAATGGATTGCATCTGATCAGTAAATGAAGTCGCATACTGCTGAGGTTGAGAGGTCTGAATCCCTTCCATTCCCGTCAACTGAGCATCCTGCACCAGAGTAGTCGGCACTTGTGAGGCCGAGGTGGCAATAGGGTTGCCATGCTGGTCAACTGGAGTTCCCAAGTCGGCCAGATCAAAGTCAAAGTCGAGCAGATTTGACAGGTCCTCGCTAGAGCCAGAAATCAGAGAATCTTCAGGCATATGGCCGGACCATGATGCCAATGAGGGATCTTGGTTCATCGCAAGGGTTTATTTTTGACTGGCAGTGCTCGGGGATACGGAAACCGTTGCGCTTTTCGTCCTGAGGGGCAATGTCGGAGAGGTGACTAAAGCGGCAATCTAGGACGAAATGAGGGGAAAACCAGGCCGGATCATAGCTTGGAGAAGCAGCGCTTTCATGTATCGGGCGGGACGAAGGAACAAGAACACCTCAGTGGCATGATCTTTCTCATGAACACGGCCACAAGCCAGAGAGCAAATTTCGAAGCGAGTGACCGAGAAGCACGGCGGTGGATGTGGTTGACACTGACGACGGCGGTGGGGAGGGATGCTGAATCGGGTCTAGCCTGGCCCAAGCCGTGGTCGATGGTCACCGGGTAGTGCTGCTTACTAGCGCAACCCTAGCTTAACAGCCCAGCCCGCCAGCCGACGCTCGACATTCCCTCCCCAGAGAGATCCCACGCGTTTTTGCTTTTTCCTATGGAATCTGCCTTGTGGAGAACGTCCTGACATGGGTTCGAAAAGATCTTCCGAGGAGGCAAATTACGAAGAAGCTGGGATAGCCAGAAACACTCTCTTGTACCCGATTACAAAAAGCTCTCCTTTCCAGCTCAACAGTTCAACTTGACCAGAGGGATCTGGGAAGATCTACTTGACAACGTGAGACTGACCCTTCGGCTGTCAGTCTGCCAATCGTCAGCAGAGAGAGTTTTCGGATTGCCGGGTCCAGGTCCCCGAAGCGCCAAATCCCACGTTTGTGGGAAAGCCCAGTCAAAATCGATCCCCCAGGATGTCCTCATTTCTCTGCAACCAATGGCATCAGGCCGTTACTAGCCGAGAATGGTATGGGGACGCAGCTCTTGCAGATGATTAAAAACGAACGACAGGCCTTCCATGGATAATTGGTAGTTGCTGAGTCGCGTTGACTTGCCTGATGTGGCGGTATGCAGAGATGAGCTGGTCTCAAAAATTCGAATCTTTTGGGCAGCAGACGAGGAGCGATATATTATTAGAAATGGATGCGTTCGCGAATCCAGGTTCCAAAATTTGTTAGGCCGCCCCGCAACCGGGGGGTGATGTGGCGAGCATTACCGATATAGGATTATCTCTAAGATGTCCGAACATCTCTTTTATCTCTAGAACGGCTGTCCTTGCCGTTAGCTAATGAGATACACCCGCGGTGCCTTCTGCATAACCACTTGTGTGTGGAGCAGGTAACTAACCATCAGTCGCTTTCCCTGAGAGCTTGGCATTTTGCCATAGTTGATACAAGTTGTTCCGAGGGTTACTCCAGTTTGAAAATACCCATCTACATATTCCCAGGTCTGCTCATTGAAGATACAATCCAATGTTGCCAACTTGAAGATTCCTTTTTCTCAAGAAAAATTACCACACAAAGCTTGGATTTGAAGCTTCAGCACGTTTAGCCATCTGTAACATGACATCATTTGACAGCCGAAAAACGCCTTGCGCTTGGGGCCTCGTGAGCAGGTAAAAGACAGAAGGTCAGTGCAAGAAATCACCATCTGAAACACCTCCGCTAGACCGTTGAGCTACTTGAAGATAATGACAGTGGTTTCAGATTCTTCCAGATCACAAGCACAGAGAAACTTTGCCCCATGGGGTACGGAGGACCAAAGTACCCCGTACTCTGTACAAAATTGGATGACTTAAACTATTGATAATACCTTGCCTGTTATGTGTTTCTCTCAAAATTGAACGATAATAACATGTCAGAAATACCTTTAAAATTGCTCAAAGGTTTCTGGAACAGTTTTCTATTCATCCTTACCCTTTTCACGCAAAAGTAGGCGGAGATAAATCTGTGAGACCGACTGGAAAATGTATCTATCAGAGTGAAGTGCATATCATGCTATCAGTTTCCAAGAAGCTTATTTCCCACACCGGATATCCCTTTTTTATGTCAGCACCCAGCATGGACAGCTGATTTCCGCTGTTATGGAAATGAATGACGTGCATTGTAACAGTTCACCTACAAATCAGTGTAGAGGGTCACACTGCTTCCAGGTGCTAGCTCTAGGGTTGAATACATATAATACACATAGAGTAAGCGTCCACTGTACTCTGTATATACGTACTGTGCATTTGTTACTGTGTAGCAACCTGAGCGATGTGTGTTGATACAACTACTTGACAATGCTGGAGTTAGTTAACTTAACTAGCCAGCTGCCCCGTGGTCGGCGAAAAGTTACCCCACGTACTAGCCGGAGATGCCTGAAGGACCCGCATGACATGACGGTGGCAGGCAAACATCAACTGCCCGAGCACAGGCTTGCAACATTCAGACAGTGCTTGAAGGGAGTGAGGTTTTCGGCACCCCCTCCTCTGAAAAACATTGAAATCATGCCTGGTTAAACTGACATCTTAGAAATAGCTCATTTCGAGTCAGCCTTGCTTAAGTACCCTGTTTGTTCAACAATGCGGCCCTGCGTCACAGACCAACAGACCTCCCATCCCCGCAAGCCCGCGATTTCCAACCAGAAAGTCTCGACACATTTTACAGAACCCCATGCTAGACCAGAATCATTTTTCCTTAGTCGAAGCGACGATATGGAGCGATCCCGGTCGAGAAGTTCAGGTAGAGCTCGCGATAGCACGTATGGAGTACAAAGCTTGGAGGAAGCCATGGAGTTATCCGGGGAGGAGTCCCACCACGCAGCTTCGGATAACCATGGCTTAGAAGACAGTACAAAGCCTATCCCTCCACTCTTACACAGGATGTCTACAGTTAAACCGGCCGTTGCCGATGATGTGGTGTCGAGCAGACCATCTTCTTCTGCTTTTGGGCATAACCAATCTATGGAAAATGCACCTTCGCTCCCTCTAACGCCTCTTCTCCTTGGGTCTCCTGCTGTACCAGGATCTCTCCCTGGAAGCCCAAAATCGGCATCTACTCGATCATTCCGCCGTTCCGATGAGATCTCCATTTTTGACGAAGTTAACAACCATGCAGTAGAATATAGCGATGAGGAGAATCCTAGCAGCTCGCCTGAGCTTCAAGACAGTGCCTCACAACTTGTTATGCCAAGTATAAAAATGCCAAGTCGAAGGCCATTTACTGAGAGAGGCAAATCCCTTGGGAGACTGAAGGTGATGATCGCTGGCAGTACAGGTGAGATATGATTGATGTTAAGTTTTTTAATCGCGCTCTTACACGAGGATTATAGGTTCAGGGAAAACGTGTCTCTTGAGATCTATCGTTCAGGCCTGCGAGGACATTGTGCATATCGATCCTCTCCCCCACAATACATCCCACACCCGCCTCTCAAACTCAAAGAAACAGAATGTGCAGCATGGGAAGAGGATTCGGCGCATACGGGATCGCCCCTCAATCGCGGAGATTTACGCAAGCACTAAACCGTATCCAACGTGGTGGTCAGATCTTGAAGACTCGAGGGTACTACGGAGGCGAAAAAGTCTAGGGGATATGGTTTTGGAGCGGAATCTTTGCTTCGTGGACACCGTCAATACGTGTGTGGATCAGATAGAACAAACAAACTTGGAGATTCAATATATGATTCAACAATTCCGGAGGGCGACCACTGCTATCCATTCCGGCAACGCTGATCTTCAAGGTTTGCTAAGTGGGAATGGTGGATCACAGGTCGATGCAATCCTGTATCTTATTTCCCAAGGCAAGTATTCTAGACTTCTACATATATAACGATACACTTTGCTAATTTTTTGAATAGACACGCTTATGTCCGATATCCAATCAATTAAGCGGTTATCCGACTTTAGCAATGTTATCCCATTAATAGCAAAAGCGGACACCCTTTCGTCAGAGCAGATTCAAGGTTTGAAAAATATATTCATTCAGAAAGCGCGAGAAGCTAGCATTGGAACCTTTTTTGGAGATTCCCTGTCCGGCAGTGACGTTGTACCTACTCCACGTGCTCCATTCTCAATTTCGTCAGTCACAACAAGCGATGATGAAATGATGGATGCCAGTGTGTTAATGAGTCCGGATTACATACAGCCATTGGCACTGTCTGAGCTTGGCTTCCTTTTAGACAAGATCTTTGACCAAGATAACTTTGCCTGGTTCCGCCATTCCGCAGCAAAGAAATTGATACGGTCACATAATCTTGGGAAATTTGCGTTCGAGCAACGAGTAACCACCCCAACCTCAGCCCCATCTGACTTTATTGATTCCCGATTTACCTCTCCGTTCTCTTCGATATCACAGTCGCGGGTCCTCGATTCACCGCGGAAAAGTAGTGGCCTTTCAGAGTACACGTTAGCCCGAGTGGCGGACCATACTCGACGAGAAGAGCACTTGGCTCAGATCCAGCTTGCCAAATGGGCCACAGATCTACAATGCAGTCTCCAAAATGAGAGGATGCAATATGAGCGCCTAGCTCGAGACGAGCGGGCCGCGTGGCTAACTAAACGGCTCGACGAATGCGTGGCGGATGGGATGCTCGTTCCTATAGGCCATGTCACTGCTTACGAGAAAGAGACCGGCGTCCTAACAGTGCATAGCCATGACGGTCGCCAGCTTCGATATCGTACTGGGAATATGAGTGCCAGTGACCCTCTGGGACTCATCAGGTGGAATGAGGATATGAAGCGACGGGGGTGGATCGTTCTCCAAGTCATCGGTGGGGTTGGCTTTGTTGGAGGACTGGCGTTATGGCTTGCAAGAACACTAGGCCTAACGTCGCATGACTTATCAAACTGGATCCGGGCTTATTGAGAGGACAGAGGACGGATCCAAAAAACATTGGTGTTGTTATCACTTTAACGGCGTCAGTCTATTTTTCTGGCGTGCATCTACTGGCGCAATCAAGGCGTTTCCGACCCGCCCAGCTTTAACCTACTTCCTAAAGTTGTTTCCATTTGTTTAATGCGCCACGTTTGTAACAGAATTCCTTCTCTGATTCGCTGGGCCTTTCCAAGGGAGTTTGGAGTATGCGCTGCCTGTTATCATTACTGGGGCTGGGTCTTTTGGCGAATTGGACCTAGAGCAAGTTTAGTTTCTAACACCTCCAGGTTTCTGAAATTTCGTATTATTTAGGAAGCCCCATGTAAATAGGTACAATAACATTTTCTTCCCGGTCCTGCTTCTCTGTACAAAATGCTTCCGAACGCTCGCAGCCTGGTGAATGCTCGATGATCAAGGCGGCAGAGCGGACCTAAAAACAAAATTCTCGTTATAAGGTTTTTCCGAATAGCCGCCTTCAGAGAACGTTCTAGACCTTGGCATCGGAACTCCGCTGGCTGGTGGCCAACCAGAATGGCCAACTTGCCGCCGCTCAATGAAGTGGCGACAGCGAGGGAGAAATCTCTGCCTCGCTGGGGACTATCAGGCGCGGAGGAGTTTAATTGATTCTACGCTTGGTTCTTGGAGATGGTACAGGAGATACCCGGGGGCCCTAAAAAAATGTAAAACAACGTTCAGTGCATGAGGTACAGCTACTCTGAGCTGTAAATACTTTGTAGATCAAGAATTTAGACGAGTGCGGTGATTGGTAGGGACATATTGTCAAATATTGCTATTTAAGTGAACTCCCGTATTTCCCCCCCCAGGGATACGGATGCAGATAAGAGCATAAACTGACCCATGGTGCCAAAGGGCTGCTAGTTACGAGTAACGCCCGCCCCCACGACTACTTTGGTATTCCAGCGCTCTCAGCACTTTCCACTGGACAAAGGACAACAACTGCTGCTTGCTGAGGGGCTTCAAGGCGCAAAGGTTCCTTGGTTCATAGCTTCGACCACGCAGTTTCGAAACAGGTGACACAGGGATGATAACAGTAGGGCAGTATGAAGAGAGTCGAACACATTTGCAACATTGGCTTTGATTTGGGTACAAGTGCTGTAACTAGAGGGGTAGGACAGCCGGCCGAAGCCAATATCAAAGCTGGTTTCCGAGCAATCATGCCACAAGCCAGAGTGAAGTAGCAGATGGCCACCAACTCTGTAGAGCCCTGTGGCTGGAGCAAACAATAGCCATAGAAGAAGTGTGAAACAGTGAGAGTGTGCTTTGTTGTGAAGACTACAGAGTAAAAAGAGTGAAGTGGTTGGAAGATTTCGTTACCTTGGAAACTGTCGTTCCATCTTAGCCAGAAGAGGCCTAGCGCGGGCTGTTTTCGACCGCAATGGAATGTGAAGCACTCCATGGAACTTTATGGAAGATTCGCTTAGGCTCTGGCACTCTCTCTGCCTGCTCGAAGCTCCAAAAATTTAATCTCTCTGTGTTTCCTCTTTTCTTTCTCTTCCTCTTTTTCTCCCTCTCTTCTCTCATTAATTGTCTCTTGTCTCCCCTCCTCCCCAGCTCCATCGCGCAAACATCCCTCAAAGCTCCTTACCTCTTCCCTACTGTTGACCGCCTTGACTCTCTCTCCACTTCTTTGAGCTTAATGTGAGTGTTGCCCAGTTTGCTTGTTATCATTATTGCACAGCTGCCTTGTCTTGTGGCCATTGCTTGAACAGTCTTACACAAACAACAGAAAGATCCTTGAGAGCTGTTGACTGCCTTGTTCCACGCGTTTCACTTGAAATCACTGAATCTTTTGGGTTGTTTACTGACTTGCTATGAAATCCCTGTAGAATATCGTTTCACCACTTCCATCATGGCTTCCGAGACCTTTGAGTTTCAGGCTGAGATTTCTCAGCTTCTCTCCCTCATTATCAACACTGTCTACTCGAACAAGGAGATCTTTCTTCGAGAATTGATCTCTAACTGTTCTGATGCTCTTGACAAGATCCGTTACGAGGCTCTCTCCGACCCAAGCAAGCTCGATGCCAACAAGGATCTCCGCATCGATATCATTCCTGACAAGGAAAGCAAGACACTCACCATCCGCGATACTGGTATTGGTATGACCAAGGCTGTAAGTCTAGTCCTTTCGCGCAATTGCTTTGGAGAAATGCCATGCTGACTACCACTGTGATAGGACCTTGTTAACAACCTTGGTACAATTGCTCGATCTGGCACCAAGCAATTCGTGGAAGCACTCACTGCTGGTGCTGACATTTCCATGATTGGTCAGTTCGGTGTCGGTTTCTATTCTGCCTATCTCGTTGCCGACAAAGTCACCGTCGTTTCCAAGCACAATGACGACGAGCAGTACATCTGGGAGTCCAGCGCCGGAGGCACTTTCACCCTGACTCAGGATGTTGACGGTGAGCCTCTTGGCCGTGGAACCAAGATCATTCTCCACCTCAAGGATGAGCAGACCGACTACCTTAACGAGAGCAGAATCAAGGAAGTCGTTAAGAAGCACTCCGAATTCATCTCCTACCCTATCTACCTTCATGTCTTGAAGGAGACTGAGAAGGAAGTCCCAGATGAGGACGAGGAAGAAACCAAGGCTGAGGAAGATGACAAGAAGGAGGCCAAGATCGAAGAACTTGACGATGAAGAAGAGGAAAAGAAGGCCAAGAAAACCAAGAAGATCAAGGAGTCTAAGATTGAGGAGGAGGAACTTAACAAGACCAAGCCAATCTGGACCCGTAACCCTGCCGACATCACCCAGGAGGAATACGGCTCTTTCTACAAGACTCTCTCCAAGTAAGTTTCCTATGAAATTCCCATCATTTGAGTAAGCATAAAAGCGTATTCTAACAGGATTATAGCGATTGGGAGGACCACCTTGCTGTCAAGCACTTCTCCGTCGAGGGTCAGCTTGAGTTCCGCGCTATCCTCTTCGTTCCCAAGCGTGCTCCATTCGATCTCTTCGAGACTAAGAAGACCAAGAACAACATCAAGCTCTATGTCCGCCGCGTCTTCATCACCGACGATGCCACCGATCTCATTCCTGAGTGGCTCGGCTTCATCAAGGGTGTTGTCGACTCTGAGGACCTTCCTCTCAACCTGTCTCGTGAGACCCTCCAGCAGAACAAGATCATGAAGGTCATCAAGAAGAATATTGTTAAGAAGTCCCTCGAGTTGTTCAACGAAATTGCCGAGGACCGTGAGCAGTTCGACAAGTTCTACAGTGCTTTCAGCAAGAACATCAAGCTTGGTATCCATGAGGATTCCCAGAACCGCCAATCTCTTGCCAAGCTCCTTCGCTTCCACTCCACCAAGTCTGGTGATGAGACCACTTCTCTCACTGACTACGTTACCCGCATGCAGGAGCACCAGAAGCAGATGTACTACATCACTGGTGAATCCCTCAAGGCTGTCCAGAAGTCCCCCTTCCTCGACTCCCTCAAGGAGAAGAACTTCGAGGTTTTGTTCCTGGTTGACCCCATTGACGAATATGCCATGACTCAGCTCAAGGAATTCGATGGCAAGAAACTCGTTGACATCACCAAGGATTTCGAGCTCGAGGAGACCGAGGAGGAGAAGAAGGCTCGCGAGGCTGAAGAGAAGGAATACGAAGGCCTTGCCAAGGCTCTGAAGAACGTCTTGGGCGACAAGGTTGAGAAGGTCGTCGTTTCCCACAAGTTGATCGGATCTCCATGCGCCATCCGCACCGGCCAGTTCGGCTGGTCTGCTAACATGGAGCGTATCATGAAGGCTCAGGCTCTCCGTGACACTTCCATGAGTGCTTACATGGCCTCCAAGAAGACTTTCGAAATCTCTCCTCGCTCCCCCATCATCAAGGAATTGAAGAAGAAGGTCGAGCAGGACGGTGAGAATGACCGCACTGTCAAGTCTATCACCCAGCTCCTCTACGAGACCTCTCTCCTCGTCTCCGGCTTCACCATCGACGAACCCGCTGGCTTTGCCGAGCGCATCCACAAGCTTGTTTCTCTTGGCTTGAACGTCGACGAGGAGGCCGAGACTTCCGAGGAGAAGGCTGAAGAAACCGCTGCCACTGAGGCTACCGGTGAGAGTACCATGGAGGAGGTTGACTAAATGCTTTCTATGAGACGATGATGACTTCTCTTTTGTTTTTCTCTTTTCAATTCGCGTCGTACCGAAAATACAACGGGGGTTCGGGTTAAAAGCACGGCTAGCGGTTAATGTCTTTTTGAAGTGATGAAATGTTTCTTACCCCCCAATTCTGACGTTTTAATGTACCATGCCACATGTATGCTATGTCATTGCTAGGGAGGTGCTTCGATATGCCCTTTTTAGTTCAGACACCTGGTGCTTGCTCTTTCACTGAATAGCCTGTTTCTTATGCTTCATAGGGAACTAGATAGGTGTTAGATGGCTCAAGCGGGTTCTGTTTATTATTTCTCAAAGCTAATTCCACAAATTGTAGTTGGTGTAGATGACCTGTCAGTGTAACTTTAGGTCTTTATCTTGACTCTACGTTCCCTCATTCCGGCCAGGAACCAAGACTGCAACACATGTAGTGCCAGGGTGAACTAAATCTTTCCTAGCACCACAGGGAATTTCCAATTTATTAGATATTGTATGTAAAGAAGATTCCCTGCTCGTTTTGGCCAGGCGGGCGCCTTCATCAATGAAGGAAATCAGCATTGGACTAGCAAAGCTTGAGTGTCTGTTCAGCCATATCCAACCGAACATGATGACCATCTTATAGAATTACTATTTATTGTGTTGCACCGGTAGCCTTTTGACCGGCTCAGAGGGCCTCGGGATCCATTTTATAGCATTATAAACTGTCTTCTCGTTGCAGTTATGCTTACTGAGCTTTTTTCCCACTCTCAATGTGAATCCAAACTTTGTGTTCTTGTCAGATAGATTGCATTTTGCTTGAACTACATGTACCTTCCCAGGAACAAAGGTCATACTTATGGCCAGGGTGGATGTCAGCATTCGCTGCCACAATAAGTTCACTCTTCAGAAAATAATCTCTGAGATTTTCTTGCTGATGTGGATCAAAAGTTGCTCGAGTGATTTTGAATCATACAGCTCCAGTGATTAGCACAGTATTTGAGAATGCAAAGCCCAAGAATGTGATGATCATCAACAGAAAAGCCTGGGCAATCTGCTTGAAAAGCAGACCAACAAATCTAGGAGATGGTCAGAGACACACCTGTACAGGCTGTAATGTTATCATAGTTAAAATGGTGGATGGTTAACTATCCATTCTCTCACACTTCGGGCTTAGTAATTGGAACTTCAGCATTGTTCATATAAGTAGCCAATCCAAGTGTGGTCACTCAGTGAGAGCCACCAGACTGTCTCTGGAGAAGAGATCTTCTTGCAGTTTGTGGATGGCCCTTCTGGAGGGTGAGAAAATCAACCTCACATTCCGTAGTGTCTCTGCAGTACCCCATAGACTTCTAGGACTGATGTACTCCGTTTTGTAGCCACTCAAAGGTGAAAGAGTTTTGATTGTAGGAGTAATACAGAATACATCCATGAGCTAGCCAAACTCTAGCGGGGTTTTAGGACTTTGCTTGAACGGCTCCATTTTAGCATCACTGATTGCTGTTCTTGTTTGTCGTCGTTGTGAACACTACCAATAATCGATGTAGGGTTGTATGGGGAAAAACCATCCACCGAACCGGGCTTCCGTGGCGCAATGGTAGCGCGTCAGACTTCTATATCAGGCAATCTGAAGGTTGCGGGTTCGAGTCCCGCCGGAAGTGTCGAATTATCTTTTGGATTTTTTTTCCTTCCTTTTCCCCTTAAGATTTTCTTTTTCACTCCTCGGTGCGTACAATCTTCCCATCTTCTTTTCCCCAGTGTGCTCCAGAAACCCTGGACATGAAGTCACATGTAGTTAGTCTGGTCGACCGTGGACAATGACACATCAAGACGCAATGCCTGGGACATCGAGATGGTAACCTCGACTTTTAGTGCAAGCACTGCCCGCTGATCTGGATGGCAAGTCTCCTAAGATGGCTTTGAACAGAGCTCCTCTAGGGTCCCTAGCCTGGTGGCATATAACTAGTCGCTTGATTGGGACACGCCCTTTTTGGCAGGGAAATCAAGCCATTGATGGGAGGAGATCAGCTCACTGCACAGCGACAGTTATCTACTCTGCAATTGGAGTCTCTTCGTGAGTTGCGAAAATATCAAATTCTCTATTTACATAGGCTGTGAATGAATATATATACATATCAAAGACATAATCCAAGGGCGCCTCAAATTTTATCAACAGGTATCAGAAAATGTATTAAAAGAAGGATATCCATTGACAAAAACTCCAGCATTCTTACTGACAGCGCAAAATAGGACACAATATTAACTTTGCGGGAAAAAAAAGAAGCACAGTGTCAAATCAATCTTCAAAGAAATTCAGAACTGCTCTGATTCCTTTCGTCCCCAGTCCGTGTTTCGGGTATGCAATATAAACCGGATCCTCATGGGCACCCAGTTTTGCCCTAAATTCCGTTTTTCTATTCAACTTAAATTGCTTCACGATAGCTTCATACGTTGTCGCTAGTATTTTTGCCTTTGTACTACTGATGTTGTGCCCTGGAGTTAACGTCGCAGTTGCGCCACCGCCGAAAGTAAGCATTTTGACTCCCGATTTAGCCGCTGTTTGAATAGCGTGCGTGACGATATACTCGATGGAGCCGGAAGGTGAACCAGGGAAGTCCAAGCTATATTTGACTTGCATACCGTTTTTGGGAGAGAGCTGTGCAAGCGTAACAAAGGAGCAGATATTGCCGTCGCGGTCGGTAGCATAGAAATACTGTCTGTGCCGTTGGTCCCGCCACGGCCTTATGTGAGAGAGGTGGATTTGCGTTCCTTTGCGGTTGGAAAGCCAGCCATGAATTCGCTTGTCGATTCTCTCCTGGAGCTTCCCAGGTATTGACTGGCCGAACTGGAAAGTGGTGATTTTTACTCCGTTGTTCTCAGCTTGGCGAATCTTGCGGGCTATTTCACCGTCAGACGCGGCTTGATTGTGCAGCGGATCGACTCGTTCTTCAGCAACGCAGGAAAGGCTCCGCCAGCCCAGCTTTTCACCGAGGATATCTTCGACCTCGAGGCAGCAGAGGATCCAGATGGGTTTTAGTCGAGTCTCCTTCTTGAGCCAGCGGAGGAACTGTGGTACAATTTTTGGGTACTGTGAAACATCGCAGAGTGGATTTCCTGCGATGATAGCGTACCCGTTGATGGGTACGTAGGCAACTGCGGCGCCAGTATTGACGTCCCTCCATACCTGAAATCGTTCATCGAACCAAGACGTGGAGGTGGCATCGCCGTAATTTGCAATAAGGTCTGCGAGTTCCTGGAACTTTCGTTCGATTAGCGGAGCCTCATTCGCCGATGTCGAATTACTTTCCCATGGAGGGTGAAGCGTGGATGCTTCCGGGTGTCTTAGAACCATTGGTTGGTCTTGAGCCGGGAAGCTCTTGGGATCACGGTGGAACATTGAAGCAAGTCGTATATTGCCGAGTTTCAGAATTAACATCAGCATTCTCTCCAAACCAATACCAGCACCGGCGTGAGGAGGTACACCCCATTGGAATCCTTCCATATATTCTTCCATGGAGGCAGGATCGACACCCATTTGCCTCATACGCTCTTCAAGCATGATTGGATTATGAATACGCTGCCCACCAGATACGATTTCTTGACCTCGTACAAAAATATCGTACGCGTTCGTGAATCTGTTATCATTTGGGTCAGGCATCGCGTAGAAAGGTCGAGCGGACGCGGGGAATTTGTCCATGATGTAATAGTCAGTGTGGTATTTCTCCTTGACTAGTTCACCTAGTCGAATCTCGTCGCGAGTTGAAATATCTTCCAGGTCTGAGAGCTCTTTCCCATCCTCAGTTCTCCATCCAGATTCGTTGAGCATCCTGATACCTTCGGAGAACGTGATGATGGGGGTCTTGTCCAGCCAGACCAGATCCTCAGAGGGAAATTGGTGCTTGATGAGCTGCACCTCTCGTCTGTGCTTGCCATAAATTACCTCGAAGATCTTTTTTATCACTTGATCAATGACTTCCAGAGATTCATGATAATGCTCCTCAATCGCCATTTCGATATCTAAACCCGTGTATTCAGTTAAGTGTCTATGGGTATTGGAGTTTTCCGCGCGGAAGACTGCTCCAATCTCGTAGACTCGCTCAAAATCCGAAGCGATAGCCATTTGTTTCGCAAGCTGGGGACTTTGGGCTAAGAAAGCAGGACGATTGAAATAACGTACGCTGAAAACGCTGGCCCCCGATTCGGTCGCTGCGCCCTGCAACTTTGGTGTGTGTATCTCAATGAAGCCCATTGAGTCCAACGTGGAACGGAAATATGAAGAGATTACGGACTGAATGCGGAAAATTGACTGGGACGTGTCTGTCCGAAGATCAAGGATGCGATTCGATAATCTTGTCCGGTCCGGCACTCGTGTACGTCTACCTTCGATCTTTTCCTCTTCCACTGCTGGGAGTTCGGCTTCATAGACGCTGAATGGGATTGGCTCTTCTCTTCGGACGATGACATGGATTTCCTGGATATGTACCTCCAGGTCATGCATAGTTGTCCCAATGACGGGAACTTCTGGTTTTCGGATCACCCCCTTCACTTTGAGTATAGAGCCAACCCGGATGTGCTCTGCCCACTGAATCATAAGAATAGATATCTCTCCCTTCTTCTCGGTAAGGACGCCTTGTAGAGTGATCACTTGCTGACGGAAAACGAGAAAAACCAACTTCTGTCCCATGCGGCGAACGACATGAAGGCGCGCACGAAAAGTGATCTCCTGCCCAGCCATGTCGGGAGTGATTGAATCAAATTTGGCGAGGGTTTGTCGTGGGCGATCCCGTGATTGCATAAAGGGCAAATCCCCATATCGCGCCCGCATCTCATCAGTTTCCTCCTTTGCAGCTTGTTCATCTCTCTCTTTCTTCCTCACAAGATCAAAACTGGATTCTTCACTCGCTCGAGAACGGGATTGTGATTTCGCTTTCCGTCGTGTTTCACGTCTAAGCTCCTTTCGGCTCATGGACTCGCTATCTTCGCTTGTGTCATCGCTCGAGTATACGAAGTCGCGGCCATGCATGAATTGAGCTATGCTCCGGCGGGGTGATACCAATTCGCTATCTGAGCTGACTTTTTTAATTTTTGCCAATGCTAGCTTAATCGACATGGTGACTTGCGGTGGTGCTCTTTCACGAGTATCGCCCCTTTGTCTCTTCCGGTAGGTCCTTGACCCTCAATGTATTCGTCGAAATTTCGCTTTAAAGGCCGTTATTGCTTACGAGGAGGATTGCAGAAGAAGCAACGTCAACAGAACAGAATTTTCTGTTGGGGAATGACTATTTTGTAGAAAAAGATTGACACTGATCACTCGAACGGTTAGCTCAGTCCGCAAAGGCAAAATAATCAAGGAAGACTCGTATATCACCCGGGGAGAACAGTCGCTGATGGAGGGTGACTTCACCTGTGATCGAATGTGGTTTGGACGCTCATCAAGTTTGGAAGTGTTCCTGAGACGATGAGTGGTTAAAGGAACAGGAAATGGGTAACTTTATCACCAGGATGGTAGGCCTATGCCGCGGTTCATTGTGCTTCTATACGATGTCTGTTGATGAAAAAGGAAATACTTTCGCAAAGAGCTTACTGTGACGGGGAGGCAAGTACTCTTATACGGAGATTGGCTTCAATACGGGGGCTGGATATCAGAACGAAATACCGCACTCGTACTCCGTATCTGCAAATCTAAACGAGTCACACTTACAGGCGCAACCGTGCTAAAAAAAAATTGGCCCAAAAAAGCTTGAATAATGCTCAGAGCGGTCTTTTACCAAATGACCAAAACTTAGTTCCACTACGGCCAATGTCCCCAGCTCACCACTCCCCAATATCGGGGCTTAACTAAATCCCGGAGATCCCCTGAGATTTCAGTTCGAAAGTAAATCTTGCCGTCTCGCGCGCTGCTCGCAATAATGCGGGCGATGGCAGAAACGAAGAGAGCTGGACAAGAAGCAGCGACGAGAGGCAGTTAATGACGTCATGACAGGTAGTGAAAAAAAGGCGCCGGCGAGAGCGGAGCCAAATCGCCGAATCCACGAACTTTGTTACGTCATTGCCCCGTGCTCAGAGCCGACAAGCCTGCGGAGTACAGGGCAGCTGGGACGTTGACTTGGTAGTTCCTCGGAATCGAAGCAGCTGAAATTCCTCAAGACGGAAGGCAAAAAGGGCCTGGAACCACTGTCCTCTTCGTGGCCATCGGGAGACATCGGCTGCGCGATATATGCTCACGTAAGCTGAAGCCATCAATGTCGTAACTAGTTATACAGAAATGATATTGGTAATCGTTATGAGGTATAGGTGACTGGGTTCTGGCAGGCATCAAGGGAGAATACCTTGAACTTGGGTGCTGTCATGTAAAACCTCTGCACGTTGCTTGGTAGCACTGTTCCTGACCTCGGCTGACCATGGCTGGATAAAGTTATCACCACCGGATTGGGGACTCTAAACGAATACCGGAAAGTGAAAAATAGGTAGAAGAGGTCAAGCTTAAGAGTCAGTGGCAGAAGAAGGCCTAGGTGATCGGTAATAGGCAACATATGGCGGGTCCATTTCACAGGGCTGGAGGGTAAGCGCTTGAACCTGTGATTTTGCCATCTTAGGTGTTGTTATACCGCTATGTCATTTATCTAGGCGTCAGGGCAACTGTCCATGGCTACCCATCCGGATATCATGAATTCTGAGAGACACGAGTGGAAAAGTGTGCTGCTGCACATGCTGCCCAGGCAGCCTAGACCGTCCGGGCCGAGATTTATTCCGCTAAATTTCAGCCGCTAGCCGAAAGCTTATTAGTCAAGTGCCAGGGAGCCAAATTCAACGTCATATATCAGACAGGGCAGCGAAGCGGGATGTGTTGCTTCTGGGACGTCCGTTAAAAGACTGAATCTTGATATTCGATCATTTTATCCCAGGATTCCAGGATTTTATTTTTCCTTGCCGTTCGGAATTTTCATGCTCCCCTTAGCTAACGGCGTGCTCTAAAACCATGACAGCATCGCTCAGTAAACTTGGAAACGATCCCAAATCAGGATCTGACCTTTGGGCCAACCATGTTGTTCCATCATATGAAACTAACGGGTTGCAAACAGGAATGGAGGGGTTGTCCATCAGTCTTAGGCAGCATGAAGATTTGACCCAAGGAGCCCAAATATAAAACCGTTGACCGTGCGAGGACTTAGGAGATGAGCATCAAGCTTCTTAAGAATTCTTTTCCATGCTCAAATTACCAATAGGGACCACACATAACCGAGCCCTAAGCTCTATTTCACGTTTCACTATCTTTTCAAGAAAATATCCATTTCATCGTCAATTTTCTGCCTCGACCGCCACCATGGGCCTCTCAGACTCGGTTAAAAAGGACCACAGGGAGTTGGAGGATTATTATAACCAAATCATCAATGCCACTGACGACGATACTAAAATTCGGTATCGGAATCAATTCACCTGGGAACTGGCGCGGCACTCAATTGGCGAGGAACTGCTAGTCTATCCAGCTTTTGAAAAGCATCTCCACTTAGATGGGAAGAAGAAAGCAGATAGAGATAGGCAGGAGCATCAAGTGGTATTATCTACTAAGAATCACGGGCGCATCTTTGAAGAAATTTTTTAATTCATTTCTAGGTCAAAGAGCAGCTCAAACAGTTCCAGAACATGGAACCCACCGAGCCAAATTTCATTCCCACGATCAAATCACTGATGAGCAATTTGAGCGAACATATCAAGGAGGAAGAGGCTGAAGACCTCCCTGCTCTGGAAGAGGCTCTGTCGACTGAAGAGAGCGACGAGCTTGAGAAGTCATTTGGACGGACCAAAATGTTTGTGCCCACCCGCTCGCATCCTTCGGCGCCAGATAAGCCACCATTCGAGACGGCCATTGGCCTTATGACGGCTCCAATTGATATGATCGGGGATATGTTTAGAAAATTCCCCAAATAAAGTCTTTATCGCACATTCATGGACATGGACTAGCAGAAGACTTTGGGGGTTGTCCATGCTGTATGATGATGCTGTTGTACATAAATTGCATGCGCTTGTTAGTTATGAAGGTTCAGTTTCTTCAATAAGTGTCCATATAGTATGGTCGCAATGTAAGGGTAGCAGGATCTTTTGGGGCATTGTTGGAGACAAGATGAAGTGATAGTCTTAGCTCTAAGGAGCTATGCAAACACATAGCCATTTACCAGCCAGCCGGCCAGCCAGAATAAGAGCTTGCGCATTTTTATACAATGTTTCAATAGATTGCACTCAAAGTGGCTGCGAAGGCTCACCATTTCGTGCTCTCAGAATTATCAGAACAAGCTTCGCGTAAATATCCAAACAGTAGCTGGTGATGCAAAGCCACAGTCTTACTTCATAAGCCGAATCATCTTTGCGTAGCAAATTCGCAGTGGCAGTAATAAGCATCACTAAACAGGTAATTTTTGGACCATGGTTATTCGTCCGCGGTTTTCTGCCTGTTTTTCCATCAAAAAGGGGGGAAAAAGCTCTCGTAGACTGCTAGGCCAGATAGCAGATACTCCCGCGACTAGGGCACTCGAGATGGCGTGAGGTGGTCGTTGCTGTCAATCGTCCGTTTTAGCGGTGCTCCATATCTGGGGATATTTCTCCAAGAACGCGTATCAATTCATCCAGTCAGACGGGTGCAGTCTTGCCCCACACACGGAGTAACTTGCTGGATCCCCATCAATCGAACAACGCCAATTTTCCAAGGACATAACGTGCACTCGAATGTCAAGTCGTCGTCCACCGGGTGTCAAAGCTGAGGAGACCTTGCTGAGTCAGATTTGCATGGCGCAATTGACGTCACGGTCATTCTGCATCCTGAATTTTATCTCCCATGCCGGGCCATCCATGCGAGGCATCAAGCAGAGCAACGCGATATGTCCTGTGCCTGACCATTGTGTGGAACAGAGTTTATGAATTTACTCGGAACATATAGAGTATAGCCCATAGTTATCCTTAATCAGCCATTTCATTGTCTCTCGTGTGCTGTTTTAGGCTTCGCACCGTCGAAAAGCTTCTACCGAGTGATCTCCCTCAACCGGATAATAACTTTGAAGGCCAAAAAGGACATCCTAAAACATAGGGCCGGTGAGTTTGTCTATCCCCCTGGAAGAATTGCTGAGCTTAAAGCCCACGCGCATGAAACACACTCGTCAGACCAGGTCTTAGCCCGGCCCCTTTTGCCACCCAGGATCCATTCCAAATTGGTGATTATCAGCCGAAATGGTGTATCGTCACGAGGGCCTGGATCATTGCACTTGCGTACCTACGTGACACGCCACTGCTAACTAGGCGCAATGCTTTATCTTACTAGGAGGCGCACGAGTTAAAGAGTGGACAATTCCGGCACTCTAGCTCCCAGCGGAGTGTTATACAGTCATTCCCCGCGAGTTTTTCGTATCTTGTCATATTTCCCTGGAATGGCCGCGTTGGATATTCAATAACTGATAAAAAGGTCTGGGATGGCGGATGCGACTGCGTCGCCTGCAGTAAGCCGGATCTGGCTGCTCGTGAAGGCCGTTATTCTCCGAGCGCTTATGCGGATTGGCATGTTCTTTCATGGATATCCTCTGCCTGGGCCGCCAACTCCGCATTTCACACGAAGGTTACCAGGGCATTCGGTAAAGCTTCACTTTTATACCCCCAAGGAGTACGCCAACGCTTCATCAAATGGCCACAGGTATCCGGTGGTGGTCAACTTTCATGGCGGCGGTTTCTGCTTGGGACGGGCTACCGATGACGCTCGTTGGGCGCAAATCGTTACCAACATCGCGAACGCAGTGGTTGTAAGCGTTGATTACCGCCTAGCGCCCGAACATCCGTTCCCGGCTGCTGTCGACGATGGAGTGGAGGCTTTGCTATATCTTCAAGAGCATGCCTCGGAGTTACACCTTGATACCAGCCGAGTTACCCTTTCAGGCTTTTCTGCGGGAGGCAACTTAGTTTTCTCAGTCCCGCTGCTCCTACGAAGCCGTTTCTCCGCATCTAGACCGCCAAACCTCAGCTACTTTTCCTCATCATCTCTAGAGAACGCCAGCCGACCAGACCTCTCTCGCTATGACTCCAGCCACAAGCTCCTGGCCACCACCACCACCACCGCCACCGATCTCAACCTGAAAATAGTCTCCCTCGTCTCCTGGTACCCCGTCCTTGACTTTGTCCTTCCCCGTGATGTCCGGCGCGGCCGATGCGCCCACCCCAAAAAGTCGCTTCCCTCATGTCTCACCACCCTCTTCGACAACAGCTATCTTCCCAACCACGACGATCGCTCATCGCCGTTTGCGTCGCCCATTCGTGCGCCTCCAGACTTGATCTGCGAGGCCCTCCCTACCGATGTATTCATATACATGTGTGAATGGGATATGCTGCTGCACGAAGGGCAAGAATTTGTGCATCAGCTGGAAGGACAGGGGAAGAGGGTGCGATCGATGATGATCGAGCAATCGAAGCATGCGTGGGATAAATCGGTGAATCCATTCAGGGACCAGGGAAGGATCGACGTGTTTTATTTGGCGGCAGCAGAACAGATGAAGAAGATTTTTGAGAAAGGCGGGGAGATGGAGTGCCCCTGATGCTCTATCATCCTGCGATCTACAGTGCCTTTGTTTTCTTTTTACTGGTGGACGATATAATGCACAGCACACCATGTATTATCCTGTGATCATGTGTGCCCCCGGTATTAACACTTTATACCCTGATGTCTATAGCTGTTGTCGGCCAATAGACAGTCAATATATATATGAATAGACATTAATACAAATGGCATTGAATTCGAATGTTTATTGCTTTTTTTGTTATCTAGCGTTTAACTATTTTTCTGAATCTACGGAGTATATACAATGTACACACCACGTATCATAGAGGTGTGGAGTACATACAAGTAGATTCCAACAGCCTGGGTGGCTGGATACCTCATCGGGAAACTCGGGACTTCATAAGACGCATCGACTCAATACAAAACCAATACGCTCTTTTTCAACCTATCAAGATCAAGGCCATCCCACAAGACGTTACGAAGAAAAGCACTCGTTCAAAACCGCGAGTCATATGCATCTGGGGGAATTTGCGGGACGTGTACTCCGTAAATGGATTTAAAAAAAAACGGCATATGGGCGATTCGAATATAATACTCCCGCTCGCCATAGTATTTCACATTCGTTGATTCGTCTGTGAGTCAACGCCGTTGAATTTTTTCGGTAACCGCAGGCTGGCTTTTGCGAAGACATCAAACCAATCTTCATGTTCATCCTCCCATGCGCCAAATAATTTGCCATGAACCGACGCCAAACTCAACCCAGCAAAACAAAAGTGGAAACCCAACCTCGTCAGATGATTAAAAAAATGGACCTTTGCTTCGTATTTCTCGGTCAATGATCATCCTCATCGGTCTCTGTGCAATGATCAAGCTCGTCCTCTTCGTCATATCGACCATCAGTATCGTCATCATCATCATCGTCCCTTAAACCCGGCACGCCGCGCCACTCGACATAATCACCTTCCAACCATCGACGACTGCGAGGCAAATTATATGGATCAAATGGGAAATATGCATCCAACTGCGGGCCCAGATCGTTATCTGCGCGTGTCTCACGCTCGATCTGCCCGAAGCGGGAATCCATGGACATGGAGGAGCGAAACGTGAAGATGCGGATACGTTTGTTGGTTTCTAAAAGCGGGAAGACGTACATGAATCCAACGTGATGCGCAATGCGGGCAAACTCGCGCACAATAGACGGGGAGCAGATTTTCAGCGGGTTAAGTTTGGAATGGATTGCAGTATGGAGGACGTCGCTGATATTTGGTGGGAAACGGACTTGGTCCAAGTCAAGCTCAACATGGATGTCGATGTCTCCTTCCTGGGCAGCGGTGGTAAGATCTCTCCAGCGGAAGCAGAAGATATAGAGGATTGCTTGGGCGGTCGCGTAAAAGGTAGCATAACGACGGAGATCCGGCCCGCGACAGTTAGGTTCGTATTCGGTAATTAGGTTTTTTAGATGAGTGCATAAAAGATCAAATACGTCCCGCACAACTTCGCTTGTTACGTGGGCGCCTCGAGCCACGAAACTTGCCAGATAGGCAGCGGCATACTGACGAAGAACAGAGGGATGTGACTTGCTGAGAATAATCTGAATGCAAGCAGCGGCAAATCGATCGACCAGAATCGGAGACGATTGCGAGTAATGGAAGAGGAGGAACTGAGAGTGACGAGAGCGGTAAGTAGGAAGGATGATGTTCTGGAAGTGAGCCAGGAGGAGGTCTAGATTGTTTTCTTTGTCGTCCAAAGTGCCGTAATTGAACGGACCGGAGTAATATTCAAATAGCAAATCAAGCATATAATCAATCTTGTTGATGTTTTCCTTAAGTGCTTTGAAACGCTGCGTCTCAGCACTCGTGCTTTCTTCGTCGCTGATGATACTTTCGACATCCGAGTCATCATCCTCCAAGGCGAATGCCTCAGCTGTAATCTCGTTGTGGAGTTTTTCCTCATCCTCGTCCTCAAAATCGTCTAAATCAACTTGAATTTGCACATCAATCTTTACTAGCTTCTCAGTTATTAGAGCAAGAATATCAGATCGCAACTCCGGTGCGTAATCTATCATTTTAATCAAATTGCGAGTGAATACAATATGCGCCTTTGCTGTATCCGTATCGTGCGGGAAGCTTGAAGAGAGGATAGGAGATAGTGTAACACTTCCGGCAGGAATTAATTGGATGATGTGTTGGATGCCGAAATGAACTCGGTCATATATTTCGGCATTTCGAACGACGGCGTAACCGGGAAGCCTGCCAGTGCCAAAAGGGACTACTCGGACAAGGCACTCAGTCAACAAAGGTATCAGTCGAAGCGATGGAGATTGGGGGGCCTTACCCTCACGTAGATTATTCACCAACATCCTCAACACCGCAGTCAAATAACCGCCACGAGCGGCAGCCAATGTGCCTAAGAACCTCACGAAGAGCTTCACATAGGCTTCATCTCTTCCAAGCCACTCGCTCCCAAGGACTGCATGAACAAGACCACTGCAGGCATTGTCAAGCGCCGACACATTCGACAACAAGCCCAGAAGATGATTCTTCAGCGAAGTATGTGTAGGTAAGTCGTAAACCGGGGATCCGTCGTCCTCTAATGCCTTTGGATCTACAGAGAATATCTCCTTAACACGATCATACGCATCACTATCACCAACCAGATGGCGCTGAATAGCACGGCTGACTTCCTCTCGCACCAAAGCCGTGCTTTTCTCATAAGCTGGAGCGCCTGCATCACCACTTATCACAGCCTGCTGTCCTGGGCCCTTTCCGGGGGTATCCATCTCGAAGGTGACTCTCGCACGTTTCTTATTCGGCACTGCTGCACCCGGAGAATCAGAACCGGTGGAGCCATCGGAGGAGAGATCCATGTCTATCTTTTTACGTTTCTGGGCGGTGGCCGTCGGGACCTTTAGGATGGACTTGGATGGCATCGACATCGACGGAGCGCACGAAGGTGGAGTGTCGCCACGGCTTGAAGAATGGAATCTGGACATTGTGCGCAACGTTTGGGCTACCGGCATACTGACAGGAAGACTAAGAATCTCGACCGGGCCGGATGGCCGTTGAGATCGGAAAAAAAGACGGTTGCTTCGCGTTTTAGTCGTTTCGTGTTGGGTCGCGTGAGCTTCAAGATGGACGGAGAGTAAAAACGGTCCTCTCGACCTCGCCAAGGTTGAAAAAAAAAACGTCTGGAGTGTGTAAAGTGTACAAATAAAGCCCTCAGGTTTCACCCCAAAGGGCACGAGAGTCAGAACGGCTTCTCGAGGGCTCAAAGTGAAACGTTTATGAGACTTAAAGGGCAGAATCGAGCTGGAAAATCCACGAGAACGTCGAAGCTATGCATCCTGGGATTCAACCCAGCATAGGAGGATGAGGCAATGTAAATTATATGTTGAAAAAAAAAAAAGGGAAATAAAAGGAGGATGGAAAAGGGCCACCGTGAAAGAAGAAGAAAACCCCCAACAGGCCAACAACACAGACCAGAGAGCTGCCTGGCAGTTGAAATCTCACCTGCGGTTTTGTGTTTGTCCGCAAAATCCCACAAAAACTCAAAATTCAAAGGCGGTGAGACAAAATTACTAAGCTGCAGAAAATCGTACTTCGGGGAAATATTAATCCGACAAGCCCCGCGCGTGAGGTCACTTGGGGGGGTTTTTGTCGGAGCCAATCAGACACGCGTGCGCTCGATCGCATTGAAGCCGCAGTTGATTAACCCGCACTTCTTTTTTTCAATGCTCGGGACAGGGGAATCATGGTAAAATGAAAAAAGTCCGTAAGCTCGGTGAAGGTGTACCGAGTGGATTCTACGCGTTTACACCCTGCTAATAGGATACTATTTGGCTTAATGCTCCGAGTTGGAACTTGCTGGCACACCTTGAGAGGGCGAAAGACTTGAGACTTTCACTCTCGATAGAAGAGCGCGGATGTGTCTCTTTACTAATGTAGATGACAAAGCTATCTCTGTACCGTCCGGAATTGAACTCATGGGGAGATTACAAACAGCTGGCATGCAGAAATATCACTCGAGATCTACTTCCGGCGAACAATAGCCATTGCTTACTGGAACCGACATGTAAGGGAAACAAGAGACACAAATACCGAACCCAGTGCAACCATAAAAACTCAAAACCGGTCATAAATAGGGGGGAATCAATACTCATAACAAATATAAGGAAATAGGACATGGGGGGGAAGCGTGAGCATTATAAATATGAAAATAAATATAGACACAGAAAAGCAACTGAGTAGGATGGAATGATCGTGACAGATTCGAAAATAGAGAACCGCACAATATATAGCCGAAAATTATGTATTCGCGTGATCCGGGTCGAGGCGCCGAGAGATTTATCTGGCCTGGCCAAAGCCAGAAGGGCTCATTTCTTTTCATTTCATTTTTTTTTTTTTTAAATTATTTCTAGTTCTTTTTCCCTTGGTAGTAAGTCGACTGTTTACTGAGCGATGGCGTATGGAGGGCATCAAAGTGAGAATCAGATCCATGCCCCGCCCATAGGTTGCCGCTCACCGAGCTCGTCTCCGAAATAGGTCTGATACAGATCTTGAATTTCGAAAATATAATCCTCCACCGCAAACTTCTTTAATCCCTTGTTCAATAGAATTTCCTCTTCCTCGTCACGTACTCCGCGAGTGAACTCCTCGGCCACCTCGTTGACCTGTTCCAGCTCCTTCATGAATGGGTGCGTCGATTCCGGCAGAGTATTGTAAGGTTCGTAGTTCACTCGAGAGGAGGCTGGGTTATTGAGAGAAATCGGGGGAAGGGTCATCTTGGACGGAGGTCCTTCTCGTCCAAGGTTGGGCTGTGACTTCGTGTGCAAGAGTGCGCGCTGCGGGATTGGAGGTGTAGCATCTTTCGATCGCGACGAGGAGGCGGAAGACCTGGCGCTTGGCTTTGGTCGCTTCGTCGACTCGAAGTAGGGAGGAAGACTAGGTTCGGTGGAGACTGGGGACTCGTCACGGGTCGAGGTGGCAGGAGAGGTGATGGGGGTGAAGTTGGGCACATCCAGGTCGTCGGCGGAGCGAAAGGAAGAAGACGAGGAGGAAGAGAGCCCGTTTGGGCTTTTGGTGGAGGGTAGATCCGGGGCGGTGTAAGCGAGGACGTTGGTGGAGGAGATGAGTTCGATTGCAGGGGAGATCCGCGAACGATCGATGGTTCCAGGGGCGAATTTGACCTGGCCTTCGCGGAACGGCATAGGTGCAGAGACCTTTGGCCTTTTCTGGCGCTTTGTGAACGCTCTCATGAGGGACTGGGAACCCGACATGGTGGTACTTTTGACAATTGAACTCTATTCAGTTCCAAGATCGCAAGCTGGAGTTTCCCTAGGTTGTCGAAGTAGTAATTTTATTCTCTGCTCCAGCGATGAGGGCTTTTGCAGAACTCCGGAGTCAAGTTGCAGGGGGGGGGTTGTTGCGGTGTGAATCGTCTCTGGTGACTGTGGCGCGTGTGCAGAGTGAATCCACCCCAACAATGTGTTTCCGAAAACAGGAACCAGCTGCGGTGTAACACGAGATGCAATGTTGTCGTCAAGGAATGGGAATGTACTTTTTGCTTTTTGCTTTCCTTTTTTTCTCTTCAATTATTGCACAGCAATATGACCAGGTCATCCAAGTGACCTTTTGCTTGGCTTTAAAGGAGGGACGGAGTGTGTGGACTTCCTTTTCGATAAAGCGGCGGGTAGGGATAGAAAATAAGCGACAACCAGGACGCTGCAGAAGAAAGATCACACTAAAGAAGAGGAAGCGGGCGCCTAAAGGAGCGTGGCCCGAATGAAAGGAAGAAGCAGAAGAGGTGACTGCGCCGGGGGGACGGGGGAGGGAGGGCGGGGGAGAGAGAGAGGGAGAGAGAGAGAGAGAGAGAGAGAGAGAGAAAGAGATGATGGAGGGAGGAAAATCGTGAACAATAGGAGAAAAATATGAAGAGAAGATGGGATGGATGGATGGATGGATCGGAGTGGAGGGAGTGGGTGGGCTTACTGGAGGTGAAGGGGACCGGCAGCCATGCGAGCAAGACGCCTCCACCCAACCAGCGGGAGGGACGGAGTGTCACCACCTTGGCCTTCCAGCCCAGGCGACGGCGCGCACCCGCGCAGAGTTTAAGGGGCGTGGGGTGGGCGTGTGTGCAGGTGTCTCTCTGTCTCTCTGTGTGTGTGTGGGTGTGTGGGTGTGTCACGACGACGACACCACCACCACCGACCGCAGTTGCCCTGACACACGGGCGGCCGGGTGGGAGGGGGTAAGAGCGCCAAGCCCCACCGCAGCGACCGGCCAAACAACGCGAAACAAAACAGTTGGTCGAGACCGGGCCGGGGTTTGGGCAAGGGGTTGCTCCTGCCGTGGGTACTGTACTGTATTCCCCGTCAGGCATCCGTGGATCGGCAAGCACGCGCCATGCCTGTTCAGGAATGGTTGGGCTCACACGGTCCTGGAATGCAAAGCGACCGAGAAAATGTGCACGGGGCTGTCCAGGGGCCTCGCCGCGCTGATTGGCCGATATCGTCTCATTTCACCATGGAAAGGCGCCAGCTCAAAATTTATGCGTTTTATCATTGGCCATCACTGTGTTCCGACCGGGGGGCAGGGATTGATTTTGGATTGGCTCCATCCTTTCCATCCTTCCTTCTTTCCTCTGAGTTTGGGGCTCACAAGGCAAGCGCAGAGTGACTTCCTTCCCACCGGGTGCAGTTGGGCACGAGGACGCCAAAATTATTGTGGCGCCGGCCGACGGGACTTCGCGAACCGCTGGATCCCCAGGGCGCGATCGAGCACGAACTCGGCCAACGTCGACTGCTTGAGAGGATATCCACGCCTGTAACGACCTCCCGGCCGGCCAACGCCATCTCGTGCACTGCCAGTCTGCCAGGCCGACGCTTCCGCCCCTCAAAACATGTCCCAACCGGTCCCTTGGGCCTCTCTCCCTCCTTGACTTGGAATTCATCCATATGTATCTCGGAACGCCGCATTTTAGCCCGGCTCCTCCACGTGAAATGCAACTCCATCACGGACTTCGATTCTCTCCACCCTCTGGACCAATTGCGGAAGCTGAAACACTGACGGCCACTTGTTTCGACCAAGATGAAGAAGGGTCTTGGTGCTGCCGATCCGTTATCGTCTCGATATGTAACTACGGAGTACTCAGTACGGAGGACGGAGTATACATTTGGTTTGTTCCCCTGTATGTATGGGACTCCAGGATCGAGCAACATAACCCCCTATTTTTCTGTGTTGCGACCTCCAACAGAATCGCAGTTGCTAGCCAACTACGGGGTATATGGGGGGCCGATTTTTTTCCTTTCTTTTTCTTTTTTTTTTTTTTTTGGGAATCATCCATTGATCCGTGTAAACTTTCTCCATAACTATTCGCTGTGCCTGACATCGGGATTCGGGACAATGAACGGTCCAGAGACCCCCGTTCCTTGCATGCTCCACGGCAACCATCGGACTGTTCGTTGCCTCCCAGCTTTTTCTGTCCATACATTCTCCGTACATACATACACACATGTCCCACCGCCATAACCTTCTTGGTGAGGACAAAAGTCTAAAGACAAGATTCCACGAGAGTTTTCTTACGTCTGCATTTTGCGATATATCCTTTGTAGGGGCGCCACAGAGTCCTGTGGTACGGAACGGAGACACACACACACAGAGAGAGAGAGCGAGTGTCTCGGACATACTTATGATTGGGCGTTGACATGGGGACGACAAAAAACCCAAAATTCAATTCCTTGCATTTCGAGAGGGCCTGAAAAGTATACGCCACATGGTGATCGCAGCGGGGATTTTTGTGCTTCCGTTAATTAACATAAATGGCAGCCCTTGCTTGTTATCTCGCACTCCGTATGGAGTACCTAGTCCATAATTAGCAGAATCGGGATTCAACACTGCCATGACCCCGACATATCTTTTCTTTTTCTTTTTATTTATTTATTTTTTTTTTTAAAGAAGAAAAAAATAGCCTGATGTCGAAATGGGCCGAGCACAGAGCAACCTGGCGATGAAAATGGTTGCTTTTATTCATTTAGCCGATGGGTGGTTGACACAAATTAGGACGTCTATCCAGGGTATTCTGTTTATGATCTGCGAACTCCTGGACCTAGCGCCGACATACACAGCCATGTAACTGGATATTGCTTCTCGTGTTTCACTACGGAATATTAAGCGGCTTTTTTTTTTCGGAAGCATGCGAAAGAACTTCGCGACTCGCGAGATCAACTTTATCATATTGAAAAGCCAACGTCACACTGAATGATAGGAGCAGGACGGGTCATAAATGTACGCGAAATCCGGGGTATTAATAGTACCTGCAAGAGCTTTTTGATCCACATATAGATTTACTTTTTTTTTCTCAATGATTTCGATAACCAGAGCGAATCGCCATTCGGAGAATTGGCTGGCGTAACCCGAGGCGCTCGCTGACAAGCGAGCCATTAGCCTAGTCTTCGTCCATAGATTCCCAGCCATCTCGTCCTGCTCCCTCTTGCCCATCTGCATTCATTTCCTCGTCATCATCAGAGTCGTCGCTGTCGTCTTGTGCAACGCCCACCAACCGTTCCTCCTTCGCTTCGTTGAACTGCACGGAAGCGCCGAGTCGACCTGCAAAGGCTCGGCGAACTGCGGCGTTGGTCGACGTGTCCCAAACTTGTACCACGCCTTTGCTTCCGGCGACAGCAAGGCGGAAGCTAACTTCATTGTCTGGAGCGAAGGAAGTAGCAAAGACCTTTCCCACTTCCAACTTTCTCGACACCACCATGCTTGGTTTGTTATCCTGTATGTTCCAGAGCTTAACCTGTTTGTCCGTGGACCCGGTGGCGATGAAGCCCGGGATGCAGGGATTGACGTCGAACGCTGACACGGAGGAATCGTGTGCCTGGAGCGTCCACAGCGGCCTTATCGACTCGGGCTTAGCGGACGCATTGCGGATGTCGTGGCAGTAAACGATGCCGTTGTCTGTCGTAACGTAGAAAAAATTTGGGTCATGAGGATCCCACCGCACGTTTTCGACGTCACTGTCAACGTGGAAGCGCGCTGTTTTCGCTTCTGGCGCTCTCATATCAGCTGCAACGACAGTCTTATCGTAGCTCCCACTGAGGAGGATGGTAGACTCTTTCGGGTGCCAGTCCAACGAGCAGATCTTGTCTTTGTGATTTGCGTATGATTTAGCGCATTTAAGCGTATTCAGATCCCATAGTTTAACGGTCTGATCCGCTGATCCCGAAGCCAACAGGTTGCGATGCTGTCTGTTTGCCGCAAGAGCCAAAACGGAATCTACGTGGTAACCGTCGTTGGCCTTTTTCGACTTCTTTTTCTTCTTCGATATTGCATCGGTGCTTTCCTCTTCACCTCCTTGCCCAAGGATGGCATTTGGATACATACAGTCCACCAGGTCGAGATCCCAGATCTCGATGTCAGGCTCCATGGTACCAACCGCCACAAAGTTTCCGTGCGAGCGGTTTTCTGATCCCCTTCCAACAGGCATGTCCAGCCATTCCACACACAGTGGTATGGCTGGAAGCATAATATCATGGTGCACGTAGAGGTTGTCCTCCGCATCCTCATACACGTATACTTCCAGATGGGCGACTTCGTCTTCAACCTTACCGGCCAGTATTAGGTTGTCGGATGGCAAGATCTGTAGTTCTTCCCTTTCATTGTCTTCATCCTCGCCTTCTGGTACCACGAGGTACGGGTCTTGCTCGTGGGGTTGGTGATAGGCGAGAGATTTAACGTTCCCGAACATTGTGACCTGCTCGCCGTCCTCATCGACAACATCACTGTCGTAATGGTCCATGTCGTACTCTTTCAAATCATCGTCGTCATCGGCATTTCCATTCTCATTGCTATCATACGACACCATCAGCAAGCAGAATTCCAGGCTCAACCACCCAAACCGCTTCTAATTCACCATGTACTGACCCTTTGGTGGCTTCTTTGCCTTTTCCTTTGCCCTCTACCTTTGAGGAGCTCCCAGCTTCGTTTTCTCCTTCATCCATGTCCATCTCTTCACCTCCATTCCCTTCTCGCGCCGCTTTCAGATCTATTTTTGCATCTTCAAGCTGAACTCTTGCAAGTTCCGATATTCTATTAATCTCATCTTCGTCCAGTTCGTATTTTTCAGGAAATTGGGCTGCGATCCCACGGCGCACCCATGCGGTGGCCGTTATCATCGAGGACATTTTCCGTGCACCGTTCGCGGCTCTTCTCTTCTCGAAACTAGCTCTCGCTGGTTGCTTTGGAGTAGGAAGAAATGTTGGAGGAAATCGGCGAAAGGGTTCACGAACACTCGATCCGGGTCGACCACAGAAAGCAGATACAGAGCACCTTTTCAGAATCAAGATGAGAAATAAGTGCCAGCTCTTCCCCACCAAAAAAGAAGAAAAAAAATTTATCGTCGTCTGATGTTTCGTGATAAACAAATTTCAAATTTTGATAAGCAAGCTGGTGGGACACGGGCTCACCGCCTTGGCAGAAAATCAACAAGCAATTTCCGCCAGGTTCCAGGCCATCCCGCTCCAACATTGGAATCGCATGAAATCAAACCACACCCCTACAGCATCCGCATCACGCCGCTAATCCCTTTAAAACACGGGCTTTTTTCATTTAACTAAACATTTTGACCCTCAGCAGCGTGTGAGCTTTCACAATGCATTCCCACCTCCACACCAAAGATAACATAAGTGGGTAACCTAGCTTCCCGAACGCCAGTTTGGAACTCATCACTGATTGCTGGCTCGCCTTTAGATTGCGAAGAAATCATGAACGCCCTGGACGAATGCCATGCCCGGGGTTTTCTCTACAAGGCCGTTGGAGGTTGCAACGAGGTTAAGCGCGAAGTCAACCGGTGTCTCGGCGCAGAACGATTCAAGCGAGCGAAGAAAAACCGTGACACGGCACGGGAAAACCGGTCGAGGATCGAGCAGATCTGGAAAGATCGGGGAGAATAGAGTCGAAAATATTCTTGAGGCGATGCTATGCTCCAACGCACATGGTACTTTCTGATGACATTGTATTTCTGCCGGTCGGTGTATGACATCTTGGGTTTACTCTTTTGATTCAACTCTTTGTTATTTTTTTACGGGGCATACAGGCATGGAGAGAGGATGCACAATGCAGGATTTACAGCGGATATACCCTACTCTGTACAATACTACCACGATAGACATGGACCTTCTACTCTTGGGCAGGAATCTTTGCATCTTGAAATTAGGCTGAATTGGCTACATGCCGCTTTGGTATCACGTTTCAACTTCTATCGAAACATGATGCCTTGCTTCACCTTCTTGGTGTGACTTGTGTTTATGCTTCCTCTTCCTCTTTGTCTTCACCGGCGCATCCTCCGCATTATCCCTATCGGCGTCTTTCGCAATGGTGAGAACCTCCTGAGGCTTGGTTTGCAGACCTTCCCTTTGTGGCGCGGGGTTCTCTCTCTTCTTCGGTTTCTTAACACTTAGGGGATTCGGACCTTTGACCCTTTTGGCTTGCTTTATCTTCGGTTCCCTGTCTTCATCTTCATCATCGTCTCTCTTTCTCTTCTTTACCGCTGAAACCAGTCCAGCCTTGAATTTTCCCCTCTCAACTCCATCTCGCACTCCCTCAGAAGACCCGCTCATCGGCTCTAATATCATTACCGATCGCTTTACATATATGATTGGAACACCGGGTATCAATCGCGCATCCCTTCTAAGATCATATCTCGGTGGAGGCCTGGGTGATTTTCGTCTTTTGTCATCTGCCGGCGGGGCGGCTGGGTCTGCGGACGCTAAAATGTAGTGCTCTTTATTCTTTTTTGAGTCTGCACTCGGCGATAGTAAGGAAAGCAAACAGCTGGCTTCATCAATTGGTGAATCATCTTCGTTATGCGAGCAGTAGCGGAGGGGAAGCACGGTCGGTGGGGGAAGTTGTGGAGGTCGTCTCTGCGGAGCTGATTTCGATTGTTGAGCGGAGGAAGAAGTGGAAGACAAGGTCGAAGAAGCCGCCATTACTGCAGCGAGGGAACATTTTGTTATAACTATATCTTCGAATTAGCACAGCCTATCTCTGCGAAAAGACGTCGGCGTACGGAAGCGAGAAACTAACAAGGTTTCACTTTCCCTTGTAGGGTGCGTTCCAGCGCGGGTATCAAATCCATCTTAAAGGCATATACAGCTTGTAAAAAATGGGAATCGACTATTTTCAAATGGGAATGGTTAGCTTGTTTGATCAGAAATGTACAATCGCGGTCATGGGCGCCTTTTCACCTAGGACTTGATAAGGCTCACGGAAGCCAAAAGTAATCTCATACTGATGCATTAACTTGCGGTACTTTTTTGATCGTTTCGCCCTCATCGTAACTGTAATGAACAGACTACGCTCGAAATGATTTAATTGAAATTAGACACTGAGGAGAAAGAGTGTTTTGGTCATGCAGAGTCGGTAGTTCCAAGTCCGATGTTTGATAAATTTTCTTGGAGCTCAAGGTATCGCCAAGAAGGAGCTTGCTTGGGTTTTCGCACTCAACGCAACTTCATACGGAGTACTCGGTATTGCGTCTCCAGTAGATTCTTAAACTTCGATTACTATATTAGATCTTTAAGATACTATAACTATTTCTTCAAAATTCTATCTTGGGGCTTATTAATTATGATCCGGGCTAGTTTCGGTGGCCACTTGAATGGGATATCAGGCCGTCAAACACCGAAAGCCGAATCGAGCAAAGAGCAATGTGACCGGCAGCTGGACGAAAGGCGACATCTGACGGCACTGTGTTCGAAATCGGACATCAACAAAAAAAGGGTTCCATGGGAAAAAGTAACCATACTCCATAAAGTGCCGTTACGCTATTGGAGAAACACCTTAGCAAATGCATCGCTGCAAAACACAAAATTCTATTTCCGATCTCGCATTAGGGAGGGGAGGTGTTTCAACCTGCACCCAAGCAAAAAGCTCCGAAAAGCAAATAGCGAGAACCTGCAGTAATCATTAGTTACATAGGAACACTCCGAAGGTTGGTTTCAATTTACCTGTTGGGATGCTCGTTGAAGCTCTAGGGTTGTTTGTCCTCATTGTCACGAAGGCGCTTAAAAAGTCGAATTTTAAGCGGTTTATCTTGAGAGCTAAGCCTACGCGCTTGCTTCTAGGTAGGGGAAGCGCGGAAGGTTTATATCACGTTGGCTTCCTTCCGCAGAGGCCAACAACCACACTGATATCATCCATTTTGCCTATAAATCATCAGGATGGAGTCCTTTGAGAGGCGAAGACAGAACGTACCTCCTGAAATGGCCAATCCAGCATCAATTGCCTTCTCCATGTATGGAGTTTGCGCTGATGGATCCTGCGCGATGGATCTCGCTGTTTGCAACAGTTGCTGCGCAATATACACCATTCCGCCGCCTTTGCCAGCGGTACGGTCTCCGACATCGTTCTCCACCTTGCCACTTTCCCAGTGCTTCAAGCTTAATAATATCACGTCCAAAACGTCTTGCTCCCAGAGGTTATCCGTGACACCATCGGATAAGGCAACAACGATATCATCTTCTTCGAGGTCAACTACAGACAACGTAGCGTCATCTCGTGGTCTGTCAACGCTGTTGGTGCCGAGCTGCATGGGGCAATCAAACCAATGCCACTGGCCATGGGTCCTAAAGACCACCTTTTCCTCTTTAGGGCGTAGCACAAGAATCTGACAGTCTCCAATGTTCGTTACATAAAGCAGTGGCGTCACCGAGCCTGCGTTGTTTTTGTAATGTAAGAGAGCGGTAGCGCTTGTAGTAGTTCCGAACCACTCATTCGGTGACGACGTAGCAAGAACTGTCTGCTCATAAGCTCTCTGCAGGAATTCCACGGGATCGGGATGCGTTGAGTTGACATTGCGCTCTACTTCCAGAGCCCAGAAATGGAGGATCAATCGAGACCATAACCTACACGAAGACCAAAGGATGAGCTCTTGAACAGGGCCAGACTCAAAGAGTAAAGAATTCTTACGCCGCATGGCCATGGGGTTTCGTTGCCCAAGCGCCAACTCCATCATTTACTCCAAGAAAATGCTGAGAAACAAGGATCGCATCATCGCCATTTGTCAACCCCCTGATAATCTCTCCGTTGACCGATGGTCTCGCATCTTGGCTCCGATGATGCGTCGTCAAAGGATCGGAGAACGACGAAGACGGCGGCGATATGAAAGGCGGAGGGAAAGGCCGGGACGGCCGCTTCGGAGATAGAGCGTAGCCTGTGTCGAATACAAAGGGACATTTGGCGAGAGAGTCTTCTGACTTCGCAGGCGACGGAGTGGATATACCGTAGGTCGAGTTAGCAGCTCTCCATTGCGAGAACCTGTGACGTAGATGCCTGCTTGGGTTTTGTTTGGAAGATGATGATATCAGAGCCCGAAAAACAGCTGGAATATTAAGGACCATGCCAGCGTCAGTGATAACATGTCAGACGCTCACATGCAATCAGGCTGTGAGCATGCTGGAGCAAATATATGTCGAAGTTGTTTGGTCGGTGGAATATTGTGGTCAGGAGAGATGGACGGAGTGGCACGACGGCGAACAGTCATTTTGAGGATCCGAACGCCTCTGACGGCTGGCCTGACATCCAACAAAAATGACCGCTAATATGGCATCAACAGATGACCTAGCCCCATTACGGTTCTCATGTGAGACTCGAGAGGCTATCTACTCTACATGCGATTCGTTGAGGGAATGCCGAGGCCGCCGGAGCTGAGTCCCACCAACGCTAACAGACGCCCCATACAGGGATACAAGGTTTTAAGGTTGCGATTTTGCAGCCAAAGTGCCTAATTTAAGCTTGTCATGACGGAGGATTTGTTCAACAAACTAAAAACAAAAAGTACAAGATCTTCCTCAACAGGTTCATATTCCACACCGTCGAAACCATAAAGGAATAGACAGGGCTTGCCATCCATCGCAAGTCCATATGCATCGTGTCTTCGTTCTCATAGCCTTCCTGAGGAAGAAAAAGCGCAAAATGTCCGTGACGTCGTAAACCCACCCTTCCGGAGAAGTCCCTATCGTCAAAGCCCTGTCGCCAAGTACGGAGATCTTCCGAGACCCATCCTTAAAAATCTGAACGTCGCTTCAAACCGCCCGATGCTCTCTCGCATTGTTGCCGATAGTCGACGGCCGCTTCATGGAAACGATCCAGGCGCATATCCAATTCCGCCATCATCTGAAAAATATGCACACCACGTTTAACCGCAGATAGACGATCAAATACATTTGCTGCAATATCCGCGCACTTTTCGGCAAAGCATTCTTTCTCGTCTGCTTCGTGACTATCGCAGATGACGCTCAACCTTGAACTACATGGACACTTTCGGCTTCCCTTGAGGGTGCATTTGCGGGAACAGTCGCAGTATCCGAAGCAAATGCACAGGTTTTCCTTGACGTACGCACTGAGTGACATGGATTCTTCCTGTCTTCGATGCTCGCCCACCGACATGCCGTGGAGCATGGCATAGGATGCTTCACGGTTCGCTGTAACGTGTCTCCATTCTTCATGGGTTGAATCGGTGCTGCGGCGTTCTGGTTGTCTTCTTGATTTCTTTTTTTCCTGCTTTGCTTCCCTGGCAAGAATGCCAAGATACTTTTCCTTCAAAGTTCCAAGGACCATCCCTGGACTGGCTTCATGAATTGGGTTGAGTCCCGTCCATCGGCGACAATATGGTGATTCTGGCTCGGTAACCAACTTTTGAATATGCTGGCGGAAAACCAGCTCATTTTCGGGGTTGTAACCTGCTGCCATGCTCATTCTCATGGTCTGATCGACGTACTCTCCTTGCTTCTGGCGAATAAGCTCTTGGTCAAGGAATTTACGCACACAATCAGAAGTCAAATATTCTTTGCATGTCTGGAAGACCAATCTCAAATGACTCGGTTCTGGCAAGCATTCTTTAGCGTTGAACTTATTGTTCGGAGCTAAGTTGCGGATGTCAAAGTGAAAGCTTTCGCAAAGCTCAAGGTTTCTGATTTCGATATTCAGTGTTGCATGTGTTGCGTAGAAGAGATCTTCTACGGCAGTGAGGAGCTTTGAGCAAGTTTTCTGGGTCATTTGGTTCTCAACTCGCTCGATATAGAACTTGATTCCGGTCGGAGTGGCGTCGATCTAGTTGGAAGGTGTTAGTTACGTTGTCTGTGACAAGTAATCTTTATACCTTAGGGGAACATACAACTGCACCAAAGGCCATCATGACTTCCAGAACCACTTTTGCAATGCCGTATACTTTGGAGGCCAACTCCACAATTCCCTCGAGCCTCTCAGCTATACGTTCCTCGAGGGGTCGAATACCACTTGCGTAAGCCGGTTTGATTTCCTCTCGTACCTTGTGCTTGATGTTTGCGTAAAAGCGAGTACCATTTCCATGGGTGGGTGAGGGCTTCTCTTGTCTATCAATTTGATACTCCTTGCGAAACGGGACACTGCCTCCATAAATGGACTCGAGCTTCTGAGGTTTCTCAGGGTTATATTCCCCGAAAGATCGAGTATTGAGTCCATAAGGGGGCTCTACTTCTTCATATCTCTCGGGGCTAGGTTCTCTAATACAGTACGGAGGCCCTTCATACCTAGAATTCGGCAAAAGATAGCAACTATTGTCGGATGCCATCGACGACGATGACATTGAAGACATCTTCGCAGGCTATCGGCCTGAGATGGTCGAAATTTGAAAGCTCTCAGAACAAGGATAATAAACTTGCAAGCTTGAATCCAAATTGAAAAGATGCAGTTGTGATAATGATGTTGAGATATGCTGTGGGAGGTGAAGAACTATGGAGAGCAGATACTGAGAAAGCTTGTGGGAAAGTAGGGCTGGCAGCTGTCGAAAAGAATCGAGCTGAGATAGCTCAACCTCCTTCTTTTCTCCCGGCCTTCTATTCTTTGAAAAAAAGAAATTTCAATTGAGGGTATCCTGGCGCACATGAATAGGTGCCTCCGCCCCATTCACCTCCTATTACACAGTCACTACACGAGCGACAATCTGAAGCGCAGCCGCCATTCATGATACTGAATGCCCCAACAACAAGAGCTATATCTGATATTACGATTAATTGAGCACATGGGAGTCCTGTTTGTGATATGATATTAATCATCCTAAAAAAGGGTGATAATAGTGAGTTTTGATATTGTTAGTGGTTCCAGGGAAGATAGGTTGAGTGGATATAACATCTAGGTCTGTGGATGTCAAGAGCTTAACTACACTCACCTTTGTGGTGTTTGGAACTCTCCGTTTCCCAGTTTCATAAATGTGGTGTTGAAAAATTTTCCCTTTGTGAAAGGCTAAGCCCCCTCCTGGTTTGCAGGTAAAAGTTTTAGAGGCCTATCTGGACTTTATATCAGGTGGCTGGCAAGGCTGCCACCGTCAGGAGACTCTCTTGTGACTCACCGCAAGCTGTGATATGGCTCGATGGGCTGATTGCTCGGCACAGGTAACATATGGATATTTTTTTTTTTTTTTTTTTGGCCCATTTAGCAGGCTCAGGTTTATAATATATATCAGAGGCTTTGTGCCAGTTTCATTTTCAACTGATATAACTGGCCAATTGAGACTATTGCTATGTATCTGGGATGAACGTTGGAAGCTGCAGCAAGATCTATATGGCGGTTCTCAGAGTAACATGGGAAGAAAGTGCTACAACTTAGAAAAACTACCCCCTTGTCCAGACTTATTCTAGCCTTGAACTCTGAACGTTCTTCCACTGGCAGTCTTCCTTTCTCGTTCCTCATTTTCAGGCCGGGCACGGTTGAGAACTAGGTTATATATTAGCCTTGAATCCTAATAAAAATCCAGCAAATAATTGAATCACTTACCTTGAAGGAAGTCGGCTGTTCGTTTCCGCATACGGGTGTGGATATATGCCTATAAGGGCATGTACGTTAGCACTCCTACCTGACAAAGGCAGGCCATGTTTTATGACAAACCTTGGATGCCTTAATATGATAGTGGAAGTAGTCTCGGAAAGTTTGAATATGTGAAATGGTCTCAGCGCGCTTCTGGGGAAGTAGGTGTCGAGGGTAGAGAACTTAAGGGAATGTTAGCTGAGAATGGTATAAGGCTGAAAGTTCGGCCTTACTAAAGGTAATATAACCAATTTCGCCATTTTGAGCGTTTTTAAGTCCTGGTACTCCTTGTAATTCTAGCGGAGGATCATGCCGGAACAATACCTGTGGAGCGTTCGTGATTGCCCTCCTTCTAACATCAACAAGTTCCTAAGTATCCTATCAGTAAACCAGCCTATCGATGGCTCGGGTAAGTTAATTAAAAAGACACACCTGCAAAAACACCTTGCCGAAGATCCTATCTGTCTCATCCCTGAAGACCGTGCTAAAGATTACCGCCACACTGTCGTGATACGCTTTGATAAATATGGCCTCTTCTTCGCGGTAATGAATGGTCATCACCTCTCCTCCATCCTTGACTCGCTGAGGTATAGCCTCCGTTGTGTACTTTACAGCTTCTTCTTCGAGCTTTGAATATTGCTGGAACGCCCGCTCAAATGGTGCAGCCATGGCATTTCGTTTTAGGAGTGAAATCCGGTTTATGAGTTCTTCACGCGCCTCGGGTTCAGATGGAAGGTTTTCGAGGTCCACAACAATAGAGAAGTCATATCCGGCTTCCGGGGATACGATATATGGACCATATTCCCTCTCAAGAACATCCTGAGCGCCGTATTGTATCAGTTCACGGAAGCATTTCACGGAGATGGAGATGAGGATCTTCGTTTTGGATTCGGGTGTAGAGACGTGGAAGGTGACGCCGTCGAAATCGGAGACTATTTGGTCGATCGAGACGGGAGATGCGCTATGCGGTGCAGCGTCAGCGGAAGAGCGGGAGATTGTAGGCCACCGCATACATGCTAGGCGGGGGATACTTACGCGGAGAACCGCTCCGTGAGCAAAGATTGAAGAAGGACATTCTGGTAATCTAGAAGCAACATTATGCCAAGGAAATGGGCATGACAGAATTGGGGGTCCTTCCAGTAATTGGTCTCGCTGGGCCTGAGAAATGCGATGGGCGATAGAATGCCTGTATCTGCTCCGTCGTCATCGCCTTGATGGTTGGCGCTCCTTGGTTTGGGGACCAAGCCTGCCAAGCTGGTGTGTGTCGGTCGCCGGAGCGCAGCAGCTTCGAAACTTTATTTTCATTTTCTTCACCACCAGACGGAGTAGATGCGGACAGCGGGCGCAACTGCGGAATTGCTTCGATTCCCGTGAATCCAGGGCGAAAAGATGGTCAAGTCGTACTTGTAAGCGAGAACCATTGTATCCATATCCCATAAATAAATGCTGACGTTCTTTCTCTTACTTCTATAGAAAATTTGAAGCGTCCAAAACTTTTGGCCTCGTTACCTCCGCTACATCGAATGTGGTCTGGATAAAAGATGAAGGTCTCTTGGCGGCTCCTCGCCATACAGGCGCTGGGCGAGCAATTGTAGGTGCTGGGGAAGATATCTTCTGTTGGGATGTGAAAAAAGGAGAGATGCTAGCGAAGTGGCGGGACTCCGATTGCAGTGCGCAAGTTACCTGTATTTCGCGGAGCAAAGCTGACGAGGATATCTTTGCGGTTGGGTATGAATTGTATACTTTGTCTATATTTGAGTTGGCACTAATATTGGAGGTAGATATGAGGATGGCAGCATTCGATTATGGGACTCCCGGTTGGGTACAGTTATTATTTCATTCAACGGTCATAAAACTGCAGTCACACAGCTAGCGTTCGATCAAGGAGGAACACGGTTGGCAAGCGGCTCGCGAGACACTAATATTATTATATGGGACTTAATTGCAGAGGTCGGCCTCGTAAAATTACGCGGTCATACCGATCAGATTACTTCGCTTCATTTCTTGTCCGACTCCAACGCTGAAGATGATACTGCAGAACTGCAAGATGGCTCTGAGCAACAGAAGTTTCTCTTGAGCACGGGAAAGGATTCGTTGATCAAGATTTGGGATTTATCTTCACAACATTGTATCGAGACACACATTGCTCAAAGTAACGGGGAATGTTGGAGTCTAGGCCTATCACCCGACCAGAGCGGATGTATTACTGCCGGGAACGAAGGGGAGCTAAGGGTGTGGTCGATTGACTCGAATGCCATGAAAGAAATTGCAAAGGAGAAAGAAGGGGTGAATATGCAGAAGATCCTGGTGGACCGGGGAAATTTATATCGCCAGGGCAAAGATCGAACGCTTGGCGTGCACTTTCATCCGCACGCAGATTACATCGCCGTTCACGGCTCTGAAAAGTCGGTTGAAATATTACGTATTAGAGGTGAAAAAGAAATCCAGAAAAGTCTGGCCAGAAAGCGAAAGAGGAGAAAGGAGAAAGATGGAGACCAGGACGGTGAAAACGCCAATCTCGTACCGAGCGGTCCGGATTCTCTCGCGGCTGTACCAATAACTGAAATCTTTGTGTCACACGCAATTGTCAGAACTGGAGGAAAGATCCGGTCAGTAGATTGGATGGGTGGAAAAGGATTGCAGTTCCTCGCGGCAACGACAAACAACCAGCTGGAGGTTTATAACGTTGTCTCTGCAGAGAAGAAGAAGGATCAGGAAGAGATTGATTACAGCCGGACATTGTCCGTCGAGATCCCCGGCCATCGAACAGATGTTCGATCACTAGCACTAAGTTCGGACGATAGGATGCTCTCGTCCGCCTCTAATGGAAACTTGAAGATTTGGAATATCCGAACGCAGATGTGTCTCCGAACATTGGACTGTGGTTATGCTCTATGTTCGACTTTCCTTCCTGGAGATAAAATTGTGGTTGTTGGGAACAAGAATGGAGAACTAGAAGTGTTTGACATCGCCTCGTCCACCCTCCTTGACACAATTCAGGCTCATGAAGGTCCGGTGTGGTCTCTGCATGTTCATCCTGACGGAAAGTCTATGGTTACTGGTAGTGCCGACAAGACCGCGAAGTTCTGGAAGTTTGAGATCGTTCAAGAGGAAATTCTTGGCACCAAACGCACGATGCCGAAGCTGAAGCTCGTACATACGCGGACTCTCAAAGTGAACGATGATATTCTTAGCCTTAAGTTCTCTCCAGATGCTCGTCTTCTCGCTATCTCTCTTTTGGACAACACAGTCAAAGTCTTTTTCGTTGATACCCTGAAGCTTTTCTTGAATCTTTATGGTCATAAACTTCCCGTCCTCAACATGGATATTTCATACGACAGCAAATTAATCGTCACTTGCTCTGCGGATAAGAATGTACGACTCTGGGGCCTCGATTTCGGTGACTGTCATAAGGCACTGTTCGCACATCAGGACAGCATCATGGCGGTTGCGTTCATGCCTAATAACAAAGGAGACGGCCACAACTTCTTTAGCGCTAGCAAGGATCGCCTAATTAAATATTGGGATGGCGATAAGTTTGAGCAAATACAAAAACTCGAAGGTCACCACGGGGAGATTTGGTCTTTGATAATGAGCCATTCTGGAGAGTTCATCGTTACCGCAAGTCATGATAAGAGTATAAGAACCTGGCAACAGACTGATGAGCAGATATTCTTGGAAGAGGAGCGAGAGAAGGAATTAGAAGAGTTATATGAGCAAAACCTCGCCGAGTCTCTAGATCGGGACGAAGAGGCTGCTGAAGGCGACGACAAAGCAGAGGCCGTGGCCGCCAGCAAACAAACTATGGAAACTTTAACGGCGGGAGAAAGAATCATTGAGGCTCTTGAACTTGGAATGGAAGATCTGGAGCTATTGCGTGAGTTCAATGAGCGCAAAGCCTCTAATCCCAAGGTGGCACCCCCGTCCCGAAACCCTCTCTATCTTGCATATGGCAATGTTTCGGCCGAAAAGTATCTTCTCAACACCATCCAGAAGATCCCCGCTGCTTCTCTGCAAGATGCCCTTCTTGTCCTTCCCTTTTCACAACTCCCCGCTCTTTTTACATTTTTGAATATCTGGGCCAGCAAAGAATGGGATATTCCCTTGACGTGCCGCATATTATTTTTCATCCTCAAGACGCATCATCGGCAAATAGTGGCGAGCAAAATGATGAGACCGATGCTGGATGGTATCCGAGGAAATCTTCGACGAGTACTTTCCAAGCAGAAGGATGAAATGGGTTATAATTTGGCTGCGTTGCAGTTTATTGGCGGGCAGGTACGAGATAAGGGCAAGTCGGATTACATTGACGAGGAGATGTGGGAACAGGAAGAACAGCAGCAAAGAGGTGTAAAGAAGAGACAGTTTATCACTGTGGCCTGAAGAAAGCATTAGCGATGGAAAACAAAAGATCTTTGGTCAAAAGTGGCGCCCTGGAAGGAGTTGCAATTGTTATTTTTGGATACCTTCCGGAGTTCTGTGAATAGTCACCTTTGCAGATGGTAACAAGGGCTGATGTATAAGTTATTATAAAGAGCATATCAGAAAGAAAGAAATAGATTTAAATATCATAATGCTCGAGTTGTAGCTGTCTATTAGCTATGGAAGCAACAAACACCCAAAGGATCATACATCTCTCCTCGTCACACCTATATACTGGTGAGTATATCTCAAATATCCTGTGCTCCCGCTGTAGCTTCTCGCTAAGATTATGGTTGTGTACTGTTGGGCAAGGTATTCCTAAATCTAGGGCAGTAACCCATGGCACATGTTAGCTTTCACTTTCACGCTAGCAATAAAGGAAAATGTGGTTAAACCAAGATAAAGCAAGGTAAGAAGGTGAGATACAGCGTCCGTAGCATGTCCCAGATCCAGAACATTTCGACCTCAAAAGTTAAGGCCCAAATCTGATCCCGAACCCGAACAGCAACGAAAGAATATCCCACCTTCCTTCCTCGAGATAATAGGTACAATATCAGCAGAACCCGTTCTAAGCACCGACGACAATCCCATCCCCCTAGATAAAATGGCAATGAACCAATATGCGCAGCAGGAGAAGACAAAAGGGAATAGCATCGGAGCGAAGAACGCATATGACGATGCGTCAAGAACCAAAGCTGCCGTTTTGCCTTCCCTGCTGGGTTTCTTGATACATATTTATCTTTGGAGTTTTCCCTCTCAAAGGAGGAATTGATGGGCTGCCATTCCTCTTCCGGCTCTTCCTAAGTATATGGGTCATGGTAGATCATCATGTAGTCGTTGAAATGGCATGTTGTGTGCAGTATATGCGCTAATGTTGCGGAAACAAGAAATATAGAGACACTTACTCAAGTTAACATAAGTTAATGCAAGAAGGCAAGGAGAAGGCTGAGCGAAGTCCAATGCAAGCTGAACTGCTTTGAATGGTTCAAGTTGTGGACTTTGTTGTGTGGAAGTTCCAACATTAAAAATTTCAAGTAAATTTTGAAGGTTAACTAGGTAGGTCGCAGAAATTCGGTGAATAATTTATCCGACAAGGTTCAGCGGGGGCGTGAGCCAGCTCCAGTTGGCAGACAAGTTGAAACCCCAGATCGCTGCTCGATGTGGAGGGCAGCGAGAGGTTTGAGGTTGAATGAAAATATTGACAGAAGCCAGTGGACCATACTCCGTACAGAGCACTCCGTACTAACCCGGAATCTCCAAAGCAGCAGAAAAAGCAAATTCCTATACTCCGTATCTCTACTCCGTACTCTGTATATCAAAAGGGGTATTGTTCATAAACATCATAATCTGCAAATATTTCCCATCAACCCAACCCTTAGTAAAATCATGACGACTGTTTGATTGTTCCGCAGCACGCGCAAGTCCACCATTCCGATTCCATAAATGTTCCACACATATGACAAACCCACCCAAGGGGCCTTTTCGCCATTCGGTCGTCGATCTCTCTCAGCGAATCGACCGCAGATCTGCGAGATTTCGTCGAAGCATTGCTACCGGCCGACTGCCTTTCTTCGGGAAACGAATGTTTCTGGGAAGGCCTTGGTGGTTTTTGAGGCGGAGAAGGATTCACGACTTGGGGACGTTCTGACCCGCATGCATCACAACACAGGAACATCGATGGATTTACGAGAGTACATACTGGACATGGCCAAATGTCTATATCCCCTTCTGTCGTTTGTTCCGATGTAGTCGTAAGCCTTGGTTTTGTACTCTCAGGGACAGGGGGTGGTGCAAGAGCTCGTGGTCCTGCTGGATTGGCGGCACTCGGGGGGACGTATAAGCTGCCATACTGTTCCCTCTCTTCTTGTTGGATTAGCTCAATATACGCCTCCATAATCGCACGTTCATTGGCATCATCTTCTTCCGCCTTTGTCCTGAATCCGTTATGCGAAACCTCGTCTGCGAGTTTTTGGCCCTCCTTTGTACCACTGGCGCAACCTTCAGTTACCTTTTTCCGTCTCTCTGCAGCATCCGCAATAACCTTCCTCATATCCGCACCTCGAGAAGCGGGCATGCCTCCGAGCCTCTGGCCAGATCCTGCCGTGAGAACCCGGCGTTTTTCAGCAGCCGCACGAGCCTGTCTCCGCAATTCGTCCGGTGGAACTCTTTTACCACCAAGCCGGTGTCCCGCCGAGAGAAAGCCTTCACCAGTATATCCTTTCCGGAAAAGCTGTTCGTGTTCATCACGGAGCTGGTTCCAGAGTGCGTGGAACTCTTGGTTATGAGGTCCATGAACAATATGGCATAACCTAAACATATCTAGTAAGGAACAAGCCTAGAAAAAGGTATGGGAACGAACTCAATTAGAGGAACTCACTCATGAAGCATGGTATCGACTATTTGCTCGAGAGGGATGAACTGCTTCTCGTCATGCGGACTTCTCAACCGAAGACATATCTTCTCGCCATGGTTGATATTTAGGCCTAATAAGTTGGCCTGTGCAGGGTAGAATTCGCAAAGGGTCCCGACTCTCCAAGATCTCTGACGCATGATCGGTTTGACTAAAGAAGCAACTTTGCGCAGAGTTGTCAAGGCTTCCGCTTCCTTGGGCTTGCGCTTGTCATGTTGGTACTCGGAGACGAGAGCGTCAAACTCCCTCATTTTGAGGCGCTTTTATTATGCGGAACAAAAATCTAAACAGGTGTGAGTAAAAGAATAGAAGCAAGTATCATCTCAAAATTGTGATGAATGGACTCAAAAATTCACTCCAGAAGGCGACAACGCCTTCTGAGGTAACTCTGAGCGATGCCTCAAGGCCAGCTATCGGGATTTCGTAGAAAATTTTGATGATAAACCAGCATTATCCACTACTGCCATGACCGTTGAATGAGTGAGGATGTCTAGAAATTTCGATCCATCACGGAACCTTCAGACACTCCCCCGACTCTCGTGGACCATACTATTCCGCGGTGAAATGAACGCTGCAGGCTCTATGGAGGAAGATGCGTTTACAGCTCAAGGCTGCTGACAAACGTCACCACCCCCAGGCCAGAGACGGTGTACTTACAGTGGCAAATAACATCATCGAGTTTCTTTTTCGAAGATTCTCCCCCCCGCGAACCGCACTCGATGCGGAATCATTATTTATATATCCAACCGGCAAAGAGGATTGAGTGCTTCTATTAAGAGGTAACCTATCCAGAATGACAAGCGACGATGAATTCTTCTTTGACTATGTAAGCTTAACAAAAGACAAACCTCGCTGCCGCTGAAACTTCGGACAAAAAGCTCACAGCTTCAGAAGCTATCCTGGGTCCCAAACGATGTAAAACGGTACTCCACGCAGGTCGCAAATTCCATCGATCGTCATATAGATCGAGCAGCTTCGAACGTTCGAGATGCACTATCACGCCAATCTTGGCTTCCTACGTATCTCAAGCCTCCCCCACGACATGGCCAACCGCTTCCGCGCACATTGCCTCCAAAGTCGATGGTGGACAGGGTACATGACTGGGTAGTGGAACACCGTGCATTGACTGCCGCCGTATTAGCCTTCATTGGAACTGGAGGGCTATTGATATATGGGAATAGAAAATTAGGCGTGAAAAAGCGGAAAGCAAGGAGGGCGGGCAATGGGGCCCGGAAAGAAATAGTTGGTATGGGACTGTCAAATCCACCTCAAATGTGCGCAACGACCTTTGATTTGGCATGTTGACATTTAGATAGTTATTGCGGGCTCTGCGCATGAGCCAATTACGAGATCTATAGCTTGCGACCTTGAGCGAAGAGGGTTCATAGTCTTCATTACAGTCACGTCGGCCGAGGAGGAGCATGTGGTTGAGAATGAAGCACGAGAGGACATTCGCTCACTCTGGCTGGACCTAGCCAATGTATGTCCCTTCCCTTTTCTTCTAGCAAACCGACACCTAACTTAGGCGCAGACACCATCGGAACCGTCTGAAATGCATCCTTCGCTCTACGTTATCCAGTCTCTTATCACGAACCCTCAAGCTCCTATGCCAGGAGTGCCACCACACACTTGCCAGCTGACCGGGCTCATTCTAGTGCCCTCGCTAACATATCCTGTCGGTCCCGTCGCCACTATACCGGCCTCGAACTGGGCAGACGCCATCAACACTCGCCTACTGTACCCCATACTTACAGCGCAACTATTTCTACCACTTCTTACCTTAAAAAGTAACAGCAGTTCTATAGTTTTGATAACTCCTTCCATCCAATCCTCGCTTTCCTCTCCATTCGCAAGCCCTGAAGTTGCTGTAACGAGAGCACTCGCCGGCTTCGCAACGAGTTTGCGACAAGAGTTACAACTCTTGGAGAGTGGACACGGTTCTGTTGATATTGTTGAACTCAAACTTGGTAACCTTGATCTGGGACGACAGTTTCGAAATACAAACGGACAAAACAAGGGCACGGAAGTTCTCACCTGGCAGCCACAGCAGCGTGCTCTTTATGGCCCATCCTACCTGTCAAGTATTGGCCATCGCGTAGGGAGATCAAGCGGAGCTGGTAGCCTGCATGGAACGCCGGCAAAGGAGCTACATTTTGCCGTTTTTGATGCTCTTGCACCTCGTCAAAAGACTATTTTTGGACGAAAACGCAAGCAACAAGTCGTTTATGTCGGTCGGGGCTCCAGAACCTACGCAATCGTTGGGAACGTTATTCCCAGCATGTTGATTGGCTGGATGCTTGGTTTACGGACTGGATATCCGGCATTCTTCTCTGATTCTGGGTCTGAGGACGGCAATGGCTACGGGAGCGAAGGGACATGGGAAAAGATTTCTTAGTTCCAAAACAGATGATGACCCTTCTCACAGTCTTATTGTGTTAATTATTCTCCGCTCCTTTTCAAACTGTGTATTTTAACTTGGTGGTGCCGTCTCTTTTTGTTAACGAAGGCACTGGGTTTTGGCGTCTTCCTGGCGAGGTTACAGAATCCTGGGGAATGGATCTAGGTTTTCTAATCAGTATATAATATCTGCATGGAGTGGAAGTGGGAATTATGAGGTTATTCACCGACAAACAAATCATGTAGGAACTTATTACCATATACCTTCTAGCTGTGTCAGTCCATACACAACTCATGAATTTGACATGTTTCGTTTATTTGCTCCCTTCTCTGCCTACACTTCACCCTTTCATGTCCCTCTTGAAATGTAATGGCTATTTTATATAGCCCATAGGAGCCAAGCGGCTGCATCTTCACTCAAAACATCTCCAACTTAGCCCTACTCCAAGGCCTTGCTTCTCACATCGTATTGACCATACTTTTCATGGATCCCGACATCTGCCGGTGAAGAGCGATGGGTTTGGCGTCATCGATATTGCGTTTCAACAACATGACGGAGGACCGAGCTGGATATTCCATCACGTTGCCTGGCCTTTTACACCCGAAATAAGCGTCCTTGTTTCTGCAGGTCTCCAGAGCCTGAGGATTATGCGGGATGTAGGCTATCCTTCTGACTCCATCGTATCACCTCGACTAACCATCCATAATGAAATGCCGTGCGATTAGCTCGACATATAGGTCGTCGAGCGAGCCATACTTTTTTGGAAATCGAAAACCGCTTTACAATTGTTGTGTTAGCCGCGGATCTTTAACGATGCCGAGACCAGCTAGGGTCCCTGCTTCCTATTTCACAAAAGCGACATTTATACCCATTGATGGCCTTGATAGCATTGCAATTTATTATGCCTCTTCTACGGGGATCCACAAAATATGTGATAACCATCCGAAGGCAGATGGAGCAGGGGATTATCTTGTCGAAGTTTCTCTCACACCACGCCGATTGACCCTTAACATGTGTAAGATTCAGGCACCGGACCGCTACCGCCAGTCCGCATTCATTCAAGTAAGTCAGGACAATGTTTAAATGTGCCTGTTGCTCTGTTGACGTTAAAACAGTTCGATCCCAACGGGGAACAGGAGCCCAATCCCTCGTCAGGCGCAGAGGAGAATGATCAAAGACCAGTGCACGTTTTAGGAATTTGGTACGGACATGAACCGCTAAGTCGTAGCCCCAATATTGGCGTCGTATTAGCGTTCGATCGACTGACCAGAGAGATGGTCTAACAAATCTGATATCCCTTGCGTAGAGTTATGTGGGGAAATATCCGCTTTCTTTGTCGGTTGGATGTACGGAGTACTGCATGGGGAATCATCCTTGCCCGCCTGTTTCAAGGGATATTTCTACTTAGACACCGTACATGGTGCATTTTTTGACGTGCAAATGTATGTATCTCTCGTCATGCGTTGAGATTTAATACATCTGGACAGAAAACAATGATGGATTAAAGATGTGGGTCTCAGGGGCGAGGAGAACTGTTCAGCGCTGGTATTGATAGGACTCATACGCTGCTATTATTAATCCGGAAGCAATGTCAGAGGTGATCATATTAAGTCTACCATGTAGAACATCAGACAGAGTTATATGGATATTAAAATTAACATCATTTGGGGGGGGGTATATTTCAAAACCACAAAAATCGCACGCCAATACATATTACCCAATGTAAATTGAGAATATATCACTTAACAATTTCCCAACTTCCCGTTTCTCTTCCTCCTTGGGGGTTACTACTTCGTTCGCTCAACCATGCCCATTTCCGCATGATTTAACTCCCCCTCCGGCTGTGACGCGACCCGCGACAATTTCGTTCTTTCGCGAGTATACTTTAGGCGGATCCATATCATCAGATTGACGACACCGTATAACGCAATAGTCGCACCGGCGATGGCGAATATATAAGCCGCCACGCGCCGAGTTTGCCTGCCGTTCCGACCCGGGTCAAGGAAGGAGTATGTGTAGAAGCCCTGGTCCGCGTGTGTAATGTAGGCGAGTGCTATATAGAGCACGAGGATGAGGATTATGTAGAGGAGATGGATAAGAGGCCTGAGCAAGGCGTTGGCAAAGATAATCTCGAAGAGCGCGAAGAAGGCTGGCAAGATGTGTTGGGAGACCTGGGGAATTTTTGTTAGTTTTGATTAGCGAGATTAGGAAGGGAGAGTGGAAAATATGAAATGCTGACATTTGTCCAGGCGTCAAAGACCACAGGAAACCAAGTTCCCCGGTACAGGATCGCCCAGTACACGATCAGCACCAAAAGGGGAAAAACCGTAACTGTTGTATACAGTAGGCTGTGCAGCGAGCGGAGAAATCTCGGCCATTTCTCGAACAACACCGACCGTCCTCTCGCAGCGTAGCAGAAGCTATGTATTCCTGCGACAAAGAAATATGCAGCTACTCCCACGAATGACAGGTTTGTGAAGTAGCTAAACCACCGAGCAATGTTGGCGGTTTGGCCATGCGTAGCTGACCAGCCATAGATGACCAAGATGGTCACCAAAGAGTAGACCGAAATAACAATGCGCACGATGCCAAATACCAAAGGTGGGAAGAACCAAGAAGTTTCGAAGACGAAGGGACGGTCGTCCCAGCCGTTCGTGCGGAAGAGGCTTTTGAGTGAAAAGGCCATTTCCGCCTTGGTGCTCTATTGTAGGTGGTTGATTTATATACTAATCGCCGCGGGGCGGGTGGTTCTGTGTGCATGTAAATGCAAAAGATGCCGGAAGGAGGAACGTGTATATCCAAGAGAGGGGGTAGAGATAACATAAAGGGTACATGTTCTGACTCGAAGAGATGGTCAGTTTAAGTACGGGCAGAGAGGCCAGGATAGTTTTGGCTTGATACCAAAGAATCAGTTCATGTCTCAGCAAACATCATGACATCCGCGGGGTCATCGACTTATAGTTACGGCAGGTTTCGGCGCGGTGGCTTTGGCCGTCCCTTGGGACGAACGTGAGATTGAGTGTGAGTGCCTAAAGCTTCCAGCTGGCAGGAAGCCTGATTGTAGACTCCCCTTGATGGACTTGGGAGAGAGACTGCCTCGTGGCGGTTCGATGTGCCAAGCGAATTAGTTAAAACTGGTGCTGTTCACTGGTCGCTGGGCAGTCTCTCCTCGACCCGGCCTCAGGATGTCTGCCATCACCAACACCTTGTGGTCTCCGCAAGTTGCACACAACGGCTCACTGGCCCTGTACCACACATCCATCAATGGTGACGGGAGCATGGAAGATAATGATCATGATGTCATGGCTTCGTTTTAAAGTTAGATAACTTCTGCTTGGGCTCCAATCGGTCGCGAGTTCAACATCCGCACAGAGAGGCAATCTCGAGCAGTCAGGAAAAGATGAAAGCTTAAACCGACCTCCCCCACAACATCAGAGTGAGGGACATCCTGTCTCATAGCCCACGATCAGGCACATAGAGAATGGTAACTTTATGGGGTATTCAATGAAACGCCGCTGCGATCTTACCGTAGCCAAAGCCTGACAACTACAGGTTACGGAGCCCGGAGTGTTTTGTTTTGATTAAATAACGACTTGAAGATACCCGCATAACCCCCCTCAACTGGGTTGGACAGGCCTATTCTCCGGCCAGCTTTTCTCTTTGTTGGTTTACACCTAGATACTGGATTTTGCAGCGAGTTTACTCCCTATACGGCCGCTGTTTTGAAGGCGTCAACTGAGCCCGCGGGATGTCCAGCACCGTGGACGTACATCAAGGCGGGTGCAATGCCATTGTTTCTGCGTTCCTTTACCTTGGATGCGCACGGGATGCTCTCAGACTCACGGGTTGTTCCAGATGGCGTGAAACTCAATAAACTTCATTCTCCCTCGGTCCCATAACGCTTGTTCATACATATATTGAAGCACCGAATCGAAATGTTTGTGCGACGGGTTACCTTCGCCCCTGGGAAAGGTTCCGTTTTCCCAGATGAAAAAATTTTACAAATCGACGACGTTTTTGACGGGTGTGCGGGGCTTTAGTTCATGGCGATGGTGTCCTTCTATCCCCAGCTGCAGGAGGACGATGCTAAAAACCTCAACTCGCAAAAATTAACCTGTTTCGGCAACTCTTCGTGCAGAATCTTGATATGTACAGTGATATTTTAACCTACGACCATTTATATACTCGATGGTGTATGTTGGCTCCATGTTGCTGTCATATGATAAGGCGGAACCGATTACTAGAATTTCTCAGCGTCTCTTAGACAGGCGGGTGTGGTAAGCAGTACCTTGTGCTTGGGCCGGAGCACAACCTACCGGAGTGGCTGACTCCCTTCGGCCGCCTCTAGTGCCATACTCTTCCCTAAGCACATCCGGTGGGTAGAGGATCTCTGGGGGTATGATAACTTGGATGCCTTATCATGCGGACTCCAGCCTGTTCTCTCTCATATAGAGCAACTGTTTCTACATATTTGTTGCCAAACAACCCAATTTCTAGCCATTATTATACTCTGAAGAATTTTTTTTGTTCTCCTGCACAATGTCCTTTGTGCGAAGTTATTGAAAATGGGAAAGAAAATGACGATGATTAAGGCGCCATAAGCCCTGCCACCAGAGTGACATGCATTGGTCAAAGTGGAATGCAATTCAGCTCCAGCCGGTCGATAACCGCCATCTCACACTGAGCATATTTTAAAAGAAACATCACGAGGTCCCCGCAAACAAAGATTAGGATGTGCGCGGAGGCTGCAGCAGTGTAACTATAACTACAAAGTTCCGAACAGGAGACTAGGGAGCAAGACCTTACTCTCATTCCGCAGGTGCAGATGTCTCCTACATGGCTTGGACTAGACTGCCTACAATATAGTGATCCCCTTGTTAATGACGACGCCCTTATTTCTGATGACAAGATCCCACGGGTTATCAACCATTTTCGGGAGTATCGCTGATATAAATGCTGTGTGACTGCTTGTTGAGAAAGAGTGAAATCCAAAAACAGGTCATCCAAGGGGTGAAACTTAGAAGCTGTAGTAAATATCTGGCAAAAAGAGGTCAGTGTCGCATTTTAGAAAAAGTTCCCTAACAAATAAGAGACCAGTGGAAGTACTCTGTAAGGGTGACGGATCCCATTTTCCCGGGGGCGTTTACTGGCAATGGGATGTGCTATGATGCATCACAAGGAATAAAAGAGCTGTGCACTCACAGGACTCCCAGAGCTCCCCAGCTTGTATGACTTCCAAAAGCTGAGCTTGTCTCCTCCCAGTCAAATCTCTTAGAGCTATTGACAGATGTAACATTCAAAATCTAGTGCAGTATGATCCGCGTGGTACCCTTTTTTCCCCCTCTGCAGGAGACATCACAAGTTGACTAATCCTTGTAAGTTAGTAGGATTTGTTGCTCTAATAACAGCACCCAAACAGGGGAATCCTAGCGTCCTCAGGGGCAGGAATCAAAAATAAAACTAACACGGGCAACTATCAATTCTTCATGACTTTGAGGATTGACTCGGGGAGATGTGCCTCCTCGCCAGAGCTGGCGGCCGGGTCAAGGCAGCGGCGTAGTTGGATGAAACATGGGACCGGGAAAGGTCCAGTGGGAAGGGAAGAGCCGGCTTCGATGATGATGATGATGGATCAAATACAATTGTGTGACTCCCAAACGACCGTGGGTTTCGCTGAAGACAAACTAGCTTGGTGACCGGTAGATACATAACAATAACCGCAACCCAGCCGCCTAAATGGAGAGACTGTTGTGTGGTAATTTTTTTCCCGCCATCTTGTGTCCATAGTGATGGTGTTTTGGTGTTCAGCCCGTCTGATTCATGAAGTGTGTTGTGTCTTCTTGATTCAAAAAATGGTGAGACGAATACGGAAACGAGCTGCTGGGCTTGTGTCTGATGTTCTTGGCCGTGTTTCTTATTCTCTTCTCTGCCCCGTGTCGAGGCCAGTTGCTTCCAAGGAGAACAGCCGGGACTGGAGGCCGCCCTGAGATCTTTGTCTCTGGATGGGAAGACGACAAAGGATCGATCCAGCCTGGATTGGCCCTGTTCTTTTTTTGCAAAGCTGCAGCCATTCATTGGCGCAGAATGAAATTAGCTACACAGTCAATCTCTTAGTGCTCTCTCACTAACCAACTCTGAGTTAATTAGTTAGCCCGGCCCCTGAGGATGCCACTGTGGAGACAAAGGTGGGAGGGAGAGAACGTCAAACATCCATCGCTGTTGTTGCATGCAACTGTCAAACTTCTTCACCTCCTGGCGTGTTGTGAGAATTCACCCTCTCTTTCTTGGAGACCTCCGGTCTGATCTGTCCTTTATTATGGTCCATTCGTTTGCAGGCTCTCCAAGCGACGGCAGTCTGAATCGTTTGCCTTTCCCATCGCCGACGGCCTCTTGATCGGTCACCCTGATTCTCATTTTGGCTTCGCTGTTCTCCCCCCCCGGCTCTCTCGTTTTCCAAAAGACGTCACCTTTCCACCAACCAAGGAGGTAAAATATAATCTCACATTGCAGGCCAATTGTCTCCCACAGCATCCTTTCTTGACATCTCAAATGCTCGCAATTTCGGCCTCCAGCTGCGAATCCGAGTCAACGAGTCTGCCCCACGAAATCTAATCGACTCGGAGCAATTACACCGGGCGAATCACCGTGTCACTCCTTTTTACGTTATACTTTTATGGCGACTGATGATCCTTCGAGGTTGCAAGCCAGCCCAGGCAAAGTATTGCCTGGGGAGCGCTTAACCTCCTCTCCGCGCATTGCCCATTATGACGGCGAGATCCCCCCAGCACTGTCACCCTTGGATGCCTTCGCCGCCCAAGGTCGACTTCTCGCGAAACAATTCGACCAATCGAGGAAAGATGGCCGACGCCTGAGTCGCATTCCACCGGCCAGCGTTGCTCGGTCCCTTTCCCGTCCGCGACCCGGTTATTTTCGATCGGCCTCAAGTGAGGGGACTCGCGAGGGCTCCAAGCCACCACTTAGTCCTGCGTTTCGAGAGCACAATCATCTAGCGGTGGAGGAACCTAAGTTTAGGCCGATATCTCAGCATCCCCGATTGAGTGGCTTACCTGCTGATCAGGATGGAGGCGACCCGCGACCCTGGGGAAGGGAAGGCGTGAGCCGCTCTGCTTCGAAAGACAATATCGCAGGGTCACCAAACGAGGAGGTTGGACTAGGCTTGGGCGTGCGTGATGCTGCAGGGCCAGCGGGTCGACCGTTGGTGGGAGTAGGCGTAACGACCTCAAAGAAGGAATCGCATAACGACCCTATGTCGAGATCCAGGTCCGACACACTTGTTCCTCCGATCCCCTTACCCCGGTCATCTAGCAGCCCGGGTCTGTCGCATACAGAAAGTTCAGATGACGACTATTATACCAGTTCCAATGCGGGTTCTACATTTTCAAAGCCTAGGAAACTGTCATCGAGCAGCGGCATGTCCATGCCTCATTCACCAATGTCAAATTTCACCCGCCCAAATCCACGTTCCTTGTCACCAGCATCAGAAAGGTCTGGTACGCCCCATGTGCTCCAGCGACCCTCATTCAATTTCTCCCGGCCCCTGAGTAGGTCGAGCACCAGCATCTCCCTCCCATCTCCATTGACTCCGGACCCAACTCCCAACGAGCTGCAACCCCGCATGATGACTCGAGACAATCGCCCAGCTCCTATTAATACCTCGGAACGCTCTCCTCTATCTACACAGGACGCGGAGGAGCCTCCACCTTCGGCGACATACACATATGCAAAGTATAATCTGCCCCGTGGAAGAGAGGTTGTGAGGGACTCAATCGTTTTCTCCGGCTTGCAAGCTCCACATTTTGAGTGGAAAGAACCTCTCTTTGAATCCCCTCCACCAAGTGCCGTCAGAGAGAAGTTTGCTCGGACCCCGTCCCCATCACCTGCGAAAATACAACAGCAGCCTACTTCTCCCCCAACCACACAGAGGGCGTCCCCAGCAAAGACTTCACCGGCAAGAAGTATTAAGCAAATTAACCGATCGCCAGCAGCCCCATCCCGCCATTCCTTTGAAAACGATAGCCGTGAGGTGCTGACTTTGAGAACACCAAGCTCCAGCACCAAAGTGAAACCAAAATCAAGCGACCAAGACGATGCTAAATCCACCTCCGCAAATAGCGGGAGCACCATACGTCCACATACCAGCCACAAGGAAAGCAAACCCGGCGATAATGGTGATAATCCCGACCAGCCCTCTGCAGAGGATTATGTCGCTAAAGGTATCGCTTGCCACGAAAATGGATCGCTCAAAGAATCGACTTATTATCTACGATTGGCGGCAATGCAGAACCATCCTACCGGCATGCTAATGTATGCATTAGCTTGCCGACACGGATGGGGAATGCGCCCGAACCCGCAGGAAGGCGTTGAGTGGCTGCGCAAGGCAGTTAATTCAGTTGCGGATATCACACAAGAGGTGAATACGGCAGATTTACAGCCCAGGGGTAAAGCTCTCCAGGAACAAAAAGCTCGTCAGGCCCAGTTCGCACTCAGTATCTATGAGCTGGGTGTGAGCCACCTCAATGGATGGGGAGTCGATCAGGACAAGACCTTGGCTCGAAGGTGTTTTGAAATCGCAGGACAGTGGGGTGATGTCGATGCCTTGGCAGAAGCTGGATACTGCTATGCTGAGGGTGTTGGATGTAAGAAGGATCTGAAGAAGGCGGCGAAGTATTATCGAATGGCGGAGGCGAAAGGCATGAGTATGGTGGGGAATAGTTGGTATGTTCTCCTTTATTCACCTATTTCATTGTTTTGGATATCAATCGTGCTGACATTGTGCCAAAAAAAAAGGATATACAAAGATAAATACATGGGCGATGATGAGCCAACTTTGCCTGATGCGAACGTGAAGTCGATTAGTAGCTCAGAGAAGCAGCCTTCACGGAACAAATCTCGAACAAGATCGATATTTGGTCGAAAGAAGTCTAATGCTCATGATTGTTGATTAATATCAGGCGCTCGTCCCTCGGTGTGACTGTTTAGTCTTCCTTTAACTTTTGCATTTACTTTCTGCGGTTGATTCCCGGAATTGATTTTCTACATCTGGCACCCCGGGCATTTGATCTGTCGTTTTATCTGAACTCTTTTCAGTTTGTTGAATCCTGTTCGCTTCATACTCGTTCATGTTTCTATATGGCCCCACGGCGTGGAGGGTTTAGTTCTTACACATTTTATGAGCGGGAATCATACCTACACATACCTACATAGGTCGGGGCAGTCCCACCGGATTTTCCTTTTTCTTCTTCCGTCTTCATATACTGATCCGATATCCTCTTTTTTTCTCCTTTGTCCTCTTTCCAGCATTTCAATTCTTGACAAGCCAGGGGCTAATTTTATTTTTTTTACCACCTTCAATTCGGACCTGGCTAGCTTATTATCATTAGTATGCTTGTTAATATCTCCTTTCTTTTCTTTTCTTTTCTTTTTTTTTGTGGGTGGATGTGGTGCCGTTCGAGGGCTTTTGTGTAAGAATAAGTATTTGAGACCAATTTGTTCCGCCCTTTGGAATTGCAGCAACTTTGGCGTATATTTCGCGGTTCGTTCCTGTATCATCAAGATTCAAGTAGGGGCGTAGGTCTGTTTAGGCATGCGTAGGAGTCTCACACATCGGATCCTGCATAGCCTAGACTCTTGACAGCAACAGCAAACATCTAACAATACGAAGAGCAACGCACGCATGCTGCAGGGCGTCAGAAGCTCGTCAGAGACAGACAAAGAGAGAGAGAAACAACGCGATGACTCGAAAGAAAAAGGTTGGCGGGGTTGCAAAGCCACTTCCGCTTTTTTTCCTTCTTTCGGCATTATCGGGCTGCTCTCGCAAAACACATGTGATAATCCACGACTCCCCGAGATTTGTCAGGACAGACCAACGCACGGGGTAACTCCATATGGAGTAGGGTTTTCTTTTTTCTTTCCCAAGGTTTGTCTGCTCCTCTTTTCCATAGTTGTCGTTTGTGCTCCGTATCTTGAGGAGAATTACTCCACGCAAATCAAAACTTTATATACGTGTCTTTGCGTCCGGGGTCGAAACGCGCGGGGAAGGATGCGGAGGGTGGCTTTGAACATTATATGTTTGCTTTTGGTGAGAAACGGTTGTAGTAAATAATTCTTGCTGATAGCATTCAGGGGGATATAGCTAGCCGGTTGAGTTATTACCTTTACCATTATCGAATCCGTCTGGTTGAAATGAGTTGCAAGATGCCCTGTCGACCCGTTGATCTCAGCTGTCGTTATGGCTTTCCAGACAGACAGAGGATTTCAGAATCGCTGCATGTGAAATTATCTGCTCCGAGAGTCGACTCAAATCAACCCTCTGTCCAGCAGAGCAAAGCATGTGTACTGTAGCTAAATGCACATCTCTGACAAGGACTTCAATTCCAACTCGTCGATTATTGTTGTGTCGCGTCGCACCAGGTTAATCGTGGGACAGAGTGGAGAGAGATCAGCCTGCGGCCACGAACCAACCCGGCGTTCTCCCGAACTCCCAATTTTCACAAGGTGAGAAAGCAATGCTCCAGGACGAAAATGTGGTTTTGTTACAGAAAAACTTGTGATTTTCGAGAATCATAAACGGTTCTGATCTATTTTTGAAAGTCGAAGAGTCTAAAGAGCCGTTCGTCGAAGCTAGCTTTGATTCTTCTAATGACAATCCGGTTGCGAAGGACGCTAAAGAGCTCCAACGCAGCATCATGTGGGCATTTACGGACTAGACTAAAATTTGTCCGGATAAATGATGGTTTTGATTGCGAAAAGAGTGGCAATGCTACAGAAAAGAATTACAACGGTCGACGGGTCTGGTTCAAGTGTTCGGGCTCAACCATGGAATGTTCAGGGCGCGCCAAAGTCAATTAATATTGCGCCCAGAGGAATCCCCTTGCGATTCTACCCTGGCAGTTTTGCTTCTCTTTTCTTGGGGTTGGTCTGCAGTTCGCCGATTGGCCCCTAGTGTCTTTTTGAGAGACAGGCTGTTGATCTTGACTGGCTGCGCTGACCATTCAGATGGCATGTGCTTCTTGCCTTTGACTCGCAGGAAAAAGCCTGGCCGTGCGTGGCACTTGTCTGGCTGGCTGTTTGGAAGTGGCCACACAAACAGGCCCTTCTCAGCCGGCCTGGCCGATCTCTGTGGCAAAGAACAGACTCAGGAAGACCACGACTGGGCGTCAGTGACAGAAAAGCACACAGCAACGAAGCCAGGTCCCGTCTCCACACTCTGCTCCAGAATGACATGCAAAAATTTCTCTTTAGACTTTCTTCCCCACAGCTGTATTCCCACCAAGCGAACAAGCGCTTCAGAAATATACAGACTATGAATCCTGGCCGTCCAAGACGCCGGCCATTTGGCTAACGATAACTAACCAGTTAACGATCTCAGCCATCAGGTCTTGGGCCGCGGGTAATTTGGTCCTGGCGGGCGACATGTGAAGGCTACCAACATTGCTTCCCACATTGCTAGCAGCGGACTAAACCCCGGACTGTAGATCTAGAGACCACACAGCGCCAATGCCCGTCGAGGAATGGCCGCTAGTCCGGTTTGCGGCTGCGTTCGAGGGGTTTGAATTAGTGGGGGGTGGGCAGGACGAAGCGCAAGACAAGGGGGATCCATGGAAGACGAGAGCTTACTCCGTGCCAAAAGGTTATGGATATCGGGACGGTGCTATAAGCGGGGATAAATTAAATACAGTGATGGAGACCTCGACTATCGCTTTCAAAAAAATAAAAGCTGCGGAAGAGAGAGAAACTCCCTAGGGAAAATAATAATCCATAAATTATCCCTTCCTCCCTCTCCCTCTTCTCTCCCTCTTCCCGTCTTTTTTCGCCTCCTCGTCCGAGTCGCCCGTCCTTACCTCTGCTTGTGTGAGTGCTTTTGCGACTCGTATCCCTTTTCCTCTCCTTTCTGCTCGTTTGGTCTGCACAGACGTGAGCTCGTTGAGCTTGATCACAAGGTATGGCCTGTCCATAGAATTGTCATGATATATTATTTTCCCCAGGGATGTTTCGGGTCCCTTTGTTGGGGCTAGGCACCCTCGCCATTCTGTGTCTCCTGAATCTCGAAATCGTCATGAAACATGTTTCTAGGGACATTGATTATGTGCACACTATCGCGATCAAGTTGGCGACTTCACCTGTGCTTCCCGCCACGGGCTGTCGTCACTAAACTAACTACTCCGTATTCTTCTTTGGCTTTGACTTGAATTTTGTGTGACTGATTCTTGATTCTTGTGTAACCTTATAGGAGTCGTCTCCCTCTTTGACAAGCCCTGCTTCTGTGGCTCAAAGGAGCATTCCCCTGTAGGAAAGGAGGAACGAACAAAGGGACGGCAAAAAAGAAGAAAGGGAAGAAGAAGAAGAACGTTCATCAAAGATGTCGGACAATTCGGAGAAGAATAACCAGGGGACGGTCGAAGCCGCCGTGCCAGAACCGCGCAAGCGCGGCTGTGCTGCGCATTGCAAGCGCTTTTGGTGGGCCTATATCATTGGCTTCATCGTTGTCGTCCTTGTTGTCGTCCTGCCTGTGTAAGTCGTGATATTCAAACAACGCATTGAACCACATGCTGATGCGCCCAACAGCATCTATGTTGGATACCCGAACATTGCCCAGCGTGATGTCAACCGATCGACCCTCGAGATCACGGAGATGGAAATCACCGACCCAGCTCCGGAATCCTTCCATATCAGATTGACGCAGGTCATCGGCTCCAAGAGCAAATATCACCCAATACTCGACGCTTTCAACGCCGACGTTTCCCTCCCCGACAGCGAGCAGCCATTCCTCAAGCTCGACGTGCCATCTGTCAAGGCCGTCGATGGAGCCGTTGCTAAAATCGACCAGGACGTATCCCTGCCCAATGCCGACGCTTTTGCGGCTTTCTCCCTCGCTGTCATGAAGCAAGAAGACGTTTCCATGATCATCCACGGCCGGACTGGCCTGCGAGAAGGATCCCTGCCCAAGACCACCGTAAACTACGACAAGACCGTCACATTGAAGGGCCTCAACGGTCTCAAGGGCTTCAACGTGACCGATTTTGACCTCATCACTCCTGCCCTGGATGACGGAACCAACATGAGAGGAAACGTGTTCATCCCTAACCCTAGCGTCATGACTCTCACCATGGTAAGCAGATCCCCCCCCCCCCCCCCCCGGGGGCCGGTCTCCTCTAAAACGTTCCATTCTGAACACTCTCAATGAAACAGGGCAACCTCACACTCAACCTCTCCGTGGACGGTGAACCCATTGGCCAATCCTTCATGAACAATGTCGTCATCCGCCCCGGTGACAACAACGTCGAAATGACGTCCAAAGTCAACCAAGCCAAGGTCCTCGGCCTCATTGCTGGCAGAAACGCCCCATACCGAGACGGCATCCTCCCTATCGAGATCGTCGGAGAGTCGGCCAGGTACAACGGCGAGGATCTCCCTTACTATACTAAGGCCTTAGCCTCCAACCGACTCCATGTGGACTTGAATGTCGGAGCGGTGTTGTTCGAGTAAACACCCCTCCCCTCTTGTTCACTCCGCCCATTTTGCCCATTTTTATACTTTTATATATCCCATAATTGGTGTTCTTATTGTTATTATTTTTCACTTCGTCCATATCAAAGCATCCCAAGCCGGAATGCTGTATAATCTTTCGGGGCCAGAATAATGCATATATCTTGGTCGGTTTATTCGGAGGCTGGCTATCTGTATACATACATAACATACCGGGAAAAGGTCACATATCCACACATGTGCCTACCTACCTTATTCATGGTTCATAAACCACGATGATGTTGCTTTTCTTTTGGGGAGTTGGAACCAGATTTTACATTGGAAATATCTGCCAAATGCTCCCCCCGCCCCACAGGCATCTGACATGCTGTCCGTGGGTGTCCGTGGTACTGTATGCGATAAATGTTTGGATACCCTACTAGGCTTGCATATGCCTGTTGAGAGCACTCTATGCTTACATGAGAGTTGTATATAGTGCGTAATAATGAATAATGGCAGCAGCTGTACACGCGAAATGACTTAAAACGATAGTACTGCACACTTTATTATTTTTTTAATATTTTTTTTTTCTGAAACTACAAATCATGTAGTGCACTGTACCCCGCCGCGACCAGACTCCTTTTCCCAACTGCATCCGCCGCAACATGCCAATAAAACAAACCTCCTAGTGCCATCTCCCTCACAAACTTTGCTTTCTGCACCACTGTCCTTGTCGAATCGTATGAAACAAACCCCATGTTACGATCCACGCAGAATGCTGCACACAAACGGTCATCGTGCTGCTCTACGCTACCTGGCAGTGGTAAGTCACAATAATCGAACACAATTTTGTCTTCGGGCGTCTCATTGCTAATGCAGTGTGTCTGTCCGACCCCCGTCGTTCCCGGGAACGCTCGACCGTATACGGATATGCCGAGGAGAATTTTACTCGACGGAACACCCTGCGCGAGCACGTATGATATGCCAGAGTGACAACTGATTCCTGCCGCCTCGCTATGCGGGGTATGAGGGGAAAATAGCTGGGATTGATGACCACTATGAGGTGTCCAGGGACCTGAAAAATCATAGGTCATGAGATTGATTAGATCGACGTAGCATTGGGCGTGGATGAGGTTGATGTGCCTCAAGGCCCACTCTCCTGCCGGTAGGGCAGTGGTTAGCGTATACTGCGGCCACGGAAGGCCCTCTCGTAGTAAGCGTAGGAGATTGACGTAGTCTTCTCCTTGCTGCGAGTCAGAAGGGTGTTCCCAGTCAACTGCCCGGATCCATGTTAGCCTCAGCATGCTGCTCCGTGGCTGTTGACTGAGGGACGAACGTACTATCAAGCCCGTCAAGGCCAAACCGATCCACCATATTCTTTGCACTCTGTATAAAGTTCTGGAGCGCGATCGGGTCTTTGGCGACGGTGGCGAAATGTTGACTGCCGGTTCCTCCGCCGCCGATCGAAAGGATCACCTTCATCCCTGTGTATTGTTCTTTGAGTTGAGTAAATGCTCTGATACATCCTTGTGTGCCATCCACAGGCATTTGGTCATCCGCCCATTCATCGCTGAGCTGCAAGGTACATATCAATTCACCATTCGAGTTGCGTGGGTATATAGGAATGGAGAATGCTCACTCTGACGGTGCCGTCCGGGTTCACCCTGAAAGCAACAACAGTTAGCATATCATACCCATTACCTGTTTTGAGACGCCCAAAACCATCCCAGACTCAAAAACACATCTCGGCTGGTTCATACCATGCAAAAGCGTAAAACACATGGCTCACGCATCCCAACCTCAGCGACGACGGAGGCTGCTTTTTATAGATCCTCCAGCTGGGGTAGTAGACGGCATTGAAATAAATAGAGATGTCACTTGGGCCCAAAATATTGTCAGACTGGCCAGTGGCCCCGTTGATTCCTAGGGGCCAGGGGCCATAGGTAGGTCCGGTGTATTTGAACATCATGCATCGAAGCTGGCCTTGCCAGGGCACCGGTTGAAAAGGAAGATAAAGCGAAATGCAAAGTCGCTTTGAATGGGCAGAAAGAAAGACCGGGAGACTTCAAAAGGAGATAGTTAGAAAGGCGAAAGATGGAGAACTTGATTTGGAATGGGTAAGAGAGCATAGCAGAGTTGCGTGTACTCTTCGAAGGTACACTGGATGCTACATGTCAGTACATCGAGCTAAGACTTAGAAAGTCGCGAACTTGGTTGAAAGTCCTTTCCTTTCAGCCCCTTCGTCCCCGGCAAGACGACGATCTTGGTCAGCCGCCGATGATCCTACTGACACGCAGGTTCCCTGCACGCAATGCCTATGGAATACGTCGTGGGAATACCTGGCTTAGAGGGGAGACGAAGGAAACAAATCTCAACCTTAAGGATTCATCCCCGAGCAGCTGGGGAAATGAGGAATCAAAGTCCACACTGGGTTGAACCAGAAAGTTCAAAAGTTACTGGAGATCATCAGCAGCTCCACTTTTCGAGCGTGACAATGCATGCAATCAAAGGATTTACTCTGTGCAGGTGAAGACCCAGTGATTTACACACAAGTCCGGGATTTTATTTTGACTACTCCATATATTTGACTGCTCGGAAGACATGAATTGGAGGAAATTCACCAGCTATTTCTCGTGAAGCAGATCGCTGCTTGCTTCGCTGGCTTGATTGAATCACTAGCTATGCAACTTACCTGCGCGTTAACTTAACTAGTTATTTAAGTCTGAAGTACGGAGGACTCTGTACGGAGTAACTTATTAGTTAACTAACTAGTTAGTTACTTCACTACGGAGTAGTTCTAACTTCTTTGACAGGCCTGTAGTTCACTAACTCCCATGTTGTACGACAAGGCACCGTCTCGACCTCCTGTTCGCCCCAATGTCCTGTCTGTAGTATGTAACTACTACATGTACAGAGTAACACCCAGTGTTGCTCAGTCTACTGATGAAAATCATGGTCTTTTAGTGTATTATACTCTGCATTGGGCCTTTTTGGATGTAAAGGCTGTTCGCGACAACCACCTGGTATTATTAAGACAACAGTCAGCTTTCCTGGGAAACAAAGCAACTCATCCCTTAAGCAATAGTCTTGGTGCTAGATACAGCTGTTCCAAGCCCATTTTGCCTTACATCAAGGGATGATTCCTGACAGTCCACTTGCACAAGCCTCCTGCGCCGACAAACAATGATTGTTCTTAACGTTATTACTGCTTGTGAGAGGGAGCCCTGGAGTCGAAATTTCACCGTTGCTTCGCTGGAATGAAGGCCGAGGATTTTAGCATACATCTGACCCCTGGATTGACCGGGATTAGCAACCTTGGCTTGAGTATCAATATGGCTCCACGAGATCTTCGATAACAGAGTACATGATCGAGCTGGTTGCCTTCTATGGTGACTGAACCCCCCTCCGCCGCTGCCAAATATAGAATAGAAAACTATATCAGCTATAAAGGTTGATCCTACGATAATTCATAGCTTCATGAAATATTTAATGGAAGTGAGTTCAATTTCCCATAGAGGACGCATTCCGCTGAGCCTGCTCCTTACCGTGGAGAGTTACAAGTCCTCTGCCGCCGATGGATATGTAACCTAACCATGTGTCCAAGCAGGCTTAACCCACATGCATAGTAAGATTAGATATCATCACAGCAATCGGCTGCTCATTATTGACACATTGGGACGGCCCGGATATGACTTCCCTATAGTGTTAAAAAGGGAGACGATCATCACCATCTGGCCAGTGTCACCGCGACGTATTGTATTGAGATAGGCACTGTGAAGACCTAAAACAATGGGGAATAGTGACAGGAAGGCCCAGAATCGGTCTGGGCCCCAGAGTCTTTCTTCCGCTGTTTACCCTCTCCTCGTAGCATCACACGCGTCGTTGGTGATACCTTTAGCCAGCATGAACCCTGCATAGCTTGGTATGCAGAGATTATCTGACTCATATAGTCGAATAAACAGAGGAACCGGTAACGGGAGCCTTTTCCAAAAACTGGTGTTGCGAGCATCGAAGGCGGCAAAAACGCATCCCCGTTCACAATTAAGCCGTATCGCTAGTTGCAGTAAGACTGCAGGTCTCAGCCAGCCTGCGAATTGGTCCAAATGCCGTGTCCATGAGTCCTGCATATCAATCCAAGACTTTCACTCTGTGTAAGAGCAGATGCGTGCCACAGCATTCGAGTCTCGACCCATCGGCGCGTGATGATTGTTAAAAACGCCGACACTCCATCCATTTAAGCGCTTGCTTATGTAATTTTACCAAATGGCTGAAGCAAGCTCTGCGGCTTTGTTCATCCACTTCCTCCTGGCTTCTCATGTCGATTACAAACAGTGACCTAGGTTGGAACTCTCGCCTGTCTATCACCTGCTCTGCTTCGAGAAGCTGCTTTCACCGTCAAGTGCTTATACGATGGCAGAGGTTCATCGTGTTGCAGACCGGATCGTATCCGCCGACAGTCCTCGCGACCCAAACTTCACCAACTTCGCCTTCAGCCCGTTCCTTCGCAAGACGTTCGGTTTTGGGCTCGCCTCGGATGTTCCCGTCTGCAAGGCTTATCGAGAAGGCCACTGCCCACTCGGGCCTATGTGCCCAGACCGCCATCCAACCCCCTCCCGAATCTCTACGGCTACTTCGCCCGCGATTGCTCCATCGTCTACACACGGCAGCCTTGTATGCAAGCATTACTTGAAGGGGCTATGCAAGAAGGGAATAAAATGCGAATATCTACATGAATATAATTTGCGCCGCATGCCGGAATGCCAGTCTTTTGCGCGAAGCGGGTATTGCGCCAACGGCGACGATTGTCTATATCAGCACGTTTCCGAAGAAGCCAAATTACCACCTTGTGAACATTACGATAAGGGATTCTGTCCGTTAGGGCCTTTATGTGCAAAGAAGCATGTTCGCAGGAAGATATGTCCTTTCTACTTGGCAGGATTTTGTCCTGAGGGAAGAGCTTGCACGACGGGTGCTCATCCAAGATGGCCGGAGAATTTGCCGAAACCCACGGTGAAAGTGGAAAAAACTGCGGAGGAAATCGAGAGAGAGAAGGCTAGAATCAGAGAGGAACAGGAGAAAGAGGAGGAGAGGGAAAGAGAATGGAGGAGAGAACGAGGTCGCGGCGGGCGGTTTATGGGTGGAAGATTTCGCGGGAAGAGGCTATAGCTGTGGTCGTGGGCTCATTTTCACTATTCGCTTGTCAGAAAAAAAAGCTGCATGGACACGGCGTTTGTGGATGATTCTGTTGCGGATTTTCATTAAAAAGTACACGGTTGGAACAAGGATCGGTTTTCTTGACGCTGTATTGGACTTGATGATTTGAAGATACCCAGCGGCGTTGCTTTTCGCATTCATGCTTTAATTGTGTTCTTGTGTACAAAGTACTTCGTATGTTTGTAGATTTTGTAACACCATGACCTCTTTAATGCATCGAAGGCGGTTTGAATTCAATAAGGGGCTCGTTTCGTATTTTACTCGGCTTGGCGTGCATGCCGGACTCCACAATCCGGCGAACCGTTAATACATCCTACTGTCGTATTGGTTAACTTATATCCTCGGGATAACAGTGTTAAAATAAAAACCCGCTCTTCTGGCATCCAACCAAAGATAACATGACCAATTGATCTCCCTCCCTTTCACTGTTGGGACCACCTAGCTACCTTCGCGGCCTCATTGCTCCCAAAACATCACCCATGTCGACACCAAAGCGTCCCTTCGCCCTGCAATTCGCCCATTATATGAACACGGCTCCCGGGATTGAAAATGCGCTCCGCCTACTCCAGGCAGTCTGCCAATTAGTAGTGGCATGGAAGCCTGTAGGGAATAAAGAAGCTTGGAGATGGAAGGGCGTGGGAAATCAATTTGCTCTTGGTACTTTTCACTAGCAAGGAACTACTCTGCATCGATGTTAATTAAACATTCCCATCACCTAGGACGTCGATACTTTCGCTATTTTCAATTTATTACTTATTTTAGAAATGCGTGGGATACGTTGATTGGACAAAATGAGACTATCAACCGTCGTGGGCGGACAGCTGTGGCCATTGAAGTGTGCAGCTTGAGCTCCTACGGATGCTACCTTTGGTTGGAGGCTTTCACTATCGTGAGTGTTATCAGCTTTGAAGGAGCCTTTCCGGATGGGTTTACACATGTAGTGAAGCCATGTTAGAGCCCAACGTGTTTAAACGTGATGGACAGCTGACATATATTACACCGTTGGCAGCCCGACTCATTGGGATTTCACTCTACAAAGTGGAGTAGAATGGCGCTTATCGAAGCCAACAAATTCTGGTTCTATGCCCTCCTGTTCTCAATAATAGGAAATATCTGGCAACTTTTCCAGCTGTACTTAGAAACAAATGAGCGTCAGTCGCGTGGTCCCACGCGACAGCCGACAAACAAGTCCTCGAAATCAAAAAGCAAAAGGTCAAACGGATCAACCGCCAACGGAAGCGCGAAAACGAACCCGCAGAGCCAAGCCCACAAGGCCGGTTATCCATATTCCACACTGGTGCGCAATCTCACTATCCATGGATGTGATTTGCTCATTCCCGGCACCATTGTTGGATGGATTGAAGTGTCACCAGTGCTTGTAAATAGCGCGATGGTTCTGAGCACAGTGCTTGTGGGAAGAGATAGATGGACAAAGACGCAACAGAACATTTGAACGCGTTGGTTATTACTCTGGGATGGAGAATTGGCTGTGCTTTGGATAGAGCAACCAGCAAGGTTTGGTGCGTGTGAACTTGAACAGAACGGAGATATTTTGATCCGAGTTGAGCGCAAACCCCGCCTTGGGGTCTGGGACAGACATTGTGAGGTGCATTGATCTTCATCACTGAATGATCATGCTCCTCAAAGGTATCCAGGTGTCTGGCGCATTTATGTAGCCAATCAGGCGTTGCGAACCAAGAAAATGTCCCGAGCAACGTGTATCTCGCAGGCTGAAAATGAGATTCAATAGGTGGCTGGTTCAACCGTGATACCGAAAGACCACACCCATAGGAATGCTGCCTGAATTTATTCCCAGGACAACCACAGTGGCATAGGCATCAATTGATCCTGCATGCAGTGTTTTGATTACGATCATCCAGTCCTTGAACCTCTTCACCATTGATTTGTTGTCTATCGAAGTTGAAAGAGCCGGCCATGTTACACCTTGTTGCGGCAAATGGACCTAAGGCAGGTAGCTGCCTAAATCCTAAGCAAAACAGATGGAACAGGAAGCAGATAGCTGCCACTGGGCTTTGAATAGGAAAATCGGGAAAATGTTCCCGGGACATAAATACTGAGGCTTCGCCTCTTGATCCTTTGGCTTTTCCAAATATCAATTCAGAAAAGACTGATTGAATGCACTTTCAACATTCTACTATTTCAATCCACTTCCTTCCTGATCCCTTTTGAACGTGACACAAGGTGACATTTCTCCAAAGCCTTGCACGGGCATCATCCACGATGTCAGACCAGCACGAAGGCAACCCGGAGCAGCTCGGAAAATTTCCCATGTCTTTGCAGGAATTTGCGAAAGCTGTTCGGGAACTTATGGTCAAGGTAGACATTTAGTGGCACCCCGATTGGGTAATTAACTAACAAACGTGGCCAGGATTGCAAAATTGATGCCTGCCTTGATAAATTTATATTTCGGACCTATCAACTCCCAGGAAAGAAAAAAGGTTTTCCGTGGATCCCCGTTGAAAATCTCAAAGAAGGCGAGAAGCCAGTTGACGGGTCTTTGCTGGACCAAATTGAAGATGACCTGTTGGCTGAATTAGACTCTTTCATCCCGGAATTTTGCGAAGAGGAGTTTCCAGACTCCGCCACACGTGACCATAAACTGGACATACTTGAAGCGAGGTTGAGAAAGCGATGGAAGGAATGGTTACTGTGGGAGAAGACGGCACCAAGCGGTGAGACCTTTTTGGATGTGTCATATGCAGAGATCTAACTGGCACAGGTGACAAAGAGCTGCACAAAAAGCTATTGGAGGTCAGAGGTACACGGGATCTTAATGTACAGGGTGTATCCGTCAAACAGGACAAGGACGATTCCAGGATTACATCTCCAGGGGTAGGTCAATTACAACTCGACGAGCTAAAATCCGTGGTCAAAGACGATCAATCCGCAGCATTGTTCACTTGCGGTGGCTCAATTGCCATCACCCACTCGCAGGATAGATGCGATGTGTTGCGGCAATCCTCCCCGGTCACTCTGTATTGGTCTTCCAAGGATGGAACCATTTGCAAAACCATTCTACCTGGATCAAATGCAGATTCCAATACTGGTTCATTCCAGACGTTAGTCGAAGACTGTACCCCAGCTACATTTGGGCTCGGTCATCGAGACGTGCTGGATCCTTCTTACCGCCACGCTGGAAAACTGGACACTGGCCGTTTCGGCACCACGTTCCACCCAGCCGACTTCGGTATCCTGGATTCTGTTGAGCAAACATTGCTACCGAACATAAGCTCTTCGCTAGAGAATGCTCTGGAGTTTCGTCGGGTGAGAGCTGAGCTCTACAAGTTGAATGTTTGTCCCCGTATCCGAAAAGATCCAAACTGTGGCTAAAAATAGCAGGTTTACTCTGGCCCTTCAGGATTATTTCGCGCACACGTTGATACCCCACGCTCTCCAAACCAGTTTGGATCCTTAGTGGTCTGTCTTCCATCACCTCACCAAGGTGGAAAACTTGTAGTCCGCCATCAGGGTGCCTCCGTGGAGTTTCCTTGGGATGATGGAAGCCTTTCAAATATCCAGTGGGCGGCATTTTACAGCGATTGCGAACATGAGATAGAACGTGTTACTGAAGGACATCGGGTAACTTTGACATATAACTTGTTCATCACCGAACCGCTTGGTGCAAGCTTATTGCCTAACCCATTAGTTGACCCTCGTACTCTACCTCTGTACGCCCGAATGAAGGGTTTGCTTGCCCAGGCCGATTTTATGGATGAAGGTTAGCGGTCTGTAGGTAAAAACGAGTGAACTTCTTGCTGACTTCGGATTAGGCGGTATTCTCGGCATTTTCTGCTCCCATTCTTATGCTCACACCAGCAAAGAAGCCAACCTCTTACTGCCTCGAAAGCTCAAGGGTGCGGATATGGCGCTTTACGCGACTTTGAAATCCCTCGGACTCTGGGTTCGGATTATGCCCATCCTCCATGTGAGTTACGATAAAATCTGCTCGTCTGAGGTATATTTTCCTCCGGAGGGCACATGGAACTAACAACCGATAACAAGGCCAATATCTATGAGAGGGACTATTCGTCATCTTGTGAGCTTCGCGAATATCGCAAACAAGGCTACGTTAACAGTACACGGAAAGAAACGACACCAAGACCCTTGAAATTGAAGTATTTCCATCTATTTCACAGTGATGATTACGTCCAAGATGTACACAAGAGGTGGCAATTTCTGTACAAGACAAGAATTCCTCATGGTGCCGGCTTGCGGGTTAATATAGTGGGGACTGCATTGCATCCCATGGCCACGAGTGAATGGGATTATGATACGCCATTTCCAGAAGTATGTTTTCTCCAGTTATTCTGCAGGTGTTCCTTTCGTTTTCCAAGAGCTAATTCTAGCAAGGTTCTCGGCTCGTTCTGGCCGAGCATATGCGTTTCCGATATTAACTGGATAAATAAGCCAGGGAGTAGAAAACAAGCTTTAAGCCATATGGTCTATGGAAATGAGGCCTCCACGCAAACGGAGTACTCAAGCGCAGCTATTCTTGCAATTATTCCGCCATGGGATCAACGAAATACCGAAACCCTTGGCAATTGAAGAGGAATTTCAGATTTCTAACCACCTAATTTCGGGCTTCTATATCTTTCAGTCTCTTTGTTTTCAATTTTTTGTTAGGATTTTTGGGCCTCGCAGACAAGCAGGGCAGTGTCAAATTAAAACGGTGCCGAGTCAGGGCTTAAGCCCATGATAGAAATTATTACTCTAGATTGGCATGCATAAATGCAACTCACGACTGCTTTTATCGTATTATCCTTTTTTTTAACGACTGCATATAGTGGCTGATCTTTATATATAGGAAAAGGTCTTGCAGCCTTGGGGAATGGGCTGATTGTCTATACGCTCCTAGAGCAGGACTTTTGGACCACCATCGTGGATTGATGCGTGACAATTGAAGGATCAGGACGGATGGCCAGTTTAGGAATAACTGGCTGGGCTACTGAGATCTATATGGGGGAAACGAGAGGCAACCGAGCCCGGGAGGGAAGAGAAGAAATTACACCTGCTCTTATATATCCATGCCAACATCTTAGGCTTTGGTGTGTGTGAATCAGAGCACTCTATATATAACTAGCAAAATGTCAACCTCTTAAAACGCCAAAAGTGTCAATAGGGAGATGAACATACTGATGTTTCCGTTTCCGCCAGGCTTGACGACGCGTTTCTCTTCCTCTTTTTTTTTTTTTTTTTTTTTTTTTTTTTTTTTTTTTAACAGCATTGCATTCCACAACCTAGATAAAACCCACGAAGCTAACAACTACGCTCTTCTCACAAGAGGACTTGTATTCCGTATGCAACGCGGCTGAGGAGCCGGAATCTGCCTCGTTCAGTCCTTGTATTACCTAATTTTCCAAGTTGTCAACACACTTCGTGCACGACATCAGGTTACAGCCACGTTGAGCCTTGCTATCCCGACGAATAATTAACGGTGCACTGGTAACGGTCAAGTTACGGCCATTGGAAATACGATGGATCGCCATAATGTGCGGGGATAGCAATGATGGTACACTGGCTATGAAGAAGAATAAAAAGGGCCAAAGGTCACCGGTAACAGAGGTGGAAATCGCTTTCCAGATATCCAGTGAAAAGGGTCCGTCCCAGTACATTTTATAGTTTCTCTGAGTATTAATTCTTCTTCATAATGGACAATAAAACCACAATCGGCATTTCAATTAATGAAAAAGAAAGAGCCAAGGCACCGAGACGCTCTCCAAGTATCACATCGTCCATCAGCAGCGCGGAGACTTCCAATACGCAGGCACCATCTACGTTCAATCCGAGCAGATCTCTATTCATAAACTCCCAGGGAGTCCGTCTCATCCGCCTCCCTGTCGCCTCCTACGAGCTAGAGGTTAATATCCTCAACCCAGATGGCTCAGTAGCATATGTCTCCTGACGCGAAAACCGGTCTTCAGGAGATGCAACGCTCTCCTCCCCTCAGTTCGGAGACCTACTTAAAACATGCTACTTCTTCGGGCCTCATCGCGACCCTGTGATTCGTAGCGCGTCCAATGATAACACGCTTGACACAGATACGAACACAGACACTGCCGTCAAGGCCTCTACTCCCGAAATCAAAGTCGTGGGAAAATGGAATTCTCGCACGCAATACTTCACCACGTTCTACGGCGACTCTTTCCAATGGCGGTACATCCAATGTGACGATCCTCACTGGAATTGCAAGAAGCTCCTTGTCCTGGAGAGTCTGGAGAATAATAGTCCCGACAGGATTGGCCGACGTGTTGCCCAATTGGTGAGGAATGAGCATACCAGACCACAGGGTGCTTCAAAATCTGCGGCTGGCAATGGAGGGGAGTTGCTCCTGGATGATCGTGCGATAGGGGTAGAGGTCGACGAAGCACTGGTGGTGGCAACTTGTTTGCTGATGTTGAAGAAAGAAATTGACCGGAGGAGGATGGCAGAGATAGCGGTCTTTGGGATTGCGGCAGCCTGCTGAGTAGCTCGGTTCTTGGTTTGATATCACACAGAATATATGGACATATATTTGGGGGTTCATGTCGGTCATATACATGCAACATTCTTTATTTGATATACCAATTTGCCGTTTATGATACAACAGACAATAAATTCAAAAAATTCCAAGGTCATTTTAGTCCAAGCATCCAAAGAAGACTGTTTCACGCAGCACACAGCAATATACATTTTTGTAGATTGACTGTGTGGTTATTTTGTGCGGCAACTCATTTTACTTAACATTTTTTGATATTCCGGGGAACGCAGCGATTCTTGACCTCACAGCCTGCATCACAGTTATCTGTCTCATCCATTCAGGAATCATATCAACAAATACACCCTGAACTGCATGCGGCCAATAACCTTCCACTGTTTCGCTCCCGTAGCCCACATTCTTCAGAGCAGATCGCGCGAATTGCCTTCCAGTAGGGATAAATAAACTTGTTGGGACCGTGTGGCTACCACTCTGAACCTCAGCAACATTGAGAGCCACAACATCGATTTTCTTCTTCTGCATCCTCATTTCCATTGCTAATGCAGCGGAGAAAGTCTTTACGTATCCCTTAGTGGCGCTGTAGACAGCAACGTAGGGAGTTCCTCTAGCAGCGAATGAACTCATATTAAGAATTAAACTGGGTCCATTTCGATCAAGTAGCGGTAGCAGCACACGAGTAAGCTGGGTCATGAATCGCGTATTGACGCTTATCACGCGATCGATTTGCTCGTGGGTGTAATCCAGATAGCTTTTGTATGGGCCCTGAACGGAGCCAGCTTGACCGCCGACATTATTGATCAGAACAGTCAGATTCACGTCTTGTAGTTCGCGTGCGAGGCTATCAAAGACCTCCGGAGGGTTCAGAAGGGCTGCATCGCAAATGAATGTGCGAATCTGGGCGTCCGGATATTCATCTTTCAGTATGTCCCGCGTTCGTTGGAGCTTATGTTCACACCTGCCGTGCAAGATGACGCCAAAACCTTGCCTGCAGAGCTCGCGGGCAAATCCAAGCCCAATCCCATCCGTAGCTCCAGTTATGAGAGCGTAGGTATCTACATCCTTGCGAAGATATTTGGAGAGGCGGGAGGGACGGATAAAAACGTATATTGTTGCCGAGAGCTTCAAGAGGACGTAAAGGATGGCGAGGGCGCCGATATAACCGAGTGGTCTGCACGGCGACATCACGGAGGTACCAACGGCTAGAAGTTCCAATGATAGACTGGAGGAGGATCGTTTTTGCATCTATGGAGATGATTCCATATCATTAAGTAGCATTATACCCGAATATTGGCTAACAGACAGCGAGAGGCCAAAGAGAAAATGAGTTTGTGCAGGTGCTGCTTTTCTGCTTCAACACCTCGAAAATAACTGGTTTGCTGGAGATCTAACCATGTCTCACCATAGAGTTGGAAGCTTAAGTCAGTTAGCAGTCGCAAGTCGAACAGGGAGTGTTTCACCAATGCAGGAGCTTCTTTGCGAGATGCTTTAGAGCAAGCGAGATAGATATTGCAAAGGTTTGCATGCTTTCAGACAGTGAATGTACGGGCGGGTTATCTTTTCCCTGGAAGCTCTGACTGTCGAGCATGTTGTCTTCTGTGGCTTTGGGGTTCAATATGGTACTTGCGGCCAGATTTGCGTTGGGAGAGCCCAGAGCCCATAAGACTGATTTCGAACTGATAGTTGAAAAAGTGGAAGAAGGAACGAGAAATGGAGATGACCGGCTGTTGCTCGTGGTCAAAAGAGTTGCTATGGTTAGCTGCCGTTGAGCTGTGAAATGCATAGCTTGTACGGAGTATGGAGAGCATCAAGTTCTCCTACCACCTGCAGCGGTGCGCTAGGTAGGTGCATCTTCAGGGCACAGGCAATTGACGTGGGAGGATCATCACACCAAATGCGCGTCGTTTCTGCTCCCCGGGATGGAATCATGAAAAAGCCCGAGCGAAAACCGCGTTGTCGGCGCTTGAGAAACCGGGCTGGGCTGCCCGGTCCCCCCACACGCCCACTTCAAGTGCGATTTTGTCAGCTTCAACTAAGCACAAGCGTCCAACCTTGTGCGACTCGCAAGGCACGCTGTCCGGCGCAGCCGAGACCACAGATGATACCCGAGACCGCATTCCCCATATTGATCCCAACTGCTCTGCAGCCCTGTCGGAGTTGATCACCAATTTGTTCCCCTCGGCGCGTTGCGGCTCTTATATTTGTCAGTGCTTCATAAGCCAAACAGCAACAATTTGCTCTGGAATTGGATTAGTTGACCAACTATTCATCCCAGGTCCAAAAATTTAGTTTTGGGAATCGCATGGAGCAGTGCTTCTTTTGGGCCAGAATCCCGTTATGGTTGCCTTCCAACCGGCAAGCCACTTTGGCCCAGGATCTGTAGCCCTCCTTAAGCTTACTCGCCCAGGCACGTCATTGACTCCTGGAGTGCGTATATATACACGGAGTGTGCATCCATCCCCATCCCAGTTTTCACCATGGTGAGAGGATATTACCAAAGCTCAATTGCATTTTGCTTGCTTGAACGTCTTCCTTAAGAATACCCTTTTTAACCTTGAACGCCAATTCATTGGACTTGCAGCTCTCCACCATGGCTCCCAAAATTGCGATCGTCTTTGTACGTGCTCTGGCCTCTTGCGAAACTTATCACTGGGCAAACATCCGCTTATGGCAGTTCATGGTTCTAGTATTCCATGTATGGACACATATTGAAGCTCGCGGAGGCTGAAAAACGAGGCATTGAGGCTGCCGGGGGCACAGCCGATCTATACCAGTACGCACCCTGCCCGAGGTTGTGTCGATTAGGTCAAATTGGCGCTGCAAACATGCTTTTACAGAATTATTAGTTAAGTAAGCGAGGATCTAACTTGGGAGGTCGCCGCAGGATCGAAGAAACTCTTTCAGATGAAGTTCTCGCTAAAATGCACGCCCCTGCTAAATCAAATCACCCAATCGCCGCGCCAGAAGATCTGTTGAAATATGACGCCATTTTGTTCGGGATACCCACCCGTTATGGGAACTTCCCAGCTCAATGGAAGGCTTTCTGGGACAAAACTGGCTCTATTTGGGCAAAAGGAGGTTTCTGGGGTAAATATGTAGGAACTTTTGTTTCCACTGGCACTCCCGGCGGTGGCCAGGAGTCTACGGTCATCGCGGCTATGAGCACCTTCGTTCATCACGGAATGATCTTTGTCCCGCTTGGCTATAAGACCGCTTTCCCCATTCTTTCGAACCTCTCAGAAGCTCGAGGCGGCAGCCCATGGGGTGCAGGAACTTTCGCTGTAAGCAACTTTCCAATATATATATATAACGATGTTTCTCTTTTTCTATTTATGTTATTGAACTACACTGACCTTTTCGGCTTATCAAGGCTGGGGATGGCTCCCGAAACCCCTCCTCCATGGAGATTGAGCTCGCAGAGATCCAAGGCAAGGCGTTCTACGACGCTGTCGCAAAGGTTAGATTTGCATGACTGCATGGAGCTCCATCTCTATCTGAAAAGGAACACCCCGAAATTACGACTCAGCAAGTTCCAACAAAGAATTGTCATGTTGAGGATGAAGTGGTTGAGGACGGTCCTTGTGGGTTACCAAAGCGCTGTGTTATACTCTAACTGATATCATCTGGTTCTGCGGTCCTGCAGTTTCTGCGAATGGCGTCTAGTATTCGCGGATAATGCTTTAATTTCTTAGTAGAAAATGCTAGGGATACACTACACAATGAGCTTTTGCATCTTAGTGAGGGGGCAGGGATGCTCCAAACTTTTTTCATTTGATAAGGATTGTTTCAGACATCGTTACATGTAGTTGTCGAAGTAGCATCACCACGGAGTACCAAGAGCAAAACAATTGCGTCATAGCTGAATTTCCCCATAGAAAAGCAACATTATCAAACACTTTTAGTCCGAAGCCAAATCACAGCATAGTTATCAAGATGAGTGAAGGAGATCTACTCCTCTTCTACATATCATCAGGAAATCTTCAATGCTTCATAACAAGAAGACTTACCACCTGAACACCAGATGGCCGTTGACATTGCCAATTCTCTCGCCCAGGTTCACATTACTCTGCTTGCTTCCGCCGTCAAGGTCTGCCCGAAGGACAGGCACATGGGCAACGCCCTCGTCAGGGTGAAATATGATATTATGAGCGTGGCTGTGGAAGTTCCTTCCTCCCCACTGGAAATTGCCTGTTGGCCTCATTAGCATACACCATGTGGGGATAGTTTGCTCGTCGAATTCAGAAGTATTTCATAGAAACAAGTGAGGGAGAAATTTTAATGACGGAACAGGGAGAAAACTCGATAGCAAGTGATACCATTGTCATCACCTAGACAATTGTCGAGATCCATCTCGCTATGATTATAGCCTCCACCAGGGACCTCACATTCAGCGGCCAGAATATGTTCGGAGAGAAGTTGAATGTCCTTTGAAGACTTTTGGAAGTCGCGGAATGGCATAGTGAAGTTTTGACAAGTAAACTAACTGTTTAGATCTTGGTCATTCGGTTGCAAACTATATAGGACGAGGAAATACCACCTCGAGGGCCGGGGGGCAGTTGCTAATTTATTCTCCCCTGGGACGGCCGGAGCGGAGGCACTTTACGCTATTCCTTGAGAAATCTCTCTTCAAACCGGATTTAAGTCAGCGATTTAGAGCTTGTAGGTCCGATTAAGGCCGCTGGAAGTGTTTTATCAACATAACTGGCGGCGCACCAGAGAGGAATCACGACCAGAAAGGGAGGTAAGGGGGCTACCAATCGGTCCATACAAACAACCAACAGGGGAGTGTCAGCATGATGTACAGGGTACAACGTGCCCTCGGAGCCAGGAGGGCCTTCGGGCTTGCCACGTTGCTTCCCCGATCCTCCGTCGACCCTTTACCCATCCTTCGTAGGGCGGATGAAGCGTAGTGGCAAGCCGTTGGGCGGCTTACTCTGGGTCTTTCAATGGAACTGGCTGCCATGCAGCTCTGACTAGATAATGGCCTTCTGAAAGGATTTGGAGAGAGATAGCACGGGCCTTCTAGACGGACAATAACTAGGTAATGGGCTTCTTCTACTCCGTACATAGTCAAGAATTCCCAGTGGAAGTACCATGGTGCGTCGTGGCTGCAAGCCTCGGGTGAGGCTGGGGTGCAGTGCAAATAAAGGAGCAGTTCGATTACAAGGAATTTTTTTGGACGGGGAAATTTAAGCTACCTGTCACGCCAACTTCTGCAAGTAACCCCCCAAAATCCAATGATACTGTAACCTCCATCCCTATGGGCTATTCTACAGATGATGAGGTCGCCCGTTTGGCGGGGTCCCGGCGATCGGCAAAACATTGATCCCGCGCCCACTGGCGGGCCAACTTGGCGCTGTGGGTGAGTAAGCACGCCGGCGGCCGTTCAGAGCTTGGCGGCTGAACCCGCGGAGCGATGACCTCAGCCAGGCAACACATCGCCGTTGACGTCCTCAAATGCCCTCATCTTTCGTTGAATCTTCACGACAGTTCTTATATACTCTTTCCCCCCTGCAAGAATCACATTTCTGGATTAGCTGCAGAAATATTTCTGCTCCCATATTTTAACGTTTTTAACCAACATGCGAGCTTGGTGAAGATAACACTCCTGCTAGATCCGCTCTACCCAACGCTCTGTATTCCGTCACCCGAGCTATGGCGCCTCCAAAACCCCTCATCCTCCGGTTCGAGAGCCGAAATGGGCAGTTTCGCTTAACCGTTGAACCTGCTGAACTCTTTCCGGCTCTATTACCAAAGGTAGTATTGGCATATATCTGAATGGGATTTATCTCGGGAGCTTAGTGTGGCATTCTCGTTTAGTGTGACACCTAGGCTTACATATATCGCTATGACATCTAGATCCTCTCGAATTTACCTCAGAATGTTGATCCTACATCCATAGCCCTATCAAATCAACCCATAGGCACTGGGGGCCAGGAGAGAAAGCTTAGCCTGCTCGATGGTGTTTCTATACAACAAGTTGGCCTAAAGTATGCAATTGCACCTCCTTGTGCTACCCGGAACTCTAGAGAAGATTAACAGAGCGTAATATTAAGGCACGGGGACAAGTTATTCATCGGATATAGTGAACAGTCGACTCTTGTAAATGGCAAATCCTCCAACACGTCGGCTGGAAACATGCAGCACATTTCACGTCGACTAAATGGAGCACCAGTGCCGGAACAGGACCTGCCAGCACCCCCTCAGCCCTCGTCTCCAACCGCGCTCATTAAGAATCCATGGGAAGTTGTTCAGCAATCCGCTCTGGACGATAGACTAGATAAGAAAGATGGCAAAATACCACGAGGACGGGATTTGAAGATGTGCCGCCACGGCCCAAAGGGAATGTGCGATTATTGCATGCCACTGGAGCCATATGCCCCCGAATATCTGGCAGACAAGAAGATTAAACACCTCTCCTTCCATTCTTATTTACGAAAAGTCAACTCGTCAAAAAATAAACCAGAGCTAGGGAGCTCCTTTATGCCCCCATTGACAGAACCTTACTATAGGGTGCGGAAAGATTGCCCATCCGGGCATCCAGCGTGGCCTGAAGGAATATGCACGAAATGTCAACCCAGCGCCATCACACTACAGCCGCAGGAATTTCGAATGGTGGATCACGTCGAGTTTGCCTCGCCGGATCTCATTAATTCTTTACTTGACTTTTGGCGAAAATCGGGTTCACAGAGACTCGGGTTTTTGTATGGTACATATGAAGAATATTCCGAGGTGCCTCTTGGCGTAAAGGCTGTTGTCCAGGCTATTTATGAACCGCCTCAAGTTGATGAGGTTGATGGGATAACACTTCGTGAATGGGAGAATGAGAGGGATGTCGATGAAGTGGCAAAGTTATGCGGGCTTGAAAAGGTGGGCGTTATTTTCACTGATCTTCTGGACTCAGGGCTTGGGGATGGTACTGTTATCTGTCGACGACATATTGATTCCTACTACCTCTCTTCGCTCGAAGTTGCTTTTGCGGCTCGACTCCAAGCGCGATACCCCAAACCAAGTAAGTGGAGCGAAACTGGCAGGTTTGGCTCCAATTTTGTTACATGCATTTTGAGTGGAGATGAGAATGGTGCGATTTCCATTAGTGCGTATCAAGCGTCCAATTCGGCCGTGGAAATGGTGAGAGCAGATATCGTCGAACCTTCTGCAGACCCTTCGGTGATGCTTGTGCAGCGTGAGAATGAGTTGGAAAATGCGGACACCGGGAACGCGCGATATATCCCCGAAGTTTTCTATAGGAAAGTCAACGAATATGGTGCGAATGTTCAAGAGAACGCTAAACCGGCCTTCCCCGTTGAATATCTTTTTGTGACCTTAACCCATGGCTTCCCAACAGAGCCTTCAGCTTTGTTTGCCGATACTACATTTCCGATTGAGAATAGAGAGGTTATTGGGGAGAGTCAGGATATTCGAAACGTTGCAAAGAAGCTCCTTTCACGCTCGGATCCCGACGAAGCGATACGGGCTGTATCCAATTTCCACCTACTGTGTTTCATGCATGGTCTCGGTATCTTGAGTAAGGTAAGTTGATTTTTACTTCAATTCGAGTAATAGATTTAGTGGCTAATGATTTCTCTCCAGGAAGAGGAAGCCCTCCTTTGCACTGTCGCTCGAACACACGATCCAGCCGATGGCGTCCAGTTGATTAATACACCAGGCTGGGCTACACTGGTGACCATACTTCAGGAGAGCGGTGAGCCGCCCCCAAAACGCTCTTGGCCATTCCAAACCGAGAGCTCTAGTTCCAACAAAAACCACACTCGCCATGTGCCTTTATATCCAAAGACTTTGACTTCCGATAGTGATCAGCTTGCTAAGAGGTTTAAGGGGGCTAGCCTAGAATAAAATCTCCCGTCGTTTCCACGTGCGTACGAACCTAGCTTTCCATTCGGCCGCCTCGATTTATTTTCAAATTACCTCCCATCTACCATCCCCGTATCTACCATCGATTCTCACCCTATGGTCTCGTATTGGTGCGGATATGAGCGTACCTAGCATGAACAGAATGGGACGGATACTTAAGCATATACCTTGCAAGACAACGCTTTTCCTCAGAAAGGTAATTCGGCAGTTTGACCTTATTTAGTAGCTTTCTTGATATGGAAATCGTCATTAAGGGCCGGACATCGGGGCTATGTGTAATCCTTAGTCATGTTGGATCTGAAATTTAATTGAGTCGGGTTGGCGCCATCAGCTATAAGGTAAAAGGTTAAAAAGGGAAGAAGGGAAATGGGAATAAAAGCGCCATGCAACTATTTTTCAACTGCAACGCATGCAAAGATGCTGACCGCGAGAAGTATGGGATTTCAAGGGCAACTACAGGCCTGCTAGGGCTAATTTCCATAATTCAATGGCAATATGGATGGACTGGTTGTACACACATACATATACGCGATCTCCTGAGAACCTATCAATATTCCGAAGAAGATATTAAGGTGATTAACATAACTTCCTATAAACAGAAACTCGGGGCTCTTCTAAGCCCAAGCCATCATCAACCTCCGGTTTAACCAGAAACAGCAACGCAGTAGTAGTAATCCAACCAGAACTGGGTATCACATTTGGACCCATTGGCGCCAAGCGCGGTATTCCACTCCGCTAGCTGCGCGACGGTAATTCCGTTCCGCTCCGCCAGAGCGGCACAGTAGTCTCCACTAGTGGCACGATCCCACTTGACACAATTCTCCGCTATGCCAGGTTGTGTCCACTCTGCTGGCGGCTTGGTCGGACGGGGAGTAGGTACATTCGTGGTAGTAGTAGTCATCGGGGGGGTTGTGCCTTCAACGCCCACGCAGTATGCGTAACCCAGCCAGAAATTTTGACTACAGTCAGAGCTGACGGAAGGGTTCCAAGCCAGGAACTCTTCGCGTTTCAAGCCGTACTTCTGTGTTACAGTATCGCAGGTATCTCCTTGTTCGACGGTATGCCACTTGTTGCAGGTTGAAGGTTGGCCTGTCATTGTTGGAGAGGTCGGGGAAGGGCCGGTGGTTGTTGCGGCTGTTGTGGTTGTGTCGGGTGGCATTGTGGGTGTTGGGTTTTCACTCTCAACGTCATCCTTTTGCAAGTAGTAGCTACCACAGTATCGAAAGCCCTCTTTGAATGCACATTCCGGCTGACTGACATTGCCTAACCCGGCATTCCAAACTGCAAAGGATTCGGGGTCCACACCGTATACTTCAATAGCAACCTCACAGTTGCTGTGCCAATCAGTGTCTGTCAGGTTGAACTGGTAGTCCGCCCCATCGAAGTAGTGGACACAGCCATCACGCGTCCCTTTCGCCAACGGCAAGCTGGGGTTTAATCTTTCATATGGCGCCGCAGTGGCATTAGGCCGAGCTGGGAATGGGGTCTCGATGGCTGTTGGAATGGCTCCAGTTGGTGTAGTTATATATCCAGGCTTTCCTGAGTAGGTGTTGACTAAACCGAGGTCAGTATAGATCCTTCGTAAAAAAATTTGGGATAATTTGGACACCTACTATCTCCAACTGCTTGAACGCAATAGCTTTCGTCGGCATATAAATTGGTGCAATTGCTATTTATTGCTGGGTTCAAGAATATGAAGTCTTCCATTGAAATAGCGAACTTGAGCACGAGAAGGTTGCAATAGTCGCCCTTTTTCACTTTGTACCACCTGCCGCAGTAAGTGTTTGATCCCGAAGCAGCATCAGTGGGGACTGGTGCCGGAGTAGTGACCGTCGCGCCTGGAAGGTCTGTCACAGAAGGAGGCACCCATTCAGTGCCCGGTGCAGAGATACATAGTTGAGTACCATTCAACCTATCCATGTTATAGCAACCCGCATTGATGATCTAGAGCTGCATGGTTAGCTACGGATTGCCTTGTTAGTATGATCTCGATACGGTTCCAACTTACGGGGTTCCACGCCTTGAGCTGGGGAATAGTGATATTTGCGCTTTTAGCGATACCACCACAAGTGTCTTTGGGTTTTACAGTGTAAGTTTTGCAGGTGTTAACAATACACAAATCGCCAGACGTGGGAAAGTCATCACAGTATGACGCCAGATTGTTGTCCGATAGAAGCCAGGCAGTTCCCACTCCCTGTGAGCGTGAGATACTGTAACAGTCATCCCCTGGCTGGATCGAGTACTTTTTCCCCATACACGGCGCAGGAGTAACCACCGGCTCCTCACTGGGATATGTCAATATGAATTTCGAGTCAAGGGGTTATATCTGAAAGAGAGTTGTCATGCACTCACGTATAAAACCCAATAGTGGTCGTGGTCAGCGGCTGCCCAGTCACACCGCATTTACTGGTCATTGATTCATAGGCGGACATGCTAGCAAGCGCAGGTCCATCAAAGTACGGCGAACCAGCCTGCAGCCGAAGGCTTTTTATAAAGCACATATCACAAGGATCTGGAGGAACAGTACCCGAAGGAACCGCGTCAAGATAATTAAATCTGGAGTCTGCGCCAGACGCCATGTGAGTTTCAGGGACAGATAGAAGACGGAAGTTAAAAAAAGGTTACTGCATACTTCCTGGGTCAGCGATGGCTGCCGCTGTAGCTGCAACATTATTACAGTATCTCCCGCTATCCTGAAGACAAATGTACTCATAGAGGTACTTGTAAGTCCCTGGAACGATGAGCACCGACGCCTCCAGATCAAATGACGCGGTCAAAGTCTCGTTTCCGCAGGACGACTGAACAGCATTCCAATATGCATCAATGGAATCTTTGCAAGTGCTGGTGCATGCTCTTTCCAAAGTTTTAGGAGGATAGTAGAAGCCTGGGTGGAAATTCCTGACCGTTGGATCACAGGATACGTCAGACAGAAGGGCTTTGGCGCACGTATCTGTCAACGTCGTCGGGACAGACGTATTGTATACCATCGGAATGGCAAACACGGGCTGACCCCAAATTCCGAGAAGGGTAGCAAAGTGAAAAACATGCTTCAGGAGCGGAACCGATGATGCAAAAACGAATGGCCGTGGCATCTTGACCACACTCTGAAAGGAGCGTCAACAGTTGGAGAAAAAGAAGGGAGGCTGCACCGCGGACTCTTTGCGAGCCGCCCAGGGCGCCATAGAAGTTTTATGAGGAGCTTCCGGGTTGAGCAGCATGGCTAGCATTCCAACGTCAATGCGCGGGCAATTTTAGCAATGCTGGTATCTATGCGGAGTTATTCTGTAAAAATAAAGTTTAGAAGCAATCTGAGGTGACATTTCCTCCGCACCCTAACACCGTTCCTGCAAGGGCAAACAGCATCGGTTATTGTAATATTGAGAGAAGTGGGCGCGCTCGTGTTCTAAATCCTTCTAAATATCCTTGTTAGTCTGCACGAGTTGATTACCAGCAGGGATTAGTACTTTCTTCACCAGAAATCCGGGCTGAATCAAAGCTCGACCAAGCCGCTTATGCACAATGCAGGCACAGTTGGATATGCGATCCACCTTTCGGACATAAACGGATTCCACTCAAATGAGCAAGTCTGCCGTCGGTTAAATCTGAGACCTTCACCAACACTTAACTTTGCTAAACTGCTCTGTTGATACGTTGAACTCCCCTGTGACATTGGAAATGAGACGGCAATAGTTCATCCAACACTTCGTGAAATGGCAGGGTCGAAATTACACCGTAGCAATTGCATGATAGTCACAAGGGAGGGATGGCAAGCGAAGGCCTTATCGCAACTCTGATATCCTCGATATATACATACGACGACGACCTTGTTTTAAGCAATAGGAAAGAGCTGTGTCAAGGAAACACGTCCACTCTTTTGTCCCCTTGTGTATCCCTTTTTCCTATTGACCCCGAAGGTAGCCTGAAGGCTGCTGGGTCAGTATGCGCTCCTTACCTTTCCTTATTTTACACACTGGGCTAGCAATCTTAGCATCAGCATTCCCTCATTCACATAATCACGGCCATCGCCATCTCCATCATTCATTAAAACCAAGGGATGAGAGCCCAAATACTTGCCGAAATCCCGCCTCGTATGTTTGACCCTGAATTTATACTTCCTGCCAGACCGTAAGAGGGAGCTCTGTTGATATCATCCCAGGATCTTTGATTATTCTGCTAAGTCTCGTGGAGACGATGCTCTCCCGATCTGTCCTGCTGCGCAGGAAAATGTCAAATTCCTGCTTGCAACTGACTTCAATATCGCTGAAGATTATTCCTGTGCACCTGACCGCCCATGTAGCAACGGTATTTGCCCTTGTGCTCAACTATAAAATGTTTTGAATGCACATTGTGCTGACCCAAACGCAGGAGCTTGCTGCCCTAAGAAGACTTTGTCCTGCAACTATGGCGAAGAGTACTGCGGCACTAACAACATTAGTCCTAATGAAGTGTGCTGGTCAAACTGTGACGCCAAAGCCGAGTGTGGCAAGAATGCCGACCCACCCGGTAAAGAGTGCCCTCTCAATGTGTGCTGTAGTAAATGGGGATTCTGCGGCATGACAAAGGAGTTTTGCGAAAAGGGCACAGATGATGAACCAGGATGCCAATCGAACTGTGACCAGCCGCGTCCGGGGAAAAAGGCTAGCGAGCAGAACATAATCATCGGTTATTATGAAGCCTGGCGTCATGACAGCAACTGTCAGGGCATGGTAAGTGCTCCATACAAACCTATACTAGGCTTTAACTCAAACACATTTGTTCTAGGGCTTGAAAGATATTCCAGTCAATTCGCTCACTCATCTTTTCTTCTCATTTGGGTATATTACCCCTGGCGATTTCAAGATCGCGGGGATGGACGGTCTTCCTGACAAGTTATTTTCCGACTTCACGTCACTTAAAAAGAAAAATCCAGGTCTGAAAACAGTCATTGCTCTTGGTGGCTGGACTTTCAACGATCCAGGTGGGATCCACCCCCAACCCTTTAACTTGCCAACACCACAAGCAAATCATGTGGAAGTATGGCATTGGCGGTTAGAGAAGTCGAAGCAAGTTCGTTAATGTCACTGACAATGAGCACCAGGCCCAACACAAAAGGTTTTCAGTAACATGGTCAGCACAAAAGAGAATCGCGCCAAGTTTATAGATAACCTTTTCTCTTTCATGCGACAATATGCCTTTGACGGCGTTGACTTTGACTGGGTATGTACTTGCCCATGATCTCCGTTCCATATTTGTATCGGGATTAAGTATTAACCTTTCAATAGGAGTATCCGGGTGCTGACGACCGTGGTGGCATCCCAGGAGACGGAAAGAACTTCGTGAAGTTCCTTAAGGAATTGAATGACGTGAACAAGAAGCAGCCCATGCATTATTCTGTGTCATTCACCGCACCAAGCAGTTACTGGTACCTTCGCCATTTCGATCTCAAGGCAGTGGATTATGTGGATTTCGTAAATATGATGACTTACGAGTAAGATTTCACAACCTGCCAGCCATGTTTGTGCGCTAGACACTGACCGGCCCCACAATCATAGTTTGCACGGTGTATGGGACCGTGACAATCCCATCGGCAGTCACATCTATGGCCACTCCAATATTACCGAGATGAGACTGGCCCTTGATCTTCTTTGGCGTAACGACGTCCCTGCACACAAAGTCAACATGGGTCTTGGTTTCTATGGACGCAGCTTCCAGCTCCAAGATCCAGCATGCGACAAGCCTGGCTGTGTCTTCAAGGGAGGAGCCGCGAAGGGAGCCTGCAGCGGGGAGTCAGGTATTCTCACCTACCGGGAGATCATGGCAATGATCAAGACAGACAAGCTTAAGCCTTTCCATGACAAAACTGCCGGTGTCAAGTATATCACATATTCCGGCGACCAATGGGTTTCATATGTAAGGCTCCTCGATTGAGAACTCGCACGGAACTGCAGGATCATACGGTATCCTTGTTAGGCCTTGAAGGCGCTAACTGCTCCCAGGATGATGCGGAGACCTTCAAACAAAAGAAAGAACTCGCTAAGGAACTGGGACTTGGGGGCTACTTGATATGGGCGGTAAGTCGAGTCCCTTACTCGGAAGGGGGAGAGAAGATATCATTACTGATAAAGTAATGGTCAGATCGATCAAGATGACGATGATCTCAGTGCTCTCCAAGCTGTTATTGCACCGAAACGCCTTGGTGACTTCAAGGATAACGCGAAAGACAAGTCATTGTATGACGTGAGTCCTTCTTATGCCCATGAAATCCTTAGACATTCTAATGCGGTTCCCAGGACGCGTACATTCCGGATTGCTATGTGACAGGATGCGACGGTAACTGTAAGGCCGGATTTATCAAGATCACCGAACAGAAGTGCGGAAAGGATGATAAGAAGAGCAAGCTGTGCTGTCCCCTGGCGGGAGCTCCTAATCCTGATGACTGCACCTGGCGAGGAACGGCCCCGCTTTGCAATGGCCATTGCAATGACGACGAGGTTCTGCTCCAATTGAACAAGTGGGGGAGCGGACATCACTGTAACGACGGTCACAAAGCGTATTGCTGCAAGAGCCCTCTTGCCCAGGAGAACAAGTGCTACTGGCAAGGCATAGGTAAGAAATGCAATTCTGGTGACAAAGCCATTGTAAGAAGCCCCTTTTCTCGAAATATTGTCTTCTTCACCCGATAAGCACCCATTTATCACTGCAAGTGAAATAGCGATGTGACCTGACCAGCATTTCAGACCTTCTCTGGGACCTTCCTGTCCGATCTAGTCGACATCGCCCAGAAGATATTTGACATCATAGGAAGGCGTACGCCCATCGGGTTGTTGTTTGGAGACGAGCTCTCAGAGGTTTTAGATGCAATTGAGTTGGATCTAATGAAACTGTACTGCTGTCCTGAAGAAGATGCCAAGAAGTGGAAGAATTGCAAATGGCACGGTGAACCAGGCAGCTGCTTCGACAACCACTGCGATGCGAACTCTGAGGTGCAACTCACTGACAGCTACTACGGAGCTGGCGACACATGTGGTGTGAAGTTGGAGCGTGCTCGCGTTTTCTGTTGCCAACCTGTCAAAGGAGAGCATCTCTTCCTCCCTGTCCCTCTCGAGAACCTGTTCAAGGATCCCCCAACGGGGGACAATATCGACACAGATTTTGATCTTAATTTAGACGACGAAGATGACAACCCCAGTGATACAGCTTTTCAATTCGTCGTTCTCACTTCTCCCGAAGAGCTCCAGGTGTCCATCGACAAGCGTGATGGGTCGCATTGGGAAGTCTTTGGTTGTAAAGACGCCGTGACAGAGGGCGAGCACACGATCCAAATGGTGTGTACAGATTTTTCAGAAACGAGTAACTGTTATAAGATTGGTCTTGGTCACGGTGTTCCTGGAACAATTCTTCAAATGCCTAAAGGCTGCGGCCCTGGCAAGTACGCCGTTGCCAAGTCAATGGAGCCAGCAAAGCGGCAGATGGTTCCCCGTCATCTGGCGCATCTTGGCTCCAGGGGTGTTGTTTACGACTTGACATTCGACTATGATTTCTCGCGGGTTCCCCGCGACCTCGGCAACACGCAAATGCGTGTGGACTTCAGCAATCAAGATAATTATTGGGATGAAGTAGTTGCGGCGACGCCATCCAAGAAGCGAAAGAGATCACTAGAAGACGTCGGGGGCAATCATGTCAGATGGCTCGAAGAAGAATTCCGCGACGACTATCATTTCGGAGGACTTGACAAACGGGAACTCCAGGAGAGATGGTTCGGGTCTACCGTGCTCGAGTGGCTGAAAAAGATGGTTAAACCCGAGATTAAGCGTGACTTTACACATGATGTCGACGAGACTTTCACTGCTGTAATCGTCGACGAAACTTGGGAGTGCGAGAGGAACAATGTCAAATATGACGGCCATATCTCAGCGAAAGCCCTAACGAATATGAGAGTCTCGACATCTTTCGGCTTTACAATGATCGTCACGAGCCTAATCGCACCTCTTGATCTGAGCAAATCTTATCTCACGTTCTACAACGAAGGTGAAATCACAGCGACCCTCACGCTCGATGCCGTGGCAAGCATTTCCTACAGCAAGGAGAAAACAATTCTCACTCTTCCCTTTCCCGGAACGTCGTTTCGTATCCCCGGAATAGCAACCATCGGCCCACAGATTCACATTTCCGGCGGTCTTGATGCCCAGCTGTCTGTAGCAGCGAAATTTGAGACCAAAATAAGCATCGCCAAATGGGAAATCAGGCAGACGCTCCCAGATGGCGGTATGGATGAGTATAAGCCGAAGGAAATTGGGCCAGGTGACCCAGATTTGGACAGAACGGGGGATTTCAGTGGCATCCAAAGGCCAGAATTTTATGCCGGCGTGGCCGTAGAAGGGGATATCACTGCGAAACTTAGTGCAGCAGCCGGTGAGTTTGGACCCTACTTCTCAAGGAGAACACGAGCCTCAATACTTTTCATGAGGTGCTGCTGAGGCTATCATTGTGACGTCGACGGTCCGGCAAGAATGATTATAGGCATCTCACTAACACATAATGAACTTGATTAGAATTCGGTGTCAGATTTGATGATAGATGGAAGGTCGGAGGTGCCACAGTCGGGGTTGTGGGTGAAGGTAGCATCCTGGTCAAAATGGCCGCCGGAATCAGCACCGAGGCCACATGTCCCTTCACCTACGGCATGCAAGTGGGCGCCAAGTTGTACGCACGAGCTGACGCAAGTATCCTCAAATGGCCTGAGACCACATACGACATAGTCGGTTGGGAGAAGGACATTATTAAAGGCGGCACATGTCCTAATCTGGGAGGGCTACCAACGGTGCAAGGCAGTATGCCACTAGGCCTTCCGTGGAGTACCGAGGGCAACATGACCTCGAAGGCACACCTAAAACACTCAGAGAATGCCAGTCACCACAGCCTACAGAAGCGCGCTGCTGTTTATGGCCCTAAATTCCATATTCCTGTTGGAGACCTTTTCTGTCCGAAGGATGAGGCGGGACCAGACTTTCCAGAGAACCGTAATGACTGCCTTCAAATTCCGGGCATATGGGATAACGACAAGTATCTCACGGACGGGGACGACTATTATAGCTTAACGTCGGGAGCCAGAGCAAGCTTGGATACGCGTGGCGAATTGGAAAAGCGTTCCAACACAAAGGAATCTCTGCTTTGCGGCAAACTGTTGATGAAGAGCACTTATCCTACCGGCGGCGAATTACCAGTAAGTAATATGACCACCAGCCAGATCCTGAAGTGTTTCTCGCTGCTGTTTCAGTAAGGTTGAGCTGACGTGATTTCTCTCTCGGGCAGAATGCTCCGATTTACGGTTTCGAGAAGATAGATTGCGATGATTATAGTTTCGGGACGCCACTAACCTCCCGTGTAAAGGGTATTCAGTATGACACGGAGCACATTCTTGAGTTCCAGCTTCCCGGAAAATTCCTGGCGTATCTCAACAAGACGAAAGGTTTGGCGTATGATCATCCCGATCCGAATTGGAAAAACAGTCAGGGAAAGAGGGTAAAGGTCTCGTTTTGCACGTACTTCGAGGCGCTATGGGATATTGACCCGATTAATATCGGCGGAAGCAAGAGCACGCCGGTTGCTCACCTTGGAGGTTGTTATCCGACAAAGACCCGCTACAGCAATGAGCTTGTTGTCTTAGAGCATCGGATCAACATCCCGTCCAAAGGAAAGGTAAGCGTTTTGAGATTCAGAAGAAGGCATTGCCGTGTTGCATCTAGTTTCCAAATGACCCCAATTGTCGTGAGCCATTCGATGACAAGAGCGAAGAAAAATTGAATGTTGTGCTGATAGCCGACCCTCTCCAAGGCTAGGGCTATTGAGAAAAAGCAGCTAGACAAGGGAGAAGGGAGAGAGGACAGCGCGTTGATTCGAGATTTGCAGACTGCTAACCATTTTCTCAAAATTTAGGCTTGGGGTAGGGAATCACAGATCGTTGCGAGAGAAACTCTCAAAGACGGCGTCGAGAAACAACCCGACCAAGCTGTGAAGACCCTGCGCGAGCTCGTCGGTTCGGCTTTATATCACAAAGATCCAACCATCGCCGCCCACCTCAAGCGCCAAAAAGAGCGTGTAGGCAAGATGTTCGGATTAATCGACAAGGAATTGTCCAAACACCCACGCGTAGTCAACAATGTGAAATACACACCTTGGAAGCCACAGGGCCTGGAGAAAGAGTGGGATAAATTCATGAAGAAGCAACACATCTTAGCTTTCACCAAGACGACCAAGCCGGTCATAGACTGGACTCCAAAGCTGAAGGACTTGTGGGCAAGCAAAGCAGCGAGAGACGCGGCGGAGCCCGATCCAAACGATAATCAGATGCAACAAGACGAGAAAAAGAAGAAAAGAGCATTGATTAAAAAAATCGACGCTCTTGATAAGGCGCGATCAGCATTCAAGCAATGGAATAGGCCATTTTAATTGGGAGTGGCTGATGGACGAACACGAGGGTGTTGCTGTGTGTGGGTAACATGTGGGTGCAGCATGGTAGGATAGAACAGAAATTATCAGACTTTAAATGCCACTCAAAATAAAGCATATGATGATAATAGACTGTAAGGTACAGAGTACAATGATTGATGTTCTGATGATGCCTCATTTGTAAAGGCGTGAAGATGGAAGAAAAAATGGGGGTCGAAAGCTTTATTGCGTATGCACAAGAGTTTGTTTGCACCGTTTGCACCGCTTGGCCCGCGTCCATTGTTTGTCGTGTTTGCACTGCTAGCCCACCCTCAGGCTTTTGTTGCGCTTCATTTGGAAGTCGAATGATCACGAATTAGGATATAATTGACCTTGCTCTCGGACGAGCAGCAGAAGCCCGAGTAGCGAGGCTGGGAACAACGCTCTTTTGCAGACGCAGAGCCTCGTAGGGCGTGGAGAACGCAAGTTTTGGCCTACCATGTCTGTAAATACATACATTCGTGCACACCACCATAAGCTTCAAAATCAAAAGACCTCCTATACACATTCGGCTCGTTTCCATTTCCAGTATGAACTCAGAAAAAAAAAAGAAGAAGAAGAAGAAGAGAGAGAGACAAAAAGAAAAGAGATCAAGAATGGGTAAGATCGCGCCACGGATCCGACCAATCCAGATATTGCCAGTCCAGCCACTTCTCCTGGAATGGCTCCCCGGCCCTGTGGCTCCCGAGATCGTGGAAACGCTGCAGTAGTTTCTTACTTGGACGCCAATCGCCGACCCGCCATTCAAGAAGCGGGCCACTTTTGTTATCCTTAGGAAAATGATACCTTAAACCCCATAGGTACCGCTTGTCGATTTCATCATCGGAATATTCCTGCTCGGTGTCCCCGCCGGGGAAGAAGGTTAACATTGTAAATAGCTCGGCCGTTTCTAACAACGGCATTTTCTCCATTGCCTTTGCAAACGCCTCTAGCAGTGGCTCGATGACCTCATCGTTAGGCACGATCCGGAACATATTGGGACAACGGTTCTCAAAGCGGCCACCTTCCCAGGCCCAAACATCATCCCATCGCTCATCATCTGCGTTTTCTTCGACCGGAGGATAGTGTTCCTGCGTAACCTTAAATCCGGTGGTGTTCCGACCCTCTCCGCGCGAACCTTGGAAATACCACACCCCAGAAGGTGACACAGGCCGGAACTCGACACGGAGGTGTCTCAAATAGGGCCAAGACGGGGACTCCGATTTTGCATCATCAGGAGACGGCCAGAAAATGGTGCTGTCAGCGCACGCGCGTATCTTCAACTCGACCACGCGCTGTGAGAACACGCGAAGAGCTGTGCTGACTGGGTCATAGGTAAAAGGGTCAACCAAGTCAGGCAGCGCACGAGCTTGATCGACCATAAGTTCTGAACGGGGGCCATGGCCAAAGAGAAGTTTAGCTTTTTCAATTTTATGAGGCAATGTGGGTGCACTCAGCATCGTGTTGCCAAAGGCATGCCTGGTATCACGCCAAGGCCCTTCCCATGGCCGCGTAAAGTGTGAAACCACCTCGTCCTCGTAAGCCTCTGGAAAACGCTCGGAGAGATACAAGCAGTTTAAAACCTTCAGATTAGGAAGCTTGGAAATAAGAGCAGAAACGAGGCCAAGATCCAGGGGTCGCATGCTTTCCTCGCTGTACCCAGAGCCGACCAATTCCGATGACTTATTTATAGTGAGCTCTTGGACACACGAGAGAGTAGGTAGATCCTCCGGGTTAAGCAGACTGAGGCGCCAGCCACGGTATCGGTGGTGGTAACAATGCTTATGGTTGTTGTCACGTTGGTAAGGATTTTCGATATGCAAACGGATGCCCGCTGGCCGATTATGTGGGCCTTCTCGCTCTTCTAAAGCCTTCAGGGCCTTGAATAATCCCATAATCTGACGTGTAAGACGCTCGTTATTGGCTTGGATCTCATCGGTGGTCTCACGACACTTGATCGGCATTTTTTCGGTGTCCACTAGATATGGAAATTCCACACGGACGCTGATGTAGCGAAGGTATCGGGAGCGGTAGCCACGATACATTTCGAGGAACTTTTTCATCATGCTGCGAGTAGTGCAGCAGTAGCCGCTCCAATTGTACTTCTCAACCGAGCATTGAAAACGGCGGGAGACGGTGAGTAACTGATCGCGCGTCTCATGGTCGGCAAAGAATACAATGAGATCGATTATTTCGAGCGGAAATGTGTCCATGGTGGGAGAAGGAATTGAAACAGTAAGGAGCTGGAAATGGAAAATTTGGGGAAAAACACAGAGGCTGGCATAGACGGGAAAATACAAAAAATGCTACCTCAACACTAGGGTGTTGATGCCAAGTAACCAACTACAAGAGTCCATTGTAGTTGGGACTGCAGCTCGTTTTTTTAGCAGCTTCGATGATTCAGCAAAGGTGCTGCCTTCAAGTGTCCTTGCATACTAGGTCTAGTCCAGTTAGAGCTGGAATCCGGGTGCTTCCACTCACCCCTGTCAATGAAAGCGGGAAGGGAACGTATCAGGATGTAAGTAACCCTTGCGAGGTTGAGAAGCTGCTCGGAGACTCGGGGCTATAAATTTCCAAACCACCCGAAAACAAACAGGTCACGTGATCACTCACAACCCCCAGCTGATCAACTCACTACGAGAGAGAATAGAAGCACCTCCCGAAAAGAGGTGACGATCTGAAGTAAAGATGACGCCTAGGCGGAGAGGAGAGGGCACGTCCCATATCAAAGGATTTGACAGTTTGCAAGAGACTACTCGTCCCTCTCCCAATGTGCCTATCAACGCCGTACATCGCTTCCTGCCGAAGAATGTGGTCCTATCTCAGCTCCGGTCCTCCGTATTAGTCGCATACACCTTGAAAGGGAAAAGAGAAGATGTTTTCAAAGAAAAAAAGAAAGAGAAATATCAACGAGTGACGGGTGCTTCGAGGCTTTCCTTATGTACACGAAGAGATGAAACTTCAACTTGGACTTCCCTCAAGATCCCCACCTGTGATTCGCTTGCGCTGTTGATCGATCCTGTAGTTTTCTTCTTCGAGAGGATCGCAGCATTATAGTTATCCTCGTGAAGGTATGGCTCCGTCTTATTCCTCAACGGCTGCCAATTCCCTTGGCTGCTTGTTGGAGTCATCTCGATGTTGGGGTCAAGAGTCTTCTTCGACCGTGATGATCCAACGTAGCGGGAATCGCGGATGATCCTATCACCCACCTCTCTCGACACGGTGAATTGCTTCGCTACACGCATCAAAACTGGTATGGAGGCTGAGAAAAGTGCAATACTTGCCCAAAGCTCTTCCGTGATGATTGTTGACACGATCCCAATATTAGAACGTCCCTTTTTCAGGAAACGGTCATAACAGGCTACGTGAACCCATGCCGGGATCAGCACTCTTTACTTAAAGTCAGAATTGATCGAATCCTCTTTGAAATAACCTATGTACTTACACCAATCTGCTGGAAAACGCGGCTACCACGAAAATTTTCGTCTTGCGGCTAACTTGCAGGCAGGTTACTTGGGTCATCACTCGAATAATAGGCGCGCATTCCAGTACTGTCTCGAAGGTGGTGAAAATGATCCAACGAACTATCTATACACATAGTCAGCAATGAACGAAAAGAGGTGCGACGAAAACGAGATTAAACCGTACTGTACTGGAACACCCAGAATTCTTCCCAACGTAGGGTATGCGGTCCAGTGAGCACCCGGCCGATATCGTCAGAGGTCCTACAAAACCCTGGGCCAGAGTAACCCCTAGGAGGACATAAAGTGAAATGCGCGAAGGCTCCACCGATTTGGTGAAAATGTTATAGACTAGCAATATGTTTGAGATTTGAACGGTGCAGAGAACCAAGGCCAGCAAGATTCGACTGCCGAACACGAACTGTGAACAAAACCACTGTCAGCGGAAGCAACCTGCACAACTGAAGCAATAACGGACTTTTGACGCTCTCGCAATATCAGCCTCGCTTGTCACCTTTTCAGACTTGCCAAGGGAAGCGAGAATTGCCATCAAGAGAACAATCCAATAGGTGACATAGAAGGTCTGTTCGAAGAATGGCCAGAGACGAAAACTCTTTCATCAGCAACTGCGCAAGGAGCGGGAGAGCACACAGATTGAGACTTACATGGCTGACAAGAAGGATAGCGTCTTCGATGCCATAATGCCTTCTTTTTATTCGGGTTCTGATAAGGGCCGTCAGGGTTACGAATGCCAGCGAGAACATATGCGTGACCCATAGCCATGGCTGATGGTTGTCCGCTGACAGGCTGGAGAGGCGGTCACGGCCCTCGACAACCGCCATTCCCTCTGGGTGTTGAATGTTGGTGGACTCGGGGTTCGGGGTTAGTATAACACAAAGAACTGAGCATCATATTGCATCTTCCCGTGGAATTTAAGGAAATCAAAATTTCGATCAATTGGCATTCTGGGATAAAAATACGTTAACGTCCCAGGTTGTGACGCGGTTAATCACATCTAGTATCGCAACATTTTATTAATGTCTGCTGTTGAGCGGGATGAGAACTAGGGTATGAAATCCAACAGGAATGCGCATTGAGCTGTTAGGCTTAGACCTTGTTATAAGGATAGGCAATTCCTCCAATCGCGCATTTTTATGCCTCACGCCCTGGTTATTGAGAAGATTATCCATATTTGGAAGATAAAACAAAACAAAATATCTTGCCGAGTGCTGTTGCTCTCCTGGCTCACCTGAAAATTGGTCGATTCGGGTGCCCAGACCCCCGAAAAAGCTGTCTGACACCCCGGCAAATTGGCTCCGGGGAAAATTTGGAATTGGCCCGAACATGCATATTCGCTAAGTCGCGGAAGGATTTGTCCGGGCCGTACGGAGGAGGCCGTATGTGAACCGGGACCGATGTGCGCATTACCCAATTAACGGTGAACATGCGTTTCAGGTCCATGCTCAAAGGCGCACGCGGTTGACGGGAAGAACGGCTAACAATCTTGGCACTGGGCTTCCCCCAGTCAGCTATTCGGGTTTCACGCTCCACAATCAACAGGCGAAACGTGAGAGTGAATGTCCGAAGTTCGAGCTTGCAAGTTCGCGTGGAGTGAGTTCAACGGAGAATGGTAGCCGAGAGCCCAAACCTCCCATGAGGTCGGGACAGTTGTGGTTGCTGAGGCCGTTGCTTTGATAGGGTACATATGCGCCCCTCCAAGGGTATCGACGGCAACTGAGAACCCTACAGGGAACCAGGTGTGGGAATGGTCAATTCCCTCATCTCCCTTTCCTCCGTTTCCCACTTGTAGTTCCTCTTTCTTTTCTACGAATCCATTTCGAAAAGTTTCCTTTGAAGATATTGCGCGAACTTCTCGTTAGCAAGATGGTTCTCTTCAATGGCAGGGGTAAGTCATGTACGACACCCGTTGCGGGTACCGCAAAGGATGCGGAGGACATGAGGCGAATGAATAAATTGCAAGAATTGAATGTGAGAAACCTTCCTGATATCACCTCTAGAGTGACCTTTCCCTCCATCCCCCCTTTTTTACTAATGTGTATGTAGCGTGTTTATACCACGATAACGCTTGCCGGGTATTCAGTGATTTTAGGTCTAACATGGCCATTCTCCTTATTGTCAGTGCCCAGCTGGTCTTCCAGAGCAAAAGAGAAAGATACAATTTGGGCCGATCAGTTTGTCTTACTAATTGTACCCAACAGTACTGCTGCTCTTTCCCTGACGAACGGCGGCCCCGCCGGCGCGGTTTGGGTCTATGTAGGAGTGTGTGTCGGTATGTTCACTGTGGTCCTATCAATGGCGGAGATGGCATCTCTGTAAGTTGGCCATAGATGTTGGGTGTTGTTCGATGTCCTGATCGATGAAGTGAACCTGCTGCCGGTGGGCAGTACCATTGGGTAGCCGTGTTTGCTCCGGCAAAGTGGCGAAAACTTGCCAGCTACATTGTCGGTTGGTATCCCGATGTAATCTGTACGAGCACTTACAGATTGGATTGACACTATCTTTGTTTCAATTTAGGATGGATGTGTGCTTTGGGGTGGCAAGCTGCTGTCCCAGCGCCTGCCAATGTTGGTGGAGCCACCATACAAGCTTTTGCCGTGGTAGCTTCACCTGCATACAACCCGAAGCCATGGCACGTTGTCACTCTTACCATTGCGATATGTACATTGGCTGTCGTTTTCAACACCTTTTGCGCAAGAAAAATGCCAGGCATTGAAGGCGTCGTTTTTGCACTGTATATTTTGGAGTTCTTCGCGATCTTCATTATTCTCCTTGTTATGGGAGATCGGTCTAGCGCCAGGGAAGTCTTCACAGTCTTCCAAGATAATGCCGGATGGGGAAGCGTTGGCACCGCATGCTTCGTGGGCGCGAGTGGACCTGTCATTACCATGATCGGAGCCGATTCCGCGGTCCACCTGGCGGAAGAATTGAAGGATGCGTCGAGACACCTCCCCAGAGCTATGATGATCACCGCCAGCGTCAATTATCTTGTCGGCTTTATGATTTTGCTAGCCGCTATGTTTGTTGTGGGCAACGTTAAAGAAGTTTTAGAAACGCCTACTGGAGCTCCCTGGGTCCAAATCCTTCTAAATGCCACGCAAGACCGCAAGCCAGTGCTGGTTTTGATGGCTTTCATCATTTTCTTCTTGTTGTTCTGCGCCATCAACGCGAACACAACTTCATCTCGCCAGCTTTACGCTTTTGCTCGTGATGGCGGGTTGCCTTACTCGGAGTGGATAAGCCGCGTACGTTGATCTATTCCTTAGTCTGCCCACAGACGGACAGTTATTGACAGTTCTCATATAGGTTTCTCCGCACAAACATGTCCCTGCTAACGCTGTCTTCCTAACCTGGTTCATCGGCTGTTGCATCGCTTTGATCCCACTCGGTTCCACTGAGGCATTCTTAAACATCCAAACTATCGCAATCTCTGCACTGCTGGCCTCATACATCGTTGCCATCATTTGCCGTATACATAACCGTAACTACGGTAGCATTTACGGCAATCTCTCTAAGCCACCACCATTCTTTCTCGGCAAGATTGGCGGAAATGTTATCAACATTTTGGCGCTTATGTTCCTCGTTTGCTTCTTGGTTGCTGCGGTCTTCCCGATAGAACCACATCCAACTGTCCAGTCGATGAACTGGAGTTCGTTGGCTTTGGGCTCTACACTTATTATTGCCCTAGTTGGTTGGGTTGTTCGAGGCCAGAAGTACCTGGGGCCCGACGTTGTCGTACCCGTCGATGACTCGAATATAGTGGTGGCGGAACCTAAATACAATAAGGAACTTGCTGCGTAGCATACGAATAGCATTATCGCGCGGCGATTGGCTTTGTATATAGATCCTTATTCTGAGTACTAAATGTCCGTCTGTATATTTGTATACATACACTAGCGAAGAGTTTCTTTTGGGAAGGGTTGGATAATAGTAGACAATAATACGTACCCGGAAGTATGACAATGGCTAGCTCGGATCTTTGGTCCAACACTTACAGTTGTGCTTGAAATCAGCTTCCATGCCTCATGAGACGGAACGGTCGGAGCAAACACCACAAACAAACAAGAAACACGTGATCCATATGTACTGATCACCTGACCAGGTGCGACTTCATAAAAGCGCAAGGCTCATGTGAGTCGAGAAAGCAACAGCATGGATGAAAGTATATCTCTCCGCAAGCGTATTGTGTTACTACAGGAAGTAGAACAGACTATGATGAAATCCTGTTTCAGTCAACACTAAGACAATCAAACAACTAGGGATTCTTTCTAGGTCTGAAAGGTGAAAACTGAAATTTACAAATTGGATAAAATATTTGAATAACAAGCCACACATAACTATGTGGGGAGTATAACTATATGCTTGCAGGTTGCACCAAGATGAAAGATTGATTCCAAGGACACTTTCAAATGCCTCCTGGAAGTTTTTGCGCCAACGCTCAAGACAACACACAGACTGTCTTGTCACTGCGCCCAAGAAGGACAATGTTTCAAGGAAGGAATGAAATTGTTGTTTGCCATATTTTCTTCGCAGCATAATAGAGTGAAGATCATACCCCAAAGCTTGATAGTTTGGCTCAACTTTTGCCCTCGATAAGTTGCTTCAGTCTCTTTTCCAACGTCTGTTTTCCTTCTACAGTCTCCCAGACCCCGTGAGGTGCATCTTTCACGATATCCCATGCAAGCAGGTTTTGAGTGATTTTCGTCAAGTCCTCCTGTTTATCAGCCCACTTCTCGCTTCTCTTCATTTCTTTCCCTGAGCTGACAACCACCAGCGGGGTAGAAGGTGTTTGAATGTTCCGAGCACTTGATATTTCACTCTTGGTTATCGAATCTGCCACTAAGCTCTCTTGCAGCTTCGCTTTGATGGATTTCCCAGCTTGATAGGCTCGTTTCCCGTACACTCGGTCCTCTCGGTTGCGGCCCTTGAAAATGGCCCCTGCTAGTCGATCTAGCCCAAGAGGAGATAAGATCCCTCGTAGCCACAGCATGAATCCTCTACCGGGCTTGCCTAAGTCAGGGAGGAAATCTTCATGCATGACGTCGACGAGCATTATTCCGTCGATATTGTGCGTGTGCCGACTAGCAAAGATGCGACTGTATATCCCACCGATACCACTAGAAACGAGAACCCACGGCCCATCTTCATCGGCAAGGGCTAAGGCTTCAGATAGAGCATCGGCAGACATCCCAGCAGAATGGGGTGAAGGAGCATTCTCGGACCACGCAATTCCCGGACGATCCCAGTAGCAGTATCGCGGAATCGAGCCATGTTGGTAAGCAGCATCCACCCACGTCAAGAAAGAATACTCAACTGGCTCTTCGCCGGCTTCGAGGAGCACAGTCGGGGTAGTGCGATTCTTGGTGAGCTCGCCCGAAGGAGTATCACCTACACATGCGAGATGGACTTGATACTTGTCATTGTCGACATAGTATTTCTTTCCCGGAGCGGCCAGACTAGCATCTCTCGCACGAAGAATTAACGTCGACATGAGCAAGATCGCGATAAGGACCGTTATGGTCATTATTATGGTTTGAATGAGCACAGCTACCCATTCCCGTAGTGGCCTCCTTGTCTCTTCTCGACCGGTCAAACGCTCTTCTTCCTCTCTTTTTCCCCAAGCCACAGATCGCGTCTGAGCGACCAAATATAAAGATATAAGCGTCGCCCACGCCACAGATGCAATGCCGACCCATCCTTCTTCAACCCGGAGTCGCGGAACTCCGAGGATTATAAACAGGTTTACCGCCAGAAATAATGACATTAAACCTCCCCATATCGTCATTGGCAGTGAGGGGATGGAAAAGAAAATTAAAGCAATAAGCAGATTGCTGAGCGTCAATGTTGTATAGGAGAAATCGAAGAACCCGGAACCGCGACTGTTCATCATCGGAGGACTGACGAAGATCGATACGAGCAACAACACCCACCATAGAAGTGTTATTATGAGGAACAGAACTGTCAAGGACCGAAGGGCACGAACGCCCCATAAGTTATAAGGAGAGACCTAATGTGTCTGTTAACCTGGCCGGTTCCTCGATATGAAGACACTGCCCGCCCATGCATGTACTCACTGCTGGATCATCCGGACTCAGATATGCACCTCGTTGCGGCAGCAGACGGGTCTGTTCATCAGGCTCTCTCTCTTCATCCCGATGATCTCGAGGCCTTTCACTTCGCTGACCGTCTTCTGGCCCTTCTTCCCTATTTGGGCTATTGTCGCTTTTCGAACCCCAAAGAGGGGACATGATGAAGCACTACAGCATCAATCTAGAGACAGAGTGCTCAAAATTTTCGATTAACTTGGCAATTCCAATAAAATTGATGAAATCCAACACGAACGGCACCCTTACCAAGCAAACTGGCATGTTATATGCGCCGCAGTTGCGCCAATTCCTTCATGATCGTGAGCAATAACCCTGTTCTTCGCTTGTGGCAACCAGATCCCCCTGACGTCATTCATGCGTCTAACAAAATGCTTAGCTATATCACGTGGTATAACGTTTATTAGTCATCGCGTATCATCCATACGAGGTAACTCCGTGTGGCCGTAACTTTTGGACGGCCGTTTTTCATCGTCACACCTTTGATGAGTCTCACCACCAAGAAAATACCTTTTTATATAGAATAAACTGTTACTTTTGATACCCGTTTTAGCAGCTATTTCTTTGTAGACAGCTCACTCCTAGAATTCCCCTCGGTTCTAATAGCATCACCCAATATCAGTGGGCGGGGTTCGCGCAAATAGTGGCGCTAATTTCAGCTCGATCTTGATAGTCAAATCGGCAATTAAACCCAGCAACCTAGCTCTAGGGTACATTTGATAGTATGAGCGGACTGCACAGATCATTTGCCAAATCACGATTAGCGAGACTTCCCCCTGATGTTCCGATGTTCGACGAGAGACAGGAGCATGAGCACCGAGGTGCTGGACATGGTGAATTTGAGGATGATTCGTCCTCAGCGTCATCTGCCTCGTCTACGGGCACTGTGAGGCCATCTCCTAGTCAAAATTTGTTTGCCAGGAATAGTGGGTATGTCTCTTTTGAAATGTGTGAATTCCATATAGCTTGTCGATATGGAACCTCCCATCCTATAGTCCCAGCATTTTCACTTTCAAGTGATTTGATAGGCTCCTATGGGCAAAGCAGCTTTGATTATTTTGGCTATGCGATTTCTGAGATTCCATGACAGCCCATTTTCCTGAAAACGTGAGGTCTAATTTTTCCCAATTTCCAAAGGGCGCAAGCAGGAAGAGGAGACATATCTTCGCTTCCATGGATGGGTTTCTTCGAGAGAGAACTATTTCTCGAGGAAGATATTGCCGATTTGCGCATTATTCATCACGCCTATATTATCTCGCCAACGGATTCTGGTCCTCTGTTCGTTATGCATCACGGAGCAGGGTCATCGGGGCTGTCATTCGCGGCCTGTGCCCAAGAACTTAGAAAAATTCTTCCAAAAGCAGGAATTTTATCTTTAGACGCACGCGATCATGGACTCACTACTTCCACGCGTGGGACCCAGGACGATACTGGGAATGCGGGAAGCCATGCGGAGCTGGACCTGCGCTTGGAAACACTGAGTCGCGACCTGGTGTTTGTCATCAATCAAGCAAAAGTGAAGATGAAGTGGGAGTCTATGCCACCGTTAGTCTTAGTTGGACACAGCCTTGGCGGCGCCGTAGTGACGGATGTTGCTAAGAATGGTGAATTGGGTTCGGAGCTCCTTGCTTATGCGGTGCTGGACGTCGTGGAAGGTTAGCACATTCTCCGTCAATTTCTTAAATGGCCCTGATGAGGACAAAACAAATGCAATACAGAAGCTAATTGTTCATTTAGGCTCCGCCATGGATGCCCTTCAGAGCATGGAAACATATCTTTCAACTCGTCCGTCAAGTTTCCCATCCTTATCGACTGGTATTACTTGGCAGTATGTCAATCTCCTCTTGCGTCATGCGACCAACTTCTTTTCATCGATCAACTAACTAACTCTTCACCGTCAGCCTCCGCTCACGAACAATCCGAAATACAACATCAGCACGTGTTTCAGTTCCAGGCTTGCTCCACGAAGACTCGTCAGATGCTTCCCGCCCGTGGAAATGGAGAACTAATCTAGCATACACAAAACCTTTTTGGGAAAACTGGTTTATTGGTCTAAGTAAAAAGTTTCTCGAAGCTCGAGGAGGAAAATTGCTCCTTCTCGCAGGCACGGACAGGTTAGATAAAGAGTTGATCATCGGCCAGATGCAAGGTATGTGTACCCTCGTTCAAAACGAGCCGCAGTATCAATCCTTAGGAAGAGACTTTTAATCATTGTATCATAGGAAAATACCAATTACAAGTTTTCCCGGAAGCAGGTCACTTTATTCACGAAGATCAACCTGCCAAAACGGCCCAAATTCTAGTTGATTTCTACAAGCGAAATGATAGAAGTGCCTTGGTTTTACCCCCAAAAGTTGGGGACATGATGGCTTCAAAGGCAATGGCCAAGGGACTTGGGCTACCCTGACTTTAGAAGTTTTATTTAACATGGCTAGTACTCTCCTCCGGCTGTACTAAGTAAAAATATGTATGTCTCCACATCATACTTATTAAATGAGAGAAAATTGGTCCCTGTGTTTTAGATAATATCAAGGTAATGGCATTTAGAAATGCTAATAAATACATCCCTGAGACGAAGGGGAATCATGAAAATCATGTGATTGGTGCTGCTTCCAAATTGTTAACCCAGAGCCACGCCAAGGTATCCAAAACGCCAGGCACAGGAAACCGTTGCCCTCCGTATGCTCCCGTTAAAGTTTCAACCCATGCCCATAGCTTATAAAAAAAGCTGAATTTGAAGAGATCGTAAGAAGTAAGTAGCAGCACATGGAGAAGGGTAAACCACCGGGGAGTCAAGGCAAATATGCGCCCCCAGCAATAACCAAATTCATCCCAGTAAAATGAACCTTGTAAACTGGGCTTTTCTTCGTCGGGAAAGCGCTGATTTGGTCTGGAGTAACCACTACGTCTTTCCCCTTCTTTTTGCTACTTGTGGCTCCCACACTGGACGTAGTTTGAGTAGCAGAAGCCGCTGAGGTACTCGCAGTATCGATTTTTGTCCCCGTTCCTCCTTCACCGATGATCTTTCCTTGAGCGCTACCAGGATCAGTAGCGGGGCCTGCGACGTCCCAAACACGAACGGTCCCATCCGCGCCACCAGAAACGAGGACTGTTGATTCTGCACTGAAAGATAGAGACCAGATTCCTCCCCTTCCATGGCCACGCATACGCTTGAGAAGTTTGCCAGGTGCCAAGTCCCAAAGAAAAATAGAGCCGTGATCGTCGGCTGAAGCGAGAATCCTGCCGTTCTTACTACATGCAAGTGCAGTAATATTGCCAGTGTGCCCAGTGAACATACGAACTGCGTTTCCAGTTGTAATGGCCCACATGCGCACCGTCCTATCTGAGCTCCCAGTAAAGATATATGCAGAGTTGGGGTGGAAACAGACGCAGTCCACATCTTGGTCATGTCCAGCAAAAATTCGTTGTTGTCGGATTCGATCGGTGACCCAAAGCCGTGCAGTCTTGTCGTGACCGCCAGAAACGAAATAATGGCCATATGGACCCCAAGCCAAATCCCAAACTGGCTGGTCATGACCTTTATAGACTACCATACACTGCCAAAGGTCAAGAGACCATAGCCTAATGGTCTTGTCACCGGAGGACGAGAGAAGCCAGCGAGTATTTGTCTTAACTTCTGCATCGTCTGGGCTCGCAACTGAGGGTGCAAATGCAACGGCAAAAACGGGACCCGAATGCCCGTAGAGACGACGAGAGTTAGACAGTTTAAGGTCTTTATCCTCAAGTTCTGGGTATGTAGGCTGGATTGGAAGTCCATCGACACTCCAAACCCGAATGTACGAGTCCTGCATACCAGCAGCAACGAGCATGTTGTCACCTGAAAAGTCTAGGCAATTAATGCTATTGAAAAGTTAGTGAATCTCCCATGTTCATAGAAATATATTGCATACCCGTCATATGTGTTGTGAAACGTAAACATGCAGACGCTGATAGCTGGGCCAACTCCTCCAGTGCGACCCTCAACCTTAAATCTATCGCGATTTTCTTTTACTTTCTGAGCTTCCATCGCCACATCCCGAGCGAGAGATGCCGGGTAAGGAATGTCCGAACGCGATGGGGATTCTAAGTCGTCTTCTTTTTTGATCATTTGCTCGAAATGTTGAACAAGAGAGGGACGACCTGGCTGAGGAGGTTCCTTGCTGTCTGCCTCCTCAAGTTCCGCTCTCACATCGTTTTCAAGGTCAGGTTCAAGAGGAAGTCTCCCCAGCTTGAGACGTGGAAGTGTACCTGCCATTGTGGGATTGTCACCGGTGTATGCGGAGCCGGGATGATGACCAGGGATTCCTTCATCCTCTAGAGGTGGGCCACCATCAATATCATTTGCCCTCGCCAACATGGCGGCAAAGCTGAACCGTTCATCAGACGAGCGTTCCTTGGTTATAATAGTGCAATAACTGCTTAGCAGAGCAGATATCAAAGAACCACCTTCCTTTCCTTTGCTCTCCAGATATTGCATGAGATTCGAAAAAGCAGGGTTGCTCAGAGTGATGCGATACTTGTTTTCCCGGTATATTTTCGCTACAGAGTTGGATTTCAGGTGCTCAGGAAGAGTGACAGGCCCAAGAGTCCGAATATCCTCACTATGATCAGGAAGAAAGAGATCTTTGTTCGCATCGAAAAACTGACGGGCTTCCGTCGGTGCTAAGGTCGAAACGAGGCTAAGGTACGAGTAGACAAAAAGCGGCCAGAGGATACGTCGGAGCTCAGGCTGCCAATATTGTTAGAGACGGATATACTGAGGTAAAATGAAGTACTTGCCTTGTAAATGTCCAAGTTGTTCTCAACCCATGCCCTGATCATATCTAGTGCGTGTCAGAACTGTAGCTCACACAAGTCAAGTGATTCATCACCTACCAAAGGCAGGACGGAACCTTGTGCGAGAGTCATCCCCCACAGGGGGAAGAGGGCGTCCATCAATCTCCTGGCTCGCAGACTCCATCCTGAGCATCATCTCAGTTCGATTATACCCTTTTTTCGCTAGATAATCGATGACCTGGAGACGGAATCAGTCAGTAGACGATAAAAAACAGAAGGATGCATTACAGAAACGAATCAAAGCATAACATAATATAATGATGTAGTGTGCCGAGCAGAAAAGGGAACACAGTCAAAAAAAGTTTTCTATGTCTGCAGCAGTGCACTTTTGTGCGATTTATGTTGCTTCTGCCACCCACATTGCCTGCTGCATGGCCTTTTTTTTTTTTTTTTTTTGTTTGGTTGGGATAAACTGATATATAAAGTTCCTTGGGTTCAAGTATTTCCCCAAATGCCTTTCTGGCCTTCTCTGGAGCTTTGAGCGACTCCATAATGGACATGGAAAAGGAGTCATCCACGATCAGACAATGACAAGAGGAGAAAGCAAGGCCTAAGCATGGCAATAGGAAACCTGCAAGTGAACAGAGGATGCAATATATAACCAAATCTCACAACTCAGCAGCATGTGATATCTGCTCACGGAAAACCCCATATAGAGCAGATTCATACCTGGATAAATCCAGCCGGGGAATAAAAAAATAATGAATGCCTAGGGGGAGGTGCTTATATTCAACCACAAAGATCGAAGGCATGGTCAGGGCAGATTTGATAAAACAAGATATAAAAGATATTATAAAACTTTTGAATGAAGATTGAAGCAACCAAACAGGAGTCAGGAAACGAACACCATATCGGCAGTGTCAGGATAGCAGTAGCAGCGACTTACGATTTGGTTCAGGTTTTGCTGCGACATTACGGCCGGTGATGAAGTAGTCGTAGTAGGGGTTCCACCAGCGGCAGGAGGAGCGCTACTCATCGGCTGCTGCTGAGTAGGCGTAGGCAGTGGGTTGTTCGGGCCCATGCTGCCACTGCGAGGGCCAGGGCTGGGGGCTCCGCCTGGAGCTGACATCTTGATCTACTCCTCTTTGACGTGACACGATCTGTGGATCGGCTGTGACTGGAGATAGACGTAGATATAAATATACTTTCTTGGGCAAATCAAGCGGCCTGGCTTCGTTTGACGGGGGTATCATGATAGTGATGGATGCCAGAGGACGATGCCGTCCGTGAATCTATGGGACTCAATTTGATAATTGGCCGGAGCGCGCTTAGTCATGTAAGCTGGTGTTTAATCACGTGATATTTTGAAAGCATCTTACGCACCCCATTGATTGGATCTTCAACTAGTTATCAGGGAGGACAGGCAGATACGCCAGCTGTTTTCTCTCATGGCATACGGACATGGAGTCCCAGGAGCCCGATCACGCCTTCAGCGCTGCTGATAGAATTGAGCAACTGAACGAAATTGATCGCGTAGGGTCTACAAACTCCCCTCTTCCAACCGCCACGATGGTTAATCTCCTCGCTAGGATGCTACAAAGCTGCTCCGCGCGGCGGGGTTTGCAGTCCAAGCCTTAACCAATATACCTCTCTCCAATGGCGGCACCAAGGATAGCCATTCTCCTTCTAGCAAGAGCGCCTTAGAAGCTCATCAGGAGGCCTTTAAAGCTGCGTCTTCTCAATACTTCGCCCTCCTCTCATCAATCGATGTTCGTCTGCGCCGACAAGTCTACGCTCTTGAAGAAGCATCTATTATTCGCCCTGAAACAACTACTAAAACGGCTGAAGGTTCTGGTACTGCCGCATTTAACCCGCTTGAGACTAGTTGGTTGAATACCCGGAAAGACAGCGTCGGGAAGGATAAAGAAGCGGAGCTATGGGCGGAAGCCAAGGACCTTGTGATGAAGCTAGGCTCTATGGACGCCGAGGATCCCAGTGCGGAACGAAACAGTGACACGCGGCTGAAGCCTATGGAAATCGATTGAGACCCTTTTGGTCCTATACACCCGAAATATCCTTCTCTTTGCGCCGGAGACAAGCTTCGTCGTGTCTCGTCAAAATCAATGCGGGCTTCTAGTTCGAACTGAAGTCTTTTCTCCAGAAGTCTTGTCAAAAGTGTACCAAAGCAGATGCTTTCTTGGATAGGGCACTTGATATTGAAGCAGGTAATAACCCAACGGCATTCCTATACATCCTTGCAGGTGGTGGCTCTTAATTTGGTTATACGCCTGCACAACCTTATGGCAATCACCAAATTCACCTGACAGCGTTGTTTACTGCGCTACGCTATTCATTTGCCAATAGTCCGTTGCTCCAGCCAGTGCCACACGGAATGTCGTCGCTACAATTTAGTGCTCGGAATAATTGAAGCAGCTCTGAAGAGCTACTATGATACGGGCACCGGATACCAATGAATTCAAAGGGAATTTTACATTTTAAGAGTCAAAATGCGTATTGTCTAGAAGTTCTTTGGATTCACAACTGTGCGCTAAGTATCTTAAAGAATCGTCGTAAATCATGATTCGGGTGTCGCAGGACAAGGTACTAGGTAGTCTACCGCCTCGCATAAAACTGGTCCTAAGTGGAATAACTATTTCATCATTGAATTGATCATATCTCTGTGAGCGGACCGGTCCCTGTTTGTTTCGGATAATGGCTGTATGCCTACGAATCAAACACATATCAGTACAACTATCAAGAATAAGAAGAGTAGAATAGAGGAAACACGCACTTCGTAGCTCGGAGACGACATCTTTTGCCTTGCCGAAATATACTTCCTCTGTGAAGATATGTGCGTCAGTCCTGCGTAAAACCAGAAGCCTAGCCTCTTCTGGGATCATCCCCTCAAAGCATTCTAGCTTGACGGTGAACGTACGAAGTAGATTTCTCATCTTCAATTCCATATCCTCCACTAACCGGCCGACATTGGCCACATGGCTAGCGTCTCCTTCAATAGGCATATCGGCTTCGATCTGCCTGGTCATATTACCACTCAGATCCATATCCCCAAGCACTTCTGAGCCGGTGGACAGATGTAAGATGACGGTACTCGTAAGCTTATAGTGACATATACGTCCCCTGTCTGTGGCTTCAAAGACGTGAATACTATCCCAAGCCCCTGAATTCTTAGAACCCGGTGTGATCCCTAGGAATACGCTCCCGTAAGCATCCCCAGACGTAATATCCGAACATATTCCAAAGGGAAAAACGTACCTTTCTTCAACAACACCACTCCGGCAAACCCATCGTCATCCAAGTCCCAAAAGTACACACTCCCTACACCCCCTTCAAAATACAACTCTCGATAAACATCAAACGCCTCGTTCGCCGCAACCTCCATCTTCCTCACTCTCTCGCTTGGTACCGTGCCATCGTCAAGTGGTGGGTCAAACTCATTGCTCCAAGGGCTGCGGTAACTATCGCCATCTCGATTGTAGTCGCAAAGGAGGTAGTCTCTCTGTGAACGGCGGCAGCGTCGGATTTCGAGAGGCTGGTCGACGGAAGCGAGGAGGTCTTCTGTGAGGTCTGGGACGAGGGTGGTAATATACTGAAGATTGCGCTTAGTATCGCGTGGGGAGAGGCGACGGAGGAGGTCTCTATTTAGATATTCGACCGTCGGGTTAGCTTCTGATGTCCCCCCCTTACGGTCCACGTCGAGCGGGGTAAATTGGTCGTGAAAAAGGGCCAAATTAGTGACAGGGCAAGGTGCAGATGATCCAAAGAGAACTTACAGGGCACTGTCGAATTGTGTATCTGCCATCGTGACTCGATTGTAAGCGGATTGGGGAACCAGCTGCTGCGAAATGCCGGTTGTTGACGCTTGGGGAGTCCCAGGGTCAACAAGATGCAAGCATCCCCACGGGTGCGTGGACACACCCAAAGTGCGTCGGCAAAAGCGTCTCCGGACAATCTGGTGCAATTTATGCCGCGTAAGGAACTGATATTTTACAGGTGTTTGACACTAGGACGCGGGAGATTACATCTACGCACAAACGTGTAATATATATATAAAGTCGAAACAAAAAGTAGATGGCCTTGAACTTCCTATTCAAACACATCACTATCATCACTGATCATATAGCGTTTTTTTCGCTGGGATGGCTTCTGGTCCCGGTTATCCGTTCCATCAGACTCAGGGCGCGGTGCCTCCGGACGTGCGGGCCATGCCAAATTTGGGAAGAATGCTTCAATATCTAATGAGCTAAGCTCTTCCGTGCCGCAACGCTTTTCCACTCGAGGAGGTTGCTCGCGAGACTGATGTGCTGTGACAGACTGAGGATCATCCTCCCGGTCCGTAGATAATCCCTCGAGACCTTCTCCGTCATCATCAGGGTCACCTACTATTGCTCTATATTGGGCTTCACAGTCAAACCCTAATTTTGATATCTTTCGAAAGGTCTTGACCACCCGGCGGGTGTACTTTCCATGCTCTATGAATCCTGTTGGCCGAAGAGATCTTTGATGTTCCGGGTATACGTCCATTCGAAGGCGCGGGATCTGCTTGCCAGCTATTTCCTGAAAATCCGGGTCATCCGCTAATTCCTGGCTTTGATTCGCACACAAATCACCAAGGTCCGGAAACTCCTCAAGCTCAGGGCTAGGGGTGCGAACAACCCTCTTCCTTTTCGAACGACCATTAGAGTCTGTGTTCGTACGCCCGAGGCGCGAAGCCTTTGTAAAACCCTTTTCGACACCATCAGGCATGTGGAATTTCTTTGGAGGCCGTTTCGGCGCGCGAGAACGCTTTGCAGGTTCTGGTAGGCCCAACTGAGAATTCTCAATTGGAATTTCAATCATCTTTTCTTCAGCTTCCGGCTGAATATCTTGAGGGACTATTCGCGAAGATTTATCGGTGTGAAACGTGAACCTTGACCCAGAAGCAATCAGTTGCTGCATCTTCTCGTAGCTATCTTTTGCTTTGCTGTATGATTCTTCTTCTTTCCCCTTTGATAATAGAAGGATGATATTCCCCGCTCTTTTCCTGCCGGTGCGTCCCATTCTTTGCAACATTCTAATGGGTGATGAGTGACCGTCGTAGCAAATAATCAAGTCGACTTCGCCAATATCTAGACCTTCCTCGCCAATGGACGTCGCCACAATAGTGTTGTAGGTTCCAGTCTTGAACTTCCCTACAACTTCCAATTGCGTCTTTTGATCCATCCCTTCCGATCCCTTCGCATTTGCCTGCCCGACGAAAACATGAGGACGTACAAACGGCTGATGCTTTCTGAGGACTCGGACTATCTCCTCCGCACTATCGCGAAAGTGACTGAATATCATGACGCGAGTATTCGAGTCCGACCCTTCGCTATCTCCACCGTTCTTCCCCCCAGCATCCAAAAAATGATTCAGAATAGCCCGTCTCAGATACTCAAGCTTAGGATGTCCGATAAATTCCTCAGTATTGGTCCAGGACCGTAATTTGCTCATCAAAACTTTGAAATTACCATCTGCAACGATCTGAGAAGCGCATTTGCCGCCTTTCTTCTCCTTCAAAACCGAATCTTCGAACGAGACAAGGTTTCTGTAGAACGGGCCAATTCCATGGTACTTCAACAAATCGATCGCGTGCGCAAGGCTGGCGAGCACAGTAAACATTGAATTGATCGTCCCTTTAACAGGCCAAGATGCCGCTCTCCCTGCCGGGGAGGAATTCCACTCCTGTCGGGCCTTGGTTAGACCGAAAGGCGTGAGAGCCATCGGGTCCCTACCCCAATAGGCATTCTGATTTCGAAGTCTATCAACCACCGGCTGCAACGCCTTGGCAAAGAGCTCCATCGAAGTTATCATATCTCTTGAATTTTCAAAAGTTATCGTTTCGACGTTCCGTTGATGAACGAAGCCGCGAATATCAAGGGACTTTTCCGTTCGTATTTCAATTCTCGATATGCTTAGCCCGTCAATTACCTCTTGGACTGCTTCGACGGTTGCGCCGGGGGTAGCAGTCAGCGCTAGTACTCTGAAGCTGTTGTTGAACCTTTGAAGAAACTTGACAATCTCGACATACGCGTAAGCTCCCGTTGCACGGTGGGCTTCATCAACGACCAGGAGGACAATGCGCTTCGGGTCGGCGATTCCCGTTTTTAGATCATTCATTATCGTTTGAGGCGTCATGAAAAACACCCGTTTCGACCGCCATTCTTCGGCCCTCACACCTGGTGGGGTATTGCCGGTGAGTAGCGTCGTCTGCGAGCGAGGTATTCCCGCAATATGGAAACAAGCGTCCACCTGCTGTGATACAAGGGGCTTTGTCGGAGCAACGAATACAATCTGAGCGTCTTTTGTCCAGTGAAACCAATTCAGCATAACCGTAGCGGCAATAAACGTCTTCCCTAGGCCAGTTGGCAGCGCGACCAGGAGGTTATGAAATAGTGCCCTGTGAGCGATATTGAACTGGTATTCCCTCCTGCTGCCAAGATTCTTTGGAAAAATCCAGGTGCGAAGGGCGTCCTTGTTCAGTTCGTGATGGGTTGGAGGTTCGTTCCGGGAGGATGATGGCCAAGTCTGCGTAGCGGGTTGAGATGATCGTTTACTGCTACTGCTGGCGAAGCCGCCCAGCAGAGTCGTCTGACGGAAACTCGTGCTTTGGGAAGCGGTTGGGCGGCGCGTTGTGTTTTGCGACGGCCGTGGCTGGGACGAAATCAAGATCGGTTCTTTATCCGCGGTTTCGGTGAATTCCGGCTCAAAATCAAAAGCATCATCCGGGATATCTTCAAAGTCAAAGATGGTCTCCTTTTCGGCGTTAGTAACGGGGCCAGGAGTTGCATGTACTTGAGTATCGCCCGGCTCTTCTATTGAATCATCTAACATTTCGGCATCACCACGAGCCGATTGCTCTTCCTCAAATGATCGAAGTGATGCAGCGATAGCGGCATCGATATCTTTTCCATTCGTTCCATGACTCCCGATCGTTGACGGTTTCCTTCCCCAGATTGCTGGAAGCGGGGATTTCTGCTTCGCCTTCGAGACCGTAGAGGGCTTGTTGCGTTCCGGCGCTTTCCACCGGGGTCCTCGAATCCTTGACGGGCTCGATGAAGGTTGAGTTTGGGTGACAAACAAAGGCTTCTGGTCAACATGGTACTTTGGAGTATACGTCTTGGGCTTTCGCGCAGCGGGGTTATCGTCGTTGCTCTTCCTACCTCTGCCCGTCGTCTTCGAATTCGGAGGCAGGGAAGGATCGAAAGTGTCAGAATCCGTACCGGCTTCCTCGATCTCCCTCCTCCCTGTGCTGTCCGTGTTTATCTCATGGCTGTTTAAGCGGCGACGCTTTGTCGGCCGGCCGGTTTGGGAATCCGACACCTCGTTGAGAGTGACTTCATTGAAGAGCTCGTCGTCGGTGATGAAATCACTTAGTCCAGAACAGCCGTCGTCGGCCATTGTTGCCACGATCCTAGCTGGCTACGACATTCCGAGGCCTGTCAAACAGGCTGTCTTATGTCATTCTTGTCATCAGGTAGCCGGACCTGCAAGTCCGTCCAATGGCACGGAACACGGAGGCGAGCACGGAGCGTGGCCGTCGTCAACTCGCCTCGATTCGCGTCCGTCGCGTCTCGCCCATGATCAAGCAGGGGGCAGCGCGAAGTCAGGTGACCGTCCACGGGTCTCGACCAAAGCCCTTACGTCATCGGTTAACTGGCACAGGCAGATTACATAATACTATCATCTGATCGCGAGACGATTGTATGGCGGTTGAAGAATTGTCCACGCTTCATTCGCTGGCGGGCTGGGATAGCTCTTATTCTTGCAATTGCTTTTTCTTTCTTTTCTTTTTCTTTTTTTCCTTTTTTTTTCTTTTTTTGCCCCCTTTTCTTAATTATGGAAATGTTGGCCGTCTTAATTGGCAATAGCGCCGAGCTCAGCAGCGCATGGAGTACATATTCTGATGCAAATCCAGCGAACAAGCAGGAATCAACAACACCCTGGTCGTTCGAGCACATTCGACAACATGAAAAGAGTGAGAAAAATTCTGCTTTGCCAGTATGCAGATGACATTTGCCTGCAGTCCACCTTGTCTTATCCTTCGCAGAGTTTGGGTTGGGCATCCTTCATCTCTCCGCCGGCAAGGTGAGACCGACTATGACCTTTCCACTCTTGCCGCCAAGCCACGTTCTCCACCACAAAGCAAGGATTTCCTGAGACCAGTGCTATTGATGTCGGGTGTTTTGAACCAATGTGAGCCAAACAAAATGTTTTGGAGGGTTGTCCGAGGCGGAACCTGGCCCTCATCGCTGGCAGCGAGAGACCGCAAGATGGGAGGAGTCCCCGAGACAACATCCACCCTGTGACTAACTTGACCCCGTCTCCTCTGGGCTGCTCGAGCTTCGAAGGGTGGTTTGATCTGAAGCAGCAGGCATCCAACCTTCAAAACGCCACCAATAATAGTAAAAATCGCCAGCTGAGCCAACTCACCCCCCCAGCTGCTTTGGGCGAACGCTATGCCGGAATCAGTCACCTTTAGATCACCATTGTCTGGGCCACCCCTACTAGGCGGCCCACTGGCTGCCCACGGCCTTTAAAAAGGTCCAGTTTTTTCCCCAGAATCAAAATTTTGTTTGTGTAAATTTCCCACCGAAAGTTTAAGCTTGTCAATCGCCTCTGTTGCCAGGCCGATTCCCTCTCTTTTAAGACGCTCATTATCCCGCTCCGTGATTCCTGAAGGAATAACACATCCGTTCGCTCGTTTTCTCATCTCTTCTTGTAAACAGTCGTTTCTCGCGTCTAGCCATTTAATCACAGTCTCTGTACCTTTTTTTTTCTGTACAGCATTTTACCATCGATCAAAATGAAGTACTCCGGTGTTGTTGCTCTCTCCCTCGTTGCTGCAGCGTCTGCTGCGTCCTCGACTATGGCACTCTCCCCAACCGCCAGCTGCGCTCTCGCGTGTAAGTTTCTTTTCTGGTTTAAACACAAAATAAAAAGAAAAATTAAAATAAAAGATATACTTCGACGTAGACTGCTGCGATCATGGAGTAAATTCCTCTTTTAACATCTTCGCTAACTTAGTTGTTTAGGTCCTGAGGGAGACGTCTGCTGCCAGGCTGCGTGTGTTGGTGTGCCATGCCCTGACGATGCAATGGCCAACAAGACCGTCCAGTGCGCCGCTCAGTGCGACCAGGGCAACGGAAGCCCAGCTGCCATTGAGGCCTATGCCAAGTGTCAATCTGACTGCATCAAGACCTACTTCTTCACCGGCTCTGCTACGCTTCCCGTTGCCACTCCGCCTCCTTCTTCTCCTTCCAACAGCGCCCCCGCTGATGGTGGAAACGGTGGCTCGTCCACCCCTGGTGCTACTGGCGGTGCTGGTGGCTCTGACGGTTCTAATGGAAGTGCTACCGGATCTCCAACTGGTAAGCTATTGTCCTGACTCCCATAGGACTCCCGTGTCACACAAAACATTAACATATAGCCGCGCTAGGAACTGGCTCTGAGCCAACCGGTACTTCAACCGAAGCTCCCGCCAACAGCAACGCTGCTGCAGCTCTGACTGGCTCCTCTGCCACCCTCTTCGGCTTGGTTCTCGCTGCCTTTGCCCTCTAAACGACTACAATCATGCCTCTACTCAACCACAGCGACGACAACGAACACCATAATGCTGGTTGGGGCCTTCGGTGTTGCGGATATGTGTATGATCTGTTTATAGCCAAACTTAATTTTTTATTTTTCTTTGTTCATTTACTCCTAACAGCTTAATTTATGGTGCCTTAACCTCTCTCAAGCCATTGTTTGTTAATCTTTGGATTTGTCTGTCGTTGCATAACATTCGAGTCAAATTGGTTTAGCCGGCCCTTTATGTAGTAATTCTTCTGGAATTGAAAGTTGACCTGCTAATTTCCCCAAAAGGATCCTGCACATCGTGGACAGGTGGCGAGCACCAAATGCTGTTGTTAACAGAGAGAATATCTGGTCAATATTAACCAATATCACACGCCAGCTCTCTGCTGCGATCTTTTGTTGCATTCCTTTTTTCTTTTCTTTTTTTTTTTTTTTGGATTTCAACCGTTCGTGATCCAGGATTTCTTTCAGGTGACCGACGGCAAACAATGTACAACATCAATTGTTACTATTCAACACAAGTAGTGATCTCCTGTCAGTATTATTTTTGTTCAATATCTCTGGTATTAGCGCTCATTTACCTTTCAACCTCCAATGCTCTGGAGCCCGATAGCTTACCTAGGCATCCGACTAATCTTCCTGTAATATTTCCTCGGGGAACTGCCTAACAACCCAACCAAGGTGATGAAGCACATTTTTCCCGTTTATCTGCGCATGCCATCGCTTCTTCTCGTGAATACCACTTCTTTGCGTGGCAATATACCCCGGTTCCCTGCGAGGCATTGTCTCAGAACCCTCGACCAATCCACCCCTTCTCCGGGACATCTCGGCATTTTGACATTGAATTCGGGCCCGAAAAATTTTCACTGCGACGAACAGATGCTCCATGTTTGTTGCCTCGTCACATTCAAATGTCTATTATTACCTTGCTTCGGCTGTGCGGCTACCTCTAGAACATTGACAAATTTAGCGATCTTTGCCCCCACAACGGGCTTCTCCGCATACTAGTACAGTCCTGTGTCTCCGCAGGACCAGTGGAGAGATTTCATTGTTATGTTGGTGCTTCAGGATCGCTCGATCATGCAGCTTCCCTTCGTTGTGCCGCTTATTTCCCCTCACCACTTTGATACGATGGCTCCATACTGACTATTCCGGTGTTACCACCCCGTACTATGTATTGTTAGTCACCATCGCCAATTGCGCAGATACGACAACCACATGAGCTGAAACACTCGCTACCCTCGAGTTAACTAAGAACGGATTAGGGACGCCAACAGGCTCTAATAATATGAATACAGAAATCTACGGAGTACGGAGTGAAAACATGACCTCGCTCCGCCCAAAAGCCGGTGCTTAAGTGCTTTGAGCCTGAGACTCCGTCTTGACTTGCTTTTTGACAAGCTCTCTGACAACCTTCCAATCATTTTCCACTGTAATGACGCGCTTGGCCTTCTTGTCGAGGCCGACAAACTCTTGCGGCAACACCTCCGCCTCAAAGTTAAATCCCTCCTTATCTTTGAGGGCAAGTTCGACGGCGCCGGCAAACTTAGCTGGGTGGGCTGTCGAAAGCGAAATGTGCGGGACATTCGGGTCAGCCCGTTCAAGGGACCGAAGGGCAGCCGTGACACCGACTGCAGAGTGAGGGTCCAGGATGTACCCGACCTTATTATAAAAGGTTTTGATTGTATCAAGGGTCTGCGGATCGCTGACTCGCTCGCTCTCGAATGACCTGCGTGCACTGTCGAGAACGTCTTTGGAAACGGGGCCAAATCCACCCTTTACCTTCAGGGCCTTAAGCCATGCACTGACTTCTTGGCCTGCCTGTCTCCTGTTCAACTCCTCGTCTCTGCCACCGGTGGCTGCGGATTGGTACGCTAAGAACCAAAGGAGTCGCTCGAAGTTACTGGATACCAGGATGTCCATCGCCGGACTGAGTGTTTCCCGTACACCACCCTCGTGAGCTTTCACTCCATCGACTTCCAGGCCACCTTCCGCCTCTTGACCTTGCGCCGGCTTCTTCTCGTATCGACCTGTCTTCCAGAAGCGATCGAGGATGTCGTTCTCGTTTGTTGCAATGACGAGCTTGTCCACAGGAAGACCCATGCGGCACGCAAAATAGCCTGCCAATATATCTCCCTACCTCAAGTCCGTTAGGTTAAGCCCCTTGGTGAGCGAGGAAGAAGGTAATACTGACAAAGTTTCCGGTGGGAACAACAAAGCGCACTTGATCACCGAGGTTGAAGGTGGTTGACTTTCTCACAAGAGAGAAGTACGAATAGAAATAATAGACGATTTGAGCGAGAATTCTCGAAAAGTTAATCGAGTTAACGGCACCGAGTTTCAAAGTCTCGTTCGTATCCGGATCGCTGAACAAAGCCTTGACGATATCCTGTTGTGCCATCAGCCCGTAGCCCCAATGTTTCTAGGGTGCTCAATGCTTACTTGACAATCGTCGAATGTCCCCGTCACGGCAACATTATGGACATTTGCGTCCAAGCAAGTTGTCATCTGCGCTTCTTGGATGGGGCTGACACGACCCTGCGGGTGTAGGATGACCACCGATACATCTTTCTTACCCCTAAGACCGTAAATCGCTGCAGATCCAGTCTGCAGATGCGTTAGCACTTTCCCCGGATGACAGTTTGTAGGAGAGGGCCTTACATCGCCGCTCGTCGCGCCGACTACCGTCAGATGATGTCTGTCTACTAGCTGGTCAGTCCGTATGGCCTTGGCCCGAGCTCACCAGAGACATTGTCACGGTGCAAGGCTCCTGTAAACCTACCTTTTCCTTCTTTTCCCTGGTTTTTCCGCGCGAGGAAGTATTCGAATAGGTTTCCCAAAAATTGCAAGGCGCCTAATATATGTGTCAGCCAAGGAAACGACAATGGCCTTGCGTTAACGCACAGTCTTTGAAGGAGTAGCTTGGGCCGTGAAATAGTTCAAGAAGGTATAGGTTGTTGTCCTGCAGATGCACCAACGGTGTAACCTCCTTCGCACGGAAGGTTGAGTAGCTCCGATCAATTATGGCTTTCAGATCGTCCGCGGGAATCTCGGAACTTGATACGTATAAGCTGAAGATCCGTAAGGCCAGCTCCTCGTAGGAGAGATCTTTCCAGCTCCGCTGCAGTCTATCGTTAGTCTTTCAATCCCTATGAAACAGCTCCAAAGCCAAAATAATCATGCTTCTGGCGGCAACCGTCCATGCGACATAGAAATATAGAACGGCACGTACGTACCCAGTCCGATGCAAGCGGGATTTGATGGGGTAAGAAGAGACCACCATCAGCGGCAAGTCCCTTTAAAACAACGGTCTCGAAAGAGAGCTTGAAACCGATCAGCACACTGTCAATTCTTAACGGATGTTGAGGAGTCGCACGCCGTAGTCACCGTCTCTGGTAGAGAGGTATATCTGTGACTCAGAGTGAGTCTTGCCCGCCGAGTTGTTCGCCATTATGGTGCGATTGCTGCGCTGGAAAAGCTTTGCCCCTCACAGAAAGAGAGTTGAGTTTTGATATCAGCCCCTCGGAAGATAGATCGTCCAGCCGAGCTTTCACTAACTTCCCGTACGAACGGGCGTTTCGTGGTCGGAGGTTTTTGAAGGTTAATAAAAATTTAGCGTTTTTCCTTTTCCTTTTGCTCTTTTTTTACCCATGCGCACCACATGCTGTACCCACGAACCAAGATGCACCGTTGAGAGAACTGCAACGGAGTTTGGGACTTGGGAGCTGTGAATTATTACACAGAGTTTCGATGAGCTGAGAAATTTCAATTCTTTGATTGCTTCCATTTCTGCAAGGGTACATACATAGCTGTCTGGGGTTTGTGCGGTTAAGATTCCGTAGTTCATAAGTATAGAACTGGAGTCCGGTCGCGGCCATTGGCGTCATCTACACTCGACCGGTTCTTGGATGTATAAGGAATGACATTTGTATGTTGCCGAGGGAGTAGAATGAAATTGAGATTGGGCCACAAGCGTCTTTCAGAAGCCTGGATATGTCAATAGATTGACCCTGCAGCTGTTCCTGTCTATCTTACTCTTTAATGGGCTTCCATCCTTCAACTTCAAGCCGCCCTGGTTGTCTTCCAAGCGCTTAATGATAGGGAGATTGCAATAGCTGAGATTACATTAACACTTGTAGAATGTCCCATTTCTCCTTGTACCCACCCTGTGACAGCCAAATCTTTGGATGGGATGGTGACCATACCATCAGTAATTGTGCGAGGCGAGAAAAAGTTACAGTCACAGGAGAGGCGACAGTGAATCCATTGCAGAACATAAGCAGGCAGATCTATGCCTGTTCATCAAGGAGATCTGGGTGCATATATATTAACCCACACTAGTTATCGTCAGACATAGGAACAGGGAGACACCCCAATAAATGGTAGAATCTGCATAGCTAAGAAGTGGTCTTAATAGCACGTGGAATATCAAGGCCAACAACACACACACACACAGAGAGCAAAGGATATGTAATTTACTGTGTTTCCTGGAACAGCGGATCCTGCTGAAAGACACAAGGTACGCTCTAGAGAGTATCCTGAACCGTTTGATCGCCTTCAAATAAGGAAAAATTGAACCAACCCAAGATTCCACAATGTTGTCCTGCATTGGCCTGTTCCACACCATCTTTTGTCTGGAGACTTGCCAGCGTGAGGGGTGTATTCCATATTTCTGCAGTGACCAAGCCTTGCACTGAATTGCTTTGCAGTATACTAGCACAGTGCTTGTGCTTCGCTTTTCGGGCTCCCACCATCGCGACTGCGTGTCGCTCATTGTGTTTTCTCATGTATGGTTTTCCTAGCGTGAGCTGTAGTGCAGTATCACAGGAAGCATAGGGCCATCATCTGATGACCTGGCTCGCGGCGGACATAGATTATTCGGGGAGGGTGGTCCCGCAGTGTCTCTAGCTTGGGTACTGTATCATTCCGTTTGACCAGTATGCAGTTTATAGAAATCCCGAGTTTCTTGGTATGTGGGAGATGTCATCGTCATCGCGGTGGAAGGCTTCAAAATCTTGGAGTAGAATGATGCCAGCGCTGTACTGCTCATGGAGAGTTGTAAAGTGGTATTTGGGATCTATACACAGGGCCTAGGGACGCTAACACGATCCCGCGCAGATGAAGTCAATAAGGCGGGCGTATGGCTTCCATGACCCATGAACGATGATAGGCACTAAAGCAGATCTCTGTCTTGGCAGCAAGATGGTACTTGAGTACTCCGTAAACCAGCCCCCAATATTGTACTCTGGGACCTAGTTCAGGGGAGCTTGGCCTTCAGGATGACTTTGAAATCCTGTTTGCTGTGGAAGGCTCACTCAGCCGGGACAGTGCCTGGCTGCGGCGAGATCTTCCGGATCGGCATGCAACCACAGCTTTAACTACCTACAGCCATGGATGTTATCCCACTGATCAAAACATTCCTGAAATGTGACGCAAGGAAAAAAAAAAAAATTGCAAAATTGCTGAAAAGCATCAAACCCGGTTAGCTCCTCTAGTTCCAAGTTCCAAGAGCCAACTAGTCATGTGACAATTTTAACCAGGCACAGCGCTAACGACGGCCCGACAAGCTCAGAGTGGCTGCCGCTGCAACATGGCAGAATTTCACTCCAAAGCTGCCGCATCTTCGTATCCCTGAAAAATCAATGCCAAATGACGCGATACTCGTGGAGTCGCTGGCTGGGGTTACGTTCCTCCTTTGCGATTGCTCCGTCGCGGCCAGCAAATTTTCAATTCCGAAACCGCAGCACCTCTGGCGTCGCGTCTCTCACAAGCCACAATAGTCTTTGGAACATGGACATCTCCGATACCACCCTGATATCGCGAATGGAAGCATTCGTAATAAGGCAAATGCAAGACTACGACCCGTCCCATAACCCAGCGCACGTCACCCGCGTCGTCCGCCTAGCCCACCGCCTCCTCGCGTCAGAGCGCAGCCGAGGAACCAAAGTCCACTACAACGACACAATAATCACACTGGCCGCGCTCCTCCACGACATCGGAGACAGGAAATACCTCCCGCCAAACAGCACCGAAGACCCCATGACGATCGTCCGGGATACTCTGGTGAAAAGCGGCAGCGATCCGCTCTTGGCCCAGAAGGTCCAAACCATCGTCTCTAACGTCTCCTACAGCACAGAGATCAAGAATCCTGGCCTCTCGGAGCGTCTGATACATCAGGATGGCTACCCAGAGCTCGCCATCGTGCAGGATGCGGATCGTCTGGATGCGATAGGTGCAGTGGGGGTCGGGAGATGCTTTACATACCTGGGTGCCAAAGGCCCACCGCTTGGTGCGAACGGACCTCTGCACTGGGAACTCGATGAGGCGATCGAGCATTTTAGGGGAAAATTGGTGAATCTAGAATTGAAGATGAAGACTGATTCCGGGCGCAGTATGGCTAGGAAACGAACATTGAGATTACGGGATTTTGTGCAATGGTGGGAAGATGAGATGAAAGAAGTCCAGGAGGGCATAGCACTGGGTACAGCTGTGCCTCGGTCAAGGTAGGCCACAATGATCTTGTTAACCTTGGATATTTACAATTCAATTTCCTACTAGAACCTCAAGGGTAGTTTCAAATAGATTCTCTATTAGACCCTCCAAAGGGTCAGCATGAAATAAACTAAATGCTACTCGGGCACACAGGCCACCATATCTAACTCCTATATTCATGCAAATCAAATGTGTTATGACAGGGATAAAACAGAATCACAGAGTACAAACGAGAGAATGTGCGACTCAAAAGAATAAACCGAGCTCCAGCAGGTCAACAATGGTAATGCAGAACGAATGAATCCGGAGATTCAATATTCAGCGAGAGACCAGCGGAAAACAAATGGAGGACTTCAGTCTTCCAGCCCAAAATCTCGGAATGTAATAATAACACAAAAATCTTAGACTATAAGAAAATCGCAAACAAAAGGCATTTGCCGATACTCCGTAAAAGGAATATCGATATTTCTCGCAGCTGCATCACTAACTAATCCCTTGATAGCAATACCAAACCTGCGCCTGTTCTAGAACATTATGATGATAAATAATAGCAAAGAAATCCATGAGAGAGGGGGGGAAAAAATGGGAAAAAAGAAAAAGAAAAGAAGAAGAAGAGAATAATGCATGACGCCGAAGAACTATGGGGAAATTGCGGATGGATGTTGTGAGCTCCCCCAAGTTAGGTATAGTCAAATCAAACTCGATCGCTTGCAAAGTCAAGAATATCGCAATCGTCTTCGAAAAATTCATCGTCGTCTACCCCTGCGGTGCCAGCAGCGCTTGAGGTCGTCTTCTTCCGTCTGGTGGTTATCACTGCATATTCAACCTTTTCACCGCTGCTGCCCAAGCTGACAAGATTTTCCATCTTAGCATCGCCTGGATTTTGCGTGTCGGAGATGCAATCCTCTGAATATGCATGGCCATGGACCTGAAGCTGTACTGAAGGGATCGCGTTTCCGAACACCCAGGGATCGCCATTGATATTCTCTTCTTCATAGCTGCCAGAGAAGACCATCAGATTGACTCTGCGGTCCGTATGAAACGGTTGATAAGGTGCGTTTGTCTCAATTTCTGCTTGGGAAAGAGGCGGAAACTTTAGGCTTCTAGGAGATACCGGACGAGTCGGCGAAGGAAGTGACCAAAATCCGTTGATATCAGCCGTTGCCATTGTAAGTAATGCCTGGCTAGGGCCAACGGGGTTGCGCAGACTCGACGGAAGACGTATCTCCCGTATCTTGGCCCCAAATACCGACTGATCCCGCTTCTTCTTTCCGGTTGATCCACGGCGGATTTGATAGATCTTGAAATATTCCCCATCAACAACACCCAGTAAGGGATCTTTCTCATCACCGGACCACGTTATACGGGAGACACCACAATCTCTCGCAAAGTTACTAAGATGTAAACGATTTTCACCGAAATGGCGGAGTGCATTCATAGTCTCTGTCGCAGCGCCTACAGATTTGCTTAATCCAGAGGCGAGGACTTTGCTCCCTCGAGAAGACAAGGCGAATCCCGCGCCCGTGCCAAACGCCGCCCCCATGCTTGGTGCGCGCCCCCGTAGAGCAGCCATGAATGGCTGGGTTGTACCTCCTATAGCTTTAACCGCTGTGGAAAGCCGATTCAGGTTGCTGGAGTTTGCCTCGCTCAAATCAGCTCCCGGCGGGCTCTCAGAATGGCGCTGACGAGGCGATGATTTGCCTTGAACTCGACGCAAAGGAGGCCACTGGAAGGCACCTCGAGGAATATCGTATAGATGAATAGTGCCGTTTTTGGTAACAATAGCTAAGCGCTCTCCAATGGGGCCCGTCCATTTGACATCCAAAATGCTTGTTGTAGTCATACGGTCAAACTTCGCTATCTCCCGAACTTGTGCAGAGGAACCATGCGAGGCTGCAGTCGGCGAGGTATCTTCCAGCATCAAAATTCTCGCTCTGCAATGTCGCATTTGCATAAGATCCCAAACATGTTGCACGTCACCATTCTTGCTTGCGGTTAAGAGCATAAGCCCGCTTGGTGACAAGGAAGCAAAGCTGCATCCGCTAGGGGGCTGGAAAGTGGCCATGGGGGTTATAGTAGAAGCTGCCTTTGCACCTTCGTCCTCCTCTAAAAGCTTCAAATCGATTAATGAAACCAAGTCAGGCTCACCGGTTGAAGGGTGCTGAGGCTCTTGAGCATGAGTCGGTGGAAGATAGTTTACACTTGACGGTTCGAAAGGGTGCGCCCGGCGTGTTGCCGTAGGTTGACTCGGCTGCGTATCCTTATTGAAATAATTATGCCATGTTTGAGCAACTTGGCCTCCCGTCCACGCCGCGCCTCTAACTAACTCTTGGGTGACACCTTTCGCGATTTTATTGAGGAGTCCATCTTGGTTGCAATCGACGCCACAAGTTATAGATGGACGAGATGGCGGATTATGGGCGTCAATCCCGTAAGTCCTCTCCTCGCTTCGCGGACAATGGATGGTACCGCGAAGCGAGGTTCTATATGGTGGAGGAGGGACGACGGCTAGCCATCGACCGCTGAGGGACAAGATCGGCGTGTCTGCCGGTCCTAATTCACGGCCCGGATCGGATTGAATTTCATCTGTATTGGTTGAATTGGATGAATTGGAATGTCTTCGAGTATCTCGCATCCGAACACTAGTCCAAGTCTTTCCGAGGCAACAGTAAGAGCCTGGCGATTGGCTTGCTCCGGCGCCAAAAATAAACACCTCTCCACTCGTTCCGGATGCGAGAACAACATAGTTGCCACTAGAATATAATTTCAGCTCGCCCGCGGGTGGAGGAACAGTTGGAGAGGTTCCAGGGAACGTAGGGTAACAAGGTTCGGGTTTAGTCGCGAACAGCGTAGCTACCAAGCTTTGTGTTCTTAGCGAATAGATCTGTACACGAGTCTGCATACGCGGTAGGTCCGCTCGGCTGGGCAATGTATCCGGCCTATTCGAAACCCCAGGAACCGCCAAATCGGCGTTCTCGGACGCTGCAGAAGAGCAATACGCAGTGTCTTCTTGAGGGATAGGGCCAAATATGGTTACCCCGATGAGAGGCCGAGATGAGGAGAACGGATCGCTTCCAGACACCCAAGTCAAGATCTTGGCATCCAGCACTCGACCATTCAACCCCTTGATTGCGCCAAGGCTTCGCGACTGCTCATTGTCAAGTGCGATAACCTCCAGCATACCATCTCGACCAACTACAAGGACTTTCTTTCCAGAACGAGACTTGTGCGACGGAAGCATGTCAATAGCGCAGAAGGAACATCCACTTTCTTGCGCTCTTCGAATAGCTGGAGACGGGACTCCTGGAATTTCAATGTCAGGCGCTGAATAAAAGTGAGCTTGAGGGAGGTGAGGTAGGGGAGGCTGGTGGTATTGAGTATTCATCGAGTTTCGCTTCTGCCTATCTCTGGACTGGTGTCTTGTAGGGCTGGAATACTCTGTTCCCAGGCTTATGGGGCGCGGCTTGCCAATAGGGGACGGCGACATGGAAGGTTGTTGGAAGCCTCCCCTGTCCACCGGCAGGCTAAAGTCCGGGGGAGAAGCTTCGGTGTGCGCATCATTCATGATATTCTGAGGAGGACTCTTGCCGAAAGGAATAGACCTGGCCCATGTATCGGTGCGTCTGGTGATGTCGTCCTCCTCTGGCAGGGGTAGTGTGCTGAGGGCATCCAACACTGGTGGTTCGCTGTCATTCGCCATGGGCCGCGGGTTAAATTGAGTCGGAATAGGTTCGAGGAGCTGTTGCACAGGTTGAGAGACCTCTCTGTAGATGATACTGAGTTAGCTCTCTGTAGCTCGCGTTGGTTCTCCTGATAGTAGACACGGAATTTCCACTTCGATGGTAGCATTGGTATGGCGGTGAGAGTAACTTACAGGTCATCGAGGAGCGTCTTCGTCTCGGCTTTGGCCGTCTTATTATCCTTTCGAGCGGCATTCTTCTTTTTCTTGCCTTGTGCCACCTCGTCGGTGATAGAGGACCTGGGGTTCGATGGGGCTGTGGGCGTGGAGGTTGGGCGGTACTGACGACACGGACTGGACGCAGGGGGCATACAAAACACGGTAGGGATCAGCTTGGAGGAATCGACCCTGTAAAGGGGCTCTTGGGAGCCCAGCTAGAGCAAATGTATGGCTCAAGAACAAAGACACAGAGCGCACGGCACTCGTGAGAGGAAGATCAGGCCAGCTCCGAGTCAGCTTCCTCAGCTTCCTGATGAAGCCGCGGATAGGCACCGACGGGCGTAAACCGGCAAACGGAAGAGGTCTGGCAGCAGTTTTATCGTTAAACTTCAAAGCAAAGTATCTGAACAAAACGGTGATCGAGGATGAGCTGGCAGGGGAAGAGTCATGAAGGAGGTATTGTTGGGGATGGGCGGGGAGGGGAGTGATCACGGACCTTATGGGTTAATTACTGAAAGGGTACTCCGTAATTCCGATGAATGACACAGCGCCCGGGACAGCTGGCCAAGGCGGATGAACCAGTCAGCAATGGCAGCAGAGCACACTCGCCCCGTAATTTTTACCGGGCGTTACCGTACATAACGCCGTCCCGCAACTGACGTCGAATGAGGGGCACCAACGATGCAAACAGTGCAAAAAATCAGGAACACACGCACGCCAAGCCGCCTCAGCCCCACCCCTGCTGAGGTAAGTCGCCCAGGCTAGATGCTGACTCAGACACCCCATGTGACCGAACCCCGTCGCGATTCCCAGCACGCGGTGGCAGAGTGTGCGCTGGAGACACTGCCTGGCGACGCATCTAAATGACCTCTCTCGTCTGGAGTCTCAGGTCATCTTCAAGCTCGGTGGATTACATGGCTGATATCTAACATGTGTAAGCACGAAGGGATGTCGAATCTCCATCTCGGTGTCGGTTCCAACAGACATCTGTACGGGTGGGAAGCCTTGGCGCTCGGGGCGCGCTTGGTCAGGGAGCTACCCGTATTTATAAAAAAGCGACATGCCTGGTCGGAAGGCTGCCGGCGATTTTCTTCACGATGCTTGTGTTTGAGATCTCCTTCGTCCCTCCATCCTTCTGCAATTTTCTATATAAACTTTGGAGACAGAAAACACAACAAGGGTTCAAATGTTCCTTTGTCAGTGGTTTGGCCATCTTTACCATGCCCTCTTCTGCCCATCCATCCCCTTCAGCTATCGTTGGAGGCTTGTGGCTCTGCAGCCGCTCACGTCATTGGCGTATTTCCTAAAATGGATTCCATGTGCCTTCTCTCGAGACAAAAGTGTGATATGGATACCGCTTCGTCGAGATCCTGGCCACTTTGTCCGTGCGGTTGTTTTCAACCCTAAATGTCTCAGGCAAAAAAATCTGCCCGGGAGACCTCTCCATTTGGATATTCATGGTGGTGGCTTTCTGGGTGGTCTGCCAGAGTATGATGCGCCGTTTTGCATGGAGGTTGCAAGACGCACTGGTGCCGTTGTCGTCTCCACCTCCTATAGATTTGCTCCGCGATACACATTCCCGACCGCCCACGAGGACACTCAGGATGTCGCTTCTTATCTAGTTGAGAACTGTGAACAGCTTTGGGGTGCGGATCCCAAACTGATGACCATCAGCGGCTTTTCCGCAGGTGGTAACCTGGCCCTTGGTGTTGCACAGGGTTTGGCTGGGACCAGTCATCATATAAAAGGCTCCGTAACCTTCTACAACCCAGTTGGTCACCTACCAGTTCATTTTCTCTTTCCCCCCTTCATAAAGCCATAAAGCTAAATGGTGTCTGACACGATTTCCCAATTATTGACGCATTCGCGGCGGAGTAGGTAGATCTGCGTATTCCACCCTGGCTCAAGCCCAAACCTCCAGGTCTCCCGGCCAAGGATCCTTTTGCTTTTGTCATGCCTTTATTCGATGCATATCCCGGGCTACACCCTCCAAGACAACTACACAATCCGCTTTTAAACCCAATTTTGGCGGATATTCTTTCTTTACCCCCGAACATGCTTTTCATCATCCCGACCCTAGACATTCTATTACATGAACAAACAGTCTTTGTGGAACGGTTGAAGGAAGAGGCTGAAGCTCTAAACGCCCAATCAAATGCAGGAGAAGTAGAAGATTCCAAATGCACGGTGTATTCAGGAGCAATAGCGTCTGGAGTGCCAGAACAGCAAAACGCAGACGCAGACTCTCAACTTAACCATCGTACTATGTTGAATGACACTGTAAAGGTTCCGCCACGTTATCGGGTTGAGAGCATCCTTTTTGAAAACCAAGTCCATGGCTGGCTAGAGCGTGCGTTATTTCTTGCAGGATTCAAGCTTCATGCGTGAAAAGCTGACCCGGATAACAGTCCCGTCCATGGCTATTGATGAACAAACACGCATTTCTGCATATGATGCTGCTGTTCAATTCATTAAAGATGTTCACCGCGATGGTGGTTGGCATTTCAACGCCCCAGCCTGATTAATTACCCGAAAGCGCAATTGGTGCAAGTATCTGCATTCCGAGTGTGCAGAGGCGTATCCCCTTTTGTATAATATAAGCGACTACTCTGCTCAATAGTATTTTAACTTCCCACCTTCCTAATCCTGAATATGCATTCAGTAAGCCCTCCTCTAAGATGAGACTCGGAGGTGATTGACTTCGTTATACCACAAACCGTTCAGGCCGCTTGTGGTTCTCCTTTCCCGCGGTAAACGTCAAAAACGTCGATCAGATGCAACCACGCACGCACTGGTTCGTACCATATGTCAGATTCGAAAAAGCTCACATATGGTATATTACAATATCTATGCAACATCCTTTAGTGTAACAAAACAGACGCCTTTTCTAAACGCCGGACGTTGGTTCAAGTCCACGTTCTCAATTCCACCCTATTATTCTATACACATTGTGCTGCTAGGCTTGAACATAGCTTGAATCCAACAGGGAGCGGAGTAAACGACGGGTAAGATATATTTGACGGATGGCCACCCAGGCTCGATATTAGGAGAGTATAAAAACACATGAACGAAGGAATCTAGGCTTTCTTCTTCGCTGCTGCTTTCGCTTTGGCGGCCTTCTTCCGGTTGCTGCGAATCATAACTAATCCGAGGAACGTTCCAACAACAGCGGAACCAAGAAGTGTCAGAATAACGGGAATGCGAATTGCCCAAACTCGTGGGGGGAAGAGGTCGTGAAGAGGGTGTCCAGGGTCGACAAATGGCTAAACAAATTCATTAGTGCCCAGGAGAGTCCCGTTTCAAAAGTCTCGAGAGGGTCTTGCCATTAGTAAGGTCCAGGCAGTGTAATATAGAAAAATGGCCGTCGCCGCGAGCAACATGGCTAGGCCAAACAGTTGGCCGAACTGTGCCCGGTTGGCATTAGTCGCTCGAGTCTCATCATCTTCCAGCGGAAGGCTCACCATCGTTATTGAAGGAAAGAGGTAAAGAGTCCTACTACTTTAGCAGGCTATAATATGCTTCTCAAAATCGACCCTACGGCATCAAATTGTCAAATGACCCCCTCCGTCCGACATCTAGTTGAATCATTCTTCAGGAGAACGTCCCCTATCTCCAGCCTGGATGCCAAAGCTTGATATCACGTGACCGGCCAACCTCCCAAAACTTCTGGCGCATCTCTGAAGCTACATCTTTGATCTCCGGCAAAGTCCCAGTCCTTTGAATGCACCTTGAACTTCTTTAAACAGCTTTGTGAAAATGGCGGATTCTGTAATGCTGCAATCAGCAGTACGCCTGCCGACTCCCCCTCCGGGAACCTCCTACGCGCCACAAGCTGTATCGTCTCGAAAACGTTCGCCATCGTCGCGTTCGCCTTCACCAGACCGCCGACGCCCTGCCCCCCACGATTCTTCTCGAAATGGCCCCCAAACTGATCTCGACCGCGAAACTGAAAGGGATCGTCAACTGGCCGAGAGATTCCGTCAGTTTAAGAAGCCCGATGGCCGCTTGAAGCCTCTCACGGATGAGGAAAAACAAGCTGCGGCAAAAGCTGAATATGAGAAGTTACTGAACATGCGCTCTGGAGGCACATATATACCTCCTGCGAAACTTCGCGCTCTGCAGGCGCAGATAACCGATAAATCGAGCAAAGAGTACCAGCGGATGGCTTGGGAGGCCCTAAAGAAATCCATTAATGGGTTGATCAACAAAGTCAACATCTCTAACATCAAATACATCGTTCCAGAGCTTTTTGGAGAAAATCTTGTTCGTGGCAGGGGTCTCTTTTGCCGAAGTATAATGAAAGCGCAGGCTGCCAGTTTGCCCTTCACGCCGATTTATGCTGCTATGGCGGCTATCGTTAACACCAAACTACCGCAGGTCGGACAGCTATTGCTTACCCGGTTGATTGTCCAGTTTCGTAAAGCGTTCAAGCGAAACGACAAGGCTGTGTGCATTTCCTCAACGACTTTTATCGCTCATCTATGCAACCACCAGGTTGCCCACGAGATCATCGCTGCGGAAATCTTATTTCGCCTTCTTCATAAACCTACCGATGATAGCGTGGAAATTGCTGTCGGCCTTACCAGAGAGGTTGGACAGCATTTGGAGGAAATGAATCAAGCCATTGCTCTCGCGGTGTTTGACCAGTTCAGGCATATCCTTCACGAAGCGGACATCGACAAGCGTGTGCAGTATATGATTGAGGTTCTATTCCAAGTCCGAAAGGATCGTTTTAAGGATAACCCTGCCATCAAGGATGAACTTGACCTTGTGGAAGAGGAGGATCAGATTACACATTGTCTTGGTCTTGATGATGAGCTCGAGGTCCAAGATGGTCTCAACGTATTCAAATTTGACCCACAGTGGGAGGAGCACGAGGAGGCATATAAGAAGCTTAAAGCCGAAATATTAGGAGAAGGAAGCGATGACGAGGAAGAAGATGGATCCGACATAACATCGGATGAAGATGAGGAGGATGAGGAAGAGCGACAAATGGACATTAAAGATCAGAGCAACACCGACCTGGTCAACCTACGACGAACCATTTATCTTACTATCATGTCCAGCATCGACTTTGAAGAATGCTGTCACAAGCTCATGAAAATCAATCTACCGCCCGGCCAAGAATCTGAGCTGCCTTCTATGATTGTCGAATGTTGCTCTCAGGAACGGACATATTCTAAATTCTACGGACTCATTGGAGAGCGCTTTGCGAAGCTCAATCGCCTATGGGCTGACCTTTTCGAAGCAGCTTTTGCGAAATACTATGACACAATCCATCGTTATGAAACGAATCGTCTGAGAAATATTGCCAGGTTCTTTGGGCACATGCTTAGCTCTGATGCGATTGGGTGGCACGTTCTTTCCGTCATCCATCTGAATGAGGAAGAGACTACGTCAAGTAGTCGTATATTCATCAAGATCCTATTCCAGGATCTTGCCGAAGTACTGGGGATGCCAAAGCTCCTAGAACGGCTGAAGGATAACATACTTCGACCAAGCTTTGAAGGTATATTCCCAACTGACAATCCTCGCAACACTCGGTTCTCCATCAACTACTTCACCAGTATTGGAATGGGTGTTCTCACAGAGGAAATGCGTGAACACCTTAAAAATCTTCCGAAACCGACTTTGCCAGCTTTGCCGGCTCCTGCAGACGAATCCGAATCCGAATCTGTGAGCTCATACTCAAGTTATTCATCATATACCGGATCCTCTCGCTCTCGTTCCTACTCTCGGTCTCCGTCTCCTCGACGCAATCGGGACGAGTCTCGAGGACGTCACAGATCCTATACACCAAGATCACGGAGTACGAGTCGAAGCCGAAGTTATAGTACGTCGCGTTCCCGCTCTCCACCAGGACGTCGGGGTAGACCGTTGTCATATTCTCGATCCCCATCTCCCCCAGGAAGAAGAGCCAGGTCTATCTCGTCTTCTGTTTCGCGCAGGTACACTTCCAGCAGGTCACCTTCGCCAAGTAGGTCGCCCCTCCAACGGCGAAGTGCCAGGCGTTCCTTATCTCGTTCCCTGACTCCGCCACGTCGGCGAGGAGCGAGCCCTGTTCCCGCTCCACGTTCCAACAGACGCCGATACAGTCCATCGCGGTCGCGTTCCCCTTACCGTCGACGTAGCTCTATGGGAAGGGACAGCTATTCCAGATCCCCTTCCCCTGATAGAGGACCCAAGCGTAGGGTCCGTTCACAATCCCGGTCCGTAACTCCACCTCGTTATCGCGAAGATAGTAGGCCTCGAGGAACCAGGCGCCCTTCGCTTTCGCCTTCGCGCTCGCCCTCGCCCTACACAAGACGTCGACAAATGAAGAGATATCCTCGTTCATTTTCTCGGTCACTGTCTCGGTCAAGAACACCCCCACCGCGAGCCAATCGTCGTTCTAGTCCTGGCCGAAGAAGAGACCGATCTCGATCCAGATCAGCATTGCCCACTCGAGGACGTGCTCGAGCTTCAGACTTTCTATGATGCCAGTTAGGGATATCGGGTTCCCTTTTGTTTTAATGATTACTCTCTTGCTACAGCCTTCATACCATAGTTCTGCAATGGCAATTAGCTCTACTATCACTAGGTAATTTGTTTTAGTCCATCTCGCTCTTCCTGTCTTGGGGTCTTTTGCGCTTGCTAAAGTTTCAGCGGAGTTTTGTGAGCTGTATCAATGCATCCTTTGATTCCATGCAGCATTTGTAGGTCTATGTATTAAGGGACAATTTAAATCCATTTCCTTGGCTTCTATTACCACGCTGTCCTACATACCTCTTTCCAAGAGCCATTTAATCTTGGTCGATCTCTGATAGGGATGACCCTATCCCCTTGCTCCCCAAGAAGAAGCCCTCCATCACATGCAATATCCACCATTAAAGGTACCGATGACAACTACGGCATAGCGATGAGAGCGAGGGGAGTTCAGGCGGAGTCCCTCCTTTCGATATCGAGGGCGCCGCTATCCGATGGTTTCGGCCCACTTGTGCAAGGTGTTCACAGGCAAGGCTATGTGCAAGAACAAAATCCGGAAGGTGACGCCAAACGCGCTGAAGAGACAACGGTTTGTGAGATGCTGAGAGGAGGGATGGCTGCATGTGTTTGATCGATTTCGATTTTCCTCGGCTCTTAGGGAAGTCATCCTTTTATTCACCTGGGCAATGCAAGTATCTACGAATATGGGGGATAAGGGGAAAAAGAAAAAAGCATGGTACTCCGTACTCCGTAGATAGAGAATCAATTCCAGATGTGTATTGTGAACAGAGAGCGTGGCTTTGCCACCGGATCGCGCTGATTCAAAAATAAATAAATAAATGAAATAAAATAAAATACTGAGTACTCCGTAGAAAATAGAAAATATTTCTGATTCTTGGCCTATAGCCTGGCTTCACCAGCGCTCCAGCTTGTGGCGCCCTGGCTTCTATCAGACGTTAAGGACGCAGCTAGTGACGTGATTTGCAAATATTATGTACAGCACACAATGGCGCATTGGCTCATTGGCTGCCACGAGTCTTGGGGGTGTGAATTCTCTTCAATGCTTGTGAGGATGAAGGGAAAAGTTGACGTTTCCACTCAGATGCATATTTGACTTGCAGAGTGAAATTTCAACTAACCAGTGCAATGGCAGTGGAGTAACTAGCAGGTCAATCTTGGGTGCTTTGGCCCTGACACCTCGGGGACCTGGGGGAAACGATGGGCGAAGAGCGTGCGGGGGCGGCGGACTGTTAGGGGCCAATGCGGGTCTTCCGGGCGCTGAGTGGCTGGTGGGCTTGGGGTTGCGGGCGCCTCCCCAGCACTAAATAACTTCACCAATTTAGTGAGCTGCCTGGCTGACCACGCACATCTCGCCGCACATTTCCAAGGTGCTGAGTTTGAAGCAGTTCTGTCGTTGAAGACATGCAGCCAAAACTTTTGAATTCGGCGCTATTGAACTGAAAACCTGAGTCCGCAGCCACTTGCTCGTTCGCTACTTAGTGTCGTTGCCATTCACTCCATCTCTGCATCATTTCCAACCCGACGACCCCGCGAGAACCTGGGCAGCCTGCATCGCTAACCACTGCTGTACCACCGCCGTCTTGACACACATTTCCCGACAGAGATGTCACTCCGAGGGAAATTCCTTGCGCAGCCATTCGCCGTGCTCGCTGCTCTCGCTGTCTGGCTGAAGAATCCTGTGAGACACGTTGGTTGCCAATGAGAATGACGCCCGTCATGATGGGGCCTCATCTGCAGCCACTGTAGATCCCGTCACTCAATCTCAGAAGATCCACACAAACTATTGCTGGAGCAATTTCGTGACTTCGTGCTGGATCCTGTATGGCTGACCGCTTCCAGGCTTAGAATACGAGGCTGGCAGGCCTGCTCCCCCCCAGCGTATCTCTTCGTCCTCTAGTCGCCGATTCATGCTCGGCTCTCCCCCTCTCTTCTTCCTCCCTCCCCCCTCGCGGCTCTGGGTGAATCCGCATTCGGGGACACCCTAAAGACGCGCCGACCTGCCTCTGAAAACATGCATGCAAGCCCTGCAATGCATGCACACTTCGCCTGGGCGCGGAGACTATATTGAGGGGTCAGTAAGATTATCTCCTGTGCGACTGCAGAAGGCGAATTCCATGAATCGCTGGGGCGGCTTGGCCGGTGATTCGCTGAATCTTAGAGTTTTTGCCTCTCAAACCGAGCACCGAAACTGGGTCGCCCGGGAGTCTTTGGATTAGAGCTTGTTGATTATTGGACAACTAGAATGACGAAGCTCCGAACAAAGTGCAGAATTGACAGCCAGCCCCAACCATTCGACGGGGCAAGAAATCCCCAACGATCGGCTTTCCTAAATGGAGATCTCTCGATCGAAATCTGGCCTGGGTAGATCTGTCATGTTCGACTCGGCTGGCAAGTCACTCCTACGGATTTGGAATTGGTCGTTGAAAACCCAGGCCGCCATCGTTACCTAAATTTTCCCACAACAGCCTGGGCGCCATGTATCGTTCCTCTGGCTTGCCTCCAGTCTTCTCCGACGTATTTACACCACTGCGGTCGAAATTGAGCGGCACCTTCGCGATTCCTTGAAATGAGAATGGCAGAAATGAACACGAACGCTTGACCCCCTCCGTTCCACAAAGACACAATGGTCGGAGGAACGAGCCACCTAGCACCACGTCCTCCCGTATTCTTTCTTCGGATATGATCTTGATAGGGAGACGTGCAAAAAAGAAACAAAGAGGTCAACCCCCTCAGATTAAACATATACATGCCATTCGGGTAAGGCGTGATCAGCTTCACCTCGCTAGCCGCTTTCTCCGACCTAAGAACGGCCAAAAAAAAAAAAAAAAAAAAAAAAAAAGACATTCGTTCACCCAGCTCGACTCAATGAGCTGGCACATTTTCTCCCACTTTTATCCCGTAATTACGGCTTATCTGATGAAGTCTCGGGTGCAAACATGGGAATGACCCGCTTTTCGAAGCCTTTGCCCCCTTTTCCAAGGATTTAGTAAGAGTTGTCCAGTTGATTAAGCGCACTGATGAAGTCCATGACTGGCAAGCTGTAGCGCTGGCTGGGCGGAGGAGTGGCGCACATTTCTGTGGAAAATTAAGCTTAAGACCGGAGGGAGGTGGGCTGTGGAGCCTTCATCGACCTGGAAGCTTTGCAAACCAGGGCATCATTCAATTCAACTAGGTACTCCGTGCAGAAAAGAAGGGAGCCCCTGCCCACCATGGCACCGGTTCATGTTCCAGCAGAAAGCCTGGTCATCCTTTTTTGAGTTGTGCATACTGCGGCAGATCGGATTACAAGGAGGGGGGGTCTCTGATCCAAACCTGACCTTCGAATCTTGCCTGACGTCTAGCAGTGCCGAGTGGATGAGATGCTTGGAAAACGAGACGTCAAATTGCCTTATCTTGAAATTATAATCGTCCGGTCCATAATCTGATGGTAGACGCACTTGTGGCTTTGCCTTCCGTTCCGCCTTTCCCACCCCAATAGCTAGATAGTCACTCCATTTGTGGGATACACAATAGATATATTTGAGGTCATATCCCACATGTCCTTAGGTGAGTTCCATTTCCTTGGATGCAATACTTTCTTCTACCTGTTTTCTTTTTATCTTTAACTCCTTGCACCGTTCAACATACTCTTACGAGTTCCTGTTATTGAGCCTCCGGCTTAATACCACTTTTGTTTTATTCTTTTTCTGAGCAACAATTCCCTCAGAGAGAATAGCCTTGTTTACCTTCTAGTGAGACACCTTTACTTGTGATAAGAACCGAGCCAGAACCATCTATCTAACCCCCCAGTCCGCCAGATCTAGGCCTACAATCAGCAAATCCAGCATATACAGGATATTTTAGACTCTTGCCTTTGCTCCATTTATATTCGCGAGAGGTTTGAACACTCTTGAGTTGATCCCTCAGGTTCTTCTAAGCACCCTCAGCGAGAAGGGCTTTATTAGCATCTGCTCTCTCACAACACCGCCAACAGCCACATAGGCTCTATTTAAACCCCCGGTCCGTGAACTCAGCTTGGATCTTGTGAAGTCAACATCCGCCTTGACCCAGACTTTATTCATCTGTTTTAGCGTTCGGCGAACAGGTGTGAAAGCTGTGGTGATGCCTCCAACACCGCAAAGTAAGAATGGGCGACAGAGAAGTCGGTCCCATGAGGAAGAATATGTTGTTTTCCTTCAGGGAGTAAGTTTCCATGCATCCTTTCTTCTCCGCGAGTTCATCACCTCACGTGTGTATGCATGAGAGCAGATTCCACCCCAATGTCGCTGGCAAGAGCTCAAGGATCTTGTGCGCCAGACTGCGCTTCACATACGACAGGCTGTGGTGTATGACGACTGTCATGGGCATCCAACAGGTTTAGGGCAGATCATCATCAAAAATGAAGACGAGGCCTGGAGGACGTACAGTTAGTTTTAGCTGGTCAGAGGAAGCTCCTCGATCTAACGGAACTGCCTAGATCGGTTATCAACAAACGGATGGAATGGTCATAGCTTGACAGTAACTCTATCGATGGCAAACGCGCCAACACATCCTATCGCAGGTCCGACGAAGAGCCCATCTGTTCCTCGACTCCCGTTTATTCCCACATACTCTCACTCGCCGCTCATATCGTCTCCAACATGCAATCTCAGCCATGAGTAAGGATCGCGGGATTTTTTCTTTCTTTTTTTGAGGACGCCGTACCGAGCTTTGCTAACTGAACAGTCGAAGAATTCCCTTATCACCTGTATACCCACAGTCGCCTGAATTTCCTCCCTATGCAGCCCACATCGCTCCCGGCTGCCACCCTCACCTTGTCTCACTTCCTCCGGACGCCTTAGGATACCAATTACCTTTCGTCTTACCGAACGACAACTCCTTTGTCTTCCCACACTTTTACCATTCGAACTTCGACCCTTGCTCCATGGGCCCTCATCGCTATCCTCCGTCGGGGCCCATGCAGCACTTTCCTCAAAGTAACCGCAGTAGCATCTCAGCGAACAGCAATTACAGTGCAGGGTCGAACGTCGAGCCCACCGCCCCCACGTCGCGACATCTTTTTGTTCAGAACCTGAGCCCCGGCACCACCTCGCAGCAGCTAAAGGACTACCTTCAGGCCACCGGGACAGTGAGCAGGTGCGACGTGCTCGATCAAAGATCCTTTGGACGGACGAAAGTTTGCGCTACGGTCAGCTTCCAGGACGAGGAGGTAGCAAAGGCGGCGATATCGATGTTTGACAATTCAACATTCATGGGCTCGAGGATAAGAGTTCGTTTCAACCGAGAACGAAGTCCATCGAGTGGCAGCCAGCCGAAACAGCCGAGTTCGGATGAAAAGAGTGCTTCCCACGAGCATAAAACGGCCGAGGCTGGTCTGGATAGCGACAAGCCTCATGCAGCTACTGCCACCTCCCTAGGAGGCTTGAAGGGAGAGCAGGCTTGTCTCGAGAAAAAGTGTGGCGGGCCACTGGTGGTGAATGGGTCATGTGTGGGGATGAAAGCCGGCCGTGGGAAAGAAGAAAAGAGAGATTATGAAGGTGAGACTTGCAGAATTTCGTTGATACCCCTTTTTTTTTTTTTTTTTTGCCAGAGAGGTTGGGTTCCTAACAACTGTGCTTTGCAGGTGAACTGTCCAAAATGGCGCAAGAGATCCATTTGTAATTCCTCAACTATGGCTGGGATAACTATATGAACTAAAGACAGGGCATGGCTACGGTGCACTCATGGGAAAGGCAAATGGATTTCTTTAACCCTTTTTTTTTTTTGTTTGCTTTCCCGCTTCTCGCAAAGATTATTGATACCATTATTTTACAAGTTAGTCAGTTAATACAAGGTTAATTGTTTCTTCTTTTGCGTTCTCCTGGCTTTCAGACCATGCAAGTGTTTCAAAGGAGCAATTGGCAAATGCAGTGATCATTGATGCATGTTTGCTTCGGTGCCGCTGCCGGGGTGCATTCTCTCCTGAAAGAAAGAGAGAAAAAAAAAAAAAAAAAAAAAAAAAAAAAAAAATCCCGTCACTAGCGAGCGCCGAGCGGCAAGGAACAATTCTCGCCTTTTCACACCTCGCCATCCCTTGCAAGGCATGTATGTAATATACTCCGTCGTGAGCGATGATTTGCATACGCGGCATGTCAAAAGTCCGATCCGCGGGCCCAGGATCCCAGTATTCCCCGACGGATCTCAGGCCCCGGCGCAGGGCCCGGGGGTCGATCTCTCTTCAGGGAATATATGCAGAACGATCCGGCATGAAGAAGGGAGGGAAAACAAAAACTCAATTAGATTTTTTATTCTTCACTCTTGTTTTCTTTTTTTTTTCCCTTGTCGGCTATTCAAACCTTGGAAAGTTGCAGGGGGCGGTGCATGCATGATGGTTCCTGGACTTCGGCCGAGCCCCTCGCCCCAGCCAGTGTAATAGTCTTTTCTTTCTTTTTTTCTTTTTTTTTTTTTCCTATGGGAGGGCTGGCTGGCTGGCTGGCTACCGAACGGTTGAAGCGGGAGTTCATAATGTACGGAGTAATACGCCGTACGGAGTAGCCGTCTGGACAATGGACCGGGTATAAAGGGGAGGATAAGTGTGCATATGTACAGTACCTTTTTCAACCCTTTGTTTCTGGACGCCGCGTTTGCTCTGGACAATGGAAGATCGAGTGAGTGTCTCTCTGTTGAGTAACCAAAATACGGCGGACGCCGCATCTGGACTCCGGAAAGTCCGGAAGTCCACTGTGATAAGGCTGAGAAGTACCACACCGCAACCACGGAACTAGCACAGTTACAATGTATATATGTCACTATGTACTCCGTATCTGGGGCATATCATATATGTATTCCAAAGCAGGAACGGGGTCCGTCTTAGCCGCAAAGAAAACGCGAAGAAGAGGTCACCTGGACGGCCCTACGCACGCGCACACACACACCTAAGAATGATTTATCCACAAACGGCCCGGGAGGCCGTTACAGTGAGAGCCTGGAGGAGGTGTTTCAGAAACACATCCCTGGTGCGCTGTCCTCTCTAAAGGACGTAAGCGAATGCAAAACATATGCATCAGGCCATTCTGAGTTATCCAAAATCCAGGAATTTCCTTGTTCAATGGAAATAAAAGGAAAAAAGACATTTATTAAAAGTTCTTCATGCTTGGCAGAGTACTCTGTATGTGTGGATAAGGAACAACAGTACTCCGTATTAACTTCAAGTCTGCACCTTGTGCAAGCCGTGCACGCAGTTCGCTAGGGTAAGGCTCCCCAGCAGCCCTCGTTAGTGGCAACCAAACCGCCGCCCTAAAACTTAGTGTCATGCACGATTCGAATCACTCGGGCGAGCGATGCCTTAAAACTATCGAAGCCCGGCCGCCTGGGCTTTGAAAAAGGAAAAAAACCTTTTTACAAAAAATATTGCCCACCGAACTAAATGAATGGTATGTATGTATGTATGTATGTGAATTACCCTGTACTTCGATAGACCCCAGCGGTTTTGAAATATATGTAGAATATACTCCGGATGAGGCCAAAACCACTGCCATCCATCATGGGCATGTGGCAGTGATTCTGTGGTCACTTGATCCATGGGCGGGCAGCTGGCCGATATGGGGCCCATCCAGGACTGGAGAGGGTAAGAGAAAGGATCTGGGGGACACAAAGGTCTCACCTGAGCCCACATGGCCGCTGGAGCGAAATCCAGTGGCTGAAAATAAAAAAAAATAAAAATAAATGAAAGTACGGAGTAAAGAAATAAAAATTAGCGAACATTTGAGGTGGAAAGAAGGTGTCGATGGCCATCGAGTTTTCTCCTCGGATATTGGGATGAAACGGACACTACGGAGTATAGACATTGATTCGTACTGTGTGGAGGAGTGTGTGTATGTATATAAGTCCAGGTCATTTCACACGATCGCATTTTTCACATCGCATCGTTTAGCAGACCGGGTAGAGAAGCCGAAGTCAAAAATGGTATATAACACTCAGGTTGCGGCAATTGACGCCACACCGGTATAACAATGAGATTTGCTCAAAGACAATGTTCCTCCAGCCCGTAACTCCGGATGAATGGATTAAAATGTGATATACATATTCAGGAATCTTTCAAATCCGCCTCAGTCGCAGCAAGCACGGAGTGATGAGTAAAAACAGAGTGGAAATAAGTAGAGAGAAAAAACAAAAAAAAAAAAAGAGATCCGCATTTTCTAATGTCGCTTAAACGCTCAAACAAGCAATATGTCGTAACTTCATCATGGAAGGGAATTCAGGGAGAGGTAAATGTTATTATACAACGTGTACGGAGTAATTTGGCGTTTATATTATTATTGTTTTGTTTTCCTTTCCTTTCCTTTTTTTTTTTTTTACTTTATTATTATTATTATATTTTTTTTTTTTTCGGTCGGTAAATTTCAAGGGAGTCGACAAAGGCCCGTTTCGATCGCGATCTGATGAGCGTCGGGGATTGGCGGTGTGCTTGGTGGGTAGTCGGATCTTTTGTGGTGGTGCTTTTTGTTGGCGTTTCTGTGGTTTTTCTTTTATTTCTTTCATCTGCGGTTGCAGCAAAGGCGGTGGCTGCGGTTTGGACCACATGGGTGTCAGGCTGATCCCGCCAGGGGATCACGAGGCACACGACTGGCTGTTTAGAAATCTGCACGCTTCCACGCCGAAAGCTGCATGACGTTCGAGTTGGGAGTGGGCGATAGTTGGGGATCTGGGTATTTTATAGTTTTCTACCCATTCTTCGCGTAATACGCAATCAACCGGTGCCAGCGAGCAACTGTTTCCCCTTCTGGGTCGGAGTATAGCGTATTATCATTATTGTCTTTTTTTTCGCCAGCGATTTGAAAGAAAATTCCGTGTCGAGCGGGGAGGCGAACGAACGAGATGTATATGGAGATCAAGTTTCGCCGGTATCATGCCCCCTGTGTACGGTAAAATCCGTGTCCCGTTTAATAGTCCTTGTGAGGAAGTCTTGTTTTCTTTTCTTCTTTTATTTTTCCCCGTAGTTTCCGATTTGTGTTGCCGGTTATGATGATGAGGCCGATGTTCAGCGTTTGTATCCCACCATCGAGGCGCAGCGTGGGCAGTAGTAGCAGTTGATGCCGAATTGCACGGACTTTTCAGGACTGAGGGAAAGCTGACACCTAGAGCAGCGGACCTCTACGGCAGGACCATCCACAGATCGAGGGGGCATGCCTGGAGTAGATCCGGTCGAAGTGGGCTGTCGAGGAACGGCTGTGGAAGACATCTCGGGGGAGTTGAAGGGATTGAAGCAGGTTGTCGCTCGAGAGAGCTTGAGGGAGAAGTGTATGGATAGCCGTCTGCTGGCGACGGTGTTCAGCGGCGCGAATGTCAAAGTAGGTATGTGAGCAGTTGTGGTGTGTAGGAAGATGGGTGAAAAAGATTCGGTGGGTTCACTCTTCATTAATGTATGGGTTTCTTTAACGGAAGCCGGTGGGGAGGGGGAGGCGGTGACCATAAGAGGCACAGCAGCGTTCTCGTATTCTGTGTTGCAGAGAAGAGCAACGTTGTTTTGTGAGTGTGAGTATATGTGTGTGTGTGTGTGTGTGCGCGAGCGAGAGAGAGAGCAAGCGGAGGCCCGTGAAGGGAAGACGCGGTAAATAGTATGACTAGTATTTGAGTTTGGGCAGCCAGTTTACCTTTAAGCCCGGCACCGACCAGCGGCGTAACCAGGGATCGTAACCGTGTCGTTATCTGGCAGCCTGGTACCGTACCATAACCCGCCCGTGCAGTGAGCGACCAGACAAGTCTCCGTGCTCCGTGCGCCGGCGAGTCCGCCTAAAAATAAGTTGTGGTCGCCTGCTTCGCCTGCCCGGGGCGAGGGGGAGGTTCAGCTGAACAAAACGAAGGTCGAGAAACCGAATTGGACTGAGTGGTAGTATTGTTATTTATTTATTTATTTATTTTTTTTGTTGTTTTCTGTTATAGTTTTCCTTTTTTTTCTTTGTACGGAGTAAGCCAAAACAAAAAATGAAGGTTTGAAATGAAACATCCTGTTGAAAATTTTCCTTTTTGAAGGATGGGGCTCGCAGTCTATATAATTAACTGGTTTCTAGCCAGGGGACTTGGCTGAATCATGGCATTTTCATGGAAATCCAGTGTCAATTGGCCGAACCTTAAAAAAAAATAATAAAAAATAAAAAATAAAAAATAAAAAAAATAAAAACGCTGTGCCTTTTTATTCAAGGTAAATTTCAGGGTTGCCTTGTTCATTTCCAAGATTCAAAGTCGCAGCGTCAAGCGGGACGAGGCCCATACGAAGATGATTTTCCGGCCAAACAGCTCGAGAAGAATGCCAGGGAGCCCCTCACATGGAAAGTATCACTGAAGAAAACCACTCTCGTTGCGCAAAAAGCCCATGCAGACGATACATCACTTCTGCGACTGACAGGTTTGAGACTTTGCGAACCCGCTGCAGTGGAAATCCCTGCGCCCCTCCCTCTTGCTTGGTTCTCCGGGATTGAACGTCCACCCCCTCTCTTCCGACCACATTCGCTACATAAGCTGGACATCTATCCATGTAGATAGAATGTGTATGCATGTATATTCACTCCTGATGGGTCTCGCCGTTGCAGCAGTTGTTCGCAAAACACGAACCACACCTTACACGCGGAAACTCGCCGCGGAGGTTGTGCCAGGCAAAATCGATACGTTGATAAACAGTCAAAATCTCAAGAATGCAACTGGATGCAAAAGGACAACCTTTCCTATAGTCATTCTGCACGAAACTATCGAGACTTCAATTCCATCCTCCCTGGCATACACCCTACCCGGTAGTTCGGTCCGCTTTTTTCCCGTTGAATATACAATACACTATCAGACACAAAAACACATACTCTATACATTTTGATGTGTTTTCTATATATATATCTACTCTCTCCGTCTAGACACTCTATAGGGAATTACGCAAGAGGATAACGTATGTATCCATCGGGCCACAGCGAACAGGCTAGCCGGCACGAGGGGCCCAAGACGCATGATGATGTTATCCTGCAGCGACCTGAAGAACTGGCGAGCCCCAAGCGCCATAGCCAGCAAATGAGAGACTTTAAAAGCCGACCAAGCCATCACGGAGTACGACATCGATGTTGTCATCAAAATTGCATCATTGTGCCTGCCATTGATGGACCATGAGGGCATATTTTGTCTCTTTGCACACCGCACCCTGTACCTTGACGGGCAAATGATCGTCGCGGCTCGAGAACCTGGGGCGTGGGCTGGAGTGGGCTATCAATTGCATCGCTTCTTCTGTTTTTACTCTCCCCGCAGGCCCAACTCAGCAGCGCTTATCTCCCGGGTTTCAGCGGAAGAACGAGCGGTCGTGGTCTGTCTGGGATAGGTTTAAAAATAAAAATGATGCGCAGACTGAAGAGTCCAGGTCCTTGGGGTGGGGAAGAGACACATGGTTCTGGAAACAGTTTGTCGCGTGCCACGGAGGCAACGGATAGGTTATCTCCGAGCTGAGCTCTCCGCCAAGCGCACGGGTTTGCATAACTTGCCATGGAAGTTCCGTCGAGCCCTTTTTTTCCCTTTTGTTCTCGATCCGCGCAGTCAATCTCCCGCGTGGGGTCGGAAGAAAGCGTCTGAGGCCTTTTCTCGAGGTCTCTGGACATATTGCCGCTCAGGTTCTGGGGGCATACATATTCATCATGCTCGTTCCCGCAGCTGAGCATGCAGTGGCTGTCCTACGTACTTTGCAGATACATACCTATGTAATGTTATACGATTCCTCTCAATCCTTCAATGGTTGACACTTCCTTTAGAGGTTCGTGCGTTCCGCCCTACATATTGTATGTACGTATTGTACATACATAAGTATACACATTGCGATGCGGGAATTAGAGAGATTTCTCGCTCTCAGCCTTCCCGCATTTGCCGCAGCTGTCACAAGCTGGGCGGTTCTGAATGAGCCAGACCTTCCCACGTCTCCGTCGCTATCTTTCCCGCTGGAAGACGAATCTCTACATACATACATACATACTTCGTACTCCGTACATCCCACATATATGCGTAACCTCGATCATGCAGGCTCATCCTTTCATTTTGCATTATCCAGGAAATTTGGTTGCTATGCTTTTTGAAAGGTCTAAGCCAACGCCCATAATCACCACTAACTTAGTTAATTCTAGTCCGTGCGAACGTCTCTTCTGTTTCTTCTCCTGTAACGAAGATGCGCTACCAAAGGTTCTCCATTGGGTGGAGCTATCTGGGAAACACAGGCACTCTGTACTCCGTACGTACTGGGCACTCATCCCATCCCACTCTCACAGGCCTTCAGCACCTCTACACAGTACGAAGTTGCGCCTTTTCAGGGAAGAGGGCACAGGAAACCACAAACCGACGGGCACTTGAGGCTACTAGCCTGTTCGTGCCTTCCCCCTCACAAACCCCCTGGGGCGACGACATCCTGGTTGGCGGGCAAGGGAAGGAACCCGCAACCTTAATTGCCCCGCCCAGGAACACCCCATGTGACGTCACCGGCCCCCCCCCCCCCCCGCCTCGCCCGCCACGTCTTTTAGTGCGCGATGCACTCCGCACCGCACAACCTTTTGTCTATGTAGCAGAATTTCATTTCCGACACGTCTTGTCGCAGAGAGCAACATCGCCAGCAGAGTCGCACAAATATGCCTCAGTTTCCGTGGATCCGTTCACTCTCCAGCTCCGTTTTGCTTTTTCTCTTTTTCCCGGATTTATTGTTGTTCCGTGGGCCGCATGTTCCCCTTCAGGTGTTTTGTTCTTGGCGCGGCAATCCCCGCCCTTCTCTCAAAGACGGCTCGCAGGGTCATGACGCATTCTTCCTGCATCCGAGGACACATCACTAAGCGCCGGGGAGCGCTCTATTTCCTCCTGTATGTACTCCGTACGGAGCAATGCACTTCCCTGCACAACCCTGTTCCTAAGCGGCTTTTTTATTTGTGGTGGAAATAGACCGATCGGTACTTGTTCTTTCTAGGACAAACGATGGGATACAAAGTACCACGATGCGGCTCCGTTTTTCCCTCTCTCTTTCTCTCTTCGCTTGATTACCACCAATTGCGCCTGCTAAGCACAGATACGCTCAAGCGACGCAGGATTCGCCTGTGTCTGCGCTTAGATGTTGCGGATGCTAGCCTACACTCGAGCTTCTGGCGATGATGACGCCAACGATCGTGCGTGGTTCAAAGCTTCCAGCTGATAGATAATGCAGAGCGGGCGGTGCAATTTCAGTATCACACTTGCGCAATGCAACTCCCAGCCAAGCACTTTCCGGTGATAATTATCGAGTAGCTGTGTCAATCGCCATGGTGACACGTGTTACGAGCCTCAAAATAACATTGACTCACTTTACGAGCTGAGCCCGTGACCACTTCGAAATATTTGCGACAGCTTCAACCAGATTCCGAGGGCTGTGAGATACATTTACATGGGCTTTGAACGGATCCTGGCCTGATCCTTGCGCCCTTTTGCTGCTCCCATCATGTTATTCTTTCTCTATTGGCCTTGTGCAATTTTTGCAATCCGAACACCGCCTGTAGCTCTTATGGGGTTACAAGGTATGAAGTAACTGGACGATGTTGCTTAAACGGCCTTACGATTGTGGCCTTTGTTGTTGGTGTGGCCTCATAGAGTCCAGGACTTTGCTTGGCCGACACTAGAAAGGACATTGGGACATTTTCGTCTTTTCCTGATTCTGGTCCGGCAGAAGCAGCTTTCTATTACCCCATGGAGAATTATCACCCGTGTTAGCACGACTATTTTGGTTCTCAAGAGCAGACCTTCCTCTCTGCTTCCCTGGTCATACTTCTCCAGCGCTTCCTTTTTACACGGAGTACTATCCTTCCTGGCAACACTTTGATTGCTTGTTGCTTTTATTGACGCAAGTTGCTCGCTGTGAGTGTCAGTTCTCTCGACTAGTCACCGGCAAGGCCGCTATAACTGTTTCCCAGTTGACAGGAAAGGGCAATTCTGGTGTCCTTAATTTTTCCCACGACCCATCACAGTTCATTCCACAATAGACGCTCAATTATTCAGTGCTGGTGGCAGATCTGGCGATTCACTACAAGGTCAAGGGGAGTCCTGTGCTCGTTCAAGAGGTGGGCTTCCTTGGTTCTTACAAGAGCCTTGTAAGTTCATTGACTGGGTACCTTCAAGCCGTACCCAGTGTTCAGGCTGCGATCCTAGTCAAGATTGAGGAGCGGCCGTTCTATAAATGGCCTGACTTCAGCACGTCTACTGTTTAACAGCAATTTTCGAGCTGCTGGACCGGAAGATATCTGCTACCAAGTGTCGAACGACCCTTATAGTCCGACCTTAATATACGGCCAAGATGCCTTGGAGAAGTGTCTGCATTCGCAGAGGTTTGGCTACGGGATTCGTCAGAAAAGAAGAGAGAATTGTGAGTTAGGTCTGATGTTTACACGAGCAGATAACTAGTACCAGGCCTATTGTTAGATGGCTTATGGCCAAAATTGTTTCTCCACAGATCCACTTCCTCTTTCGTTGTCTGATTTTTATCCCTTCAGAGGAAAAGTGTAGAGATCCTGAACTGATGTTTGACTGGTCCGAATTTCGAAAAGCCATGGACAGCGCAAGGATGCACTTCGAACTGCTTCGCCGCAACATAGTAGTCGGGAACCACTCGAGGGAGCAGGCTAAAAAAGCCTGAAAGCAGAGGAGAGACTCAATGTTAAGGTGCCTCACGGATGAAATCTGTAAATGTAGTGAAGGCTAACAACCGGAGACTATCTCAACCATAGCACTGAAGAAGCAGACAGTCAAAAAGATGACAAGATACAACTGCGACCATTTTGATGTCTAAAATGCCCAGCAGCTGCCTGGCGACGACGAACATCTCACTTTTGTCAACATAGGACTACCCTGTCAATGTCCCCAAGTATCATATTGAATTAAAATGAATAGAGTCTGTATATTTTTATTGGTGGTGGTGAAATTTTGTATTTCTTGTGTTTACATCAATTTCAAAAAGGGCAGTTTAGACAAAGGAAAGCTGTTGCAGTCTGTACAGGTGATAATAACTACATAAATAGTGATTTCTGTGTGCCAAAAGCTCGCATTGCATTCTACTCCCAACTTCGCCCTCACATACTCTGTACTCCTTACAGAGTAAAGACTATTCAAATTCCGAAGACAACCAAACCAAAATTACAATTGAAATTATTGTCAACTTACCTTTTGTGAGAGGATCTTATCTCAAAGGCGACAAGGCTCATTCATATATGTGGGAGCCGCAAGGGACAACTCACCCAGCACATCCAGCGTAGTAAAATACTCTGACTGATCCCATTGGGTGGTTGAACTGTTCAGAAGGCAGAGCAGTGGTTGGTAACTAAAGAGTCCCCCAACTCCACAAACTTCCCCCCAGTTGTTGGTGAACTACGAAGTAGTATTGAGTGTGGAAGACCTCAGCTCACTCTTTTTCAACCCTTGCCAATCCTAATTCCGAACAATGCCCATCCCCACAAGGTGGCATTCTCTACGCGATCCTCTGTCAGCCCAGAGAAGAAAGCCTGCAGGCCAGGATACAGCGGTATGAATCATGGTCCAGTGATATGTTTCTCCAAGTTGAAAATTTAGCTCACGTTAAAAAAAAAAAAAATCCTCCATAGACTCCCACCGGCACCAGTCGACCTGGCCTTACCAGCAGACCCACCCGCACAACCTCCGTATCGACAGCGTCTGTAAAACCACCTAGCCATGCCCACACGACCTCTGAAGGAAGCGTGTCCGCTGCAAGCACGCCTGGTCTCACATCGCGAAGGAGCTTTCTCCCGCGCGGAAACCCTGCCGGTATTCCCGCCAACAGAACGGTGACCGCCCCGCTGAAAGTTCAGATCCCAGAACCGCAGACGAAGCAGTCGAGAGATGCGCAGTCGGGTGTGTCGCCGTCTAGACGGAACAGTGTGTATTCGCCAGTTAAACGAAGTGGTGGTTCGGCGTCGGCGGCGGAATCTAGGGTGGGGGATGGGAAGAAGCAGCAGCAGCAGCGATCAACGGAAGGGTCGAGTTCCGGACAGGCGAAAACAGGTCATTTACCGACGACGAGATTGGATAGATCGGCTTCTCTGAGGCAGCCGGCTACGTCGAGAGTAGCTTCTGCCACGATGAGCCATGCGAGACATCGGAGCCAGGTTTTCAATTCGGGGAATGCGGGACAGGCGGGAACAACGCATCGGCAGGATAAAACCGCGACGGACAGCCAGCCGGCGGCTTCGAGGCTTGCTAAACCGCAGTTTAATACATATCAGCAACAGTATAGTCCGAAAAAGCCGGCGGCCAAACCGTCCATGAGTACTTTGTCCATGGCTGCTGGAGAGAGTAATGGCGCGGTATCGTTGCCTCCGCATGTCCCTCTTTTGCAGACCGAACTGCTCCAGCTATATCTCCTGCACTCTCAAGCTCTTCAAACGAAACGACAATGGGAGACTAGCGCCGATACCAAGTGTCGAAAGTTACATGAGTCGGTCGTGACCACTTACCGGTCAGTCCTTTCCGATGAGCAGTCTGTACAGCAACATCGCAATATAGCAGCAATCGATCAGTTTGCGGCTGAGATTAAAGCGTCCAACAGCCGCTACGACTTCTTGACCCAGATACAGATGTTGTCGAAAGTCATCCTGGAGGTTTCGGACCTTACTGAATCGCAGGATGGGAGGTATAACATCGCTGTGCGAGAATTTGAGGAGTGGTCTTCACGCGTAATGCAGGTCAGGCAGCACAGGTCACAGGCGAAGGGCGAGAATTCCGCCGCGATCGAGAATGGTTTGCGGTTTATTAATTCATTGAGTGATAGATGGAGAAACGATGTGGCTTCCTTGTCGGCGAAACTGGAGCTATGTTCCCGCGAACTGGATTGCTTAGAAGTTATAGGCCCAACTTCGGACGACAAAAGTGCTTCGGATTATGACGCTTCTGCACTGGTGCGAGCTGTCAGGGGACATAAGGTCTTGATACAAGCTATGATAGAGGAATTGGAAATCATGGCGAAGACTGAGGCTGAAGCGGCGAAGATGGAGAGGGCATGGGTGAAGAGAAGAGTTGAATCTCTCCGGGGAAGTAGATGCGGAGGCGGCGGTGTTGAATTGGCGATTCCGGTATGGAAGCAGCTGTAATTAGGTATGGAGTGGATGGCTTGCCGTGGGAAGGATTGGAGAGTTTAGCAATTAGTCCTAAACTACCTACAGTGGTGACTCTGATACCTTGCTTTGGAACCCACCCAAATCAACGACTTCACTTCCTTTTTTTTTAATAGATATCTACAGAGTACAGTGATGGAATTTGATGGCGCCAGATGATATCATCGCCGCCAAGGAGAGCACGTGCCCGCCTGCGATCCATCCCCAACGACAGTCTTATGTAAGGTCAAGTGGGATTCGAAAGCAACATTCTTTGACATCCGCGTTTCTGTAAAAAGTTCCTGAAAAACATATCGCAATCGAAGGAGAAGTTTACAGCATATTGGTCAATCGAGAAACCCTTTGATGTCTTGAACTTGAGACGCCGTTGGCTTAGCTAGCCCACAAGGTGAGCAACTTGTGCTCTTGTTTGAGAACCCCCTTTGGTCGAATGGAGACTTTCGAGCATCCAGTGGGAGAGAAGCGTTAGTCAATATGAGGTGGCGGAGAAGCTGACTGATTCCATCCAGAGCTTCTTCACCCATGCCGACGTAGATTTATCATTACGTCCGGGTGACGACGACCACGACAAGTGGGCCTCAGTCCAGCGAATACCCGGACATCCCTATCTAGAGAAAACGCCTCTCACACTTAATTCCCTTTCTTGGACGCTCGGTTTTTGATTTTTGCTTTCCTGGCACGCCGTGAAAATGAAGTCGGTTATCTACGACCGCCTGCTACAGCGGGAACTGGGGAAGCCCGGGTCCTATGCTGGAATTCGCGGGATCTACGGCGATAAAGTCTGGGTCGATGATATGGATATTGTAAATGAGTTGGGTGGCCACACAGGCTGCGTGAATGCTTTAAAGTACGTTTCCAGGTGTTCGGGGGACCAGGGGACTCCTCTGGAGTACAAACATCGTTCTACTTTCCGTGGTTTACTGACGAGCGGTTCTCCTCTTTAATAGTTGGTCTACCTCTGGAAAGCTTCTCGCATCGGGATCTGACGATCAGCATGTTAATATCTACTCATACCAGCCAGAATCTACGACCTCCCCATTCTTCCTTAATACTACGATCCTTACCGGTCATTCAGCGAATATATTCTCTGTCAAGTTCATGCCGCATTCAAATGATCGGACGCTGATATCATGCGCTGGAGATTCAGAGGTTCGCGTGTTTGATATTGAATATTCCGGACGGTCCGCAAACACTGCTGTGGCATCTGCCAGAAGTCGGAGATTCAACAATTTCTTCAATGGAATGTGGTATCTGACAGAGGGAAATACGAACTGCAGAGTCTACAGATCCCATGCGGATCGTGTTAAGCGCATAGTGACGGAGTCGTCTCCTTATTTGTTTCTTACGTGCTCGGAAGATGGAGAAGTTAGGCAGTGGGATTTACGGCAACCTTCCTCAGCTTATCCGTCTCCTCGAGGTGGGCAAGGATTCATGGCGTACAGACCCGGTTTACACCATGATGATTCCAATGTCCCGCCACCTCTCATCTCGTACAAAAAGTACCATATCGATTTGAACACCATTTCTTGTGCTGCGAGTCAACCCCATTACATTGCTCTTGGTGGCGCACATCTTCACTGCTTCTTACACGACCGGCGGATGATGGGAAGAGACTTATTGGAAGAAAGAGGACAAACGGGAAGCCTCTCTGGCATTTCCTCCCACGATGATGAAGTCATGGGACAGGCGACCAGATGTGTTCGAAGATTTGCTCCAAATGGCCAGAAGAAGATGAGAAGCCGCGATAACGGCCATATCACAGCATGTAAAATCAGCTATGCCAACCCTAACGAGATGATAGTGAGTTGGTCTGGTGATCATATCTACAGCTTCGACCTTATTCGCAGTCCCGACGCTCGAGATGGAGGGGAAGATAGGCAGTCAACCCAGCAGGAAGGCTCAGGGTCCGGCAGGGCGAAGAAGGATAAGAATAGAAAAAGAAAGCGAGGGAAGGCAGTGTCACCAACTTCCTTAGCCAGTAGTACCAGACATCAATCACGGCTTAGGTCCGAGGATGGACACGGTGGCGAAGACATGTCATTTAGGGTTAGGTACGGGAATGGCGAGTCCGAAGACATTCCACTCGATTCACTCTCCGGCTCCAGAGCGACTGATGTCCCTGAAGATGTGTTGGAGAGAGCAAGGGAGTCTGTTTTGAACGAGGCCCAGAAACTGAGTCTCCGCATTGCAAAGGGCCTTGTTGAAATTCGAAAGCTCTTATTCTCAGTAGACCGCCCCATGAGAGAATTTGCAGAGGCATCACCAGCCTCTGGACCAACGCCGTACACGGCTTCGTTTACGTCAGTTCTCGGATATGCTGCAACTTATCTCCCGGAAATGGATGAAGTGATAAGGACTTGGAGATACCCTCTTAACCCTTCTCACGATGACGTTCTCTTCCAGCAAGCATTGCGTAGAAACCGCGAATCATCCAGAAGATTTGTTCAGGCGTCAGGAACGCTTGCAAGGGTCCTAGGAGGGCGATTACAAACTGCAACTGGTGGCGAAAGCCCTCAGCTGGCGCTGTTTCGTAAAATTGGCCCTGCGCCCACAGAGGATGGTATGATTGATCCTTCATCACAGTTTGGATATGACTTCCTCAAAGCTATTCTACTGTGGCTTGAAGGGGGCAGACAAGCGATATTGGAAGGTTTCAAGCGACGTGGTGTCAGTCGACGCGATGCTGACAGGTTTCCATTGCTTGAAAGTGCTGAGGACGAGGCCATTGAAGAGACGTTGATTCCATATTTCCGTGAGCTCGCTGGTACCGAGCCAATCGTTAACGTTGACGCTTCGAGGTTCGAGCATAATGAATCCCGCATCTTGTTTGAGTCTCAGTCCAGTGCTGTCGAGGCGTTCGCGCAAGCAATTAGAGTTCCACTAGAAGACCTTGTCGTATCTGCTGCCGCACGTCAAGCCGGGGATGGAGATGGTTCGGAGACCCGAACGATTCTTTCTCTTGATAAGAATGCTGCGATCAGATTCTGGGGCTTGAAAGTGGGGAGAGGCATCTTGATGGAAGTGGGCGAAGGTGTCAATTTTGAATTCGTTAACCGTGCCTTTGGTGGTTTACGAACTGTCATTGAAGAAGATGAGGATGAAGACGACGGTAGGGAAAGGTTACAAGAGGACATAGACCCAGATGAAGAAGAGGAACCGATCTCAGAGGTCCGATTGATAACAGGTCGGTCTTCTTCGAGTCGGCGACGACATCATGACACGAGTGAACAGAATGCAGAGCCGCAAGAGACATCAGCTACAAATGCGACTGAACACTCAGAAGATCAAAGGGCTAGTGCTGAGACTGATGAGGAAGAAGATGACGAGGATGATTCTGAAGAGCTGGATGAGGACGATGAGGAGGAGGAGGATGATGATGATGACGAAGACGATGAGAGAGATACCTCTGAAAGTGATGAAGAAGAGGGACGACTATTTATCCGGAATTCATCTAGTGGCCGGCGACGAGGGGTGGAGAGCCATATTCCTTGCTCCTCACATTTAAGCGTTTACCGAGGACATTGCAATATCAAAACAGTCAAAGATGTGAACTATTTTGGCTTGAATGATGAATATGTTGTTAGCGGCAGCGATTGTGGAAACATCTTCATTTGGGATCGAAAGACATCGGATTTAGTCAATATCCTTTCTGGTGACAGTGATGTCGTGAATGTTGTGCAAGGTAAGACCGCCCTTGACACTCATTTTGCTCTAATCTGGATACCAATCTAAAGCAGGCCATCCATACGAGCCAACTTTGGCTGTATCCGGGATCGACAACACCATTAAAATATTCTCACCGGATGCCCGAGCACAACATGATGCCAGCGTTGGTATCAACATCGCTGATCCCGATGCACAGGCTAATATTGTTGCTGGAAATCCTGCTGGAGGCAACCGAACCGAACGTAGTGCGCTAGGGCTTAGGAGCAGGAAGCGCATGCAAGACAGCTATCAAATCACTAGCCAAAACGATGTGAACCGACAAGGTGGAATGAACGAAGCATTCATCACGGTACGTCTGCTACACCTTTTGGCTGCCCAGAGAACGGAAGTTTCGTTTTCTGAATGGGCCTCATGGTTTTGAAAATCGACCGCTGGGGTGTACAAACTGTATTGCCCCCTCCAAAATGCAAATTCTTGCTGTTCCCCTTGTGTTCCATTCTCTGTTTCCTAGTACTTATAGTCTTGGAAAAATATAGAGAAGCATGCTGGCCCGATTAGCCGCGTCGCTGAGGGAAAGACAAGCCATCAGGGTTGGATTCAACACCACCGAGGGGGAGGAAGGGGGGAGGATTGTGTTGGATGAGAACTGTAATGTAAGTATCTTGATCCCTAGGAAACTTATACTGCGTTTGGAAGCTAATCCTTTTATTCAGTTAATGTAATATGATGTATGATACATAGGAACTCGTCGCATCTAGCACCCTTTACGTCTTGGATTCGGGGTGATCTTCGCATTAAATTGGACTTTGATTGACGATGGTGGATCGATCTCATGGTATGATGGCCTGACCGATATTGAACTGCGGCCTTTCGTGATAATGTTCGTTCTGGCGTTCTCCCTTTGCGTGTTTTCCCGAGGAGGCAATTTTTCCGTCATCCATTTATCCCGTGCCGTCCAGGGTTCCGCCCTCATGGCGTGCAGTGCTATTTAAACCCTTTCCCCCGCTTGAGACTAGGATAGTCTATATGCGTGTCTTCTCTTTATTCGCAAAAGCCATAATATGCGATAGCCAACGGTAAGAGCTCGACTTTACGTGGATGAATGCCACTTGCTTCTTGTGATTTAACCATGTGCCCCATGGGCATTGGGTGAACGATCTAGATGCATTTTCATGCCAGCATCCTTATCAGGAGCTGTCCCAGTAAACCATAGAGAGCCAGGCACAGTGTCCTCGACCCTGCTGTCTCGTAGCGTCCGCTGCCCCTGAGCGGTCGTGGTCATGTGACATGATAATGGCGAAAAAAAAATCCGGCGGGCGGCGACATGCCCCTCGCTGGGCGACGAAACGACGCGAGAATACTTTTTGGTGCTCTTTACGATCGCTTAGAGGGCCTGGATCTGTTCTGGAGAAAAAAGGTCGACAAATCCGGGACGATTCTGGCCATTTTCCACTTTTTGGATTTTTTTTTTTTTCCCCCCTCTCGGCTGGCTCCCTGGCGACGTCTTGGGAAATCCGTTGGAAGTGCCTGTTGCCATCTCGTTTTGCGTCTGCAAGTCGTAGCTGGGCCGTTGGATTGCGATTCGAGCACCTACGGCCGAAATTTCAAACTGCAAAGGCGATCACAGTTACCTGCGCCGGGAGATTTTTACTCTTTTGCATATTTAACGATCTCATCATTCGTTTAAACAGGCAAGCCGTAAGCTCCCAGAATATACCAAGGGATCGGTCATGGCTTCAAGGAACCATTTCTTGGACCCAGAGCTTGTCTCCAAGAGAGTAAAGGCTACGGAATCACTCCTCAATGACACTCATAACCCGATCCGACATCTGGAACGTGGAAAAATCCACCTCGCTCTGGGATTCCCTGATCTTGCCGCCACCGATGCGTATCGTGCGCTGACTCTGTTTGACAGCGTTCTTGATTCAGAGAGTGAATTTCCTGCCCGAAAGAGAATTGTGCCTGATGCTCTATGGAACTGCGCTATTTCTGTGGATGAGCAGTCGGAGCCTAACAGCGATGCGAGTGCCAATGATAGTGACGTTTCAATTGGAAGCGACGTGGATGAAGCGTCTGAGTCTGATTCTGAATTTGAAGACGTCACGTTGAGCGACTATCATGAGCACATCGGCAATGTCTACACGCTGTTAGTCGCAAGTCTTGCGCAGTGTGGGTGCATGAGAGATGCGTATGACTTTTGCATTCAGGGATTGAAGCTCGAATATGGAGCGGAGGGGAACTTGGCACAACCATTCTTGGAAAAATCTATAAAAGAAATTCAGGATGCCTATGTCAATCAGCGACGGTTACGAGCTGGCCCTGATGTTAGAGATGGGGATATCCAATTCGATCCAGCGGGTCTACAGGTCCAAGGATACGCAAGGAGAGTTGTGTATCCATGGAACGCCCATGAGCCAGATCGGAATTCCCCTGAAATAGTGAGATTTTTAAATGAGAGGTTGCAGAACATAGCACCAAAATGTGAGGTCCGAACCGTGAATCTACCTGCATTACACGGCTTGGAGGCCGATGCGGAAAATGAATCGAATCCCGAGAACAGGGAAGAGGTCTCTGTGCAATTGGGACTCTTCGCGAAGGAAGATATTATCCCTGGCGAAACCATACTGCACGAGTCATCGATGTTAACCGCCACGAATCGTTTACATGATGATCTCTGCGATGCATGCAATAGCCCGCTGCCAGAACTTGGTTCTGCAGAACCATCAGTGGCATGCGATAATTGCGATGATACAGTTTTCTGCAGCGAAAGGTGCTACAAACTTGCGTGCGAAACCTACCACGGCGCTATATGCGGAGAGGAAGGCTTAGCCTCGATAGGGAAAGACATTCAAAACCCAAAGGACAAGGCAGATTATCTGTATCTCCTCCTAGTCGCTCGCGCCTTTGCTATGGCAGAGACGCAGAAAGTTCATCCCCTGGACCTCCCAGAGGTGAAATATATCTGGGGAGATTTCCACCGGATCGAAGATGACCCATGCGACGCCTGGGCAGGGAGGCTCCCTCCACCCTCCGCAACCCTTCCCTTTTCTTTCCAATTAAACATCCTTCAACCCATGCGCATCCTCGAGGAAATGGGCCTTGATCCGTTCGACTCACTGCGAACCTACGATACCTGGGTCGTAAACACCCTATATGCCAAATTCCGTGGCACAGCCTCCGGTCGCTTATCTACGTGGGACGGCGGACCCGAGGTGTGTGCAGTCCACCCGCTCTGGTGCCTAGCAAATCACAGCTGCGATCCAAATGTGCGCTGGGAGTGGGGAGGTGAGATCACTTTCGTGGCGAGGAACGAGACGGAGAGAGTGCAGTGGGGTAGCTCGGAAGAAAGCGAGCGAAGGAAAAATGATCGTGGGGGATTTGCCATTAAGAAAGATGAAGAGATCTTAAATCATTACTGTGACTTGGCATTGGTAGTAAAGGAAAGAAGGGAGTGGGCTATGGGCGCATTGGGCGGGCCCTGCCAGTGCTCAAGATGCGTTTGGGAAGAATCTCAGTCGTGAATTGATTGCTATTATCTCAACGGATTGGGATGCATGGATACCCTTATTTTCTACCATTATGAAAGTCAGAGCAGTCCAGCCTATAGAAGAAAAGCAAGATATCAATTAAAAAAAAAAAAAAAAAAAAAAAAAAAAAGTTTATCAGCACTCTTTTTTCATCACATCATCATTCGTAATTTCATGTACATAACTCATAAGCCTCCTGAATTAGCTCCATAAGTCTGGAGGGTGATATCAAAATAAGATCGAACACTTTTCCATTTTTGATAGATCTAGCCCCATTCATTTGGTCGCTTCCTATGGCTATTTGGCATGTTGGACGAGCTGTTCATATAAATCCTCAGGAATCTTTCTCACAATTAAAACAGCAAGAGCAATGATATCTTTCGCATCAAGGGAAGGGAACGATCTGAGGAGTTTATTGGGACTGCAAACACGGGTTAGAATTGAGAGATATTGACGATGGTTCGGCCTGTGAAAAGCTATAAATGCAACGGTAACATACCTCGAAGTGCCCAGTAACGTATCGCGCATTCTAATTAACTGAGCCACGATGCACAGGATATTCAAATGCGGCCCATACGCGAAAAGGAAATCCCACAGATGCAGAACCTCCGGGAGAGGTGGCGTGCACGCGCATAATGTGAGCACCGATGGAAATGCATACAGCTCGGCGTGCATGCCCTTGCTGAATAGGTGATTGGCCAATTTGGGCTCGACCACTTCGAGACATTTATCTACCAATTTTAAACCCTTGTGCACTCCGTCCATGGCACCGCGGATATATCCTGGGCATTCTTGTGTGATGAAGTGGTGAAACAGGGCGAAGGCTTCGACTTCGCTTCGTGATGCGTAGAGGAAGGGAGCACAGAGAACATTCATACCCTGCACGTATATTGCTGTATCTGCGGTGTTTGTTTGGGTAGATGAGGGAGACGCAGGGTATTCTGAAATTGGCGAAGGAAGTGCATCCATGGATAATTTACTTGAGTGTCGCCTACTATTGGACACCATTGACGTTGGTTGCTTTCCCCTTGAGGATCCTCCTTCTTTTGAATCGTGGATTTTCCAGGCCACAGCGTTGAGTAGGCGAATTAGACTGGCTTCCGTGACCCGGCGTTTGAACAAAGGATCCGTAGCGAGTGTGCGAAAAGTGTCATTACGGATTTTGGCATAGGCCGGTGAGCGTCCTCTGTGAACGAGGGAGAGATATTCGTCGGTAGGAAGAGGAGGAATATTAAGAAGAGCTAGCCAAACATAGATGCGATGTGTAGACTGTGCGAGTCGTGTCAGTTTGCGAACAAGGAAACAAAAAGGAAAGCCGTACAAGCCGTACCATGCCATCTCCATCAGCATCCACTCTATTAGACAAAATAAGATATCTTAACTCATCCAATCCAGCGACAAGGTCATTCCCTGGTGGTCCATCTCGCAGCAACAGCTCAAGCCCAGATCGTTTTCCCGGAAACCCCATTGATCCCGATTTTCTGGTCGAGGAACGAGACTTCTGGGTCATTGTCCTCATCGCAGTGGGACTCGTAACATCGCTATTTGACCGGTGGCGGCCATGTACAGGCGTCGTCGCCGTGGCAGTCTGCGTGTTATTCTGATTTGCATTCTGGTCGGATTGCTGGTTTAACGAGCCGCGATGGGATTGCCCTCGCAATGGAGTTGAGAGGGATTGCGGCTTTGTTGACAGGTTCTGATGCGATTGGAACCGTCTCAGGGTACGCGCGGGCTGTGGCGTTGAAAGATTTGGCAAAGGTGGGAGTTGTAGCTGGGATTGGGACTTGGGAGACGCCATGGTCGCTGGAGCCCACTGCGGGCAAGCGAGAGCTAGATCGAAGACGAGAAACGAGCGTGTGATCCAACGTGATCCGAGCTTTTCATCGACTACTCTCGGCGAAGATGCGACTTGCTCAGAGGGGGCCAGGCTTCAACAGCTTCGGTTAGCAGCCAGCCTACGTGCCTCAGCGAAGCACGCCTTGTCTGCGTGAACCTCGTCGTCCATACAACAGCCACGGCGGAGAGTGTGTCATGTGACTGGAGTGCGATCGGCTCTTGGAAGTCCCAGTTTGACTTCAAACCTTGAACGCGGTTCGTGCCGTCGATCATCCGGAAGAAGCATACGGAGCACATAGTTATATACATTCTCATCATGTCATCGATTACCTACTTTAAACTTGATTAACGGAAACCTGGAGCGAATTAAACTCAATCACCATTACGCCTCCTCCCAACGCCTGCCAAACCCATTCCCACCCAACCTTGTCCATTTAAGCTTTCGCCACAGAGTTCTTTGTACCCTGGCTCGGCCCCGTCAGATTCGTGACAAAGTCCTGGTAGCGAAACACTTCTGCGCGGTGCCTTGATGCATTCAGATTAGCCGTTTTTGCACCCTTTGTACCAAAAGCGCGTCTCCCGGTAAAACCGAAAACAACTTCGTCAATCTCTCTTTCTGTCAGCCTTCTTTCATCGCCTTCTGGAAGAGTGTTAAGCAGGGCATCTCTGAGTTCAGCGAGGTCAATCTGCCCGCTGTCGTCCTCATCGAAAGCTGCAAATGCATTAAGAAGTTCTTGAGGGTCGGACAAAGGTGCAAGTAAGGCTGCTATCGTATTTAAATATGTAGGAAGGTTCATCGCCCGTGGTGCTCCCGGCGGGAAGTATGCTGCAGTCACGGACGCGGACGAGTCCCGGCCTGTTCAGAAAAAGATCGTTCAGTGCTTGGACTTGAAAAGTATTTGCTCCACGGAGGACGTACCCAAATTATTCAGGATTTTAGCTACGTCTTCTTTATTTATTTGCCCGTCATTGTCTCGATCTAAGACTTGAAAAGCCTCGCGCATCTCTCGCAGCTGTGCTGCGGGCAGTCTAGACAGCACGTCACTGTTCACCGATTGGCTTTCGCGTGCTCTGAGGCTTGTCGGGTTGGTGAATTCTGGGGATTGAGGTCTCGCACCGCGGGTAGGTGATGGGTGCAAACCACTAAATCTTGGTGTTGCTGGCAAGCCACTGCCGTTCGCGAAGACATCTTCTTCTTTGGCCGTAGGTAGCTGATTTAGCATGCTTGGAGATTGACCGGGCGATGTTTGATTGTTTCCGGGGCTTGCCGACACATTTGGTCGGACGGTAGTTGGAGACGATGCGGCAGACTGCCGTCTGAAAGGAGACGATCTGGGTGATCCAAAGGATAGCGGAGATGGCTTATATGGAGTCGTGTTAGGCGTCACCTACCAGCAATATGTCAGCTTATGGTCCACTATTACGGAATACAATGAGAATGACTTCATACCATCTTGAATAAGGAGCTGGCGCTGTAGTTTACAAAGGAAATTCGACAGCTGAGCAGCGATATAAGGAGTAATGGATTCCGCTAGCCCTTAATCCATTGATCTTTAGTCGTGATGTTCGGTGCCAGTTAACTACACAACCGAGCTGGACGGACAAGCCTTGCCGAAACGGGGAAAAGCAAAACAATCGCATCATCGATAATCCGGCAGACCCCGCAACTCCGGAAGCGGGATATTCCGTCCCCGGAAACCGAACTGTGGCTGTTGCAGCTTGGTGGCCCGTGCGCCGTGTTGTCGCCGGCAGCGAAGCGACGACATGGGTGCGTCCGGGCAGCAGTCGAGGCGACGGGAGACTTCTTCGACACCGCGAGGGAGGACCAACAATGCGTTTCTTCAATTCAGTTTCCCAGCTCCTTAATTGACACATCAATTCACCAGTTACCCCTGTAGACTCTCTCCCTATACTTAGAGTGGGAGGGGGCGCCGGACTTGGAGTGGAATACTTTTAGTTTACCCCTGAGGTTTTGAACTCTGCTTTCTCCCAACCGGGCAGTTCGATGGCTGACGTACACAGGTTTTATTTGTCTTTTCGCCCTCGATTATCTGCACGATGTCTACTACATTGTCCCAGCGGCCGTCCATCAACGGCTCTCTTCACGAGAAGCACCGGTCCGTTTCGTCATTCCCCGCATCCGTCCACTCCTCAAGCCCGAATTTCGACAGCCCCAGGAAACTCCGCTCCCAGACCTCTCTCGGCCGGAGGTCTCCCACCAGCTCGCAGGAGTCCACGGGACCACGGTCTGTGCATTCATACAGTAGTTTTCAGAAAGGGAAGCGGAGGTACAAGTCTCAGTACCCTGCCGATTCTCCAGAACTCCATGTAGAGTACATCCTCGTCGCTTCATTCCACGTAGATCGTGGACCGATTATGGAGCATCAGTACCCAGCTGCAATCAGCGGCGATGAGCATATGTTGGCGGAGCTGATGTTGCCAGATCAAACCCACGTCCGGAGCCAGGACTGGACCATGTTTTTCCTTCACAGAGACGCTGGATCGGAAGACGAGAATGAATACGGAGACGACTCTCAGGGACAAGCGGAGAAGGCCGTGGACGAGGCGAAGGAAGATAGTCAGGACGGCCACGACCAGACGGAGGATGAGGAGGCGACCGACGATGATGGTGACGACGACGATGAGGAAGCCGGTGATGGTCCGCCATTAATGTATGTTCTTAATCTTGTCAACACCAAACAAGACAACTCTGTGAAACGGTACGTTAGCTCTTCTTCTGGTCATTGGGGTTGAGTTTCGTCTGACGTTGCTTTAGTGGAGCTGTTGTCAAGGCCATGGCAATTTGTACACGGCATTCTTTTCTTCACATATACAAGGTGAGCAACACTTTATTATCGCTTTAAGCCCTGTTAGGGAAAGCTAATGTGATGGTCGAATTCCGTAATAGCCATTGCTTTTACTAGCATTAGAGGATTACTTCAAATCGCCTTATCAAGAGACACTAGCCACACTATACGACTCCCTAAACGCCATGGACCTCTCCCTTATGCCACGGCTTTCGTACCTCGAGCGGCATATTCTCCAAGCTACCGATGTGAAAGATATGTTCATTGAGAAGTTCGAACGAATGATCAAGCAGCGCTTGGCAGACGATCGAGCTGTATATGAACTGGAAGGAGGCGACCCAAGCTCCTTCGTCCCTGCAAAGTATACACTCCCACGAGATACCCATGAGTTTGAATCTAAAATCATTTATAATGAAATTGCCATTCCTGTCAAGGTTCCCACGGCTGTCTCTCCGGAGACTGTGGGTGACTTTTCCTTGATTAAGTTAATACAGACTTTTTCCAATCCACATTCTGCCTCTCCACAGGCCTTCCCCCTTCACCCTCACCTGACAACGAGCGGCCCATTTACTCATCCCATCATGGTCCTAGTCAACGCCTTGCTTACTCAAAAACGAGTGATCTTTCTGGGCCACAATCGGCCGTCTGGAGAAGTTGCTGAAGCAGTCCTGGCGGCCTGTGCACTCGCTTCCGGGGGGATTCTTCGAGGATTTACTCGCCATGCCTTTCCCTATACCGATTTAACGAAGATTGACGAGCTACTTAAAGTTCCCGGGTTCGTGGCCGGTGTCACCAACCCAGCCTTCGGCAATCATCATGAGTGGTGGGACCTGTTATGCGACTTGCCTAGCGGCCGTATGAAGATTAGCAGCCGTATTGAACCTGCCCCGGTCACAGAAGGCACACAATTCTTTCAGCAGCATGCCCCCGTCACGACTACTTCCATCCTTGGTGGCGGTAGTTCCTCCTCCTCCGACCCTCCTGGTGACAACAACTTCATGGAAGACATTATGCGAAGTATTTCCTCACGACATGGAGAGGGCGCCATTCGAGCTAAATGGAGAGCGTATATTACCAAATTTACAAGAATTTCTGCGACGTTTGAGGAGGTAGTGTATGGAGCCACCGCGTTATACGTCATGGGTCCCGGTGAAGATGCTGCAGAGGCGCAGTCTCCTGTACAGCCAAACCAGTCTGATCCGTCGTATCTTCGGGGCCACGGCTATGTCTGGCCGGACGAAAACACCAAACACCGTGGACTCGCTGCGTGGGTAAACAGAATCGAGGGTTGGAGAAATACGAGGTCTTACTATTACTTCATCCAGGACACCGCCGCGTTGTATCCTATAAGCAAGCCGGTTCAAAGCCTCGACTTGCACCATCACCATGACCGCCTACGTTCTCTGAAATTAAGCTCCGCCGAGTCAGGAGCCATATATTTAGCGTTTTCAAACGCCATCCAGGATTATAATTCCATTTGTCAGCTGATATCTATTGCACCGGAGAGCCAAGCTGGCCTGTTCTATATTTCATTGGGATTGTTTCATCCTGACGCGGTGGTTCGAACCGCAACTCTTGGGTTGTTGGAACGAATAGCTACACACGAGGCAGGACGGCACCTTTGGGCGCAGCTGAGCAGGTTCACCAAGGTGGCCTATGTGCGGATGAAGCGAGACAAAGACGCCGATCATGAAAGCATGGACCTTCAATCGGCGGATTCGTCTGTTACGAAGCATTTTCACGGCAGCCACGAATTCAAGGCCCGCAGAAGCTAAGGGGAGATAGACACGGTGACTACGTATATGAATTCGGTCCCTGGGGATGCTCCTGGCTTTTCTCCGGTCTTGCTTCCCACATCACAGCCGCCAGTTTTCCTTTCTCTTTTTTCCTTTTGGTTTTTTGTTGGCATGCCTCTGTGGCGTTGGTTCCGACTGATGATTTATGTTTTCATATTTGTATGATGATATATGCAAGATTTAGTGACGTCTTGAGATTTCCACTTTTTTGGTCTCTTTTGAATGGCTTGCATAGCTACTATACCCATTGGCATATTATTATTACTACTATTTTTGGTGCATCGCGAGGTTTCAAGCTTCATTACCTCAATGACCCTCAATAGTTTTCCTATTAGCGCAGTACCTACGGCCGAATCAGTGCTGCGGTTGATAGGTATAGTGAGATGGTCATTACTGCTACTTGTCAGTCAATGCGATCGGTATCATCTAAATCCTTTTGCCTAATTATTTTTTTTTTTTTTTTTTTTTTTTTTTTTTTTTTTTTTTTTGGTTAGTAAAGCACGGTGTTTGTTCTAAATTAGACAAGGCATAAGAGCAGTGACATAGTCAAGACGTTCTCAGCATTTTGTTTTCCCCCTGTCCGCTTATATTAGTTGGGTTGGGTTCAATGAATACTCAGGAATCGGGACTGAAAATGCGACTCTGGACAAAACATAGCATACCTTTCACTCGCCGCATAGAGTTGGCCGAATATGTTGTATAGGGGGAATTGAGATATTGGTCATATTAAGTACTAGCTTCGTATGCGCTTTATCTAAGGTATTACATACAGGCATATCTAAGGATAGAAAGACAACAAAAAGAAGTATTTGGAGAAAAAAGAAAAATGGGGCCAAGCACGGAGTAGATATAATTACAACAAAAAGCGTAAGGACATAAGCACTCCCCAACTCCATTGCTAAGGGTTTATTTTTTTGTGGAACACGTGTAGGGAGATTGCTTAGGGCATAATTAATATGTACATCACCCAAGCCAAAGGAGGGGAAAAAAAAAAGGAGGGGGGTATTAAGTTGGATGTTTCAAAAAGGGTAGTTGAATGAGAGAAAGAAAGGAAAGAGATAGATATAAAAGAGTATTATTCGGAATAGCGTGTCATACAAAGCCGTCGAAAACTAGGAGCGTAAGCGGCAAGCTCAGGTAATATAGCGACAAAGAGCGTGAAAGCAGCGCAGACAGAGCGGCAGCCCCGCTTCTCACGCTCTCGGAAACAAAGCCCGGGCCACAGCCGATATTAATCTGTTTGGCGGCCGGTTTGTAGGTCAGAGACAGGGGCTGTTCTCCGATGCCAGCGCCCTGCGAGTATACCTCCATCGTGGCCTGGAGGCATTTATTGCACTGCGGACGTGTGGAGCCGGGTAGCGCTGCGCCCACGGCAAGGTGGTAGATGAAAGCGTCGGCGGCCTGCTCGGAGGTCACTGCGTCAGCGAGACAATAGCTCCCTGTATCCGGGTTCTTCAGGCATGTGGCGTCGTGCACGAACTTGTAGGCGACAAAGCCGTTGCGGGCCTGGAGCACCAGCGGGTTTTCAGCAGCGAGATCCTTGTCGCAGGCTGCTTTGGAGCCGACCTCTCTGCCGAAGTGGCTCAGGAGCTCGGTGCATTTGACGGCGTCGACGGAGCAGGAGGCGTCAAGGACGCGGGTGAGGGTGACGACGGATTTGGCGGCGTTGAAAAAGGAGGTGGAGGTGGTGAGGAGCAGGGAGAGGGGGAGGCATTCATTGAAGGTGGAGTTGCCGAGGAAGTCATCGAAGAAGAGAGTGCAGGATTTGGTGGAGAAGGCGTTGCCACCGATGCTTGTGTCGAATGCTGAGGGCAGCGGCCCGTCGGGGACGGTGGGAGTGGACGCGATTATCTCGGAGCTGGGAGAGCCAGACACGGAGGGACGGATGGCGGACGGGCGCGAGGTCGACGGGGAAGAGGGAGATGGAGAGGATCCAGAAGAGTCGGTTATTGTAGCAGTAGGAGACGTCTGCCGCGATCGCGTCGAAGTGTTGGATTCGCCGTCATCGTCATCGGTCTCGGACCGTTTTCTGAGATCGGGAGGGGAGATTGTCAGCGGATCGGCGTCGATCGCCGCTGAAGGAACCGGATAAGCGGTGATCTCCGGGTGCAAAATGCCCGCGTGGTCCTGATCGTGCAGGAGGCTGGCCGAGGTGGGAGAGAGTAGATTGAGAAATAAAACAACTATAAGCAAGAATGCCGGAAGCGATCGAAACGGAGGTCGTGCGCCGGGCGTGGATGTGCGCATCTTGCTTTGCCCCATGGCGAGTGGATTCTGGTATAACTGAATTCACGGGGGGTCTGACGAACGGGTCGCGGCGAAGGAAAAAGGAAACAAAACGAATGAATATCAGCAGCACATTCCCTCGTCGTCTTTCATCGGACTGGATGGTGGTCCAATGGCGCCTTCATCTCATTAGAGACGAGAAGGAAAAGAGAGAGAAAAGAGAGCTTCTTGGTGCGGCTGATGGAACTGACAGCCTCATCAGACAGAGATTGACAGCCCCAGGAAGCGGAGATCAACTGGGAGAAGGGAAAAGGGCTGGTTATTATTTGAAGCGAAAGCAAACATGGGGTTGGGAGGGGGGAAGAAGAGAAGAAGAAGAAGAGAAGAAGAAGAAGAAGAGAAGAAGAAGAAGAAGAAGAGAAGAAGAAGAAGAGGAGAAGAGAGAACGAGAGGGGGGCGATACGACGTGTTTTTGTCGAGGTGGAAGCGTATTGTGTCCGGGATGCCTGGCCTGACCTGGATGTAACAGAATGACTCCGTGATCCGCGGCCAGCGACACTCGCTAGCCGTCGGGGCCTGGTCAGGGGTGTGTGTGGACGAGAACGCGCCCCTCTAATCCCCGGGGCTAAATATTCAGTTCGATCGATAGTGCGCCAGGCACAAGCGATGGCCAGAAGAGTCCGCTGCAAGTCGCCGCCTCCAGCAGCCAAAATCACCAACTAACCTAGGGAAGCTAACGAGCCAACTAACGAGTTAACCGACCAGCCGTGTAGCTATGGAGTTAGCCGGCCCCCAACCGACTTGCATATGACGACGATGATGATGATGATGATGATGATGATGGTCAAGATATGGATGGAGTATACACTTTCTTTTTTGCCAACCAACTTCCCCGTCAAAGCGTCAAGGGACCCCGTGGGCATGCTGCAGACGCCAGGCCCTGCACGGTGACATCGTCTACCAGGTAAAAGTTGCCCCCCCCCCAATATGTCAAGAAAAAAGAAGAAGAAGAAGAAGAAGAAAAAGTCTGTACGGAGGAGGATTTCGATTTGAAACCGCAGAATCTCCTCTCGACACCGGGGAGAGTGAAAACCGGCTCCGAGCAAACACCAAAAAAAAAAAAAAAAGCACAAAAGAATGAAAGAAGCAAAAAAGAAGAAAAAAGAAGAAAAAGAAAGAAGATGAGCTGCACCACGTTCAAGGCAAAAGTCCGCCGGAAACGTCCCGGCTGCGTGTCGCCAAAAGGGCACTGCGGACGACGAGCGAGAGAAGCGTATATGAATCAGCCCGGAGATGTCTGCCCTTTCGGCGGTGCGTCTATGCGAAACTCATGGGTATTTCTTTATTTCTTTATTTCTTTAATTACATATTTAATTACTTTTTTTCCCAACTGTCTGCAAGTGTCTGCAGATCCAAAGCGTTCCCGCGCCTTACAAGGATCAAGATCGACGCACCCGCAAAATGCATGGAATCAGCCAGTCAACAGTTTGGAACATGCACCCACCGGAGGAATCGGCCGTCTCCTCTGGAGAAGCCATACTGATTATTAACATTAAGAGCCGTTTTTGGGCGTTGACTTGGCTACGTTGACAGACTCCTAGGAGCACCGCCGCCCACAACTCACTTCAAAGAATGTTCGCTGTCGTCGTGGCGATCCATCAAATGTGAGGCAGCCCCATCGTCAGAGCGGCTTGCCGGTGTGATAAATATGGCCAACCAGCTCGCCGTATTGCAGCTTATGATGAAAAGTATGATTCCAAATATGCAGCAGAGTCAAAAAACTTTTGATTCCTCTTTGAGTGCCTTGCACTCCAGGACTTGGCTCTTCTGGCATTGGTCTATCTCAGTTTTCCACAGTCTGGCAGCGTGCGACGACTCTACGTCGCCTAAAAGAACAAAAAGGAAAGGCCCCAGTACCCCAAACAATGAATCCGTCTCATGCATCGATCGTCATCCTGGTTAGCGAACATCCAAACGCAATGGTGCGCGTCGCTCCAATTCCCCATATGCCCCAAGGCGCCAATGTCACCCATATTAACTCCCTCGACATGTGCAAGTTTCAAATTTTTTTATGAACCTCAGTTCATCGAGTTCCCAATGTCTCGGCCAATCCAGCATTTGGAAATAACTGAGAATATGTGTAAGGGATATAGCCATGCGGGAAACAAACGCAATGTACTTCCAAAAAAAAAAAAAAAAAGAAAAAAAAAAAAAAGCCCCTCCGATAAAATTGCGCTCTCTCTCGTAGCATCATCCTCCAAGGAGGCGCAGGCCTCGAACATAACTTCGACTGGTCTTGATTCCGAGAACTATCGCCCGGGTTTTGTCTCCCTCCCTTTCATCTTTACGACGTGCCCGCCGACTTGTTCTTCCCTCGTATCTCGTCTATAGCAATTTGAACCCCTTCCACGACTACCTTCCACTCTATCTCGTGTATTCTCTTCTCCAGTGCTTCCAGGTCTTCGTCAACTCCTTTGATAAACGGTATTTCCCTCACAAGCAGAGGCGTGCCCATGTCTACCTCCGCAATAACTTTGTGAATCATGACTCCGGTCTTGTCAATCTTTCCTTCCAACCACGCCGCGTGCGCGCGTTCAATTGCATGCTACAACGCGAAACCAATTAGCAGACCAGAATCGTAAACCCATACAACGAAAAAAAAAAAAAAAGAAAAAAAGGAAAAAAAAAGTAAAAAGGAAAATGAAAGAAAGGGCCTGCAGGACTCACTGCGCCATTAAACTGCCCCGGCAGCGCCGGATGCAGATTGATGATCTCCACACCAGCCTTCGCCAGCGGCTCCAAGAACGTTCTTGACAGGATGTGCAGGAAGCCCAGACACACCACCAGCTCCGGCGAATCAGCCAGCACCAACCTCGCCAATTCCGCGTCGTACTCTTCCCTCGCGGCCCGCACGCCTTCTTCCGTCGGCGGGTGCGCTTTCTTGTATTTTAATAGGTTGTGGTAGAGCGTCGGGATGCCCGCGCGTGTGGCGCGCTCGAGGCCGAAGGCATCTTTCCTGTTGGATATCACTCTGGCGATCGTCGCGGGCAGCTGTTTGGCTTGGATGCTGTCGATGACGGCTTGCAGGTTGGTGCCGTTGCCGGAGATCAGGACGGTGAGGCGCGTGGTAGCCTCCATTTTGTGTGTGTGTGTGTGTGTGTACTTTATTTCTTTGGCGCAAAGTAATACAGAGTAAATGCTTTGGATTGGATTGGAAAGGAATTGCTTGTCGGTAGGGCCGTTGAATGGGTGAATGTTTTTCTTTTCCTTTTCCTTTTTTTTTTCCCTTCCCTTTGTATGTTACGGCGGACTATTTGCATCGCGGGGCGGATGGATTTTTGATTTTTAGCCCCTCGCGCTTGGTGTTTTGGTGGGGGTGGCTCTGGACCCGTCATAACTTAGTTGAACATCGCCGGATATGATGACATGGAGAGCTCAATGGAGATCCTGATGGTCTACAATTAATGTCTTGTCTTCGGTGTAAATTATAAAGACAAGATGCTTCAGTGCTTTATCAATCTATGATTTGCATTATTGAATTGAGCCTGCGAATCTAGAAGTGAATTGACGGACGGCTTGACCCAAGGCATGCAGAAAGGGCCCCATGAAGTTGCAATAGGATAAGGATCCAAGGGACTCATAACAATGGACTTTGGTCACTACAATGCAATTGAGCCTTGCAATCAGACAGGCTTGAGCCGTGAATCTTAGTCCTGCCCGCCAACTTCTTGGTGCTTCAAACAATCTCTCGTTGATTTTCAGATAAACGACTTGTTATGATTTTTTGGCACTTGAAGGTTAACTAGTGGTTTGCAGGCGTTAGGTAACGGATTTATATAAATCATTTCCGACCGCAAACGCCGAGGGACTAGTCCACTTTGGGGCTAGTGTCGGCTCTTTCGCAGCTTCCCGAAACCGCAATTCTCCGGGGAGGAAGGAACGAGTCACCGCCATCCAGCTAAAAAAAAGAAACAAAAGAAAAGGAAAGCGCGGAGAGTCAGTCCTGCCTGCCATCCGCAATCGCCGTCGTGCGCTCGAAAACTGAACGTCCAGCGAGCGCATCCGGGAACAGATACAAGAACAGATACAAGAAACGGGCACTGAAGCATATCCAGGAACAGATACGGGAAAGGAACAGGGACAGGGCTGCACTCATCCAGCCAGTACCACTTCCAAGTTCGTGAGGAGAGAGAGGAGAGATGTCGTCCGATCTGGTGCCCGAGACGCGGGTGCTGGCCATCGCAAGCCATGTATGTATCCCCATCTCCGTCTCTCCGGAATTTGAACTGCTCTGACACGCTGTCCCCGTGGATAGGTTGTCTATGGGTATGTGACTCTGCTCCCACATCTGACTCCTTGCTCCCTACTTTGCCTGCAAAGGCACTCTTTCACCCCCCTATCATCATCACATATCCCCGCCGTGAGCGTATGATTCGCGCCGCATAACGGCACGCATGGTTGATGATGATGATGATGATGATGTTCATGGCTTGGTGGATCCTCGTTCGAGGAAGCTGACACGGCAGCTTGTCCGTCTGCCTATCTGTCTTTGGTACTTGTTACGCAGGACTTCTAACCTGCAACCTGAATCACACAGATACGTGGGGAATACAATGGCAACTTTCGTAATGCAGTCGTTGGGATGCGAAGTCGCTGCACTAAACACCGTCAACTTTAGTGAGGTCCCATGATTCTACCCTTCGTCCCATCTGTGGATTGGTCGTTCCTGTTTCGGCAGAATGCCTGGCACTGATGTTGCTCCCCATGTCATTCCTTCGTCTCCCTTTTTTTTTTTTTTTTTTTTTTTTTGTTTTTTTGAGGTGTATTCAGACAGAGGAGCTGGATCCTGACAGCGCTTCGCAGGCAACCACACGGGATACGGACAGGTCAAAGGCGCGAAGACATCCGCCGAAGGGATCACTTGTCTGTATGATGGTCTGCGTCAAAGCTACCTGACGGACTTTGACGTTTTGCTTACCGGCTATGCACCGAGTGCAACCGCGATCGAGGCCATTGGCGCGATCGCAATGGATCTGAGGCAAAGGTCTCTCAAAAGACCCGGGTCATTCTTTTGGGGTATGTCCTGTCCCCGTTTCCCCATAGATGCCTACGTTTAGCCGGGCAGCTACCACAGGGTCGGGCAGACAGTTAACATGGAAGCCAATTAGTACTCGATCCGGTGATGGGAGATCAAGGGCGGATATATGTTAATGAAGATGTGGTACCCGCCTATAAAAATCTCGTCCCGCTTGCGGACTTGATATTGCCGAATCAATTTGAGGCCGAGTGAGTGTTTCCCTAGCTTTATCTGCCCTGTTTATCTGGCAGTGTAACCGGAAGCTGTAGTACCTGACCATCGAACAGGCTTCTTTCTGGGATAAAGATCACATCATTGGCGAACCTCATGGATGCCGTTGCAGCGATTCACCGCAACTACAACGTCCCACATATCATCGTTACCTCAGTACAGCTTCCCGGCACCCTATCTGCTTCATCATCAACGGTGTCTTTAGCGACCGCAGACGACTCTGTCTGCACTCATGATACCCGACTAAATACGCTCGTAGTGGTTGGTTCTACCATGAAGACTGACGGTTCTGCCCGCCTCTTTAAGGTGGATGTGCCGCTTATGGACTGCTTTTTTAGCGGGACAGGCGACATGTTTGCGGCGCTGATGGTTGCAAGGCTACGGGAAGCTGTCTTTGCCGCGGAGCCCATGTCGCCCCCATTACATGAATTGCGTTCCTGGGTATCGCCTGATCACGTTCCGGCCACACAGCTACCTCTCGCCAAAGCGACCGAAAAGGTCCTCGCCAGCATGAACGCCATTTTGGAAAAGACCATGATAGCTAGAAGCGAAGAACTAGAAAGGCATTCGGAAACTGAAGAAGATACTACGTTTGCAGAGCTACCAGAAGCTGAACGCAAAACTGCTCTTGCAAAGAGAGAGCGTCTGCGTCGGACGAAAGCTGCGGAGATCAGGCTTGTACGCAATGTCGACCTGTTGAAACATCCCGAAATCAAATATTTTGCGGAAGAATGGTGTCTATGATGACCGTGTTCTCTGTGCCCCTCGCATATCTAGCCTTTGCTATGTTAAAGCATGTATGGTTCGGATACCCCGCTTAAAGAGCGAGACGATATAGAATCTAAACAGAACCTGACGAAGGGATGACTTTAAGACGTTCTTGCAAGACTGCAGATATTGATGGATCATGAATAGAATTGATTTTCACGCCGAACGCGACTCTCTCTTTCGGATTCAAGATGCTCTTTCTATCCTTTGAGGCTGCTTTTAATCTTGTAACACACTAATAGTTTGATCAACTCGTGTCATTGCCGTTTTGGTGGCCTTGAATGGCTTTTTTTGGCTTTTTAAGCTAGCCCGTTACAACCACCGTGGTTTTCTCCCTTGGCATTCTGACGGCTGAAGCCAGCTGCCCGAAGACGTCGCAGACTCGCGGCAAAACTGCCCAATAATTAGAGCTCCTTCAGCCAGTGCTGCCGAATCCGCCGGCACCCCTCACACTTTCTTCCAGGTGCTCGACTACCTGTATTTCGGGAGTATAAATCTGCATAATTTGGTTAGATTCTTTTTCTTCCCTTGCCCCCCACCCCTTAATGGGGAAAGAAAAGCTCTGAAGGTGGAAATGGAATCATTGCTCGGCCACTACTTACTCGCTCAAGAACAAGCTGGGCGATCCTATCTCCTTCGTTGACGGTAAAATCCACATCGGAGAAGTTAAACAGCAACACCTTGACCTCTCCGCGATAGTCCGCATCGATCACGCCGGCGCCGGTGTCGATGAAGTTCTTCGCGGCCAGACCACTTCGAGGCGCTATTCTTCCGTCTGGTGCGATCGGTAGTTAGCTATTTATTTATTTACTTATTTATTTGTTGAGACTACACGTGCAAAGACTCCAGCAAGCAAAATGCGTTTTCTGCAGTGGGGACCTTACATGTTCCGTCTGGCACGGCAATAGCAAGGCCGGTGTCTACGAGTCCCTTGCCCTTGGCGGGAATAACGGTCTGCTTCGCGGCGTAGAGATCGTAACCGGCGGCGAATGCTGAGCCCCGCTTGGGTGCTTGGGCTTGGGGCAGTAATTTTTTGACAAGTAGCGGCGGGAGGGTGTTTTGGGAGAGAGAAGTGACGGTGGGAGAGGAAGAGTCGGTCGTTGAGTCAATGTTGGTCATCTTGGGACGTTTTGCGAGAGGGGAGTTTGGAAGAGAGGGGGCGGGGTGGGAAGGGTTGGTGTCGGGGTTGGATTGTGGAGGAGGAGTGGTCTCTTTGGTCATGATATATCAAGAGGTGTTTCAATTAGGTGGTGTTCCTGGCTCTTTGTTCGATAACGGAGGGTTCCTTTCGACTGTCCGTCGTTGAATTGACATATCGCGTTTCCTCCGATTCAGCAAAAAGCGCGATTCGACGCGATGGCACGTGCCCGTCCTTTTCTTAGTAAGCAACCTTGTCCAAACGCGGTAAAGCGTGATTTAAACTTTCCTATTGGTTTGGAGACCACGCTAGCGCATATCGGGACTAGGGCCAAACTCTGGTACATAGGACGCTCGGTGTTAGCCTCGGCACCCCGGTTGTTGCTGCTGAAGACAAGCGCAAAGCTCCTCCGACGAAAAGGCATGGAGGAGATGCCGATATTTATTTGAATCGCTCCCTCGGGGATGTACCTACCAGTCCACTCATCACACTGTCCACAGGAAAGCTAGTAGTACAACTCCCCGTGTCATTGCACCAAGATGGCTGGTGCCGTGCGACAACCGATTGACATCCCAGCATTCGAGCGGTATCTTGAGCGGAATGTCCCCTCGATAAAGGTGCCCCTGGACGTCAAGCAGGTACGATTGCTTTTGCGGTCCTGGGATCTTATGCGAACCCTGCTAGTCCTCGAAGACCTACCTGCTGATGTATTTGCTTTCTTTTTTTCTTGAGTATCTAGTTCGGATTCGGACAATCGAATCCAACCTATCTCCTCACGGCCTCCGATGGGCAGAAATTCGTTATGCGCAAGAAGCCACCGGGCAAGCTCCTTTCAAAAACAGCACATCGAGTAGATCGCGAATACCAGATCATCCATGCCCTCGAGAATACAGACGTTCCGGTTCCAAAGGCCATCTGTTTGTGCGAAGATGATAGCGTCATCGGAACGGCATTCTACATAATGGAATTTTTGGACGGACGTATCTTCACGGACCCTGCAATTCCCAATGTGAGCCCGCAGGAGAGAAAGGCAATGTATGCACTTCACCGACACACACAAGCACACGCACACACACACACACACACACACTCACCCCAAAAGAAAAGAAAAGGAAAGAAAAGGCTGGGACTGTGGAATGGAGAGCTGACGGATTTCTTCTAGATGGAAAGACGCCGTCGAAACACTCGCAAAATTCCACCGAGTTGATCCAAAGTCCATTGGCATGGAGAAGTTTGGACGACACTCAGGATTCTACGACCGACAGATCGCCACTTTCCGGACCATCTCCAAGGCCCAGGCGGAAACAGTTGACATCGAGACGAAAGTTCCCGTCGGAAACTTGCCGCATTTTGAAGAGATGGTGGAATTCTTCTCCAACAAGGACCTGCAGCCAAAGGACCGAGGTACATTCGTCCATGGAGACTACAAGATTGACAATATGGTTTTCCACAAGACAGAGCCCAGGGTTATCGGGGTCCTGGACTGGGAGATGGCGACGATCGGCCACCCGCTGTCGGACTTCTGCAACCTGACCAGCCCATATATACACACGGGCGGACACCCCGGCAGTACCGAGTTTTCACCTGAAGCTGCTCCTGGCCTTCCAACGCGCGAGGAATGCGTTCAGTGGTACAGCAACATCGCAGGATGGAACCCGACTTCCGAAGTGATCTGGGGCGATGCTTTCCACGGTTTCCGGGGTTCGGTGATCATGCAGGGTATAGCAGCTCGATATGCTTTGAGACAAGCGAGCAGCGCAAGGGCAACTGAATACGGAAAGCAGATGGGCCCCTTTGCGCTACGTTCCTATGATAAGGTGAGGAAGATGAAGGAGGACGCACGTCGGAGGAACAAGCTCTAGTCCGGGGCCGAGTTAGACATGTTCCTTATTTGACCCATTTCCTCCGTAAAGAGTTCTTATTTCTGGATTTGTTCTAGACGGCCCTGCGTGGCCGGAGGTACTAGATTTCTTTAAATTTGGCTAAAGTAACGTTGGATGGCTAAACGGGTTACCATTTGCCTCGTTTTCGGGGATTCGGTTCGTATTCTAAAAGGAAACAGAAAAAAAAAAAAAAAAAAAAAAAAAAAAACCAAATAACCGAATAAGATTGGTGGGGAAGGCAAACCCCTTTTACTGTAACATGCATGAATATTTTGTCTTTAAGCCCTCTGTTGGACTTTGTCCGGCCCAGATCATAGGGCGTGTCATGATGATATCCTCGGCTTTCAGATCCGTTTCCTGTCCCTCTTCTTTGACACTCGGAGCAGAGAAGGCAGCACTAAGCATCTCGAAGACAAGTTGCCGTCTAGCCTAGTTAGTGTACTCTGTACGGGATACGGGTTAGAATTATGCAACTTTCTAACAGGAAGAACGAAGCGGATTTGCTCCACAGGACGATTCTCCACGCCGAGTCCAGAACCCCTGCAAGTCTTCAATTCAACAATCATGGCAGCGGGTATGCCGTCCACTAGTGTACCTGAAAAGCCTCGTATAAAGCCCACGCTTTGTCCTCCGTTCAGACAAGAACAACTCATCAAGGACGTTTCAAATCTCATCGGAATTTATTGGACGCCTTCCCCCTGTTTTAGCACCTCGAAACAAATTAATGAAAAGTGTGCACAGGGTATCCAGGAAATGTGCTGGACTTGTTGAGGCTAGGTACTGCTTCGTAGCGCTGAGGAGTTGAAGATAGTTAGGGGGAATTGTCTTATGTCACGCGCAACATTAAGGTTATGTTTCAAGCTATCGGTGTGTTTTGCCTTATTATCTTCCATAAAGGAAGGTCTCAAAGGGAAAGGATGTTGCGGTTGTGGAATATCTTGAACATTCTAAGTCAATATTCCGACGGTGTTCTGGTGAGCCCGTTCACTCAGGCGACCTCATCCGAGTGACAAATGTCCACGTGCTGACGAGCCAAAGTCACTAAACTGGCTTAATTACAGACTGACTGTCAGCTCGGAGCCGCACTGATTCTTGGTGAGATGGTGTCTGTCGGCCAAACAGAAGCTGAATCGTTCCACAGCCACGGGCTCTATCTTATGTATATATTTTGCCTCTCCGGGTTGCCCACCTGTGAATGGAAATGAAGCCAAGAGTTCCGATTTCTCAGCCGTCGTACGGAATACTCCGTATCTTCGTCAGGTTCGGAAGCACGGAATGTTGGTTCTTTCCGTCCCGACTAACTCCCCGACAGCGAATATAGGGGAAATGACAGTGAAAAGCAAATTTTGCCGTAGCATGTCCAAGGAAGCATTATCCTTCGTCCAGGAAGAGGAGAGGAGACTAGAATAAGCTGCTTTATGACTGCACACTCACTTTGCGGGACTCACGGCTGCCCAGCCCGAGTTCGCAGCTCGTGCACTCCGTACGGTAGTATGACAAGATCTAAGATGATGGGGGCTGCTTGGAAGTTCGGTGAGCCTGCCAAGCTCGGTTCAGCCCGTTCGAGAATCACCGCTGTTGGGGGTTGGCCTTTCAGTTCGAAATCCATCTCGGAGAGAGCTTGAGAACGCGAAGCACCCAATTCTCGACGTCTGGATCTGATGTCGAAAGTGCAGCGAGAAGGAGAAGAAAAAGAAGAAGAAGAAGCGAACATGGCGGGGATGGCTGGGCAATACTCCGTACTCTGTTATTCTTTCGCAGCCTGATGACCAGGTCCTGGAAAAGTATATAAATTGGGCCGTGATCAAACCCTAACTGACCAACCTACTCCCCCCTGGGCGTCCTTAAAAAGGACTCCCACTTCACTTCCGCACGAGTGCCCAAACAGTTCTCCGCCCCCATCACGGACCCCTAACCGGCGTTGGAAATGTTTTTATGTGATGGAGGGAGGGATCTTCACTCCGGGTGCTGGTAATTATCCGAGGGCTGAGGAGAGGAGAGGAGTTGGGACAAAATTCCGATCGAGAAGGGTAGCCAGCCTTGAATAAAATACCACAACGGGGTTCAAGTAGTTCGCGAGATTGGGACAGAGTTTCCACTCCACCCATGGCGCACACCGGACGCCGTCTCTCGAGCTTCCCACAGAAAATGAGCTCTTTTTTTTTTTTTGTCTCCTGCGTAGGAAGAGAGGTATTCCGTAGTTAGCTAGGCAGTTTGTCGCCGGCGGTCCTCACACAAGACGCACACACACACTCTCTCTCTCTTGGTTCCTTTCCCACAGTCTCACTCTCTCACACACACATTCTCTCTGTCTCTCTCTCTCTCCCCCCCCCACTCTCCCATTCATACCCACCCTCACTCAGTCACTCAACTCTCTCTCTCACTCTCTCTCTCACACACACACACAACACTCAACACTTGCACCCCACGCCGTGTGCTCGCCGTCCGCTGTGGCGATGGAGCCCGTCAGCTGATTGCGGCTCTGCAGGTGCATGGGGGCTCGCTGGCCGCCTTAAACCCGATCCGGCAGCGCGCGAGGGCATCCCAACCGATGACGGGCCAGCGAACGTCCGCTTCATCCTTGTGCTTCGAAAGCGTCAATCTCAGCCACTCCCGCGTCTGTTGCCGTTCACTAGGCTCACGGCGTGAGGTTGCAACCCCCTTCCTTGATCCATGTTTTTCTGCATCTGCGCAAGATTTCAAAATATAATATGCAAATGAGCCTGCTGCTCCGCTTGCCCCGCGCGTTGCGGAGCCTCGTTAGCCCGTAGACCTGCTGCGTTCGCACGGCTTTTCTATCCTCCTATCGTTTAAATGACTACGCTGTTGGCTGCTCTCTAACCCTCTCTCTCCCTCCCCTATTCAAAACCCCCCTCCCCCTCCCTCTACGATCTCGTGGCTCCGTTACCGGTAAGGCTCCTCTTTTGTGCGTCGCTTGTTCTGCCCCCCGAGCGCCCTGGATTCCGGCGGTGAATCTTGGCCCTGCCTGTCCAGCCAATTGCACGCTCCTCTCTTCGCCCGTTGCAGCGGCGCTGCTGAACTGACATCGATGGCTTCGCTTCTGCTCTGTGGCTCGTGCCTCTTGAACCTGACATAGTTGACTGTCCTCTTGCATTCCGTGCTTGCGTTTCGATGACGCTCCCTCGCGAGACATGAGCTTGACAACACAAAAAGCTAACTGTTGTTCCAAAACGCCCCCCAGCCGTACATCCAGCCCCATCCTCCGTACATATCAGCTCTTAATTTCAACCGTACTGCCCTCCCTTCCGGCTCTCCCTCAGCTGTGGCGCTCCCGCCGGACATATTTTTTTCCTCCGGTCTTCTGCCATCGAAGAGCCTCTGCTCACCGTATGCCCTCTTTTTGGTATTGGATTACATAACTCTTCATGATTGCGCGTTGAGTGTTGCCTATGGTATGGATACAGTCATGGAAGAAGACGTATATGACTCCGATGATGCCCGGGCTTTCACTCCTCCACTCAAGCGGTCCCGAGTCGACCTCAGACCCTATAAGACCCCAACCCCTCCATTTGTCCCCGAAAAGAGTGAAAGCCCCAAAGGAAAAGAAAGTCCCTCTGGACGTGTCCGTAAGGGTTCTCACCGGCGTTGGCAAGGACATAGAACGTCAATAGGGATCGAGCTAATAATCGAAAACTTAGCGCCAGACCGACCAGATCTCGCCCACCAGCTTACCCAGGCACACGTCCAATCGGTCTCGCCGTCAGACACTAGTGAGTCCAATGACAGAGCTGAGCTGAAGGGAATAAATAGGCATACGGAGGATTCCATGCAACATGCGGACTCGGCCTGCAGGTCACAATGCGAGGTGCAAAATCCACCGAGCCTCGAGGAGAAGCCCCCTCCAAGTGTCCAGAGAAAACCGCAAGATCCCTGTAATGTCATGAACATCTGCAATCAGTGGATGGACCCCAGCGGATCTGTTCCAATCAAGAAAGAGCAAGCTTTCAACGACCACGACAGGATCCCATTCCGCACGCGGATGCACTCTCAAGAACCAGCTTTCAAGTATCAACTTCCGAGAATTAATTCAAACCCGGAGGATCGGGAGGTGGCGGCCAGATCGTCCAGAGTGAAGGAAGAGCTGGAGCTGCCCCATCCCGACCAGAAGCGCGTCTGTCGAAGTCACCATCCATCTCCCTCCCTGCCGGTCCTGCAATCTCCGCCACAATCGACGGGGTCGCCAGATTCTGCCCGGAACTTACCGCCAATCAAGGCACTAGTTGGGCCTTCCTTTGAAGAGCCAGCTCGCTTTCCAGCTTTTTCGACATTTGAGCCGCAATATCTACCAGCTTCGTTTCGCCGTGCGGCCACTTTTTCCCACCTCACTGCTGCTAGTACAAAGGACATGTCAAGCCTCTCGCCCACGCCCGTCGCTGGCACCCCTCATAGCTCCTATTGGGCACCATCGACAAACGCTGAATGCTCTCAATCTCAGTCTCCTGGCGACACTAGCTCCCATTTTACAGGCAGCCCAGCCACTGGATATCCTACGCCAATAGAACCAAGAAAGGATGAGACCAAGACATCGACGCCTCAGAATTCAGGCGGGTTCAAGTGTGAATACCCCGGCTGCAACTCAGAGCCCTTTCAGACACAATATCTTCTCAAGTAAGCAAATGACAAATAATGCTGTGCGGGCTTTTTGACTTACTAAACTACAGCTCGCACGCAAATGTACATTCAGAAAACCGACCTTACCACTGCCCTGTGGAAGATTGTCCACGGGGTAAAGGGGGAACGGGCTTCAAAAGGAAAAATGAAATGAAACGACATGCCCTAGTTCATAACTCTCCGGGGTATATCTGCCCATTTTGCTCAGACCAGCAACGCCAGTATCCCCGCCCAGACAATCTTCAAAGGTGAGTTGCTTAACCGATCGCCCCGGCGGGAGCTATATTAATTTGTATGGTCAGACACGTTCGGGCCCAGCACGGAGATAAAGACAAAAATGATCCTTTGCTACGACAGGTCCTCGCCAAGAGGTCCGAAGGCGTAGCCCGAGGAAGGCGTCGGCGAGCATGACATTCGTTAGGACAATCAACAACTGTTTTCTGTTCGGCCTTAGCTACTCTCGACTATGTCATTCACGGGATTCGCGGCTCTGTCCCCCCAACCCCAACCCCGACGGATATCGACGGGGAAATATTATCGGAGTAATGGTAATCGGTAGTCCTTCAACGAGTGTCAGGGTTTGTTTCTGTTATATTGTTTCGATTAGGGTGCCAAAAAGGAGACCTCCCCCTCATTTCAGTCGCTACGGAGTTCCGAGGTAAAACAAGACATGGGACGGGTCACGACATTTGCATATATTACTTTTCATATACGTGTTTATATTTTTATATTCTTCTCCCCCCAACCCCCCCGGGCGAACCCCAGTTGGACTACGGAATTTTCCCTTTCTGATACTGTATTGGGATTTAAATTTATCACGTAACCACCCCCTCTTTGTTTCATCTACAGGGCTTAGCGTGGTTCGTGGGGTTTATGTGCACATATGGCGAGAATTTCCTGAGGACATAACCTGGAGAAACTTCTCTGACTTGACTTTTTCTTTTTCTTTTCTTTTTATATAATTGCTTCCCCTTTGTTCAGTTGAGCATGCGTGAGGTTATACAATGTGAGTTTCAATCTGTATGGCCCTGGCGTTATGGAATAAGCTTGCTGGATGTTAGCGGTACTTTGCGGAAGATGAAGTGGATACAATTGGTGTGGGATTATTATTTCAATTCTCCGTGTCATGGCACCATTTAGCCATTGATTTCAATTTGCCTGATGTATCTATGCATATTTCGCCAATGTTTTATCCAAAAGCAGCCTGTCGAGCAATACGGGTATGTATGTATCCCCCCAGAGAGGTGGGGGGAAGGGGGAAATCCAAAAAATGGTAATCTTCTAGGGCGCGGGGGGTATATATCAGCAACCTAAACCAAGACAGAGAGGCGATAGATAAAGAAATTCCTCATGGAATATCCCGCGACTCATTATCAACCAACAGCGGCTCGGTCTCATTATCATCGTCTTTCAAGGAGATGCGCCTGTCCGGGTATATGATATAATGCTGGGCCATGAAGATGAGGTCGAAAAAGATGCTCACGTTGCCCAGCAAGAGCTTGATGGGGTTACCTGTGATCCCACTCCAATCATCCTCCAGCGCTGAGTCGATGATGAGCTGTAGGATCGAGAGCACGCCGCCGGAGAAATCAAGGAGGATCTGACCTATGCTCCAGCCGACGGTGGATTTGCGCTTGTAGTTCACCCATGCTTGGGGGATGTACTTGATCACGGTGACGACGAGCTTCACGTAGGAAACTGTGTAGATCTAAGGCGGGTTAGAATTGGAGGGATATATGAAATCAAGGAATGGTGAGGAATGCTGTGATTATTATTTTTTTTATTTTTTTTTTGGTGGGGGAAACGTACGACGTCGATCCAAGCCCAGCCGGACGGATCATAGCCTCCCTTCGACGCTACCCAGACCGTGATAATGGCGGTGGCGCAGATGCAGCCCCAGAAGATACCCGCCACAGTCCGGCTCACCCGTTGGAATTTAGAAACTCTGAAGCCCCAGATTTTCGGGAAAAACTGGCTATACACAGTCACGCTGAGAATTATGGCGTGCACGGCGAATGCAAAATCGTTAAATCGCACGGACGGCTCCGGAGATCTCGGATGTCGAGCGGCGTACTGCTCGCGGATCAGCGGAGAGTAGAGGAATGCGGTGGTGTAGATGGCGTAACAGAGGAAGCCAAGGACGTTGGTTGTCGGGAAATCGATCGCTAGTCCGTGGGTTGAGCGACGGCGCCAGTTGAGGATCGGCTGGGGATAGAATGAGGCGGACCAGCAGAACATGCTGCAAGGTGAACCGTCGTTAGAACCATGATCCTCCCGAATCAATAGTCCCGGCTAAGGCGTGGAACAGATGGTCTTTTGAGAAAAGGGGGGAGAGAAAGAAAAGGTACATACTATATCCACCCGATAAGGCTGTGTTTTGATGCGAATGGCACGATCAGCATCAGTTCGAGACGACGGGAAGAAGGGAACTCACCGAGATACCGCTCTTGCGAACACTTCTCCTTGGGACGCCATTTCAAAACTGAGCCAAAGATGCGGCGCTGCGCGGTGTTGTTGAAGCAGCGTCGAGTCGGCTTTATAAACCCGTCATCCAGCCAGCCCCGTGAGCGTCGATCCTGCGACACTCCCTGCTTGTGCTGAATTTCCCCCAAATCGAGGCGGAAAGGTTACTTAACCGCCGAACAGAGAGCGTCGTGTGACACCGATCGGGATCTTATCTTATCTGATGGACCGTAACGTAACATTACCGCCCGAAACTGACCAAAACTTACCGCTGACATAAGCAGGGCGTTGTCCCGGCGCTGTGCTGTCCGCGCTAAACCCGATGCGGCAAACCGTTGTCGTTTCCCCGCCAGCGAGCTGCCCGACTGGCCCGGTCGGCCGCCGCTTGAAACAGCTCGATGGACGCCTCCTTTCTGGCATTCCTCGCTGTGCTGCCTCCGTCAAGTGCTGTAGCTGCCAGTCTCCCTCTCTATTCCCCTCGATCAGGACCCTCCCGCTGTGAACGCCATGTTTTGCTCGTGCTAGAAGCTTGCTCCCAGCCACTCGTTCACCGCTCTCTTGAGGTATAGATACCTCACGCAGAGCTGGACCCATCTGCTTCCAACCAAACGCCAGCTGTCACCCGAGTGAGGCAACCCGGAGACGGTTCGTGCGTGACATCCAGCCATTGATTTATATATCCATTCAGAAACAGAGCTCTGTCCCTTATCGTACCCGGTTTGAAAACGAATGGTGTATTCCCCGGAGCGAGGGGTCTATAAAGATCACCTCTGCTATCTCCGACGGGACACAGCGGCATAATCGTACTACCATCGTCCACGGCGACGCAGTCCGCCCTCTGAGGTAGGGCCCCGCAGCAATGTCGCCCTCTCCCCAATTAGCTCCGCCCGGGAGCAGCACATACTCCTCCAATACTCTACACGTTGGGGACGGAACATGGGATTCCCAGCGGAATACCTTCCTCCTGCCCAACCTGATGGGTCTCAATTTTGAGACAATGCAATATAATGGTTGGTCTTGTGGCGCCGTCTCTACTTCTCTGCCGGATAGCTGATGCGCATCCCAGGAATGGGCAATCGTTTTCGAAACATGGCCGGATATCACTCTCTTATCCGAGGTCATGGTGTGATTGCGGCGATAACGTTTCTCGGCCTCGTCCCTATCTCCATCCTAATAGCTCGATTCTACTCGCGAAGCTCGTACTGGTCGCTTCGATTGCACATATGGATGCAAATCCTCACTCTATTCCTCACGACGGTTGTCTTTGTCACTGGTTGGTTTGCGGTCGGGCCCAGTCGAAGTTTGACAAATCCGCATCATGGAATTGGGCTTGCCATATATGTACTCGTTATATCTCAGATATTATGGGGCTGGTTTGTTCATAATCGGCTAAAGGGCAAGAGAAGACTATATCAGCCCTTCACATTAATGGTAAGGGAAGCACATCCGTTGATATATCCGTTCACTAACCCTAGTGGCAGATTCACAGTTGGCTGGGTCGAGCGATCGCTCTCCTTGGTCTTGCTCAAATACCTCTTGGCCTCACTCTTTACGGGTCACCCTTGTCCTTGTTCATCCTATACGCTTTAGCTGTGTTCACTCTGCTTGTAATTTATTTTGTCCTCTCTTATCTTCGCGAACGGCGCTTGGGTCTCGATTACGATAGGCGCAGTTATTCAGCAGGACCGGAAGTCATCGACGACAGGAATGGCTCTCTTGCAGCTGCTGGTGCCGCTGGGGCTGGAGCTGCTATTCTGGGGAGTCGGATTCGGAGGCGCTCACGGAGCAGAAGCTCGATCGACGATAGATCTGAGAGAGCGCCTTACACCGATGAAAAGTCAGAGGACCAACGTCCGGCAGGCTGGAAAAGAAAGTTGTTTCAGTTCGCTGGAATTGCAGGTGCGGCAGGGTTGGCAAAACATGCCTTGGATAAGCGCCGTGATCGCGAGGGCGATGCCGAATCTGGAAGATACCGCCCAGCCCACACAGCGACGGAGAGCTATGATGATGATTATACAGAGAGTCGACTTGAAGAAGGACGAACTCCACCGCCAGCAGCTCACCGCCATCGGTACGAGCAGTCGCCCAGTGCACCTCAAACCCAGTATACGGAATCTGAATTTACGAGTAGAAATATCGGAGGGCATGGACCGCGGAATGCAATGTTTGGCGCAGGTATATTGGGTGCAGTCAAAGGCTTGTTCAAGAGCCGTGCAGCGCGAGAAGAGGAGAGACGACTGGAAGAACTGAGACGGGCTGACCTGGAAAGTGAAAGAATGATGAGAGAGAGGAGATATACTGGCGATGGTCGCCCTTCTCGAAGAAACGATCAGCGATATCCGTCCTTTAGCGAGGTAACTGGCCCCACGGACGCGGAAACTGTACAATCTGCACCAAGCGATGGCCCTCCAGTTCCCCCTCACCACCATGAGCTTGGTTCTGATACGGTGACGTCTCTGGACCAGAGAGCTGACCCGGGTGCGGCTGCTGGAGGAGCAGCAGCCGGTGCTTCAAATCAACATCGGTTCAGCGGTACGCAAGGAGAGTCTGTCGAATCTCCTCCGGTCTCGATCAAAGTGAAATTGCACAACAATGGTCGTCGCGTTACGTTGAGACAATTGACCCGAGAGGAGGCAGAAGCAACCCGCGAAGCAAGGCGCAGGGATCGCAGTAGATTCGGACGTCGTCGTCGTGAAGCCTCACTATCTGGAGGCGAAGGCGACGATCATTGGCGCAGAGTTGAAGAGCTGGAGCGACAACAGGAACAGGAGATGCGGAATGGCAATGCATCCGTCGTGAGCGCTGGCCCTTCTGCTCCTCCTCCAGCACCGCCGGTCTCTCAACCTGAACCTAAGCCGCCGGCTGGCAGTGGCCTTTCTCCGATACCACCGCCTCCTATTCCTGCTGCTGGAGCTATACATTCTCCTTTGACCATGAGCACCGACCTGAGCGGCAGCTTCGCCAGCCGAAGTGGTCGACGACGTGCGGAGCGAAGAACACAAGCCAGACAAGGGGGAAGTCGGGTGGAATTCACATAATGAACCCGGCCAAACCAGTTCTTTGATTCATGCACATATAAGTCGGACGAAACTGTTAACGTTTTATGGAATTATATTATGAAGTATGAAGTTTAGGAAATACATGGCTGGGCAACTGGGCGAACAGGATATTCTCTCAAAGGTAAGTTATACGATCTGGAGTTGGATTGGGAGAATTTATCATCGAACCTCTTTCTATCTCTGAAAGTCAGCTTTGATATCTTTGATTTTGTTCTCAAGTTTCGGTGTCAGTCTACCCCCTATGTGTAAAACCATGATTCAAAAACAGTTTATTGAGTTATTTTGGATCATGCATTTTGTTATTTCCAGAAAGCGCCATATTTCTTCTCTGTTGTGGAACAATTGACTGAATATGGTGCAACAAATTCTACATTCCTTTTTGGCATAGCTTTTCAGATCTGGGAAGCAAATTGATTATACATTCCTTTATGAATTCCATCCACATGATGGTTGCCTTTAACTGTTTGTTCCTTCGGAAATAGCGTTTCCTGCAGGCTAGAATCGCTGTTCGGACAGATAGCTGGCAACAAAAATTTGGCCAATGGAGCAAGATATAATGATAGCACACAAGACACATTTAAAAAAATGAAGAATAATAATTCTACATGCTTAGCATTGAGGTTCCGGTGTCAATCGAAAATATATATGTACACTCCAGTCTATTTCATAGCAGCCTGAAGGCTCTCAAGGACCTGTTTAACGGTAATTAGCAAGCGTTCTTCCGCCGAAAAATTGAATTTGGAAAACTTGGTCGGCATACCTCTAACTCAACCTTGGCTTCAGCGATATCTTGCTCACTTCCGGAACCGGCCGCAATCCTTTGAGCCTCACCGATCTGGGACTTGACGGCCTGTGATGCTGGTTAGAATCATGACCGTACCCTATCGAGGAAGTCAAGCTTCGTCGAGGAAAAGTTTGACCTACATCAGCGCTGAAATCTTCGAGAGCGAAACCCTCGACGGCGTTGATGCTGAGATTGGAGTCGGGCTGGACGACAGCGAAACCACCGGCAACTACAGGAATTGAGGTCCGTATTAGCCGCTGCACCACGCTGATATTGGAATCAAAGGGAAAAAAAAAAAAAAAAAAAAAAAGGGGAACTTGGCAGTTTCAATGGCTGTATATCACGTACGGAAGAACTTCTTGGTCTGTCCGCTCTCCTCGATGATCTCGATGAGACCGGGTCTCAATTGTTCGATGCTGGGAACGTGGCTAGAGAGAATACCCATGTCTCCGGACTCGGCGGCGATGTTCACTTGGACACTGTTGGTTTTCAATCAAAAACATGTCAATTAGCCTCTAGTTTTTTTCATCCATCATTCGTCCAATTTGATTTCCCTATCAAGACATATCCTTCGCGAACGAGGGAGGGGTCCGGGGAAGGCGTACACATCGGCGGATTTGTAGATAGTCTAATCCGAATTCAAAAGATTAGCAAAATCCCGTGGAAAGACGATCCAATTGAGCGCATATCTTCCTATACCTCGTGCGGCAAGACCAGAGAAAGCCGTAACTTATCAGACACGGCTTGCGCATAGGTTCTCTGCTGAATTGGTAGTCTGAAAGCGGCAGGCCGCGCTCTCAGAGCAGACCGGGCGAAGCGGGCCGTGAACATTGTGAGCGTTTTGGAGTGCGAGGAGACGGGGTGTCGTGGGATGACGGAGTGAGAGGCCTTCGAATTGTCTGGTGGACGTCGTCGGTTTGGAAGAGTTAAGGTTTGGGATTGGTCGGCATGGCCAGTATTATGCGCTAAACCCAATCTGGTGAGAGATATCACGGGACTGCGGTTGTTGGACGGGCGGAGGATGGAGGACAGTCAGAGGGAACGGAAAGCGAGGAAATGAGCCTGCAATGAATGATTTCGGCCTTAATAGCCTGCTATCATATACACGTTTCTTTGAATACCTACAATGTCGTCAACTTCCCTGGACACGCTCTAGGCAATATCTAGTGCTGCTTTACGCTAGGCTCGGAGACGGAATAGTTTCGATATCCCAAGGACATTCACGTTGTAATTTCTCTTCTAGAGACAGGAGCACATTATACTGACTATAGACATTAATAGCCTCATAAATATTTCATAGTCCCCGGTTAATTTGCCGAGATAAATCGTCGATATATGGTTCTTCTGCGTTGCCCGACTGTTGCTATACATCCAAATTCGTACTAGCCCCGTCGCCATGTTAATGTAAGCGAGATCCCACAACGCAGATTAGATAAGTCAACTCCCTTTAGGTTCCTTCGACGACGAGAAAGTTGTGAAGGCCCAGTTCGACGTCGCAATCCCTATCCCGATTTCTCCCACAATCCGCATTGTTGCGATCAGACCGTCAAGATGGCCAGTACGTATTTACAACTATCTTATCTCAGTGTGTCAGCTTCTGTAGCTAACACGTCGAACTCGCAGAATCCAAGAACTCGTCGCAACACAACCAGAACAAGAAAGCCCACAGAAACGGGTACGTGGTTCGAAACCTCTGAGTCGTGATATCTTGAGAAAATACTTGCCATGTAGTCAAGGAATCAATTGCTCGATCCCTGCTATCACTGAGGAACTGTGAAATTTTGGGCTGAAGCTTGGAATAATCAACGAGGAGCACCAAGGTCGAGCTAATGCGTTCAACTCTTCAACAGGATCAAGAAGCCAAAGACTCACCGTTACCCTTCCCTCAAGGGTGTCGATCCCAAGTTCAGACGGAACCACAGACATGCTCTCCACGGCACCATGAAGGCTTTGGTACGTCCGGTTTTGTTGCGCAGTTGAATCGGGGGTTGCTCTACGTTTAGCTCCCGAATCCCGGAGAGAATCATACACTAACAACTTCCTACAGAAGGAGGTCAAGGAGGGCAAGAGAGAATCTGCATAAACAAATGAAAAAACCATTGAAATCAGAATCCCAATGTGCCGCGTTGCTATGTCCATAGATCCGCATATTTTCCCGTTGTTTTAGCCCGTGGGAACGAGCAAGAGAGATACTTCCATCTCGAGTCCTCGATAATGCAAGATGGGTTTTGCGCTGGTTTCCCCAGGGTCCATGCTTTTTCTGCTTAGGATTCATGATTGACGGTAACGCTGGTCTGCTTTCCCACGGACTTTTGGCTTGGGCATGTTTTTATATGGGATGTGGGTGTTTTCGTGCATCCTTAACAGCCACGTCTAGGTAGATCCGTTGCAGGAATATGGACCACATTTCACGACCCATCGTTTGACATCATTTTCTGCAGATATTCCAACTTCTAGCTACCATTCAAAAGTGGATTTCAGCTCCGAGCGAGGACCCCAACAGGCATTGTGTGTACAGCAGCGGATACTTTTACCAATATCCGATTGCTGAAGGATTTTATAACGTGCCGAGATTAGATCTTTCCTGCCTTCTAATTACCAAACACCCTATGCCCTCGCTTTCCCATGGTGCAGCGGTGCATGGACAGATGGCTACATAGCAATTTATATGCAAATACTTACAGATTAATTTTAACAATCTACCTGATATCCTGTGTGATTCAAAAAGTTGCCTATAAGTTTTTTTTAAGTCTCATCTCTGCCAACCTCCTTCCAATCAATACAAAAAGTAGCATAAACCGGTATTATTTCTTATCATCAGTGTATTATATCGTAAGAATATTTAAATCATATCTTTCCTTGCTCCATCAAATCCCAAACCAGCGCCAGATGCATTGCAATTTTACCAAACCCACGAAATATTATTGGAGAAGCAAGCCACGCAAAATCCAGGAGAAACGCTTCCTGTTAATTTCAGTAGAACATATCCTCCGCCCTTCTCCGTTTCCCACCTCTACCGTCAAGTTTATCAGAAAACAGTTCTTTCCCTTCGTTTCCGGTGTATCTCGACGGGAATAGCTCCCTGACCGAGGCTGTGCCCTTGATTGATATTGTATTATTCAAACTTGCTGCACTTCCGCGGATGGAGAAGCCTGGATCGTCAGATGTACCGCGAATCCTAAGCCCACGACCTGTTTGGGGTACGCCCCCAGGGAAGAGTTCCACGTTGCTATTATCTTTGCTTCGGTTATCGGCTTCGCGGCCGTTGTCGTGGGCTCCGTCAACCAATGGGATAGAAATACGTTTAGCAAATAAATCGGCCGTCTCATCTGCAGCGTCGAAGGCATCGGAACGGCGATGGTTGCTGATGGAGGTCTTATTCGGAAATAACTCTTTCTTAAGGTAGCTGGCCGCAGTTTTATTCGGAAACAGCTCTCTGCGACCCGAATTCTCGTCACTAGAAGCGTTGGCGGAGCCAAATAATTCCTTTCCGGCATTGAGACGGGTATATCCGTTTCTATCCCTTCCGTGCCGGGGGGAACGGTCCCGAAATCTTCTTCCGGAGTCCCGGGAGTCGTCACCAGGTCTAACACCGTTACCAACATCTGCACGGGATGGGGATGCACTTCGATCCCGTAACCGTCCTGTTGACTTATCTAAATGATCGGGGAACAAATCATCGGCCTTGCGTCTGCCTCGGGTTTCATCGTGATCTGGCTCGAGACTATCATCATACATCGACTCGTCAAACTTCTCCTCGCTCGCGAGTCCCTTGCGGCGCCTGTGCTCCTTCTCGTCAAACCGGCGTCTGTTATAGTCTCCCGTACTATCATCTCGTCGCCCTCGACGCCGTCTCTCGGCAAACTCTCGCCTCACCCTTTCTCGCGGGTCATGCTCAGGATGCATAAGGTAAAACCGACTCGCCTCATGCGCGCGATGCTTCTTGCGATCCGTCTTCACCGCCGATCGCACCTGCAGTACCGAGTCAGGGTGCGTAGACAACGCTTTCGCCGTACGCAGACGTAATGACGGCAGCGCCGAATCAACTTCCTCCACAGATTGCTGTGTAAATGCAGCCAGAGCCTGCAGTCCCATTTCCGTCGAGCTATATACGATATTCGCCGACGTATCATCGATCCATTCAATTCGCGATAATTCTTCGCCCTGAAAATGTTCCGCCGCAAAACGCTTGATGTCCTCCGTCGTCAATTCATCGACGCCGCGAATATGCACTTTTTCGAATTGAGGTTCTTCATTGCCTGTGAGGATATTCGGGTCCTCGAGCTGCGTGCCATTGTTCAACGGAGTGGAGGCAATGTCCTATAGACAGAGAGTCAGGGACACGATAAGAGCTTGTTAAGTGAGTGTGAGGCCAAACTGACAAGTTCAATTGGCTCCGGCTCCGGCCCCAGGTCAAGGTCCATGTCAATATCCATTGAGATATCCATTGTGACGCGTGGTTGAGCTGCAGCTCAACTGGATTTCTAGGTGGCGATATGTGAATGCCAGCTGACCACGCCGGTGGGGAAGGTCAAAGACGGAAGCGAGGTGACAAGGAGCTCTTCTCTGCAAACCCAAGGAGCCTCGGAAATCCCTCCAGAGCCAGTGAAAGAAGGTCACGGTTTGCTGATGTCAGAGTAGCTGCATTGTTTTGCGATTCTGAAGATTCGAACGAGCCGGTGAGCTGCTCCCGATCAGGCTAGCTCCATACACCCCAGCCCAAAAATAGCCGTGTCCACGTGACAGGGCACGCCTTAGCGCCCCGCGCTTTACATCATCAACAGCATGGGTTAGTCAGCAAGCATCGTCACCTTCTCTCGCTGTGGAAAAGAAACGCCAGACATATCATCCGAGGTTGGGGCTTTCATCTGCTTGGTATTTGATATAATGGCTGTCCCAGGGTTTCGTCAAAGCGTGAGATTCTGGCTGAGCTAAGACACCTGAAATAGGTGGGTTGGCTTGGCTACTGGCAGTAATCCACCTCACACGTCCAACTCCCAGTACGTATTATAACAGCACTCCACTCGTAGGTCGGGAGCCGCTCAAGGCTGGGCTAAGGCCACCTGTTGGTTATATGTATAGTTTATATAATATATAAAGTCGCTAACAGTCCATAACCATGTGAATCCTTTCATGCTCTCCCAACGGTGCCGAAAGACATAGCCTCCTAACAGCATCCTTGAGTCTAACTCATCATCCCAAGGGCTTAACCCCCGGGGAAAAAAAAAGGGTGGGGGGGGGGGGTGTGTGTTTCGTGGTGGTCCCGGCTGGATCGTTATCCTTGTGCTATTTTAATTGCAGTCACAGGAGCCCTGCCTACTTTAATTGCACACCATTAAGAGCATCAAAGACCACCTTTCATTTGCCTGGATATGCAGGCTTGCGAACGCTCTCGGCCAGAGCCATCCTATCATCTAATGAGGGAGGAGCCGGTCAAGGAGCCTTTGTGTGAAAGATATCTCTTAGTGGTTGCGGTCATCTTGTTTCGGGGTCTAGTCTAATGGTATCAGCAGAGGCTTTCCTGGAGAATGATATGCGTGACAATAGGATGTTGGGTGCTTGAAAAGAATACCAGCCATAGCAATTTGCCGGCAACACAATAAAAGAGAACACTTTTACATATATAGACATGTATGTATAGATTGAGGTTTGGGAGTTGGAACTAGTCAACTGCGGGAGGCGATCATTACCCAGAGAGGATAATAGATACGAGAACTTGACAGAAGCTCAGGCGACAGCACATAACCTTGAAGTGCGCGTCGATTGGTAGGATCAATGAACCGTTAAAACAAGAACGGAGGACGCGAAGCAGTATGGAGTACTGGAAACCGAAATGGTCCCTATCCAATGGGTCAATCCATTTCTTTTGTTCGCATACAGCCATTGGGAACCCCCATTATTGACGCACGACCCGTCGTTAAAGGCATGGCAAACGTAGAGGCTGTCACACAAAATCGATAATGTAGCCAATAAATGCCACTCGATGGAAACGGAAGAGATGTGCAACAAGGTGTAATGTGAGTTAAACGGCTTTGTGCTATTGGACCACGGGGCACCGCATTCGAGCGCCTGACTCATGTAAGGGTGAATCGACTCTGTAATAAGGGCCTTTTTCCCATAGTCTCGAGGGCGTCAGTACCAGCACCAGAAGTCATGTGTATTGTGCCGATGTCATCTGCCCGTAAGCTTTGCCACCTAAGGACCTTGCATGGCTTTCTGCGTCTCAAGCACGTCTCGTAAGACATGGAGGCCACCATCGTGAGCGAAAGCAATCGAGTTCAAAATCTATTGGACAACCAAGAAGTATGGTCATAGCAGTACCATAAAAATCTTGTCACACGATATGTCCGCATTCCGTGTCTACCAAAAGGCACAGTGCGTCCCAAGTCGTCTAACCACCTGCCGTTGGAGGCGTTCTAATCGTCATCGAATCAAACATCGTTCGATTCAGTTAGCAGGGGTCAAATGGATCACTGAACCATGAAAACAGGGATCAACCCTTTGGGACGACAGCAAACGATAAAGAGCGATAATCGAGCGGAGCGGAAGATTGGTTTTCAATAACCTTCTTTTCTCGCCACTCTTGTTCGTTTTCTTTGTTCACCAGTTACCGCTGCCGGTTAGTCCGGATTTGATCAACGGGATATTCGATCTTTTTCCCTTTTGTTACCTGCATCGAATCTCAATGGAACCTTTTCCTGTACCGGGTTACTGGGGCAGAAAATGTCGGTGATAAAACGAAAGTTGGCCGTTCCCAGGATCAGCTTCGGGCGATGACTGGCATGCAAAACGGCGCAACGGGGCTCTTGACCAACAGGGATCAATGAAATAACCCCTCTCTCCCCTTTACTCTGCAGACACAACCTGAATATGCTGATTGCTTTTGCATTTTCTGCGGTCAAGTGGGACAAAGAAAGGACAGAGGGGTCGAGCATTCAGCACGTAGCTGATTGGCTGGATGAATGACCCGCGTGTCGAACTGCAGGTCTAAATTCCAATCCGCCTGAAAGTATTGAGATTGACGTAGCTCTCTCGTGACTGCGAGACTCGAGGATTGAAGGCGTTTGAAGGCGACGAAGGCTGGCATCATCGCTGAACGTCTGGATTAAGTTAGCGCACCCGCACTAGCGTCGCACGGGAAGCTTGTCCGGGGCAAGTCCAGCCAACCATCGCCTGGCGCCAAGGTGCCTCGTCTTATGTAATCCATCACGGCCGCTCCCTTGGGGAACAGCGCAGGACACGCAAACAGCTATTGTGAGCTCTCGTGTATGTACGGAGTAGGTGTGTGCATACTAGCAGCGTCGTACGAAGCGCAAATACTTCAAATATATTTGCCTGTCTCTCTGGCACAAACACCTCTGGAACACAACGACGCACCACACCCAAAAATCTGGCACACAAACGAACATCAAATTAAAAGGGGGGCGGAGTCCCGACTCAGGTGACAATCTCCGTTTTCAACCACCAACATTGATGTGCAGACCCAAAAATCATTCAAAGGCTTCCTGCTGCAAGTTAGCTTGCAGTCAGCCAATTACACCCCAGTGCTCAGGCTGGAGATCTTTTTGGCGCACCCAACGCAAATCTTCATGCGCACGTGAGAAGCGTTGAAAAAAAAAAAAAGGTCGGCAACTGATCTCCTGCTCAATAGGCGACATACGCAAATGTCTGCTTTTTTCTGACTAGGCTTTTCGCTACGCCTCGGGGACCGTTAGCTACCCATGCCTTAAAGGGCTAACAAACCGTCTCCCAACTTAAATAACGCACCTAACTGGCGGTGTCAGCAGCGGCAGCTCGCTTAAGTACCTTAACTACTTCCGGGGCCCATTGAAGCTCTCAACACTTCTTTCTTCAAGGCAAGGCTTCCGGCTTAAAGGGAGAGATATGACAACGAACATGCAGGTGAGGATATTTCTAGCCATGCACATGCTGTACGGGTATACCCCCTACGCATGTCCTTCATCAAAATGTCCTCTTTCCCTTTTCGCAGCCCCTTTTTTTTTTTTATTTTGCCGGAGAGACCTGCAGATTTCCGTTCCCGGATTCCACAGGCTGAAGTTACCACGCGATGCAATACAAATCTTTCTCCTCGGTCACAACCCCCCAGCAAGCAGTTTTGGGCTCGGCCAGTCTGCATATACGAGGCAGCTGGGAGAAAGGGGGAGTGGGGAGAAAAGCAAAAGTAAGGGAAAAAAAGAAAAACAGAACACACCCGAATGCAAGTATCCGTTTTCTGATGTCAATCAACACCCACTGAACCCCATGCTTTGTGCTCTGTGAGACACGGGGGAGCAGACAAGTGAGTAACAAAGAGGCCCCCCCCACGGAGGGGAACACATGCACTCTGACATGCACAAAGCGTTGCTTTACAACTGCAAGCGGGGGAGGCTATACATGTATGACGTATCTACTACTTCGTACATACTCGATATGTAGTTGCCTGGGTGAAAGGGAGGGGAGAAGAGATAACAAGCAGCCCATCAACATCAAAGCCAGAGAAAATGAAGAAAAATTAAAAGAAATATATATTGCATAGTACCTGACTTTCCGCCTTCCATGCCTTTCTCTTCTCTTTTTCTATGCAGGTGTCAGAAAACTGGAAAAGGATAGAGGGAAAAAGAAAAAGAAAAAGGGTTTCATTCAAAAAATTTATAAAGCCCGGTTGGAGTCACCATCACCGCCTCTGGTGTCACGTTTGCTGGGCTGGGGTTGGGGGATTTGCTGCATCTCTTTTGCCCTCTTGCTTTCTTTTTTCTTTTCTACATCTATACATATAACTATAGATATGTAATGCATGTAATTTTTCTTTTTAGCTTCATTCTTCTCGTATATGCATGGTCATGTACTCCCTTCCACAAATGATTGCGCCAGCTCCAGGGCCAAACATTTGAGAACAACTGATCGAGGCACGTACTTTTTTTAAAAAAAAAAAAAATAAATAAATAAAAAATAAAAATGAATGAATATGAATAAAAATATAACAGAAAAAGGGTGGTGGTGGTAGAGAGCTCTTCAAAGCAGTGAAGGTTGGTAACATTGGAGCGTCACCATTTTAGCATCCTTGCTGTGCCACCAGATGAGATCGATTAGGAAATCTTCTCGTAAAAAGGACAAGGCAATATATCCATATCTAGGTACATACATTGGCTATGTATGCGTGTACGTATGTACATAATACATACATGTACACGTAGTTGGGTGGCCCACGACGGGGAAGTCCTTCTTCATCTGCAAGGCTGAATATCCAGGGGAATACGCCAACTACAGGATGAAACTGGACAAGTGGAAAGACGCTGGCCCATCACCAGACAGCAAGAAGAGCTATCGGAATCATGTCAAAGGGCGCCTTTCTTCAACACATGAGCCAGTAACTCTCTGCAATGAATGGAAGAGGAATATCCTCTTCCTTGCTTTTCTCATGAACAATAACAAGTTCCAAAGAGTCGTGATGGTAATAGTCACATTCGGCAAATGCATCATGTAATACAACATTAAATAGCGAAAAAAAAAAAAAAAAAAAAAGAAAAAAAGAAGAAAAAGAAAAGAAAAAGAAAAATCAAAACATAAAGTAGGAGAGGTATCAGAAGGAGAAAAGTAAGGCAGAAGATAAATAAAAGAGAAAAAAAGAAATATCCAAAACCAACCGACCAAGATATGCCTCCTCCACCGATTCCACACCAACCCGTTTTGCAACCCAATATTCTAATATCGTCCAAACCCAGCAAATACGCCGCCATCCACTAGACACTGCCCATCACACAATGTTCAGGTACAAATTTCGGGAGGAAAGATAGATGTTGATATGTCCACATAAATAGATCTTCGAGTCTCGAATATGTAGACCGGATAGGAGAAGGAGGTAGAATTATAAGAAGAACATTGGGGATATAGGAATTCGTAACAATAGCTAGTTGAACAATAGCTCAAAAAGATAGCCGTAATAACAGGCCTGACCACCCAAAGAAAATATAACGGACATTGTCCACATTCCATTATAGAGAGACGAGGGAAAAAGAAGCAAAAGGTCATGTCATAAGTAGAAAATTATTCGGAAGACAGGCTTGGCAATTAATTGAGTAAATTGTTCAAGCCCATTCTCGCATCACGATCTTGTGTCATGATGGAATGGGTCTTCGTATCGGGGACCGACTGAGGACGATGTTGATACGCAGGAACTGGGTTGTGAGGGTGGAAATGGGGATGTGGGTCGCTCGTAGAGCTGCGCCAATCTCGAATTGGGCTGCTTCCGGCTAGGATCTCCATACTCTTCGCTCCGGCAATGGAGCTATATGCATGGTGTTGGTTTGATGTGAAACCGACGACGGGTGCGCTACCTCGTCGTCGCTCGTCGTAACTTGGGTGAATATCCACGGGAATGGGTGGTATTGATGGGGACGTTATCGTTCTGGGGGAGGCAGAAGCCACGGACGTGTGATCTGAGATCATGGACGGGGGGCCGGCAGACGTCCGGGTAGATACTTCTGAGTAGCAGGGCGAAGTGAGCGGATGTTCGATGTGCGAGGAAGAATCTGGGGTGAACAGCGGCGGCAGAGATCGATGGTGTGCGACTGGAGAGGATCGTTCTCTCGGCCAGTCCTCACGGATATAAATGGAGGCTCGAGCGCTTTGAGGGCAATCGGTCAGCAGCCACGGCGCCTGACCGTCACGGAGCTGTGCCTGTCTGAACTGTGGGCTAACGGGGCTCCTGGGGTAAGGAGGCTCGACTCGACCATTGAATATTCGGGAAGCGGGTTCTCGGGTGGGAGCAAGCCGTCTCTTCTTCCGGTTCATGCTGCCGTTCCACCAGTTCTTGACGGCGTTATCGCTTCGGTTCCCCAGTCTTCTGGCGATCTCCGCCCACCGCTTGCCCATCTCGTTCACCATGCGTTCGATCATCAATCCTTCTTCAGGAGTGATGGGGTCGTGATTCAACGAGGGCTTCAGGTTCTGGTGGAAGCGCTCCCTGCACTGCTTTGGAGATCGATATTTCATATGCTGAGAGATTCGAACCCAATTATTTGGGCCCTGGGTGCGGACCAGCTGGAGCAATTCTTGGTCCTCTTCCGGGACCCAGGGACCTCTCCGCTGTGTGGGAGCCATGTCTTTGGAAAGAATTGCGGCCAAGGGATATTAACGAGAGGGCACGCTGTGCGCACAGCAGCAGCAAGTAAAGAAAAGATTGACTTTCTTTTTGCGTATTGTTATTTTTTTCCCGGTATCTAAGCGAAGGTTGAAAATGTTAAAACAAAGAAGAAAATGGCAAAAGAGAGAAAGTACCAAAGAAAAAAAAAAAAAAAACAAAAAAAAAAAAAAAAGAGCGAACGGATATATAACAGATAGGAAGCGACCGGCAATAAGTATGTCTCAGGGCAGGAGGAGTATGGAAGGGGGGCGCTTCGGAACGAAGATCCCAGGTTCTGGAACGGGGGTTATATGCTTAGAGCAAATGAGGGAGGGTCATGAGGATGCTGGATATCAGAGCTCCCAAAAACAAGGCAGTGATGGAGGGGAGGAATGGAAAAGGTGAAGTGGGCACGGGACGAGTTCATATAACCTTCAAACTAAGTACAACATGCATGATATGCAAAAAGTATGGCGGAGGAGTATGATGGTAGTGTCGTTTTTCCTTCTTTTGTTTTTCCTTTCTTTCTTTTTCTTATTTTTATTTATTATTATTCTTTTTTTTTTTTTCCCCCTCCGCCATAATTTTTTAAGAAACGGGAAGAGAGTTTGTTTCATACCTTGGACTGTTCCGAGATCCTGAAGTTGGAATCCCGAAATCTAACTGCCAGTCTGGCAGGGGGGCAGCGTTCCGGAGACTAGGACAGGGAGGAAGAAGTATGCTTGAGGGAAGAAAGGATTAACGACTGGGATAGAATTCAAATCCAACGTCCAGGAAGGGAGAAGGACAGAGAGAAAAGAGAGAAAAGACAGCAGCCGAGGACAATTGGTGTTTTAAATTGTTGGCGGACGAATTGGAAGTGAGACAGAGCCGGAGAGGCCAGAGACAGAGGGAATGATCTGAGAGAAGAGGGAGAGAGAGCGGATGCAGGCGGTATGAAGAAGAATGAAGGAAGCATGTACGGCGTCATGTAGATACATATAACCGGCAGACGAAACAATGGATACCACTGGTACTCCGCATATTTACGCTTGGTTACGAGAGAGGATCCATAATTTTTCTTTTTTGCTTTTCGATAACTAACGGTGGTGGACGGACTCCGCACATCCATCGCCGGTTTTATACTTCTGGCAGCGTGGGCGCCGGCGAAGGGATGGTGCCTGAGGCAAAAGACTGTTTGCCCCATCGCCCACGAGCTAGCTAGTTCACGCCTCTCTGACAAGGGGGTTCAGTTGCAGAGGTGGGAAAAAAAAATAAAATAAAATAAAATAAAGGAAAATAAAATAATATAAAATAAAAGAAATAAATTAACTAGCTGCACACACATACATAGTTACATAACTAACCTAACCAGTTAACCGCCTGTAATAATAACAGGGCAAGTTATAATAACATAACGTCTGAATCTATATGACTGGTAGACGAAGCGACTATAATGCCTGTTTTTGGGAACCTGGGTCGAACCCCAACGCCGTAACTATTGTGGCAAAACCTGCAGCTGCTCAGCAACCAGGTACTGCCCATCCATACATCATATACCCTGCAGAAAAAAAAGCGAGAGAGAAGAGAGACAGGCAGCCCAGTCGAACGCCGAAAGAACACCAGCAGCATGCATAGCCAGGCAGGGAGGCAAACCAGCTGCTTGCGACAGCACTGCGCCAGGAACAAGGGCCAAACCCCCCCCCTCCCCGGGCCCCTCCAGATCGTGGGGAGCAGGCAGCGCAGAGACGCGAGAGAGAGAGAGAGAGAGAGAGCAGAGAAAAAGGTTCGGTTTTTTTTCGCCCTCCAGGCTTGACTTCGTTAGCGGTCCATCTCAACTAGTTAAACTAATTAGTTAAAACTAGTTAACTACCCACTTTAACTGTGCGAAGCAGGGGGGCGCTGTTTGGTCGGGTTTTAGTCTTGCGGTCCAGTGAGGATCAGTCCAGGGATTGTCAATCCCCTTTCGTGCGTTTTTTTGGAGCTCGCCCGACTGCTGGCTACGTTTTAGCCAAAACCTTGGGCGTCTTTAGCTCCCTGACGCTGGCAGGGCCAACGATCTTCTTCCCTCTCGCCCACCCGCGCGCTCCCTGTCTCACTCACTCACTGGTTCTTGTCTCTTGTCTACGTCTGTTTGCCTCTCTCTCTTTCTCAACGCCTTGTCATCTTTTATTTTACTTTATTCATTTTTTTTTTTTTTTTTTTTTTAATTCTAAATGTTTCCTGGATCGTTTATTTTTATTTTGAATTCTCGACCTGAAAATTTGATTTTACCTGCTGTTAATTTCGGGGATAGTCACGGCGTCAAAGCTTGGAACCATCAGCCACCACCCGCCCGCCAGAAAACGGAAAAGATTTACCCTGCTTCAGAAAAGAGAAGGGAAAAAAAAAAAAAAAGGGCCAAAGAGTGGGCGGCGGCGGCGGCGGCGACGGGTGCACTGTCCAACATCAGAACCGCCCAGATGAACCATGGCTTCTTAGGGTATGGTTTCACGGTTAGGCAGTCCATCAGACCCTGGGCCAGGAGGTGGTTTGGACTCGATATCGCGACATCACCTTACTCCGTACACCCATTCAACACCTTCGCCCACCATCGCACCGTAAAAAATAAATAAATACGGAGTAAAAAGGGTTGAAAGGGCCTCATGGCACGGACCGATTGAGGGTCGGGGCAAGCACCGTCCTCATGTGGTTTTTACCCGGCAACAGTTTCAAGTTTTTTTTTCTTCTCTTGCTCTCACGTTCCGCGTCACACTCCCACTCACAGCCCAGGTGATTGAAGCTGCTTCGGATGGGGGAAGCAGGAAGTCCCTGGATAATGGTCCATCTAGGCTTCCTTAGTCGATCGCCAGACCCATAAAAGCCTTCCAAATCTTGTTTATAGTACATTTGCATACGTATTGGGTTTTTCTTTGGGGGGGGAGGGGGGGTTTCCTGAGCAGCAAAGAAATGAGTAGTATCCACGGACAAATGACACTAATCGGCTGGGAACCCAGTCTGGTCGTAGTATAGTTATCGGAGATTTTCAAGATGTGGCCGGACTGCAGTCCATCATCGAATTTCCGGGAACTAGCTCGCTGAAAACCAAGGCAGCGACCAGGTTGTATGTACTCCTGAGGATGTTCATAGGTACTTGCATATACATACCAGCGGACGGTAAGTCCCGGGCTGGCGAATGAGCAGCTCTTGGGTCCTGTCTCCTTTCAATCTGGTCCAAGGGGAAAAGAAACGCTTTGCGTTCGACGCAGGACGAACAACTCAACTTGCGGAGGCGAAACTCTTTTTGCGATTTTCGTTTTCCCCCGCAAACTGGAGAAAAAAAAAAGAAAGGGCTCCAGCCACTGCGAGAAAGGAAAAAAACGGCTGCCAGTAAAAAGCCATGATGAGGGGAGTTGGTGACGCCGTCGAGGTGGTGGTTCACCAACCCTAGAAGAAGGTAATGTATGTAAGCGTGTAATGTTAAGTATGTACGTCGACGCCCAGAGGCATCCGTTACTCCGGACAAACTAGAGCGTCCGGAGGACTTGGTTGCGATCTCAGATCCACCGGGCCAAGCCGCTTCATGCGATCCCAAATGGTCAGATCTCTCACCCGTACACGTTTTGACGAATCTCGGGAATGGCGAATCACTTGATTCCGAGGGCCCCAGGTGGCTGCGCGGACCGCCCAATCACCAGGTGCAGAGAGGAGCGGGTTCCAGCAAGCCCTGAATGGGCGAATAAAACACCCCACGCCGAACTTTAGTGCGCTTTGAACCTGGGCAGGGAAAAAAAAAAAAAATTGTTCGACTCCTGGACGGATCTGAAATATGGGTGTCTCTGAATCATGCGTCACAGACCAGTTCAGGGAGGGGGGGAATGATCTCTTCTAGACCGTCTTTGAATTTCGCAAACGAGGTTGTACAGAAACACAGAACGGGAGGTCTGACCATGCCGACTTCTTGCTCTCATTCGTCGGACGGAGCTAGACCACTCGAACGTGCCATTCGGTTAAGAAAAAGAGGGAAGAAAAAAAAGAAAGCAAAGAGCTAAAGGAAAAAAAAAAAAAAAAAAGAAAAGAAAAGAAAGAAAAAAGACAAAAAACTTGGAAGTTCTCGTGAGAGCAGTACAGAGGTACGTGGTACATACGTTGCGATGGATCGAAGGACCAAGTATGAATGTAAGCATGTACTGTACGGAGTACGGAGTACTCCGTACGAACTACACGTAGCTTCCCCTTCTCTCCATCGTCAAAATGTCTGATTGCATGCGTTCGTGCCTTCCCTTGACGCCCCCTTCAGCCAGCCATCAACACCTGCCCCATCCACAGCACCAGCCACACATTTTTTTTCTCTCCTTCCTTTGGCTCCGTCGTCGCTGCCGAGTCCAGGTAGTTGTGGCGCGCACATCTCGGTGGCTCAGCCGGTATTTGTGGCTGGTGCTAAAGGATCTTTCTCCACCCCACGGGGGCCAAGCGCCGTTTGATTGGCCCGTTTGATTGGCGTCACGATACGGGAGGGATTTGCAGGCGCAACAGCCTCTCGCTCGTGAGTTACCGTCGGCCCCGGGCCCTTCGATGACGACGGTCCGCCGCTGCGGTTTGTCCTCCCAAACCGGGTACGCGGCTAGCACCAGTATCCTCCTTGCACCTGCAGACTGTTTGCTGATCGTTATCATCATAGTATGTATTTGGTCCCTGGAAATATGTATGTACATACAGGAGGTCCATACATACGCTAGACGTTATGGACGGAGTAATGAGACAGTTCAATCCACAGCTACGTGCGGAGCCCAGACATCCACCTTGCAAGGCTCCGGTGCATCCAGCCCGCCCTCACCTGAAAATCTATTCCTCACATACCCCTCCCAAGCAGTGCTGCCTCTCGGACAGGCCATCACGAGCATGTGCCAATATTGATACTCAAAAGTCTATCGTTCCTCTGAGGCTCGATGGATCACAATTCGCTTTCTCGTTTGCCCCGTCGGACCAGGTAAAAGAAAGTTATTTTCTCGCTCTTCCATCTTTTTTTCCCAGTCCTGATATACTTCATTCGTTCTTTTCGTCATGATGTCTGCAAAGTCGTTTGCTCACAGGAGCAGCCCCGTCGCGATATTCTCCGTGGCATCTCCGTGACAGCTTCACACGGCACCGGCACGCTGGTCGTGGCTAACTCAACTTCCCCCCCCCCTTCGAAATCAATACATAGGTACTAAGGGCACTCTGTACTCCGTGCTGCATAGTTACTCCGTACCTCCACACTCCATACTCCGTGCACCGTGCCCCTCGGGATTTAAACAAGCCTCCTTTTTCCCACCAAAAACCACCACGTCATAGACTTTGGGCCGTGCGTGCCTTCCCGTTGCTGATCCAGAATCACCCCAAATGCAATACCTCATGACTCCTATCCAGCGTTGCAAGAAAGTCATATGCGAGTCATCTCGGGAAAAAAAAGAAAAAAAAAAAAAAAGGAAAGAAAGAGCACAAGCAGCTCAGATCAGATCCTCCAGATGATGATCTACATACGAAGTACGGAGTACAGAGAGGTTGGTTCCATCTTATTCGATCCTGATCCCATCGATACTACCAATCTCCACCGTCATCCGTATTCAGACTGGCCCCTTGAGCCGGTTCTCTTTCTCCTTTGTAAACCCTTTTTTGAGGTATCCCGCTGGTTTTTGTTCTTGTGGGACAGGAGCTGAATTGTTGGCAATCTATGGAGTACAGAGTACGGTTTGAAAACAAAAATAGATACCTCATGATCCCGATACCTCCTTGAATTTTTTGTTTGTTGGCATTGGATAACTATTTCCTATGGCTGAGCTGGGAGAGGAACAATTTTGCCAGATTACGGAGTAGTTAGCTGATAATTGTGGACAAGGAAGTTGGTCAGGGGTCGTCAGCGGTCCCTTCATTAACTCCTAGCTAACAACCGCCAGCTGTTTTCTCTCGCCGAACTCGGTCGTTTTTTTTACGCCCTTGGCCCAACGACTTATTTTCTATATGCGCATCATTCTGTCAAGAGCTACTCTGTACTCTCCCTTACACGGTAAGAGTCTGTTGGATCCCTGCAGGCACCAACAGCTTTTCTGATTCGGGCCTGCGACTCGGGGGATGTACGAACAAAAAAAATAAAATAAAATAAAATAAAATAGAAAATATAAACGGCCATCAACCGGGGCTGATAGGCTCAGTTGGCGACCTGCACAAGGGCAACAAACATTCTGAAGATTTTTGAGGACGATTTCGCTCTTGGAATCCACCTTGCCAGGGTTTGAGTTGGCCGCGTCGCAGGAAGCTGTTGTACTTTTGCGGATCCAAGCAACGATAAGTAACCAGGGAGAAATTCGTATCCCACCGGTTTAACCTCGTTTTTCGGCACGGTATCCAATCGTTGGCCCCCCGATATAAATTAAAAAGTCACGACTAATGAAGACCAGGTTGCATCCAGCGACACGACAACCGAGTCAACTCATCCCAATACATACGACATAACCACATGCGTGCATACGGACGCTGAAGGAAGTCAATTGATTCCTCACGACCATGGGTCCGGTCTTTGCTGTTGTTCCCGCTAAAAATTTAGAAAAGAAAACAAATTAGTTAACAATAAATTAAAAGCACACTTTTCAACTGGGTACCATTCCACGGAGAACACCGATCAAAAGTCTATGTGGTTTTAGTCTTCAGTCTGTCCTGGCAGTGGACTATTTTCGACAGAAGCTCAAGCTCAAACGAAACACCCCCTCCTCCCCCGTCGCAACGTTTCATGATGGCGAATGAAACCGATCCTCTTTGTGGGCCGTTTGCCCCAAGAACTCAAGAAGAACCTAAGGACCAAACGTGCCTTTTTTTTATTTTGATAGTCTTGAGCTTCCTCGGCAAGGGGTCCAATTAATCGTGGGAATTTTGACTAGCTCGATGAAAAGCATCGTGTTGGTTTGACGGAGTCACGAAGAACGAAGTAAGATTTCTCCGCACCATTTTTTTTTTTTTTTTTTTTTTTTTTTCTAAAAAAAAAGAAAAGAAAAAGGAGAAACGTGCTTGGTAACTCGCTGCTTAACACCACATGGGGAAAATCTCTTTCACGGTTGATGGTTTAACTTAACTTCTAGCTACTGTGGCTTCGGTTGACATGCGAAAACGGGGAGAACGGAACTGAGAAATCTTCCTACGGAGTTTCAGCAACTCCTCCCGGCAACTAACAGACTAAAAACATGGTGCGTGGTGATGTCTTCCTTGAAGATTCAAAAAACTAAACTCCCCAGTATCCGTAGTTGAGTACACACCGACAGACACAGAAGCTATTCGGGTCCCATCACGCGAGTGAAACTTCCATTCCCAGTGGCACCCCGCCTGGAGCAGCTGGGGATAGCGATCCGAGATAGCATCGTGAAAAGACGATGGAAGGGAAGAGACAACGCCCTTGGGTTGTGGGTGAGTAACAGGTTGGTTAGTTAAACTTGGTTGTTTCAAAGTAGCTTGTGTAATTCTTTGCTTTTCCCGACATCCGTCCCGGTTGATTCTGTCTATGAGCACGAAGGATTGATCGCTTCTTGATCAGCTAGCCCGAGGGGTTTGGTGGATAGCTGACGTTGATAACGAGTCTCCATCTGTCTCCATGGTCATAGTCTGAGACGGTTGGACCTGGTGGGAATATGCAAGGCAGCTGTGAGCCCTTAACCCCGGTCGCCCCATCGCGCTATTGGATCCTCTTGGTTCTGCGCGAAGACAGAGGCTGTGCTGGACCGTCACCTCGCTCGAATTCTGCCCGAAGCAGCGTTGGCCGGCGTTGCTGGGCGCAAAGGGGGGAGGGGTGTGTCCAGATTTGGACGGGCAGGATTGCCTATTATGGGGATGTGGTGTTGAACAGAGAGCCGAATTGGGACAAGGTGGAGCGCAGAGAGGCGATTCGTGATCTCTTGCTCCACTCGCTTTTTTAGGTCCGCCTATCTTTATTTGCTTTTTTTTTTTTTTCGTTTCTGCTCGCCCATTTTTTTGACTCTTAACGGTTTGCTGCGGGTAGCATGATGTGCAGCATGATTGGCAGGGATAATTCCAAATCATTCCTTGTAGCCTGTCCTCATGGTATCCATCCATCCGAAAAGATGGAGAGGAAGGACAAGTGGTCGCAAAAAGGGAAAAAAACAATAAAGACCACCTTCATTTTATTCGCGACGCTTGGACTGTGGATCGCGAGAATACTATTTTGGAGTAATTGATTTTTGCGACACGTCTGATATTGCTGGCATGCTCCTTTTCTTCTCTTTTTTCTTTTTTTTTTTTTTTTTTTTTGGACCGGGCTCTGCTCTCCCTGGCCTTCTCCCTCTCTCCCTGTGGCGTGAATTCCTCTGGCCCAGAAGCTCTTGGCGGCGTTTCCCCTGCGGCTGCGCGATCACGTGGGGGCGCGAGCGAAACGGTTTTTTCGGGTTTGGTCGGTGGGCTGGGCTGGGCTGGGCTGGGCTGCATGGCCCCTGCACCACGCCGAGGAGCCCACCTTGGTAGACCCCCGCTTCCCTCTTCAGGTTAGCGCGGATCTCGAATAGCCGCCGAGACTGCGCCAGAAGGGGGGTCGATCGAAGCTCGGTGATTGGTGGATTCAAGTAGAAAGTTTAGATCGCGGTGGAGCCCCCAATGCCACCGCCAAGAGAAAGTCTGTATGGGTAAGGTAATGGGACGCTGGTACATACTCCGTACTCCCTGATCAATGTCCAAAAGGTCGTTCGGCCCAGACGGAGAACTCCGTGCATACATAGTCCATACATTACGCCGTACGTAATGACATAGCGAATAAATGCTGCAGTACGGTATTATTGGTATGGGCCTTTCTCTTGTCGCCAATCCCAGCCCAACGGTTGAACAGGTCGATTTCCCGCCGCCGTGCTGTGCTTGTGAATTTTCGTCGGCTTGGATCGCACCCCGACTCTCTGGTTCCTGGAATAAAAATACGGGCGCCCTCCGTGTCCTCGAAAACCTTGCTGCTCTCCCTACTGTATCCGCGACGCAATGCAACACGGGTGCGTACCTACATTCTTGCCCTCCATCATCAACTTAATTCCCCTGCAGGCTCCTCTCGATTGAATATTTCGTGGACATACAGACACACACACACACAAAATTGTTGACATGATCAGCATATCAACGTCTCCGTATACGGTACAGACAAAGGAAACACCGGGCCTCGTGCAATTTTGCTGTGGATACTCCCCGTATTGGCCCCATTGACACGTTTTTCCTCCTCAAGCAAAACGCCCTCCTCCTCCCCCTGCCCTGGTCCGAGTATCCAACCTCCATTGATCGACAGTTTCTACCTTGGAGCAATTCCTCCTTCATCAGTGGATTCACCACCTTTCTGAAATTACCGTTTTTTGATGCCCTTCCTATGGGGCTGAACTCGGAGCAGAGCTTCTGGTCGACTGATGCGCTTCCTGGTAGCTAACGTCGCAACTACGCTGCGGCAATCCATGGGTGATGTAGTCCGCCAAGCTTCTAGCCTCGCTATTTATAAAGCAATTAGTAATCAGATTCACTAGGAAACGGTGATTGGGACCACGTTAAACCCCACCACGATGACCTATTAGTCAATAAAACCCAAGCTTCGAAGCATCATATATCCTCAAACCACATGAAAAAATAGAGAAAATAGAGAAAAGCGAGATCTCTCCGCCTTTCCTCTGTACGAGATTATCAGGGTACTTCCATGACAATGGGATCTTTTTATCTTATTAAAAGGACTATTTTTTGAAAATCAGTAACTTGAAAATGAGAAGTGGACCTATTCTAGGATCCATACTCGGGGGTGTATGACCGCGTCCATCAGCAAAGGCAGGAATAATCTTCGCTTCCTTGTCGCCAGAATCGCGAAACAAGGACCGACTCGTCGCAGCCAAAAAAAAAAAACAAAGAAGCTGAAAGTCCAGTCCAAAACAGCCAGCAACTCTCCTATGCTTAGACTTTCCCGAAATAGCATCCCTGCTCGATATTAGTGCGCCAGCAGAGGCTCTCGTATTTATTCTGAGCTGTTTTCTGAATCCTCCCCCCCAAGGAAAAAAGAAAGAAAGAAAAGGAGTTCTTCGAGTTGTGGTTCATTATATTTTTGGCCTGTTTGCCACGCGCCTGAAACAAGACTGCCTTGTTTTCTTTTCCGTAATTCCTGGCGTGGAGAGCCGCAATTGCTCCTTGCCCATGAGCAAAATGGGCAAAAGCGGACGACGGTGATCGCGCTACTGACCAGGTTTATCCTCTCCCTGGTTGTTGTTGCAGCGTATACCAGAGGATACGAAAGCACAATTAGCTCGTCGTGAGAACAAGAGAAAAACAAAAAAAAAAAAACAATAATTTCCTCTCGACGGAGAACCCTGTGTAACGGACTCCGCGAAAAGCGTTGTGAATTGCATGTGATATCCTACCTTTTCATATGCCGCTAATCTTCAAAGTTGCTCGATTTGCATCGGACAGTGAAACAGAAATGTCTCTGAAGACGAGAAAGTTTCCGATCCCACCGTTACGCTAACTAGTGAGCTGAGGGGGGTGGGATCACCGACCTTGTGAAAAAACGAAGCAAAAAAGGGCGGCGTGCGTTGCTGGGCGAAGGAATCGCCCCGCATAAACGGACAACGTTAGAGACAGGCCCAGAGCGTGAGAGAGAACAACAAAAGAGACTTTCGACGTTTTAGTTATCCGGTTGATCCCTGGAAGGTTGTATAAAAATAGCAAGTGGCCAACGACGTTTTCTTTTCCCTTTCTCTCTGGGTTTCGAACGCTTGGTCTGAGCTCTAGAAGGGACAGGGATTTGTTTCGAGCTGTCTCACCCCGGGATTTAACGTCTGGAAGGATGAGAAGAAACTCAATTCCCCTTTTCCCCGTCTGGCCCTGAGCAAACCACGCATGTCTTGTTAGACAAAGCAGCTAAATGGCCGCCCCCCCGGTCCGGATTGATATTCGGATATTGCCGGGAATAGGGGAGGCGGTTTGAAGGAATCAAGCAAACTATGCCTATGGCATTTTAGAATAGGCAAACACACAAAATGTTGGAGGGAAATGTACGTTTGGAAGACGAACACAGGGTGCACACAAGGGCTTTGGCCCAGCTTCTCCGGAGTTGCCGATTCCACGCGAGCCCGACCTTGTGGACAGATAATAATATACATATCCCCTACTTGGCGACCTTTTTTTCGCATTGTGCGGGGGTGCCCGTTGACCGCAATCTTTCTAGCCCTAGTTGTTCGAATCCTGGAATCAAGCATACTCCTTTGCTCGACGTCCTACATTTTTTGTGCAAATGTGGATGCATATTTTACATATCTAGGCCGCGCTGGTGGTGGCACCGTGGAGCTGGCTGGCTATCCTGTTGTTGGACAGGAACATTTAACCGGGCTGGGCGATGTGCAATTCGTGTGGGGGGGAGACAAACGGAAAACGGGACGCAGGGGATCCGTTCTATTAGTGAAAAGGACCTCTTTTTCTTTTTTTTTTTGGGGGGGGGATGCTCTGCATAGTGCCAGTGTGATATGTCTGAAGGAGCTTGTGTAATGCCGGGAATTCCTGGCGGCGGATTCTCGAGCGAAGGTCAGCCCTTAAGTCGAGCCTAGACACATAAATGCGATTATTCATTGTGTACTCCGTACTCCGTATATGGATGTGTTCTCTCTGCGCGGAATACCATCCACCAGCATCCGGCTATTCAAATTCTTCGGAGCATTTAACTTGTGCATTAGGTTGGTATGCGCCCCTGGGCCCCTCGGGTGCGACAGTAGGCACAGTACAACACGTGTACCCCGGATTCACGAGAGGTACCGTTTGATGCAAACGGCTTTCACTTCGTGTTTTGCTTCGACAAGAAAAAGAGGGGGATATATTTCTCCCCCCAAGTGGAATGAAAACAGTGTGGTGTGGTCACACAAAGCCATCTGATAGCTCGACCAAGCTCTGTCTTACTCTGTGAAGACCCGTGCGCTTGTACTCTTCCTGACATGTGTGTCGGTCAGAAGAGGATTTCTTCCACCCCTCCCTCCCTCCCTCCCCCACGTCACGGACTCTATACAACGCGGCAGGAAACATATCTGACACTGTTTAAGACCTGATGTTTGAGCGGTGAGGGTGAGATCCAGTGGCGAGCTGCAACGGGATATTAGTCTATATGGTGCCATATGGTGGAACAGCTCTCCATCAACGTGGGATTCTCGTGCCGTGCATGCGTGGATGATCGGCCCTCAGCCTCTTGTTTTTCCCCCCGCCGAAGCCTAAAGCCGTGTGAATTATTCACATTGCATAATATCTGTCGCCAGGGAGGGAAGACTTAAACGAAAGGCGGGGCTAATATAACTAGTTTTCTTTGTTTTCGTGAGCAGATTACAATTAACTGTTTTAAGCGAATGGATCTTACTCTGAACTATTAAAGTTGTCCGTGCCGGAGAAGTCTGGCGTCTTCAAGGGCGCAGGAAGCGAGACCTCGATGCTTCCCGGTAAGCCGGCGGCTTGACACCCGTCGACAGTAGTATGACCATGTTGCCGGTGACCTATCAGCAGGGGCACTGCGATGTTACTCAACGGTCGGATCTCTCCTAGGGACAGGGGACTTGGGGTTAAGCAGCGGTGTGAAGGCCGCTTGTTCTCTCATGTAGCATGTAGTCATCGCATTGCTCCGTCCTCAGAAGCCCTTCCTGTCTCTATTTCCCGCCTTGCTGACGTTGTTTGGGCGGGTAAATAACTTTAGAGCAAGCCCCAACAGACTTGTCGATCGAGGAGGATTCACACCTCGGCAGGAAAAAGCAAAAGCACGTTACTCCGGCACTATTCGCCCTTCGAAGGAACGGTCGCCCCCAGGATGCGCCAGCTCGACTTAGTTCTCGTGAGTGAATAGGGCTGGCTCGGCCACCCTCGGTACTCGCAAAAAACCGCCCGACGAGCCAATGAACTCGCTCATTCGCCCTCAGACGGCGAGCAACGAGCGAGCCGTCTTCTGCAATGGTGGTGGTGGCGAGACTCGCCAGGCATCAGAGCTCATCTGACATCCTACCCTTAGTCCAGAATGGGCTCCAGAGAGCCGAGAAGGCTTCGACCGTGTGTCGCTTGGACCCAATTTCCGTTTGCAGAGATTCACCAGCGACTCGATCAATGGACGGCGTATGATGTCCTCTATACGGAGTCCGGTGTACAGAGTACATAACGGTACATGTGCAAACGTCTGTGGAATCGAGGCGAAGAGTCTCCATTCTGCTGCTCTTTTCTAATTTACACTCTTGTCCAATGGGGTTAGCGAGGCAGGGATTGAAGCCAGCGAGCGCTGCGCTGGGAGGACGAGGAGGCGATCTGCCGGACGCTCAGCTAGCCACAGGGCCCCAAAAAAAAAAAACAAAAAGATGAACAAGAGCTTCAAACTAAAACCCTGGCCTAGGTCGGAGTGGACCTCATTCAGTTTTTTTCCTCCCGTCGTTCCCTTTCTTTGCCTTCGATGACGGAGCATTGGGACCTTCCATCCCCCGAAGGGCTGATAAGGTGCCATGTCATCAACGTCTTTACCGGGATGGGAACTTTGAGCTAAAGCAGCATGCGCAATTCCATTTGCCGTTTGTCCTGTGGACACTCTACAAGCTTTCAGGGAAAATACGTCGAGTGGCACCCGTTTGCGATATGAAAATGGTTGGCTGCGAGGAGTTCGCTCTCTCCATGATGACGATGTCATTGACATCACGATGATCAGTTCATTTTCACGGATCACCTTTGCTGTTCACAGAGGCCGGGTCGAATTATCCGCCAGGCACTGTGGATGGCAAAGATCGCCAGGGCCCCAAAGATCCCCAGCACGGTGGCAAAATGCGGTCTTCGTTCTCTTCAACAGGCCAGGGACTATCTGTCTCGATTCGTCCGCTTACCGAAAGAGCGAATTTCAGTTGTCGCATTTTCTCATGCATGGGCCTAGTGTCGGTCCGGCGAGCTTTGCTGCGTAATTTTATTTTATTTTATTTTTTTTTTCCCCTTCCTTTTCGTTGGGAAATCCTCGCATCTAATCCCTTCCCCTTGCCCTGGCCGCTGCATGCATTGTTTATGCCCGGATATCATAGGAACTGACCTTTTCTTGCGCCATGCTTAACGGTCTATATGCCCACGCCCGGGTTTAAAGCGACTGAAATCTTCCATTCGCCATCAAAGCCATGGCCGGCCACATAATTCTCATCGCGTTGCTTGAACATCCTGCCCTGGTCGCCCCCAAGCCCCATCCTGGATAAAAAAAAATAAAACAATCAATTGGGGAATTAAGAACACGAACCAAGCCGGAACACGTTGGACAGCGGAACCAACGGCTTCTGGTAAAAAAAAAATCTATGACTGCCATGTGGCTGACTGACACAATTTTTCCCTTGGGCCATACTCCATAAACTCCTCCGTATTCCGTTCTGGATATGCCGTCAGACCCGCCGGAATTGACGAGAAGCTGGCTCACGTCCAATTATTGGCCCGGTGGTGTTCACACTTTTCGAGCTATGCGACATTTTCGATCATCATTGACAGGTTGATCGCTGGCAAGGCTGATTTTTCAACGTCCTCGTCATGTTGGCCCATCCCATTGTCAGCTCCATCGTCATACTAATAATCCTCTCCCGCGATTTCAATAATACTACCCACCTCCTTATGACTCTGCTATTCTATTGTCTTTATTCGATGTGGTGGCAACTTGGCGCAACGGTGACGATCCCTTTGCATTCGACCGCCACAACTGTTCAATCTCGGTTCGCAATGGGAATCCGAGAACAGTCGTTGAAGGAATTCATGATCCCCCCAAAAGCAAGGATGTGGAGATTGATAACGTGTCAGAATCGGGCAATTCAAGCGTACTAGGCGCTTGGCCACTAACTTCCTGCTCCGGGGCAACTACGCATACAAAGAGTTTGAAAGAAGATGACATCTCAAGCGAAGATATGGTCAAAATCTTTGATCAATATCTTTTACTTGTCTATCTCCATGCATGTAGTTACATAGATATAGAGAAATGCAACGCGGAGATTCAAGTCCAATGTCCATTCATCATTATTCGTAGCGCAAGCGCTGCTAGAAAGCACAGTCAGTCTATATGATATATCCCACACCAACAACAGAGTAAACCGCTCATCCCACCGAGAAAGAACGCTTACGGGACTGGATGACAATCCCCACAGCCTACACAAGACTCAAAAAGGATCAAGATAAATTGCAAACCCTCTATTCAGTCAGAACAGGACGGAAAGTTAACAAAACGCCTTCATCACAGCAACACACAAATGCAGCAGCCATGTGAGAGTAATCCGTAGGAGTCCCCCCATGGACGGAAATATGCTTTCCATTTCACCTCTGGTCTATCGTTGTGGGAAAAAAAAAAAAAAAAAAAAAAAATGCGGAAGGGAAGGGACGCGGAAGGCACAGAAACACATACTAATGGCGTCCCAAGATCCAAAACAAGAGAGAGAGAGCGATGTCCGCCCGTATATCACGGGGGTGAAGCAAGGGCCGCATGCTCGCTAAACTGGTGATAGACAAAAAGGCAAAAAGGGGGATCATCCGCGATAACTTTGCACATATGTAAACCACGAGTACATTCCGGACCCAAGAAAGATGCAGCAGCAATGAACCGAAACTTGAGCAGGAAAAAAATACAACCTAAAGAGAAGTGAGGCTAAGATAGCAAACAATATGTTGAAGATGGGAACAAAGTGGTATAATAATGATGATCAAAAACACGGCGGCGTGGTGGACATCTCATCTAGAACATAGCAAAATTCAAGTCGCGGTATAAAGCACAAATCGGGGGAACAAGGCAAATAAGGTATTAAAGGATAGAAAACCACAATTCGTAAAAAGAGCCTTGGGGATTAAAAGATGTATCATCCCAAAGAAACCAAGACAAAAGTGATAATAACCTCACGCCCGCTCCCATGAGAAACAAGCACGAAGCAATCGACTAAACGTGCTCCAGTAAAGATCAAAGCCAGATGTCTCCCTCTTCTCCCTTAACCCATTTTCTCCAGACCGCCTCATACGCAGTTTCGACGTCATTCACCCATCTCCTAGTATCAAATAGTTTGCTCTCCCACCGATTTAGAAATAGCATTTTCCTCAGTTCAAACAATCGTCCCCTCGCCCGGCCACTCCCATTAGGATCGTATTTCATGTCTAAGCCGAGACGAATGGCGTTGTTCTCATATTCTTCTTCGGAAGAAGTGATGAGTTCGGCAGCTGCTTCACGCCCGGCTGCGTTTTGAGGAAGAGCACTAGTGAGAATACTGGATGCCATGCGAGAGCACATTTTATATTTATATCGAGGAAGAGTGATGAGTGGAGTCCCACTCCAGAGAATATCGGCGGACGTAGTATGAGCATTGCATTCCGGCGTGTCAAGGAAAAGATCACAGATACGGGCACGAGAAATATGAGCATGTTTCGGAGCGACGTCCGTAAAAATTATTCGTGAAGCGGTACCTTCGCCGGCCCAAGCTACCGCTGATTGTCGAAGATTTTGTTCACCGAGATCAGGGAAACGGAGAAGCCAGAGGATTGCATTTGGAATGCGGGCTAATATACGCAGCCAACTTCTGAACGTGGTAGGTTCAATCTGAGGGCATGGTAAGCAAAATGAATCACAAAGTTAGAAAAGGGGTGAAAGTGTACCTTGTAGAGTTGGTTGAAATTGCCAAAAATAATTGTATCATCTGGCAGATTTGGGAACAGTTCCTTTCGCATCTCCCATCTATTGCGCTGCTCTTCCTCCCAAGTCAATCGCTTGCCTTGAGCATCGGGAGCACTTTGCCTATGATCGCAGCAGAAGAAAGTATGTCGAGTGAATACAATCCTTTCGCCGTACACCCAATCATCCGCATCTTCGGCATGGTCCGGTTCGAATAGGCGATCCTCTAGCCTCACATTCCGTCTCAGTGGAGATAAGGTGTCTGGTGGTATCGACAGCTGATCCGAAAGAATATAATCACACCACTCGGCTCCAAGGGACCCAGCAAAACCCATAAAAGACATATGAATTGGCGCTGGCCGGGCAGCGAAGACCTCATTTCGTGCTCCGCGAGTGTAACCATTTAGGTTGACTAGGATGTGGATCCCATCAGCCACAATTTGTTCGACAATCCTATCAACCGACCAGCTGCTCACATCCCGAAATACAGGGGCTTCACGCTCAATCTGCTGCCGATGGATGGAATTGTCACTCGCTGTGGTTGCATAACAGAATGCTTTCACACGTTTCGGGTTATGTAAGCCAAACACAGACTGCATGAGATGCGCCAAAGGATGGTTGTTGAAGTCGGACGACACGTATCCGATGTTGAGGTGGGGGTTCGGAGGTGCTGGGGGTGGATAGACTGTTGGGGGGAGCCATGGTGAGCGCAGCGTGGAGCAGGATATTCGGAGGCCGTTGCGCTGGGAAATATGGCGAATTTGCTTGGCAGAAAGAGGGCATGTAAAGGTATGGAACGGGAGAACGGTTGGCGCATTTGGTGGGCTGAGTCCAGCGGGGAGTTGTGGACGGGCATATTTGGAAGGATTATATTCCTTTCGATAAACGTAGAGATCCTGATACCACTGCCATCCGATCCACCTTATGGCTCTCTCTATAAGTCGGACGATGCGCGAACCTTCCCATTTCTTTCCTGCCCACGACTGTAGAATCCCACCCAACGCACTCCGCTTGTTGAAGATGGACAGGTCGTTCGCAGCAACGGTCAGAGATAGGCATAGCTGTTCGATAGACATGTTCATCAGCACACCACAGCCCCACAGCTCACCGTCCTTCAGTTGTTTATCCACGATATCGACGACCCGTTTGATCCAACCAGAATCCACCCCCATTTCTTTCGCTTCATGGGGCATTCCATTGTCATCTACATGCCATCGATCCCGGATGCCTCGACTCGGTGCAATGCCGCCTCTACCTCCCCAATTGCACACAGAGTTAAGAGCATTCGCCAGTCCACACACGGCTTCCGCAAAGTCTGGATTGGCGTTAACGGCGCGTCTATAGTAACCAATAGCATCATTAATACGGCCGGAATCTTTGACAGCATTCGCAAGGTTCGCCAAGGCAATATCAAAATTGCCGTCGCACTGGACCGCCTGCTCGTACATCTTGATCGCAGCCGGAAGTTGACCAATATCCTTCAGCAAACTTCCAAGGTTAGTATAAAGGTGAGCATGCTTTGAATCAAGATTCAGCCCATAGTTATAATAAGCCAGCGCAAGAGCGATTCCGCTGCCTGGCACGACGCCTGGAATATCGGGAAGCTGGCTTTCACCGGCTGTTCGTGTTGCCTTTGAGGATCCAGTATTTTGAATGCTTGCGAGAAGGATTCCAACGTTATTCGCGGTCGATGGACTGGGTTGCAGGGAGAGAGAAAGGTAGTAAAGTGCAAGGATGTCTCTAACTCCAGGAGTAGGTCTGGAATTTCCCGACACCGATGTATTGGACATTCCATCCTGATAGATCTTCGCTAGAGAGAGAAGCGAATTGCTGGTTGTCGAAATAGCTGCTTTTTTGCTCATGCCTTCAGGTACATACTGTAAACCTGGGATATTCCCATTAGGTGGGAATACTAATTTTGCCGTTTGTAAAGCCTTGTCTGGGAAAAGGAGAAGTGTACTGTTAAATTTCTGGCGTCTGGTAGCAGAATGCACGCCATGGTGGTTTTCATCATTGTACGCGGAGAGAACTTTGCGGATCAGGCTTTTGATGCTTCGTGGTCTGCCAGCTCCGATAAGAATGGCATCTTCAAAAGCCGCAGCAGCTCCAACGTTATCACCCAAAGCATAGAGCATATTACCCTTCGCGTGTATCAATGCGATCATTCTTCCGTTGTCAGATCCAGGTATCGCGTAGCCACTTGATCCAAAGCCGTCCGGTGCCATTTGTGTTGGGCGAGCAGCGAAGGCAAGGGGACTTTGAAGGTCGTCCGCATAATCAAATGCTACCCTATCGATAGATTCGGCTACTGAAACGCTCGACTCTCTGCCTTCCGATTCGCTCCCGGAGTCTTCATCTAGGCCTTGACCTTTGAAGCAATCACCGCTCGGAGGCAAGCGGAGCGCTTGTTCGACGAACTGGATAACATTAACAGCATCTTTGCCACGTTGACTGCTACACAGAAGGCCAACAAGGTGCTCTACGGCTTCAAAATAGCTTGGCCTGAGTTTTATGGCTCGGAACCAATGTTCAAGAGCTTCATCACGACGCTCCAGAGCGAGGAGAGTAGCAGCGAGATTTGATATCGCTTCAACATGCCTATAATAAGTAAGTAAAGTGAAGAGAAGAATTCAATCACAGTTGCGGTACATACGAAGGATCTTTGTTGATAATTCGGTTGTACCATCGCATAGCCTTGGGATAATCACCTAGACCGTATGCAAGGCAACCTCCCACAAGCATCCCATCGATCCAATCCCAATTACTTTCAATGCATAAGCTTGAAAGAATCTCCAAGGCGGACGCTGCATTTTCCGCTGCCGACACTCCTTTGAAAGCTGGGTTAAGCATGCGAGGCACCGAGGCAGCAGATGAACGGCGGATAGTCCGGAAGCCATCGAGCTGTTGAGTGAAATGGCCACGCCCTTCCTGACCATGGTGTGGGAAACCAATATGGGAGGGTGTGAAATGCGTTGAATGGCGTCTAGTGTCTATAAAGTTGCCAGCTGGCACCGGATGTTGTTGATGTACGGGGAATGGCGGTCCACGGTTATTCTCGAGATGTGACGACTGCGAAAAATCGGAGCCAGGCTGGCGAGGCGGTTTGGGAAAGATACATGGCTTGTTAATGTCGCGCGATCTGGCGTCGGAAATCCCCTGTGCGGCACTTTTTCTCCGGGCGTTATGCAACGAGGCTAGTAAGTCAACGTAAACACTGTGAGCCCAAGCTAGTATCTTCTCCTTAAATTCGGCATTCCTGGGTTGGTGAACAGCTCCCTGGACGCCTGATTGAAGCCCCAGAGGCTGGGTCTGCCAGGCGCTATTATCTATAGGATGTATTTGATGAGTATTCTGATTAGTTGGCTGTGTCGGAGCAAACGGAACACCGTTCTGATTCCAAAATACTTCCGGTGTTTTTTGAGGGGGATGACGGGGAGGAAAGCGTTGTTCGTCTAGAGGTTCGGGGTTGTATAGAGTGTGTGGTGCTTGGTTAGGTTGTGGAGCGAGAGTATTCCAGGACAAACCTGAGGGTATAATTTCAGGGGGGTTGATGGATTGGGAAGCGAAGCTGGGTTGAAAGCGAGGAAATGAATTGGTATTATCAGGAGTAAGACTTTGGCCAAGAATTGGAATAGATTGATAACGTGAATCCCGGAAGGCAGCGGGACGATAAGGTATGTACCCGCCGTCAGGCCAATATGGACCGTACTGCCCCAGGCCCGCCGAATCAGCCGATCCACGACCACCGGGTTGAAACGATGATGCTAGTACTGTCGGGATGGCGGGTATATTCTGCCAGTAGACTCTCTGGGATGGAGTCAAAGTAGAGCTATGTTGTAAAACCGACTCTATACTTTGTGGGTAATTTAACGACCGAATCCAGTTGGTATGATGGGCTCCCTGAGGTACGGTGTTATGGAGCGCGTTGAGTCTATTGGCATCAGCTTTGAAATCAGGAGCGAAATTCTGACGTTGCAAAAGGTTAGGTGGGTCCAGCGCCTTGTACTGTAAGGTGTCCATGGAGATAGCAGCGCGAGGCATCATAAGCTGGTCGTTCTCCAAAGAAGAGACCAGGATGTGCTTCGAGGCCGGAGGTTGCACAGAGCTGTCGGTTGCATCGTATCCAGCGGCAAGGGTCCCACTTGGTGTTTTCCGGCGAAGAGTGCTCTCTAAGCCATTGACATCACGCAATTGACCTGCACCAATGGTGGGGCGGGGATTCGGTCGTTGGATCGGACGCATGTATTGAACTCTCGATGCCGGGGTGGGCTGCAGCGACGCAGTAGAATGTTGGTCCATGGCCCCATGGCGCTGGTTTGGGTAGAGAGCACCGGTCGCGCCGTCATATAACGTGTGCAACGGGTCGAATGACAGGTCGTGGTCCAGGTGGTTGTGCGGCAGGAAATGATGCGATGGTGGCTGGGCTACTGACGGCAGCATGATTGCGGTTGGGTGAAGAGCGCTGTCCTCTTATGCCAGGATCGACAATGGACAGATTGGGCCCCAAGGGTGAAATGTGGAAAGAGCGGCAAACAAGATGGGCTGTTTGTCCGTCCTCTTTCATCGACCAAACAATCTTCTTGATCGTCTCCGACACCTCATCATGGCACCGTCAATCGACGTCCCAGCAAGTAGATATAGCCTGCTCACGATCCGCCATTCACGAAAAGTGCCTGAGTATACAACAATGAGTCCGGGTTGCGGGGCGGCAAGTCTCTGGCATTCAGTGGGGAGTCAAGAGAATTCGATGGGGCTATCGACCCAATATCCTGATGGATATAACGGTGATTGTGTGACAACACGGAGAGGCTCGATAAATAGGGCAAGGTTCTCCGACTGGCGGCGGGATGCTCCGCAGGATGACACACGCTAATCACTGCGCAACAATGGCTAATCGCCTCCACGTTCCAATCGACAGGCGTGTTGATCGTCCGGAATGGCACGCAGGAGAGAGAGGAGGAAAAAGTCAACCCCAATCACAAGACGCCAAAAGTGGGTGGGAATCTTTCTCGAGGACAGTCAGCTGAAACCTGGCGTCGGCTTGTCGAAGATAGAGAGTACTTTTTATCGAGTACGGGCAACACCCTAAACCGATCGGAAGGATTTTGGTATCTGGATCGCTTCTGCTTTCTTTTTTCCGGGAAGGCGGTCAGTAAGAGAGAATCCGAGACAAAAGTGACTGTCGATGGGTGAGATTTGGGGGGAGAGGGTGTGTCTGCGGGCGGTTAGGGTTGGGAGCTCTCTGGTCGAATTTGTTTCGGTGTGATAGTGAATGAAATTTGCTAGGGTGTCCCTTGGTGAGAAAACTCGGCGCCAAAGGGATAGGACGATGACAGAAAAGAAGGAGGGAAATGAAGATGAACAGCGGCAACGAGGCCCCGAGGTACATCGAAGCATCACGAGGAGAGCGTCGGACAGCTCACTCGGTCATCACTCACCAGTGAGGTACAAAGCATGAATGGGCAGACAGAGGACGGCGCTAATAAGCAGCGGTGACAGAAGGAGACGGCAGAGAGGGGAGAGCGAAACCGCAATTCAGGTGCAGCCAGACAAGGTCCAGCCTCGATCGTCAGGCCACCAAGCTCGAAAATGATTAGGGGACAGAAGACGAATCAGTCGAAAAGCCAACTTTTATGGGGGAGATGGCGGCGATGGTGGAGGAGTGGTGGTGGTGGTGGTACTGATGGTGGTGGTGGTGGTCGGTCAAGGGCTATGTAACTCCAGCCAAGGAACGGGAGCCCCAGGTACTTGCGGTGATGTCGAACAACGGGCGACGATCAAAGCACATCCAGATTCTATTAATACACCCGGGCGCAGGAACGGCAGAGGGCAGAGCTCGCCGCAAGAGACTGACCTGCCCTGTGAATTATATTTATCTTTGTTTTCTCACTCTTCGCCAGCAGAACGTGTGATGGCCAGTTGATAGACCAGGAATTAGAGCCCACGAGCGACGAGTGGGTTCTTAGGGAGCGAGAATCGCGGGAAAAAAGTGTCCAAGAGGTGGAACGGGCGGTGACAGGGCCCAGTTTTAGTCTAAGTGGGCGGCGGGCTGGATCAGCTTCAGGGAAGAGGATGCCTGAGTTTCACGATTGAACCAACCCTAAAAAGCTGTTTGATGATGGTAATGCACGAGGGTTTCGGGTCGACAGTGGGGCCTTATTTTTCTTATTTTTTCTTTTTATATTTTTCTTTTGAATTTTTCTTTCTTTTTTTTTTTTTTTTTATTAAATCCCTCTCACAAGAAGGACAGATCGCTCAGCCGCTTGTATCTACGGTGGAAGATGCTCAGGAATCCGAATAGTCCATGGTGGGAACGGAGGCCGTTAGACGCCCCTTGGGGGGTGTGTGTGTGTGGCTTTGAATGGGTGACAGCCTGACAATAACAACCCCCCTACACCACCTTCGATGCCGAATCACATTACGTGGAGCAGTCTTCAAGTTATCGGAGCACTTGTGTGATACGAGACTAGGGGAATCCCCATCTGATATACAATAGATGGCTCTCCGGGGCCGCAGAAATGGCAGCACAACACGGACGGTTCAAGCAAAGCAAAAAAAAAAAAAAAAGGGGAGCTGGGACTTCTCCCTGGGAGCAGCTTCGACGAATAAGTACGCCGTTCGCTCTGTGCGAGGACGCCGCGCTTGACTTGTTTGCCTTCCCGCATCATTTACGGACAAGCCACAGCCAGGCCGTGGTTGACCGGGACGGGAGTACATTAATAACCCGGACAATCCTCGTGTCACTTCAGGATGCATAGCGAACCCTCTTCTTTGACGTGAGTTCTGCCCGCGTGCTCTCGGCACTGGCGAATGAGCATGGATACTTCATATGTGTTGAAACAGTCCTCGCAGCTTGGTTCTTTCTGTCTGGCAGGTCTTGCTCGCTCTGCGCACTCATCTGATGGGATGTGCGAAATGCGTGTGGACACGCCGTGGATCCACCGGGGGCTGATCCAGTAGCTTCTATGGAGAAGCCAAAGCGGTATTCACGAACCATTGGACCATGGATGGGGTACGTATCCATCCTCAATGGCGCTTCTTTTCCTCTCACGCACGCCTGGTCTCCAGAGAAATGGACAGCTTTCTCGTCCTTTGACCTGGCCTTGCTCATATATGTACATCGTACCGGCACCATCCACAGCGCACAGCCAGTCACACTCATCACATCTCCCCCTTCAAAGACAAAACCCTCTAAGAAAAAAATAAATAAATCTTTTTCAAGTTTTAATGTCCCTTCAAAACAACCACCCCCGGGACCACGGCGGAGAGCGATAATACCACGTCTCCACTTCATCCTCTCGATTTTCTCTTCATTTTCTTCTCCCCTTCTTCGCCTGAGCAAACCGCCCGACTAGTGGCTGGGCCCAAGCAAGCCAAAATGTACTTCATGGCCCTGCAAAATTAAAATGCCTGGGTTGCGACATGGGTTAAAAAAGGGTGTATCCACAAGAGCCAAGCCTCCACTCAGCGGGACAAGACGATCGTCCCTCTCACAAAGCCTGCAGCCATCCCTGGAATATGCATCTGAATATGCATCCCACAGAGCGGTAATAGGCTGCCATATTATTCATTTACTGGGGGGAAGGGAACGCGTACCCACCCTTAAAAGAGTCTTCTATTTGCTTCGAAATTAAAACCCAACATCTACAGGAGCTGACCGTTGAAAATGTTGGGATAGAAAAAGCAGACAGCTGGGCTGAATTTCTTTCGATCCTGCACAGGCTGAACGGTGTCTGACCAGATTCCCTATTGTATAATATGCATAAATGGTGTACGGAGTACAGACATGCCGTACCGAGAAGATGCTGACTTTATGTTTGACATACACCGTACATACCTGAATGCCTGCAAAGAGGCGAGTCCCAGTATAGACCTACATAAACTACTGAAATCGTGCATTCCGAGCTTTGCGGCGTCGCAAATAGAAGGGAAAAGGAAGAGGTCACAGTCGGGCTCCTGCAGGAGTGAGGGAAACCCAAACATAAAATTTAACAAAAAAAGAAAAGAAAAGAAAGAAAAGCAAAGGAACAAGGAAAAAGGAGAAAAGAAATATTGAAGCAAAAAACCTCGCAAATCTGATGTCATCAATCGGAAAAGCCCCATTGTCCAAATTATCATGCAACGATAGGCCAACACGCACCGCCGCCAGACACCGAAACTGCGGGATCTCAGAAAAAAAGCCATACAGAGCCAATAAGTTTTGGCTTTATTTTTTTATTTACTTTTTTATTTATTTTTTAGGTGTCTGCATTCCGTACATCCGGATCCCCTCCGGGACAGTTGTTCAAGATCTCCTGCGACCGCCTCCGTGACCCCCTCCCCATTCCGTTCTCGGAGACATTGTCATGTGTGCACCCCCTCAATAGCATACATAGCAAAGCGGAAGATAACCTTTTGACCTACATACACTACATAACCTACATGAGTTTGTATCGTGCTCTGTACGGAGCATTCCGTCCATGCTGCTCAACAACCCAATTTTTAACACTGACGGGCCATGTAGAAGTAGGGATGAAGATGAAAAGGGACTGATCTTATAACCATCCATCGGGGTCGCGATGACTCAATGGCTCCACTCATCCAAGATTTGCAGTTTTGATTTGGATGTCAGGTGTCCAAACAAGGCTTTTTTAGGCGCGAGTTCTTGGAATTGCTCAGCTGATGATGTCGGGATGTGGAGGGTGAGGAGGAGGTATTTAATGACATCAAAGTCCTACGACCGCTTTTTTGGGCTTGTTAGGTACTTAATATGGAAAGTGAGCATCAAGGCTCAATTATGATAAGAGATACCAGAGTTATTTTCTTTGCTTTAACATTAAAACATTACATATTAGTAGCGCGAGATGTCGACCATAAATGATGGACCACTGTATCCACTTCGAGCGCCGATTCTCCAGAAGGAAAAACAGCAACCCCAAGAATACCGCGGTGAGTAGTCGGTCATGACGTTGATCTCCTTTGCGTCAAAATAAGCCCATACCGTGAGGTACGTTTGCCTAGCATCAAGCTAGGCTGGTGTAGGCCAGAGTGTGGCAAAGGTTCCAATGGAGGGAAACGAAACCCGGAAGCCTGGGTTTGTTCGATAATCAGTGATTGATGACAACATGATGTGCCGAGATCGGAAAATCCGTTTCAATGGAGGAGGTCAGATAGTGCATTTCTGTGGTAGCTCATTCCTCGTAAACCACATAAAAAAGGCAATCAAAAATATTCCTTGAGCGCCGCGTATGCCATAAGCCATAATGATTGCGCCCATAAGAATATCTTAGTGTTGGACCAGCACAGAGAAAAAAAAAATTACAGCTTTTCTTTGTATTCGTAAATTCACCGTTTACTCAGATGGGACTGGATGCACGTCAGTATACGAACAGTTAAGCACCAGAACATCGAGACATACTATCAATTTCACCAGCCTTGATATCATCGCTGACATCCTTGGGGCTTCGTCCATCAACCTGGCAACCAACGGAGAAGGCAGTTCCCAAAATCTCAAGGACAGTACCCTTGAGCTCCTTGGCGAAGCTGCGAGTTCTCATAGTGCGGGCAATCTCAATGATATCATCAAGAGGAATGGACTTGGAGTGCTTGATGTTCTTCTCCTTCTTGCGGTCCCGTGGGGGTTCCTTGAGGGCCTTGATGACAAGGGAGGAAGCAGACGGGACGACGGAGATCTGGGCCTGACGGTTCTGGATGGTGAGCTTCACGGTGACGCGGAGACCTTTCTGTTGTTTTAAGATAGACACATTAGCACATTTGTGTTTCTCCCGTCATCTAGATTGTGCTTGAAATTTGCGATATCGCCCGATCGTTGATTCTTTGAACATACCCAGTCACCAGTGGCCTTGGCGATATCTTCACCAATCTTCTTGGGAGAAAGACCAAGAGGACCAATCTTGGGAGCCAGAGCGGATTGGGCTCCGACCTCACCACCTGTGGTTCTCAGGTGGCTGTTCATTTTGTTAGCACATCTTGTCCTTTAATTTCTTGGAGGGTAAGTTCGGAACTTACATGATCTTCACCTCATTGGGATCGAACTTTGGAGCTATTCAAGAAAAAGAAATAAGTCAGCCGCCATCGTGATAACACACAAGAAGACGATACTTACGCATGGCGAGTGCGAAAGGTGGTCAGTCTTCCTTGGTGGTGAAGGGTCGTTGAGGTGGTTGAAGAAAAGAGAGCTCGAGAATTCCGTGATCCCTCTCAATGTCGCCCAAACTAAGCGAAGCTGCAACAGCTTAGGGCAAACCTGCCCACGTGACTAAATCTACGGCGGAATAATTTCACCGATTCCTTTGGAACCTAGGTAGGGCTGGGCTCTACTTCATAGTGGCGGAAGAAATACCTGAAAAATAAAAACTTCTAGCTAAGATTTAATACATAAGACTGTACCACCTTTCCGGGCAAAGCCCTGACAAGTATTTCACATTAATGAGCCTAATTGGTACCTGACACCGCCAGCCTATAGAATTCATTAGGACCACTCGTGCAAAGCAGCAGGAACGTGTGTACTTACTTCATTAAATGCTCCATGAAAGTGTGAAGGGAAACATCATCCGTAAATATAGTCTGACCAGATTGGGTACCACCGTAACCACCGCTGGAGTGAGTAGTGGAAGGGTTAAGTTTGGAAAGTAGGAAACGAGCTTGTGAACCTCCGGCATCACAGATAATGAACCGCGGTAGTGGGAACCGGTCTTGAATGAGTTCCTGTAGGGAAGTTAGAATATCCCTTAGAGCGATAAGTCCTCGTATAGGAAATCATACCTTGGCGTCTTCCTTGGGTTGTTCTAGGATGGCTCTGAAGTTATCGTAGCCTTCTTTGTCCTGATAACCTGCCTTTCTCCACGCGGCCATGGTCTCACCGTGGAAAATAAGAATGTGGAAAAAGGTATCAAGAAGAAGAATGTGAGTCGGCTGGATGGAGGCGGAGTCAAGGAGTACTGGTTGGGCCCCTTCATGGTCAAGCGAATAAGAATCCAGAGTGGGCTGGATCATAATTAGAGAGTCACCAACGAATTCGTGGTTTAGAACGTGTCGATAAAATGTGGTCTCATCGGGAGAATTGTTGAAGACCTGCAAAAACTGACTTCTTCGAAGGTGGAACATAAACTGTGGGTAAAGAGTGAAATTCTTTTCCAACCGGAATGATGTAGGATCGTCTTTGCGATAATCTGCGAAGCGCGAGCAAAGTCTGATGAGCATGCGGTCTACCCACCTCAAAACGTCAGGGCCATCGTCCACATCTGCCTTGAAGACAGCGATACGGGCCATTAGGACCGCAGCAGCCTCCTGATCGAACGATTGGGCGAGGGCAGAATCTCCTGCCGGGCTACTCAGTGGCCGCGCAACCGTCGTAACCCTGAGGTGATACTGGCCGGAAGAGTGCTGGTAATAGGTCAAGAATTGCATCATAGCCTTGTGAGGCCCTTGCTGCATCGGAGCCGGGCCTCCTTGATTTGCAATCTCGAAGTAGATACCGTAACTGGCGGCTGGGTCGATTCCACACATCTTCCAGGAACACGTATTGCCGATTCCGCACTCCGTTTCTCCAACAGAGCTTGATTTCTTGTTTAATGAGACAGCATGTCCAATGAGACCAGTGACCTTTAGTTCTTTCGTGGTAAGGACCTCCAGTGCCGCATTGAAGCCCATAACAAGGTTATCATTCGCATCTCTATCAAAGACGCGCACAAACGATTGCTTAAATTGGGAGGACGTGAAGGCATCAGTCAATACCATGTGACCACCAGTCGAATTTACTAGACCCTTCATTTCAAGGAGACCAACTTGGTCGAGCGATCCAATGAAGATATCAACAATGTGGCCGTTATGGGAGACACGCTTGGCTAAATTATCGTAAAACTGAAAACTGTCAGCAGCGATGCTTTAACAGACGCATAGAGAATTTCATACCTTGACTGCCTTTTTGTAGTATTTAATGTTGTCGCGATCAATGTCGTGGTGAGAACGTATAGGTTCTCTCAACTGGGGCCCAACTACTAAGCCCGGACCTTCAGTTGCGGGACCGCTGGTGAAGAGCATGATGCGACCGCCCGCATTCTGGAAGGAGGTCTCCATCAGCCCAATAGCGACACTAAGAGCTACTCCGGTACACCGTAATGGACGTCTATCATTCGCAACAGGCCATGGATCCTGTTGAAGCTGTTCCAGCACATTCGTGATTTGGAAATCCGCTTGTTGCACCGGGAGTAAGAAACGTGCGGCTGGTGCGACTGCAGGAGCAGGCCTGCCAGGTTGCTGCTGTGGTGCCGGTGCCCGAAGGCCAGGTGCAAGTAGGCCAAGCATCTCTTGTATTTGCTTCGGAGTGTAGTCCTTGCTGCCCTTGAATACATACGATTTGGCGCATTCTGTGTAGCCGAGTTCGTGGACTTGGGCCTATCGGAGGTCAATATATCGCCTCCAAGTCTAAGCAAGGGCCCTTACCATAGTACCAAAGGTGATGAGGCCAACGAGTGCATTTGGTGGCAGCAACGAGAGACTCATCACAAGAGAGTCTTTCACAGCCTTCAAGCCATCCTCTTCTTGGCAAGTATCAACAACGAACAGAAAAATAGGCGGAGCAGGCGCTGGGCGCGCGAGCTGGTATTCAATTGTCGTGCTTTGAGGATGTAGCTCCGGTGGGATGGTATTTTCGGTAATATCCTTGTAATGCGGAGGTAGAGGATTGCGCTGGAGACAAAACGGACATATCCAAATGCGCGCACGGATGTCAACATTGCTGCGGCACGTTAGTGGGCGGGCACGACCGATGTTTGCGAAAGCTAATCACATACGCATATGGGTTAAGAACCGCCCTACAGGGCTGCTTGCATGTCACAGGTTCATATTGCAGTAATGGGGCATCCGGTCTCTCTTTCAACGGTGTATAAATTGCTCCAATGGGTACCACCAAGCGGGATGCTTCCTATGGATCTATCAGCAACGAGAACGAGCCGTTCAATCAGAGCATCGCCAGACCATGCGTGTGCTTGGAAAGGTATTCCAGCTCAGTCTAATTCCATCTCGATCCTCTATCTCACTCCACTGATCCTTCAACGCTTCGTAATCCATGGCGAAATGGTAGTTCCAAGGCCAACTCCGTTTGAGGGGCTAAGGGCTAGATGGAATAGCGAAATACAAAAAAGCTTAGAAAGGAATATCAGCAAAAGCTCGCCTTGAACATAATATCATTAAAGCCTTAAATGCCAGGCAGGGAACAGATCTCTGTCAATGGCGAGAGCCGGAGGGCATTCCGGGAGTATCCTCATGTGGTTCATGAGGTCAACGAGGGATGAAGCCAGGTTGCAGGATTGGTGGTTGCTGCGGTCCGCCGTAGCACGCTAGCGCACAGGTTAAAAAGCTCGATCTCGGCTCCCCGAGCTTTTTTTTTTTCTTTTCCTTCTTTTTTTTCTTTTCTTCATCTACATTTACATCGCCGACTTTACACATTACGATGCCAGCTTCTGTCTTTTCTTAGTGACGTTGCTGTTTTCGCGTCGAGCGTATAAGGAATTTCTACCCATCGCTGGGCACCTGGTTTTGAAAGCTCATTCTGATGCTTGACGATCGATCGGGAATCAGCCGCGGTAACATACTAATAATGATATCCGGTTCTACTCTGAAATACGACAAGGTCTAAGCTGCGAAATAAGACTCGTCTTGTAAAACAATATGGGTTCAAACGTCGTCGGACATTCTGAAGGATCTTTCCTGCGGATAACGCGCAGCTTAAAACCCTGCATGATTAATAGCAATCCGCCTATCTCCCAATTGCCCAACCCATTCAAATCCATATACCCTGGCAATAACGCCGTAATTTAACGAGAAACCAGTCGTCATACTAAGTATTCACATATACAACAACCCATGTTGATCATAAAAGCCATCACTATTTTGTCATCTGGATATCTTCTTTCGGCACCCTCCCCAAGTTCTTCAGCAAATAGCTGCGTTTGAAAAACGTGTTAGGATGGACAATTGTGTCGAGGTCGGTCGAGCTCATTATTCCTTCATCCTTTACCTTTCTTAATTCATCTTTGTGCACATATTCGAAAACTCGGTTGCAAGCAATGTGGTATCGCATTCTTCCGACATCTTCTCGTACTCCGTGTAGTGTCTCTCTGTCGTTTACCCCAGTGGCTTGAAGAAGGGCGACGAGGTTGTCGACGGAGAAGTGACGATAAGGGCACCCGTGAGTTTGCCCGGCACCCGGGGCATTATCCGTGAGAATCTTTTGACAGGAATATGGAGGGTATCCCCTTCCTCGCCGATTTGCGTCACCTCCAACATCGCCATATGCATGGCGAATATTATATTTATATTTGGAATTGAACTCATCGTCGGTGAAATTTCTGAAAGATTGCCGCCAGAATAGTATACAGTCCTCGAGTGACAGGCCAATTCCCTTGAGGAACAATGTGTATTGAAGTCGACCGAAGTGTTTGAGGTGGGCGTTTTTGCGTAATTGCATGTGGAGGTTTCGCATACAGAGAGGGAAATGGTTGGATAAAACATCAATCGATGCAGCAGTGATAGGGGCTCCAGGAACCGCCCCCTCCCCCTCAGAGTAGGAAGTGTCGGAGGTCCCAAAGTTTTTCGAAAGGTGTTCAAGGATCGGAATAAGACGGTCATCTTCATCTAGTCGTGGCAAGGCTCGGCTCGTAAACTGTTCCTCAAGTCAGAAAATGCATCCGTAGTGACAGAGATCGATATTTTGCACCAACCTCAAGAGCCTTTTCCAGCCGAGCACTAAATTCGGCGAGGATCATGCTCTGCTGTTCTCCTAGAGGAACGTACGCCTTGCCTTTCTTCACAAAAACGCTTCTACGTTCAACTAGCTCTGGCACTTTCTCCCAGTCTACCTTGAACCAACCCTTGTCCCTTTTCACCCCAGGGGTTGTCGCATGGAGCTCGTTTTTCAGTTCATCTTTCTCTTCTTCACTCAGTATATCCCAATCGAAATTAAGGCTCTCCACAAATGCTTCCCGCTCTGCTGAATCATCTAGCTGGAAACGAAATTTAAAAAGCATTGTCTCAAGGCGAACGAATCGTCGCCTCAAGTCCTCAGTCGAGGAGAATGCCAGTCGTAGTATAAAATGGGAATAGTGATCCTTTTGTCGCTCATGCCTCAAACCTTGATTGTCGCGCGAACCTGCATCCCTATTCGAACGTAGTGGGAGGAATTTTCGGATAAGGGATTTTATATGTTCGGTGGTTTCCTCTGGGGTCTTGTTTCGATACGAGCATGCTTCTAGTTCCGAAAGAACTGGAGTCTGTGAGCCAGAATTGTCTTGAGCATAGCAGAAACAGCGGACGACATACTTCTTAAGCGATCAATCGCCCACTGCTCAAACTGCTCGAGTGTAATTTCAGCGGTGGGTGGAACTTCGTAGAAATTCAATCGGTGGGCATAATCTTGCTGCTTGTAGGTCGGAGCTGCGAATTGCTTCCGTTTGTAGTCGACGCCAGCACGACGCTTTGGATCAATTCGACTTCTATCGTACAGGACCATCTTGAATAATGCAGCTGTGTTGAGTAATTCAAGGTGCTGTCAGGGCATCGTTACCATCGTCGACGCTCAATTCAACAATTCGTGAAACCAAAGACGCGTCTCGACGCGACCTCGGTACGCCATATAAATCACGTGATATGCACGACAGTTTTCAATCCATGTTTGAAAATGAGGACTGGGGATTCGAGTAGTGGAGAAAAGAGAATGTACGAATTACAGAGTGTGTTCTACAACATCAAAGCTTACAGTGCTTATAATCTAAAGTATCCATCCATTGCGTTCTCTGCTGACTTTACGGCTCAGTTTGCCATTTCGGGCAACAGGGAAAATGATGTCGGGACTACTCCGTACTCTTCATCCATCCTCAATTAAATCTTGGGGCATTTAAGTTCTTGGAATCTTCTCGATGAAGGTAGGAGAGGGGCATAGCTCATGATACTTTGGTTGCAGGGTCTGGGGAATGCACGTCGAGTCGTAAAATCCGGGACGTGACAACGACGGCAATATGTGCCGGTGTTACTATTTGGCCTGCGTCAGAGATTGATTGCATATTGGTGTCTATCGCCTCTGCGCCGTTATAGCCTTGCGCTTTCAGCTCGGGGCATTGCGCCGAAGCGGCGGGGGCTGCTTGTCGAACTTTGATACCTTTTTCGCAATAGCTGTGGAGCGGCAGTAGTGGAGTGCTGTACGGAGTACGGAGTAGTCTTTGTTCTGAAGATCATGGCCAAGATAACACGGTTCCTCTAGCCGAAAGTTGGAGTTCTTTTATGGCGCCATGAGAGAATAGCGGCCGCCGGATTATGGTTATATGCACCCCAGATAGGCCCGTGCCCAGGATGTCTGTTTGGAGAGAATCGGTCGCGTAAACAGTATTGCGTTGGGACATTGTTCCTCCCAATCGCATTGTCCATGATAACCAGGCTTCTTGTCCCTCGCTGGGCGGGACTCCCAAAAGTTGCCCCAAGTCAGTTGTTTCAACTCTTCTCGTGGATGATGGCGGGGCGACGAGTGCGTCCGAGCCGGTCGTTTCCGACGTCGGCCACTCCACAGACGATGTTCCTGAGCTCGGTGGTGGAGCCCCCTGGCCGGCTCACGTGCCTCATTGGCTCGCCAGCTGCACTGCACGGTCCGCCGGCTGACTCATCCGGGGAAATTTCAGCAGCTCGGCGATGATGCTCCGACTCCCCAACGAGAAATCGAGAGTCGCCATTGATCCATTGATCGCCAGCTACAATAATAAAAAGGTCCTTGATCCATAAGATTATTATTATATATCCTTCTCCTTCCCCCACCCCAGATCCCAGATCGTACCAATATTGTTGGACTTTCCTACGAAGCCTCACGTCAACCACTTGACCAGGATGATATAGTTGTGGGTGCCTTCAGTTCCCTTGCCTTTTGGCAGTCTTACCTCCGTGGCACCTCCGTTTGCCCGATTCGTACCCATCGATCTTCCCACGATATCGAAAAATCTGGAACCTGTGTTTGCCGGCTTGTGTCAATAAAGAATGACCGTTCTCACGAGAAGTTTGAGAAAAGCCGCCCGGATCATACTCATTGGCGCTCCTGGCGTTGGAAAAGGGACTCAAACCGAGAGACTGATCAAGAGATACCCCCAACTCGCCTCCATCAGCTCAGGGGATCTGCTTCGAGACCATGTTCGCAATAGAACACCATTAGGTTTGTATTCACTACATCATCCTTTACTCCGCTCTGAGACGGAATGAAAGTAACATAATATAAAGGTATCCAAGCGGAGGCCGCTATCCAAGCAGGAAATCTCGTTCCAGATGCGATGATACTGGACCTAATATCATCAGAGCTTGCCTCGAAGGGCTGGCTTTCTAAACCCGCTCCGGGATCGTCATCGTCCACAGCGGCGGCAAGCCTGGATCCTTCCGCTTCCTTTATCCTCGACGGGTTCCCACGCACAGCCATCCAAGCATCCAGCCTAGAAAGCCTAGTCCCCATCAACCTTGTCGTGCAACTCCTTACACCTCCTGCCGTCATTCTCTCCCGGATCGCGTCCCGATGGGTTCATCCTGCTTCGGGACGGGTATATAACACAGAATTCAATGCACCAAAAGTCCCTGGAAAAGATGATATAACAGGAGAGGCACTGGTTCAGAGGCAGGATGATTCAACTGATGTTTGGAAGGAGAGGTTCAAGAAGTTTGAAGAAACTAGCCAATCGCTACTTGACCACTATGAAAAGCAAGGGTGCTTGTGGCGGGTTGAGGGTAACTCAAGCGATGAAATCAGCCCCAAGCTTTTCGCTGAGGTTGAAAGAAGGTTCGGTTAATGGGACCTGTCTCGGCCATGAAATAATTAAAGATTATATCCTGTTATCTAGATTACCCAGCCACAGCGCGGTATCTGTTAGCACTGGTGTTTAATTAGAGCTATTGGCTCCCTGTTTGCCTTTTGGCTATGTACAGTACATAGGGCACTCCAACTTATTCATAACACATGTTCATGATTCACATCACACATTAATAATGCTGAAAAAGAGCGTAGTTACAGTAGTCAGGTTGACATCGTCACATGTAGCCACGTATAGCCATCTCATGCAAACGGGTATTGGAGGGACGACAGAACAGAACTCCAACCAACTCCATGGCTTGACACAAAAGGCCCAAACGGTATCCATCCCAACAGGAGGATGTTATTCATCACTTCTTCCTCGTACCCCCCCGAGCATTCTTCTTCTGCTCTTCCTCTGCTGCCATTCTCGTCTTATACTCTCTCGGGCTCTCCCACTCTCCTTTCTTCCCTCCCTTCAACCCTTTCCACATCCCTTTCCCCTTCTTCTTAGCGCATGCTTCTGCCTCTCGATACTGTCTCTCTAGCTCCACTCCGCCGAACTCTACTCCCGTCTTCGCCTCGTACACCGTCGCTAGACCATGTTTTAACATCTGTAGCCCGACATCTTGCCTGAAGAAGAGCCAGCGACGGACGTAGACTGTGGCCACGACGCGCCCGTATTGATCGGGACGATAGAGATGGGCTCGAACACGCCGGCCCAGAATGTACCTTGTCAGCCAGGAATGTGCTTCGTGGGAGAACGGTTGGGCGGGGCGGCCGAAATGAGGGAGTTCAGGGGCGTCAACGCCTGCGAGACGGACATGGATCTTTAAAGAGCATTAAAAAAAAATCAGTCAAATGGTCATTTTCCTCCCCGCTACCGTTCTTGGACTGCCCATAAGAAGCAGAAACAGCATAAAAGGCACTGTACAAGGAGAGAAAACGAAAGGCCGTCACCCATACAGTCCTATTCTTCAACTCATTCTTTCCCGTGGGCACTTTCCGCCACCACTCCCATCCACCCAGCTTTCCGCCGGGGGTGTGGTACATCCGGAAATTATCCCCATCTCCGACACTGGTCACCTTACCCAGCAGACTCCGTCGCCTGAAGAAAGAGGGCGAGATGTGCCCCGCTTCGGGTATCCGCCGCAGGTACTTTCGGTGGATGTGCACACAGAGCAAGATGCCTCCAGTTACCAGGGCTGTGGGGATAATCGTCCTGGGCTCAGTGAATTGTTTCCAGTCCGTCGCGTTGACTATCGAATTCCAATCTCTGCTGCTGGATTGGACTTTAGATATTGTGCGGTCGGAGGGAGGTGCTGCATTTGACGGTGCGGGCACGTCCACGTTCTCATTATTCCTGCATTTCACTTGTGAAGCAGCGCCGCTATTATTGTTTGAGTCATCTTGCGGTGGTGAAGCCCAGAACAGCCATCTCATGACTAGCTGAGCGTTTTAAGTGGAAGAATCGCTGTCGTATATCTCGCGTAGCTCGTTGAAGGTTGGCGTTGAAGATTCAAGGCGTTGGGGTGGTGGCATGTTTGTTTTGCGTCGGTGCCGTTGGCCAGGGATCTGGATGCGGATAATGCAGGGAAGCAACTTAGCCACCAAGTCACCTCGGTATTTTGCATCTGCACGTTTGCGTCCCAGGCCTTAAAAGGGGCTATTTGAGCAGTCTACTTGTATTGATTTTGCATTCTATCTACAGAGTACATTGAAAGCAATACCTGTACACAAGGTTCCGTTGTTTCTTCGGATCCAACTCCCACATTTGAACCAAGAAACCGACCAAACTTTGGAAGAAACAAAGTGCGAAGCCTTTACCAATCCACCCTAAACAGAAAAATAGTAGCATAAATGCATGGAGCTCTTCAAACCCCTTTTGTACGGATATATAATTCCATATAGAAAGTCACCGAAAGCAAGAATTAGGCAAGTGCTGAGTCGCCATTCATTTCGTTGTGAGCGGCAACGTGCTCTTTGCTTTGTCGGCTGCAGCATTCGCCATTTCTTTAAGCTTGTTCTTCCTCGCCTTCTGAAGGTAGGCGAAGAATAAAAGGAAAAGCAATTCGATCCTACGGTAGTTTGGTTAGTAGACTGAGAATAAAAGCAACAACGAAGATATGATTAGCAGTTACCTCTCTTTGGTCATCATCAATAGGCCTTGGACTAGAACACCCTTGAGGATCTGAGGTCCAATTCCCTTAAACAAACCAAGAATTCCCTCGTGCTCAATGATGTAGGCCATGACTTCGCCAAATGTTTTGAAAGGCTTTCCTTCTCTCGATGGCGGCGGACGAGATTGTAGGCCCACCTTCGCGACAATCAATGGCTGGGTAGTAATTGTAGCGAGCGACTTAGACAAGGCTCCCAGAACTGCATAGTATATTAGCACAAATTCTTGTATGGTGCAACAGACGTCACCCACCGAAGGCCTCCCAGGGTCTCAGATTGGTTTTCCCAGGAAAGATAACATCCCTCAATCGTTGATAGGCTCCGTAGGTGATTGCTGGATTCACAACAAGAACAAGGCTGGCCTTTAGTCCTCTCCATAATCCACTCCAGCCGTCATCACTATTGACCACCTCCTTGCCGGTTTCCATGAAACTTTTCTTTTCGCCCTTCTTTTGAGTCTGCTGTCTGGTTGTGACAACCGAAACTGGTATCGTAAAAATTTGGGCAACGGCACCAGCAATCGCACCAAGGGAGAGCTCGATGGCGGTATTGGGAGGATGAGGGAGGTTCGATTTCATGTATAGGGTTCGCACGATCGAGTACCAGTAGAAATATGCAAAATTTGTCGAGGCCACACCGACCAGGGAGCCACTAATCCCCGAATATAGCCCTTCGACGCCCTCATAGGCAATTATTTTCTTGATCGCATCCAACGTGGACTCGTAATGCTGCTGGTCGTCATCATGGTTGGCGTTTCCGTTCGTCAGTTTTTGCGAGTTCACTTGGACTTGGAGGCGAGTCTTAACACTGTCATACGTTAATACCGGTACCACGACTTTTGTTGATATTTGGATTCCGCTTACATGTCCAACGGATACACGATTGCATTTGCAAGGACAGCTCCAGTGGCACCAGCAACAGCGCTCTCCCACGGAGAGAGCCGTGCTTTCGACTGCCCAGCCATTGGGCGAATTATTATGTTATAGTTATCTCGGTGTCAAGAAAACGGCAAGCGTGGAAATCCAGAAAAAGGGCCTTGCAACAACGAAGCAATCAGAACGAACTATTTCTTTATGCCGGGTGCACTGGGCACTACTTCACCAAAGCACGACGGATCCAACAAAACAAGACTGAACAAAGCAGAAAACGCAAGGGTGCAAACAAATATGGAGATTGTCTGCAGTGTTAGTGGGCAAAGGGAAGATTCCGTCGGCAAATAATTTACCATGAGATAGCGAGCCTCCAAGCAGCGTGGGAAGATGATGGAGGGATCAGCGGAAACCTTGAAAGTCGGCGTTGGAAGGCTGTCTTGAGCCGAGGCATCACCAAGCGTCAACCGGGAATCGACCGCTCAAGTGAGGCAGCGCGAGCGATCCCGTTTGACCGCGCACGAAAGACATAAACTTAAGACACGATGTGCCACTGGCTATCAAGGTTGCATTAATATTCCATTGTTCGCTCTAATCTCTACCTCTTGCTGTTTGATCTAATTTAACGACTGACGACGTGGGAGGTACCTCTTTGACGCCCTGGGGTTGTCTGCATTCGGTGGACAGCCGCCAGTGATCACCTCGGATGTCGGGGCTTCGGAGAGGAAAGGCCAGTGGGAAATAGCCTGTGTTAACGGCTAGTGCCCGGTGCAGGAGTTCGTTTGATGGAGCGCGTGGAGCAACGCACGAGGCTTGATCACCCACCTCCATCCTTCCCCACCAACCAACTCTCGGTAAGCGCGCCGCGCTTGACTATGGGCGCGTTTTGATCCGCGACCGCAAGCAGAGATAAGAGCAATGAGATTGATGCGGGCTTACTATTAAAAGAAGAAGATGACCCGGTTGCGGGAATTCAAGTCCAAAGCTCTGGTAACTACATCTCGATTGATCATGCAATTATTTTGCTGTTGCAGCTCTCACTAACCCGCCGGCCCTCAGCAAGCTGAGAGGGATGTGTCTACATCAACCACACATACTGAGGCCCTGGAAGCCGCTATCAGGGCAGCTGAGAACTATATGCATGCCCTGAGGCTGGCTTCTGACCCAAGGGAGAAGAAGGCCCTCGATGCCAAATGCAAAGAATACATCACGCAGGCAGAACACCTCAAACATTTAAAGGAAGGCGGCGGAGTCCAATCCAACGCCAGTGCCAGTGCCAGAGCAGAAGTCCGACAGAGGAGAGAGCCCGTATCAACGCGCACTCTATCTAATAGGGAGCAGATCATCCTGCTCGAAAATTCGAAGCTCAATGGTTTCGTCTTTCCTCCCTGGTCAGCCCAGCCTGGCCCAGAGGAGTTTGAATTGGACGAAGAGGACGAACTCTTCACGTGAGTACGCCGAATGGCATTTCGAGCCTTAGAACTGCTGGATCCTGATACCACTAGGGATTGTTCTGAACTCGGCCTTTCGGCATCACAGCAGCAGATGTTCGACGGCTGGAAACGGCCTTCTGAGATTTTTACAGAAGCCCGTAAAGAAGATAGGGACATACTAATGATGAGCAAAAATCCCATGGATCTTGTGCAAGACGTGACCACAGACTGTTCCGTCGTTGCGAGTCTTTGTGCTGGAGTCTCCCAGGACGTACGAGGGTATCCTCAGGTGTGTATCCCTAACCTCCAAGTCTATCTGAACAGTCATGCACATACTAATAGATGGTGTTTTAGTTGGCTCAGACGATAAAAATGTACCCTTGTGACAAGGACACATCCATCCCGCAATTATCACCATCTGGGAAGTACATATTTCGCATGCATTTTAATGGCTGCTATCGAAAGGTGGTCATCGATGATCGACTGCCATCTTCAAAAACATCTAGGTCTCTCTTTGTTGTCGACAGAAACAGCCCTACAGTGATATGGCCAGCTCTTGTCGAGAAGGCATATCTCAAAGTTAGAGGGGGTTATGATTTCCCCGGAAGTAATTCTGGGACGGACATGTGGATTTTAACTGGGTGGATCCCTGAACAAATCTTCCTACATCATGATGAAGTAACTTGTGATCAGATTTGGGACCGGCTATTCAATTCATTCCTTGCAGCAGACGTTTTGCTGACAATAGGTACTGGCAAATTGACATCACGGGAAGAAAGAGAAGTCGGGCTTATCAGTTCACATGATTATGCCATCCTTGACATGAGAGAAAGCAATGGGAAGCGACAATTCCTGATTAAGAATCCGTGGGCAGGTGGTGCCAAATGGAAAGGCGTTAGTGGGGCTTCTGCTGTCTCGGCATTGCAGGAGATTGAATTCGAGTTTAGCTCACCGCAGCGATCCCCCTTGTCTCCGGGCACATTCTGGATGGACTGTGATGAAGTGTTCCAGAACTTCGAGAATTTGTATCTCAACTGGAACCCTCGTCTTTTCAGATATCGACAAGATATTCACTTTCGGTGGAATTTATCAAGCGCTCCCCCAGTCCCAGGATGTTTTACAGAGAATCCGCAATTTGCGATAACAAGCAAGTCAGGGGGTAAGCTTTGGCTGCTGTTGAACAAACACTTCAAGAGCGGAGAGACGTCGGACGCCGTAAACCAACTTTTGGATCCGGAAGTTGATGAACCCGGGTTTATTAGTATCTACGTGTTTAATAAAAGGGGTCAAAGGGTGTACTTGAGTGACGGTGCTATTCACCGTAGCCCATATGTTGACTCGCCAAACACACTGGTGCGCCTGGACATGCCCCCAAACACAACCTTCACTGCTGTTGTCGCGGAGCAGTCACTCCATCGCTCAATACAGAGCTTCTCTCTATCTGGATTCTCTACAGGTCCTTTAAGTGTTTGTCCGGCTACTGAAAAGTATGCGCATGTTAGAAAAGTTCAAGCAGCATGGACATTATCCACGGCAGGAGGGAATGCCGAATCTGAAAGATACCCCTTGAATCCCCAGTTCAAGCTGAAAGTTTCCGAAAAGTGTGATGTTGCCGTTTTACTGGAGACGGACAACGGCGACTTAGCCACTCACGTAAAAATATTCTGGTCTAAGGGCGAAAGGGTCGCCGAGGTCCGCTTGCGAGATATCGTGTGTGATAGCGGTGACTACCGTCGCGGCTTTGCATTGGCTGAAGCGGACGCTATGACCAAGGGGACATACACTATCGTGTGCTCAACGTTCGCACCCGATCAGCTGGGAAAATTCACACTGCGGGTATCATCGACTCATCCATGTGAAGTGAAACCGTTACCAAGAGAAGGCGCAGGGCGGTTGCTCATGAGTTCTGGTCTTGGAGTCCTCTCGCCCGGGACCGACAGAATTCTAGCCCCTATAACCGTATCCCGTCTTTCCCGGTTAAAGCTTGTGGCGAGACGAAAGGGATCGTGGATTGGACATCGGACCGTGGCCCCGTCTCCGATTCTCATGACACTAGAACTAGGACAGGGACCGTACAAGGAAATCCTTGCTGCTTCGGGTGATGGGGATTTCAGCGATTTGGTTACTGGGGCTCGAATCGAAAGTGTCGATTTGCAGCCGGAGCTGGGACTGAGGGGTGGTGTTTGGCTGGTTGTAGAGCGCGTTGGTGGGCCGGGCGGGCAGGTAGAAGATCACATTGAAGTGGAGATCCTTTCCGAGGAGCGAGTTGAAATTGGCCGTTGGGGTGTGGGAGATGGTTGACCAGCTAGTCAATCTAGCAGTATCTACGAATGTCTACTCACTACGGAGTACTCCGTAGTTTTAGTGAGACTTGATATTCCTGTACAGATGGCGGCTCAAACTTTCCACACGGCCTGAACGCATACATACATGTACTGATAGAAGAATTTGTAGTTAGCCAGTTTGACTGTTGTACCAACCAATTTCAGTCCAAACATAGAACTTTTGAAAAAAGGAGCGCTTCGATTGCAGTCCGCGGATCTCTCGTCTGGTCGTGGAAGCCATCATGATGTGTGATCGGACGATGCAAAACTGCCATTCGTAACGCCGACGGTAACCTTACAGTATCGTTACTCGTGTCTGATTAGTCAGCTACCGATCGACGTGCCGGCCAATCTGGGGTTAGCGGGGAGCGCCATGATATCACCGTCGAGGCAAGCCGGAACAGCTAGACAGCTCCTCCACCAGCATCCCTTAAACCAGCACGATCGGCACAATCCACACTTCTCAGTCTCGAGAACCCTGCTGCAGCGTGCAGCCTCACATACTGCCACAATGTCAACTAATATCCCAAACGGGTTGAAGCCCGCAGATATCAACCGCTTTGCCACTCGAGCTCGTCAGGTCGAGAAGGCAAAGCCCGTGATATGGTATTGGTGTACGACTCCGATCAACCAAACGTTCTCACAGCGGTATTGCGCTGACTGATGTCCCGCAGGCAATTACTGGATTGTCAACCAGATATTGTCCAAGAACCTCCATCACTCCGATGCAGAATGTTTAAATTTTACCACCGGACTTATGGACAAATTAGAGCAGGTTAGGGCTTTTACCTCCCCCCCCTCCCAGCAGAAAATTGACTTTATTTGTCTCATGAAATCAAGGAATCAAGTGCCAACTTCTTCATTTATACTAATTTGCTTATGATTGTACGGGGTTAGTTCAAAGCTCAGCATTCAGATAATGAAGCTGTAACGGATGATACGGCCGGTCAGGCATATGTGGAACAATTTGGATTAGAGACCTTTCACAGAGCCGATAACGCTGTGCAAGCAAACAGGGCGTCACTGTATGACCTCCTTACTATTTTGTTGTTCCTTGATTTGCCCTATTATCCAGCTAATCCCATTGTCCAGGCAAACGGCAGATACATTCCAGGCAGCTGCAACTTTCTTGGAGCTCTGCCAGATATGGGGCCAAGTTGACCCTGAGATTGCTGCTAAGATAAAGTTCGCTAAATTCCACGCTTTACGCATTGCGAAGGCTGTCAAAGCTGGAGAGGATCCGAACCTCTCCAATCCATCACCAGAAAAGATGGAGAACGAAGGTGGCCTTCCAATGGAGTCGAATAGCCCCAGCGTCGAGAAACCACAGGATGCTGAGATGCCTGCGCTCAGAAGAATGCGGCAGCCGTCTGTGGAGGAAGTGCCCGATGAATCTGATAGCGTTCAGCGCCGCTTAGCAGCACAATCATCGGCGGACGAATCCATCCATCCATCCAGATCATCGTCTAGACCCCCTGCTCACACTGAGAACCTACCTCAACCACCCAGCGGACCTCCTAGTAACATACCGAGTCCTACAATCCCCGGCATGATGAATCTTGACGGGGACCTACGTCAAAGGCCCTCCCATCTCTCCCAAGCTACAGTTCCTGACCTCCCAGCTGCACCATCAGACTTCCCACAGGGTTCACCCATCTCCGGCGTCGGGACGCCGACAAACCTAGGCGCACCGCCAGAGGCATTTCCCTCGCTGAACACCTTCCAATCGTTTCCTCCTCCAGCAGTAGCCTCCCACGAAGCCCCGCCATCCCCGCGAGCCTCGTCGCCTAAGGAGTTCGAGAGGATTGCTCATGCGCGAAAGCCATCGATAACTCCATCTACAGTTCCTCCACCACCAAAGCCAGTGCCGCCCATGCCGGCGTATGCCTCGACCGCTGGTAACTCGGTCGTTGATGAGGATTCGATGGCGCAGGCACAAAAGCATGCTAGATGGGCGGTGTCCGCATTGAATTTTGACGACGTGAATACGGCGGTCAAGGAGCTAAGGAATGCCTTAAGGCTGCTTGGCGCAAGATGAGCGACTAACTATGGCGTGGCTTTTGGAGATGTTGCTATATAATATCACGACGAGAAACCTAGCTATTCACCACTCCGCACCAAACTTGCAGAACTTTTATTCGTCAAGAGTCATTTTGCTCAAGATTTTCAGCAGGATGCGCAATTCATTTTTTTTTGCCCAGCGTTGAAAGTGTTTGTAGCGCAGAGCTACTTCGTAATGTCACATTATTTTTGTCTAAAAAAATAAAAATAAGAATAAGAAAATAAAAACAGTAGTGGAAGAGTGTTCAATTCCTCGTGCACAGAGAGACCGTTTCGCTAGAAGCAGGTTGTCACTCTCACACCGATCTGCAGGCAGCCACAGGTCAGCACCACACTGGAGGTCGGGATTGCGTATCTGGTACTCGGGGACTGGTTAGGATGTGCGGTTTGCAAGGGTCCAGCGGGGTAGCCCCATATGAGATTGGCAACCTTTTCTCCGACTTCCTATAATAAATGAGTTGTAATATAAGCAGCATGTCCATTTTCTCCTGTCCACGGTGTGCATGTGGAGTGCTTCGACTTCGTTCCCAAGCGCCGGTGAAGCCATGAAGATAACGTGGCAGAATCGGTTCCCGAGCCCTAGGATTCAGAACCCTGCCCATACATATATATATGTACCTAAGTACTGAGTAGTTGGATATATCCGCACATATGGGAGTGCTAATGCGCGATCCAAGAGCAAAAAGCGTCGAATTTGTTTTTGGTCGTATAAACAATGCAGGATAGCAAACGAGCTGAAAAGGCGCGACACTTGAGCAGCGACTACAGTATAGCTTCTTATGCATGAGCAGGGCATCCTGGTCAGTTCGCTAGTCCTCTTTCCTCCATTCCAACCGCAAATAGTTCGTCAAGATGGAGCCTAAATATGTCCAGTGGCGGCACCGGTTGCAGCACTGTGCCTGGGGTTGTCAAGCTAAATAATATCTCGGGGACCACCCGGAGAGCCGGTATTTCGTTCTGGAATTGCGGAGTATTATGTATTTTTATTTTATTTTATCTTTTATTTTTGTGTGAAGCCTGCCTCGCTCGCTAGTCAATAGTCGCGGGTGACTCCAGAGTACTCCGTACTGTGATAGCTTACACTCATGGCGCCGCAAGCCGCCTGTTCGATGGTTGCTGTCAATGTTTGTTTTGCATGCAGCTCATAAGGCTTGTGTAACCGACTCGCAGCTTTCTTCCTTTCTCCCCGTCGAGAGACAGAGCATGGCTATCCGCGAGTTTCCAAATGACTCGCCTTCTACTAGTCAGCCTGCATACATAGGAGGAGACAGGGGCAAGCCACTGCGACGTTACTAGCTGCATGCACACAGACTATCACATACGACAAGCGGGAGGTTTCCAGCCTGTTGGTCTTCCATCCCCGTATTCAGAGAAAGGCGAACCCGCCAAACAGGGAGATCAAGGCGACCCAGGACACGTGGGAAATGCTTTCCGGGATATGAAGACTTGGCGAGCGATCTGATCGCTCGTTTGTGTCTCAAAAGGTGTTCTCCAAGGCTCGTATGGATGTTTGCAGGACACGCGCCTCGCGCCCAGAGGTGGTATGTATGGGGAACGGCGAGATGAGGAATCTGACGAGCGCTCGCAACGTTCCTTTTTCCTTTTCTTTCTTTTTTTTAACCCTTTCACTACTTTTCTCTCCGTGATCGACTTCGCTCTTCGGGTTAGAGTTTGGCGCGGGAAGGTTCCATGGAATCAGCGCCCATCACAGCCAAACACCAGAGGACAAAAGCCCCACGGACGGCGAGTCAAGGAGCGGTCGTGGCGATCGACTCGTGATCACGACAATCCCGGGGCCAACTTATGTTTTGTCTGTTACTTACGGAGACTGCGGGCCGAAATTTCTTTTTGGGGGGGAAGGGAACAAAACGAAATGCCAGAATGTCGAGCCAGCGCCGTCAAGACTGTTGGAAGAGCACAGGGTAATTTCGTCGTCGTAGTGCCCGGGCTAGAGGAGCATACTAGCTTGATAGATGTCAAAGGCTGCAGGGGTTGGAAGCCCATCTGCAGAGTTATATTCGTTAATTTATCGCAATCCTGGCAACCGAAGCCGCATTGTCAGAGCAACAACAACAACGGCTCTCCATCTCGGCTGCGAACAGCCGCCCAGGTAGACGGACTGCATGTAGATGCTTGTACGGTACGGAGTTATAGACAAGGGGACCGGAATGGGGAAACCTTCTGGCCTTGCGCGGAGATTAAAAGATAGTCTACTTCGTCATCAGGTGGCGAGACTGTGTCGAGACAAGTGTCGGTGAAGGTTTTCCCCTATTTTCCCACCTCGCGACTGTCGCACAGACAAGCGTTTGAGGGCGTAAGGGAGATGTGCAACCTTCATAGTCAACTGGCCTGGTGGCTGCAAGGGCTCCGGCTGCCGGCTCCCAGAGTCGCAATTCCCGAGCCAGCGGCCTCACGGTACATTTAGGGACTGCACACACTGCTGCGTATTACATTAGAGCCCATGTAAAAAAAAAAAAAAAAAAAAAAACCACCCGCTTCTGCCTTCGCCAGGATGAGCTTGAGTTGTTCCGGCACCAGGAAATTAGTGCCCCAGGCTAAGGGAGCAGCGGAGCAGCGAATGTGGGCTTGGTGAAATCTAATAAAATAATACATAATTGCGCCCTGCCCTCCCCCCTCCCTCTCTTTCTTGATCTCCAGGGCGGCCCTCTCGGTTAGTTATATATTAATTTCGCAAGACCAGCTTGTTTTCTCCTCTGCTCGTCAAGCAACACGGCATTGGGTCGCACAGAACGTCCCTGCATTGATCTGGGCGCGCACCCAAATGCACTAGGTTGGTTTGACCCTGAGATCTTCGACGAGTTTCACATTTCGGCCGCTCGCCCTCCTTTCCTCGTACGCCAACTCTGCCCGGCCGCCTGCTCCTCCATCAAGAAGATTCACCATTTCGATCCGGACGTGCTAGCTTTTGCAGCCAGACCAGGCACCGCCCCCCACCGCGAATAGTCTCTCCTCTTGAACTGCCGTTTCATTCTGTGGAACTGGTCCCGAATCTGTTTACACGATGGCTGAGTCCCAGAAGCCGTCCGTACTGATCATTGGAGGCCTAGGTAGTTACTGAGACAAGCCCTTGATCCCGCCAGTTCAATGATGAAGTACGGATGCTAATCTATCTCTGCGTAATCGGCATTTTCCAGGCTTCATCGGTCGCCATCTCGCACTCTACATCCACGAGAACAAACTCGCCTCTGAAGTTCGAATAGTGGATAAACTGCTCCCCCAGCTGGCCTGGTTGGCTCCAGAATTCAGCGAGGCATGCTCACAGGACAAGTTCGTGCAGGCGGATGCAAGTCGCGAACGTACGTCTCTCCATGGCCCCCCGTGCAATCGTGCAAGCTCTTTGACCAACTCTCGACTAACTCTAATTCCCGCAGAATCATTTCCTCGCATCTTCGATCGCCCCAACGGCGCCCAATTCGACTATGTCATCGACTGCGGTGGCGAAACTCGATTCTCCCAATCCGACGATGTATATCGCCTCCGTACCTATGCCCCTTCTCTCGCGATCGGCAAAGAATGTGCTCGACGGGGTATCCGTGCCCTGATCCAGTGCTCTGCCGCAACCGTATACAAAGCAGAATCGAAACCTCACAAGGAAACAGATAAGACCAAGCCCTCCTTCAAAGTCTCCAAGTGGAAACTTACCCTGGAGGAGGACTTGAAGAAAATTCCTGGCCTGAATCTTTGCATCCTAAGGTTTCCGCGTGTATGGGGTGAATACGACACGGGCTTCTTGACCCCTGCTCTTTGTCTCGGAAGGGTACACAAAGAACTTGAGAAACCAATGACTTTCCTGTACTCCAAAGACCAGGTCATGAATACGGTATACGTCAAGGATGCAGCTCGTGCTCTTTGGACAGCGGCAGAGTGGCGAGCCTCCAAAGGTCCCGTTACGAATAACGAAGACCCTCCGTTTCCTATCACATTCAACATCGTCGACCACAATAACACGAAAAAGGGAGATTTAGCCGACGCCCTAAACCGAACCTTCGGCATCGAGTGCGAATTCTTGGGGACGTTAATGACCCAGTTCGCGAAGCTGAATCAAGAAGAAATAGTCGATGAGATGAACGAAGAGGCCCTTGAGACCTGGGCTGATTTACTCCATGCAAAGGGAATCACCAGACCCGGTCCCATAAGCCCTTTTGTGGACAAGGAGCTTCTGAAAGACACCGATGTTTCAGTCGACGGATCTTTATTCGAACAGACGACTGGCTTCACATATCAGACTCCAACTCTTCCCCAGGATTGGTTGGAGATCATCGTCAGAAGCTATGACCGAATGAACTGGTGGCCTTGATCCCAACCCCTGAGCACCCTTCTTTTTCTTTTTTTTTTTTTCTTTTTTTTCTTTTTGGATCTGACCTGAAATGATACAACGCATTACTGACGGTTTGACAAATATACATGATAAATCTCAATCTTTGCATGGGAGGGGGAATGTGGCTTAAGCATTATCGGTTATTTGATGCAGAGCGAATGTTGGTTCAGTTTACATTACATTGAAATCTTGGACATTCCTCTATATTTCATCATTTTCTCTTCGTTTTGAATACCCTTGTAACTATAGATTTTGTTTATAATTCACTTTGATCGGCTTGTTTCTATCTTTGTCTTGATGTATATCTCCTGAAGAGCAGTGATGCCCGTTAGATTTCTATCCACCGCAGCCGACGGAATGACCTCTTCAAGCCCAGACGTATGAATATGCTGAGTGCTTTTTCCATCTCGCAACTGAGATAGCCCTTCTCGCCTGTTCCCGGGCCGAAGCTGCATCCTGGGCCTTATGGTTTGCGTTTCCCACCAGCCCATCTGCTGAATCTCACAGAAACGAAGCATACAAAAGGGCTCTCGTCATATAGGTCTATACCTACTGCTGACATTCTTTTCCGTTTGCTGCTTAAAACTCTACATTCATTCTATTGTTGCTGAAGGTTGAAATTTATTGCTGGTCTCTACACTTACTATAATGGCCATGGCTGCATTGCTCAAAAGGTTCGCGAACTGGTGCCATACTGGCCTAGAAAACCCCCGCGAGTGCATCGCGGTTGACTCAAGAGTCCTACTTGGAGGAATCCGCCACCTTTCACTCTCAGAAAAGATCGGCCCTGCTCCACCGATTCAACCTCCACGCTCCCGTCTTTTATACGAATGTGGAGTGGCTGCAATGTGGTATCCATGATTGGTTGATAAAGAATGCCCCACTGGTACTCCGTACAATTCGCCGTTGCCTATTGTACACGTTCGATATGCTTTCGCCCGCGCCAGAGGATTAGGGTGAGGAAAGGTTGCCTCGCTTCAACTCTGAAACCAGCTGGCGCCAGCCTATCGTGTCTTGTTAGCCTCACGCTCCAAGCTTGACGGACATATCTTACCATCACAGCTGTGATAACACCAAGAGTTGCAACCACCAGGTATATCGCACCCCCTTCCTCGCCTCCGCCTTGTGCGTATTTCTCTTCGCTTCTTCTGGGAAATTACTCTCAAAGAAACGCTCAATCTTGCCGCAGGCAATGTTGATATCGAGGAAATGGGGGTTCGCTGGGGTTGTTCTTTCGACGGATCACCCTCGCATACCGCCTGAACACTTCGCAGACATGTTGAAAGTCCCGTGTTGATTCGATCATGATTTGGCACGCTGAGCCCCTTGAGATTTTGATGTTCCGGTCGAAGATTGCTGGGTTTTGAAAGCAGAGCTCGAGCGTCGCAATCGCCATTGTTGGCGGTATAGCAACAAAGTTGAAGGTTGACTACTCCATGACACCTGCCATGTAAGACAGACATTCGTCTGCCCTGGTCAGTGCCATGAGCACCATCTCACTGCTGCGTTGCAGTGCCTTCTCCCGGTTTTGCGGCAAGAAGAGGTCGCTGAAGTTTTCCACGTACTTGGACCAGACTTCCTCTGGCCAGAAATATCGTTTGGAGTCGTAATCTTCCCGGATGTCGCGGATATTGCTGCAGGAGCTGACCCATTCACTCCATCAGCTTGGGTTTCTGCGTGAGGAGGGCCGGTCCCACGAAGTTCGCCTGGACGAACAGCCGTGTTAACCCCTCATCGACGAGGCCTGCAACGTAGTGACGGTATAGCTCATAGTCCTTGATATTCTTGACACTCAGACCGTTGGCATTTTCATCTGCCATTTTCGCGTAGTCGGCCATGAAATTGCCCATTCCCTTGGCGATGTCCTTAATGATGGCCCTGTATTCGTGCTTGAGCAGATTAAACTCTCTGGCTACGCAGTCGAACTTGACGAGCACCTCCCTGTCCTTCTCATCGGGGCCGCTGCCATCGAAGGGTCCAGTTCTCGTCGTCGATGTGGGTGTAGAAGTTACGTGGTAAGGGCTCCTTCTCTTCGATGCCAATGGTCATGTCGTCCTCAATAGTATCGAGACTGCGGAGAACGAGGTAGAAGACAACTACTGGCAAAAAGCAGCTCCGGGTGAAGCTCTTGACAGACAGCTACAAACGAGCGCGATGTCAACGCGAGGAAGCGGTAGCATTCCTTCACATTGCGCGACTCCTTGCTCTCGTCGCGCAGGTGGACGGGTTTCCGCCATGTCATCACTGGATGATGGCGCGCAGCTCCTGGACGTGGAAGAGGTAGTAGACAACATCTCTGGCGGACGGCATTTGGGCAGTGAATGTGCTGAAAGTGGTTCGATCGTAATGCTATATATGTTTGTCTCTGCAAAGGCAAAAGGAACAGGATAATTCAGGCGACATGGCATTTGGTTAGAGGCTTGAACGACCAATATCCCCATTTTGGCAGATAGCGTGCTTTTAACTAGACGTATTCTTACAACCAATTTAATAAAGTGACAGGGGTGCAGCTCACAACTGCCAGAAATTCTTGTAAGTACCTAGCTATACGGTAGTATGCAGAGGGTTGAACATTGCAACTAAGCCAGACTACAACCCTTCTTTTTTCTTTTTTCTTCTTTCTTTTTTTTTTTTTAAGAAAGAAAGAAAGAAATTCGGCTAGAGCTCACATACAGGATAGACTCTGCAGAAAATATTAGATGCCTGCGTTAAAATTCCCGGTTCCTCAGTTCTTGAACACCAGGCTCGGAAATAAAAGGTCCGCCGCATCGTGCCGTCTTGTGGGACATGGTGGCTTCCAGGCTCTGGAACCCGGACTATCCGGAATCTCTCGATCTCCGAGATCTCGGGGTTGACAAAAGTGCCACAAGAATGAGGTCATGTAATACTTCGGCTATGGGTCAAGAATGGCCCGGGGTGGAAGATCGCCAATTACGGAGTACATATCAAATCAACCTTCTGCGTTGGCCCGTAGTTAGCAGGTTTTAAATACCAAAGAAAATGTGCTGGGTACCCTTTTTTTGCTGGCTGAACGTGTAGAATATTGATTAGATATCTATAAATATTTGATTTAAGTGACCAATAGCCAATTCAATGTGTTTTATGATATCTAGTTAGTCAATAGGGATCTCAAGCAAAATCAGGCATGAGGTTTGCTAAAAGTCAAACAAATCAAGCCTCTTCCCCTGAACCCTTCATGCCTGCACCCCCTCCCAAGTAAATCAACATATAGCAAAGCTAAAACCAAACCTCCGCCCCTGGTGAAACTCCGTGAATCGTGTTCAACTGGGCCGAAGAGTGCGTGGGAAATTCTTATATAGGTGATTAGAACTCCCAATTCTCATCAACAGATTTGATGGCCCAGTCAAATTTCTCTCGAAGGGTCTTCGAGAAAAATTTTTCGATGGGCACGCTGAATTTCTTTGAGAACACAACTGTTAATCGGGGATCAATGTAATTCTATGAAAGAAAGTTAGCGCCCTTAGAACTCTTTTAGAGGATAGTATGGATATACTTACGATCTTTGATGTTCCCAGGGCAACCTCCTTATTATCTTCCTTGTCCTGGGCCTGCAGCGACATCGTATCAATGCGCTGATCCAGTTTGGCGAGGTTGTTCTCGTATTTCTCAATTGTGGCTCCCTTGCCTTCAGCCTCTACTTTTTTGGTCTTATTTTCTTTTTTGAATTTCGCAGCCAGCTCTTCGGCAACTTCAAGTCGCTTCTCAAGTTCTTTAACTTTCATCTCTTTCTCTCCTTCCGCGCGGAGCTTTTCGTTGTCTTTATCAAATTTCTTTTGAATTTTCTGACGCTGCTCTTCTACCAGGAAAGCTTGGTGCTGTTTAATCCACTCTTCGTCAAGGTCTGGATCCAGCTCGAAGAACTCAGCACCCTTCTTCTTCTTGATTTTAGGATCGAGATCAAGCATCATCTGCTTGATCCGCCATTTTTGATAGCGCAGCCCTTTTATCTGAACTCAATTAGTATTGGGGTAGAAGTCATGAGAAATCCAAAGACTTACCCTTTCGCCTAACTTTTCCATTTGGTTCGCATGGCCAGCAGCAACTGTACGCTTGTGGTTGCAAAGGATGGCGACTTTCCGATTGGCATCGTTGTATTGCTTGACCTTTTCGTGGATAGTCCCGGTTGCATTCATTTGTCTCAGTAAAGTAGCCATGGTGTACGAGGCGTTATATGTACGGAAAACTTTGGCTGTCAGTCCAGCCATGTAACCCGAAAGATGCTTGTTGAGAGCACTCGTCTTGTGAAAGTCAGCATCTGTTTCTACAATCTGCATGCTCGCAACTTACCGTAAGCCGATCGAATATCTCGTCTCCGTCCTTTTTCGGGGCCTTCTTGAAAATCTTGAGATTCTTGAAGACCTGAGGGTCGACTTCTACCTCGTCATAAAATCGGATACTGTCTTTACCTAGGAAGTCGAAGATAACTTTATTTGGTGGCTTTAACGTGACATGCTCATATTTCAGTGAGCAACAACCGACGGTGTCGGCCTCATCTTCTCCTTTCTCGTTACCAGCTCTCAGTGCAAACTGATCGATGAGATAGACAGCAGTTGCTCTCTGGCGGTTTGCCATGAGCTCATCCTTAAGGCCTTTCCGATAGTCTTTGCGAATCCGATCAATATGTTTCTGGGAATGGAGTGTCAGTATAGACCAGCGAGAAATGGTGTCAAAAAGAGATCTACCTTCAGCTCTCGCGCTTTCTCAAATTTCTTGAAGTCACTTTGGCCCTTGATGTCCGAATTCGCCGCAAGCATCACGTACTTGTAATTGCCATTGATATTTTCCTGCCACATTGCCAGCCACGTCCCTTCTTGGTCGTGTTTCACTTCCTTCCACTTGTGGCCGGCGGGCGGTGGAGGGACTGCAGCGCCTTTTCCGATGTTGATAGTGATCTGCTCGGGTTGAACCCGTATCTTAACCCGGCCTGTTTTTGGATGTTCACCACGACCACGGAACAGCGCTGGAGGTTCAACACGGAAATTTCCCACTTTCTGTTTCCGGCCATCCCACATGCAGTACATGTATGGAGCCTCTGCGGCTTCTTTCTCAGCTTTTAATCGCTTCCTTTCTGCAGCAGGAAGAGCCTTCTTTTCTTCACGTTTCATTTCATAGTATTCAAAAATCGGTCTAAAGTCGCACTTTTTGAAATCTTTGATTAGCACTTTATTCCCTTGTGAATCTTTGGCGCCTCCGGTTTTCTTAATAATAGCGGTGAAATCTTCGAAGAAATTCTTTTGAAAAGTCGGATTTTCGACGTTGTGGGTAGAATTAAGCATCGATCCGAAAAAGCCAGCAACCTCTTCAGCGTCTGGTTCTAAAGAAATTGGAACACCATCGTACTTCATCTTCACGTTCTTAGGAAGCGGTTCGTAAGGAGGCGGGAACACCACACCATTATGCTCAAGAGTGGTCCACTTGATTGTCCCATCTCCTTTTGTAGGTTCTTCCCACCAGCGATACTCTTCCTCTTCCTCCGCTTCAACCTCAGCCTCTTCACTTTCTTGTTTGGCTTTATCTTCGCCCTTTATTGCAGGAGTTGTAGTGCCTGATTTTGCAGGTTTAGCAGCCTTGGCACGAGGTTTCCGACGAAGTGGAAGATCCTCATCACTGGATTCACTTTTCTTGATGCCATTTGTCCGTTTACCGGCGGCTGGCTTTTGTTTTGCGGGCTGCCGAGCGGATGGTGCCTTTGCGCCTTTACCTACAGGCTTCTTCTTGGCAGCATCTTCGCGTTCATGTTTCCTAATAGCCTTTGCTTCGATCTCAGCACGGTGCTCAATCTCGGCCTTTTCCGCAAGGAGCTCTTTTTCCTCGGCTGCGGTTGGGGCAGGAAGTTTTTGAGCTCTCGTGGACCTCGAAAGTAGAGGCGCGTCATCAGAATCGGAATCTTCGACTCGGTTCTTGGTAGAGGTACGACGGCGCTTGCTCTATGGCGGAGTCAGCGGATTGCTGTGTGACTGAGAAAAGAGAGGCTATCGAAGTTGTGCGTTTGGGGGGTTTGGTTGGGGAGATGGCGTACCAAGGGCTTATCATCTTCCTCGCTGCTCTCGGGTTCTGCATAGGATTTGTTTGCAGCGCTGGCTCTTGACTTCCGTTTGGTTTGCGGCGCCCCGTTCACTTCTCCATCTTGCATTTCCACATCTTCATCGTCAATGGGCCCATACCGGATAGAAACTCCCGGTTTCGTGGTCCCGTTTGTAGTGGGGGTGCTCGTGGACGAAGGATCTGTTGCCTTGGACACTAGCTCTTCAGATGGATACGGGGCTGGGTTGTTCGTCAGTTCCAGATTGTAGATGTTTGTGTCAAAGTCAAGGGATCAATGAGCCCGGGACCAAATTTTCCATGTAGGCAACACTAGGTACTCACCATGAGAGAGCCCGTTGGTTTTCCTCTTCCCAACGAGAGGAGCATCCTCCTCAGAGGAACTCATGATGCGAATGGCACGTGCGGCTGAAGATTGGAGACGAAATTGCACGTAGGAGGGTTTTGGGTAATGTGCTGCGCGGAGGGGATGGCTCAGAGGCCTCAGTAGCCCTGGGAAAAGGAAACGAATTTGAAGAAAGGCTGAAGAATGAGCAATGATGGAAAGGTGGTTGAGGAATGAAAAGGCAACGAAAAGTGAAAGGGAGAATGGGACCAGGGGAGGGTGAGAGTGCAGCGAGAAGGTCTCAGGCCACAGACAAAGACATAGGGGGCGACAGAGTAGGTCGGGATGAGCTCTCGGTGCGAGCAGAGTGAAGTCAGTTGTAAGGCAAAAAGTGGATGGGTTGCAGAGGTTTCCAAGGTTATTCTTATATCTTCTGGCTGGCAAAGCTGACCGGCGGCTCCGTCCAAATGCGGTTTAGCGCTGCTTCCTGCCCAAAGCGGCCTAGCGCCACCAGAGTGTTCCGCTCTGCGATGATTAGCGTATCAACCACCAACGAACGACAATTTCACCTCACCCTCACCCTCCGCTCTCCGTGCAATTGTCGTCTTGGAACGCCAATTGGCCGTCGCTGCGTCCTCCAGTTCGGGCACTTTTTTCGATCTGTCGTCATCCCTCCTCCAGCCATGCTCTCGAGAGCTGCCCGCCCGGCCCTCAAGGCCGGCAATGCAGTCCTTGCTCGGTACATTCCCTCGCTTCCCGCCCGTGTGGCCGCAGCAGGCCAATGCTGCGGAGGTGCGGCGGGTGCTGTATGTTAAATCTTTTGAGCTGACGCTGGTTTTTTTGAAGGTCTGCGCCTGCCAATGCCGCCAACTTCGCTACCCTCCGTGAAATCGAGGGCCGCTTGAAGTCCATCAAGAACATCGAGAAAATCACCAACACCATGAAGATCGTTGCTTCCACCCGTCTTACCAAAGCCCAGAGAGCCATGAGCGTCTCCCGTGCCTATGGTCAAACCTCAGAGACCGTCTTCGAAAATGCCGAGACCAAGCCACT